TTAGGACGATGACTCTAAAAGGGGGGGTAATGTTATAATTATATAGAATTACTATAGGAAGATAAAGGTGATATGCAGGAAGAACCTAGTAGAGGATCTAGAGGCTAACGCACTAAAGGACGCTAAGTGACCATCCTAGTTATATTAGTGTAAGTGGTTATGTAACTATGCTCCTACTAAGAGAACCTTAGTGAGGGAGTAGGAAGGTACTCCCACTAAGGAGGCATTAGTGAGGGAGTAAGATACTCCTAGAGAAGGTTGCTCCCACCAAGGAAGCGTTGGCGAGGGAGTAGACCAGGACTATAAAGGATAGGAAGATGGGTATATAGTCTTAGATATTCTTTAAACATTTCTATTCTTTATAGTTAACTTTGAAAGCTTGCTTTTATATCTAAATTAAAGCCACTTATCTCTATACGAATTATTAGCCTTCTCTTAATATTTATTGCATCGTACTATCGTATGGTATAGGATATTCACCCAACCCCTTTTGGTACCGCCGTCCCTCACGCTCAAATCACTGAATACCCGCAAGGTCCGAACCTACGGTTAGGTACGTGGAAACCCCTTGTAACACCGCATTGGTAGGTAGTCGTTATAATCACCTTGGTGCACATGGTCGTTGGTAGGCGTTATGTTCTAGGATAGAGATATAATAATGCTTGTGTTGGTAGAGAGATACAAGCTAGAGAAGCGTTGCGAGTATTTATATATGTCCTCGCCCATGGGCAAAGGGGCGCCATGATGCTTACTAGCCATTCTTAAGGTCACTAGCGCGCGCGAAGACTACCCACTATTAAATAGTAGGCAATTACTATAGCACGCTAATGCATCTGCTTATTAGGCAACAAAGCGCCTATAATTGTCTAAGTCATTACTTCTGTTAGATCAAGCACAGCCGTGTAAATCTAACAGACGTACGTGTGTATTACCCGAACCAAGCAGTCTAAGCCCTAATACCTACGCGCCTCACCCTCGCTCATTTCCCATACCAGGAAATGCTATCCAGTCAACCATAAGGTTTGCAGTCACTTGATGCACAACGCCGCAATAATCGCGCACGCCATGAAACCCGTACCATAGAAGTATAAGCCTTGTAGGGCCTCTAGTCCGTATCTAGGAAAGGAACAACTACGTCGCATCCGTCCCACCCGTTCTTTCCAAACGACATGGAAAGGCTACCAGTTTAAGATGGATCTGCTATGGTTTGCTCTAGATCAAACGACAGTCCGTGTATATGCTTATTGCTGTAGGGGGCTCGCCAGTTCTTAAAGCTGATCGTTATGTTGTCGAAGAACCGGCTCGAGCTTTTCTCGCTAGGGCTAGATTTTGTTCTTTGCCCCCAGGGGCAGCCTTCTGCATTCTTTGCCCCCGGGGGCAACCTAACCCTACCTCAGTGGTACAGTTTAGGGACATAGTATAACCTTGCCGTTGGCAAACCAGCGCCATCTTGGATTATCTTTATCTGGCGTCCCAGCTTGCATCAGGACTTTAACACGAGTGCCGGTACCCTTAGTCTTCTTGCGGTCGACAAGGCTGGCATTTGGATCGTCCTCGTTGGTCGAGTAGCCCGCCATAAACTGCGATCAAAGACCTGCTTAAGCCAGGCCAGTCCTACGTCATCGTTCGACCAGCCAGAGGGCGATGTGGTGAAGTGTACTGAGTGCTTTCTTGGCTTTATATCCTCAACCCAGCTTGATTGTACTGCTTTTCCAACTACCTGATAGATAAGGCCGGGCGGCAGGGCAGATCCATCAGCGCACACAGTCGCCAGGACTGTGACTTACTCACGATTGCTATCTTGGAGTGCTGCCTTGACGCGCTTCTTGTCATATGCGTCCTTACTAAAGATCCTCTTTGACCTGCCAATGACGCCAATCATGAAGCCCTTTTCATCCATATTGTACGTGTTCTCGGCGTCAACGTCATATTCGGTGATTTTGTGCTGCAGAAGCTCAAAGTATAAGCCACACTTGACAGCAGAATCAGCGTTGTGGCGCACGGAGTCCATAGCCGTCGTCCATTGGGATGTAAGTTGATCTTGGTTGCGGTTGATAAAGCGCGTAACCCAGCTCTCGCTCACTGGCTCTCTAGCTATAGCAGCTGCAAAATTTCGTATCATTCCCCTTGTAGGTGGCAGATGTCGGTCTGTAAGTCCTTTGATGTACTTGACAAGCTCCGCCTCTTGTTATAGAATGAGCTTCCGTTGGTCGATTGCCTTTGTCGCAAGAGGGGGCCTGAACGCGCTTATGGTGCCGCGACAACGTTGACCGATCAACGCCATGGTTATCAGCTATTTTTTGGTATACAAGTTTTTCGCCGGGTTTTCAATTGTCGATATCCGCAAGCGCATTATCAATTAGAGTCATCGTTGTTGTGTTGCGACGCGTCAAAGTATAGAGTATTTTGGTGTTATCGGGCGGCACGCGAAGTCGGGCGGCACGCGCACGGACACGTTACCGTAGCGTGCCAAGGTACGGTAACTCCTTTGGGTGACGTAGAAGATTCCCTGCGGGAGTTCCGGTGCGAGCATCAACCCACGAACGCAAAAAGAACCCGCCGGTCAGGTGTCAGTCGTTCCGCAATGGCCTTTAGGATAATGAGGAAGCGCAAGGTTAGATGAAGTAGGTATTAATGTTGTAGCACCCCATCTAACGGAGCTGAGCAGGCCGACGATAGCAGCCCTCCCTCGAACTCAGCGCGCAATGTCCGACCCCGATCTGAGGACAGCTTTCCGCCTCCAAGCCCGCCTGTAATTCCTGAGACCTGTCAGTATCAACTGAAAGTACTTGCAAATATACCAGAAAGCCTGCCCTTTTTTACAGTGACAGCCCTAACGATCTCCAAATCCTGCGCACTCGAGTCCCAAGCGGCACCATATCTAGTGAATACACTCACAGAGGCATTAAGGGATGAGGGTGCAGACCAGAATAAAGTGGATACAGCGAGGGCAATATGGGAAAATAGTCACAATTTATGCAAGGCAAAAGAGATTGGAGCAACACTGGGTACAGTTGATTCTCTGCGAAAAGGGCTCTACTTCCTAATTGAAGGGGCCAAGGAATGTTCCTCATCCCAGGTTACAGCGCAATTACAACGCCGTCTCAATGCTGCCATAGCTGAATGCTTGGCTGGCAAAGACGACGGAATACGCGTTGAGGAAGCTTTCAGCGAGTCAGCAACACCAACCAATCGCGAAGGCAGTCCAGGAGCTTCTAGATCCATCAATAAGGGTCAGAAACCGTCTAGCGAGGCTACGAAGCTTTTTCCAAACTATTTAAGCCATAACGACGACTCTTCAGCGAGCTACCTTGATGGCCCCCAAAGTCGAGCGTCAAATGAAGGCAATCAGGGGAGTGTGGCGAGAGAAGCCACTAGTGCTTGTTTGGACACTATCGACCAGCTTATTTCGGACGGGGCAAAAGCAGCCGAGGCTCGACTCTCGGCTGCTCCCTACGGAGGAGAACAGCAAGACAGTGGAAATTCTGACTCACAGTCAAAGGCCGATATCTTGGCATTACTAGAAGCTGGTCTCAGTGGTCCTATAGTACCTTTTGCTACTAATTGGCTGCGCCAGGAGAGCAGCAGCACACCAAATAGCGAAGTTTCCTCGTCTGAGGCACTTCTGAACAAGCAACCTGCAGATGGAGCGAAGGACTTCCTAACTCCAAGCGACACAAAGTCCCTTAAGGCGGTCCCGTCTATTAATGGCGCACCTCCTATCAGGGTAGCAAGAATACCGTATATCGATATGGGGTACAACGAGGCTCTAAAACAAGAGCCACGAGTCAAAAGGGAATATATGTCTTTGGATTCTAATCGGGTCTTCTCCGATCAAGCTGGCCCAAACTTGGCGTATGGCACAGCTTCTACTGGAAATGCCGGATACAAGCTCGTGATAGGTGGCCACACACAATCAAAACGACGCTTACCGGACCGTCCGCTGTCTGAACACATATCATCTGGAAACATACATGACAAGGTACATAGGCATCGTCGCACTCTTTGAGACGGCCCTCACAGACGTATTATTTATGGCTGACTCGATGCAGGGTTCATCTCAGTCGATCCCGGATCGCTTGACCTGTTTCTTTTGGTTCTCCCAAGGCTTCTGTAAAAGGGGAGATCGTTGCAAATTCCGCCACGAATTGCAGGACTATGTTGCGAGCTACCCAAAAAGTGGCGACATGCCCATAAAGGTCATTCCCATGAGTACTATGGAGGAGACAAGGAAGGCCACGCTTGCCAGTGATCCAAACCACGTGAGCGTACGCGAAGGGCGAAACGATCCGAAGCCAAATTCTGACGCTGCACTCACGGATACCCCTATCTTAGATTTGTTGCTGGATGACTGTATTCCTATTGAGCCTGGCTCAGCTTCTAGAGTTATCTCATCAATTATCTCTAATATAAGGGCGAGGAGGAACTGCTCCCAGGGTGTAAGTCCCTTGCAATTTTGGCGGCTCACACATCTGCTAATATACTTAGGACTTCGTCACGGAGTTGTACGATCACAAAGGCAAGCTTTCTAGCTTTGACCTTGATCGCCATTCTGGACTGCCAAGCAAGCTGGGAGGTGCGATGACCAAAGTCTCTTACAACCCTGATCATACTCGCAGAACGCTCGATGAGATACTAAAGCCGTTTGTGGAAGCGAACAGAAACAAGTTTCCGGACTTGCCAGAGAGGACATTCAAGAAACAGCGTGAAGGAGGCGGAAGATCGCAGGCGAATTGGCCGTAGAAGAACTCCAGCGAGAAGGTTTGACGCCCTGCGATAGAATAAGTTTCGCAGGGGCGGATCTAAACGGTTGGTTTGGCCGGATATGCGTGTTTATTGTTGCAGTAAATGTAGATGTTGGATCCCGTAGTTAGTCTAGCTATTCGCAGCAATGTGCAATATTGATTTCTAGCCAGTCCCAGGCCTTCGGTACACCTCAAGGTTGCATACTCATACGTTGAGTAAATTTCGACGACACAAGCGCATCTTCTCTTCTGGATAACTCCGTCATGTCGCTTACATTTCTGACCGGCAACCGCATATCACAGGTGCTGTGTGCGTGCTGCATAGCGAGGTGCGCCTTACTGTGATCTGTTAATACTGCAGCATGCAAGAGGTAAAAACCGCTGCACCGACGTCACCCTATTCTGCTACGACCTACTCTGTTAAGAACTACTAGCGCTGCTCACGTGCCCAGTCCCGTGCACTTGTCCTGTACCCACGCGATGATCTTAAGGCCGGTCGACCAAGTTAGGGGCGGGCGCGAACGGGCTTGAGGGTGGGCCGGCTATTTTTCGGAAAGCTATGTACATAGTATAGCTCACGAATGCGCGAAGATTGCAGTGCTTTTAACATTACATCGTTTTCGTATTTATGGTTCTCTTCGTGATCATCAGGTAGTAAATCATACGGATGGATGCGTCGCCGAGAAGTTTATTCTCTTGAATACTAGGTTATTCTCTCCACCCTAATTAGCAAAACTACTCCGTCCGCCATCTTCTAACAGCCTTGCTCTGACTTTGACCTTGACGTAAGACCTTAAGGCTTCCTTGGGTGATAAGCGGCTAGGGTTACATATGGCCGGCATTGCGCTAGCCGCAAACAGTAGAGCTCCTCTAGTTTTAAGGCAGATAATCCTCTTAAATAGCTCATTTATAGTCTCCTTAAGATTGTTACCGCGGCCTTTCTCTCGCCCAATATTATCTAAACTTTGTTGCTGAAGAAGAGCAATGTGAGCTGCGAGGGCACGCATCCGCACTAGTAAGAAAAAGCGGTGAATTATGGTGACACTGCAAAGGTCTACGAAAGCCGGTGCGATAGTTGGCTCTTAGGTAGAACAAGGACGCGTACTCCCAAATGTCTTTAAAGCCTTAGTTAATAAAAGCGTGTTGGTAAGCACCAAGGCTTCAGGAGAAGCAGTCATATACTTTGAATAGTGTTATAGTGATTTAATTTTAGCTAGCATGGAGTTGTTTCACTTACTTTATGGGCCTCGTCTAGAGCTATAACCCGACCACAATCTATGCCTTGCTCGAGGAATAGACTTAAACAAATATTAAACAACGAGTAAGCTGTTCAGGCGAGATATATGGGCAAGAGAGATCGACGATCGTGAGCAAGCCGGGCTATAATCCTGTCAGTTCTATCGCAGCATCTACCCTGAAGCCCATACCTTATTTTCCCATAATGTGCCCTTAGAGACCCGAAGCTTTCTGCCTTTCGCTCTATTCTCCATTCGCGGCATGAAGCTCTCTAGAGAAGCCACGCGTTGGTTTAGCGGTGCAAGTTGAGAGGGTGTGAGGTCTGCATCTTGTATCTCTGACTTGAAGGTCTGATAATCGAATTGCGCGCCAGTAGCTTGCTGAGACAATAGCATCTCCCTGTCACGAGAGCAACGAGCAAGATGTCTGAGGCCCAGGTAGGCTAGATTAATATACTGCGTTCGATATCTACGTGTAGGTACAAGACGTTGGATAAGGAGAAAAGGTCCTCTCCCCCCTATCTAGTGTGGATCTATCTTCTCGCTTCGTCGCACGCCCTTGCCAAGGGTGGCTAGCGCCATGTTTTGACCAATCAGCTAGCAGACGGGCCACCCATCTAATAATCTATTGGCTGGCTGCCAGCGCGCGACATCTCTAAGATATACTGCTGCCAGCAGTATATCCATGCTTGTCAGGTAGCCTCTAAGGTTACCGTGACATATAGAGGGCTCACTCGCTTTTATACGCAGTCATTGGGACGGGATAATATTCCACCTAAGGTAGTAACGTCGTACAAGAGGTAGTTGTTATGGGCCAGATGCTCGAGGAGCCAAGATAGCCAGAATGAATATTTATGAATTCACGAAGACTCGAAGTTAAGCTTCTGCTACCGAAGTTATATATCTGCCCCCCGAAGCTAACATCGGGTCCGAGGTCCCAGCCGGTCCTGGGCCGAGACAAGACCTCCAGGGCGTAGCCCATTACAGTAGTTATGCCCTAACATAGGGCCCTTGCGCTCTAACGTAAGGTCATGTAACCTACCAGTATGCTAGGCCGTCACATTACGCAGCGTTTGAGTGTGTTATAATACTTATTATATATCTATACGTTGTAGGTAGCTTATTAGTACTACTAATAGCTTAGCATTAGGTTAGAGGGTAGAAGAGAAGAATACTGTAGAAGGATAAGAGCTATAAGTAGAAGTGAGCGCGACTTAGCGCGTTCTCGCATAATAATATATAGTATTAGGGTTACTATAATAAGTATCTACCACTACTATAAAATATGTTGCTTCACTGAGCTTCTTCCTAATCGTCCTACTCCAGCCAGTATCCTTAATCTCTAAAGTACCACCACCTATTATATTACTTCTTTCCATCCGCAGCGGCCGCAGCCTCCTTGTCAGCGGCCAGTATCCTCTGGGTCGCCGGCCGACTCAGGCAGCGGTCGTACCAGGCGTTGACAGCCTTGTGACTGGTGATCAAATCGCCGTGCCCAACTGCGAAAAGCCTCAGCATCAGCGGGATGTAGTAGAGGTCGATCAGAGTGTAGTTTTCGCAGGCCATGTAGCTCCTCTTCTGCAGTAGATTCTCGGCGGCGTCAAAGTACGTCTCTAGCGCCTGCAGCGAGTCTGCAACGACCTTTTCGTCGGGCGCACCGCCGGTCATGAATTTCTTGATGAACTTCTCAAAGGCGAGCTTCTGCACGGGGTCGGCGAAGTAGAATATCTCAACAGACTGCGCTTCATCAAAGCGCGCCGTGGCTTCGGCGTCGGAGCTCGGCGGCAGAAGCGGGATGGAGTACTTGGTTGCGAGGTATTTGCAGATGGCACGGCTCTCGTGGAGCGTGAAGCCGTCGGGAAAGGTGATGGTGGGCACTTTGCCCCAGGGGTGGCGCATCTTATACTCTTCGGACTAGAGGTTACTGCGTCAGTCGAGCTGTACAGGTCAAGGAATTGGTGATCTATTAACCCAGCTGGAATCTTTAGAGCTCCACACCATGTGACTTTCTTCAAACTTAGGGAGTAGCATTGTTTGCACAAAGGAACGGCGGCTTACCTTTTGCTCCCCCTTAAGGAGATTAAGGAGGACGAGTTCATAGTCAGTAATATTTCCTTCGGCAAGAGTTAAGCGGACACGCATAGTGTTCGTCGAGGTACGAGAGCCGTAGAGAACAAAGGCTGGCATCTTTGCGGTGTGTAGCAGACGTGTCGACGCGAATCTGAGACAGTTCGTAGATCCCAAGTTCAAATAGGTGATGTAATTAGAAGAAAGGAATCTCCACCCCTTATAATTTAACAAATCTATAAGAGCTGTCGACCTCACCTTAGTTTAATTATGGTGTTTGGTTGAGTGTCTGGAGCTTGCTAATATGAACAAAGTGGTTTCAAGTGTTGATTTGCTGACAAAAACACTGCATAACCTCTGCTTACTATTTCTTGGCGCCTTCGTATTTGTGGAAGTGAAGATGTGTGCCTTGCATGCGCTGTGATTCGTCCTATCGGTATTATAGCGGGACCGAGCCTAGTGTTGGACGCCTCATCATGGCTGCGACGATGTGATATTATGGCACTTCGTGCTAATTGGTACACTAGGACTTCCACTTCGCAACATCGTCCCCTTGTTGAGTGTGAACATTGCACTGCTGGTTTCAAGATGCGAGAAGCGTTGATGTTAGTCCTTGCCTTTCACTGGGAGCGAGGCAGAGACTGAACCCCTCGACGGCGGTGGACCCTAAAAGCCGCTGGGAAGGAGCGCTAGGTCCGACCCTAAGTCCCACAAAGCGTGGGGATCGCCTAGACCCTGAAAAATATCTATAGAGTGACTGATGACCCTGGCAGATGCGCCTCAACGGGTTTAGGAAGCCGTACTATTAGGATCCAGATCCAACATAAGGAGGGAGGGACACTTTGTATTCAGCCACCAGCGCGTACACGTGAGGACGCCCTTGTCAACGCTGACTACGCATCAGGGCGCTTAGCGAAGTCACGTGACTGATCTGTAGCAGAGCGCAACAAATCGGTCCCAGGGCTAGTATATAAGAACGCGAGTAGGAACTCTGCGAAAAGCTGCCTATTATCAGCATAAACCTAGGGCTATATTTGTTTCCTATCCTCTCTAACCAAGTTCCTAGCTAGGTACTAGAGAGACAGAATCTCCCAGTACCGAGTCTCGTTCTTCCGTAGATGTGCGACATTGTGCCGAGCCACCATATTTCTTCAATGCAACTGAGAAACCGTTGGTCTTTGCCTTAACCGAATGTGTTACAATATCTTTATAGTCGGTCAACGCATCAGTAGCGCTGTATATGTACACTCGTCGGACCTTGGCGGTGTTCCCCACTTTTTCGTTATGCGACTTGTACCAGCTACTTAACCTCAACCCTCATGGCAGGACCGATCTGGGATGGACGAACGATGCAGTCCATGGTGCTCCTCAATAGCAGTATCTGAGCAGCAGGATAGAGGGCCTGATACTTAGCTATGTACTTAGCGATGTGAGCATCTCTGGCGTCGGTCCAGCTACAGATGATAATGAGTCGCGGTTGGAGGGCTGCATATATACTTGACGCCTCCGATGGCCGGCAGAAGAAGACGAGCGGGTCAAGCTTCTCCATGAAGGAGAGAGGCTTTGTCTTAGTTGCTGGGGCTGGGGCGTTGGATGACATGGTGCTGCAGAGTGCTGTAAAGTGTGAAGAAAGTTTGAAATGAAGTCTGAAGCTTGGCGTGATGTGTTGATAGCGAATACCAAAGCTGGCAAAGCACAAGCTACCTATGGTAAATCAGACTGCGCCATCACGGACTGAAGAGATTCGGATGAACCTCACGGTGCTGCACAATGTAACGAGATGTTGCGTGGAGGGGCGGTTAGCGCCTGCCTGTTTGTTAATGGGGCACGGGGGACGGGGGATGGGGGATGGGGACGAGTGCACGCAAGCGCCTTGGCGGTGCGACCTTCATAGCCCAGGTTTCACGGACTCTCACCTGCATGACTGCGCCCATCCCTACTCCGGAGCAGAGCTCATCACTTCCTTTGTCAACTTTCAAACTGATCGTTGCGAAGCGGCGCTAACCTACCTGCAGGACCAATCGTGTCTCGCCACCCAAGCCTTCTGTCAATCACCTCATTTTCCACATGCGCTGACAGGGACTATGTAGTGGACATTAGCGTGCGGCGCCCGCACATACCACTGTGAGGGAATTAGATCAGCTTCTGGCCACAAGTAGTAATTCTCATTGCAATAGCTGGCTTACAAATAACCCGATATGAACCAGGCCAGAAGTGAATGGAGCTGCGGAAAGTCGATATACGCAACGAAAATACCAAACGTGATCACTGCCAAAAGGAAGACTGAGATGTTGTCAATTAAAGTTAAAGTAGTATGTTGCCGTACTAAAGATAGTATCTTACCAACGGTAACAGGGATATAATAGAGACCGATCTGCTTGGAATTGAAGTAATAGATGGTAGAGTAGATGCATGCATAAGGCCGAGAAATGAAAGATTATAGTAAAGCTGTAGGCGGTGTAAAGACCTAGGAGGAATGAAGGCGGGTGGAAATTTCAGCTAAGTACATATGCTGTCCCATTAATTTAGACAGGATCCGGTCATCTTAGCTCGAAAATAGCCATGTGTAGCGGTCGCAGCAACCCCTTTTGGATTGTTTTTATCCGGGGTCCGGCCTTCATATTAGTCGAGCAATGACCGCGTGCCCTGCGTCTCAAAAACAGTATACGGCTCTTGGATGTCTCCTTATGGAGGGAAGCGTTAGAGCGACCGGTGCCAGGATACAGAGAACGACCCAGAAAGAGCACTTCCAGTCGTGGTCGTACTAATCAAGGACGTAATTTCCAATCAGGGGGCGTAACGACGTTTAAGGCACGCCCACCCGCCCTGCATCTCTCTCGTGTCCCAGAAATCAGATAAGGAACCGGCAGCGACATCCAAGACGCCAGAGCCACTTAGACGAGCCAAAAGCTTAACCACGACTAGGACGACGAAATTGTTTGGGCCTGCGGCGATGGTGTTGAAGATGATAAATAGTGGAAGGCTCGTCCAATAGATCCAGCGACGGCCGTGTAGTCCAGGGAGAGTTGATGCTGCAAGGCCCGATGATGAACCCACGAGTGTAAAGTGTGACGGGCAGGAGGGCTACATTCCTGCTCAGATCGCATTCATGCCGTATAATGACGGCAGCTAGGCTCGAGATGCCAACACATCTAAGAGACAAGGTCGGTGAACCCGAACCGGCTACGGCGGTACTACGTACAATCCAAATGACCAAACGGCAGGTGCGGCACTGTGAAAAGTTATCTGCCATGAAGGCTAGCCGCGAGGATTATCACGATCATCAGGTCCATCACAGTCGAGGTCGCCAGCGAGGGCTTCCGTCTTGGGGGGATTGGTCTCTAGCGTCCCTTCCTCCTTGCTTGGAGATGTTGCAGTAAGGGCAGCGTCGGTCATAATGAGAGGAGATTCGTGAGGTTGTTAGTTTGCAGTAAAGCACAATGAATTTCGCAATGGGAATCTGGAAATCTATGGATTAAGAAAAGCGGGAAACAACGACGGAGGGGTAACGGGTCAAAAATCGAGCGGATATGTCACACGGCATGTCTTGCAAAGGGGCGGTATTGGGACTGAATCATTTTAGCAGGAGTGCGGACTACATAGTGAAGGCTTGGGTCCCCTCCAGCTTGCTCGCACGCACGTGACCTCGGCAGCCCGGTGCTAGCTACTCTGCCAGTAGACTTGGGAACGCTCACGGTATTCCTTACAATGATAACGTACCTTGCAGTTGTCTACAGTAGGGCGAATTCCGCTTCAGCTGTAGCAGCCAATGGACTGCTGCGATTCCTCTTGGCAGCCGCTTCCCCACAGTTTATCATACAACTATATTTGTCACGGATTAGAGTCTACTGGGCTAAAGGGGTAGTGGCATTACTTATTAGGTATAATTTTACTACTATGAAAGGTAGAATATAAGGTATGACTTAACACACAAGAATGTGAAATACACAATATAATGTCTCTAACCGCTTCGAAGTGAGTCAGTCGATTAAAATCATATTAACACTACAGCTATAGCTAGAGGAGAGATATGCCTCATATCTGCTCGGTACACGAACAATCTTGGCTTTCGAGACATCTTGCAAAACGCGGCCCAGATCCAGATAAACAGCATATCCTGTCTACAACTTCTCGACAGCCACGATCTGTCCCTCGGCGCTGAAGTCGATCTTCTTCTTCTTCAGGGACTCCTTGACGGGATTCTTTGCCTCGAAGACAAGGTCGAGCTCTTCGAGCGTGCGCTTCTTGGTCTCGGGCAGCAGGAAGTACCAGATACCGACCATTATGCCGTCCCACACAGTGAAGACAATGTAGGTCTTCCAGCCGATTTTGGAGAGCGAGATGGGCCACGCGAATTGGTTGAGCAGATTACCAGCGTTAACGGCCAGGGCGGAGAAAGCCATACCCTTTGCACGCATCTCGAAGGAGAGGACTTCGACCGGGTACAGAGCTTGGAGCGGGGTGATACCGATAGAGTAGACCATACCGAAAATGAAGATCATTGCGACAGTGGCTCTGGCGGCGTCGGTGTTGGTCTCGCCGCTGTTGTTGAACTGCGCAGAGGCAATCGTCATGCCGACCCAGACGATTGTGCAGGCTGCCATGGAACCGAGCATCATGGGGCGTCGACCGACCTTCTCGACAAATGCGGCGCCAACAAGCGCGAAGAAGAACTGGAAGCACGCGTATCCCAAATTGATATCAGCCTGCTCAACACTCTCTGTATAGCCAGACTTCTCGAGCACGGCAGGAAGAAAGTAGGTTAGCACGCCGTTGCCAGCCCACTGTGCGAAGATGGAAAAGCACACGTTGCAAGCAAGTCTGTAGCGGCTAGCGCTCGTCTTGAACAGAGCGCTGTAGTCCCACCAACGCTTGTCAGCACCATCAAGCTCAAGGAACTCCTCGTACTCAGAGAGCTGAAGCTTAACCCAGGCCGACTCTGGATTACCGTAGCCGTGCCACTTTGCGAGCGCATCCTTGGCTTGCGTCGTCTTGCCGTGCACGTACAGCCAGCGCGGCGACTCGGGAGCAAACCACACGAATATGATGATGAGCGCGGGGAACACAAGTTGCAGCCAGAGAGGGAGTGCCCAGGACGTGTTACCAGCGAGGTTGAGACCGCCGCGGACGGCGCCCGATGCAAGGATGGAGCCGACAAACCAGAAGGTGTTGCAGTAGGCGGTAATGACGGAACGCATCGCAGGATGGGCGGTTTCAACGACGTAAATGGGACCAGCGGCCGAGATGATGGTGACACCGAAGCCGAGGACAAAGCGACCGCCCTTGAGCTGCCCGTTCAGGTGCTCCACCGAGGCAGCGTTCATAGTCAGACCGTTGATGATAGTACCGACGACGATAAGCACCGCGCCCACGATCATACCCATGCGGCGACCGAGGCTGTCAATGATGGGTCCCGCGAATGGAAGAGCGACGACAGCACCAATCTGGTACATGGCCGAGGTCAAAGCAGCCCATTCACCATCTTTCGTGCCGTGGAAATGGTCGAGGAAATCATCGTTTGCTGTGGGACCAAGTCAGCGCGCTGATCGCTCGAGCAGGATACCTACTGCAGGTCAGACTTACCGGTCAAACCTCCAAAGAGACTGCCATCGAAACCGTTGACGGTCTGACAGAAAAATCCCAGCAACAGACATCCAGCCAAAGCGATGGTTCGGGGGTGGAACCTAGGCAATGGCTCCAAGGCATTTGCTTCGTGATAGGCTTCGCTGCCCTTGAGCGTCTTGACCTCGACCACCTCGGTCTACAGATGTGGAATAATCATCAGTTCGGCGAATAAAGAGAGCGCGGGCGGGCCACAATGGCCAACGTACCTTGTGGTCAATCACGTCCTGAGCATCAGCTTTGTTGAACTCCGACATAGTAGCGACAAGTCAAGCCGAATGCCTGGATATGGCAGAAATGCTGCGATGCAAAGCGGTGCAGTGCAGTGCAGAGACGATTTCATGGCGACCAGGACAGCCATATGTACATGTTTGGAGTCGGAGACTAGGATGCGAGGCTTTCGACCGCCAACCTGGACTGGAATACCAGACCGACAAGCCGCCCAGGCGAGCCCATGGCGATGTTCGTTCAGGGACAAAGTGCGGTGCTCAAAACGGCATGCGGCCCTGCTGCTCCGTCCTAGTGCGAGCATGGTGCTCGAAAAAGCGGGCCGCGGAGCCGTCGCAGCAGCGCTGGCAGCCAATGGCGCACCCCCCAACGCAGCGCTTGATTGTGCTCATGTACAACATCTCGACGTCGCACTCAACGTCCTTCACATTCTTTGGCTGAATCAATGCAAGGCGCTGGCGCTGGCCCATTGCTGGGGCTATTGGCAACTGCGACCCCGGACCGTGCGTTTTCTGGAAGCTCGATAGACGCATCGACAAAAGCCTGGGGCAGGGAGGCTAAATCCTGGGGGATTGCAGTGCGGGACATGGCAGCCTCGCCCCCGGCGGCGTGGGTGCCTCTGCCACGCGCCTGCCAGGGACAGCAGACCCTCGAAGATTCCAATCAAAATGATGGTGGCCAGAGGCGATCGCGACAAGTCGCAATGAAGATGGGTATTTAGATGCCGCGGCGAGCTATTGGTGCATGTTCCGACAAGATGGGCCTTCCAGGCAGCTGGGAATTGCCAACGGCGCACACTGGTCTGGGGCTGCCCGCAAAACTCGACCCCGGGGCCAAAGCTCACTTGACACGAGTCGCGAACAAGCACGAGATCTCCACATCAAAATCGCCTAAGCACATGTTGCATGCAATACGAACTCAGGAAATGGACGAGGACGATCTGGGATACACCAGCGGGGAAAGATCAGTCCACGCGCCGCATGGATGCGAGTCGGCGCCACATTTGAGCATCACGGCTGTCTCAGTCGACTCACGCATCTGCAGACGTGGACGCGTCTCGGCCTGAAAACGTTAATTGGTCGTGCCGCCTGCCATGGATACGGCATCGCAACCACTGTGCCGCCTGCCGTCGATCCGGAATCCGGCGCGACATCTCCACCAATGTTCTCTCGCGACATGCTTCCGTTCTTGACCTTCTCGACCTGTGTTATAGTCTAACACCTCAACGGCAGTCTTCTCTAGACTTCTCTCTTCATATTGGCTCCTTCATTCTTTCCTCGTATGTTCCTATAGACGCCCGAATTGTCGTTCCAGTGGCTTCGCAGTCCCGATTTCTACAGCTGGCTCGTTGACCGGTAGTTCAGCAGGTACCCCCATGCCAGGATACTCGTTCCAAGCGACCTCGACCGGCGTTCGAAACGACTTGTCAGGCAGTTCAGCAGGCGGTTGAGCCTCTACATCTGGACCAGTTGCCAGTTCGGCCTCATCGAAATTGTACAAGATACCCGTCCCATCTGAATCATCGTTCCTCGACGTCGCCGCCGCCATTGAAGTAGGATGATTTCTTCCCTTGCTCTTTCGCCTTCGAAAATGGAACAGGCCAGCACCGACGATAGTGATAGTTCCGACCACGCCTACACCGGTCCCGATACCTGCTTTAGCGCCAATACCAAGCTCCGCAGAGGGACTGGAAGTAGGTGCTCGTGTGTCGCCTGATGTCGGCGCCACCTTAGATTCGCTTTTCGTTGGACTCAACATCATGTCGGCCATTACTTCGCCACTGCTATCGGCGGACCTCATACTTTATCGTCGTCACGAGGACATCCACTGTTTTCCCTCTAGGCCCCTGCATGCCGCTTGTGACGGTATCATCGATTCCGGGCCACGATGAGTGTTTGCGAGCTCGCTAAGATTGTGGTGCCGTTCACGATCAAGTCGTCGCTGCACCTACTGTCACCAGATTTGTCCTCTTGAGGAACATCGGCGCTGAGCCAGCCATCAGCATTCTGGGTATCGAAGATGCCCAGTAGCGTATGGTAATTGTCCCTAAGTATCAAGCTCCCGTCAGCCTCCAACCTTGTAAAACCTTGGTTCCCTATCGTCGAGACATTGGTATTGTGCACGTTTGACCTTTTGAACAAGTGGTTAGTCGTATCGCTTCTCAAAACGCCCAACACGCAACAGCATGCTAGCACGTGACAACTCACCATTGCCGCCAGTCATAATGCCAGAAGGCAGGGGGATGCCGTTGCTCGCGTTGTACAGGATCGCCGTGTCCTGCAATGTTTCGATCGTGCGCTCGTAAGTACAGCTCCGTTTTGTTGTGCCATGAGAGTGTACATGGTGAGCCAACGTATGAACCTAGTCTATTTGAGTCGCTCTACTAGCTCATGATAAACATTTAAAATCATTCCTTCCGTTGAGGCGGAGTCTTCGATAAAGTTTTGTCGGATGCCATTGAAGTCCGCTTGTGACAACGTCTTCTCGTCCGAAACGACGTAGCTCACGTGCTGGAGAACAGGGACTATAGAGATATCTCCTAAGATTCTCCTCCGACTCGGTCGACCATGGCGCCTACAAGTAGTGGTCGTAGCGCGTTGTGGTTAACCTACTCCTTGACGTCGCGTATCATTGCCTGGTCCTGATGTGAGAGGTTTTCCGCCAGAGAATCCTGTCGACTTACTCAAACTCTCTTCTGCATGTCCACATACCTCTGCGGATCATGACCTGGTAGTCTAATATTGTTCCCACTGCAGCAGTTGACGTTGTTGTAGTGGTCGACAACTTTGCGAGATTGGGCGCTTCAAGACCGTCAGGATTATAGACCTCTTTCTCAAGATCTTGGAAGCCGAGAGGTAGCAGTCGAGATGCCAAATCGGTATACTGTTTAGAAATCACGGTCGATTGCGATCTGGATCCCGAAGTACGCATCCACGACATCAACAACCCTACAGTTCCTCGTGATGTTGATCATATTACGGGTAACACTTCCCAGATCGATTGCGCCCTATGCATTGACGGCCTCGTAGCCCACACAGACTATACTACGGGTAACTTCATTATATTACAGACCTAGTATTCGCTCCGCTAGGTCCATGAGATTGAAGCTGATCGGGATAGCCCCCAATGGACTCAGCAAACTCTAGGAAAGTTGATATATGATCGATAGAATATACTCTGGAGGCTCCACAAAGTATTGCAGAATAATCAGCTAAGGGTCCAACATGGCCAGCGCCAACAACTGTGACTCGATTCCTGGTGAAACCCCGCAAAGTCTAGGACAGACCATCTAGTCGGGATAATGTCAGACACGAAAAGGTAATCTATGATGGCATCAGACTCTGTGCTTTTATTGATAGGAGTGTATTCAGCTATTGGGACTATTATTAGCTTTTATTTCTTACTCATATAGCATAGAGGCATATCCTGGAGTCCTCCAAGCTGGTATGAGCCGTACTAGTGAGGAAGCTCAGGTGTAAAATTAAAATGGCCGTCATCTACGTTGTCTGGGATAACAACGTAATCTCTGACTTCCAAAGTCTGTACAGCAACGCCACCTGGCTCGATGTAGCCAATAGCCTCATGGCCAATGGGCATTGGAGATTGTGGTGAACCCATATTATAGTGGTAGTAGTGGAAGTCGGAACCGCTTATGGCTGATGCGGTGATTCGCAGGGAGGCATCTGTGATTTTAAGAAGGACTGGGATAGGCATGTCCATGACCGTAATACTGTATGCGCCAATCAGAGCTGCGGCACGCACCGTTTCATTGGAAGCCACAATGGTTTCAAGGAATTGGGAGCGACCGCAGATGGTTTATTCGATTGGACTCCTCGATATGAGATCACCAGGCCTTATGCCAAGGCGATGAGCCGCATCAACGCGGATCTCGAGTGACGACAATCATGCATGCTTCGGAAGTATATAGCGGGGACAACTTATTTGCTTGTTCCTTGAACCCTTCTGGGACAGATTGCGTTTATGCATAGGGACATTCAAGTAACAAGTAGATTTGCATGTGTGCTTTAGAACAGAAAAATGAAGTTTTTCAGGGAAACAGGCGGCTAAGTATGGATCCATTAAGCCGGACATTATCAGGGCAGATTGGCATGCCGCCCCTATCATGTGCGGCGGGATCACCCTTTATTCTCCACTCAAGAAATATGGTGCAGAAGGTAAACACGTCGGAATAGTTGGCCTGGGAAGGTTAGGACACTTCGGTGTCTTGTTTGCGAAAGCCCTTGGAGCGTTAAAGATCACAGTCGTCTCGCGCTGGCGTGCGAAAGAGGACGATGCAAAAAAGCTTAGAGCCGATCACTTCATCGCGGCTGACGAAGAAGGATGGGAGCAGGGTGATAATGCATCCTCCTTGGATTTGATTGTGTCCACTGTCTTATCGGACAAGTTGCCACTCGTTGGCTACTTGAACATTCTCGCATTCGAGGAACGTTTGTCCCAGTTGGTGCTCCAGAGGACCTGTTTCCAGCATTCCCAGCAGTTGCACTTATCATGAAAGCTGTTCACATCACTGGATCGGCGATTGGATCACCGAAAGATATTAAGGAGATGCTGCAGCTTGTTTCTGAGAAGGGTATCAAGCCGTGGACGCAAGAGGTTTCTCTGAAGCACACAAACAAAGCAATTCTCGACTTTGAAAATGGCAAGCCCCGATATCGATTTGTATTGAAGAATGAGAACTATAGCGGTTAGATACTCAGCAGAAACTTACTTATAGACATCCACAGATATGACCATATCAGTTCTCCATCGGCACCAATTCACTGCGTTTGACCACGTCTCGAATTCAAACCATGCACATCGCGCCTTGAAACCAAGTTCGCAGTTTGCCGGCCATGTGCTGCCACCAACCAGTCTGAGATTCGGTTTGTAGCCATGCAGTCTTCACCATCTTACTCTGAGATGCGATGATTTTGTTGTACCAGAGTTCTTTTTACCTGCATGTCTTTCCAACTTAAACCAGGGAATTTCGCGTGTACCACTCGGTCCCCCTGCTAGGCGATCATGAACTTGTTATACCAAATACCAATCAAGCTTCTCAACACCCCTGCTTTGAGGCCAGAAATTGGTAGCTTCGATTACCTCGGGATATCCGTGAAGAGATAATCCCCAATTCTGCAGGAAAAGAACATTTGCCTTTCAACGAGGCTCGCAGGATTCACCCTATATAATCAGCACCGGCAGCATTCCCGGCTATGGCGTTGAGAGCAGTGCGTCGGATAAGTACAGTGAGACTAGTAAGACGAGGAGCTCCCGGGCTATAATCCTCATAGGCACGCCTGAGGAGCTCGCGTGCATAGGCAACATGGGTCGAGGACGGCAAAAGTACCGGGCCCTCGATCCTGACAAGATCTCGATCCAAATTGCGCTCGGCAGGGTCACTGGTACATGCGGTTCTCGAGCGCGCTTGCTAGTCTTTACACCTTTGCGGATAGCACGCTAAGAGTTTTCTCCGACTGGATCGAGCGGAAAGACCATCGATCCTTCCCGGGCCGAACAATATCTGAGGTTATGCAGCTAGAGCGCTTTCGTACTAGCTTCTATCATAGGTGTCCTTTAAATCCTTAACTCCGTAGCCTGCCCGCTGCAGTGACCCGTAAATCGTTCCATGATGATATCAAGACGGATCTGCGGCCATAGGGACCTTTAATACGAGGCTTGGAAGAATCGCTTCTGTATATAATCTTTTTCATATGCCTTAATAAAAGAGACCACTTGAAGCAATATCAATTGGCAGCCATCTTCGAAACGACAGAAACATGGCTACCGCTTCAAAAAGCACAATGCCCGTGGTGTTGGACGTGATGACCATAGGGAAGGCTGGCGTGGAAGGTGTTCGCGTTTCGGATCTGAAGGATGTCAACCTTATGCTCGATGTCTCTCAATCCATCGGACACAACGAAATCGACGATGCAAGACTTTACGGCGGCGAATCATCTGAGGTGTATATGACCGACGCTCAGTGGCAGACCCGAAAGCTTACCATGGATACTAGCTCTACCCGAATGAGGGCAAGGGTATGAATATGGGCGACAACGTCTATTCCCATCGCCCGGAGGACGTGCGACGCGGCCTCTTAGCGAGTTTGAAGGCTATCGAAACGGAGAAGGTCGAAAAGTGGTATCTCCATGGTCCGGACCACACTACGTCACTCCAGGAAACTCTGCGCGGGGAGAATAGTCTCTGCAAAGAAGGCTATTTCGAATGTTTTATATTAGCAACTACATGTCCTGGGAAGCAGCCGCTATCTGTGAGATATGTGAACGCAATGGATGGATCAAACCCGCCATCTACCAAGGGATGTATAACGTGCTACACCAAAATATCGAACCAGGATTGATGCCATGCTTACGCAAGTATGGTATCGCACTACATGCCTTCCAGCCACTGGCAGGTGGGTTCCCCACCTCGATGTACAAGCGCGATATGAAGGAGGACGATGACGAAAGCGGGTCCCGAGTTGATCCAAAGCAATGGCAGGTCAGCTACACTAAGGCTGTTACCTTAAAAACTCCAAATTCGAGGCTCTCGACATCATTCGACCTGTCGCTGGCAGAAGCAGCACCTCCATGCCACAAAGATCGAAAGCAACGCCCCGATCGAAGTTTTCAGCGATGCAAAAGGCACGCAAAAATTCCAGCACCTGAGAACTATCACGCATTTTCACATCCACTCTGCCAACAAACTAGCTTTGACAGATGACGGTGGCATTGTAGTGTCGAATGATCATCCGAGTAAAAGTAAGCCTCATACCTGACTTGGACCTGCATAGAAGACTTCATATCTAATATCAACTTGGTTTACCTTGTGTCGACATCTCTTTCCAAAATATCCTTAACTTACCTTTTGCAGCGCAAAGAGTTCGACCTGATATTAAGCGGCGGCAATGTAGTCGACTACCGAAGAGGGCAGGAATGCTCCGGATCAGGATTGATGCGTAGGGAGATGAAGTTTTGACATTCGGATTCTACTGCAGCATAATTATGCTTCTAGTTGAAATATCAATCCAAGATGCAATGCTTACTGAACGGAGCCAGGATGACTGCTTTTGTTACTATAGACACAGCGAGTCAATATCCTACTATACAGTAGGCTATGTTAAGTTTATTGAAGATCTTACCTTTTATTATCAGCTTCGCGCGTGCCGAAATTTGTGCATAGGCAGATGTCTTGGGTAAAGAGGTCGTGGCTGCAGTGGACAACGGTCAGTATTCATCAACATCATGTGAGGGCCCCTGTTATCCGCCTCTGCCGAGGGCGCCGAGTGCGGCGTTTCCTCTGCGGATGTCTCGTTTGATCTGAATATCTCCTTCACGTGCCTGGTGAAAAACAACTAACGTATTCCAGTCGTAATTGGTAGTATCAGTTTGTTTGTGTAGATTCGGTTGTGCACGTTCGTGGAGAGTCGATAGTGGCAAACTAGAGAAGTATATACTGGCAGGTTCGAGAAAGGTCACGCTAAGTCATCGTAGCTAATAGAAAGGGGACTGCACGTGTGTAAGTGGAGAGGTCACGTGGAACTACTTGCGCAGCAGATACTCACCTACTATCTTGCCGCACCGTTTGCGGTGACAATCAGCAAGGCTTTCGCAGATCACGAACTCTGTGGCTCTTCATAGCGCTTGCGCAATTGACAGGGATTGTCAGTGACTGTTTGTACTGGTGTTCGAAGTGATTTGCTTCAGTTGAATATATCCATGAAGACTCAGTGGTATAAATGGCGGTCCCTGCCCATTACTATAAGCTCAAAATCTAGGCTACCAACTCCAACAAGCTCAATCCAAAGCCGTTCTCGATTACCCCCTTCCCACAATCGCCACATCGATTTCCGGATCAACGCAATGCCTAAGGAGACGCGCATCATCACCCGTGACAATATCGAACGCGCACTAAAGAAGCATGACAATGAAATTACGCGGCTCTTCCGGAAACTTATGGGCACAGCGAATAATCCACAAAGCCAAAAGGTCAAGAATTACAAGACTGCGACTGACAAGAGCAGAGTCACGATGGTGGCGCTTCAACACAAGTTCGGACGTAACGTAAACGACATCCCAAGCTTGGAAAACAAGTGGACAAAACCGGAAAACAAGAGCAAAACGGAAGCATTACAAAGCCTAGTCAATATCGTGAACGACAACGATACTTTGAGGACTCTACTGACCAACTCATTGAAAGTTGCGCGCAACCGTGCTGTGGACTATTACCAACCAGTCGCGACACAAAGAACGGATACTGGTAGCACCTGCATCAAAGAAAGCGAGCTGGAAGATGACAGCAGTGCCGAAAACATTGTTGAGAAGGTCATGCAGGCCAAGGGCAGCCTCATGGCCCTCCCATGCCCAGATGTAGGTGGTTTTCTGGAGGACGAGATTCGGGCCAAGGAAGAAAAGCTAGCCCAGACTCATATAGCCACCGAGCTTCCTCTCTACAGTGTATTGCCACCAGGATATTTGTGTGGAGCAAACTTTACTTTGGAGACTCACGATACGTACGCCACCGTTCTTAGGGGTGAGGTGGTATGGATCTTCTGGCCTCGCACGGCTCAAAACCTCCGCGTAATGGAACAAGCATACCAGAAAATAATAGACGGTACACCAGAGGAGCCTGAGGCGCTAGCAAATCAACTCAATGACGGTGTAATCTTTGGCCAACCAGCTGGGAGATGCTTGCGCCTGCCGCCCTTATGCATCTTTATGTGTGTAGCGACGGAGTTCACTGTCCTCTCCAGATATCAACTGATGTCGGCTTCGTACATTGTCGATTCGCTGGACGTGCCGGCAGGATTCTATCGCTCATGTTTGGGAACGCATGGGTATGTAAGAGCTGAGCAGTTGTTCCGTGGGCACAGCGAAAGCCGACGAGAAATGATCGAACGCATTCTCAAATGCGAATTTGAAACTTACGAGCCACATGAGTGGGCCGAACACACGGAGATTGCGGGCCCAATAAACGATCTGATGCGGAAGTGGGATGAGGTGAAGGGTAATGTCGCAAAGCTGCTGACCCTCAAGGATGCAGCACAACTTCGACATAGTTGGATCGGGTTGTTGAAAGTATTTAGGAGTGACCAGTGCGCAATTTGCGGTGCTTCTGGGAAGCATTTCTCGGATGTAGGTCTACATTTTGACACGGCTCACGGGTTCCATGGCGACCATGCTGCGCTTGCTTTGCCTGATTTGCCTGCGTACAGAGTGTTGGGTGATGGGCAGTCTCAAGACCCCGTAGGAGATGCCTTGGATGACGCGAATGAGACTCCAGGTGGCGATGATGGGGGTTATGAGTATGAGACGGAGGATGTCATCCACAGGTACTGACCTAAGGAAGCGAAGGGGGTATCAAGGGAGTGTGTCTCTTCGGGCAGTTTGGCATGCCCCACGGGTAGATTGCGGATGAAGCGACGTTGATTCCATGAAACCTCGTTGTTCAGGCGCCGGGGTAGAGAGAGATGTCTCTCCGCACGTGCGTGGGCTATGCTGCATCGCGTGACGAGATAGGGCAGCTACTGAAGACGACGCATGTTCCCACAGCTCGCTTATTGACGATGAGTGAGACGCATCGTGACATCTGGTGTTCGTGAAGGAGGCAGTCGCTAGCGTGTCGGCGTTTTGTGGCCGCCCAACCCCGACCGACCTGATGCCAAGAGATATTTTCTTGCGGACCTCCGTGCTCCTCGACGCATCGCAGCGCACCTCCATCACGCGCAATTGCATCGCGTGCTCAGGTCCAGCATGCCCCCCCGCTGTCTCGCCTTATCGGGCACCCTCGCGAAACCGCCGACTCTCGCTCGGAGCCCCCAGTCGTTGGCGCGCACCTTCACCAGCACCGCGTCGGTCCTCGCCGCGAACCCACTCAAGCGGAGAAAGGGCGGCGACCTCGGCTCGCATCTTCCCAAATATGTCATCCCGCAGAACATCGCCATACCCGAATACCCCTACGGCCCCGCGCGGCTGTTCAAGCAGCAGGACAAGGGGCTGTACGGCGGCAAGTCGATCCACTTCGGCAACAACGTCTCCAAGAAGACGGAGACGACGACGCGGCGGTACTGGAAGCCCAATGTGCTTGACAAGGCGCTGTACTCTGTGGGTCTGAAGAAGAAGATCAAGCTGCGGGTCACGTCGAGTGTGATCAAGACGATCGACCGCGAGGGCGGGCTGGACGAGTACCTGCTCAAGCAGAGCGACAGCCGCGTCAAGGAGCTCGGCCCCCTCGGCTGGGCGCTGCGATGGACGCTCCTCCAGCGGCCCTCCATCATACGGCGCATGCGCGCCGAGGCCGCCGCGCTCGGCGTGCCGCAGGACGAGATCGACGCGCAGTGGCCCGAGCCTGCCTCCGAGCACATGACGCCCGAAGAATTCGAAGCCTTCGACGAAGCCGCGCTCGATGCGCTCGAGTACTTGGAGGAAGGGCCCACGGCGAGGGATGAACTGAAAGCCGTGGAGAGTCTCAACAGAACGAAGATCTCCCTTGCGACCGGGGCCAGCCGTTTCTACAAGAAGACGATCAATGCGGCGAAGAGATACGTTGCGAACGAGGAGGTGGAAAACACTGAGCAAGGCATCAAGCTCGCCCTGCTCAGGGAACATCAACGTGCCGAGAGGGCAAAGCGCAACTTCGAGCAATTCAAGGCCCGGCTTGAAGAGAAGTACGAGACGACTTTCGAGAACAACACAGACTTGGAGAAGGCCATACGGAAATACCGCAAGCACGTGCAGAGGGAGGTTGCGGACAACTACGCTGGCGACAGCAATGCGTACCGGAAGAAAATGAACCCTGACGGCGCAGCCAAGTTCGAGGAAGCCGTCGCAGAAGCAGGGAGTGAGGCACTCTTGAAGGCCAAGCGAAAAGCTGGCGTCTTGAAGGAGATGAACGAAGCCGAGCGCGCACTTGAGTCCGAGGATACGTCCGCAGACGAGCGTTTGCGCATCGCATCAGCCCTTGAGAGGGCGCAGCAGATCATCGACGCCGAGAACAAGGCAAACTACATCGAACAGTCTCTGGCCAAGTGGGAGCAGCAGAACCAGGGAAACTGGCCATTGAACAGCGTGCCTGCGGATGACGTCTTGGGAGAGGTCCATGAAAACGTTGCACAGGTTGGCGACGCACAAGGGTGGGATGCCTTGGCGCAGAAGGAGTCGACGGGTGAACAACCACGCGTCTAGCCATGGACATCAAAATTCTGTAAACTATTGTGTGCATTTCGTGTAAGAATAGCGATTCACGAAACATGGGTGCGGCTTGTGAATAGATATCTTGTATGGACTCTCAAGATCGATCTTTTGCTGTATGGCCTACACGCGACGACGAGATCTGCGCGCGTGTGCATTCTGAAGTCAACAACCCACCCCCACAGACATGGCGAAATTCCGCACACTAACTGGGTCCTCCCATTGGACGCATTAGCCTTATTTCTCTGCAAGCTGCCCCCTCGTCTCTTTCAGCTATTGGTCTAGGTATGACAATGAGAATTGGGTGTACGGAGAGAGCGATGGCATGAGGAAGGATCAACGGTATAAGTAGGGAGCACTGTCATGAGGAAGGAGCAATGGTCGGAGTAAAGACGGTAAATGCAGGGCCGCATGACAGTCTAGCTGGTAGTGGTATTGTCTCATATGAGAGTAAATTTCTTTTCATTCTGGGTTTCGAACACCTTTTCATCGACAATGAATGCAACACCTATCCGCTGATAAGTATGCACAGGCGCACCAGCCTCCCGAACAAGAAGAGCGAGAAAAATTGGCAATCGGCCTTGCGTGTAAGTGTCAGAGATCTCCTCCATGAGGAGTAAGCTTGTACAAAGGGTGTCGTCGTCCTTCGAATCTTCATTGTCATCGAGGACTGCAAGACCGACAGTCTTCTGGGTTTCGGGGTCCAGGAGACGGTGAGCCAAACCACCGATCAGCAAGATCCACAAGTTTGGGATTGTGTTGGCGCCTACGAATTCTACGAATGGTGGTAGCTGCGTCGCCTCGCGCAAGGTGAGGCTGTCTTTCCCAATAGCATGCTTTCCAGCCTGGCACTGGATCATCAAAGTTGAGGAGTCCTTGGCCTCAACGGTTGAGCGAATGGTGATTTTATCCCACCGTATTCTCTTAGGGACCAGCATGACGCAAGGTCCTTGCGTTGATGCCCAGGACCAACTTGGAAACCTCTGCAGTTCTCTAGGTCTGGTGGTCATCCGCGCGACCCAGAATAACTGTTGCGGCATCTCCCCGGTCCACAGGCCGCTGATGTACTGGCCTTGTCGCCGGTGCTGCATTTTGCGAGCTATACCTTCAACGGCGGCAAGCTTATCTGACAGGTACGTGAGCTTTCTCAGAGAGTACGCTTCAATGACATCATCCCAGTCGCGCGCCGTAGTCCCAGCCACCACATGGCCGTCTTCGCACATCGCCCAGTTATCCAGCGCACGACAGGACCACATCATGCCCCTGGTAGTGAAGTGCACGAGGCGACGTGCGAGTGCCCATTCTTGGAGTACCCAGCCTCTTCCCCCTAAAGGCTCGTAGATTGGCATCACAGGTGTTCCGTCTTGGGACGTAACCATGGACCGACGCATGTTTAGCTGAACGTGCCCGTGACGATTGCTGTCTTCCTTCATGTATGGTATGTCTATAGATGGTTCGGGAGCCAGGCGCGGAAGGAAACAGCCTTCGCTAGAGTCATTAGCTCCTGATGCTGCAATCACAAGCTTTGCATGACTGTAGAGCTGCCCCATACACGGCGCCTCTTTGTTCCAATCTTCCGGATCATCTTGAATGATGCACAAGCTGTCGATCCATAGATACTGGAGATTTACTGCGCGAGCTATGGAAACGGCGTCCTGGAACGTTTTGGGTAGATGTGAAACCTGGATCCCTGCGAGATGTTGGTCCAGCGTGACCTTGGTGGTGCAAAGAGGTTGCTTTGCAGGAGGGCCCCAGCAGTGGCTAAGTGCGGCGTAATTGGCTCTGAGGCCGTGCGGTGCTCTGAGATGTATGACGGCGTCGTCTTGACTAGAGCGAATATCGAGAACGCGAGTGGGTAGTTCCGGTTTGGTGGCTTCAGTGATTCCTGTATCCGTATGCCGGCGGCATTTATCATGATATGAGGCGCACTCATTGAACCATCCTGTGAGTTTCGCGAGTATATCGGACACTGGTAACTGCAGGAGTGGATTTGTGCCAAACACATCACCCGCAGTAGCTGCAGAGCTACCTGATGCTGGTTTAGATCAATCAAAATCAGACATGGAAACTTTGTACCTTTTGCAGCCGTTACGGAGAAATCAAAATAAAACTCTGCAGATGGTATGAGTTCAACGGTCCAAATAGACACTTTGATCTCAAAGATTTGCAGGCCACCGTCGTCTGACGCATGACAAAGTGCATTTCCGCCTGTTGCCCGGAGCGACACAGCCCGGGAATGCCGCCATGATTCAGATACCCTTCGCGCTACAGCTTCGTCGGGAAGACCTCGTTTGATGAAAGTGCACAATTTGCATCCTTCATCGATGGAATATACCTCTCGGTAGTCCCGTCCAAGTTGCAGATGTTGCACGAGCTGACGCGAAGGCTGGTCGTGAGATTGGAGCTCGAGACGGTGATAACGAGACTTGATGAACAATTTGCTTATGATGGTCTGGCATTTGGTACAGAACTCCATTGTAAATGTGAGCTTGAATGGATCGTAGGAGTCGTGTAAGGAAACGAGATTCACCATTTTCGCTTGAATGCATGCGCGTCCTTTGATAACCTGGTTAGCGGAGGATGCCTAATTTATTTCAGGTACTAGCCTACTAGGTGGGCCCTAGCTTCGACACTCATCTCATAAATACTATGCATCCTAGTGCCTGTCATATCACCAATCTCGCCCACTGCAAGTGGTCGGGACGTGACAATGGTGTCTGTCATGCTGTCATCCATCGCGAACCAAGATGCTGCGACGACACCTCTTAGACTTCCTGCCATGGGCCTACCCACGCGAAATGAAGACCAGGAAAGAAAAAAGCATAAGTAAAGAGTAATTTCTTTTAGTTATAAATCATGCCACACCTTTGAACTCTCACAGTGCCCTCTTTCGCGAATCTCTTGCTTTTCGGGTCATCGACGAGTCAGATTCACGACGATGGCCCGAGTCAGTGTGGAACCATGTTCACATCCGTTCACGAGTCATGACCAGACAGTGGCAAACCGTGGGACAAGGCTTCCACTAGGTGGATCCTTGCGGGTCCACTCCACCCTACCAACAGGTATTCCGACGGGCGAGCACAGGATCGTGCTAGATCCTCCGGGTCTAGAAGCCTCGCGTAAGTCTGGACTTGTGTAGGGACAACGCACGCGTATAGAGTGAATGCTTGCGGCGAAATCCACTCTGAACTCCTGAGCGAATTGTCCACAAGTGGAGCTAGCTAGATTCTAGGCGAAAAGGCGAGCCTGTTTCAATCGCCCTCCAGTCAGGATGTATGTGCACATTGTGATTCTGTTCCCGTAGCGAATTCGCTTTGATAGGGAACGACGTGGGCTCTGGTATGCGAAGAGATGAACTTCGGAGGCCCGGATCAGAGAGTCATAGATCCACCAGCGAATATGTGAACGCTGAGTAAAGTTGATAGTACAGCTCGAAAGATCTTGGGTATCGATCTGGACGGGCGGCTGCATTCAAGATGTACGATGCACCGAGTTTTCCAAATAGTGTCCGTATGAATTTACATTCGCTGCTCGGGTCATGCCGCCCTCCCTCGGAACACCCAAGGTTTTCAACCAACCCTTGGGTCATCCTTCTTGTCTCCCGGTTTCGTTATGCCCGCCTGGCTGCTGAAGGATGCATTATCCAGTTCAATGTCGCTGTCCGCCCTCTCCCACCCATGATTGTGCCCGAGACCATGCGTGCTGACCCGCACCCTACTGACTGACTTGCTCTGCCCATTTATTCCCGGTCCGTAATTATTGCTCCGGCTCTCAGACAAGTGCGTTGACGGGAGTCTGAGAACGCCACCGACAAGGGGCTTGAGTGCAGGGGCGCATGCGGCTATGATTCCTAGATTCACCTGTATGAATCCCCAGAACTGAATATCGTTCGTACTATCGAGTGGTTAGTAGTCGATCATATTGACGCAAAAGAAGGAAGAGAGACGCACAATGACTGGTCAGGATCGCCCCTCTTTGTGTTCTGCATAACGGTCTTGACAATACCTGCCACAACAGCCACGTAACCCAGACTCAGGATGCTGATGAGGTATATCCGCGTTTTGCGTTTCATCTGCAAGCCTAGGATAATAGGGATAGGGATCGTAGCGAAGCAAATGTCCGTGAATATGTTACAAGCTTTGGTCAACTCCGTCAGCTTATAGTAACTCGTCGCTAAGTCCCGAAGAAGATCTGGATCAGGAGTGGCTTACTTGTGTTCATCAGGGCGAAACCTTTGTGCGTCTTCGTGGGAAGGCATTTCGCTTTAGGGTCCTTGGTCCAGAAGCCTGCTACTGGTGTGCAAACCGCGGCCCATTCACCCCACGAGATCACCGTGTAGAGACAGACAAAAGCTATTGATTTCTTAGTGGCGAAGTTTTCCGCGCGTCTGCTTCCGCAAGACAAGAACTTGGACATACCGATGAGCCCCCAAAGTACTCTGGTGTACAACGGAGGGGTACCGATCCGGAGGAGCGAACATCCGATCGATAACTTGAGGAATGACATACCACCAATCGTCGATACGATGGCTTGTATGAAGGTCATCTTGAGGTACTCGTGGTAGTCTGCCTTCTCGAGCGTGTCTGTATGGTGCCCCAGACCATGCTGCGCAGCGAGAATGTAGGTCACTATGCCGCCGAGTAAGACACAGGCCTATAAGAACGGTTAGGTAGGTAGTGGATCGGGGGGTTTCTGCAGCGCTACATACCGTCGAGGCCAACATCAAGGCGTCATCTCTCCCAAATGCTTTCACGAGAGAAATCCTGGCATACATGCGCATGCTCACGAAGAGCAGTGCAACGACATGGAAAGTTGCAGTGACGCCGAGGAGATAGCCCAAATTACTTTCTGCCGCACGGGCTGGATCCGTGTTCTTGGGCGCCATGGCGATGGGGAGTGGTAGAGGATCGATTGGAAGTCAGGTGGAGGATCTTCGGTACTCTACATACGTGTATTTCAAGACCATGAATGTATCGTGTTACATCTTTCCTGTCAAATTCCACATGCAGCGTGACGAACTTATTTGTTTGAGAATGGGACTCGGTAAAGGCCTCGAAATCGATCAGTGAATCTCGTTTCTTATTCCTCTTGACCAGGGTAGTGCAGTCTAGGTGATAATCCTTTGCAAGGAACACTCTCCTTCGACAAAGACCAGCTGTGGGCTTTGCGTTCCTGGACCCGCGAACACTCCGATGCATGGGTGCTAGCTGTAAGCTGTTCACAGTACATTCGAGCGAGCCTATGTATGTCCCGTGTGTCAGTGCACCTGCTACCGCTTGATGTCTGGACGAAGAGCACCAGAATTAAAGTTGCACTAATCATAGCTGGAATGACGGCCCGGTGCCGAGCGATTAGGCGTTTGGTGGGCCCATGTCGATTTCCAACCTGCCATCGAGCTCGCTTAAAACTCGAACGCTTGCGAAACTACCACCACAAGGGTTTTCATCCTTCAGGTCATGATGACGATGTTCAAGCATCCTACAAGGTCGGAACGTCTCCCAAAGGCCCATCCCAGCTCTCAAAATGCTAACCTACACCCAGTCTACGAAGTTCTCTGTAACATGCCCCAGTCGTTCCTTCAATGCTCCACAAGTAAGCGCCAACCGAAAACCCATGTGTTACCTTTCTAGGCCGCGGCAGCCACCTTAACGCCCGTCTTGGCGCAAGGGGCGACATAATGGAACCTTCTATAGATGGTTAGTCAAAGGATTGCGGGACATAAACGTGCATGCAGTCTATTCTATCAAATCCCACAACATGGTCTCGTTCCCGCTTCTTAATGGCCTTCATCAAATAAATTCCGCGGACCAAGCACTCGATCCCTTTAGATTTTGCCCCTGCATGAATCAGCGGCAATCTTCTCAAACCGTATAAAACCGCCAACTTGGGTCAGCAAATCCCGCTCTCGTACACCGCCACCCCTTGCCCGTAGCGAGTACGCCTACATTAAGATGCTTCTGTTTCACGCTGTAACCGCCGTGCATCTGCTTGCTGCTCGATTTGTGGCTGCTGTTCCTGTCGATGCGGCAGAGAGTCCAGCCATCGAGATCGACCCAACGGCCGAGCCACTCGACGCTCTAGCCCAACTGCAGCAGCAAGCTGTTGGATTGCTTGAGCAGAATGAGTCGGTCACAAAGCGGGCTCCCAAGGGTTGCTCCTTGGCAACTACAGCGCTGCGTAGAGACTGGTAAGTTGACCATGCGGGCACCCATTACTTTTGTTTCTAAATTCACAAAGGGAGTACATGACCAAGGTTGAGCGCAAAGCCTACATCAGTGCTGTACAGTGTCTCCAGAAGCTGCCCTCCAAGTCGGACCCGACATGGGCTCCTGCAGCCAAGACTCGGTACGATGACTTCGTTGCCATCCACGTGAACCAGACCATGTACATCCATGGCAATGGTCTGTTCCTCACGTGGCATCGGTACTTTGTCTGGGCGTATGAGCAAGCCCTACGCAACGAATGCGGCTACACGGGTTACCAACCGGTAGGTCTTGAGTGCTTCAAATCCTGTTATTGTCTGACATCTCCCAGTACTGGAACTGGTTTGCCCACACCGATAACATCTACAAGTCACCTGTATTTGATGGCAGTGACACTAGTCTCGGTGGTGACGGCGAATTCTTCTCTCACAATGGAAGTCTCGCCGGGGCTAGTACAATCCCTATCCCCTCGGGACAAGGAGGAGGATGTATCAAGAGTGGCCCTTTCAAGAAGTAAGATTTCCTCATGCCATAACACCGCAGACATCTTACCTCTTCATAGTATGCAGGCGAACATCGGTCCTATCCGGCCGGGCATGCAGGGCATCACCGACCTCGTCCCCGACATCACCGTGCAAAACCACCGCTGCCTGCGCCGCGACCTGAGCTCCTACATTCCCAAGAAGTGGTTCACTACTGCCAATCTCTTGAACGTGACCATCGGTGCTGGTTCTAAGACGCACAAGCTGTTCTGGACTGAGATCCAAGGCCGCTACCCAGACGGCTTCCTCGGACTGCATACATCCGGCCACTACACTATGGGCGGTGACGCAACCGATCTGTACTCGTCTGTCAACGACCCTGCTTTCTGGCTGCACCATGCTATGCTCGATCGCATGTACTGGATCTGGCAAACGCTCCACCCCTCTGAGGCAAACAAGGTTGCGGGAACTCTGACCCTGACGAACAAGCCCCCCACCCGCGACGCCACCATTGACGAGCCCCTAAACCTAGGTGTGAACGGTGACACAAAGCTGATCAAGGACATGTTCAATACCTTGGGCGGTACGCCGCTGTGCTACATCTATGCGTAGGCACGCGTGGAATATTTCCAGCTGCCAAGCATAACACCGTATAGTAGCATAAAGTCTTGAAAAAACTAAAATAATGTATCACTTCAACGCACTCATTGCACCCGAGCTTCTACCAAGGCAACTCCTCCCCACTTCTATGCCACCACCTACCACTCTCCTCCATCCCTTTGACTTGTAGCACCCGCCAGAGATCACCCGCAGCCTCACGCGGTTCTACAGCCTGACTGCCTAGCCCCTCGTTCCCAGCGGTCAGTTTAGTCTTGACAATCCCCGGATGCAGCAATACAACCGCTACCCCCTTCCCCTTCAAATCCACAGCCAGGCTTTTGAACACCGCATTCACCGCCGCCTTGCTCGCGCGGTACGCATACTGCCCGCCGCTCGCATTGTCGGAGATACTCCCCATTCTGCTGCTCATGACGGCGACTTTGGGCTCTTTCGCGAGGAGGAGGTACGGCAGGAGTGCTTGCGTTAGCAGCAGTGGGCCATACGTGTTTACTGCGAAGGTGTGCTCGAGGGTCTGCAGGGTGATGGTGTCGAGGGCGTCTTTTGAGGGTGGAGACATGACGCCGGCGATGTTGAGGAGGAGGTCGATGGGGCGGCGGCCGAGGGCGGATTTGAAGGTTGTGATGGAGGTGGGAGAGGTTACGTCGAGGTGGTGGGCTTCGCAGCCTAAATCCTGGATGGGCCCTACGTTGGTTATGTCGGCGGCGATGACGGTGAAGCCCTGCACGAGGTTAATGGTGCTTGTGTAAGGGCCATGCTGCTTACGTCGTCGATGAGGAGCTTCGCGAAGGCGTGGCCGATGCCGGAATTGGCACCTGTTACTACTGCGACGGGCATCTTTGAGTATTTTGGGACTTTGTTAATATCTAAAGATGGAGAAAATTGTCTGTAGTAAGAGAAGGGTGTGATCTGTGAGCATCCGCATGTATGACGTTGTCTTACACCACATTGAGGGGTCCCGCCATCGTTAGAGTTTAGGGCCGTCCCGCCGCTAAAATCGTGCACGAACAACTTAGATTCTAGCGGCGCCGACTCTAACTCTACGTCCTCTTCATTCATGTCAAGATACACGGTTACAATTCTAATTGAATGTGGCATCGAAGAGGTGATGAAGTAAAGCAGTGTAAGTTTTTTTTCTTTGCACACTTAATCGAGCTTACCGGGCCGAATATAGAATGCGTGCGAAACTAAGCAGCCGCTATATGCTTCCTACTTTCCAGTGCACTGTGCATGCTGAAGTACTTCACTGTATATAAAAGAATTGCGTGTCCCACTACCTCAAGCTACTTACATCTGCTGCTTTAAGCTTCAGTATTCGCTGCTACTGACAAGCCCAAGCTCATCTCTGGCGCTCTGATATATATCAATGAGCCACAACAGTAGCATTCGCCGCAGCCCCCGAGACCAAGAAACTGATCATGCCCCTTCCAGGCACACTCGCGCTCGCCGTCCCGTCGCTACCCACCGTAGCCGTGGTCTCGCTCATGTCATGCGTATTGTCCGTGTACCAGGCCCTCACCGTCGGATTGACAAGGGTACTTCCGGTCAAACTCACGCCCACCGTCTGCGCGCCTGTACCTGTGTTAATGATCTGTGAACACCCGTCAGCGTCCAAGCATCACATTCGCGACAGAGGCTTCAACCCACCACCACAGCCACACTCCCATCCGCATTCACAAACGCACCGCTCTTGAGATTGCTCCCGCCGCTCGCACCAATCCTCACAGCACCAGGCCGCACAACGCGGAACTGCGCAAACGCCCACAGCCGCTTGCTCACCGTATAGCTCTGGCCATCCACCAAAATCAGCTTCTCGTTGTTATTGTTATTCGTCGCGCGATCCTGGACCCCCTCCCAGAAGATGTAGGCGCTGAGATTCGAATTCACCACGCCATTGAACACAGTGTTCGCCCAAGTATACCCATCTCCGGTGCCGCCGTTGGAATACCAGCTCGTGCTCCATCCACCGTTCAAATCGGAATACTCCGTCTGCCAGACTTTCGCCTTGGTATTCATAACGCCTGAGATGCGGCTCGTGTACTCGTGGCTGGTGACGGCGTACAACATTGGGATCACGCCTGCGCTGGCCATCTGGCTGGCGTGCTGGGAGGCGACGCTCCAGCCGGTGGCTTCGCAGCAGTTTATGCCAACGGCGGTGAGGTTTGCGGCGTCGAGGGTGGGGCGCAGGACTTTGATGAAGTCTGCGGCTTGGGTGCCGGAAGATTGCATTGAGGCGTAGGAGGTAGAGTAGTCGGGCTCGTTAAGGAACCCTACGTGTGTGACAGTCACTCCGTTTTCACCGTACAGCTGTATGTTTTTGACGAGGTAGTTCGCGTAGGCTTGTTTCCAGTCGCCGGACTTGCAGTTCGTGCCTGAGACCTAGGCTGGTGTGTTAGCGGCTTTCTGTGTGTTGTGTGGGTTGCGGGGATTGGAGAAGGCATACGCCACAGAGCTGTCCTCCGTTCGTGTCTTGACCATTTGTCTTCATGCACCCGGGCGCACTCCATGCATCGTTGTAAAATGTGCGCACGCCGTAGCTCCACGCCTTCTGGCTCAGCCACAGCTGCCCGCTATCCTTCCCATCCCACACGTACTGTGGTGTGCCCTATATTGAAGCCGCGAAGTCAGTGACGCATTCACTCATTATTCCAACTTCGTAAGTTGTACGAGCATCTTTGTAGACGAGAAAGGACATCGACTCTTTTTTGCAAGGGGTACATCACTTACAGCCGGCGTACTCGGACAATTTGGCAAAATGGTATTCATCCAATCATTCTGGCTCGACTTGCTGCTTCCAATACCATTCCGCACAATACTGAACCCCGCGCCAGTCGTGGTATTGAACAGGAGATTCAATACCTCCGACTGTTTCGGCTCCTTGAGGTTGACGACGAGGTTGGCGCGCTGGAATGCACCGCTGAAGCCGAATCCGTCGATGGTCTGGTAGCGCTTTGTGAGGTCGACGGTTACCTTTTGCGTGGACTGGCGTGGCGCGAGGTCGTGGTTTGGGGCTGCGAGGACGGAGGACGCCAGGAGGAAGAGGGCGTTGAGGTACATACTGGGCAATTGCATTGCGCTGGGTACCAGAAGCGCGAGTCAAAATAAAACCTAAATCTACTATGCTTTCGTGTATCCTATTAATTCAAGGGCTAATGTGGGGCCTACGGGACTCGTATCTATTCGTGGTGGGTTCCCAGATCTGGGCAGGTGAGGTCGTCTAAAGTGCGTCCGGTAGTGCACGAGAACCGAAACACGAGGGTCGTTACTTTGAATTAGATCATTGTTGTATGTGTAGAAGGTGGCCAAGATCTGAAAATAGCCTACCCCACTGCTCCTTTGCACCGGGCGCGCGCAGGATGTGGCACTTTAGCCGCAGGGTATTCCAGGATTGATGGGAAGCACATGCGTTCTCCATGTAGCGGTGGGCGTGTGGGACCCATAATGTTTTACCATTCGAGGACTTTTGTGTTCTTGTAGATTACTGAATGAAAGTGTTTGACCGCATCGCGTAGATCAGTGATTTATGCAATTCTGCACAGCAGGAAAGAAAAACACGATACTTGGCCTGACATAATGACTACAAGAGCTGGGGATACTGGACAGACCAGGTTAAATGCAACGCATACATAGAGCAAGGCGAACCTGTATGTTAGCCAGCGGGACACAGCAACGACATACCATCACTGATGTGGGCTCGAACCTAGCCTGAAAATCGAACTTCCATTAATACATGCTTTGTCGGTATATGCTAAGAAGCAACTGACCTGAAAAAAACCGACTCCAGTGTTCCGTGACGACGTCGTGGGAGCCATTACTGAAGCCGTACACCAGCAAACTTGTTCTTCTTCGCCTGCTGATCCTGCGCATTGCTGAGACCACCGGCTCTCGTATCCAAAGAATTCTCTGCAATTTTCCTCTTCTCTTGCTCGATCTTGTCGAGATGCTTCTTCGTCTTCGTGTTTCCACTGCCCTTGCCGTGGAACTGGTGACTAAGCAGCTTGAATGCCTCTTTCTCGTTAAGCTGTCTGCCGTGCTCGTCAGTATGCGTGAGCTGAAACGTCGGCTTATATTCCTTGTTATAGATATCCGCGAGTTTGCGGGCAACCTCCTTCTCCGACTTCGCGTTGGCTTGGCGATTGTTTTCTTCACGATCGCGTGCGGACATGGTCGCCCAGCGTGCAGAGTTGCGCTGGCGTTCGCGGTCCTCTCTGCGTTCCCGTTCCACCTCCTCTTCGGCCCTGAGTTTATCGGCAAGGAACTTTTCTCGCGAGCGCCAAAGAGAATTCTTGTCGGGACCCTCGGTATTTGCGACGAGGCCTCGCTGTTTGAGAAGTGCGAGTGTCGCACCAATACCACCACTGACCAATTTTTCGTCGTCGAGACCAGTGCCTGTGAGGTCGGGTGATTTCGCCCGTGATGCGCTGCGTTCGCGATCCTCCGCTTCCGCCGCTTCTGCATACGATTGCGCCATATCAACATCGCCCTCGTCATCTACTTCGACTGCTGGAGAGCCGACACCCTTGGGAATCTGGCTGCTCTTGCGTTGCTGACGCCTTCGCGCCTCCTCTGCTTCATCCTCAGCATTGGCACCCAGATTGTGAACGAACTCGGTAGTCTCGTCAATGATGAGAGCACCATCTTCTTCAGCGAGTTCCGTGGAGTCTACGACCTCACCGGGCGTCTGTGGCGCAGAGGTTCCATCCTCGCGGAGTTGTCGAGCAAGGTCTTCCGGACGCATCTTCTTTCGCTTCTTCAGTGCCTGCCGACGTTGGGCGGCCAGCTGCGCCTGCAGATCGTCATCGTCTACGAAGGATTCGTCAAAGAGGTTCTTCTTTGCCTTCCTCGGGGCAAACTTGGTCTCCGACTCGTCCACTTCCATCTCCTCGGCGGGCTCGTCTGGTAGAGCGATCATGTCTTCGTCGTCCTCAACACGCCTCCTCTTGGACGACTTCGACTTCTTCTTTTTTGGCTTCTTCATCTTCACCTCCGATATGTCCATGTAGTCGTTGATCGGAGCGTCCTCTTGCAGGATGTCGAGACTGATTGCGACTCGCTTGGGCTGCGTCGCGCCTGCAGCTTCCGCCTGGACTTGTTCCACTGTCCTGCCTTGGCCATCAAGTGTGAACGCATTGCGCTTCTTGCCATCGATCTCCTCGTCATACTGGGCAAGAATCGACTTCTGGCCGTCGTCGTTCGGATCGTAGGCGCGCTTCCGCTTCTTCGAATCGAGCTTCTCCTGCAGACGCTCGCGCTCCTTGAGCGAAACAGCTTCGAGCTCGTCGTCCTCTTCTGCATCGACAGCAGTGTCTTTGAGCACCAGCACCTGATCCTCGCCGTCTTCAAACTGGTCAACCTCGTGGCCAACCCTCACGCCGGCCAGATCAGCCTCTGTGTACTGCAAGGCCTCCCTCGCCTGGCGCTCGCGCTCCTCGAGCTCCTTCTGCATCTGCTCAGCCTTGGCGATCTTCTTCTGGCGCTTCTTAGAGCCCTTGAGCCAGGCCATGTCGTCCTCATCCTCGGCAGCATCAGCCAGGCCTTTGCCCTCGAGCTTCGCAAAGCGCGCGGCCTTCTCGCGCTCCTTCTTGATTGCGGCGAGACGGTCCTCGCGCTTCTTCTTCGCGGCTTCCTCTTCCTGCAACTTCTTCCAATTGTCGAAGCCGGCGGCCTGGCGCGACTCGATGGTGCTTGCGGGCTCCTCGTCAGAGTCGTCGCCCGCGTGCGCTGGCTTAAAGACCGGGCCGGAGGGGGCCGCCGCGCCAGGGACTGGCAGAGGCGCCAGTCCCATGGACAGGCGGATCTTGTTGGCCTCCTCGATGGAGAGGTCCGCCATGGCGAGTGCTTCGGAGGGGGGACGGTGGATAGGCGTGTAGTTGCGGCGCGAGAGGAGTGAACAGGGCACTCGATCAACTTCTCCGCTGTACGGGCTGATCGATTATCACGTATGGATGAATGTGCAGGTGGAGATACGAGTAGTCACGCGTCGCGCAGCCCCAGAGTGGTGTTCGGTGAGGAAGTCGCGGCCGCCCTCGGCAGGCACCTGCCCAAAGCTTTTCATTAGCGCGCCAAGAATCCGCAACTATAATAAATTTCCACAGCGCGCCGTTCTCTCTCTCCTACCCAACGACCTGTGCCAGCGTTCCCGTCCACCTTCCGAGGTGTGTTCGGTCGACGCGCTGGCAGTTCGTCCGCCACAAGGAGCCATCTTTATTATGATGTCAATTTCCGGCCGACAGGTCTAAGAGAGAGTCGGTAGCGTTCGGAAGCCTGAGTTCGCGGAAACGTTTGAGCTCGGTGGAAGGCGCTGCCAGGGCCACTGATTCCTACTCCCTTATGCTAGGCCGTCGGCCACTGATGCTTGGGAAAAACCCAGTTGCCTACATCTTTTGCGCAATCCCGTGATGTTTGCTTCGCGCGCTGCGTGAGTGGCGTTGCGGTACCGATGGATGCCGTCTACGACCTGCCTCATAGCAGCTTCAGATTTCCCGTCACCTGGTCGATGACGCCCTTCGGCGCCGGTCCGATGCCCAGCACCGTTGCGCTCCCGCTCGCAATCTGCGTCCGCCCTGCATCGTATATGATTTGTGCAACGACTCCCAAGCTCAGCGCCTGCGCCTGCAAAACCTCGAGCTCCTCCTCGCTCTTGACCTGTAGCGCCACCTTCATCTGCCCGCTGCGCTCCCACCGCTTCAGAACCGCCGAGTTGGGTGACCGCCGAAGGAACTGCTTATAGCACGCGAGCGTCGCGTGCCCGCACTGGGCGCCGATTTTGCCTACGCATACTGTCAGCGACCGCGCGGGGCAGTACGGGGAGACAAAGAGAGCGTACCTTTGGTCATTCCAAGATCAGTCCGCACAATCAGCACGAGTTTGCACTCTTCGTTGTGGCCGGGGAACTCGCTCGGTGCATTGTCATCATCCTCGTCGCTAGACTCGTCCAACTCCAAAGCTTTCTGCTTGCGTTCTGCCGGTGCAGAGATAGGGCTGCCGCCGAATAGACCCAGTGACTTGGCTTGGCCGAGCAAGTAGCCCGTGACGAGTCCGATAATGGCACAGGCAGTAGCGACGTTCGCCATAGATGGCTGCGAGGATTCCGGCATTGTGAAGTGCGCCTCGATGACCGACCTCCTCGTTTTGGGCCGTCGATAAGCAGGGAGGCTTTTTAATACTGTTTAGTAGTGTTGTTGGTTTTCGACGCTGTATTCCAAGCACGTTGACGTCGTGTAGAGTGTGTGCGGTGTTCAACGCGCCTGCCGTTCGGAACTACTGCTCGCTACCGGCCGGTAGCGCATCGGAGGTGCACGTCATCCCGAGCCTTTCACACGGTGCAGTGTGCACTCCGTGCCTGATTCCACCCACCTCCGAGAACGACCTTATTAATAGATACTCTTGGGCGAAATGACCTTACTTCACTGGTCTCGAGGAGGACGGCGTGAAAGAGAAGAGACGACGGTATGATGACGAATTCAGAAGTTGACTTACTGAGAACTGGTCAGTGGCTATGCCACACAAGTGTAGATAGCACCACCATGGCACCAAGGCGGGGTAGACAATTCGCTCGAGTGCTTTACATGATTGCTTGCGTTCTCACGTTCCCGTCTTTCCAGCACTGAAAAGTCCTCCTTCGAACGTTGTATCACATATGCATCAAGCCATTGCATCCATCGTCACACAATCGATGAATGGTGAATCCGATTCCACTACCGCCGTCACCTACGCGAACCGCGCCACCCTTCTCCAGAATTCTAGTCGAACTGCATCAAGAAATTGCCTCCTACCTCACCTTCGAAGATGAGTTCATCTGCGCAGGGCCAACGGGTGCTTTCTTCGCCTCCTTCCTCCGATCATCGCACCAAACCATGAAGAGCTTCCCCACCTCGAGTCTATCTGCAAGGGTAGTTTGGGTTACGCCTGCACGCATTGCCTACATTTCCGGCCAGCAGTGAAATTCGCCACAAGAGCCCTCAAAGGCAAGATGGAAATTAACAGCCATTGACCTGAGCTTAAATTCTATGCGAATAGCGGATTTGAAGCAAACAAGCGCGCATTGTACAATTCAGGGATCGAAGGAATTGTTAGTAGCATTCTTTAGGTAAGCTACTTAACAGCAGCAAAGAAAGAAGGGGATGTAGGAAGCGACTCGTACAAGAACCATGCATTATGTCAGCGTTGCTTTAGTCATACCATGTACTTATTTACCATTGCATCACTGCCTCCAATATCTCCGCTAAACAATCTCGGGATTATCGAGAAGTTGCGTCATACTCGACTTGCATTGAGATATTGCACCTGAATGACTCGCAGCATCTCGTATTCGCTACTCCTTGTCCCCTCTCTTTCAACATCAACCAACATTCTGTTCACCTCTACTTTATCTGTCTCGTCCTCTTCAGATACTCATACAGACTCCACGCCGCAAGCGTCTTCCCATCCCTGGCCCCCACCTGCAGCAACTTCTCATAATTCAGCAGACGAATTCGAATATGCTCCCTCTCGCTCCTCTCGCCGCCCAACTTCCCCCTCAGCCCATCAATCTGCATGCGATCCATCTCCCGCTCCCACAGATAGATACTGATGAACTCATCGCAGCCCCCGGGGCTCGGGTACATTGCGTTCTGCAGCGGCTCCTCCGTCTCGTGGCCCTTGAGCGCGAGCTCCGTCATGTTGATCAGGTCCTCCTCTTTGAGTTTGAGTCCGACTTCCTCTTCGAGCTCGCGCGCGGCTGTACCGCCGAAGCTGTCGTCCTTGGGGTCGATCATGCCCGCCGGGATTTCCATGAAGCTCAGGCTGCCGGCGGGGATACGCGCCTGCTCGGTCATGATGACATAGCGCTCGTCGAGAGAATCCGTAGGCCGGACAATAATGAGCACGGCGACACTACCACCACGAAGAAATACCACCGCTGGAATATCCTCGCCTCTGGCGTTTTCGACTCTAGCTTTGAGCTTGATGAAGAGGGGGCGTTTGTAGTTTGAAGAGCCGACGAGGTCGTAAGACTGGATTTCGATGGCTTTGAGCTCGTAGGGGTCCGCGTTGAATTCGTGGTCGCTAAACTTCTGGCGCTTCAAAGAAGATTTGAGAGTCTTTTGCCAGGTGTCGAAGCCCTTGAAATTTAGGATTTGAGCCTGGGTAATGCCGGAATCGTGGTTCACCGGAATTGCGGTGTCCCAGCCTGGGAGGAAGAAAGTCTGCACACCAGAGTCACTCAGCGGTGTTGCGCCTGCTGTCGTGTCGTCCATGAGAGGCCAGATGTTCGTACTTCGTCGCAGCTTATCAGCAGCCAAATTCTCGCACCTGGTCACGAATTGGGTGGGCCGTAAAGTGTATGAGAGGTAGAGGCTTGAGGTCCGTTCAGCCCCCGATCAGTCGCAACCTCTGGGTATGTACAGTCAGAGCGGGGCGCAGCTAAGGTAGTAAAGTTATGTCGACTAGGCTGTAAGAGGCAACGCGATCTTCAGCCTGGCCGGAGCCACCGAGTTGTACAGGTTTATTGGTGGCTGCGTGCTTCAGGTTGAACACACGTAGAACGTCGGTGGCTGTATCGGCCTATAGTCGGTGACCAATACTTGATTCGAAATTTTCGCGTTGTCCATGGGGTCATGCAGGATCGTGGCTAGTCGAGACAGGCAAATGGTTGTCCCCAGCAACTCCAATCGATTGATAAGCATGCGCATGCACCTCCTCCGGGGGCCAAACTACGCGTCTTCAGATGCGATCCGCACAACCTCAGCCTTGCCATCTACCATACCATGATTTGCACGACCTGCTATTGTATGCTGCGAGGGCAGACTGGACGTCAATGGCGCGGAACGTTCGACATCCATTTCAATCATCATTCGACGTTGTATAGCCTCGAGCGCTCGGCTGCGATGAGCTGCTGCATCTGTCGTATCATCTGGGACGAACTGACAGAAAAATATCAAGGCGCAAAACTCGCGAAAGTGCTGCAAAAGAACTTGCGAACGCCCTCCGATGTGGATCGGCTGCTTGAGCTTCACCATCGCGGACAATCTGATTCTGAGCGCCAAATACAATTTGTGCGAGCTTTCCTATCCGAAGTGCAGGGAGGACAGGATAATGACTTGTATCGCTTGGACTTTCGGCTTGTCGATTCCGATTCCAAGAGATTGGCTACATTTCTTCTTGAAAAATCCAGTGAGTGCCAAGCCGTTTACGACCAGGGTGCTCTCTTACCATAAGTTCAGAAAATGAGCCAGACTCGGAGATATACACGCCTCTGACCGACAGCACTAGTTCTGAAGAGGTCCTACAACTAGCGCGGTTTTGGCTGAATAGATGTCTCGGCCCAGACCACCCTGAGTGCCCTAATGAGACCTTCGATGATCGCGTGCGCTTCTATCCATCAAGGTTGCTGGAACTACCTGCTTATGACGACCATGAAAAGCCTTTTGATTTCTTATCAAGAAGTAAACACCAGCCAAAGAAGGAGAAGTCGAAGGAAGAGAAGGTCCGCTTAGTGATCACAGCTGGATGCCGAATTCGTCCTTTTCAAACCACAAAGCACGGCAAAGGTCGGGACTCGCGAAGAAATACGTTGTCGAATATCATGTCGCCGATAGAAGGAGACACTAGCAGCCAGATCAATGGCTTGGCAACGCCCACACATGACAGACCATCATTATCAAAGCTCCGTGTTCCAGGGGTTAGAATCGAGGACGACGAACGACCGCGCGGACACTATGTGACATTGAGTCATTGCTGGGGGAAAGCAAAATTCACCAAGCTAACCAAGGAAAATCTGGAAGAATTCAAGGAAGGTATCTCGTTCAGCGCGCTCCCCTCAACATTCCGTCAAGCAATCCACTTCGCTCGCCGTCTCAGTCCCTCGATCCGTTACATATGGATAGACTCTCTCTGCATCATCCAAGACGACAAGGACGATTGGAATCGCGAATCGGTGCAGATGTACAGCGTCTACAGAAACTCGTACTGCAACATATCAGCGACTGCCGCCTCCGACAGCACACACGGTATGCACTTCAGCCGGGACCCACATCACCTATGGGAGGATGAGATCAATTTGAACACCGAGGGTATTCCCCGACCGCTAGACGAGCGAATACCTAAACACCATCTCGGCCTCGAGCCACTCATCCGCCGATGCAAGATCCAGGACGCATCTTTCTGGGACCGGCAGGTCGACGATGCGCCGGTGAACCGCCGCGCATGGGTTCTCCAAGAGAGACTGCTAGCCCCTAGGGTCTTGCATTTTTGCAAAGACCAGATCGCGTGGGAATGTCCGCACATCGATGCAGCTGAAAGCCATCCCTATGGTGTCTCCAATATGGAGCTTCGCGCCGGCACTGTCGGTGAGCGGACGCGGTTGAAGGCCCTCATACCAGGCGAATACGGGCCCAAAACGCTCGCTATCGGACGCACAGAGAACGTATATGCAGCGCATGAAGACTGGAAGAGCATAGTGGAGCGGTACTCGCGGACCAGCCTAACGAAGTCCAACGACAAGCTCATCGCTCTCGCTGGTATCGCGGAGCTCACATCCAAGCGCATGGGTGACAGGTTGATATACGTGGCGGGCATGTGGGAGAAGTACCTTGCCAGCCAACTACTGTGGTACGTCGAACCAAAGTACGAGGATGAGCGCTTCAAATATCCCCAGCAGCGCCCCGACCCCCAGGACCCCGGTAGTTGGCGCGCCCCTACCTTTTCGTGGGCAGCGGTGGATGCACCGCAGGGTATCCGGTGCGCGGAGACAGTGCGAGAAGATGACCTGCAGCTGTCTGTTCAGAAGATCCACGTGCGACCTGCCCTTAACAAGGACTTCAAGTTTGGCGCTATAGCGTCGGACTGCTATATCGACATCCGGTGTTCTTTGATCAAGGTGGAGATCGAGAAGGTGCTTGGGCCGCCAAACGAGGTCATCATAGATGACGGTATTGAGAGGACGGTGCGGTATAACTGGAAAGTGCCGGGACATGACGGGAAGCCTATCGTGTCGAACTTGTACTTGGACAGTCCGCATGATGACTTCGAGATGATACAGCGGGATGGGAACACCTTTTGCATCCCGGCGCATAAAAAGGCAAGTGGCCAGTTAATCTGTTTGTTGGTCCAGCTATGCGAGAAAGGCACCCCAGCGAGATATCGACGCATAGGCGTTGCAGATGTGCCTGCGTTCTGGACGGGGAAGACTTTCTTAACAGCTGCTCCTACGGAGGGAACGACTATACGGCTGGTGTAAGATGTAAGGAATATCATGAAAGGATACTGGGTTGATCCAGTGCTTAGCCCAGTACGTCTCGAGCCACGGTAAACAAAGCGGTACATACTACCATCTTTATAGTCACAATTCTTATTTATAGCGCGGGTCCCAGATCTAGCCTATCACATCTGCAGCCGTAGATATGGGGGCCGCGATGTCCTTTAAGGCCTGATTTCCTCCAGAAAAGTCTTTAGTGCCAGACCTTCTTGAACGGTGGGCAGAAATACACCATCATACCCGAACTACAGACCGGGCGTATAGACCGAGGAAGTTGTATTATCTTTCTCCGCCGTAATCTATCCGGAGGATCACAGCTAATGAGTAGGATGGTCACAGGGCTGGCCTGTCAAGTATTAGGTCACGAACGCAAGATAAGAGCAGTCGAGTCCTCCCAGAGTGGTCCTGTCCTAGGTGCACGCGTTGTTCAAACACGCAATTACAATCGTTCGACAGTCTACGCATCTGACCTGCTTCCCATGTCTCCAGAGAGTATCGAACGAGCTCCCTGCAGGTCATCAGCTGTACAGAAGTTCCACCCAGGCCTCGAAGGTGAGATTGCGGACGAAGGCTATGAATCGTTCGATCAATCAGCACCTGAATCCTTCTCTGACGAGCGAAACAACGCCGTCCGGCGGAAGCTATATTTGCACCTACTACCGCTCATGTGTGGTCTCTATGGGTTAAACTATGTTGACAAGGTGGCCATAGTTTGGGCTGTGCCCTTCAGCTGAGATCCTTGCGGAAGCTGAAAGGCGAGTTCCTCTGAAACTATGTGACAGGCTACCAAGGGCGAAGGAAGATCATTTGCACAGTTAAGCCTTACAATTTCGTTGATTTTCTACACTGGATCCTTCTCAGATGAAACCGAAGCTCGCAGCTCTTATTATAAAGCTACACGAAGTTGTTCCATTCGATGCAAGAAATCGTAAGGAAAGTGCAGTGTGGAAGACGAAAGTGGAGCTCTTCGGCACGGCTTCAAAAGCCGTAGCTCTGAATTAATGTTGAAGTTCTTCAAACATGGCAGATTCAAAGGCCAATTAAAGAGACTTGTATTATATCAGGCCCGCAGACCAGGAATGTATCTTTTCGTTCATAATTGTGGTATCGGGTCAACCTGAGAACAGTGTGCAAGTCTGTTTTCATTCACACCAGAATGCTATTGAACCTCATGTGCTAGCCAGCACGCTCCTCCGTTGGCGAAAGCGTACCAGCGAACTTCCCTTTGCCTCCCGCTATCTTCAGAATGTCATCTACCATATGCTGGCTCGCGCCGAGATAGTTGATTGGGTTGCAGAACTGCGCCAGCTGGGCTGTAGAGACCTTTGCTGTGATCTCTTCGTTCTCCGCTAGCACATCAAGCAACGGTCTGCCATTTTCGATCGCAGTCTTGCACGCCGCATACACAACGTCATGCGCGGGCTGTCTCCCAATGGAAGGCGCCAGACCCATCATAACTGCTTCACCAACGATCAACCCTTTCGTCGAACACAAAAGCGTATCCATGTTATCCGTGTTGACTACAAGCCCTCCCATAGCGAAGTTGGTTTGGTGCAATGCCCCAACACACAACACGAATGCCTCGGGAATAGCCACCCACTCCAGGTGCCAAGGCCCCGTGGCCCGCTCGAAGTCCACGACCATGGCATCGAGGCCTAGACTCGCGTTCGCCCGAAGCAGCTTGCTCGCAGCAAGAACAACCTCACTGCTTATAGGGTTCCGTTTCTGCGGCATCGTGGAAGAAGCGCCTCTGTGTGGGACAAACGGCTCTGCGACTTCGCTGAACTCGTTGGAACACATAATCATGATGTCGTATGCGATCTTGCCGAGCGAACCGCCGATGAGAGCCAGAAAATTCAGGATCTCAGCGATTGTGTCACGCGCTGTATGCCAGGTAATGGAAGGGTTTTTCAAGTCCAGCTCATGTGCGAGTTGGGCCCGTACGTGGAGCCCCGTTCTGTCGTTTCCGAGCGATGCAAGGGTTCCGGCCGCACCCCCGAACTGCACGAGAAGACATCTTCGCTCGATTTCTTCGATGCGTTCTGCGTGTCGTAGAAGACCGGATAGGTAAACAGCGCATTTGTACCCAAAAGTACAAGGGAGGGCGTGCTGGAGATGCGTTCGTCCTGCCATTGGTCTATGGATGTCAGACATATAAAAAGTTTTGCAGAAATTAATGTCAATATGAGGGGGGAAATGACTAGGAGAGAGCTTTGTGGGGTTTCGGGCTGAAGCTTGCTTGGAAACTTACGTGTCACGATATCGCTCTGACAACCCACGAAGACAATCAATCAGTTGATGCAGTTGGCGCTTTACTATCTTAAGACCCTGCTTTATCTGTAAGACAGATGCGCAATCCATGATATCTTGTGTTGTGGCACCCCAGTGGATGTACTTTGCGATATCTGCCGGTACTTGCTCGACGAGCTGATTGATGAGAGGCAGAACAGGATATCCAACAATGTCGGTTTCACGCGATATTCTTTCAAAGCTTGACATATATGTGAGTGTTAGATATATGAATAAGAGGGGGAGCACATACTCAATTTTCACCCCAGCCAAAGCCTCCGTTAGCGCTTCACCTACATCCTCGGGGATGACACCGACTTTTGACTCTGCTCGAGCAAGTGCAGCTTCAGTGTCGATCAAGTATCGTACATAGGCTTCGTCGCTGAAGACGTTGCGTATTTCTTCTGTTCCGAAGAGGTTACGGAACACACGAGAGTCTATAGCGGCGCAAGTCATGGTCGGATTTCAAGATAGTCTGAATGGAACATTCGAGGGTATCTTGGGGATAAATATAAATGTAGGGAATTTGGCGCGTGAGTTCTGCGTCTATATTGCTGTGCGGCAGTTGTATGGCCCAAGCCCGCCTTCCGACCTCGGGAGTGTGCCCCGCATCAAGGCCCACTGTTTTGCGGTACTGCTCAGCCAATGTTGATCGAGCAAACAAGGACATACAAGAAAATAACAATGATAGATGATGCAGGCAAGGGATTCTTGCAGAGCTTAGTAAGTCGTGAGCCGCTTCCGGACCCTGGGTTCCTTGCCGGGTTACCTAGTCATTTCAGGGTCCACACTGCTTGGGGCATTGGTGGAGGGAGACGCAGGTAGCTTCCTACACCAATATTGCAATACCAATGACTTCGAAGCCGCGTTTATCCGCATCCGAAACTTTGTGAATTCCAATACCGTAAATCAGCGCTGAGCGATACCGTCTCTCTGTTGGGACACTCAATCGCCTCATCGAACGCGGCGTTCACTTCTGTGACCGTTGTAAATTGTACGTGTCGTACAAGTAGTTTTCTGGAATATGAGAGCTTACTAACTGTAGGAAAAACGATAAGACGCAATGCAGCATGTCCGGTTGGGGCATTTTACAGGGCAAGATCGAGGTGCACATTGTATTGACTAGTGGACATGTAAAGTGCGACAAATGCGCCGTGGCGGAAACGCGTGCATACCCTCAACAACATTGCATCGTTAAACTACTGCCAGAGGCTTTATTTGTCCAGAACGAGGGTCAATATTACACCCATATGCATCTGGCATGGATAGATCCAAGCACAAGACGATGGATCGCAAGATGAAATCATCGCCACCGAAGGCAAAAAATGGACTGCGAGGCAGCTCCGATTGATCAGCTCCGTGCACCTGATCGCAGCTTCTTGCAGATGTGACTTTGCATATGTGCCCTGCAGCCTACAGAAATCCACAAAGGCGATACATTCAACCAGTAGAGTGATGCTACGCGCGCACAGCCCCATCCCCGGTTTACCGAAGTGCCTTAAAGAGCTTAGTGGTCGACAGAGGTAAGCACAACTGTGGCGCAGCCCTCTACACAATATAGTATATGCTGCCAGTGTGCTGCCGCGACGTTGTCCAGTAGTTGTCGAAAATATGCCGAAAGCCAAGCGCAAAACGGTGGCTAGGTCAAAAGCCTCTACAAAGTCAGAAGCCCCTACGAAGTCAAAAAACCCTACGAATTCCAGAGCAGTTCCCCATATCAAATCCCCCTCTCAATCAGACCGCGTATACTTCCACGAACCTTCTGAAGAACACGGCTTTCTCTCGCCCTGGTACACCTCTCACTTCACCATCAAAACCGAAGACTACGAAAGTGCCGCACAATACATCTTAGCGGAAAAAGCGCGAGTATTCGGTGACAAGGTAGGCATGCAGACACGCTGGTTTCTCACCGGAATACTAATCTGGACTGGTAGAAAGCACGTCAGAGGATTCTGGAAGAACATGACGTCGAAGTTCTCATGACTCTGGGTGAAAATATCAAAGGGTTTGATGAAAAGTCGTGGCGCCGTCGTACGTCACCCTATCCACGCAAAGTGACCAGGCTGCTGACAAGCACCAGGTGTGAGTCGGATCGCTAAGACCGCGAATATGCACAAGTTCCTCTCGGACGACGCCGAGAGTCGGGATCTACTGCGGCAGCTGAAGAAACTCGGTACACGAGAGTTAGTTTTCGCCGACCCAGCGGATTCCGATCTTGGGATAGGGTTTAGTGCTGCTGAGGCTACAGAGGTAGGCCACGCGCAGTGGGGTGCCAATGTGTTCGGGAAGGCGATCGACGAGGTGAGAAAGACGAAGGCATGGAAAGATCAGAAGGCGTCGGAACAAAGAGTGTTTGATACCTCGATCTTCGATGTGGGTGGGAGGCTGAGTGTTTACTGGTAGAAGAAGAGTCTTTAAGCATTTCTTTCCTACTGCGAACTTCGCCGGGTTTTCAGCCTCGTTCGTCATGCATGCATTGAAATTTGTTATAATACGTCTTTCTGTGCGTTTGCTCCGTAACGTCGCCACTTCACACATATCACGGGCGCAGCAGATAATGATTATGATCATCCAAACTCGTTCATTGCAACGTATATACATCCCGAAGCGTAATTTTTCTCCAGCTCTCCTATCGCACTCCTTCAGCTGAGCGCATCTATGAGATCTTGCTCTTGATGAAAGCGAGCGCCTGCGAGCCGTACTTGTTGACGTACTGCTGGTGCGAGTTGGCGTCGTTTCCATTGCAGCAGTACGGGTCGGTGGAGTCGCAGTAGCTCTTGATGATGCTCGTGCTGGCGGGCGAGCACTGGAAGCCCTGGGGACGGGCGGCGAAACCCTGCGCAGTGCACGTGCCGACGTTGTATGGGAGACCGGCACGGTTGTGGGGGTCGCCCATGAAGATGGCGGCTTTGACGGCATTCAGGGCGTTACCGCTGAGCGTGGAGCCGGCGCCACCGCAGAGGGCGTTGTCCATGATTTGTCCGCCCTGTGGGGTTGTGGGTCAGCATGCGGGTTCTTGTTGATTTGACCAGTGTGAGGGCACGTACCTGGGAGTACCCGATAAGCACAATCTGCGTGCTGGGGCACTTCTGGTTGTAGGCTGTTACGGCCTTGACGACTGCTGCGGTGCCTTGCGAAGCAGAGCTGTCATAGCTAGCGCCGCCGCAGGAGGACTGGCCACCGCAGGCTGGGTAAACAATCGCCTCAGAGCCAGTTCCTGGGTATGCAGAAACCACTTGGTTGACGAGGCCACCAGCAGTGCCGTAGCCAGCAGGGGCGGTTGTCTCACGTGCGCCGAAGACGTAGACTTTCGGGCAGGATTGGCGTGGTTCCACAGGGTTGGCGGCCGCGACGGCAGCGAGGGAAAGGGCAGCGATGGTGAACTTCATGATGACGATGTTGTGATGATGTCAGGTCGTTGTCAAAACTGCTGTTGTTCTGCTATGTCGTGATGGAAGCGGCTTCGAGCGTGCTCTACGGGGTATATAAGCAGCACGTCGAGTCAAGTTTCCGAATGTTTGCCTCCCGTCTTTAGGCAAAAGGCACGCAGGCTGAAACAATGTCAATTCCACCGGTGGGGGGTTGTGTGCGCTTTGCTAGGTGAGTAGAGGCTTAGCCATGGTCGAGTCCTTTCATCCGTTGTGCGCAATCTATTCGCAGCCTCACGACCCGCAATGCGCAGGGGTCTGAAATATATTATTGTGGGGGCAAGCGAACCGATTCTGGGGTGCATATAGGAGCCGACCGGGAAGCGCGCAACATCCAGGAATAACCGATAGGATTAAGACCCGGTAACCCCGGTTTATGTGCACGCGGCGTTCGTCTGGTGATCTGTTTAGAGTCGGACCTACGGTGGACGAGGTGGCTAAACGGGTGTCCAGTTCGACAATCCCCGTTGCTAACACATCAGACTGCGGGGTGGGCTAGGTGGACCGGGTGGAAAAGCTTGTGTAGAGCCGCATGGCGTCCGTGATTTGTTCCGTTTTGCGGGACACTGGCTTCACACCGCGTTTCGGATCGGACGACAACCCCTGTACGTTGTCGAAGTCCAATCCCGGAAGCGATACCAGAGGCGTAACCTACCATAGATACGCAAAGAGCGAAAAATTGGTGCATGATGATTGTGGGTATTGATAGTATTATTCCGCGGTATCCAATGTTCCTAGGTTCTCAGGACGTCATGTGAGCTCGGCTCAAAGGGCGCTTGCGGTCATCTGTCCGAAACAGGACCATGCGTTTCGAAACACTAATGGGTCCGCACATGGATGATGAAAGGGATATTAGACCTGCACAAGAGCTTCAGTTAGAACGGAAAGAGGCAGGGTAAAACGCGGGTTGACAGATTGAGCAGAACTTGTGAGTCTTCTTTCGCGGAAGGGAAAGAGTGCTCCCTACCAAGTGATGGGCCATCACTAGGTTAGGCCTAGCATATTTCACGCGTTCTCTAGCGCCCTGAACCGGGTGCTGTCGTTTTGCAGAGCGCTGCATTTCATTTCTATCCACCACCAGTCGTGCAAGGAGCTATACGCATGGTGCCGGCAGCTGCAATCTATCGTCTGCTAAATCTTGCTCGAAATCATTTGTTCTCGACTTGCTGCTGGAGAACCACCTCTTCTTTTTCGGATTGGGAGGACTCGCAACCGTAGCTGTAGATGCAGAACTATCGATATGTGCAAGATCACGAACCCGGTGCGTAGACCGAAACCAGCCAAACTCGTGCTGGATATTAAATCTCCCTTCGCGTGAATGGATTCGTCGTGTCGCGGTATACGATGGTGGCGGTGCGAAGCCGAGTCGCCACAAAAGAGTCTGGAGAAGAGGGCGCAGGGTTGCAATGCTTGCGGCTGTGATCCCGATTCCCGGTTCGACTGTTGACCAAATTGAAACGTCGATGATTACGTCTGAGTCGAGAATGAGTGCTCTGAGTTGAGAATGTCGTGGAATTAACTTACACAGGAACTCAGGTCCATTGGTAAGATTCTTAACATATTTCATCCTTACAATTGTGCCTGTGCTTCCTCTAGAACACTGTGAGCCGAGGGTGATTGAAAGTTGGGGGGAGGCTCGCGTACACTGCTGCAAATGCAAGAATGCCAGCCACAAGCATCTGGGTGGAAAAGCTCAGATTCAGGTTCCTAACCATGAAGAACGGGAGTGTGCCAAGTATCCAGTCCGTACATGCGTTCATGGCGTTCAGAGTAAAAGTGAGGCCGCTTTGGGGTGCTATAGGGATGCACTGATCGTTGGCAGGATGAATTATCCAAAATGTAGACACTGCGCACAATCAGTAATGAAGCTCGATGATGCCGCGGATATTTGGAATGTAGTTGAGCTCCTACCTGGAATGCACTGGAAAACGACGAGAAAAAGGCAGACAACGCCAAAGATTACAGTACCAAACACGATGAACTTGATGACCAAGATGTGCCACCGCTCGACTGCTATGCGGAGATAGAAGATACCGAGTGCGATCTTGAGATTGACCCCAACGAGCACATAAAGAATCTCGTACAGGTAGACGTACTATGGAGGTGTTAGAACGCTAAAGGCTCAGGTCAGTGGGCCTTACGAAAAGTGCAGTCCTCCTCTCGGTTTCGCTGAGGTCCGACGGATGGCGGCCGACGCCGTGCACGACTGAGAGAATCTGTAGGACAACGGAGAGGGTGAATAGGCCCTAAGTCAAAGGTAAGTCTCAAAAATACCGATAATAGGTTTGGGGAGATCCAACCAGAGTAACGGCCATGGCCGTATCGCTGCCAGAATAGTCAGTACACCTGACAATATGGTGCGCATGCAAAAATGTGAGGACATCGTCGAGTTCGACTTACTCATGACCCCATCTTTTCAGTAGGATGGCTCGAGTATAGACTCGCAGACTGACGGTCAGCCATGTTAGGATCAGAAACAAGATGCCGACGGCGATGAGTTCTCGTTGTCTCTCAAGCATTGCGTGGACCCGATGCTGTGGGCCGTGATCGGAGGCGACTGCGATTGTGACTGCGACACCCCAAATGGACGCGACTCTCCAATACGATGTTGCTCATGACATCCGAAAAGCAACCAAAGACAAGGGCATCCGCGCAGAGAGTGGAGAAAGCACAAGAGCGCTGGGGTGGTGTTGATGACTAGGTTCGTTCCGAAGCGTTGGTTTCTTCAGGCGGAAGGCGCGGAGTAGTGCGCATGCCAATTCCTCATCATGATTTAGTGGCAATCCAAAATGCCATCGCCCGCGCTCCGGCGAACGATCTCCATGAACGCATGGTGCAGCTCAACGAGGTGGCTCGCCATGGCGTTGGTTCGGCGGCTTCCGAGAGCCTAGCGGAGTCGCCTCCGAAGGTCCAAGAAAACCTTAGGCTTCGCCGGCGCCGCGGGACGCGGGTAATGGGGTGACACCGGGGACCAAGTGGCTTCGTTCGCCGCACGTGCGTGCTCGCCATAGTTGCTGTGAGGGTCTGAAGGTTTTGTGGCTGCAGTAATTATTCGAACTTTGCTTACGCATGCATGTACGCGCGAGGACACCGCTTCCACGGGCTGTACCCGGAAATAATTCTACCATACCGCAACTCGAAGGAGAGGCTGGATATTGGCGAAATCGACAACATTGTAAATAGATACCTTGTGCCACAAACACGGCGCATCGTCAAAATGCAGTGCACGCATTTCGGTCTGGGACACCGCAAGCGGTACGACTTATCAAATTATTGCCTCGTCCCACGAAGTAATGTCTCGAAGAATAGCAGACAAAGATCGACTGGTGCCAATGCCGTAAAGGAGGCGTTGTAGGTGGGCAGGCGAAGGATTTAGGTTTGCCATACCAAGCGTCGATCCGTCTACCCTTGTTCAAAACCGCAGACGACCCCTGGTTATGTCGAACGTCAAAACTAATGAATCTGTGATGTATCGTGAGCACTTCTACCCAAAGAGACCACAATTCACAGCTGCCAATGGGAAAAAGGCAAAGTCGAAATCACGAAGTGCATTCACCACGTCTTATCCTCATCCCGAATGTGTTATTCTAATTTTCTACTCCTGTTATGCGATCGGAGATGCACAATACATAATCCATAATGTCCAGACCGTCACGAGCCTCGAAACAAGAACAAAGTTCTCTTGCCATGGAGACATCGAGCCCGCACTCGTCGCCATCCTTTCCTTCACAAGACCCATCTCCAGCTGACCTTTCCCAAGCGACCCCTAGCACCTCCCGCGATCAGGCCGCCCGCAACACACCGCAAAACAGCCTGCTCAAACCATCCTGTCAATGGCCCCGCCCACATAGCAACACAAGCCTCTTTCCATCGCATCCCAATTTCCCCCCTGTCACTCCCACCCTATCTACCCCCACCACACAAGAAAGGGGATCTCCCGATCCACACGCCCTTCAGCCACCCACACGCTGCGAAACCACCACCACCGCCAGCACGCGCCACATACACAGTCGACTTTGCTGGATCCCTCCTCTACCGCAGACTCGAACTCCATTTCTTCAATGTCTTTGGTACGACCCTCCACGCACACAGGGCGAGCTGCACCGCGGCACCGCATGCAGGCAGTGTCACTAGCCACACGCACGTATAGCACCAGCCAGCCCAAGCCCTCATGCTTCTCGCATCACGTAGCAGGTCTAGCGTCACCCCTTAGTCCCCCTAATCGAATCTCAAACCGAGCGCTCCAATCATGATACCATATAGCCTATATTACAACAAATATCTACACACGACATCCTACCGCAAGAAAATGCACACAACCCCATCCCAGCCATATCCATTTCCACGCTCTGATATTCTGCAGTGCCACACAGCACCCCTCCTCACCATGTCCTTCGGTCAAACTGCATCTACGGCCTCACCCTGACCACATCCTCGCTCGTCTCCCCGCGCACCCCAATCCCGAACACGTGCTTCGTCTTCTTCCCCTTCTTATCCCCGTACTTCTCGTCGAACTTCTTGATCGCATTGAGGCTGCTCATGTTCTCGCTGATACTAGCGCTAATCTCCGACAGCGCAGCGTCGAAGTGGCGGGCCGAGAGTATGCGTTTGTCGGGAAAGATGTAGTCGAGGCCGCGGATGAGGTGCGAAGGTTTAGGAGTATGCGCAGAGGTGGAGTCTGCGGGGGAAGGTTCTGAGGGGTTGGCGGGAGGTACAGAAGCGGCGGCGGCTTTGGCGGCAGTTTCGTTTTCCTCTTTTACGCAGGCAAGGGCGGCGCTGACGGCGAGGTTCTTGAGATCGGAACCGGAGTAGAAGGGAGTCTTCTTTGCGATGGCGTCGAGGTTAACCGACTCATCTAGCTGCTCACCGCGGAGGTGGATCTTGAGGATTGCCGCTCTGTCTTTCTCGGTGGGCAGGTCGACGAGCAGTCTCCTGGGCAGTCGCCGGATAACCGCGTCGTCCAGGTCGAACGGCCTGTTCGTAGCGACCATAACGAAGACGCTGAGGTCGTTGAGGCCGTCCCATTCCTTGAGGAACTGGTTGAGGATATCGCGGTGCGAGGAGCGTTCGCGGCCGACGTCGCGCGACGAGAAGACGGCGTCCGCCTCATCAAGGAAAACGATGCAAGGCGAGAGCTTGCGCGCGAGTGAAAATATGGCGGTGACATTCTTCTCGCCCTCACCCACGTACTTGTCCATGATCTGGCTGCCTGAAACCTCCAGCACGGTGGAGCCGCTCTCTTTCGCAACGGCCTTGGCCAGCAGCGTCTTTCCCGTACCTGGTGGACCGTACAGCAGGGCTCCGGAGATCTTCTCGGTGGCAAGGATACCATAGTTGAAAGCGTCTGGCCTCAGCAGAGATAGACTTGTGATGGTGCGGATGGAGTCAACGGTATCGGTAGGCACGTGGATCTGGTCGAAGGTGGTCTTGATCTTGGACGGATTGGCGATGCCGGGCATTAGGCGCTTCTCGTGCTTGGTGGCAGTCTGTGCGATGTTGTTGAGTTTGATTTCGAGTTCACGGTCGTGGATTTCGGTGGCCGATCTGGACCTCAGTGTCTCGTTCAGTTTTCGTCGAAATTCTCTTGCGGAAGAGTCGTCGCCGGGTCGAGGAAGCATCGCTTGTCGTCTGATATGATCAAACTTCACCTGATCGCTGGATTGCAGCATGCCTATTGCGAGTGCGACGTGCGCGCTAGTCAGACGTTCGCTTGCAGGATCCAAGCTGTGTAGACCCAGCGCAGTCAATGCTATGCGGTGAACCTCATCATACGTGAGGATCCTGCTGATGTGGGCCTTTGCGAGGCTGGCCAGCGCGGGCCCAGCGCTGCTGTCGTCTGTTGCCCTCGCCGACAAATTCTGCGCTGCGATAGGGTCTAGGCGTCGCAGCATGTCGAAAATGTGGTGGACGTTGATCCTTCGGTACTTGGATGCGTCTCTTGACTGAACAGTTGAGGACAGAGTACCGACCAGGTCATGCATGTTACCCGCCCGCTCTACAGGCACCACGATGGTCCTGTAAAAACCTGCTTCGCCCTCAGACTGGAGTCCTTGGACGCCACTCTTGGAGAACTCGGGGGTGAGGTCTGCTGAGGAAGTGAAGCCAACAATCATGATGCGTTCTCCTGCTAACCTCCGTTTTCGAACTATTTCCTCAAGCTTTTGTAGTATCCTGCCTCCGTAGTGTGTGGCATTGAGCTCTTTGAAATCAGGAACACATATTATCTTGGCATTGCCGGGGGTTCCCGAGTCGGTTGATGAGGTGACGGTGTTGATTTTCACTGCCAGGCTGAACCCCATGATCGCTTTGCTCGGTAAAGAAGAATCGATGTTGATGCCATCGTGCGTAGGTGTAGAAGTAGAGGGGGAGGTCAAGAGAGAGCTGAAGAAACCAGCCTTTGGCGGGCGCGCACTTCGCTCTTCGGTGGTGGGATCCGAGTCGGCAGATTCTGAAGTTAGGAGGGACGAAACTTGTGATCGTTTGGTCTCGGAAGCGTCGATGAGATGCTCGAGGACGTTTGCAATTTTCAAGTCCTCCAGCTGCGACTCAGCTGACGACTGCGAGCGAGGCTGGGTGTCGGTGTTACTATGAGAATCTTGGTTTGGCGATTGCAGAGCCTTGAGCGCGTTAGAAAACGCGTTGGGAAGGACGATCGAGATGGGCATCTTGAAAATATCGGAGGAAGGAAGCTTGGGAGGCTCGGGAAACATGGAAGAAAACGATGACCTCGGCGGGGTCGCGTCTTCCTGCTCTTCGCCAAAGTCTTCCCGGCCTGCATCGTCGTAAGGGTCGCTTTCAAGATCCGAACTGAGCCGGTACGTCTCGTAGGCTAACGAGCGGATCGAGTGGGGCGAGGGGTCTGGTGAATCGCCCAAGTAGTCGCCTGCGATCTCAGCCAGGTCCTGTGCCCGCAGGGTAACTACGTCGGCGCCCCTCAGGCGTGCAATCCCGCCTACTAGACCAGCCAGCTCATTTTCTTTTCCGTTGGACGGACAATGCAATATCAAGTTGGTCTTTGCCGCTGGGAAAGAATCGCTCGACGCAGGCTGCGGGAGCGAAAGAGAGGCAGCAATGGTAGCTTCGACCTCGGACCTCACGAACGGCGGGACGAAGCCTAGTTTCTGCAGGCCAAAGGGGTCGGATCCCTCGGCATTCTTCGTGCTCTCCAGACGCCCGATGACGCGCTCCACCTTGAGCATGGCTCCGTCCGTCAGACGTCCGGCTTTGCGGGCCAGGGCCAGATGCTGGATGGCGGCGCGGATCTCGGTGCTGTCAATGTCCAGCTTTCGCGTTATCCTGACGGGGTCTTGCTGCAAGTGTTCTTTCTGCAGCCAGTACGGGCGGTCTGGCATGGACGCGATGCCATCGCCGCCGACTTCCAAGTCCAGGAGCACTTCTTCGGTATCGGGCAGCCCCAGCGTCGCAGCCCACTGCCTCACGAAGCGTCTTCTCTCGTCGTTGCCGAGTCCGCCGCCCCATGCCTGGAAGAGGAACTCGGACAGCAGCTGCACCGCGGCGCCTGGCGCATGTATGGGGACGGAGCATGTGCCGGATTCGTCGGTGCCTCGGCGCTGCAGCTCGAGGACGAACTGGCGCAGACGCGTGTTGGCGGGCACTTCGTCGCTGAGGCGGACGCATTCGTGGGCGAACCAGCTCGGCACGACCACAGGCGGGAGGTCCTGGGCGCGGTTTCTTCGCTGGGTCCGCCGCAGCGCTGAAGAATACCGGCGCGTCATCTCCCGCGAGCGCTGCAGCTTCTGGGCGAGCACGTCGGCATCCTCGGCGGCGTCGGCGGCGGCAGCGCCCTCCTCGCTGGCACGCGCAGCATCCTTGGGGGCGACGGGCTTGCTGTCTGGGTCGACGGGCGGGTTGTTGTCCTGCGCAACGCTTCTCGAGGCGTGGAAGGCGCGCGCGCGTGCAGGCGGCAGCGGGTAGCGGCGGTGCGAGATGAAGCGTGCTGGAGGCCTTCGGTGTGACGCTCGCAGGCCGGATCGGAGTGCGCGGTACATACGGACGGAGGCCGGGGGATCTCCTGGGCGACGGGGGCGGTGTCGCAGGCTTGATGGACAGAGCAAAGGCCGGTGTCGCGATGCCTCGAAGCCGCGACTTTTCCTTCCATGTTTGCCATCGCCATCCTTGCCGCCAAGCCATCCCATGCGCCGTCCAAAAGCTGGAGCTCGGGAGCGCTAGTCCTTGTTCGTCACTACGTCACGTGCGCGCCCGTCTCACGTACCAGCATGCTGGCGCCCTGGATAGGCTGCAAGGATGGCCCCAGGAATTCACCGCTTGGTGGCGTGCACGAAAAATGGATTCGCGAGTAATGCCAGCCCCAAAGAAATCCAAACCCAACACAGCCGAAGCATCCTCATTTCAAATTCACCCAGCCTTGCCTTTGCCCAGTACCGACTTGGTGAAGGTGCCGTTTTGGCTCACTTTGATACGCCCACGGCTATCATGGGTTGCAGTACTCAGTGTCTCTACATCTTCTGTTCTTCTCCAGGGTCGCTTCACACCAATCTCTTGGTCCCTCCTCTTGAGAATCTGCTTCCACTCTTGGACTATAAATTCGTCGTCCACTTTCTTCTCTGCTTTGCCATTTCCGCCCCTTGGCTTGATGATTTCGGAGATAATCGGCGATATCGGGCGCACTATGAACCGCACTGGAAGAAGAGCGAACCATATGCCATACAGTGCAAAAAGCAACAAGACTGTGAGCGGTCTGCCAACCACTTTGGCGCGATCAAACAGCGGTCCGACCAAAGCGACGTTGAGATCGTTCGAGTTCGCCAAGGCGAATACGGTCAGCGAGAGAGCCGTGACTGCGGTTACGGCCATGGAAGCAATTGTGATGCCACTTGGAGCTTGGCTCATGCTGAAAATGCTGGTGGCAAAGCTCAGAGGGAGGAAGACGACCGTAACATAGGTGAAAACAGCTAGCTTATCGGCCGTACCGAAACTCATGTCATCTCGTATCGAAGCCAGACGTGAATTCAGTGAAGTTCGAAAGGTCCTCATGTCCAACTGCAAACGCTCGAGATCTCTGACGACACGGTTGTTGAGGACCAGTAGGTGTGTGATGGCGTGCCTGAAAGCCACTTCGTCATTCCTCGTCCATCTGGGTCTTTCATACTGACGGTCCTGCTCTCGTCGGTCCCATTCCCGAATCTTTTCCAGGTTTGCTGAAAGATCGTCTTCAAGAGCCTGAATAAACTGCTCATGAGGTCGCCACAGCTTGGCGAGGTTAAGATAGTTGTTGCGATTTGCCAGCCGGATGAAGGCGATCTCATCTGATAGCGCCTTGGGAATTGGATCCTCTCCCTCCATGAACGTGACATCCAGTTCGGACAAGGTCAGCGTAGGCTGATCCAGTGACTCGTGATGGATATCCAGACTTCCCAAATTCAGTACACGCTGACGGGTTGATTTCCAAATCACATTCGTGTTGGTCTTCAGCGCGTCCAGAATCTCGTTGAAGATCAGAAGCTCAAGTATCTTGCGCTGTTGCCAGGGTCGTGTGACCGATCTGTGTTGTTGTTCCCCCTCAGCTTCAATCTCACCTTCGAGTAGCTCCTCCTCAGTTGGCACGTGACCTCTTATATCCTTCAATCGAGACAGGCGTGCACCTAATGCGCCTAGTGCATGCTCAGCAACCTGTTGGTCTTTTCGCCGGTCTTCTGAGTTGTGCCCCGATTGGTCTTCCGATTGTTCTGTAGACTGAGAATCCTTTTGATCGTCTGCTCCCGAATGGCTGTTGTCTTGAAGAAGATTCTCACGTGGACTCTTGTTTTCAACAATATGACAAGTCCAGTATCTATCGAAGAAGTCGCCAACAAAGCGGAAGCCCATGCTTACGCGAGACACAGTCCTCGGCCCTGGGTAGCTTCCCTCTGTCGATCGGAAGAAAGAAAGGTGGAGCTCTGTCTCCCATTCGTTCAAAGCCGCCGATGTACTGTCGAAGAAATACTTGTCGTGGTTATCGTGCCGCTGAAAGAACGCCAATAAATTCTCTTTTTCGGGCTGGGGAGATGCCAGTCGGCAGGCGTCTCGTGTTTCATTCTGTAATGACTGGTCTTGTGTCTGCGCTTTCATCTGCTCTTCTGGTCGCTCGTGTATCCGCTCTTCTGTTTGCGGATCTCTGCTCTGGTAGGGAAGCCAAATGATCCGTTTCTTGGCGTTGGCGGCTGTACGTGGGACTTGTAAAACATTTCTCAACTCTGTGACAGACACGAGGTTCGTGCTCCAGTTTTCTGAACCTAGGATCTTTCGAGCAGCCTTACTTCCCCCCTTTACATCTACAATCAACCCCACCAACGCGCCATCTCTGGTTACTTGTGAAGATCCTTTCACGATGCCTTGCGGATCTGGCATCAGGGCAGTCGAAAATCCTATCAATGCCGTCCCTCCTACCAACGAGGCAAAACCCGCCTGGGCTGTGGAAGTCAATTTAGAGGCACCCTTCGGTATCCTTGGGCCGCGCAACAGGACGTGGGGGTGTGGGAGTCTTCTTTGGGTTGATTCTGTCGGCCTGTCGCGCATTGGTGGGTCATACCCGAACTGCAACGTCGCGGGCTGTTTCTGGAGCCAATCGTCAGATATCTCTACCAGCACCTTCTGATCGACCAGTTTCCCGAAAGATGAGAAGGCAGTGGTTTTCGAAGCTTGAACGCTACTTGATGAAGAATCTTTGCCAGCTTCTTCTGGCATGGAACCTTTGGCTCCACTCTCGGGGCCCATTGCGAGCTTCTCCAGTTGGGATCTCGCATAGGACCAGAGGATATAAGGTATTTCAAATGTTGTATGCCAATACACATCGTCTTGGTACTCATCTTGAAGTGGAGTTGGCTGCAAATCTTCGTCTAGCAGACCAGGAAATAGCCCGTTGAGCGATGAACTCCTGAATAGTGTACTTGAAGCAGTTGTGAATACCCTTTCCGGAGTCCAATTGTTGATTCGTTTCTTTTGTGCGCTCATGAGGATTGCCATTCCGTACCAAAGGGGTTTGTCCCATCTCATGTCTGATTGCTCCATGTGGTGTAATTGAGCATCGAGGAGACCATTCCACCGTCGCGTAGTATCTCGCCAATATTTCCTGTCCCCCTCTACCTGGTTCTTTTGCTTTTCTGATTTGAAGGGACCGTCATTGAAGGCATAAAGTAGAACGGTGTCTTTGGAGTGGAACAGGAATCTAGTTTCGTTGGGCTTCCGTCGCGTTGCAAGCATCCGCTGCTTTGCGACGGGATTTTCGCATGTAAACCGTTTGATGACAACTTTCGAAATGTGCGAAAATGAATAATCGTTGTAGTTACCTTGTGCATAGCTCCATCCGGAGATCATGGTGGAAGTCCATTCTTCCTGCTCTTGGGTCGTAGGCCTCCAAAAACGGGACTCACGGATCATAGATTCGCCAGCTTGCAAAGCCCAGCATATCCATACGTGATCAGATAGACAATATTTAGACTCATTGGGTCTTTTCGGAAACGCACACTTTCCTCGTGCATTGCGCTTGTCGATTGTCTTGATCCAAGCATGGAAGCTTTTTAGGATAGTATAAGGCCTTGTCTCGAAGTCTAATTCAAGATCGAGGAAGCTTCGAGCTTTCAAGAGTTGCAATGGGGTAGCGATGAGAGAGGCCCATATGGTGTCTTCGAAGGATCTGTTCCGCTTTCCCGTAGGCCAATAAAAGTCAGAATAGCCACCTTCATCCAACTTCTCAGCGCTGTCGCAAACCCATCGAATATGGCCTCGAAGGACTCGAAGTACTCTGTGCTGCAACTGTAACGAGACTTCCCTAATATCGTCGCACGTGTTACACCATTTCTCTTTTCCGCCGCACTCACAGCTTTGTGAAGGATACAAGTGGTCTTTTGGGTTGTCGAAGACTTCTTTGACATATTTTGTCATGGAAACGAGAAATTGGAATGCATAACTATTGTAGTCAGCCTTACTGATACTGAGTGCAATTGACTCATCTTATGCTCACAAGCTTGAGAGCTGCCACACACGATGACCGCCAATATCTCCACAGGTTATGGCAATTTGTTGGTCCTCGTCTTGCGCGAGTCGGCGTCCATGCTCATTCAGAAGTACAGGGATACTGCAGATGGATAATATGTGTTCTAAGTTGCGTCGAATCATGAAATCCAGGCGCGGGTGGGTGGAAAAACGGATTTTCACTTCGGTCTCCTTGTCTGACGAATACATCTGGGAATATTCTTCGAAACTTTTCTGCATCACCTCCGATGGTGCCCATTGGTCATCTTCAGGAACTGTTTGCAGTCGATATGCCAGCGTGACCTCGAGTGGTCCATCTTCCTTGCTACTATCGCTCGCATTCTCATCCTTGGTTAGATCAATTTTGCCACGGAAATTCTGACGGTCACATGGCTTGATTGGCTGCGATACACCATTAGAGAATGCGGAGATAATGAGGCATACTACGGGCTTTTTTTCAATAACTTGCTCCTTTGAGTTGTTGGCCCCATCGGATCTCCTGATGCCCTGGACCTCTTCGCTGTTATCTTGATGTTCCCCCTGGTCATCGTGGCTGTTCCGGCTTTGGTCGTTCTGGTTGCTCTGGTGCTCCTGCTTCTCCTGGCTGTCCTGGTTTTCCTGGTGGTCCTGGGATCCCTGGTTGCTCTGGCTCTCCTGGTTCTTCTGATTGTCTTGGTTCTCGTTGTTTTCTCGTTGATGCTCCAGCCTCTCATCTTTGCCTCCAGTCATCTCAGGCCTATCGGCTATAATTTTATGACCAAATACCAAGCTTCTTTCATCCTTGGGGCATAGGACCCAATATTCCGAGTCGGCGTAGCCAAGGACTTCGGACACACTCGTCGCATGGCGTGGTTCACTTTGCCATTCGGTTTCGTTGGCATGGTATGCACTGTTTACAAAGTCTAGATCGCGAATGAGCATCCCGTAGTCGAACTCAAAGCCGTGAGGATCAGATCGACCCTTAGCATTACCGGAAGGTTTCCAAGAGTAGCGCTGGAACACAGTGTCGTCAACGCAGAAGTACTGAATAGAGAACTGCGATGATGCTTCTGGATCGTGATAAACGAAACATGGCCAACGATCGTTCTTGAATTCCAATGTTGGTTTCGTACCAGAATGTCGCCATGGGTTTCCAAAAACATCCTTCGCTATAAGACCAAACCCAGCATCCGGATCGTTTATCATACCGTCGAGTTCCTGTGCTCGTCTCTCCACGTACCATGGCTCATGAGTGTCCGGGCAATCCACGCAATAACACCCTGAGCTTCCATGTCCGAGATATCGACTGATTTGCATGAGGCGCCCGAAGGCATTGACGCTCGCGGTTGTACCTTCATCCCCAAAGGAAGCGTATGTTGGACGTTCTCGGATGGAGTTTTCCACTGGATCTTGAGGCTCTTCTTGCTTCATCGTCGGCTTTGATCCAACTGAATGCTGACCATCCTGCGTGAACCGGAGTTCGGATGGTACATCCGATGAGTTAGTATTGTCTTTTTGTTCTGGCATGGTACTGTCTAAGCGAGTTTGCTAGCTGGGTAGATATATTCAACGTTGAGAAAGTACTGTCAGACAGCACATATTTCGAGCGGCATGCCGTCCACCGTAACAACAAAGAAGTCGAGTATGCCTGGCGAAGGAGACAGTGATGATCTGGAGTATCCGCCACAGCTGAACACACAGCTGAGGTTCCACGGCAGTTCTCGCTAAGGCGACCTCCAACGGATGTGGATATGATTAGCGAAGGAGACCTCGACTCACTGCATGAGATCATGCTTGCAGTTTAGCCATAGCCTTATCTTACCAATCAGATCCGGCCAACTTACATACAAATGCAGCACCTCAACGGCTGAAGAGCAAGTTCATCGGCTTCCAATGCAGCCCATCAGTTGTTTGGTGCGCACCGAGCATGAAGCTGGTATAATCCGAACGACTGACGGATAGAAGAAGTAATTGGACAGTTTCTAACGATCGAACTTTCCCAATGCTGGTGCCTCTCCCAGCTGAGATTTAGAAGCGCTCATGCGTAATTTCGCGGAGCCACGACGAGCACTGATTGCAGAGATAGACGGAAGCCGGCTTTGCGAACTGGACTTTCGTATGCAAGAACGGCGATGCGCGAAGCTGTCACCGTATGATGCCGCCAACTGGGACCATCAGGCTGAGAGCGCGAAGCGCTGGCGGGGTCACCTCCAGTGAGACCAACAAGCATACCAGGGAGGATACGAGATCAGGGAATATCACCAATCGTATCGTATTCCAGACTTTCGGGAGCTTACATAACCGGGAGCTGGTGGACCTGCAGGTTTCAGTCGGCGGCTCGACCCAGCTCGTATCAATGGCGCTCGACCTCGCCGTGTTCGCTGTAACATCGATGTGATCGCTGAAATGTGGTAATGCATAGGTGGAGGGCATCTCAGAAGTGAAGGTGTATTCGGATGTTGAAGCAACGTAGGCGGGGAGGTTGCATCGCGGGCTGCACCGAAGGCGGCTCGTCCCGCAAAATTGTGCCACCAGCCAACAGCAACCTCTATCCTCTGTCGATCAACCACCTATCAGCTTCGTCACGCCAATTTCGATATAAGTCGAGGTAACAGCATGGAATTCCGCTGCACACTTACAGGCAATCCCTTCGCCTCGAACGGCCCCCAATACCGGCAGTTCTGCCTAATCATGACAACAGTTGTCTTGAGCTTCTTGGTGAACTCGGTCCGCTGAATAGAATGAAACACGCAGTCCATAGCTCTGACATCTCAATCAGAGACCTCCGTCACTTGGGCTGACCTGCAATGGTGTTGACCAGGCTGCTGCCTGGGTCACACGGAAGCAAGCTAGTCCTGTAAACTAGATGTACCATGCAACTCAACGAGCCGCTCTCGTCAACTCGCATTACGTCCCACAATACGCTTCTCAATCGTCAATGCACCGAGACCTAACTTATATACTTATAGCTAGTAAGGTACATTGCCTTCGTATTCTTAGGCCACTCAACTCCCCTCCAGACCACTTCTTCGAATTGTTTCTGCCCCCACCGATGTCATTACTCCGAAGTAAGCGATACTAAAACGACCGCTTAGAAAGGATTTGCATCTTTGCTCCCACAGCTGGAACAAACACCACCCGGTCTCAACTCATACTGCCATTGTACCCGCACTTCGAAGAACACGATCTCCGCTGAAACACTCTCTACCACCAGCATCCCCTCCAAACCTTCTCCACCTCCTCCTTCCCCGCCTTCTCCTCCACATATTCCAGCCTCTTCTTCTCCACCTTCTTCCTCTTCTCCACCCTAGCTATCTCCACCTCTTCCCTTTCCTGCTCCCTCATCTCCTCGACCACATCATCAGCCTGCGGATCACTCCGCATTTGACACCGCCGCCCATATGCGGAGTCCTTGATACTCGGCCTCCACGGTCCTCCCGATCCTGTGCTGGGCGGCCGCGCGGCCCGGCTGCTCCAGATGGGGCCGCTGGGGGCAGAGAAGCGCGAGGTTAAGGTGTAGGCGGCAGAGGATGCCGACGGGAGAGCCCGGGTAGAATTCACTGACTTGACGGAGGCGGATGAGGTGCCTGATGGAGGTGCCTTGGCGGATTTGATCGACCCCGATGGCGTGGACGGCCGCAGCGACATGTTGCACGCGCTGTCGTACCGGTGCAGCTTTACTTGGTGGCGGGCAGACATCGTGCAGCCTGTGTGGACCCGAGGGGTTGGAAGTTCGTTGGCGTCGTTGCGTGGGCCAAAACGCTGGGCTGATTTTCCTCGTGGGTGCGGTCCGTTTTGACGGGCTTTGCTGAAGGAAAGGTAGCTCACTGTCAGGAAGCGCGTTAGCTATTCTTCAGGTTGACCTGGTATAACTTGAGGGGCACACCTTGCCACCTGGTGAAAGTGTTAGTCTGGTGGAGTTGCGGGAGCTTTTAGACGTGGTTATCAAGGTGGCCTCGTAGGCCTCGGAGTCTCCTGCGTAGAGGTATGGTCTGTCGGGTTTTGACCAGCTCGTCTGGTGGTGGACGAGGAATGTAGCGTGCTTGTATGCTGGAAGCTTCCTTCATTCCTGTCTCACAACCACGTACACGCAGACGCTGCTCGTGCGTGCTGGACTCTCGTTATGTGATGTTCTTCGTGGAGAAACATGTCGTGTGCAGCGGAAGTACGAAGAGAGGCGAAGAGGTATTTCCTCATGCAACAAGTACTCCAGTGCTAGTTAGAATCTTGGGTCGGATATACCTGTTGGGCCCAACGTCCGCCCTTTTCCACGGCACCCCACGACGACAAAAGTCGCCGTCCAATCTCGAGTGCGGCATTTCTCTACACCACGCCCGCCCTCTTCGCTAGCGCGTCTCTATGCAACGATATCGATGTACCGCAACCCACTGTCCACCTCAAGCATCCCTCCACACCTCACCATGTCCCCCACCACACCGCCACACCTCAACCATGAATCACCTGCATCCGCCAAAGCTAGTGGACTTCCTCCTGACTCCGTCTCGAGGTAGCCACCAGCGCCCACCCCAACCACGTGTACGTACCCAAGCACACATCCCTACCCTCTCATCTCCCCCTCTCCCTAAGCCAAACCCAAAGTCTTCACACCCCATCCTACCCGGCTCCACCATCCCCAAGTCCACGGACCACACCACCACGTGCGGCTTCGTTTCCGTTCGGGAGCGTTGACGAACGGCGCTTGGGAACGTCAGGGTCGCGGGATGGATGTGGATGCAAGCGGCCAGCGCACAGCACAGTGTGTGGCACGGATTCCGCTCCGGCGAGGGAGTCGGTGGACGCCAGTCAGGCGTGCTCCGTTTCCCATCCTGCAGCTTGGGACGAAAAGCCCTGGATGCTTACGTGGCGTCGCGACGCCGCCATCTTCTACCTGTCCCTTGCGTCTGATCTTTTCCACGGCCCAATCATCTCCTGGATCCCATCTTCATCATGTTCGTGTCTGCACTTGTATGGGAAGGAGACTGCAAGTAAGTTTGAGAACATCGTACGCTGAATTCGCGAGTGTATATACGTCTTGCACATGCTTGGATATACAACAGCCACACTGGTGGTATCCGCTCCCATCCCGTCCCATCCTTTCTCGCATGCCACCCAACAAACGAGACATCTTCTCTTCTTTCGGTGTTCCAGAACGCCATGCTCATGCAATCCCAGTCAAATTGAAACGCCTCCGGCCGTGAGTGAATGTCCATCCCAATGCTCTTACAACAAACAAACGCACAAACAAACAAACAAACGAAAACCCAAAACGATGGGCGGGCGAGCCTATGCATACCGCACACTCCCGCTGCGGAACAACGGCGGCGGCGGCACCGGTCCCCCAGCAGCGCCGTGGGGTGCATGGCCCGTCTGCGGCGCCCACTGCGGCGCCGTCTGAGGCGCCCACGTCGGGGGTGGCGGTGGGACTTGCTGCATGGCTCCGCTGGGTCCGCCTCTGCTTCGACTCCTGCTTCCGCCGCTCCCACTCCTTCCTCCGGGCCCACCAGCGTAGTAGGGCGCCACCGGCGGCCCCGCAGCGTATTTCTTCTGCAGACGGCGGCGCTTGACGCAGCGCCAGCAGCAGCCGAGGATGGAGAGCAGGATGAGGCCGCCGATACCCGCGGCCAGCCCGATGACGAGGGGTTTGTGTGTGAGGATCCAGTCTTTGACTTCGTTGCCGACGGAGCCGCCCGTGCACTGGCCCTGTGCGTGTGTCAGCATCTCATCTATTACAAACTTTCTTCATTCTCTAGGTGGAGAGGGAACAAGTGAAGCAAAGGTGAGAAATCCCACCCTCCAGTCGGACTTGACTTACATTCTGGCACTTCCCTCCACCGACGCAGCTCGTTCCGTCGAGGAAGTTTTGTTGTAGTCCATAGCACGTATTCCCAAACTCGGGGCTCGCACAGCTCAACATGCAATTACTATTATCGCACGCATACGTGTCGTTGCCCTGGGTATAACTCCCCATGATAGTCTTGCACTGCTGATCGCGGCTGGTGCACTGCCCAGAGGCACACTTCAAGCCACCCCCACAGTCCGTGCCATCAGGCTGCGTTTTGTCTTCAGGACAATAGGGCGAATCCCCTGTGCACTTCTCCTGGGGATCGCACTGTCCGTTGGAGGCGCGGCAGACGGTCGACGCCGACGCGAACTGGCAGCCCCGGCAGCAGTCCTCGTTGGAGTCGTCGCAGACGGCGTTGCTCTTGAACTTGCACGTCGACGCGTCGCAGCACGCGTTGTCGCCGCAGGATTCGCCGCCGCAGTCGCACTGCTCGTCGCCCTCGACGATGCCGTTGCCGCAGGTCTGAGTCGTCGTGAGGTTGACGTTGCGGTTGTTGGAGAGGCAGGTCGACTTGACCGAGGTGCGGCCCAGGGCGGAGCAGATGTTGCCGATGGAGCAGGCGGAGAAGCGCGTGATGCCCTGCGCGGTGGACGGGTTCATGATGAACTGCTCGCCGGCGTCACAGGTGCTGGCGGAGAGCGGGCAGCACTGCGAGGCGCTCACGGCATTTTGGTTCTGGCAGGTGTCGGAGGTGCAGTCGTGGACGGCGCCGAAGGTGTGGCCGGTTTCGTGGGCGATGACTTGCCATTCTGTGGATGTGCGGATGACGACGTTGGCGCCACTGACAGTCTCATTCTGCCCGCCGTTGGCCTGCGAGCCCGCCACGCAGGCCTGTCCGAGCCAGGCCAGGCCAACGGCTGAGCCGGTGTTGCAGGTCGAGAGCAGGGTCCAGTGGCTGAATCCGTCGTTCTGGCCGCCTCGCCACGCGGAGAAGAGGTTCAATCGCTTCTGGATATCCACGCTGGCCGAGCAGTCTTGGTTCCAGGGCGTGGCCGTCTGCTCGGTAGTCGGGCACGAGGGATCCGTGATAACGACGTTTGCCAGACCCAGCGAGATATTGAAAGTCGACTCGAAAAGCTCCGACGCCGAGTTCATCTGCTTGATGATATTGTCCCTCGTCTTGGTCTTATCCGAGCTGAAGGCCTTGATGTACGTGCAGTCCGTCGCAACGCCGACAAGCGCGACCTTGCGCGTGGTCGGGCACCCCGCCGTGCTCCCAATCGACGAGACGAGGTTGACACCCGCGCCGTTGCCACCACCAGGAATGTCAGACTGCCTCTTCCCCAGCATCGCCGAAAAGGGCATGGCGAAGAAATTCTCCTCTGCACTCCTCGCGCGCATGGCCGCATACACCGGGTGGTCCTCGTGCGTGTTGAACTTGAGCTCGTCGCTCACACACGCCGGCCCGGCATCCCTCCTCCTCAGCTCTGAATGCTCTTCGACCCTTCCCATATCGCTGTCCCGAAAGACGACCATTTTCTCCTCGCCCGACCCCAGATCCAACTCCGGGTCCCCCCTGACCATGGTGCTGACATAGTTCTCGCCGACCAGCACGTGGTGGTGGTCGTGGTCAATCGTAAAGGTGCCCTCGAACACAGGGTCCAGGCCGTCCCTCCTGACATCTATCCTCGCCCAGCCCGCGCGGTCCCATCGTGCGCCCCTCTTCAGCCACGCCGTCCCCTTGTAGATCTTGTGCTGCAGCCGGTCGACGGGCTCCTCGGCGTGCACCTGGCCGTCGGCATCGAGGTAGCTGATCTTGGCGCCGTCGGGGAAGAGGTCGTGGTTGGGCTCGAGGCTGAGGCGGATGCGCTGCGAGGTGGTGGTGAAGTCGAAGGCGAGGTCGAAGGACGAGAGCGCCGTCACTCTGTGGTTGGGCGTGAGGATGTCGGCGTTCTTTGCGAGCCCGATGCGCTGCAGCGGGTCTCGCGCCGACGACGATGCCGTGGCGACGGCGAGCAGCGATGCGAGGCACGCGCCGAGCGTGCTCCGTAACCGCATCGTGGGCGGTGTATGTGTGGATGTGTGTGCCGCGGGCGGCGCTGTCTCTCCTGCTCTTTTCTCCTCCCAATAGTCTGTCTCTCACTCCGGTCTTTTAATAGTTCAGCTGGCAGGGTCCACCAACGCGTCCAGTCCAGCGGCGAGATGTGGCGCGAAGCGTCGATTAAGCAAACACCCGTCGATATTACAGCCGCGCAACAACGAGCGACACGGAAGCGAAGGTCGACATGTAAGTGTACGAAGTGGAGGCAAGTGACCTCGCCCTCCAGGCTAGGCGTGAAGGCCGTCCAGAGCGTCCGGCAGCGAGATGCATTGCACTGCCCGCTCCTAGACGCCTCCTTGGCGACAAGTGACAGGGGGCTGGGCCAAAACGCCTTCGAAACCGGCTCGCCCGGCAAGCCACACCTGTCACTGGCCGAGTGCGCGCCCTCAAAGGCATGCGCTGTTATTATTGCAAGAGAGCCCGCAATGCACGCTCTGGAGACAAGGTCGCACTGCATGTTTGCTTGTACATAAACATTTGAGTCTCGCCCGGCTACTGGATATCGCAGACACAGCCCAATCCTCTCTGACACCAAATAACACATTGTCCGCGCTGACTGCCAGTGCAGGTGCTCGTAGCCACACCGGCGCAGATGCCTCTAGCCGGTACCCGTTGGCGCATACCCACCTCCGTTCGTCGCGCCCTCGCCTCCACGCGAAGTGAAAGGCTAGTGAAACTTGCGCGCCACTCAAGCGCCTCAGCACCCCTCTATACGCAGTCTTACTTCTTCTTGGCCGAATGCACCACGTTAATGATCTTATCGACGACCGAGGGGTCCGATAGCTGCGCACCGTTAGCCCGCATTCCAAGCCCACGACGCGCGTCACTCTTGCACAACACCACACCCGATGACAAGTGACAAGAAAGCAAAAAGCGCGGCTTACCGTGGTCGTGTCGCCCAACTGGTCCTCCTCGCCCGCCAAGATCTTGCGCAGAATGCGCCGCATGATCTTCCCGGACCGCGTCTTGGGCAGATCCGGCACCACAAAGATGGCTTTGGGCGCGGCAAACGGACCAATCGACTTGCGCACCTGCAGGATCAGGTCCTTCTTTGTCTGGTCCGAGTTGTCGTTGCCGTCCTTGAGCGCCACGAACGCGTTGACCGCTTGCCCTGTGAGCTCGTCGTGGACGCCCACGACGGCTGCTTCAGCCACCCCGTCTGCGGAGAAGGTCAGCTTGGCGGCTTCTTGGGCGCACGTGGCAAAGAACACGCTACTTACGGTGCTCGATGAGCGCGGCTTCGATCTCGGCCGTCGACAGGCGATGGCCACTGACGTTCACAACGTCGTCTACACGGCCTCGGATCCAGTAGTAGCCCTCGTGGTCGCGGCCTGCGCCGTCGCCCGTGAACTGCTATCATTAGCACACGTCTCGCAGCCAAAACATGTTCTGAGACTCACGTAGTACCCCTTGTACACATTCAGATACGTATCCATGTATCGCTTGTGAGCACCCCAGACTGTGCGCGCCATGCTGGGCCATGGCTGCTTGAAGGCAAGCACGCCTTCTACATCGTTGCCGTGGATCTCCTCGCCGGACACGGGGTCGATGATGGCGGGCTCGATGCCGAAGAAGGGTAGGGAGGCCGATCCAGGCTTCGTGGGTGTCACGCCGCCCAGCGGTGTGATGACGTGCGAGCCAGTCTCCGTTTGCCAGTATGTCTGTTCTCGTTAGTCTTTGCTTCACCATCGGTAAAATACAAGCTTACGTCTACAACGTGTGCTTCCTCCTTTCCGACAACCTCAAAGTACCACTTCCACACCTCAGCCGCAATTGGCTCTCCCACGGACCCAAGCACACGCAGGTTCTTCATCTTGTGCTTGACGTGCTCGTCACCAGCGCGCTTGAGTAATCGCAGCGCCGTGGGCGCAACGTAGAACTGGCTGACATTGTACTTGTCGACGATATCCCAGTAGCGCGAGAAGTTGGGATACGCAGGGGTGCCTTCAAATACAACGGTGGCAACACCGAGCAGCAGCGGCGCATACACGACGTAGGTGTGACCGGTAATCCACCCAACATCTCCACCGCAGAAGAACACGTCCTTGTCGTGGATATCAAAGACATACTTGCCCGTCGCCGCAGCGCCGATGAGGTACCCACCCGTCGTGTGCATGACGCCCTTGGGCTTGCCGGTAGACCCGGACGTGTACAGCAGGAACAGGGGGTCCTCTGAGCTCATAGACTCAGGGGCGATGTAATTGGGGTACTTCTCGACCTCCTCGTGCCACCAGTAGTCTCGGCCCTTTGTCCACGGGACATCGGTGCCGGTGCGCTTGTAGACGAGGCAGTGGGAGACGTTGGGGCACTGCTTCAGGGCGTCGTCGACGATCTTCTTGGTGCTGATGGTCTTGCCGCCGCGCTTGCCCTCGTCGGTGGTGATGACCACCTTGCTCTCTGCGTCGATGATGCGGTCGCGCAGCGAGTCCGAGGAGAAGCCTGCAAAGACGACCGAGTGCACGGCGCCGATGCGTGAGCAGGCAAGGAAGGAAATGACGGCTTCGGGAATCATGGGCAGGTACAGCGCTACGGTGTCGCCCTTGCGGACGCCCATCTCCTTGAGCGTGTACGCGAGCTTGGAGACCTCGCGCAGGAGCTCGCCGTAGGTGATGATGCGGCCGTCAGCGGCATCGTCGGCCTCGTAGATGATGGCGGGCTTGTCTGGGTTCTTGAACGCGTGGCGGTCGACGCAGTTGTAGCTGGCGTTTAGGCGGCCCTCGACGAACCAGGCATTGTCGCCGTTCTCGAAGCTGCCCGCGTGTACGGTCTGGAAGTCGCGCTCCCACGTGAGCAGCTCACGCGCGAGGTTGCCCCAGAATTTGTGCGGGTCCTGGATGGACTCCTTGTACAGCTTCTGGTAGTGCTCGAGGCCGTCGAGATGCGGCTTGGTGTGCGGGTGCTTGCTGGTCACGGGTCAGCATCTCGTCCCGATTGATGTGGGTGAATGTGTGTGCATCGGCCTCTTGGGCGATGACGCTGCCACGGCTTGCTGCACTGGGCATTGGCGGGGTCACCCCGCTTCGGCGCAGCGTCCATGCCAACACGCCGCACACGTCGCCGGCCGGGGGGACACAGCACAGAGGCGCACTCACTCGTAAAAGGCTTTGGGGACGTGGAAGGTGTCGACCTCGTGGGCCTCGTGCACCACGGGCGGCTTGGTGTCGCCGTCGGACATGTTCAGTTGGCGAAGCGCGCGGCCGCAGGGGGGAGTCTGTGGTGCGGCGGAGCTCAATGCGTGATGGCGTCTTGCAACAGGAGCCTGAGGGGCACGACGTAGGCCGGAGGAGGTTGCAGTCTTATGCCAGCGCGTACGACCCGGGTAAAGGGCTCGGGCGGTGGTTGATTGCAGGCCGCAAATTGGGCGTGCTGCCGTCGCGCTCGGAGAACCACTGCCAGGCTACTCCACTGTACTAGTAGGAATGCGCGGTGCTCAGGCAACGGGGCTTCTGCACGCAGCAGACTGTGACTGGGAATGGGAGGGAGGAGAGGAGCAGAGCAAGTGAACGTCCCCGCTGCCGGGCGGCGCGCTCTTATGAAGCACCACCAACACCATAGCATCATCGCGCCAGTGCCCTCTGGCCATGGCCGTCCGGTCTGCGGGGACGAACGGCTGTGCGGTCGTGGGCTTTGTTTGGCTCCACACAGGTCGACACTTGGCGGTTCTCGGTCATGGCATCAATCCGCTTGTCCGGGCTGGCTCCTCGAGAGCCGCGGGACTCGAGCAGCGAACCGCATATCTGCGCCTCGCACCCCTTTGGTCGTAGCCGCTGTAAGATTTGGCGCGTCTCGTGCCACCGCTGCTGCAGACGCGCCGTGGAGCGCTCCATGTGTTTGCATCTGCTCGGAGGCCTCCAGCTCAGCATCGCTGTCGGCTTGTTCAAGTAGCTACCTCCTAGTGCCCGCAAGCGGTGCATGCTCCAGGTGCACCTCTCCAGCTCGCACCGACCCCACGGCCCGATAGCGTGCTGCCGCTGTGCTGCCACTGTACTGTTACTCGCACAGGGCCGCTGACGAATCGCCCGGGCCTGGGGAACTTCTCCCATCCCATCAACCTGGCGGCCCGAGGCGCTGGGCAAACTGTAGCCGAAATAGCGCACACCACACACCACCACGCTGCCCTGCAGCCGTACCCAAGCCTAGCCTGAGTATCCCTGAGTATCCGCCAGGCTGGCTTCCGACATCGCCCTGCTGTGTATTTGACATCCTGGGGCCCCGGCCGTCAACGAATTCAAATGCCACCTCGACAGCCGTGGTCCCATCTGAAAGCCGGTGGCGTGCTAAGCTTTGCACTCAAGCTCTGCGGAGCGAGCATGCAGGTGCGGGGTGGCCTGAGGGGACGGGCTGCCATTCGACTGACTGTGCCGCATCCGTCTGCCCTGTGCATATTACTACTCGCGCCAATTATAATTCTCGCCCGTACATGCGCCGAAGCCTTGGCATCGAGTGTAGAGTAGGCAGACACTAGGACATCTTCAGTCTCGGCTTGCACAACGCTGCAGACGGCAGAGTACCGTGCATCCTGAACAGATAGCTGAGCTCAAGTGGGCAGACCAGTTGGACAGCAGCTCTGGTACGTCGTGAAGGTACGCCTTGCATGTACGCCTTGAATGTACGCCTTGAATGTACGCCTCCACGCGGAGACGTGCGAGGTGGGAGGCCTCTGTAGGCGGCATGAAAGCCTCTGCGCGAGGCATATTGGTCTAGAACTGAGAAGCGAAGCTATGGTACATCATAAATGGTATCGTTACCGAGCGGAAGGATGCGGTGCGCCCTCACTGTACGCCTTTACCTCGCCTACACATGTGTAGCCCCAAACATCCCGTAACCTATCCTAAACGCCAAATCTTTGCATTGAAAACATCCCGCTGGCTGCTCCGCACCGCGAACTTACTGGCTGAATGCTATCTCGGTGGGAGAGTCAGTCGTGCTTGTCGCAGACTCTTCTCTCGCTCTGTCCGCTTCTTTGCTCGTTGTCACATCTACTTCTTGTGGTAGCATGGGAGAAACGAGTCCTCCCGAACTCTCGCTGTTGTGCCTTGCGTGCAAGGCTACGCTGGCAGATATTTTTTCATCCAGTATGCTGACTAGACGCTCCGAGTACTGATCGAGTATCTTCTGAATCGTTGTCTCGTTGAGCCCAACATTCGACTTCGCCTTCTCCCCTACCACGCGTGCGGTCAAGGCCAGCTCTCGCTCCACTTCACGCACGACGTCTGCGCCGAGGCTATCGTTGCTGTTGGCAATGCGCTTTCGATACGCCCGCAACGTCCGACAGAGACTCTCGGTCGATGACGTTAGGCTCCCAAAATCTGTTGCTGGAGGTTGTTTTGAGCGGAGTCGGACGTCGACCGATAAGCGGCGCTTCGCGACCTGTGGATGACGGGGGCTTGGAGGCGAGGGCGACCGGTTGCGGTTTATCCGGCGCATGGACTGCGCGGACCCTGTGCCACGGTCTTTCGGCATGCTGGACATGGGAGAGGGCTCTAACTTGGGAGTTGATGCCAAAGAAAACTTGGAAAGCTTCTTCCGCAGCGTTGGGGAGCGTTTACCCGTCGGTGTAGTCTGGTCATCCTCCGACCGCTGGAATCGCGCAAGCTCCGACTGAGAGAAAACACGTCTCAGTGGCGGCTTACTTGCCAGGAGATCTTTATTCGATGGTGTGCTTGGCCCAAGCAAGTCCATCGAATGGGACATGTGTTGCCGCGAAGGAATGAGCAAAAGACCCCAGACGAAAATGGTACCGTCGGCCGCGACGGTCACTAGTGACCTCTCGCTACTGTCATCGTCTGGTTCGCTGCCGGACTTCAACAGAGTGATATCTCTCACACCTTCTGTGTGGCCCCAATCACGAGCAACCAGGGTTCCATTCTCTTCGTAAATTCGTATGGACTTGTCGGTACTTGACACTCCAGCGATGAGAGGGGATCCCCATGTACGTGGAATATGTGCCAGCGAGGAGAGTACGACAGCATCGCCACCCTCAGCGTCTGAAGCCCGAAAGCTGCTCAGACACTGACCGTTGCGCAAATCGTATTTGTGTACATGACGGTCCACCGTGGAGACCAGAATGACATCGTCTTGGTCGGCGTCCAAGGTCATGGACACAGGGGATGACTTCAATATGATTGTCCGCAAGATGATGAAAGCCCTGTCTGTGCTCTCTGTGTCCTGGCGAGACACAAGTTCGCGTACGACGATAGTGCGGTCAGAGCTCATGGATATGAGTCTTTCTCCGTTTCTGGAGAATATGACTCCTGTTACTGCCCCCACGTGCTCGTCAAGCGTTTGCAGAAGATCCCAGCTTTCACTTTTCTTCTGGAGTATCTGGATGTGCCGATCTCTAGCGCTACTGGCAATGTATGCCATGTCTTTACTTTCAAACATGGCTATGCCTGTTATTTCGTTTGAGTGCGCTTTCATATCAACGAGACTGGATCGTGTCTGGCGATCGATGATTCGAAGCACACCGTACTTGTCACCAGTAACAAGCACACTTGCGTCAGCAGATGAGGCAACGGTTTTGAGTTCATTGACCTCATCTACGCCAGGTATCTGTTCGAGTGGGACGTCCAGTATTTGCTTGTAGGTACCCACTTGGTTCCAGTAAAGAACAGCACCACCTGTCGACCAAGTGTAGAATGATGCTCCAAGTGCGTTCGATTCGGCTAACGGTGCTACCCCAAGCACAGGGTCACCATGAGCTGGGAGCTTTTGGAGGACATCACCAACCATGGTATCGTCGTCGGGAGCGCGTAGATGGGACAATCGGATTGAATTCTGAGAGTCAACTGTGACAAGGTAATCGAGCAGCGAGCCTACGGCTTCAATCTTGTTCGAGTCCGTGCTCAGGGTGACGGTCGGGGACTCTACTCTGGGCGGGGGTGAAGGGGGTGGAGTGAGTACGCCGATGGTATCGCTTATGTTGAGCGTTTTCAGCCCTCCTTGGCTGCTAGCGATATGGAGTCTGCCTTGAGAATCAACCGCCATCGAGGTTACGGCGATTGCAGCTTCTGCAACCTTGAAGAACCGCTGGGTGCCGTCGCTATCGTCAATCAGGCAGAGCTGACCCTTGTCTGTCGCGACGATAGCTTTCGAGGGAGCCACCGCCACGACACTCGTAAAGTTGGCCTCGAGTAGACTTTCCAGGATGCAGTTCCTCCCAGGTAGCGTCTTGTGCGCGCTGGTCGATAGGAAGGACACATCGCTTTGGCGCGTCTTGGACACGCGGGATGCGGGATGAGAGTCCTCCAGGCGCCAGACCTTGACATGTCTGGTGCCGACCGTCACCACAGTGTTGCCCATCCATGCCATGCGATTGATGGTACTGGTACACTTGTTGCTGGCGTACAAGCTAGCAGCTCCCGTGCGCGCATTGATGCTCCATATGTACAGGAAACCGTCATTGGGGGAGCCCAGGCTAGCCAAGTACTGTGAGTCTGGAGAAAAGGCGAGGCATCTGACGCCAAACGTGTGGTCGGAGAGCGCAGTGAGCGGGGTTTCCGAAGGCGCATCGGGTGCAGTCGAAAAGATCAACACGCGCGGCTTGTGTCCCGTCTCTCCAACGGCAAGGTACTTGCCGTCCGGACTGAAGGCCACACACGTCGCAGCCTTTATCCTGTCTCTTGCTGACCACGATGTCCCGCCTGGCGAGGCACTCCAGTCATTGGCAGGCGATCCCAAGGGAGACGCACCAATGCCAGACTCGCGCAGGGACGCGGCGGTGCGGTTCCGACTCTCGTTCTGCGTCGGGGTGGACGGGCCTCCGTATGCGGAAGAGGAAGGGTTTATGGGGTTCGCTGTCGGTCGCGCGCGGTAGAAGCGCTGCGAGACATGTTGTTCGTCATCGACCGTCGCAAGCACCGCGGCGGCGCCGGCGCAGAAGGCAAAGGAGCGCGCGTTGGGGAGACTGTCGAAGGCATTGGCCGAGCTGGCCGACGTGCCAATGACCTGGCGGAGGGCAAGCGATGCTTCGGCGCGGTGGGCTTTTACGGGCGAGCGCAGCGGGGTATTCTTGAGGAAGGGCGACGGCGAAGGCGTGAGCTTGAGCCCGCTCCCCCAGGCCGGGCTCATGATTCTGGGGTTGTTTGGCGTGAGCGACATGGCGAGGGCCGAACAGATCGACGGTTCGCGTGTTGCACTTGGCCAGGGACATGTCAAACAGCCTCCATCGCACTTGCTGCTGCTGGTCGTTGAGGTGATGTAGGAATGTACCCAGCGGGCCGCTAGCGCCAACAACCGATTCTTGCTCTCCTCGGGGCCATGGAGGGGTGGCTGCGCGCACGGTCGGCAGTGAAGGCACGCGCCTCAGGTCCAGTATCCCAGACCGCGCGCAAGGTGAAGGTGAAGGTGAATGCGGCCCATGCGGCGGAGACGCATGTTTTCACCGCATCAACACGCGCAAGCGACGATCCGCGAACCGCCGCACGGGTCGCGCAGGCACGCCGCGCCTCCCATTCGCTCGCTACGCTGATCACCCGCAGTCAATACAACTCGTCACACTGCTCTCAGCTCCCCCGCTCCTTTTTGCTTGTTGAAGACGTCTCGAGAAGCACGTTGGAGGCCGAAGTAACCAGGCACGTTCTGACGTCGTGGGACCGCATGCCATGCAATGTTGGCTCTGCAGATACAATCCCAGTCACGTCGCCTAGCACGGCAGAGCATCACAAGCCGACCGGGGCAAGCGAAGTGCATATGCTGTGTACACGCCCCAGCGAAAGATCCAGGTGCCATCTATAATTACTAGTATCCTCTGGCAGGCCACCAATGAGTTCGCAATCAACGCTCTATGGGTATCACCATCTATCACTTCTAGGGTTCGTTCTTTCCTTCTCCAGGTTATCCGCTCCTTCCCGTCCGCCGCACGTGCTGCTCAACGGCGGGTTTTCTGCCACTCTCTCTCTCGGCTGCTTCTCTGCAACGATCCTACTCCAGCCATCTCCATCCGTTCTTCCTACTGTCCAGCCAACGAACCCCAGCCTGACAAAATACCGACACCATGAGGAGAGTGCCTGTATAGACGATGGGCCGCGTGAAATCGGTTCCCTGCAGGTTCGCGTCCTCGACCCTGGACACAAGTGAGCCTGCAATCGGCACGCCCATCAGATAGCCCACGCCTCGGATCGATGCGAGCGCCCCATTGTACGAGTAGTACAGCTCATCGCCAAAATGTCCTCGCTGCACCGAGTTGATGACCGTGTTGAACACGCCGAACACGCAACCGTATACGACGTTGAAAGCGATCCAGACCGCCTTGCTGTTGGTATGCGCAGACGGAAGCCACATCGCCAGCGTACTGATAGCGTACGTAAGTGTTGCCAGCAGAAATACGTTGTTGTGCCCGAGTCGGTCGGCCGCATACCCCGTTACCAACCTCGCTGGTATGCTAGTTATGCTACCAAGTGACAATATCACCGAAGCCATGTTGACATGGTAACCCAGAGCTTCGCTGAATTCAGGTCCAAAAGTCGTCGGGATGGCGACCGTCAAGGGGTTCATCAGGTTCACCATGAACAGAAGCGTAAAGGTCGGGTTTTTGAACGCGCCCCATCCGGCCGGCTGGGTGCGTCGTTTCTGGTATTTGCGAGGTGGTACTGCGAGGCAGCTAGAGACGCCTAGAAAAAAGGCGCTAAGAATCGACATGAATCCTAATGTCCACCTGGATCCCATGGAGTCAAGAATCTTGGGAAGGCTCAGCGAGAGCGCAAGCCCGCCAAGGCCACCACCTAGGGAACATCAATGCCTGGCACCGCAAAAAGGCCTTGACGACATACATGCTAGGGTAGAGCCTTGTGCTAGACCCGCTTTATTTGTAAAGTATTCCGGAAGGATCGTGCTCAGAACGTTGAAGAAAACACCATTCCCGATACCGACGAGAAGTCCTTGTGTCAAAAGAAGAAACCAAATCTTTGACCGTCGTCAGTTTTGGCTGAACAATCATTAGAAAGGCTTACATTGGTGCATGCTGCTGCTAACGCGAAACCCAGCGTCGTGAACACGGCGGCCGCGCCGCACAGTGTCCTGATATGTTTTCCCATCAGTGGAAGACGCGGGAAGAACAACATAGCGAATACTGCGACAATGCCTCCATTACCAAGGGCCTGAATTGCAGCGATTGCGGCTCTTTGCATTTGGTCCTCGCGTCGAATGATGCCGTCGTAGAAAGCTTTCTCGCTGCCATAGTGCGCTTGGAAGATGCCGAAGCTCTGGTTGATCCCTTGCACCCAAAATGTTTGCATCGCGCAAGCCGTCCAAATCCTGAACTGTTGATATTCTGTTACTGTGGCTTTCTCATTTGGTATCCTGGCAGAGTAAGCGTCATGTTCCGTTGATTAAGGCATGTCCCGTTGCTCACCGATCCGCGTCGCCCAGCTCGACTGCATCCGCACAGTCTTCTTTGTAATCGTTTGCCGATGATGATGTTCGAGTGGTTCCCGACAGTGCCATGGAAACGTTTCTGGTTGTATCTAAGTGTTGCGAGCGCGATGTATCTTCTTGAGTGCTGGCACCATCTGTTCACATCAGCGGACTTATTTTGAAACGCACATGCGCACCTACCACTTCTCTCCTGATCAAAGGACTGCAATACTATCTTACGCCCATCGGACACTCCTGAATGCGAAGACGCCTGGGACGAGCTCGTTTCTGTGCTCGACATGCCTGCACCGATAGCAGCCAGCGTGTATGTAGGCGGCTCTGTCAACTCTCCTCAAAGGACAGGTCCACAGCTTTAAGTTATAGACTGACGAATCTGCATGGGATCTGCGTGTGCAACCGCTGGACGGATGTCCCATTTCCACGGTTGCACTATGATGGCATCGCTTCCAACCACTCTCGCCCAAGGTAACCCTACTTTTACGATACTCTGATAGGGCGGCGACCCGCTCCCAACACCCCAAGCCAGCATTGAAGCAGCGGTTGGGGGACGGGTGTCCCGTCAAGACTGGTTCGCCATCGAGTCAAGAGACGTAAGAGTGGGCCCTCGTCTACCCATTATGGTCTTCTAAATATCATCATGGCAGATGTGCATTGTGATCAAGCTGCAGGAAGCATGCCACTTCAAGATCCAGGCAACAATCTTGTGAATATTGCGCAGCAAAATAAGGTTGCCAATGCTCAGCCATACTTGCATTGGTGAGGGGCGGAGACGAGGCTGCTTTGGACCCTCTCTCTGTGGTTGAGGCGCTAGCTATGGACGTGTACTAGATGCGCGGGACCCACTTGGAGACAGCGTATATCGCAATGCAAATTTGCGAATTTGAGCATGCATGCGCTCTAGCTGACAGCTGACTCACTTATACCAAGGGATGGTGGGTTGGAGAGGCGGGGGGAAAGGGATAGGGCGGGGGGAGGAGGTAGGTCGCAGGCATGTTCAAGAGAAGCGAGCGCGCTATGCTTATATCATGCTCTCTTGGTACGCTTTCTAGACCTAAGAAGAAGCGCATGCTGAATGCAGAAGAAATTTGCACTGAGGTGGGTGATAGGCAGATGCAACAAGCCAAGTTGTGACACCAGTAAGTGACAAAAAAAAAGGTAGGTACAAAACAAAGCTTACTATTCGACAAACAGCGTTCAAAGAGCAGACGCACTGATAGACCCTTTGGTACCTACATACTTTTGCTATGAATTCATGCAATGCTATGCACATAAGAGCCACGAGGTGTTAGCACAACGTGCCCCTGAACCCTAATCTATGAGTAGCGCATTCTCTGCGGTGCAAAGTCACAGCACCACCGCATTACAAACTCTCTTAGTTTCCACCGCCCTGTGAAAGTCCCTTCACATGCTGATCTTCCTAGGAAGCGCCTCCACTTTACTTCCTCTCCCCATCCCGCTTATCCACAAGCTCAATATCCGAATCACTCCGATCCTCCCTGTGCACCCTCACATCCAACGTCCGACTCACCATAACATTCAGTGGCATCCCACCACTTCTCTTCCCCCTCCGACTATACGTATCATGACCACTACCATTGATCGTAACGCTGTTGTTTTGGTAGTTGGAGTGCTGCGAGGAGAAATGGGAGGAGCCGAACAGCGCAGGCAGCACTGTCTGGAAGATGGGCCTCATGGCGGGCATGCAGGCAACGATGATGAAGAGGTTGGCTTCCGTGACGCACCAGTAGAGACCGCTGACATTATCGTCTTGGAGTTTGACGGTTAGCAGGGGGATTAAGGGAAGGGCGGAAGGGAGGGGACACACAGGTGGGGTTGTTAGTTTGTGCGAACTGGACGAGAGCCCAAAGGCGCAGGCAACTAACAACAGTGATACTAATGGAGTTCGTTAGCGAGGCGCGTTCCTCACATGGATGCATGCCACATACACAAATCCAACGCAAAACATGGACATAATCTGCACCTTCTTCCGCGTGGACATTTGCAGCTTCGACAGCATCGGCAGCGGCAGCGCCAAGATGACTAGATCCAGCACGATCTCGATACCCCCGCGGATGAAGCCGAAGAGCCGGATGTTGACCGTGCACTTGCCGGGTGTGTCGCCGCGCCAACCGTCCCAGAAGAAGGAGATCGGGCGGCATTGCAGGACCATGGCGAAGGTGTTGCCTACACATGCGTCAGTACTGTCGAGAAGCTTGGGTAGGGTACGCAGAGGCCATGGGTAAGAAGAGAAGACAATGTTGTACTGGGGCATTTCGTACCGATGGCGAAGCTGGAGACGACGGCCATGAGGGCCCAGATGATGGCTTTGGTGCGGCGTGAGGTCACGAGGCGGAGGTAGAAGGCGAGGATGGAGAGTTGGGTGAAGCCTTCAACGAGCTGGTAGGCGAAGTAGGTTACGTAGAGCCACTTGAGGCTGGTTGTGATGTTTTCGGGGGGAATGCCCCACATGTCTTTTCCAAAGCCAAGATGCCCGGCAACATACACAGGCACGTTCTGAAAGAAAGAGCACAGCTTTCGCAGACGTCAATATCTCGGACTGTTCAGGGATCTTGTGTTCTTACCCCAGATGCTCCAATCATCAAGTCATCCCATCCGAGCGTGCGGTCGCGAGAAAGACCGCGATTCACCAGCCGCATGATTACCATGACCATCGCCAGCGATCCGAAGGACGCGGTCATTCCAATCATCACCGGAGTTGCGTCGCGAACAGGGATCCCACAAGCTGCTCTGCTCGTGTTTGTTGACTGGAGAGATTCTATCACAGTGCAGGTGGACGAAATGCAAGTTGAGAAGGCCGTTTGGAAGCTGACATCGGTGCAGAGACAATCCATCTCTTCTGGGGTATCGCTGCCCAAGCCACAGCTTCTCACTGACAGTGACGCGTTGAAGCACTTTGCCTGCAGAGTCCATCAGTATCCATCGGCCCCCTGTGCGATCGAGACATACAGCGCAGCCGGGAAGTTGCTCCAGGAGTCCACTCTGCGCGCGCGCACCCATCGCGAGGGCAAGAAGCGCAACGACTGCGCCTGCTGGAAACCTCATCGTGTGCGCTGTTGAAGAAGTAGCAGCAGAAACATAGCAAAAGAATCAGACGTCAGTAACGATTTTGGACATCGGTTTGGAATTGCATTGCAGACGCCCCTGCGTTGCGCACGCCGCATGCCATGGGTTCTTCTTCACGGGTCGCCCCGCTGGGCGGCAGATAGATTGTTCTCAGACATACGGCACGGATCTGCATGCTTGTACGACGTTGGCATAAACCGACAAACGGTTGTTGATGAGCTCCGAAGGGGGTTCCTTCTTAGAAATGAGAAGTTAGGTAACTTGTAACATCTACAACGGGCCAGTGCCTTCGGGAGGCTAGCTTCAGTATTGTTAAGCCTTTTCTTCGCTCAAGCAAACGACCGACAGAGCGCTGTCTCGACGCTGGAGACGCCCGTACCTCTGGGCCATAAGTTCAAGAAACTATCGAGTTGTTGGACGATCGGAGTGTTTTTGTCCGAGAAAGGGACCTGACAACTACGACGTACAACCATCGAAGAAAGACCATACACCCTCCATATTGATAGTCCCCAAAGCAAACATGCAACGGCTTCACCTTCTCAATGTCTTGGATACAGCTAACCACTTCTAGCGCGACACCCCGGGCTGAGCACCCGAGAGCATCATGAGACGCTTGACGTAACGAAGCCAGATGAAGAAGCTCGTCCCCAAGCAAGGACTACGCAACCACTACAAAAGACTTCCATGTCGCATTTTGCGGCGAAGTCCATGTGGGAGATACTAGGATTTTTAGGGAGCGGCCCGAGCGGCCCGAGACACGTGAAGTGGGTGGCTCGACTCTCGCTAGTACCCGCTCGTCCCGGCCCTCCGCAAGACTTCTTCCCTTCTGCCTGCTATGGGATACAACGTAGTGTACGGCGCAGCTCTGCTCGTTCCATTGGATGGGTTAGCTGGGGCATGGGTCTGGTGCGGCAGGTCGTCTCGTATGTGCACGCTACGTTGCGACAACCCTGCCACAACGAGGATGGCCCGTCACGTTGTGTAACCACAGACGAGGGGCTAGGCGGCGCCACCACGGGTACGCTTGCGTTTGACAGCTCTGACAGCTCTGATAGCTCCGGTCTTAGCTGCTCGCGATGAGCTGGTGTGTATACAGATGTCGCCGATGAAGGAGTCAAAGGCAAACAAGCATATCACCTTGTGCTGCGGTGCCACTACCAAGATTGTCGCTTACGTTCCCAAAGTGACGCGGGGCTCCGATGTGGGGGCTTCAGCATCCCCCAAGGAAACAGCCACAAGAATCCCAGACCGTTGAGGTGTGCTACACCGTCGAACGAAGCTGGGGGCTTGTTTTCTCATGATTCACAGGTGCGCGCGTCTCCGTCAACTCAAGCCCAAGGCGCCGGGCCGCACACCACCGCTCACCTGCAGTACGCTAGACTGGCACGGCAGAACCCCTTGGTCTGTCTTACCGTGGAGCTGGTTCGTGGGTGTACTTTAGAATCTCTCTCGGCCCGTTTTTCTCATACCCACATCCCTCGTTCCCTGCTGGCGCTTGTTACACCATCTCAATCTGTCGTTTTGCATGCTCTGATAGCTCGCATTTGTCGACGCCGGGCCCCACCATGGCTGTATTCTCGAGCCTTGCTTTCTCGCTTCTCTTCACGCTCGGAGCTGTCTACTTTTTCGAACGCTCACGGCGCCGGAGAAATGAACGACCATTACCGCCGGGCCCAAAGGGCGTTCCCGTCCTGGGAAATGTAAACGACATGCCCAAGCCTGGGGTTCTCGAATGCCATCATTGGCTGCAGCACAAAGACCTATATGGTCCCATCAGTTCGGTGACGGTGCTGGGGCAGACCTTCGTCATCATCAATGACTCGCAGATTGCTTTCGAGCTGCTGCGAGATCGCTCGGCGATCCACTCGTCACGCCCAGGCCTGGTGTTCAGTTGCGATATGTACGTGCTCTGCGCATCCCCGCTTCTGTATTTCGTGCTAGCATAGCGTATTGATCTTGGGTAGGGTGGGATGGCGCCACGCGATGGCCATGTGTCCGTACGACGATTTCTGGAAGACGCAGAGGAAGAACGTCACGAAGATTTCTAGCACTACCGCTTCCATCTCTGTGTTCGACCGCGTGCAGGAAGCTGAGGCTGTGCATTTCTTGCTTAATGTTTTGGATGCTCCCGAGAAGCTTTTCGATCACATACGCAAGGAGGCTGGTAGTGTCATCCTCAAGATCACGTATGGATACAACACCGTACCGCGCGGCAACGATCCGTTTGTCGACTTGGCCACCAAAACTATGGTGCAATTTGCTGATGCTACGACACCCGGACGCTGGATGGTTGATATCTTGCCTTTCTGTATGTTTCCGTTGCTTACATTCTTGTTTAGACCGCTAACTCGAAGCAGTGAGATATCTCCCAGAGTGGGTTCCCGGAACGGGCTTCAAAGACACGGCGAGGCGGATGGCTGTTCAGCTGGCCCAATGTACCAATCAGCCATATCAGTTCGTCAAACAGCAAATGCGGGAGAAACGACACAAGACATCATTTCTATCGCAGTGCATTCAGGACATTGGCAGTGACACGGAGAAGGAATTTGTGCACAAGTGGGCTGCACTTGCATTGTACCTTGGAGGCGCTGACACGGTAAGCTCTCGTACCTATGCAAAAGTGTGCCTCATACTTACCAATAGTAGACCGTTTCCGCGCTGATGACGTTCTTCCTCGCTATGACCGTTTTCCCCGATGTCCAGAAGAAGGTACGCAAACCCAGTTCAATAACCTAGGCACTGCTACTAACACTGTCGCCCAGGCCCAAGAAGAGCTTGGCCGCGTAATCGGCCCCTCCCGCCTCCCCGTAACTACCGATAAACCCTCCCTGCCCTATATCGAAGCCTGCATGCTGGAAACCCACCGTTGGCACCAAGTCCTACCCATGGGCCTGCCGCACATGTCGACCGAAGAAGACATCTGCCGCGGCTACCGCATCCCCAAAGGCGCCATCTTACTCTCCAATAACTGGCACTTCACGCACGACCCCGCCGTCTACCCCGACCCCATGACCTTCCGGCCCGAGCGCTTCATCACGACTGCCACGCACAAGGCGGAAACGGATCCACGCAGCTTCATCTTTGGGTATGGGAGGAGGATCTGTCCCGGCAGGTATGTCGCGGATAACGCGCTCTTTATCACGATTGCTCAGAGTCTGGCGGTGTTTGAGGTGCGCAAGGCGATGGAGGGTGGGAAGGAGGTGGAACCGAGGGTGGAGTTTGAACCAGGTGCTATTAGTCATCCGATGCCATTCAAGTGTGATATTAGACCGAGGTCGGAGAGACATGAGAGATTGATTAGGGAGGCGGAGAGGGAGTATCCGTTGGAGGAGAGCGATGCGAAGGAGTTGGAGAATATTAAATGGTAGACAGGAAGTTTGGTCTGTAGATGTGTCGGAATTTGGGGCAGGAGCTCCTAGCTATGTGCTCGTGAGAGGTTGCGGTTTCTGGTAAGTGGGAGCGTGAGCGTAGACTACCAGGGACCACCCACCCCCCCGCGAGCCTATAGATAGCGGAACTCCTACCCCAGCTCTGTATTATCGATCTTTTTAAATACTATACTCATGGACCCTAAGTGGATGGTGGGACGATACAGTCAACATCCAACATGGGAAAAATATTGCACTGTCTCTGCTTATGAAGCCCACCAATCACATTCGACTTGACTCAACTCCAAGTACCACCCCGGAGACTCACAGAAATAGCTCAGCGAATCGGTGGTATTAATCATAGGGTATCCAAGTATCGGTATGACTTCGGTCGGGTAGCCCTCCGGTATCTCATTTTGCCCTATGAGCACCATCTATGTCAGTAACCATGTTCCGACCCTCACAACAAGAGGTACATACCAAGCATACGCGTGAGCTTGGCTTGACAATCCTTCTCCCTTTGCCACATCAGCCAGGTTCTCGCGCAAGAGGAGGTAGAGGTAGTACATACTCGAAGACGAAGCAGAGGCCACAGTTCCAGCTCCCGATCAGGCGGACTGGGAGCCCTTTCTCTTGTTCTGGCCTCTCGTCGCCAGGGAACGGCCAGTCGAAGTTTTCGCACTTCTTGTTGGCATACAGACATCCCATTCGGTCTGCGTTGCTGTAGTTCGTGAAGTGGCCGCACCAGTTTGGTCTGGAGTGGAAGGGGTCGAGGCAGATGCCATTTTGGTCCGCCAGGGCTGTGGCAACAAGGGTGGAGATTGACCCGAGTATGCTGGGGAGATACATGGCTGTTGCTGGTGTGGTTGAACGTCTTTAAAATGATATCAAGCAAGGTGCAGGTTGAGAGCGAAGAGCATAGTCTAAGTGGAGGCGGAGTGAAGGACAACTGTTCACTGGGGACTGTGCCTGAACATGCCTTCCACAATCGTCACGCGTGTCTCTCACTTCAAGAAGCCCTCGCCCGTTTCTTTCACCTTGCGTTAAAGACTTGTTCGACCTACCCTATTTAGCTCTTGGAAAGGCCGCAGACCTTTGACCCGCCCATCTCTACAACAATACTTTGCGACGGAAAAGATCTTCCAGGCATAACCTCTCTATATGACGGTCATGTCCATACATCGGGGATCATGAACGTCTTCACCATCTTCACCTACCTTTTCGCCTTCACCCTCGGCGCCGTCGCTCTTCCCCAGACGCAGCCCGCCAATCCCAACATCCAGCTCCACGAGGAGGGCTGCGGTTACCATCGCAGCGTGTTGAGGGGCGAATGGAATATCTTGCTGTTGCCCGAGTGCCCGAACTTCGACAATGGCACATACTAGACCCGCATCACCAACCCGAAATGCAAGGCCTGCTATATGTTCGCGTGAGTCATAGTCGAAGTGATAACAACAGCGAACAAGGTTGACTGTTCCCAGGAGCGATCTTTGCTCGGGCGAGGTGCTCTGGGTTGGCAGTAAGTATACGTATGTGAGATGATGAGTGAAGGTGACTTGGTAAAGACGCCGATGGACAGTGGCATTGGTTCCAGAACGGGGTCAAGAGCTACCACTGTAAGACCACGTTCTCTCGAAGGGATAGTATTAGTAAGTTTGAGATTGGTTCTTGAAATGACGTGCTCCTTACGGCACAGCTTTGTCTTGAAAACTCGGAGTGTCATGTTCGATGACCTCATGGCCATCTAACGTTGCATGTCTCTCGGAGACTGACGATATGGATCGATAGTACTTGCCCAGTGATCGTATTCCCGTTAGAGAGATGGTATCTAGAGATCAGTTGCACCAATAATGATTTTTATCTCAATTGTTTGCAAATGCACTTCCTTCAGTGACTGGACAGCAATCTAACGTTTATTTTATTTGATAGTGATTCCAGATGAGATTGATATGTTTGGGTCCGGTTGATATGAGTTGGGTTTTATACTTCGGAGTAAGTTCGTTGATCCACGACATTTATGACACGAAGGAGGAGATTAAATGATAGAAGCATGGGTGTATCGCAGATGCCCCGCAAAATATGAAACCAAAGCGTGATTCATAGATTAGAAGTATCTGAAGATCCACAAACAAGAAATTGCCCTGGCGATGCGTATAGTAACGATTTGTGGTAGGCCTTGAGAGTCTGTTCTCACGTGACTTGGTTGGGTCAGTCCAGGTTCCTGTCTAGCCAAATTTTGTAGACTCGTTTTTGAGCTGGCTTGGCCTTTTAAATAAATCTGTATTCATCATTGGTCTTGATCAGAAAAAAAATTCTTTGACTGTACCCACATGATAATTGTTAAACAATTATCGTCACACGAATAGCCTTCCTCATGCCCAGTGATTTCGTTAAAGTTACATGGAGCAGCGACTCCCTTTGCCTTTGGAAGGAAATCTACAGTACTTGTGCTCACGGCGCGAGGCCTGGTATCTTTCTTACGGTGATGCCTTTATTTCGCCCATGTCTGATAAGTGGGCAACTCTGGCTGCCACCCAGCTATCGATGCAACACCCAGTATCGCGAGCCACATTCCAATCGAGGTCAACTCTAAACCCCAGCCAGAAAGTCCGAAAAACCATGTGACGACCAATACGGCGTGAATTACCACGCATGCGCCGAGAAAGATGTCGAAGTGCAGACGAGTCTAAGTATGGTCAGTGATGAACTTAGTGTTTAAGTGGAAACAGCTTACTATTTGGAAGCGCCAGAGCGGTTTCTCACCCTCAGCATCACCAATAATCGCCAGACATGTCGCAGTGAACCAGAAGCCGAGCAGAGTGAGAAGGCTGTAGATGACAATCTGAGCGATGCTTCCCTTGATCACAGCAGACAAGATGCTGAGTGCAGACATGCCTGTCCGGAGTGCGAGGACAGTAAGCATCGCTAAATGTCTCAAGCGGACCTTGCCGTCTGGTGTGTGAATGAGGCTGTATGAGGAGAGCGAGAACACGAAGAACTTGTGCCAGCGTTGTTTCCACGAGGCAGTAGCTAGAGGCGGTGGTGCTGGACGCTCTGGAAGATCGTCTGGGAAGTAGCCACCATTGGCGTAGCTGTTGGGAAAGCCGTTGGAGTAAGCGGTGCGCGACATCTCAATAGACGGTGGTCTGTCTGAATTGTTCATTCCTCGCATAGGGACGACTTCAGGATCGTATGCAGCATTGTATCGTATTGGGACGGAGGCTTCTGCGTCGTGTCCTGCGTATCGACTAGGTGGTTGCTCGATGACGTGGGCCATAGTTGTGGTGCTCATGTCGCCCAGAATTTATCTTATGCGAGCGCAAATGAATTGCTGCTGCCAGCGTATGACCTATGTGTTCCGAGATAATAGAAGACTCAGTAGGTGAAGAGATGATCGAGACGAAGCGACGATTTTCTTTCATCTAAAGACTGCTAGACAATACAAGCGGAAAATACTGGAGGGCCAAGATTCGTTGTATGAAGGCACAACTGACAAGTGCAGGGCCCACCAGCATTACCAAGAGCGTGAGACTGACTTAAGCTGCGGCGGGCGGCATGGCACTGTCTTTGCATCATCCAGCCAAGATTGACCTCGCCATGCATAGGGGCACTGGCATACAAAGAGTGCCGCAGTGGCAGTGCTGCCTATCCAATTGACTGCAAAATTGCACAAACATCCTTGGAACATGCAGGAGGTTTCTACCAATCGGCTGGGGATCGACTGATATTCTTGGAACACTGCTTACTTTTTCCCGCCCTCACTGTTGCGTCTCGGACATCTGCTTTACAGGTGCACTAACTGTAAACGTCGAAAGACTGATGATTCAGGCATGTGGGAGGCGTAACTCCATGCAGGAAATGTGCATGGCTTAAGCGAGGTGAAGGCGGAGTAACCGAGATTAATGAAGGTTGGGGGCTTAGACACAGCAAGCGGCAGCGACCCCCGCAGTCCGGCAGGATCCTTTCAGTCCAACTGTTCGGGCTCAACGGCGCAGCAACATGTTTCTGCAACAGAAAGTGATCAGGTGAAAGTCTATTCCTGCCGCACAGCGGCACCCCACGTCGAATCGTTAGTCTGTGGCAACGTCTGCGCAGTAAGCTGAGAGAAATTCACTGGCTCACAATTGTACGCGACAGAGCCTTGAAATGGATTCGGGACCAGAGATCCTGAGAGCGACGGGAGCTATTGTCTCCGCGTTCCAGACGGCTGCTGATACAGTCGACTTTATCAAAGATCGAAAGGAGAAGAAAAGGCGAAGGAAGGACAAAGAAACCGAGGAACTGTTGGAGATAAGGATCCTCCACAGATCGCTCGTTGAGGTAAAGTCATCCTAGCCTGCGTCATCTTTATATAATATAACTGACCTACGCAGGGTGGTACTAGAATAAGGAGACACTGTGAGAACAGGAACCAACAATACAAGCCCGCATTCGAGGCTGGTGATGACATCTCGATACAAGCATTGAGGGACGTTGTCATCGCCCTCCAAACAGAAATAATCCAGCCGCTACATGTTGCCCGCGCCGTAGAAAATGCCGCTCTAGATTTCACGGCCTTGCACGAGTCATCAGTCACCAACCGCAATGACACGACTAAAGCCATGGACCAGCTTTGCCAGCGTATTATGGCTAGCTCGCAGTACCTTCCTCAGCATTCGGATCACAGCTTTGGAGCAGTAGGTTCCTCAAATATGAGCATGTTGTCTAGCGCCGCGAGTGTGCCACTGTCGGATCTTGTTGATGCCTACAATCTGCCTTCATCTCATCCATCTAGCGTAGGAAGTCCACCAACGTTAGAGAGGCAGCGCGCATTCCCCCAACGAACGATGAGCTTTCCGCAACCAGACCAAGAAGTGGCGGCGGAGCAATTCGACGCAAGAATACCGCGGAAATCGCCACTATCATTCATCAGCAGCCAGATAGGATCTAGCAACAGTCATCAACCAGAGAGAACACAAGCCGAGCCAATGCGTGACTATCGCAACCCAGATGAGATGCAACTGCAACCGAAAAGTTACTTCACACCAAAGCTCGTGGTATCCAAGAACGACAGAGGTTCAATACGCTTTCAACCAGCCCCTGTGAGATCAGCTAGTACTATCCGTCACTCACAAGACAACTCTAGCAGAGTCTCCTCGTTCTCCGAAGCGACCCCATATCAACAAGGAGAAAGGACTCCATCTACCGAATGGGATTCTGCGGAGAAAGAGAAGCAGAAGCAAAAATTCGGAGGCTACTTTGGGGGGGATACGGAAACATTATCTATCCGCTCAAAGCAGCCTTCATCTACTCTAGTTCCTAGTCTCTACAGAACAGAATCTGCGGAGCATCAGAACTATGGTGGCCATGATGCCCCAGAGGTGGTGCCGGATGACTCCGCGAATGTTTTGTTATCGCCAGAGTTCTCTGAGAAGTTCCCTAGCCCTCGTTTTGAACCCGACTATAATGCGCGTCTTCAACGCCTATCGCCTGGACTGGAGAATATATGGGTCCCACTAACCCGGCCTGCGATGCACAATAGGTACCACGGCTTCTGTAAAGGTGCATGGCAGATTCGAAAAACGGTAAGAGATGATCGCTTAGCCACGCGCGCCTTTTAGAATCTGACAGAGGATGGATAGGTACACGAAGGTCTAGAAGTTCAGATCACCCCTGCTTTGAAAGAACCTGTCCTACATTGGGCTTGCAAGGAATGCAAGTTCAAATCAAGAGCACCGAACGCAGATACTCTTCCAGATGTGGTCATGTCAAACCAAAAATATAACATTCGATTCCGGTGGCTCTTTCTTGCCAAATCTCATCACCGCGCCGATGTCTCAATTGATATCATGGAGAATTACAAGTTCGGTTGCATCTTCTGTGCAGCGGAGGGTAAGACCGGCGATACTTACGATCGACTTGATCACCTCATGGTGCACATCATCTCCAAGCACAAGCCGATTACACTTACGCCGGAGATAAGAACTAAGACAAAATGTGTGGTTGGCAACGTGGCTCACCACCTGCAAGATTGGGACATCCATGTGCCTGAAGCAACGCAAAAGAACACTGGCGTTGCGACAGACCAATTTCTCATTTCAGCCTCGAAATTTTTCTCGCGAAAAAAAGGCAAGCGCTAAACACGCTGCACTAGACTATTCTTTGTACATTGTACTGTTGTATCTATAAATTCACAATCGTGCGACTCTGTTAGTAGGAGAGGTCTTGTAATGATAAAAAGTGCTAGAGGCAATATTCATTCTGGGCAATGGATGATCGAGGCCGTAAGCGTGTGGGTGTGATAGATAGCCCACCACATCATGAACATGCAAGCGTAATGCTGTATATCCGCAAACGAGATCACCGGTCGCAAGCCCTCACATGGTCGCCGGAATAAGAAAAAAAGGCAACCTCATCTTATCCTCGCGTCTTAAACCTTGTCGAAGGATAAAGGTCTTGGGGGCCTTGCTTGATTTGATTCGCAATATATGCAGTGGCTTGAATCCTCTCGCACGGCTTGCATGCAGTTGTCTTTGGGTTCTGGCCCCTGCCCTTTCACAAGACCCTAGCGGGCGCTAATCAGCGGCTTGTTCGCTCCGCTGGGCACTTGCACTTAATCGGCAAGTGCTGACACTCTTATCTAGTTCAAGTGTCGCGATAAGCAACTCTATGTCGTCTTTCCCATGGGTGGTCTGCTTATCAACACCGCAATCCACGCCTCCAGCCCCCACAGATCAACGAATACGAGTGTGGATTCCCCATTGCCGGACAAAGGTGTCACATGGAAACAAGCATCGAGAGCAATAGGAAATAATGCGTGCGATGTCCGAACCGCCTCCGTAGCGCACGGTCGCCTTCGATGCAACTTTGATGTTTCGGACAAGAGGCAAAGCTAATGTTGTTTTGCACCCACCCATGGTTCGGTACAAGAGCCCAGTTACGCTAATTTTGCCTTTGGGTTCTAAGCGCACGGTAAGCCTTGTAAGCCTGGGAAAGGGGCAGTGTGCATGCCTCCCGTGGCTTGGCGAGAGCTTCTCGAATTAGACCCTAGTCGTTCTTTGGACAATGGGTGTAACCTCCAATTTCAGACCCGCATGCTGCGTGGCGCACCGTCTCTCCTTCGCTACATGTATACGTCGTGCCTCAACTTTGTCCGCTCTTTGCGCGGCCGGTGCATGTGTTTGTAGTCTTTGCTGCAGTCGTTCCTTTAGCTTCGGTGGTCATTTACAGACCCTGCATAGACTTCATACACGCCCTCAACTTTGGAATAGCCTCGACTCGGAGCCTCAGGTTTAACCCCCGCCACCGTGAGGATGGCAACGACGACAGCGATGGCCACTTCAGTGGTGACCGGCACCGCGACACCGACGGCACACAAGTCAACGGGTAGTGAATCTATCTTGGATGGCTACGACCCATCCACATACATGCCCAGTAATCCGGTATGTATACACGCGCATCTGAGTTGTACAGCACGTGTCTAACAGGCGTTCCTCGTAGATTATGATTTTCATGATCCAGGCCATAATAATTCTCCTCGTCTGCCGTGCTATGCATTTTCCTTTAGGCTACCTCCGACAGCCTCGAGTCGTCGGCGAAGTCTTGGGCGGCATCATTCTGGGACCCTCGGTCATCGGACGTATACCAGGTTTCACTGACACCGTCTTTCCGAAAGAATCGATTCCGAATTTGAGCAACGTCGCGAACCTGGGGCTTATCTTGTTCCTGTTCATTATTGGTCTTGAGGTTGATATGAGGGTGTTCTTCAGCAACTGGAAGATTGCTGTCAGTGTTGCAGCGGCAGGCATGACATTTCCCTTTGCTCTGGGCTGCGCCGTTGCTCATGGGCTGTACAACCAGTTCTCGAGCGAGCCTGGAACGGTGCCTATCGCGTATGGAACCTTCGTAAGTGTTGGAAGTTACAACATATTTGAAGAATGTTCTGACGGCGCCCCAGCTTCTGTTCATCGGTGTGGCTATGTCTATCACGGCTTTCCCAGTTCTTTGCCGTATCTTGACCGAGCTCAAACTTCTCGGAACTCCCGTCGGAATGATCACTCTCGCATCTGGTGTTGGTGACGACGTCGTTGGGTGGGTCCTTCTAGCACTCTGCGTGGCTCTGGTCAACGCTGCGAACGGCCTCACTGCTCTTTACATCATTCTCGTAACTGCGGGGTACACACTTTTCTTGTTCTTCGCCGTACGCCCAGGGTTTATGTGGGTTCTTCGTCGCACGCACTCTCTCCAGGACGGTCCAACCCAAGGTGTTATGGTATTAACGATGCTCATGGTAAGCATGCCCTCCGTGGGCCGAGAAGCACTGAGCCGACTAACAGATTCAGATGCTCGGCAGCGCTTTCTTCACCGGTGCGATCGGTGTCCACCCAATATTTGGGGCCTTCCTTGCAGGTCTCATCTGCCCTCACGAGGGAGGCTTTGCCATTAAAGTGACGGAGAAGATTGAGGATTTGATGGGCGCACTTTTCTTGCCGCTGTACTTCACACTTTCGGGCCTTAACACCAACCTTGGACTACTCAACAACGGCATCACGTGGGGATACCTGATCGCAGTGACCATCATTGCATTCACTGCAAAGTTTGTCGGATGTGCTTGCGCCGCACGGTTGAACGGGCTTGTTTGGCGAGAGAGCTTCTCAATTGGAAGTCTGATGGCTTGCAAGGGGCTTGTGGAGCTGATCGTACTGAACATTGGCCTCCAAGCGAAAATTCTGAGTACCCGAGTCTTCACTGTGGTGAGTGAGATCCTCATGGCTGTTTGCGCAAAGGTTCAAGAATGGAAACTTACGGCCTGTTAGTTCGTCGTCATGGCACTTATCACAACCTTTGCCACTACACCACTCGCTTCGGCGCTATATCCGCCGGCGTACCAGAAGAAGATCGAAGCATGGAAGCGTGGAGAGATCGATTGGGAGACTGGAAAGCCTCTCAAAGATGGAAAACCGGATATGGATGACAACGTCGAGATGAGACGCCAAAGGAGAGGACCTTCAGAGGTTCGAAGTCTCTTGGTATACCTCCGGCTTGACAATATGTGAGCCCTCCGACGAATAAACTATTGTGATGAGCACAATTGCTGACAGAATTACGCTATAGGCCCAACACTCTTGCTTTTGTATCTCTCTTTGGCGGAAAGATTGGAGACTCAAAGACTAAAATTCACCCGCATCACGAAGATAAGGCAACCGTTCGCCAGTCGACGGAGGAAATACGATCCATGGTGGCAATTCACGGCGTCCGCATAGCGCAACTCACTGCGCGGTTGGGCTCCGTCATGACATCGCACGAAGTCACCGAACTGTCCGCCTTCGATCCCGTCCTCAATGCATTCCGCGTTCTCGGGCAGCTTTACAACCTCGCTGTCTCAGGAGAGGTTGCAGTGGTGCCAGAAGACTCGTACGCTGAGACCTTGGTCGGACGCGCTCAAGACGAACAGTCCGACCTCCTTCTCGTCCCCTGGACCGAAACAGGGAGCCTGAGTGAAGCACCTATGGTCTCCAAGAACACCATGGAGCACAAACTCCGTTCCGACGCATACACAGCTTTCGTCGCGGAAACCCTAAACACATCAAGTTGCACTACCGCTGTGTTCGTAAACCGCGCGTTCAGCGGAAGTCTCGAACAGAGCCCACTCGCCCTCACGCGCCGCATGATAGCTAAAGGTCAGCAGCGCAAGACCAAGCGTGATCAAGTTGCAGTGAGCGATAGAAGCCATCATCTCTTTGTACCATTCTTCGGTGGCGCGGATGGACAGGCGGCCGCAGGGTTGGCGTTGCAACTGGCGGAGAACCCCGACATCACCATCACCATGGTGCATTACCAGATCAGGCACGAGGGTACGGCAAGCTCTGATCAGATCATGCGAGAAGAAGGGTTATACACACACGAGGGGAAGACGAGAGTTTCGACCTCTGCCCCTACCGATGACGACTTTTTCATCACCATGCAACACGCGCTACCAACGACGCAGAGACATCGAGTGACTTTCCGCACAGTCATCTCGTATGATCCTGTGGAAGATGCTGTGAAGGATGCGCAACTAGAGGTCGGCCAGCAAGGGAACGGCGGCGATCTGGTTCTGCTAGGGCGAAATGCAGAATTGATCGAGTCGAACTCAGCGTGCTTGGGCTTGGTGGCCGATGTTCTGCTTGAACACGATGTCAAAGCTAGTATTGTGGTTGTGCAGGCGAGGAAGGACTGAGGTCCGTGTAGATTCACTTAATGTTTATTCATACAAACAGCGTGCAACAGTGTTAGACCATCTCAACCTTGCCACATATGTTGCCGAGTATCGGGGGGAAAGTGCCTCAAGACTAATGCAGAAGGCGGACGAAGCCAACAAGTATTGTAGAAAGTTCGATCACACTGCAGGCGGGCCGCCAAAGATGCTCAATGTCATCGGCGGGCCCAACGGTGTGGCGAGGTGCTCAGGCAGCGTGAACGCCTCGGGAATAGGCCCCTTCGGCGTACCCGTGCTGCCGCTCTCCTCCTTCGTCGCCTTCTCGCTGCGCTTCGTCCGCGCTTTTTTGACCACCTTCTCCCCTTTCTCCTTCCGGCCCAAATAATGGTGATACCGCTCCCTGCCCGGTCGCCCAAACACTTGTTGCGGCTCCTCCAGCTGTGCAAACTTCCTCGCGCCCTCCCCTTCACCCTCTTCAATTGGTAAAATCCGTGCGTGTTGAATGATATCCACGATTCCTGCGTCATCTTCCAGCTCTTTGGCTGCGTCGTGCTGCTGTCGACTCATCGTCTTTGCCTGCCGGAATATCGCTTCTTCTATCGTGCCCTCTAAAACCAGCGTTTCGACCAGTACTTCTTTCGTCTGGCCAATCCTGTGCGCGCGCTTGATCGCCTGCGCCTCGATGCTAGGCCGATTGATCGGATTAACGATCAGCACAATGTTCGCCGCGTTGAGGTTCAGCCCCAGCGCACCACAAGCCACGTCGATGAGCAACACGCGGATGTCCGGGTCCGCATTAAACAACGCCACATAAGCGCTGCGCGTTGCGTTGTCGAGCGTGCGCGCATAGATACGGTGGTTTATATAGAGCATTTCCAGGGCCTGCGCAAGATAAAAGGCGGTATTGTCGCCGTCATAGAAAATGAGAATCTTAGAGGTGGAGGCATGCTCAACAACTTTGGTCAGTAGATAGGAGAGTTTTGCGGAGGTGGTTCCAGTGATTTGGGTTTGGCGTAGAGGAGAATCTGGAGGGAGCTGGGCGATCTCGTCGGAGAGGGTTAACTTGCGTTTCCGGGGAATAGTGGGGGATTTGGGTCGGTCGGGATCGGGAGCTGGGGTGTTGTTTGGCTCGATGGAAGACTGTTCTCGCGCAGTGGGCGTAGCCAGCTCCTGTTTGGGCTGGCTGGGGTCGGAATTCTTTGGGGAAGACTTCGTTGCCATCGCAGACGCACGACGGCTTGTGAGGGGAGAAGCCCCTACCGCAGAAGACGGCACTCCGACCTTGTGCAGCTCGTCATTCGCTGTGGCTTTCTCCTCCTTTTTCTTCTTCGTCTGAGTCTCGGCTTCTTGCATTTCCGCTAATTTCGCCTTCGCCACCTGTCCGACTATGCTTAGCCCTTCAGATGGGTCATCCAGCAATATGTGACTGTCGACATGAGACTGTCCTTGAAGAAGCTGGGTGATACCAATCATACTCGGCTTATCGGGCGACGAGAGAGCGAAGAGTGCTTCAGATTCTTGAGGCCAATGATCTACTGCGATGCCTAGGGGTCTAGATCAGTAGAGGGCCGGATTTCAACCACCGCGCGCTTGAAACAGGAGCATTCCCTCACAGTCACTTACCAACTTCATGTGCTTGGCTCAAAGCCCTCCAGCAATCCGAGGCAACAAGTTTAGAGATCGTTTGGCAGCTCTCCAGGAGTGCATTTGCATCCTCCAACGAGCATTTTTTGTCCTCTTTCGCTAGGTATTTGGCGCTAGTCTCCAGAGTGGTTGCGACGTCGTCGACACTAAAACCAGTCCATGTGAAATTAGACTGCCGCAAGTTTCGGATCAGGCTATGCCTGGCTTTCAAGCTGTTCTTGTGAAATAAATAGTCGACGTCGGACCGTTCACTAGTGATTGCGTTCGCCCGCAGTACCTGAACGAAAAGATTTTGCGTCTGTAGACAGATCAGCGATGATTTTGTGTCGGATTAAGCGATCAATTTTACCATCTTATCAAACCAACACGGCTTGAGGTACACCACACGATGCCGCTTTGGTGGAAGCGTAATGTCCCTCTCCACATCATCCGGTCGTGTCTTCACGACCAAGCCTTCCAGAGTACGTCGAAAACATGCTGAGAAACCAGAATACGTTTTCTTATGAAGGTGTTCGTGGCGATAGATGTAATCTTCCCAATCGAGTCGGCCTTCGGAGCTGGAATCTGCCCATGGCCGCACCATCAAGAAATGCGAAGCCAACGTGCCTAGAGCCTTCGCGGCCTTCGTGTTCTCATCGTCCAGATTAAAGGCTTTCCGCTGTTCGATGACGAGTTCGCGCGACAGCTTTGCATCGGTTGAATCGTCATCATGGGCCGCTAGATCGACTTCGGCGCCAACTAGATCCTTCACAGGCGTACCGCTCACTATCCATCGGCGCTCAATTTGCAGCTGCTTGGCGACCAGCACGGCGTTTGATACGGATGAAGAAAAGCTGTGACCTTCATCAATGATGATACGCAGCCAGTGGACCTTCTTGAGCGGACTTTCGTAGATCTGACCTTTGCAGGTGCAATCGGGAATGTTCGAAGACCCGATATATGGGCAGTTGCAGCTACGCGGCGCTCCAGGCCCCAACCTACGGCCCTTTTCATCCGCGCCGTCCTGTATCTCTTGCTCGAAGCGATTCCGCGTGAACAGTACGATGTGATACTCCATAAGCTTAGTAGGCGGTGGCAATTCGCTTACGAATTCCATTCCATATTCTTCTTCAACTGGAAGCGCATTCTTCTTTTTAGCGCGCTTCGGTATAGTGTCCACGATCAAGATCTTTAGAGCATCCTTCGTGAGGTGTTTGCGAATTTCAGCTTGCCACTGATGGAGCAAGTTCCGCGGAACTACGACTATGGTGCCAGAGCATAGGGCTAATTGGCGAGGGGGCGGTATGATTGTGTTGCGGTTCATCCTTGTAATCTCGGGTGGGATCTTATAGTAAGGAGTGTTCCGCTCCAGCGCCGATTTCATGGAGCTCAGATCGCTGTCATCGTAGGCTTCGAATCGTTCCACTTCCACTTTCGCTGGAACAGCGTAACGACCGAGAGTGCTGGCAGCCATGTCCTTGAGCGAGCCGACACGGCTGCGTATCCGCGGAGGCGTGTGGTACACTGCGGGTATCTGGGGGAGGTGACCCTTGGTTGCCAGTATGACTGACAAACAGATGATAGTTTTACCCAAGCCCATAGTCTCTGCCAGGATGCCACCTCGATTGGCCTCGTAGTATTTCGGCTCCTTCACGAAGGACCCGTCTTTTGCTCCGAAGTAAAACGGTTCTCCGTTCGGTGATTGTCGGATGTCAAATCGCGGATCGAGCTGAAGCTTGGGTGCAGCTTCCCGCTGTACCATCAGACTCGCTGATCTTGCTTGGTATGGGTGTAGCCTCGACTTTAGCCCTGGTAGAGGCGTTACTTCCGGGTCTTCTGTAGGCTCGATGGCGACTGAATCCAGCAGGTCCTCGATTGCCCTTCGGCTGAAGCGGCTCTTAACTTTTTCTGGCTCTGGTGCCGGAGAAGGAAGTTTGTTGAACAAATAGAACAGAGACACATTCTCAGCGCTCGCCCATGGATCGAAACGACATTCTGTGATTGCAGAACGATTCCCTGCCCATGCTTCTGGCGATACATCGATCCGGAGTAACAGTGTACGTATAGCCGTCTTGAGGCTTCTGCTATTTCGATCGATGTACTTTCGGCCCCAGTCTTCTGGTAAAAGATACACTCGGACTAGAGAGTTGGCGGCCATGTTGCTGATCTGGTGAACGAACAACCGGATCCAGTGCGCTTCCAGTAATCGTGTCGCCTCGTTGCCAATGAGTATCTTCATCTCTTCAGGTAGCTCGGAGTGAATTAGTTCCGCCCATCGATTGTCGGACTCCTTTACATCTAGCGGCAGCTGGTGATCGAAGTGGAGACACCCCACCGCAATGTACTTTTGAAGATCGTGCAATTTGAATTCGAGTTCGGATGCGTTCGAGGAGCCGGATGTCATGGGCGTAGACACCGGCGTGGTTGTCGTTGAAGTCTCCATCGTGGACCTTAATCAGCACTACAGTTGCAAGAGGCAAGGGTCTGATGTAATGTTGGTGTTGTGCATAAGAAATGTAGCTGGCGGATCCACTTTGGAGGTGGCCACGCCACCAGATAAGCTCAAGAGTCGCAACGCATGCAGCCAAACAGAATACGCGTAGACCAGATCTGGATCCGGGTTGATATTCAATGTTTTCAATGGTCCAAAGCAAGCCGTGATCGATGGTGAGAGAGAGTGGTGTGGCAGGCACCCGCGCCAAGACATTTTCCCAAGTGAGACCGGTTCGAGATCCACACTAGCCAAGGATGTTAGCCCTGGACAAGCGCGCTAGTACCTGCGCGCTATCACGTGAACAAGCTTGATGCAAGGATCCATGGCAACTTCCGTCCTATACGCAAACATCACTCGTCCTGACATCCTGTTTCAGGGGAGCGCAGCGGTATTCACACAACTAAAATACTCCCGTTCGTTGTAGAAATTCAAATTTGTTCCCTCAACCCCAACACCAGATGAGCAGCGTCACTCCAACCTCACGCCATCCTCTCCCTTTCCCTCCTCTCCTCCATCCCCGTCCTCTCCTCGATCACCTGCCCAACCTTCTCCTCCACACTTCCACTCCACCCAATATTCCTCATTCCCCTCGATTCAGTGTCACTCTCCACTTTATCTTCCTCAACACCACAACTCGGACAAAACCCCACAACTCGATATCTCAGCCCAGCCTAGTAATACAGGCACTCCATCGGCGGGCAATGCGCATCCGTGCTCCCGTCGAAGCATCGCTCGATGGGGCCTGTGGGCTTGATGCGGCCGCACCCGGGGTAGAGGGCATGCCAACGGAGACACATACTATGCCTTCAGTCTCTGGAAGGATATGGATATGAAGATAAGCAGGTAGCTTTACCTGCTAATGAGACAGGCTCCGTTACAACTATGGTAGTTGAATATAGAAGGAGAGGAGGCTGTTTGTGGATTTGAAGTGATGCCTTGCGAACGCGCAATCGTAAAGTTGGCAAAGTGAATGCCGGATTACTGTCATGGAAGAAGGTTTCGTGTTCACTGCCAGGCATTGATGTTCACGAACGCAGATTTACGGGACAAATTGGCATCCTAAAAATGCTGTTATGTATCTGGACTTTCTGTGCTTGGGAAAGGTACAGATAGTCAAGTCGTGAGCAGACAAAGCTCCAACCCAGCAGGATAACGTGAGCATAGAGCCCGCCCGGCTAAAAGAAAACTCAAATGTTAAGCTTGCGCACATACCCCGAGGGTGTCGTATTGCGCGTATCTGTTCGACGCTAGTTCTGCGCTGAAGTATGTGGATGCGGAAAGCCCAGAAACTATCGACGCACGGAGATCGGGGTTGATTTGATCTGAAATGTCCGGTACCTGGAACGTTTGAAGAGCTAATTGTTCGGAATCAATGAAGCTACGCGGCACACTTAGGTACACGAATCTGGCGGCTGGTGGCCGTCTCCTATTTACCTTGCCTCTGCAGGGAAAAGCCTGATAAGCAGTGGCCCAGCCCGCCCATCAACGCCGGCCGCGACCCGGTCAACAAGTCCGCACCATCCCCGCCGCCAGCCGCTAACAAGAACGAGGGGCAGGAGAAGCAGCAAGAACCGCCGTCAGGCGACAAGGGCTCCTCTGGCGACGGCGCCGAGTCCACCCAGGAGGGTGCGAAGGACCAGTAGGCGGGAGGAGCCTCCTTGCATCTCCGTCGGCATGAAATGACAGCAATACCGACAGCTCCATCAGTAAAGACCTCTGGTTCCTCTTCGGTACGCCATCGTCTTGGAAGGTTGAGGGCATACAAGTGGCGGCATGCTAACGTGGTTTAGAAGAGGACTGGATATACCGGAAATGGCGGGATAAACGGTAGATTGGGCTCCTCGGATGCCGTAGCCTAGCTCTTACAACAGAGGCATTCTTGGCAGCTTTTCTGTAATCGATATGTGATGCTTGTGTGGCGTATGTGACATGTCGGAAGCTTGGCCAGGACGTCCAATTTGAGTTCGGACGCTAGTTACCAGTACCGGTATTTAGTAAGCGTGCAAGAAGGACCACAATGATGTGAACCCCTCCTCCGAGCATCGGATGTGGCAGTCCTCGAACACACCGCCTTAAGCTCAAAGCGAGTTGGCTATGCGCCCTCAGCAGCTGTATCTAAGCCTATGATGCAAGCTGATGCGCACTTCGAGCTCTCGATCTTGAGAATGTAAGCATAACTTTTGCTCTCCAAATCAAGTTCAGAAGCACCTCGGTATGGCGTAGGTCGGACGAGTGCACACGCCAGCCCTGCTAGCCTCAACTTGCGACAAAGCCGGCACGTATGCGGCCAAATTAGCATGGCAGCTTATGGTGGTGGGAAGGGTAAAAAGGTGTAATACAGGCCACGGCGGAGCTCTTGTAGCACATCAGAAACTTCTATCGCGCTTGCTGATTGTCCATACCTTGACATTGGTGACCGCAACAATGGCCGGAGGCCAGCCCGTTGACGCCTTGTGCCGGCACTTCCGCGCTCTTCCGAGCCCAGCACACGAACCAGCTCGAAGCCATACGGCGACACAAACACGATGCTAGCTTGTGTGTAACGGCATCAGCACAGCCTGTTCGAGCAAGCGATTGGACAAGTGCGTGCAGCGCAAGCACGCGGCGCGTTACAACAATAGCCGCATCACATGTCTTTCGCGCCATAGTCTCTGAGAAGCATGACTTGAGAATTGCTGAACGCAGTTGGATGAAGTCAGAAATTGCTGTCCGTCGCGTACACGAAAGCTTGGAGCCACACTAGGAATGCTGGACTTGCAACCCCATCGTCCCACGCGTGGACAAGGCTTGGTTCTCCAGACCCTTAGCAAAGATCTTTCAATGTGCCCGCTCGTGAAACAAGTCAACCTGTTGCGACAGGTTCTCGAATGAACGCACCAGCGCACCTATAGCCCCCAATATGATCGGATCTCCCAGCTTTATGGGCATGCCGTGGGAGATCTGAACGGTACGCCGAAAGGTCGATTTTTGCGTCGTCCGCCCGCGCCCGCGCCCGCGCCCGTCCACGGTCGTGCCGCTGTTGCTATGTATGGCGCCCTCTTAGCTCCCTGCATTTCGGCCTAAGCACAATCGTTTGACATCATGTCCTGTAGTTTCTGCAGTGCGCGGAGCAAGTATACAGCTCGGTGTCGCGTTTGATGGAGCGGCATTGCATGCACCAGCATAGGCCCGCATCCAGGATCCGTTTTAGCGAATGTCATGTTGTCGGCTAGATGATACGTTGCCAGCTTTGCTTTAGCATTCTCCAATTGGAAGCGAGGAGCCTCGACGAGGTCGAGTTCCTGTCGCTGGAGGTCGGTTCGTAATTTCTTCGCGGGTCTACTTACACAGCGCCTACCTCAAACCGTCTATGATCCCCAATACCTGAGGGTCTTGTATCAAGCATAGCCAAATTCCTCCGTTGACGGCCCTCGGGGGTGCGCAAGCCTTCGTATTGTAGAGTTGCTGCTAAGCGCGCCAGGACAGAGAACCCCACTGAGAATGTTGCAGCTTCGGGAGAAGCGTAGCACAGAGATCCGTCGACGTTCTTATGGAAGAGTTATCAAGTGTATTCACAGGCATTGGAGTCTGTCGTACGTTGCGTCAGAAGCGCAGCTAAAAGAGCAGGCCTCGCTCAGCCCCGCGATCACATGGCCTATCCTGATAGCACTCGAGACGTTACCGAGATCTCCAACGCCCAGTATAAGGGGACAGCTATCAAATGCTGGCAACCCGTCAATGCGCAAAGGACCGCTGCTGATCCTCTCGCGCACCCGGTCCTTACGCACAAGGCAAAATGGTTCAGACTGCCACGGCTTGGGTAGCTCTTTCAGGGTGGTGTCGTGATCGAGCGCGGATGGACTTGCAGTCGGAAGAGGGCGGGGTTGAGGAAGCAAAAGAGGTTGTCTTGCTCCAACGTAAGCGGAGGAGCTGCGCGACGCGGTGCCTGCGATGCTCGCAGGCCGGCTTTGCGCGAGGCGCCTGCAAAGTCAGTCCAGTTCACGCAGGCGGCTGTACCACAATTCACAGAAGAGGACGCAAGAGGTTCTGAGGCCATACTGTCTTCGATATTGTGGGTGTTCCCGTCGGTGCTGCGCTGCGCGTCGTGGTGTTGTGATGAGGGTATCGGCGAGCCAAAAACACAGCAATGTGCGCGACCTCCCTCAACACCACTCGCCCCGAACCTCAGTCCAGTCGCCCCGGGCCTGCTTTTCCAGATGAGAAGGTCACATCGTAATGCATGGCAAGGACCCGCTCGTCTATGTGAGCTCCCAGACGCTGCTGGTCCACGAGGGCGCAGGACGTGCCTCCCCGCCCTCACGTGCGACCAGTGTGTTGGGGAAAGGAGATGTGGACTTACCTGTGATGTTTGAAGCAGTTTAAATTGATAATAAGGACTATTGAGCCATACAGCCATCTGAATTAATGAATCTAGAATGAGCTAAGGCAAATATATACCACTGGAGGGTATTTCTCCTATGTCTAGGTCTGTAAGGGACCAGCGTTTGTGCGGCGACCCCTCTGCTAGCACGCGGCAAATGCAAGAGGCAGGCACGAAGTAAGTGAGGGGAAGCACGCACACAATGTGCAGCAGCTCGACGGAATTTGCTTGGAAAGCATTGCTGCTACAAGCAATATCGACGACTCTCGAATTGTGTTCTCTAGCTTGTGCAACGCTTGCACCTGCATTGCGGACGTCGACACGGTATAAAAGACGAGAAGATTATTTGATAGCATGGCAAATAAGCATACAGTCTGTACTCACATGGAGACAGGCCACCTGGGAAGCACGGATTCTACACCGTGACGATGCGTGCTAAGGATGAGAACGCAATGGCGCTGTAGGGCACCAACGCGACCTCTTACCCGACCACCACGACGGCTTGTATTCAGAAATTCTGGCCTTGTGCTTTCCAAAACGGTGCTATTATCCCCTCCTGGAAAATGTCAAACCAGCGGTGGATTCTAATGTGCTCTTTCGCAACTGCCATGGCCCTTGACGATGCTTCGCCTTGCAGGCTTTTACGACCAGCATCCTGTTTAGCATGTATGCGGAAGCGTTTCGAAAGAATCATAGCTGCCTATTAATTTCACTACTCGCTTAGTTACAGGAATTGGCAATGCATGAAATGCGTTCCTTCTTCCAAGTTCTGTCCTATCCTTCCACCCCAATCCAAGCTTGCTGTATTTGATGTTACATGCAGGGCGATCACGGTCGAAGTAAGATGCGGCTAAAAGTACCCCGGATTTCCCTTTCCAGCCTGCAAAGCGGGGGCGCAATGCCGGTTGGTGGAAAAGCTTACAGCGAGCGATTCCCTAGTCTCGGGTCAATGTTGTATCGCGCATCTGATCTACATCATCACAGGTAAATACGAAATCATTGCAAACATGCATTAATACATCGCACGAAAAATCCGAATCCCCTATCCTCGTCGCTATGTACTGCCGTAACAGCCTCCTTCTGGCGTTCCTGGCACTTCTTGCTACTACACTCGCATGCACAAAAGACGACGACTGTAGCCTCAACGGCATCTGCAAGACTAACACCACCACCACAATCTGCCACTGCGACCCAGGCTGGACCGGTCCCGACTGCGGTCGTCTCGACCTCGCTCCCGCAACCCGATGGACGGGCTACAACCACACGAACTATACCGACCCCGCCTACTACGGCGCCTACGGTAACTCTTCTTGGGGCGGCCGCATCATCCAAGACCGCGACGACCCCAAACTGTTCCACCTCCTCGTCGATCAATTCAGTCACGGGTGCGGCCTCGGCGGGTGGCGCCCGACGAGCTTCATCGTGCGGGCGGAATCAAGAAGCGGGCCGCAAGGGCCGTATAAATGGGTGCAGAATGTAACGAGCAGTTTCCGGCATAATGCAGATGTGCTGTGGAGTCCAGCCGATCGGAAGTATCTCCTCTGGGCGATCGGGGCGGCCGTGGAAGATCCAAAGACGTGCAAATCGATCCCCGGGTAAGCATCGCTCCTCCCCCCTTCTTATTTGTAGATCTACATATTGTGGTGGGGCTAAAGAGTCCCAGCTCCCAATTTCCAAACAACGTCTCCGTCTCCTCGGCGTCCTCCATCCGCGGCCCCTGGACCCCCTTCCACATCACAATAAACGGAACCAATCCCGCTCCCTGGCCGCTCTATTCTCCCGCCAACAAGACATCGCAGATTGCGCTCGCGGTCGAGGATTTTAAGATTTTCACCGCGCCTGACTGGAATGGGGCGTTTACGCGCGTGAATGAAGATGTAGCGTGGAACACGACGGATTACAGTCCCACCTGGACCGAGGATCCATTCATTTGGCGCGACAAGCGCGGGAACTGGCACGCGCTTGCGCACTGGATGATTGATATTGTGGAAAAGAACGGAACCAAGTATCCTCGGGTGGGTGCGCACATGTTCTCGCGACGACTAGAGAGCGGGTGGACGTTCAAGGTGCAGGAGGCGTTTAGTTCGACGGTGGAGTTCACGGATGGCGCGGTGGAGACGTTCAATAGGAGGGAGCGGTCCAAGATCTTCTTTGATGAGGATATGAGACCGTTGTATTTGGTGAGCGGGGTGCAGGCCATGGGTGTGAAGAGCAGTTTTACGTTGGTGCAGCCGATTGGGAAGAGGTGGAGGGAGTATGAGAAAGAGCTTGGATTTTAAATTATGGGGGCAGCGGGCCCGTGGTAGTCTAGGTATGTTACTGGAAAAACTGATACGTGCAACGAAGAAAGCATGCATTGAAAAGAAATGGCCAGACCCATAGGCATATATGCAAGCCATCACAGATGCCACGACGCTCATATCCTCCACGCGAAACGCGCTGGAATCTCAGCTTACTCGTAAATGAAGCAAAAGTTGCCCGTAGTCATCGCCATGCCTTCCTTCGCCTTTGGCTTAAAGCCCAAGCCCATGTCCATCTCATCATCCAACGTAGCCAAACTGACGGGCACGTCTGGCGCATCGGTGAGCGGGATGCCCAAAAAAGTTCTATTTCCATCGATCGTGTACTCGCGGTTCTTCAGGTCTTGACCCTGCCAGATAGCCCAGAGGCGGTCAATCTGTGCGTGCAGAAGGTAGAAAGCAGGGTCGTTCGTTGTGCTGAATGGATCCGCACCCTCGCCACCAATGTACGTGTGGGAATTCTTGTGCCATAGTCCTTCGATGGTACCTCGCAGTTGCCCAATGCTATGACTAGAGACAATTGTCGTGGCGTTGGCCCATGTCAGGACTCCCTTGCTGGAAGCCGGATCGAAGTTACGCGCTAGGCAGCGAGGGTTCGGCTCGTAGCCGTAAGTGTTGTTCTTGTCGACAAATGGCTTAACCACCGGACCAAGGCTAAGAGTGAGGTTCTTGAACGGGCCGTCAGTGACGCAACCACCGCCTGTGCCACCGGGCATAGGCAGCTTGAACGGCTTCGTGAGTCCAGGGAAGACAAGCGTTTTGGGCTCGAGATGGAGGTCAACGCCGTTGCTACCGAAACCGGTCTCCGATCCAGACCATACAGCTGAGGATGTGGGATCTTCGCTGAAGCGCGGGTTGTCCCAGTAGGGGAGGTAACCTTTGTACCCACATTCGTTGCGCATCGCTTCTTCGAATTGCCAGAGGAACATGCGGTGCCAAGGCAGAAGATAGCCCTGCATACGCATCAAAACACCGAATGTTGGGGCGAATAAGGGGGCTGGCTTACCGATCCATGAATGATGTTTGTCTGATTGATGTGGATGTAGGTGAAATCATCAAGTCGGTTTACGGCGCCAGGTGCGAGGTTCTTATCCGTCAGAGCCGGCTTTGCAGCCAAGCAGTTCACAGCGCGAAGGTAATCGATACGTGTTGCGTCGTCAAGTTCGTCCCTATATGATGGATTTCCAGTCAGCATTGCGTCTGCATGAATCACTTCGTGATGTTTAGACGTACCATGACCGCCTCTTTCCGATAGTCTTCTTTGTGCAATTGCCCGAGGGCAACGAGGCACGAATGTTCTTTTGATAACTTCTCTGGAAGCGGTGGAAATCATCCGGCATAGGAATCCCAGTCATCTCATGACCTGGAGTGGGAGTGTCTGAATCTGTTGGAGGCTTTGGTGCTGCGCATGTTCCTGCGGGAGCTGCTGTAGTCGTGGCAACGATGGCCAGGCATGCGCTCAGAAGGGTGGGGAGTAGCACCATCTTGGATGCAGCTAAACAGTAACAAAAGGCTCAGAAAAACAGGATGTTGATATGCGAAGTAGGTGAGACCGATTGCGGTGCGTTTCGCGGGTCGAGGTGCCAATGTCACAAAGGAGTTGAATTTTCGGCCGACAATCAATGAAGGCGAACTTGCTCTTGTAGAAGCGAGTGACTGAAAGAATAGACTTGAAGATTGATTCTCCCACAGTGTAACTGCGCCGGGCATTATTATACCACACCTATGTGTCGCCCGAAAAGCAATCTCCCCAGCATAGATGCAGTCAATTTCCACATTTGGTTAGCTATACGCAGCAGATGTATGGTAGTCATTGTGGTTTGCCCTCGTCCATGAGTCCGCACTGTGGTCAAGGCGAAACATGAAACGACCGAACGCGGCAATGCGCTTATCCCAGAAAAGCTGCCAGAACTCCAGGCTCATCTCTCCGCACAAAGCCAGTCAGAAGAGCGCGCAGCTCCAAGTGGATATCGGGGATGACTAGTTACATCCATCCGACAATTCGAGAAGGGCCGGGCGGACTTCGCGGTGCGCATCGGACTTTGTGTCGCACTAAGCCCAGCGTAGCGCAAGGCCCACGCCGGGGTACGCTATACGCCCTTTGCTTCATCTGCGAGGCTGTCCGACGTATATTGAGGGTCTTGATGATTCATAAGGTGGCCTACGCGCATGTAAGGCGAGGATAGGCAATTGCAGCGTTTGCTTCGGGCGGCAGCAATATACGTCGATAGACAATCCCGGCCCATTTAATTCTTTGGGTGATACAGAGCTCTTGGCTCATGATTGTACGTCGATTGACGTTACAGAGCCCTTCGTTTCAGTGTTCGCAAAGGTGCCCATTTCGAAAGACCAGCGGCGGTCCAACTTCGCCAGTGATTCTCGGAGGGCATCAGAATCATCGAACCAGGCTTGGCTATCCTCGTAGCGCTTTACGTAGATATACTGCAAGGTATGTCGAATGACGTAATTGCAAACCGGAGATATAATGTCAATCTTGGAGGAGGTTATACCGCGATGACTTCGAGAGATGTCTACAATCATCTGGGCTACGGTGTCTAATGCTGCTTGCGAATGGTTTCGCCATCTGGAATCGATCGCTGTGGCTTCGAGGTGTAGGATATGTTGGTGAAGCATGGAAAGAGCTCTGTTTGTAGGTGTTATTGACCGAGAATTCCTAGTGAGGTGCCACGAAATACGAGTCGCGCTGCTTGCGCCTTTGGGTCCTGGAGTCTACGAACCTGATTGATGACCCAACAGCCCCGCAGTGTCCTCCGCGTAAACCATGACATTTTTTCATGACAATTGAGAGCAGACTCTGGAGTTCTCCATCCAGATAGATGAGGTGGGCTATCCGGTCAGTCGTAGGTACGGAGGTGGCCTTGATAGTATGGATAACACGATCGAGCAGGTAAGCCGCCTGTGCTGCGCGGCCTAGACAACCGATTCCTGATTGGCTCACTGGCGCAACTCGGAAGCCTGGATTCAGACTAGATCCACGGGTGCAGTCACCGACCTCATGCGGCAGGAGAGCCGTCTCGTCTGGCGCGACTGTGACCAAGGGAATATCGGTCAACGTAGATTCGCAGTAGAAGATCCTTTCGAAGATGACGATTGCCCACCAAGTGTTCCAAGCCTCGCTCCAGCCTAGGCTATCGTGCTTTTTGTTCATGCCGATTCTATACGCCATACGCGCGCAAATATCAGTGGACAAAAGGGCGCTGCCGGGTCGTCCATGTGCATATTCGTAGACTGATATCAGGAGCCCAGCTTGTATGTGGTGAGTAGATGGTATTGTCAATAGTTGAATCTGAGTGAACAATGTTTTGGCGTGAAAGTAGAGGACGTTTTGGTCGATTGGCGGTGGTTGATCCTCCGGCGGATCGTACGTGACCAAACACATGCAAAGAAGGAGTAAAGAGAATTGCGCAGTTGGGACAGCTTGGAATTGGAAAAGATCTTTGCCGAAGCGGTCTGGGCATAGGAAAGGGACCCATAGATGGATCCCATTGAAATATCGTGAGCTTATGTCGTGGATGGATTGCTGAGTCGCATCGATGATTTGCATCACTTCTCGCGGTATTGTCGCATCAAGAAACCGCGCGTCGTGAATAGAACCGATTGAGGCAGGCGAAGCGATCTGTGGTGGCGTATGAGCCACTGGACTCTCCGTGGCTTGGGTTGGTGACAGTGAGTGCGGTGTTCCGCCATACTCGTAGCAGCATGTCTTGTTGTTCCTGGACCATGTCAGCAAGCACATGTAGTGACCTTGGTTCCCAGTCGAATCGTGCCAAACCCTCGCAATCCACTCTCTCAAAATGTGTACTTGCGGTACCACAATACGCGGAACAACATAATATACACTACTAAGTGATATACATACTGCTCACAATAACCGCAACTAGGTAGTTGCTTGTCACATCTTTTCTTCCTACCCTTGCAGGTAAGACAGACTTGAGGTGCAACCATCGGCATGCGCCTGGTACTGTGACAATTACTCGACTAGGTATATGTCTCAGCATGCCGCTATCATTGTTGTGTCGATTGACCCACAGGAAACCGGTCCGCAGCTTTGGGATTGGGTGCTAAGACGCTCCGAAACGATGAACGTCGATATGTTTTGGAGACGTGCGTGGGTGATGTAGGAGCGGCCGCACTGCGGGACTGAAATGAGAGTTCGGCCGCGCCGCCAGTTAAGCTCTTACTTAATCATTTTTGCGTCACTCGCTTGGTCAAGCATCCGGAATAGAAGTTGGTGAAGGCAGTTGCTGAGTGTCGGCCGCCGCTAGTTGTAGGGCTGCGTCGCGCAATTTGTCATCCTTCTCTGATTGGTCGCACTTTGATGTCATAACGCTGATTGGTTGACTCCAGACTTGACGCCCCATACCCGTCGGCCGCCGCTAAGATCCACACGCACATCTCCAATGCAAGTCACGTGTTCGACCTGAATAATATGGGACTTAGGATGCTTCCCAGAGACCGTATAAGAGGAAGAGCCCTGGACTTGGCTACGACGATGCATTCATCCGATCCCAGTCGCTTCCGAGCACATGATGAGCGACACTTCCCCAACTGAGACCGCCCAAGCAGCAGAAAAGCAGTTAGAGTTACCTGCAGAGGGTGGGACACAAGCATGGCTTTGCGTTCTAGGCGCATTTCTCTCCATTTTTTGCACGTTCGGTTTCCTTAACGCGTACGTTCTCGTTCTCTGTGTCGACAGTCATTGCTCATACAATCAGCATCGGTGTATTTCAAGTCACCTACCAAGCCACGACGCTCCGCAATTATACTCCGTCCGACATATCCTGGATCTTTGCTGTACAGCTCGCCTTGATGTGGGCTCCGGGTCCCATCTTCGGTCGACTCGTAGACACTTATGGTCCCGCCTGCGTACTCTATCCTTGCTCGTTGCTTTGTGTCTTCTCGCTCTGCATGACGAGCCTGGCCGACAAATACTACCAAATCTTTTTGGCACAAGGATTGGGATTTGGCGTCGGGGCTGGAGGGGTGTTCACAACATCGATGGTCTGTCTTGGCCAGTGGCACGTTCGGCGACGTTCGTTGGCCACTGGCATAGCTACCACTGGGAGTAGCCTTGGTAAGCAACCATCTCATCGCATCGGGGACGTCACTAACGATTTGCAAGGAGGAGTCATCTTCCCCATATTCTTCCCTCGGGTGATGGACCAGGTTGGCTTCTACGGAGCTATTCGATACACAGCACTCATGATCGGCGTTCTCATGCTAGCATCTTGCTTTCTCATCACTTCGAGACTGCCGCGGAAGAAGTGGGACTGGGGTGTACAATGGTTTGACTTGACGTTGTTCAAGGAAAAGCAATTCGCGATATTCACGGTCGGGGCTTTTCTTGGGATGTAAGTCAAATGTATCTGGGAATGAACGAGAATTTTACTGACAGTGCTTTAGGTGGGTCGTTTTCGCTCCGCTCGATTACCTCCCCAGCATGGCGCAAGAACACGGTTTCTCTTCCACGCTGGCATTGTATCTGATCTCCATCGTCAAGTACATCATCATCCTGGCTCTCTAGGTCAACTGAGCATATTCAGTGCTGACAAAGAACAGTGCATCCTCGATCTTCGGACGAACTATACCTCCGTACTTTGCAGACTACATCGGCTCCTTCAACATCGTCACAATGAGCGCTGGATTAAGCGGAGTCTGCATGCTTGCTCTCTGGCTACCGTTCAACTATCATTCTAACCACACAGGTACTATTGTGTTCGCTGTGGCATATGGTTTCACCAGTGGCGCCTTCGTCTCCCTACTCATGCCTTGCGTGGCGAAGTCTGGTAGTATCGAGACGCTCGGGCGGCGCTTCGGGACGTTTCAGATTATCATGTCGATTGCGTAGGTTTTGCAACAATGGGATGCACGTGCGACCAGCGACTGACTTTCAGTAGCAACGTTACGGGACTACCGATCATGGGTGCCATACTGGATCGACAGCGCGGTACGAATTATTCGGGTTTAATACTCTTCGGGGGAATTGGCTCGATTGTCGGAGCTGCATTCCTCATTGTCGCAACGTATCTCCTGGGTAAGAAACTTGGTACCTGGAAAGTCTGATCTCGCAGCCCACGGCTGGAGCACGTATTAGCTCTTCACAACATGCATCGCCGAAAATCAGTAGATTGATTAGCATTGAAGACTGCAGAGGAGATAGCACTTATGTACCATCTAAAACGATATTCGTACTCTATATATGACCAATCTCAGACTATTTAAACGCCGGCTCATCGCCCAGAAAGACAACCCTCCTGCCAGCTCACTTCGAGTTCTTAATCTGCACGTTCTTCGAGAACTGCGTCCACTTGATATCCAGCTCCGCCAACGTCTTCGCCGCCGTCTTATTCCCCAGCATATAAACATCGGAAATAACCACCCCATCCAGGTACGAACTCTCATTATACCCAGCCAACTTCCCATGGTACTTCCCGGTGCTCCTCGCGCGCACGTTCTGCACCGTGATATCCTCGATCGGACCAACACCTTTCTTGACATTCTCCACAAACACCGCCAACCACGTGCCCGTGCCTCCGGGCTCCCCAGCCAGCCTTTCAAGATCCATGTTCACGAAGCTAATGTTGCGCGCTGTGCCAGAACCGAATTTGTGGTCGATGCCGAGGCCGACGCCGCCGTAGTACACGACGCTGTTCTTGAAGACGACGTTGGTCTGGTCCGTGTAGACGCCCTGCCCGACTTTGTAACCGTAGCAGCGCGTCCAGGCGAGACACTGGTCAAAGGACACGTCGCGCAGCGGGCGCGGGTCGTACGGGAACGGCACCGTGGTGCCGACGTCCTTCAGCCAGGTTTTGGTGGAAAAGCTGTCGTCGTTTGCGATGGCGATGGCGCGCCAGACCTTCACGTCGCTAGACTCTTGCACGTCGATGCCGTCGTTCTGCTTGCCGTTGATGTTGTTCAGGATCTTGATGTTCGTGAGCTTCGCGCCTGTGACTTGCGTCGGGATCACAGCCCAGAACGACGAGTCCCGCACGAGGACGCCGTCCATCTTGAAGTTCGTCGTGCCGACCGGGACCACCATGGATGCAATGAGCTTGTCTTTCTTCATGGCCTCGGCGTTGCCGTCAATGGTGCCGCGGCCGAAAATGCGGATGTCCTTGGAGTCGAAGGCGGTGCGGATCCACCATGTGCCGTCGCCGAGGTCAGATTTGGTGTAAAGCACTTTGTAGTCTGCTTTCTTGCCTGTCATGCGCAGAACTGAGCCGCCGGCGAGGTATAGGGACGTCTGGCTCGGGATTATCAGGTTTCCGACGAGGTATAGGCCGGGCGGTACGTAGACGGTGGTTCCGGGCTTCTTGCCAGCAGCATCGAGGGCCTTCTGGATACCATCTGTAACGGCGCTTCCCTTGTTGTCGGCACCATGGTTGAGCACGTTCATGATGCCTGTTCCTTTAGAAGGGGGCGCACCGTCCTCCATGCGGTCGATCATAAGTACCAGCTCCTTCAAATTGTTCAGCTTGAGGATGATGTAGTGGACCTTCTTCAGGTTGAAGATCAATTCGTTCCCATCGACTTTGTAGTCGATCGGTAGTTGCTTGGGGGAGATGACTGGCGTTCCGGTGATCTTGGATCCAGATGCCGTGGCAATGCGGAACTCAGTGTTGGACCCTTCGCTCATAGACAGCTGGACGTAGTCGTAGTCTGCATAGTTGACGGTATTCGCGAAGGTGCCGTTGACTTTCACTGTATACTGCGTTGACTTGGAGTAGATAGAAGGCCTATCGTAGTCGACCCATTCTGCTGATGCCAGCGACAGAAGGCTCGCGGTCAGAAGTAGGACGCGTCCTAGCATAGCGACCGTAACGAAAGTGTGGATCAGAAGTTAGTTCTAGTAATCAAGAAAAGGTACCAATATTCTCGAAACTTGACTCGGGCGCAGAGTATATACGTACTTCTATGCCTCCGTCTAGGAGTTGTAAAGATCCAATAATAACTTCCTCGGTAGTGCGACCTCCGTATACGGATTTTAGCCCCCTTGGCCCCGCGCCAGGCCTCCTTGGGTAGCCCCACAATGCAGCCGATGCGCAGCCTCACATTCTCTTGTCCTACTAAATATACCATTTCGATACCTCTTTTCCTACAGTAACAACATCTGGTTCCAATGTGATACTGGGTGAGAAACTCCTTGAGAGCTCTGCTTCATTTACTCTGCTCCGATCCCTGTTGAGCGCGCTGCACTACCACGGGCCACCTTTAGCCTAGAAAAGGGGAAGCGTAAGACCGGCGCACGAATCACACGGTAAACCGCATTGGGGCAAAAGACTACAGCTTCACGGCGTGCGGCTTTGAACAAGGCACGCCGCGACATGTAATCTCGCGGAGTGCGATCCGAGTTTATTGCCAGTTCCCGCAGCACGCAGCTTGTCCTTGTTCGATAAGAAAAATGGCCGAGCATTGCAGAAATGCGACAGACCACTGTCGGACGTGCAAAACGATCGATACACACAAACACAAGCGCACAGATCTGCAGAACCTCCATCACCAAATCGCAGGCGGGTCCTCCGAAACTCCCATTTCCATTCCCATTCTCGTTCCCGCTTCCCGCATCTACCTCCCCCCTTCATCGGTCCCTCAAACTCGACACTGTAAATGACAATCCTAGCAAGCCCAAAGGTAGCATCCCTACTAAACACTCCACAGACCGCCACACTGTGTTCCCCGACATCCTTATACGGCACCATCACCGTGTTCACCACTTGATCATACTTCCCAAACGCGCCATCCACCGCGCAATCCCCCGAGTAGGGTGCTGTCGTAGTAGACGTTATACTGCAGGTGGTCGGTCGATGGAATGGGTTTGCATGTGCCGTGAAGGATCTGCCGGCCAATGGCGAGCGTGAGCTTGTAAGTCCCCGCCGAGGCGATGGAGATAGGCTGCTGGAGGCATAAAGAGCGCGGGGCGGGGGGCCGGACGGGCTTTGTCGCCATGATGCATGCAGATACCGGGCCGGAGGTGACGACGCTGCCGAGGAGGTTGAAGTAGTCGCCGTATAGAGGGTTGATGACGCTCTGCCATGAGGGATGTGTGAAGATAGAGTTTGTTAGGAGGTTCGTTAGAGCGGGGACGAGAGGAAGGGGGAGGGCAGTAGAGGTTGAGAGGAGTATGGTGGGTAGAAGAGGTACCCGGGTAATGGGTGTTGGTGTGAGCATGGGCGGGGGAGACGTCGAAATAGTGGCTGAGGAAGTGCTGTTTAGGAGCGCGGAATTGACCATAGATACTATGGACGGTACGAGCGTGAGAACGGGCACAGCCGACAGAGCCGGCTTCGGTACTACGTCGCTGCGGGTCGCTGTAAGTATCGGTGTAGACGAAGACATCTCTGCGACGGGAGGTCTCAGCCCCATTAACCTTCTGGTGGTCCCCGGAGCGACGATAGTGGCTATCAGCGACTCAACGATTGCAGAGACTGTGCCTTATGGCATGGTCTGCGTGGATACAAGCAGCGTTGTAGTTCTTTCAAGGGCCGTAGTGGGGACGGCCATAGTAGTGTTTGCTGGGAGGAGCGTGGTGGGAACTGGCACTAATTGTGGTGCAGTCGCAAGATCGTAGAGCTCAAAGACCAATGCCCCGCCGTATAGCTCGCTCATGTTGCCACGATACGGCATATCGCAGTTGATCGCAAGGGTAGTCTTTGTTTGATAGTGGTCATCGCACCAGCATTCTTGCTCGTATCAGGTCGATGAACTGTAATTCAACAGCATCACATACCTCCACCATACTCGAGTCCCGCCAAGGGGTATCTTTGCGAAGTAAACAGGCAGTAGTACGTGCTGCAATAAACATACTCTTTGGGCCTCCCGGCATGATGGTAAAGTGGCTAAGCACATGGTTTATAATGTTGTCAGTCCAGCAGCCCAGCGACTGGTAGCCATTGATGCCCGGGTTGGCGCTGGGCTCAGGGATTGGTCGCGCGCATAGAGAGAGTCTCTCCGGCCCACCGCAGATCTCCTGATTGCTTCTCGAGCAGAGCTGATTGCAGTCGGTAGCATTTGCTTCTCTCGGAGAACGATTGACGAGACCACACTGGAAGTTCAAAAGTTAGTGTCGGCTTGGAAACAGTGCTGGTTGTGGGAAACTCACACAACACTCCTGAGAGTACTCGAGGCCAGCATATGGATACCCACCGGCGGTGCAATAGTTCAGACAAACCTCCATCGTCATTTCTTTGGTGTCATAGAACGCGCTCCTGAGCCAATGCACACCTGGAGACGGAATCCACGTAGCATCCTTGGGGCTCCCACAAAGCCTCACGAAACAAAGCCTCTCGTGCAGCCTGGGTGGCTCGAACGAGTGCTAATGTGGCGATGAGGAGGCTCAAGGAAGTGAGCGCCATGGTGAGTGACTGGTGTCTGACAGGACACCGTGCGGGTACTGCATACCGAGGCTACCGTATTTCTTCTTGAGACCGCGCTATTGTATGCGCACTAGGCGGTGGTGCGATTTGCATGCTGATTTGTCGTGCCAGAGGCCGTGTTGAGCACTACCAGTACTGGCTCTTGGTGCCCAATGCTAACGGCGCCACTGCCACTCCAATGCCTCGATCTAGGCATCGATCCAATGGAAATGTAAGAGTCGGATAACATATGATTCGGGAACAGACACGATGCGATTTTGTGGGATTAGCGCGACGAAGGCGCCTGTGAAGTGACAAACTGATAGAGGGCGAAACGAGGCTGATGATGTTCAGAGACTGGTGTTGTTGCGGTAACGATGACCAAGTGCAGTACGACGTTGGGACGGCTCGCTGTCAGAAAGCTGCCATACCAGACTGGCGGACGCGCTAACAGCCTTTTGCCATGTTTGTGACATCGGCGGGCTGATAATCACTGACATGATTTATAATGACCTCTCAAAAACAAGGCAACATGATGGACCAGCGGGCAGTGCGCAATGATCGCAAAATTTACTTGGCCAATCTCGACCTAAAGGAGACTTGACTCGTAACTGCTGGGAGCGAATGGATAGTGAGTCCAAACGCGAATGATGACTGTTGGAATTGTAGTGTAAGAGTGACAAGCTAGTACCAACAGGAAACACCTCCCACACAATCAAACGCGCTGGAAACCCTAAAATACTATCGTGCACTTCTATGAAGCGCAAACGCCAACCGGGTGGTACCCGCTCTAAGTACAGCTCACTCATACAATCGTTGTACATTATTCGTGAGTATACTATGTACATATATTATTTAGAATTTGCCTTTTCCACCTCACTACGCCCTGTACCTGAATGGCACCGCAGCCTTCAGCATCTTGGGAAAGTTCGGCGTGCCCCAGCCGGTCACAGGGTCCCACCCCTTCGTCGCATTCCAGCTGGCATATGGAATCACCGGGCTACCATTCGGATCACCGTGGAACCTGCTCAACCCATCGCAACCCGTGCTGCCGCCCTTCTGGATATCGTTCAGAACAGCCGGACCAACAGTGTACACCCAGGGGTTCAAGAATCCCATGGGAGGAAGGTTGTTCCGAAGACGGGCATCGTTCAAAAGCGCAACAATGGCCGCAAAGGCAGGCGTAGACGCCGACGTGCCCTCGAAGTGGCCCAGTTTTCCCTTGTCATAGACGGCATATCCCACGCTCTGGGCGGCAACGTCTGGGAATCCGCGGCCATAGCGGTTGAAGTACGGCGCAAACTTCTTGCCCAGCTTCGCAAGGTAGCCCTCCACAGCGAGCGTCTGCCAGATGGGGCGGGACCAGTAGTTCGAGAACCCGCCTGAGGAGAAGAAAGTCGCCTCCTCATCGAGGTACTGCGTGCCACCAACGGAGGTGACCCACGGGCACGACGCAGGGAACTGCGGCTCGAAGCGGGTGGTGTTCTTCCCGTCGTTGGTCTGGCAGGCGCTGCCGACGCCGGAGTCGCCGGAGGAAAAGATGACAGAGACGCCGCGCGAGCCAAGCTGCGCATACAGATTGCAGACGGACTTTGCGTACTTTTCAGGGACAGACTGCTCGCCCTCGCCGTAGGAGGTAGACATGACCTGAGGAAGTTCGTGCTGCGGGCGCTTCAGGACGTCCTGGAGGAATGCGAGGTACGGCTCGTTGCCGTTATTTGCGGGGTCGGGCTGCGTGAGGTCCGGGACGAGCTCACCGCGACCGGCAGTGATGTACTCGGTCACGGGGAGCGGCGCGGCGATACCGACGATGTACTGGCCGTCAAGGTTAGCCTCGCCGCTGTCAGCGGACGAAGTTTGGTCGTCGACGCCGCCCTCGAAGGTGATGACGGTGTAGTTCTCGCCTGCAGCGTAGGGCGCGATGTTGGAGATGAACAGGGAGAGATCCGAATAGCGTGCAGATTCCTCTAGGTAGCTGTTGAAGGCGACCTTGCTCCCGCTCTTCGCATCGGGCTTGTAGTCGATCTTGTAGAGAGACTGCAGGCACTGCGGGGTGATGTATTTGTTCTGGACATGTTAGTGTACGCTGAGATGACTCATTAGGCTATACATACGCAGTTTGTCGTGTTGGCAGCGGCGGCTGAAAGAGACATGATGTTCGCCTCGTCAATGGCATGGTGAGTCGCATGCTCAGGGATGCCTTGGCCGAAGCGGACAGTTGGCTGGATCGTAAGGACCTCGCCGGCGACCTCATCCGGGACAGAGTACTCCAATGTGCGGAGACGCTTGCCAAAAGCTTCGCTGGTATACCATGCGAACTTGGTAGAGAGCAACTCGTTCGCGACGCCGACGGTGGTGCGGACATTCACCCAGTCGGAGTCAACCTCGACGTTGCTGACACCGCCAGTCTTAAGCCATTTCTGCACTGTCGAAAGGGTTGTCTCTGAGGGGAGCAGCATGCGCTTCATCTCCTCGTGGTCCTGAAAGTGCTGGCCGTACGTGGGGTGGTCTGCAATAAGTCAGTGTCGTTGCCCCAACTCATGCACGCTTTTGAACATCGAGCCATTGTTCCTCCGTGGCGACCACAGATGGATGGATTGAATGTCACACCGGGGCAAACCTACCAGGAGTGCTCATATCAATGACTGCTTGCTCGAATTTCTCGACATCGCCCTGCTTCAACGCAATCTGAAGACGAATGGGCTCATCCATCTTCGCCGCACCGCTGTATTGCCACCCAGCCGGCACAGCATTCAAGCTCTCTAGCACCGCCGCCGAAGCAGTCGACGCGAGGAACAGCAAAAACGACGAGGAAACCATGACTGCGGTGTAGATACCTTGACAGAACTTGACTTCAACAAGCTGCCCTCCCCTTGCTCGTCCGTCCGTCCATCTTATACATTTTCCTACCCATGCCACCAATACTGCTACGCCGCGCAGCTTCCCTGTCTGTCCTAGCCGCCCCTGGTCTCGCGACAGCCAGCAACCTGGACCCACCGCCCACGCACGTACCACAAGGTAATGTCAGGTCCTATCTCTCTCCAACAGGCAGGTCCAGGGACCAGAGTCGGCATCGTGTCGGCGGAACCCAGCGTCGAGAGGAAAACAAGCTCAGTCGATCCAACGCGCGGGCGGCCTCGGCTGAGCTTAGCGTGCTTGTATCGGCACATGTGCTGCAGGTCCCCATATCCTCCTGCTGGATGAGGTTAGGCCGCGACGGGCAGAGCAAATGCGCGCGATATAGGGAATCTCGCGTACGGTGCCGGGGGCGAGTCGCTGGAAGAATAGCCTGATTGCTGGAATGAAGAGGTCATGCAATATGGCGGGTAGACGACGGGGACCGAGGCTTGGGTAATCGGATTGGCTGGGAGGCGCCTGCGGTGCGTTAATACCTTGGCCTGGGGGGCAATAACGGGAGATCGGTGTAGTGACTAATTTTACATAGATATGCTCAAGGTATCTACAGTACTAGAGACGATATCCTACCTCAGCTTAGCCATCGATCAGCTATCCTAACGGAGGAGTAACAACCACGTCCTCCCCAGCGCCCACCGTCCCTGAAGGTTGCAAGAGCTGCGCATGTTCGGCCAGATCGTTGTTCCTATCATTGACAAGAAATTATGGTTGGGCTGGTCTGGTTCGATTGAGCATGCAAAGTGAGATGTAAGAGTGAGAATTGGTCTAGGGCCGACGGGCGCATGCATAGGGCTAATGCCATATGGTTGCGCTTTCCCCAACATCCGTAACAGCAAGTACTCACGACCACCACTCGAAGACTGGCCATGCAGTACGCCATAGATGCGGGGTACAATGGCGGGTAGGAAAAGATGATGGGGTATCGCATTTCGCTATATCGCTAGTCAAACGCTTTGTAATCCAATCCACACCAGATCTTGCCCTCTCGTCTCCCAACGTACGAATTCGCAAGCAGGCCTCCCAGTCTAGTCTTCCAGCTCAGGTCGCAGCATCTCGTCGTCTATCAGGTCCTCATCGATCTTCGTACCCAGATCTACATCCTCGAGGAACGTGCGACCCCGCAGGCCCTCAGGCAGATACTCCTGTTTCACCTTTCCGTCCAGATAGTCCGGGTTGTACTTGTAGCCCTCGGAGTAACCCATCTCCTTCATCAGCCGCGTCGGCGCATTGCGCAGGTGGAGCGGTATGGGCAACGCGGCCACGCCGGGCTCCTGGAGCGCGGCTTCTGCAGCCCGCAGAGCACGATATGCGCGTGTGGACTTTGGCGCGAGGGCGAGCGCGACGACGCAGTGGCTGAGATTGATGGCGCACTCGGGCATGCCAATTTTCTCGCACGCGCTGTAGGTCGCTGTTGCGAGGGAGAGCAGCGCGTTGTCTGCAAGACCGACATCCTCGGAAGCCACGACCACAAGGCGCCGCGCGATGTAGCGTGGATCCTCGCCTGACTTGAGCATTCGCGTGAGGTAGTACACTGCGGCGTTGGGGTCGGAGCCGCGGATCGATTTATGCATGGCGGAGATGTTCTCGTAGTGCTGGTCGCCGGCGCGGTCGTAGACCAAGGTCTTCGTAAGACGCTTTTTGAGGTCTTCCTTTGTGATGTTCGGTGTGCTGGAGAGGCTCATGGCGAGCTCGAGAAGATTGAGGGCGGTGCGCGCATCGCCGTCTGAGAAGGAAGCGAAGTAGCGCAGCATCTCGGTGTCGAGGAGCGGCGAAGTACAGTCTTCGGTGGCCATGGCGCGCTGTAAAATCTTAAGGAGGTCATCGTCGCTCAGCTCGTCCAATGTGAAAGTCCGACATCGCGAGAGGAGAGCGCTTATGACCTTGAACGAGGGGTTCTCTGTCGTCGCCGCAATCAGCGTGATAGTCCCGCTCTCGACCGGTCCTAGGAAGGCGTCTTGCTGCGTCTTTGAAAAGCGATGTATCTCGTCGCAGAAGACGATGGTTCTGCGCCCCGTGAGCTGCAGGTCCTTCAGCGCCTCGAAGAAGATGCGCCGCACTTCCTCCAGCTTCGTGCTTGTGCTGTTGATCTCGACGAACTTGGAGCCGGATGCATTGGCGATGATGCGGGCGATGGTGGTCTTGCCGGTGCCTGACTTGCCCCACAGGACCATGGATGGTATCTTGTTGCTCTCCAGCATGCCCCTCAATATGCCATTTGGGCCTATCAGCTCCTGCCCAAAGACGTCGTCGAGCTTCATGGGCCGCATGCGCTCCGCCAGTGGCTGCGCATCCTCAACAGCCTTGAGCTTCTTCCGCTTGGCCGCGGCGGGCGACGGCGGCTCTCCATTGGGATGGTTCTCGGCGGCCTCGTCAAACAATCGCTTTGTGCCAGGTGGGGGCGTCTTGGGGCGTTGTGGGATAGCAGGGGGCGCTATGGGCGACGATGTTGGGTTGCCATTCCTTGCGGAGCTTCCCGGCTTGCGGGCGCCCGATGTGAAGAAGCTGTGCGTCTTCTGTGCGCTGAGCGTATCGATCTGGTCGACGACGTGGTCGGCGCATCCGCTGTCGATGTGCTCGTTGATGAGGGCCTGGCTGACTTGCTTATTGCACAACGGGCATGCCACCATGGTCGAAGGTGAGTGGAAGCGTTGGACGCCGCGTCGCGTAAATTAAGCGGGGAGCTCGACGCGTCCAGAAGCTAGCCGCGAGGGAACAGCTGCAGCGCATTAACAGCGCAGAACATGGGCAGGTTTGCCTGCTGGGAAGGCTGGTGTAATTAAAACTTTGACAGCAAGAATGAGGTGAAGCTATAACGGCTGCCAAAAGCATTGCATGCTGACCCGAAGCGCAGACTGGTTCCCTGTCAAGGACAAGGAAAAAGAAACGAATGACAGCTCGAGTCACGTACGGGCGATGGAAAGTCGAGAAATACGTTGGGCGTACAGGCTCCCCTGCTGCGCTGCAGGTTGGGAATTGTACAGCTCACAGAGCTGAGGAGGTCCCGCGCGTTTGCGGCGCGAGTTCGGAGGACGGGTGATGACGGCATTGTCCGGCGCAAACTACAGAGCACGCAATGCGCCTGCCGAGCGCAACATGATTATTCACGCCGCTGCGTAGACCCCCACAATACTGCCTTTGCTACCCTTGGCCATGCGAACAATTGCCGCCGCAGCCCCAAGAAGAATCCTCACTGCCTGCCAAACCGCCTCGAGACCCGTGAGCACAGCTTCCAGCAGCCCCGCCCTCACCCCGCTGCGCGCCATGTCTGCTACTACACGGCGCGAAGACCCCTTCAAGCCGGCCGCACGCGTGGCTGGCCAGAAGCAGGATGTCTGGTGAGTCTGTGGATGCTCATACTGGGCTCGGAAAGTGTGCTGAGCGCAGTCCAGGTCCATCGTCAACGAAGCGGCTGCCGCGTCCCCAATCAAGCCCATTGTGAACATGGGCCAAGGGTTTTTCGGCTACAACCCGCCCAAGTTCGTCCTCGATGCCGCAAAGTCGGCCCTCGATTCGGTGGAATGCAACCAGTACTCTCCTACCAAAGGCCGCCCGCGGTTGAAGAAGGCCATCGCAGACGCATACTCGCCCTTCTTTGGACGGACGCTCGACCCGGAGAAGGAAGTCACCATCACCACCGGTGCCAATGAAGGCATGCTGAGCGCCTTCATGGCCTTCCTGGAGCAGGGCGACGAGGTCATTGTCTTCGAACCCTTCTTCGACCAATACATTTCCAACATTGAGATGCCGGGAGGAAAGGTTGTCTACGTACCCATGCACCCACCAAAGGAAGGCGCGACCAAGACAACCTCTGCGGCCGAGTGGACTCTGGACATTGCCGAGTTCGAGAAGGCCATCACTCCCAAGACGCGCATGATCGTGCTCAACAGCCCGCACAACCCCATCGGCAAGGTCTTCTCAAAGGACGAGCTCAAGGCCATCGCCGACATCTGCGTCAAGCACAACATCATCATCCTCTCCGACGAAGTCTACGACCGCCTATACTACGTTCCGTTCACGCGCGTTGCAACGCTCTCGCCTGAGGTGGCGAAGCTCACGCTCACGGTGGGCTCGGGCGGCAAGAACTTTTACGCCACTGGCTGGCGCGTAGGCTGGTTGATCGGGCCAGAGCACCTCATCAAATACGTATCCGCTGCGCACACGCGCATATGCTACTCCTCGGTATCACCCCTGCAAGAAGCGACCGCCATCGGCTTTGAGCAGGCGGATGCGCACAATTTCTGGGAAGAGTCAAAGCGCGAGATGAAGGCCAAGATGGACAAGTTCAACACCATATGGGATGAGCTGGGTCTTCCATACTCGGATCCTGAAGGCGGGTATTTTGTCCTGGTAAACATGTCCAAGGTCAAGCTTCCAGAGGACTATGACTTCCCCCCGCACGTTGCGGAGCGACCGCGGGATTTCAAGCTCAGCTGGTTCCTCATCAAGGAAGTCGGCGTCGCAGCTATCCCACCAACTGAGTTTTTCACCCCGGGTAATGCACATATAGTTGAAGACTGGCTACGGTTCGCCGTCTGCAAGAACGACGATGTGCTCGAAACGGCACAGGAACGCCTGAGAGGTTTGAAGAAATATATCCAGTAGTCGACCCAATTACGAATCAAACATGCACCGTATCCACCAATGTTAGAGCACGTCGTGCAGATCATTTCTAATTATATTTTTGCTAATAGATCCGCAGCCGGCAGTATTCATGGCGATTTCCGGGCCCTAAGTCTTCCCGTCCAGCCCCAGTATGCCAAGACCCGTACCTGCCGTCACAGCTTCTTTCATTCGTTGACCCTGGCGGCTGACCCTGGCGGCATCTTCGTATTCCAACACGATCATTGTGGGCATGAATGCGAGTTTTTCTCAAAGGCCAACTTGCCAAATCGTAGCTTTGTGCTCGAAGAGTGGTCGCTCAGAACATGTTCCTTGCTTTACACCCAGTCTTATTCACGTCAGACGCGCAAAACAAGTGCACATGCGCAGCTTCCACCAAGTGGGATTATAGCAAGGCTTCCGAGATAGTAGTACAGTAGCGAGTGTTGTCGCGTAAAGCGAGGTACGGCCAACCTCATTCGTACGGGAGCGCCACAAAGTCCTGTTTCCGACCTCCTCGGTACGCCCACAACAACGCATCCAGTCAGTTCACCTGCCAAGACAGATACTATTGCAGTAGGTCTGCAGGGGTAGATGTGGGAATTCTGTCTCGGCTACTCAGACTATGCATAGCGTTGCACGACACGAAAGCCATCTCGTATCAAGAGATCATTTCCATGTTCAAGCGCTGGGCAGCATGGGGGGTTGACGCCGGACAGGCATATTTGACCGAGACACATCAATACGAGCAGGTGTGGCTGCTTCGGAGTGTTTGATGCTACGGTTTAAGATGGGGGCATCGCCAGCCTCGTTACTGCTCTCCGTTCATCTATTGTCAACACTATCGGCCATCATTGCCAGCCTTAGATACTCAGAACAAGAATTGGATGGAACATTTCTAGAAATTGAATCAAGATGGCTGAGCTCGACAATGACTTCTGGCCCTTCGACGCGTACCCGGGCTATAAGTTGATGGCCCCGTGCATGCGCGACTGCGATCATATTCTCCTTTTCAATGTTCGTACAACTCACGAAAACCCCCCCCCCTTTGACCTACTAGGCCGCGTATCTAAATTTGAATAGGGCTGCGATAACTCAGGCTGCTGGTGCAAGAAGAACAACCTCGACAGGAGAACCAGCTCGCTCGAGCGATGCGCTTCAACATCGTGCACGTTCGCGGACATGAACACCGCAACGGATGTATCCATTCTTAGCAGCATCCAGCTGCAGTACTGCGTCGACAGAAACCTTAGTCCCGAGGGCATGACCATGCCAAGTACGGCCCTGGCGCAGCCTACGGAAAGCAGCAGCAGCGAAAGTCCCTTGGAGACGGGAGGTTCCCAAACTGGAAGCTCGGCTTCCGTCCCAGGAGTGACGGGTGGGACTGGGTTGGCGACGAGAACGAGGCCTAGCAGTGGGCCTACGGATACTGGTGGTGAGTGACCTGGCCTCTCTTCCGTTTAAGTGCTACGTCTCTAGGTGCTATTTCACCTCAACCCACCTCACTCTATTCCTCGAGAATAAGGTCACCCCTGCACCTTTCTGGCCCATTCATCCCACCAACCCATGCTCCAAATGACACCCTGACTAACCCCAACCCAGCTCCAGCCTCGTCCTCTTCCTCTACAGCTACACCAAACTCGTCCCCCTCCAATAACGCGTCCCTCTCGACCGCCGCAAAAGCTGGCATCGCCATCGGCGCCATCTTCTGCGTCCTCCTCGCCGTCCTCATCGCCATCCTTCTCGTCCGTCGCCGCAAGCGCACCCCCGCCTACCCCCCACCACAATACTCCTCCGCTCCCCCAGGGGGGCACACGGTACCCGCTCCGCTGCATGTGCAGACCAACAACGGCGCTGGTGCAGGGAGTGGATTCATCGCGCCTGCTCCCGTGCGCGAGGATGTTTCCCCCATCTCTGAGAAGACGCCTGCGTTTTCCCAAGCAAGGGAGGTCAGACCTGGCGTGGTGAGGAAGGAAGTTCCGCTGGGATCGGCGTCACCGCCGGTACAAGCTGCATCGCCGGCGCCGACGGAGGTGCTGGGGAGTACGGCGCCGGAGAGATACGAGGTCCATGGGCATGCTGCGGCGGGTGGGAACGGAGGGCGATGGGTGTACGAAATGCAAGGCGGGGGCACGGGTCGGGCTGGGGCTGTTGAGCTGGGTGGTGCGGGGAGGTAAGTGGCTCCACCGAACTGATATGTGTGAGTGGCAGGGATAGGGCTAGTAGGCACTGCGCATACGTATATATGCTCCACTTCATTCTTTTCTCCTCTTGTAAAAGCTATGGATATAGTGCAAGTAACCACGGTACGCAGATGGCCTCACCACCTCGCCACACCACACACGCTCGAGACGTGATGGGTATAGAGAAAGACTTCGTCGCGGGTTCGTTGCATCTGCTTGAGCGGCCCGCTGGTGCTCCCAGGGGTGCAGCGCCCCTCTTCGCCAGTTCACGACTTCGATCGCGACGCCAATACGAAGTCCGCAGTCCTTCCAGCAACAGCACAAATCGCAGCCACCAGGTGGCCTTGACCTGTATCGGAGTGACGGAAGCGTCAACAGCTCGAACGTTACGAGTGTCGTGAGCCCTCACTTCCCCGTCCACCACTCCGCCTCGCTCAGGGGACACAAGCGCTGCCGTGCCGAGCACATGGTCATCGGATACAGCTTCAACAGCGGCCAATTGTCCCAATAAGATCTGACATGCTCGCATGTCCAACAGGGCTGCCGAGTCGAAGCCTCGCTCTTACGCTCGACATGTGCGCTCCACCGCTCGTCGGTAGCGTTTCCCGGCATCTGCTCATCCGTGGGTTCTCCTCCATCAGTGCCATGTTTTGCAAGCGGCTGCGTCGAGCGGACCTTTTACACGAGCTGCGCAAGCGCAGTTAAGGCTTCCTAGTTGGAAGTCGACAGAAGAAGCTCGGGTTGATGTTGTGCTTGCACGTTCCAAGCTCGTTTCTACAGTAATCATGGACACTGCCTCTCGCGCAGGGCAGCAACAGCCAGATACCAGAGGCAACATGTTTACAAGAAATCCCGAGGATCTGTCCCAAGGCCACCTTGTTTGAGGATACGAGATCGTGTTGGTGGTGCGGGATCGACTCGACCGCAGATCCAGGTCTGGACATCGTACCCTTGCACTTCCTCCCATCTGTCTCTGGAAAAGCACCCAGCCGTTGCAAATGCTGCATCAGGTGCGAAAACACATGGCGTTTTCGATTCCGGGGACCACGAAAAGGCAACGGCTGGCTGGTTCTGCAAGTTTTTGCCTTACCCAGGTAGTCCGGTCCTGGGCTCTATGCCCAGCGTGTGAGAAGAGATGGGTTTCCGGGACCAGATGCCTCCAGGATCCATGGGGCTGCGCCTGCTCCCGCTGAAAGGACGACTTCCCCAGAGCGATGCAGCATGACCTGCCGATGAGCCCAGCCTTGTCCAGAGAAGAAACACGTGAAGCTTGGCGCTGTCTTTGGTGCCGGGTGGTGGCGATGTAGCAAGAAACCGCAAGGCCTTGGAAGCACGACGGCGATGTCGTGTAAAATCCGGCGCGGCGTAGTCCGCATGTGCAAACGGCCACTGCGTACCTCCAGCCTCAACTCTTCATATCAGCAAAGCGTTATCTTTGAACTGAACTTGTGTGCGTTATAGCTAAGCTAATAGCCATGGTATACCCTATAAAGAACGCGATAGATAAGGTATACCTCCCTTGGCTAGATACTCCTCTTCTCTGCGGATTACAGCGAGGTAGGCACGGTACATTGTGGTAAGAACAAGCGCAACCTCACACGTCCTGGCTCCTCTGCAACCCCTCCCTCACCAAACAACGTGAAGACGTCTCGAGTCTCCCCATCAGCCCGGATCTCGCTCTCGCAAAACAGACACGCATCGTACGGGCCGTGCAGTATGCTTTTGCGAGTCTTCAGTCCTCCCGGCGGGCTTCGGAGATAGAAATCTTGGGACGAAGCGAGCCATGAACCACGTTTGTATCCTCGTGTGGTCATGTTGGCACCTTTACCTCGATGACATGCACAATCAACGTGATACTTCTCTCCCGGTGCATATGTCATGTACATCTATTTCGTTTCCAGTCCTATATACAGCTTCTAGTCCTCCTCCGCACCCCGCAGCCCGCTCGTCAACCCCTTCATCCGCCGGCCCAACAGATCATCCTCGCTGGCCAGGCTGACTAGACTCTTCCTCCGTCCCCTCTTTGCCTTGGCTTTGCTCCTCTCCTTCTGGGGAGGTCCGACCGCCCGCCCGCCTTTGATATGCTTCGCCTCCCACCCTCTACCGCCGGATTGCCCGCCTACCTTGCCAACGCCGGGCGGAGATTTGCGATTCGGCAACACCGTCATCTCAAGCGGCCTGTCGTCGTCCGCGCTGCTCTCTGCAGTGCCCTGTCGGCGGTGATGTCTGGCACTCCCGTTTTCCTGCCCCTTCTTCGAATTCGCGAGCCCATTCACAGCCTCGACAAGTCCGGGGTGACTCCCAAAGTAATCACTCCTCTCGCTCTCTCTTCGGCGATGGTGCAGGACATCGTACTCTACCCCCGGCGTGGGCGCGGCCGTCTCTAAGCCGTTGCGTTCATCCATGTCGAACGCTTCCACCATCCACTTCCCACACCGCATGATATATTTCCAGCCCTCGGGGAACACGCTTACGAACTGCAAGAAGCCGTGCGAGATGCCAGGAATGAGATCGACGTTGACCCACTCGTGCTCGGCCCACTCCCCACGTGCCCAGTCGAGGCCCATCTCCTTTGCATACTGGAAATCCGCGCGCTTCGCCTGGCGTAACCGCCCCGCGAAGATGACCGTGTCGTCGACAAGCGGGTCGCGCTCGCCAGTCAGCATCCAGCACCTTGGAAATTTTGCCAAGAGGGATTCCGGCGCGAGCAGCGGCGAGAGGAGATAGTCGGTAGAGAAGTCGGGCCGGTTGTGCGGCCCGATGTAGAGGATGATCATGGCGCGCATCATCTCGGGGGTCAGGATGCGGTCGCCGAAGTAGGAGATCATGGAGGACATGGCGAGGCGGGTTTTTATGGCTGTGGCGGGAGGTGCGGCAGGGGTGGGTGGGTGCGTCTGGGAGTGTGGGGATTGTCTTGATAGCTCAGGTGACAAGGGGCGTACAGGTTCGGGGGATTGGACGGGTTGTGAGGAGAGGAGGCCGTTGAGGTTGGTCAAGATGGTGGGTGGGGGGAGGCCGTGGCTGTCGTGGCCGGTGTGTGCGGCGGACAGGTGGATTGCTGTCCGAGGTGAAGTGAGCACTTTCTCGCTCGTGGGCACGGGCGGGGAGGCGGCCTCTTGCTTCTTCGGCGCGCTCTCGTCGTCGCTGTCGGAATGGTCCGAAGCACCAGGCGTGTTTGGGGCGAGGTGTCGGTAATCGTCGCTCTTGTGCCGCAGGATGGGGCGGTTCTGCTTGCGGGCCTTGCGGTCGCGGATCAGCGCCATCTGCTCGTCTGTCATCCAATTCCCGATGTTCATGTCCAGCGCCGGATACATGAGCACCACGCCGACCGGGGGCGGCAACGAGCGCTCGCCCTGCCACCGCCGCGTCTCGGTGGATGCAGCCTGCAGGATCATCAACGTCATGCCCACGGCAAGGTTCCCGCCCGCAGAGTCCCCGCTGACCACGATCTTGGGCTCAAGCTCGCCCGACAAGCCCATGCAGCGGCCTTTCGTCGCGACAATGGAGTGGTAGACGTCGTAGCACTCGTTCAGGGCGTACGGATACGGCCACTCGGGCGCCTTCCTGTAGTCCAGGCTGAGCACGGGCAGGCCCGTCTTGCCGGCCCAGCCCATCAGCTTGTCCTCGTGGTTCCGCGGGTTCATGGCGACGAAGCCGCCGCCGGGGATGTCGAGCACGATCTTGTGCTGCTTCTTGAGGGCCGACAGCGGGCCGTTGAAGTACAGCCACGCAATGACGGGGTCTTTGTAGCTGCTGTCCTTTGGCCGGGGAATGCGGATCTTCCTCGGCGGATACCACATGAGGCGCGGCCTCAGCAGGCTCGTCAGCGCCGCCAGATACGGCGTGGTGCCCTTCTCCCAGCCGACGCGCAGATGGTCAACCGTCAGCGTGGCGCGCACCTTGCGCACCTTGTCGTCGGCCTGCTCGGCGCAGATCAGGTAGTAGGCGCTGAAGACGATGGACAGGATGTCGCGGAGGGGCTTCTGGCGGATGCGCATGGCGGTCCAGAAGCCGGCGTCGAGGGCGGTGGTGACCCATGTGGCGCGGAAGTAGGAGCGGCTGTAGAGGTTGGCGAGGGGCTCTGGGCTCTCGAGGCCGACGAGCTTGCCGAAGTTGCGGGCGAGGTAGAGGTACAGCAGCGTGACGAGGACCGTCTGCCACGCCGTGAGCTTGCGCGAGACGAGCGACGAGAGGCGGCGGATGAGCGGCGGGCCGTGGCGGTCGCCTCTGCTGCGCGGTCAGCGCGTGGGTTGGGACGGGGGACGAGAGACGCACCGGTACAGGTAGAAGCTCCAGAAGGACACAACGGCCAGCACCTGGATCTTGCGGAACTTGACCGACGGCCGCCCCACGACGTGGTCGATCATGCCTCGCGCCTTCCTGTCCTCTTACACAGCACACTATCGCTTCGAGTTCGCTATCCGTGGTGGTGTGGCGCTCATGGAGGTGTCGTCCGGAAGCGTGCTGTAAGCTGAAGGGAGGCTGTTCCGCTCGATGCAAGATGCACAGCACACAATTGCAGTGTGAGGAAGAGTGCCGTGGAAGCCGCACCAGCCGCCGCCATGTTGCCTTGTTCTCGGTCGCGTTGCTGTGACTGGCAGCCGTAAGCCCCAAGCATGTGACGCGTGATGTCTCCGGGCCCCAGCCGGACATGTGAAAGACGCCGTTGCAAGCGCGCTAGGTCGCCTGCGGGACGTGCGGACAAGCCCACGTGCACCGCCACGCCTCCGGAAATAGCACCATGGAGGCCTGTACAGTGACCGACAATTGCAAGCCGATGACTGCAAGCCGACGACTGCAAGCCGATGGTTGCAAGCGCATGCATCCACGCACATCCTCCTACCCTTTCTCCCTGCTAACACACATAAATACTATGCGCCCACGTGCAACCGCCACACCTCCGGAAATACCACCATGAAGCATCGGCACAGTGGCCGACAATTGCAAACAGATAATTGCAAGTCCATGCATGCATGCAAGCACCTCCTCCTACCCACTGCCCACCCTCCCTTTTTCCCTGCCGTCCCACATGAATACCATGCGCCCACGTGCACCGCCACACCTCCCGAGAACAACAACCACGATGCGGAATGGAGAAAGCGGCCGATGGATCACAAGTGCATATGCAAGAAGACGTCGCGCTATGTATGCCAATCCAAAGACCCCACGCAGCCGCCATGTACACCCGGGCGCCAGCCGGCCCTGCGCATCAAAGAAAGCCTTCATCCCACCACGAAACGCGTCTCCCCATCACCTCCTTGGCCAAACATGTCCCATCACAGCACACGTCCTGCCACCTAGACCTTGCCCCCACCCAGCCCCCTCACCCACTCGCCCACCTCGAACCCCACCCGCCTCAGCGCCGCCTCCCGAAACTCCCCACCCCCCTCCTTCACCACCGTCATGCACCGCACCTCCTCGTTGACCTCGACCAGCTTCCCGCCCTCCCGGCTCTCCTTGTCCGCGCTCTTGATGTAGATGGTCAAGTCTGGCCCCACCGTCCCGCGCCACAGCGTCGCCATCCACTGCCAGTGGTCCATCGGGCTGTACACGTCTTGGATCGGGATCCTGCTCGCGTACACGTCGCTTGCGCGGAGTTGGTACGAGGGCAGTATGAGGACTGGTTTTGCCGAGGGGGCGGGGGAAGTGGGTGGCGTGGTGTTGGAGGTGGTCTCCTTCATCGTCTCGTCCTTGTCCGTATCCGACGCCGACGCTGGGGATTTGACGCTGGGAATCGGCGGGCTAGACAGTGCAACAGGCGTCGTAATGTACTTGACCATCTCCTTGCTCCGGCCATGCCATTCCTGGATCAGCCCAAAGTAGTCCTCGAAGCTGACGTCGACTTTGCCAGCCGGCTCCTTCGGCGGCTCCGCAACGCGCGGCGCGTACTCCTTGTCGCGCGCGAGGAAGTCGTTGAGCCACGCCGCCAGTTCCGCGACTGCGGCCTGGTCCTCGCCTTCGACCGCGATGATGCTGCCGCGCACTTGGACGGCGGGGCTGCTGGGCCCGGGCTCCTTGAGCGGCGGCGTGATGCGCCCTAGGACTTTGATTTTGACCGTGTACGGCACGCTCATGACCATGGCTTCGACGCTGCGGCTTTGATCGTTGGCCGAGGGCACGATGAGGTTGAGATCGACGGAGCCGCGGCCGACGTCGCGCGGCGTGCGCATCTGGGGCATGGTGGCTGTTTGCGGTGGCGTGGTGCGCATCTGCAGGGGAGGGAGCGAGTCACGGCGGCTGTGGTGGTAGTACGCGCCGTCTAGCCTGCGACCACCGTTGCTGCTCATTGGGTACGGGTTGAAACGACGTCTCTTGGAATCAGGCGTGTTTGGCGTGTAGCCATACCCGTCTTCACGGACTGTGGACGGGATTTGGATATTGCTCAGGCCGGACGGACCGCTGGTTCCTCGGCGGCGAGCTGGGGAGTCCATGCTTAGACTGTTCATAATAGAGGGCAGGCGGACGCTCGGGGTGAGGCTTTCCGAGTACCTGGGCGGTGGCAGAGTTGGAGTGTCTGCACTGCTTGGGTAGGGACTCGAGGGTGACGGGGTCTTAATACTACGCCCACCACATTTAGGGCACCGGTACTTGTCGACAGTGGTGTGCGCAACGGCTGGGTTCAGCGGCTTTCCCAACCGCCGTGGTTGGTAACGGTAGTCAGGGTATTGTTCGTGATGTCTGTCTTTCTCTTCCTGATATGCGTCAGTCTTCTAGTCGGACCCTGAATATCATCAGACATACCTGGGCCAGATCCTGCCACACCTTCTTGACAGCGTCGCTCTCTGCCTTCCACTGCTCTCCGATGATCTTGGAGATGTCAGGGTTAGGAAGTCCAGGATTTGCGGCGGCGATGGCATGTTGGTGGTGCTGTCGATAAAGGATAAATGCTACAAAGAAAAGAATGCGGTCAGTGCCGCCACCATTTCATGTCCGCAAACGAAATCGCTGCATTCTTTGTTCGTCGCGGAGTTTCATCCGGGCGCTGCGATAGCCCCCATCGAACACAAAGAGAACATCGGACTTACCATTGCGGGGGCGGGGTATCTTGGGCTCCGGTTGACAGAGACAAACATGTTCTCCTGGTGATGAGGATGCACTGCGTGTTCCTCTCGAGTTCTCAGGGTCACTCAATTCCCCCGAGTCCACACCATTGCCAACGTCTCGGGATGCTGCACTTCTCTTGTTGCCATGCGCCAAAGAAGCATTGGACGAAGCTGGCGATGGTAGTTCCATATCTGCTTTCTGAGCCGGGTCCGAGGTAGGCGCAGAGCGGCATTCATACGATCTTTTTGTTTTCCGCAGTGATCGTACGGGCTTCACGTCGTCCATTAACGAATGAGACGGGGTATGCTCAATGGCTTGCATATTCGATCTGGCGTATCTCCTGGGAATGTTGTAAAATGTCGCGAGAGGAGGAGAGGAAGGGCGAGGATGAATTGGCGGCAGCACACGGCTGGCCAACATTTTGGGTAAACTATCTTGCCGATGACGGCTGCAGACTTAGATGCGTTCTTTGAAAGCAGAGATCATTGTACCATGTATAGGATTGGACAGGTACTGTCGGACGAACCACCCGCAATTGACAGCGCGCGTTCTGCTTTCTTTGTATCTATTATGGGTAAGCCACACCTAGACCATCCTCGCGTTGCCGCCAGGCTACGGCTGAGCCTGCAATTTCATTGTTCCAGACAGATGCGGCGGAACCGCGGGTGCTCGCTAGCCATGTTCTTTGTTCATCGATCTGCCAGAAGCGGCCAAGACCGCACGCTGCCGACCGCTGAGACATTCCAGCGCAGAAACGCAAGGGAGCGACAATGCTTGGAGCTCCACAATGGCGCACAAGCAGGCTTACGATCGGTCTCCGGGACCACCATGCCACTGCTGATCCTCGGAATGCAACCCTCCGGCTGTCAAGCAGGCGCCCGGAGAGGGCGCTGTATGGTCCACTGTCGAACAGCGGTTCAGCGTAAGCCATCAATATCCCGGGGGAAATTTAAGGTCAAAGTTAGCGCCCTTGTCGCCTTCGCTTTTCTTGTCGGTAGCAGACTGCAGCTTTGCTCGTTGCCGGGCGTCACTGTTGACAGCTTCGTTACCGCGTACCAGTCGTGCGGCTTCCTTCCCGATTAGTTCATGAGCAGGCCCGCTAAGGTGCATGTCGTCCCTACAGTATGGTCAGACTGAAACAATGCGTCTGCGCAGAAGTACGAACGTACCAGAATAGATGTGTGCTAGGGTCAGTGCACGGGTGCGCGGCTGCTTGCAGATTCTGAGCATTCGGATCTTGTACTAGACACGGCTTCTCAACCTCTTCGAAGAGCGGTTCCTGTCTCCCGTTCCCTTTGGCATCGGCAATTCTGTTGGTGAACATCTGTTTTGCACGGACTTCTTCCATGATGATGTCGTGGACGTTTGGCACAAACACGTCGCCCCTTGCCCATTCCGAGGCTGCTTGAGACAGCGCCGTGTTCCAATAAGACCAGAGAAACACGGCTTGATGTTGATCCTGCGCAAACTCGGTGGCTGACTCGTTCTTCCTGTCGGAATAGCGTGGGAGAAATGTCACATCCATTAGATTGGGTACTGTAACCTTGAGCGTGCCGACGTGATCGGCGAGGATATCGAGGTTGTGGAAAAGCTCCTTCACACTGCGGTCTATGGCACGGATGGCAGCATCCTTGTCCAGAGGAGAGAACTGCAGCAAGTCCCAGGTGCCGAACAGGACGGTGAAAACGGTCTGCTCGTCAGCTGTGTGTCTTCCTGGCAATCTCCACTTCTTCTTGTCGAACTCGATGAAGTGTTGCACTTGCGTCTTGAAGTCGAACACAGCGAGTGTCTCCTTTCTCGATTCACTGGTCACATCAAGGAAGATGTTTGAGTCGACCATGGATCCGACCGCCTCCAATCCCACGTTGTCAGGGACAGAGCGTGCAAAGTTGTCCACCCAGTCGCAGGTCAGCTGTGACCAGTCAGTAACCTCCCGCGAAGCCAAACGACACACTTGCCTCTTTGCAGAGGGTCTCTACCCAAATGTCCCCCTGAGCTGCGTTCCTGTCTCGGGTCGATCCTTTGGGTGGTGGAAACATCCGATACTCGCCCGTATCGGACCAGTCATCACCGAAGACCACTACGCGGCGGGGGCTATTCTTCCACACCCTTTGCAGATTGTCTTTCAGATAGGCGGTTGAGGGTCGCCTCCAGCTGAAATACAATATCGTGACCAGTGCGGCCGCTGCGCAGACGTGCAATCGTGTGATGAATCGCATCTTGGACCAGTAGTGGTGAGGTCAACGTTGGTCGCGTGACCACCTTCAAGGCTCACAACAGGCGGTAGGCTGCGGATGCAAAGATGGACGGCGCAAAAGCAATGCGTGACAAGTCGCAGGACGAAAGGGAAGCAGCAGCAAAAGGAACAGTCAGGGTTTCGGTGGGTGTGAGGAATAAGACAGGAGAAAAGACATGTCTGTGAGAGACGCAGACACGCACACCCTCCCCATGTCGCCCATGCCAGTTCCCGCGACCCTAGCACTGCGGGTCGCGCGAAACGGGACTATGACGACGCCTGGCGTGCACCGAATAGCGCCGGCTACATCCTGCCCCCGAGCGGTCTTGTATACCGGGGCCGTTGTTAGAGACGGTCGATTTGCATGCGCGACGCGCGTTGATTGGGTCTGTCCACAAGGCGATGCACTGCCAAGGCGAGGCAAGCCACAGCAAACGGCTGTCGGCAAAGACGAGGCAGGCGCCCAAGCAAAGCGGCGCAAGAGCACCGTGCTGCTTGGACTCGAAAGGGAATCTGAGGCGCAGGAGTGGGTCAGACGATGAAAACAGGCATTCGGGATGGAAGCCGTGGAAGGCCCAGCGGACGAGAAAAGCTTGTGTTCACGGGTTAGTGCCGCTCGTCCCGACGACGCTACGCCGCTTTCGCGAGAGGGCGGCCTGAGGCGCCAGCTGACGACACCCCAACGAGCCCACGACACCCTTCCGCTAGTGGTGTTAGATTCAAAAACGCGTGCGCATCGCATCGACGTGGTCTCGTTTGGTCGTTTTGTTCTTTCCGCACCGTTGACCGGCGATGGACACGCAGCCGGCTCACTCTCCTCGTCCCATGGAGCCCTTGGCACTGCATTGCACAAAGGCCTTCATCACCGACCCACCGGACATCCGATAATCGCAATCGCAATCGCAATCGCAATCGCAATCGCAATCGCAATCCTGAGTCGCATAGCACGAGCACCAGAGCACAAAAGCACCGAGCAACGCTCGTCAACACATGTACACGTCAGGAGTCGGACGCGACGCGCGGCAGATGTACGATGCAACAGATCCCCCGCGCTCACCCATGTCACAAGCGGCCTTAATGTCCTTATGCCCGCCTCGTACATCCAGAGCACATCTGGACCAGCCGTGTGGGCGGGACATCGGAACCGTCCTCAAAGACGTTTCCGACACCTACAACGCTCTTTGCCTCTTTGACGGTGTTGGATCAAAGATCCCGTTGTCCAGCATTTACCCATGCTAAGTCGCTTTGCATTCAGCCAGAGACCATATTGCCCCTTTGTAAACCCGACCATACACAGCGTGCGACACAAAGAATGGACTCGATTGTACTATGTGAACAGCGACTGCCGGACCTGGATTCACAGACCGCAAACCTCGTCGTGTGCAATATGAACCTCCCCATCATGCCTCCTTACATGTGCTCGCACCTGTTTAGTCCTCGTTACAGGTGGGTATCCGACTGCAAGTTCGCCTCTGCACGATGCATCGCACCCGTTATTTTCTCGCCCTAGTCCATTTTTTTCTCTCACTCGCATCCTTGATCGATTCCGCACCCTCAGATTCCCCTCGTGATGCGGACATCGCGCAGTCTGGCTATGTTGGCGGCGACCACAACATCGGGCCAGAGTCGCTCTCGCGATTCCAGCACCTGTGGAACTTCACCTTCAAGCCGGATGAAAAAGTAGAACACTCAAGTCTCTGCGTTGATAAGCGGTAACATCCACAGCACTACGCAAGACCGTTAGTTCATACGCTCGCATCAGGGAAACAAATCGTCTTCACTGCGTCGACCGAGAATGTCGTCCGCACCATCGATGCGACCACAGGCGAGATTATGTACGAGAGGCAAGTCGCACCACCATGGCCCATGGCCGGGGCGTACTGCGAGACGGTTAGTAAGAACTTGGGCATCATGGGCACGCCTGTGATATACCCAGAGTACGACGTCGCCTTCTTCTTCGTCAAATCATACATCGAGTGAGCCAACCATCTCCCAGGTATCCTTGATTACATGCTCATAGCGCAAGGGATTACCGCGTGCCAGGCGGCGCCAACCCTCCGCTTAATAGCGTCTATTATTTTTACGCCGTATACCTTGATGGCCTAGGCGACGTTTACAAATTTCCCCTTTTCATCGACGATGTACCCGCTGATAACGACGAACGCAAGCTCTTCCTCGGCGGCCTCGTCCTCCAGCGTCCTTCCCTCCTTTCTGTCGGCGATGTGGTCTACGCTGGCTTCGGCGGGCTGTGCGACGCCTTCAACTACACCGGTACCCTCGTAGCCATCAACATAAACACACGCACAATAAACCGGTGGGTAACACAAGGCGGCCCGACGTCGCCGTGGACAAGCAACTGGACAAAGTGGCATGGTGGCGGCGCAGGTGGGATTTGGCAGTCTGGGATGGGTCTTGCATCCGATGGCCATGATGTCTTCTTCTCAATCGACAATGGCGGAACTACGGACACAAATGCTTCCAGCATCCCAGTCCAGGGCAAATCGCACCAAGACATTCTTTCCGAGTCCATCGCTCGTGTCTCCCTAAACGACTCAGGCGTACAGCTGCTCGACTTCTTCCGGCCGGCCGACTACCTCTCCGATGCGGGACAGGACATCGGCAGCGGTGGCGTATCCATCCTCGATCCTATGACTTTCAATACCAGCGCCGTGCCACACATCGGCGTGTCGACAGGCCGCAACGCGAAGGTGTATGTGCAGAATCTGGATGAGTTGGGAGGGTACCGCACTGGTGCCAATGGTACCGATACAGTGCTGCAGACGATACACCTGCGGGGTGAGGTGTTCGGCGGGATCGGATCGTACCCGCTGGAAGGCGGGTATATCTACGTTAACCCTGGCAATGCCTCGTTGGTTGCGTATCGCTTTAGTGCGTCGGCGGGTAATGGATCAACAGAGCTGTTCGCGTTGGCGGGGACGGCCGAGACGGAGAACACGCACTGGGGCGGGGGCGGGATTCCGACTGTGACGAGTAAAAATGGTGATCCCGGGAGCGGGATCGTGTGGGTGACGGATGTACAGAGGGGGCTGTTGGCATACAAAGCTGTACCTGTGGACGGGAAACTCGTGGAGCTTGCGTTGCCGAAGGTGGACGGTGCAGTCCGGTTTGGGCGGCCTATCTTCGGTGACGGCAAAGTATACCTCTTCGATGGAAAAGGCAGGCTGATTGCGCTGGGCGCCAGTGGTAACATAACCGCAGCTGCGTAGACAAGCCGACACTCTACTTCACGCTCAGGGATGGTGGGTGGGGGAGGTTGAGGAGAGGGGATGGGCGCGGAGAGGGTCTGGGTGGCGGGCAGGACCATCTGCCAATTCTCCTCATCCTGACCTGTTACTATCCTTAAAGGGAGGCTAGGATGGAAGAATGGTTGGGAGAGGTGCATGTGCATCTCTCCAGCAGGGTGCATTATGTTGCTGACAGCGGATATAGCCGCCATGGAGCTTGTTCTGGTTTGGTGACGCGGCTTGCATGGTGCGCTGCCGTGGCAGCCATGGAGTTCCGATGCAGCGAGGATGTTCGTTCATGCATGTCGTGGGTGATAGCGATGTCAGCTAGCTGTGTCCGAGGAATATGTCCGAGGCGGTTGGTCTCCTCGCTGCAAAATTAAGTCACGCGTCTGGCGGTGATTCAAACACTGACGGTCATGCGACGGCAAATCTTTACGGCACGAAGAACAAAACCAGATCTCAATCACCTAGGCATCCTAACTCGTGCCTACTACAAGCTTCGCACAAACCAGATATGGTAGACCCGACGAGCCAGCAATACCCCCATCACACCACCCTCAGCCTCTCACCGCCTCCAACCCCTCCTAGGCGACCTGGCATCCCCCCGTCGTCCATCGCTCTTCCTACTCCCAAAGCTCCTAACCGACTCTCCATCTCCCCTTCGCCTCCCACCACTACCGTGACTCTTTGCACTCCCCACCGAACCCCTCGATCTCGTACTCCCAGCACTAGGCCCAGGATGTCGCTGACTCTCAAAGCTCCGAAAACTTGCATAACCACCTCTCTCAAGCCTCACTCCCTCGCCGTCCTTCCTTCCCTCGCCTTTCCCATCCCTGTTTTCGGGATACAACGTCTCCATCACCGCCGCAATCGGAACGCCGTCGTACCTCCGCGGACCGTCCCCATAGCTCAGTGTTGTCCCGCCCGAGGCGCTGGTCGGGCCGAACGGGCGCTGGCGGCTGATGTACGAGGGCACGGTGGCGGGGTTGGGACGGGGGATTGGAACGCGAGGGGCAGATGTGGGAGTGGTGTCTGAGTGGCGCTCGCCGGGAGTGGGGACGTTGGGGACGCGGCCTTCGAGGGCGGCGAGGGCGAGGGCGCGGTGGTGGGCGATTTCCTGCTGCGAGTCGGCGGGTAATTTGGGGCGGACCGGGCGATGGGTGTGCTCGGGAGATGTCCGGGGTTGTCGGGGTGCTGGTGGGCGGCGGGGCTGTGGTGGGTTGGTCGTGGGAGAGCGTGGTGTTGCTCGTTGGGGAGAACGAGGTGATATCGGTGCCGGTGCGGATGGACTGCTTGGAGAACCACGCATATTGGAGCCCGTTCCTTCCTTGGGACTCTGTGCCCGTTTGTCGTTAGTGGATACTAGGGAACGCGGATTCGTCGCCTTGGGAGAAAGCAGCTCGTGTTTTTCCTCGACAAGCTGCTCCCGCTCAAGCTCGGTATCCTCGAAATTCCCATGTCCCAGCCCCTCTGCCAGCGCAGCATGCACCGCCGTCTGCAGCACATATGCCACCTTCGCATGACCTTCCCGTGCGGGGCCTTCCACCATTTTCCTCGCCACGCGGTCCTGATACGACACCGCACTATGCGGCCGTACATCTCTGCCAGTCCCGATGGCTTCGTAAATGTCCTGCAAGCCTCTGTACTCTTCACTTCCGAGCCCGCGTTCTTTTTCTTTTGGCCACGGTATCGAGCGCTCTCCCTGACCACTGAACCGTTCTCTCATCAAGACATGCAGGAATCTGTTCTTCACCCTGTTCCTTCCCCATTCGACCTCGTCCCGCGACCTGGAAAAAGAGCCTTGACCAAGCGAAGAAGCACACGCGGTACACTGCCTCCGTGTCTGTCCATATGCCCCCACTGACCTTCCAGCTACAACTTGCGGCTGAGGTACGAGGGTGTGCAAGATACGGGGCGGCCTCGTGTGGTATGCTCTCTCGATCTGGACGTACTCCTCGGGGTGGCCGCACAAGTAAATGCGGCGAATAGTGTAGGGGTACCGCAGGCCTTGGGATGGTGTTGGAGTGGCGGACTTGGATTTGGATTTTGGCCTAGGGGGCATTGCTCCTCGTCAATCGGTAGAGCGAGAGTTGCTGCACGGTAAATCTTTGTGAGGAGCACATGCCTTTCGGAAAGGTGTCGTGAAGGGGAGAGGATTGTGTGCATGATGTATGTGTTGGCGCTGTGAATGTCACTCTTCATAGATTTCCTGGAGTTCGCGTGGGTTTTGTGTGACCCGGATGGTTGCGATGTGTGATCCCACAACTTGGGAGTCTGCGTGAACTTCTCTGTTACTATCCCGCTGCATTGATTCTCTGCCATGCTTGGGATTGCTCGTGGATTATGTGTTAGCTGTTTTGCATTTGCTTGCATTGCTGTTCAAAATGCACTGATGCGATCGAGGATGTCTGCTGCATGTAATTAGCAGATAAGATTCCCCGTGCTGAGTCAAAGCCTCGGCAATTTACAGAGCGACTGACTGGAGGGACACAGAAGTTCTTAGTTACTGCTACCCAGGGTTTGCGAGATGGGTTGGGCCTACTGCCTTAACGTTGGTGATCGGCCCGCGCCGTGGGACCCTTCTATTTCGCCAGCCAGCAGCTACCGGTACCACCGCTCTTCCTCCTTTCTCAAATGCACCACACCCCCAAGAGAAAGATGAGCTCACTGGTCACGTCGACACAGACCACTTTTCGGTGGTCAAAGGCCCGCCACTTGCTCGCCCTCCTCCACCTTCCTGACACCTCACTTCCACTGACAACTCCACGCTTGGGCAACACATGCATTAGTCATTCGTTGCCATAGGTAGTCACAACTGTAGTATTACACATCGTGCTGGAAATCCTGTGAAGCTTTAGAATAGTAGAATGCATCCCACCTGAAGCAGCCTTGTCCACTACATCACATTATAATATCGTTAGTGAGCCGTCAAGCGAGTCTTCTTGCCCCAGAAGCACATGCGAAGGCAAACGTCAGGCCCGCACAGCGGTCGTCGTGCAAAGAGCGAAAGTCCTACAGCCGACGCTAAGCTGCCAGTCATTGGCTAGATGCAACCGATGGACATTTCAAAACAGCGACAGGACTGAGAAAACTGATGAGACTGCGAACACAACTCTGCTCCAGCCTCTGTTTGAGAATTGTCAACGCGCAGCACCATGGGCGTTCTTCTCACGCTCTCGCGCTAATCCCAATCCAGTGCGCAAGGCAGCGACTGTCCGTGCCTATCACATGACCCGTCTAGCGTCTTGGCACCGAAAATCTATATCAACGCGTCCACACCCTCACCCGTTCCTGTTCCCTATCCCAGTGCTCGGGGTAAGTTCCAACCCCCAAAAGTGTCCCTCGCGAGCGCATCGCTAACTCCTCGCAGCTTTACGCTTACCAGTGAAGATTCGTCTGAGGTAGCGTTTTTGCTAGTTGAAAACTACAACTATGACCGCTCTTGTTGGTCTTCGGATCGGCAAGGAATTTTTGGCAACTACGCGTTTCTTTTCATTGTTTGCTGCGGCGTTGCTGCACAGGCGAGGAAGAGGTTGGCGATGAGACAGGGTGTGGGAGTTTGATGCCCAGGTGGGCGTCGGGCTGCGACGTGGGTGTCGAACAAAGCGAGCTGCGTGCTCGACGCGTCGTGCTGCCGAAACGCGCGAGATGCCCATTGTCTCTTGGCTACGGCGACGAAGGCCAGCGACTGATGTTGGCCGCCGTGGCTGTCGCATTCACGGTCGGTCAAGATGCTTGTGACGACGCGCTGGCACAAAGCCAATGTATAACAACGCGTCCGTCTTCGCCCGACCATAGTCACACCGCGACCCTACCACGAAGGCATCGAATCGATACCCCCATCGGCGCAATGCATCGCTCGCCCGCATCCATACTGCTGCTGCGTTTCGCACGTCCCACCCCCGAGTACAATGGTACAAAACCAGAAGCTTCATAGCTGAGGTAGCGCCCGCATTCGTGGAGGTCTGCGCTGGACGCGGCCACGCGCGGCCTGGTCCTCATCTTTGGTCCGTGTATGCTTACAGTGCAGTTTTCTCATGCCGACGAACGTCTCCAATCCGAAGCACCTTTGCTACGTCGACCGAACCGCTCCATCGCGCCCACTCCGCGTCACTCGTAGAGACGGCGCACGCGCTCACCGACCGATACACGAAGTCGAGTCCTTCTACGCATTGCATCGAGCGCGCCCTCGTTCACATCGTTGCTCGATCATGTTCGGCCTAGGCCGTGCTTTCTTTTTCCAACACACCGCCCGCGGGCTCATACACTTGCGGTGCTCACACACCACATTGTCTCGTACCTGCACATCGTGATCGTAGCCGGTGGCATACTCTCCCGGCGAATCGCGTTCGTACCTTGCTTAGGTCGAAGGTCTCGAATTCAGTGAGGCGCGTGGCCGTAACCGCAACTTTAGCGCAAAATGATGTCATTCACACCCTGTCCATTTGACTCTCTCCACACCCCTACACCTACCTTTCCCGACGTGTACTGTAATGATGACAGCCATCAATGTTCGAACCAGGGTTGCTGCAAGCCTCATAATGCGCCGTGTGTCGCTCCTCCCAAATGAACCCCAGACAACATGGCACACCTTCAACCAAAGAACATCGTGATAGTTGGTGGCTCACTAGGCGGCCTCTTCCTTGGGGTTGCACTGAAGCAACTCCGCAAGAACCTGAACATCCGCATTCTCGAAAAGAACCCGACACAGCTTCTTCATGACCAGGGCGCTGGCGTCGTCGCCGCCGGCGACGTGCAGGAGTTCTTCCAGAGACACGATAGAACGCATACACCCTTAGCGGTCACCAGTCACCAGCGGCTGTACCTCGACAGGAAGGGAAACGTGATCGATAGAGAAGATAAACAGCAGCACATGACTAGCTGGGATCTCCTGTACCATGTCCTGCGCGCGAACTTCGATACAATCGACTCGGAATACGCGAAAGCGCCCGAACCGATGGACAACGAGGGCACCGCGGTGTACAGACACGGCCACCAGGTCGGCGACGTCGATGTCGACGCCGGAACTCCCCTCGTCATCCACACCACGACCGCAGACGGACAATCCGAAAGCTTCGAAGCAGACCTGCTCATCGGCGCCGACGGGCCCAGCTCTACAATCCGCAAGCTGATCGATCCCAGCGTGAAGAGAACCTACGCCGGGTACGTCGCGTGGCGGGGCACCGTCCCCGAGACGTCCGTCTCGTCCTCCGCGCGCGATGTTTTCGTGGAGAAATTCCCCTTCTTCCACACCTCGGGCTGCCAGATCCTCGCATACACAATCCCGGGCCCCAACGGCACCGTCGAGCCCGGCAAACGCCTGCTGAACTGGGTCTGGTACGTCAACTACGCGGCGGACTCCCCCGAGCACGTCGACCTCATGACAGACAAAGAAGGCAAGAGACACCACATCACGCTCCCGCCGGGCGGGATACGAGATGGCGTCTGGACGAAGCAGAAGGAGAGAGCGAGGGAGATACTACCGCCGCAATTCGCGGAGCTCGTGGAGAAAACCGAGGTCCCGTTTGTGCAGGCTATCACGGATGTGATCAGTCCGCGGGCGGTGCTGGAGAGGGATGGCAGGGTCGTGCTGAGCGGCGATGCGTTGGCGGGGTTTAGACCGCATACCGCGGCGAGCACGAATCAGGCGGCGCTGGATGCGATGTTGCTTGCGGAGGCGGTAGGGAGGATTGTGGATGGGGAGGATAGGGAACAGGTGCTGGGGGAATGGGAGCGGAGGGTGGTGCAGTATGCGAGGGAGGGGCAGAGGAGTGGGGTGGAGATGGGGCAGAGAAGTCAGTTCGGGGAGCATCCGCTGAGGGGGTAGGGGGCTGTGATCTGAGATAGGCTGGTGGGTGGTGTAAGTGGAAGGGACTGGAGGGAATGTTGGCATCAGAAGTTGGAAAAGCTGTAGGGACTACATGAACGATGATATTACCGCTCTGATAGTGGCGACAAATTGTTCGACTCAATGGATGATGTGTCCCTGGATCGCGCAACAGCCAGCCGATTGTGATTCGCCTCAGAATATATCGTCTGTGTGTTCCGGCGCGAGAGCATACACGTCAGGCTTCCGCGCCGCAAAGTCGATAGTCAAGCTCTGGCCTATGCTGCCTCAGACACAGCCAGCTCGTCCTTGCTGCTCACGTCCCACTCAACATGCCCATCCACTCCCCACTCAATATGCGTTCCCACGGCATCCAATTTCTTCTTCCAGTGATCAAGTCTGTGCTCCCTCGTCATAAACGTAATGTAAGTGCAGACCCAGCTCCTCGACCATCGCGGGAGCCTGGTAACACTGCATCCAAACAAGAATGTCCTCACATACAGTCTGACGCAAATACGGTCCATGTCGTCCTCATTGCGGCACCAGGGCAGGCATTCAAGCGAAGGGATCCGAACGCGGACCAATGGGCTATGGTGCAGCTGCAATATGGCCATCTGAGCGAACCGTTTCGCGCTGAGGGAGGTTTGGCCTCAACACGGTGCCCGCTTTCCATCATGCGACAATCACCTCCAATCATCAAGTTTCCCATCTGCCAATCGAAGCGTCTATGTGATCTTGCCACGACTTGGTTCCGCGGGATGCATGCTGGTTTTTTTAGTCGATAACATGTACAGTGTCCATGTTCTCTAGTAGATCCGAGAGCCAGCTGCCTGATGCAGAGGGCTGGGAACAGATAGTGAACGGCACCGCGTCAGCAAGGAGTCTCACTGCTTCGGTGGCCCGTGGTACTTTAAGTGAGGCAGTAGCCATACCGTTGCGGATATGTCCGAGGCGTATGCGTTGTACTCGTGAAACATTTTGGTACCGGCCAATAGTAGGACGGAAGTTGCGCGAAAGCAGTTGTGACAACCTCATCGTAGATCCTTACTCGCAGCCTCAAGGCAGCAAAAGTAGAGGAGGTAGTTGTTCAGAACATGTAAGACTGACCTTCTGACTGTCCGATGGTTGCTTGTCTAGCCATTGCGCAAATCGCTTCGCCGATGGTCCTGCTTCCTCGCAACTTCGTGAGGTCCTGTTTGTCGGAAGTCTCTTGTCGGCATTTTGTTGGCTGTAACAATAACAAGAGGTAGCGGATGATTTTGCGTGGTCGAGATGGGGGAAATCTGGAAAGCAAGTCGAAGCCCGGTGCACCTCACGACTTAAATAGTACTTTGAGTAGCTATCAACGATTGTTGAACCATTAGTCTTGTGGAGTGGCCCAAGTGATGCGACCCTGGGTCGTCACAAACACGCGACAAGCACGCGTGTGCCTACACCGGTACCGTGGTACGATATACGGGACGTTGAGTGCCAACATACCCCAGAAGAAACCGAATTAGTTGAAAAAATGGTAGTTCTTTGATCCCCAAAGCTCCAACAAGTCGTCCACAAGAGCCTCGGCTACGACGAAGCCTCGTTGAGACGTTAATTGGAAAAGGCTTAAAATCTCCTGGCGTAATGACAAATCGATGGCTCTGGCACCAGCTACCCTGAGCGGGAAGAACAGAATGATGCCTGATATTCCATGTGCTAGAAGACTGCGGCTGTGGTGGAGTATCCGAGAAACGTGCAAGTCGATCTCATCGCGAGTCAAGATCGGCGCGCGAGGTGCACCCGGCCCAGTCCATGGTTTGTGGTAGTCGTAGGTCCCTGAAAGGTATATGTTGATCGCGTGGTAATAGGCATAGCCTATCATAAGCTCCGTGTCAGGCCAGCTTGTTGATATAGAAGATGCTTGGTCGGCCTTGCACATCTGCTCCCAGGACTGGGTCTCTTCATACCACCCTTGTAGCTTCTCCTGTAAGGCAAATCCTTCATCGGCGAGAGATTGAGCCAGATTGTGGTGCACCATTGGAGGGAGCTGCGTTTCATTCAGAGCAAATTGAAGTACACAGATACTCAATTCCGAGAAGCTGGGTAGAAGGTCAAATAGAGCTTCCTTGGGGTGCCAGAGAGCAGCACTGTCTCCATCCCACAGGTTTGCTATCGCAGCTGTCCACTTTGCATCCCATAGAAATGTTGGGGATGAGTAAATCAATGAACGGGATATCTCGAAAATCCGAGTTTGGAGGAAGAAAATCCGTCTATGCGAGTTTCTCGGCCCTGCTCGTGACAGAGTCTCCGGTTCAAGAAGCTTCAACATGGCACACGTTCCATGTAGGAAGTGCGACAACCAGGTGGTCCCTGTAGAATCACGCATCAACTGGCTTGCATTAACACCTGAGCCTCCGAATGAGATCGTTCAGTGAACCATTTACCTCAAAGAGACCCAGGAAGAATGTGGTCCAGAGTGCAGATGGGTCGTGTAAAAAGGTTTTCGATGTAATAAGGTCTTTGACATGTCGTATAGATCGACCATATGATTGCAAAGCCTGGTAACCATCAAGAGGTACGGCTTCCGGACTTTGTTGCTTGCGATGATGCACAGCTACGGCGGAGATAGCGTCTCTCAATGCAGGCGCATCTGCCATCAGATTTACAAGGTCCGCGACTACCGGTAGCCGATCGTTCGACAGATTGTTCATCGCCAGAAACGACATGAAAAAATAAGGAACACTACTGTCATACATTGTTGGCGCTGTAAATCGCAGGAAGGAGAAGCCGGTCCGTTCTGTAGCCGTGTGAACGATCTGCTTGCCTCTTGGGTTCCCATTGGCGTTCTCTCCAACGAATACTGGCGCGAAAGTCGTCGGTAGGGTAGGCGATTCACACGTCTGCTTCATTCGTCTGCAGTAGTCACAAGGGATGCCTCCATGGCACTATCCTTGGTCAGCAATACGATCGTTGCTGCCTCGGGCCCTGCCAGCGAATACCTTGATCTTGCGCCTGACGCAAGCGTTGCACCGCTTCCTCCGCGCTTTGCGCCCATCGAGGGGTCCAATAGCTGACGGCATATGATGCGAGATGCACTCAAAAGCGACAAAGAAAATGTAGATGAGGCAGAATAGGAGCTAAGGATACGTATCGGGTAACGATACAGCGCGTGCCATGAAACAAATAGACATTGTGGATAGCGCGCCTGATTCACGAGGTGGAGACGCCTGGCGAAAACTGTCAACTTTATTTTGTAATAAGATACGAGGACTTCACCATTTGGAGATGGAAGTGCGCAGCCGCAAATGACTCAACGGCTGAGCGACGAAATACGGGGTTGCACTTGACCTCTTTGGGAAGCGAAAGAACGTATCTAAGCCCGCTTGGGAACACACAAGTGCCAGACGTTAGGAGAGCCCTCGCTGGCGCTTGGCATTCACCTCAATGCTCTTCGCTTCTTCATGGCCTTGACAATCTCGGTGTCGAGGGCTAGATGAGTCCATTATTGTTCTTGGCCTCATCGGCCCTCCTTGACAGGCTTGACTCAATCCGGTGGTCATAGAGCGTGTTGACCGGATCCCTTCCTCGCAAAAGTGGTGACCTTGAATTCATTCGCGACAGATACATGCTAGCAAGATGCACCGACAGACATGTGGTCCGTTTTTTTCTTTGCGTGGCCTTCTAGGCTGACAGGCGCAATGAATGATTCAAATTTTGCATAGTGGGCCACAGTATATAATGACCTCCGTTCGGTCCATTAGGTGTATTACAGCTTTGAGTACTTCGTTAATATTCGCCTCGATCAGTTTCAACTCTACTACTATGCTACAAAGTATTCTTATTCTTCTTGTCGCCTCGTGGTGCGTTCCATCGTTTGCAACGTCCACGCTCAGACTACCAGTAGTCGGATCCAATCCTTCGGATATCGTTATTACCTCCATGTCTTTGACAGATCAAAGAAGGGCTGATCCATTCGCAAAGGATGGTCGAGCTCGAGCAATCATGGTGTCCGGTTTCTCTCCGGTCTCAGCCTGTCGCCGTAGCCACCTGGAAGCATACATGCCGCCCTCAACCGCCATATTCGAAGACGACAAGTTCGCAGCTTACGGTCTCCCAAACGGATCGTTTCAATCTCTTGGTTTGCAAAGCTGCACTAATACTCCAAGATTGTGTTCTTCTGGAGCTTTGCCTCTTGTTGTATTCTCCGGCGCACTTGGAACATCTCGCATAATATACCATAGCATGCTTCAGAGCGTTGCCGCTGCAGGGTACTTTGTCGTATCTGTCGACCACCCTTACGACGCCGATATCGTCGAGTTTCCCGATAATGCCACCATCATTGGAGTCGACATCAGCGATGCTGAACTTGGAGATGCTCTCGCGACTCGCGTCGAAGATATCACGTTCCTTTACAGGGAGCTTGCAAATCCATCACTCCGCAACATGCTTCTTCCTACGCATCGTCATAGCGGCGGCATACCCAAGACTGCCATTGTTGGACATTCGTTCGGAGGAGCGGCCGCAGCGTTGACACTGAAACAACTGCCTTATCTCCGCGGAGGCGTGAATATCGACGGTAGTATGTTTGGTTCTGTCCTGGAGACCGGTCTTGATCGTCCCTTCATGCTGATCGGACACGAGAATAAGACGCAAGAAACAGATCCGTCTTGGAAGACAGTGTGGCCGCAATTGAAAAGTTGGAAAAAGGAAATTGAGGTCAAAGGAGCCGCGCATTACAGCTTCTCTGACCTGCCGCTGATCACATCAGTTCTTGGTCTTCAAGAAAAGTTGCCAGCCGATATTGAACAGGTTTTAGGATCGATTGAGGGTCACCGCATGATGAAGCTGACGGTCACATACGTCACGGCGTTCTTGAACATGGTTCTTAAATCTGGGTCCGAGAAGGAATTTTCTCGTGCTGACACAATATTTTCCGAAGTCGTGAAAGCGGTCTAGATAGTTTCAAGGCCACGATAGAATATACATCAAAAGTGTGTAGAGATTGTTCATTCAGCATCTTCTCCATGTACGGTATACGTGTGAGTCCTCCGTAGTCAAGAAAGAATCGAAGAGTGTTTTCTCAATCGGATCAGCATCGTTTTGACTTGTTCCTGTGCCGAGTGCCCATCGGCTCGCGTGGCCGTGCGACGGTACACAGAGTCTAATGCCTGCCACTCGCTGTCGTACCACCAACACTGACAGGCCTGGATCAGTCTAGGTCGAACAGACTTCCGTAACATGTTGACCACGTCCCACATGGAACGATGCTAGACGATCAACCCACTATATGAACTGTCTTTCTTCATGTTTAATGACTCCTGTCCGATGCCTACTGCGCACCTACTTATGTCTGTCACCCTACGCACGATCTGGTTTCGAAATGTCTGGGAAATTCAACAGAGTATCAACAAATCCAAATCGAGGATGCCGGGGTCCACAATCTCGGGTGCATCGCACAGCCATCAAAATATTGGTTCGGCATATCGCGTACAACACGACGTTTAATTTAGAACAGGTGTTCTGCGGGGTTGTCAAATCCAATCATCTCCCACGAAGCGCTGCCTAGCACACTGCGAAGGAGCCTGAAGGAGTGAATTCTGAGACACGTGTGTACGGGAAATTGCCGCCCAAGGATTGCTGCCGGGACGTGACAATCTGACGAAGCTATTACCGATTCGAGTATCTCTATCGCTGGTGGAATGGAACTAAAATCTAGTTGTGGGGATCGACGAACGCTAAAAAGCACAATCAAGGCGCCTGATCCAGGCGAAAGCTCTCAACCCTGTCCCATTGCAGGATGGACTGTAACTGGCCGCTGTCTGTATGTGTGACGATGCACCTTGTAGATGAACACCACATGGAGCATTTACGTATTGAGCGACTTGCCATTGGCCAGGGAGGTCGGGGAAAAAGGGAGTTGTAACGGCGGCGGCTGTGGATGGATGATTTGCATGCACCTTGCCACATCGGTTTAGACTGTCTCCCCTTGGCCGTTCGCTTACGCACCCTTGATGATCCCGTATAGCCCGTATACCCTATGGGGATACTGGTGTGAACAGCCGGTGTGCAACCGTAAGTGGAGCCGATGGCCCTCATGACGGCTGTGCGGTACCGGCCGTAATTTGGCGGCAAGGTGCCTACGACCTTTAAAGGGTACTTGTTCCCAATAGGTAATGCGAACTCATTTTTTAGCCACCACCATCTAATAACATGGAAGTCCAGGGTTTCCAAAGTCTCGTACACTCGGCGCAGACAGTAGCCATAGCTGCGTTGATATTTGTTGCATGTTACTATCTTCCCAGGCTCAACTTCAAGGCCCAAGTCGCGAAACTGCCAGCTTTCGCGGAGGGTGGTGAGAAGCAGAGGAATGAATTTCTCAAGAACGGAAAGAGCATGTACTTGCAGGGATATGAGAAGGTTTGTTCGACTTTGCACATCTTTTGTACGCAGACTAACCGGTGTCTAGTTTAAGAACCAGGTCTTTCGGATGACTGGTTCTGATGGTACCAGTCACTGCTCAACTCCCACAGCGAGATTCTAAATTCAGCTAGGAGACGAAACAATTGTGATAAGCCCTCAGTTTCTGCCCGAGTTGAGGAAACTGCCCGACACTGTTGTTAGCTTTCCGAAAGCCGTTGCGGATGTGAGTGTGAAGAAAGAACCTGACGAAAGCAGCCGAGCTGACGCGGCGCAGTTGATGGAAGTAAAGTATACAGGCCTCCTCGCCGACGAACCCTTGGGAGTGCATGCTGTGAGGGCCGATCTGACACCAGCACTTGGTGCGTTCGCAATGATTACATTTCACGTGCCCTAAATTAGTTCTCACCGCTAACATAGCCTAGCACGCCTGAATCCCGTGGTGTATTCTGAGGTTTTGCAAGCGCTAGAGGAGATCATGCCCACATGTGAAGACTGGACCGCAGTCAACATCTACAGCAAGCTCGTCAGTATGGTGGCCATGATCACCGGGTATGTCGTTTGGAACCCAGGAGCAAAATAATTACTAACGTGAGTGTAGACGGGTCTTGGTCGGCCCAGATCTTTGCCGAGACGAGGAGTATCAAAGACTGTCCATTGAATACACCATGCAACTCATCACAGCACAGCTGGAGATCAAGAAGATCCGACCCCTTTTCAAACCGTGGTCTGCGCCTCGCCTTGACTCGGTCAAAAAGCTGCAGGCCTCCCGCAAAAATCTAGCCAATTTTCTAGAGCCGATTATACAGGCACGGCGTGATGCGGAGAAGAACGAACCTGAATGGCAGAAGCCCGATGATATGGTGACTTGGCTTATGAGCAGAGAAGGCGAATTTGGCGTCAAATCAACACATCACTTGGCGCAAATAGTTCTTGGGCTAATATTTGCGTCTATCCACACCACCACACTGACCGCCACAAACATGTAAGCTCAATATGTGCATCTGGTATGATTAGTGTATGGCTTACTGGTATGTAGTCTTTATACTCTTGCAGTCCAAACCGAGTACATCGAGCCAATTCGGGAGGAAGTTCGCCAGGTCATGAATGAGAATGGAGGCACAATCTCAACTCGTGCTCTCCAGCAAATGATGAAACTGGACAGCTATATGAAAGAATCGATGAGGTTCTATCCTCCAGGTGAGCGACTTAGAAAGGCAAGCGCCTCCTCCAACACATTAATCTCACGTCATGCACAGGTTTTACGTCGTTCCAACGCAAGGTCACGCGTGGATTTACCCTTTCCAACGGCCAGTACATTCCAGCCGGCGTCAAGATCGAAGTCGCATCTCATGCCGTCTACCAAGACCCAGCCAACTACTCGAACCCTGAGCCCGCAGACGTCTTCGACGGCTTTCGAGCCTACAAGCTGAGGCAAGGAGGCACAGCGACCAACCACGCGCGGAACCAATTTGTCACCACCAACGAACAGAACCTGATGTTCGGGTATGGAAAGCATGCGTGTCCTGGCAGGTTCTTCGCGGCAAACGAGATCAAGATGATCCTCGCGAACCTGATACTGAACTACGATTTCAAAAATGAGGACGGGAGCAAGGAGCGGTATGCTCAGCTGGATGTGGGACGGCAGTCGTCGCCGGATGCGAGGAAGAACCTGCTTTTCAAGGCTGTGACAGTATGAGCGTGCATGCTCGTAATACCGCGCCTGAAACTACATAGCAACAGTGCAGCGTGCACGCATAGCGAGGTAGATCATTAATGTACCTATTGGCCGCTGCAACATTGGCAAGCATCCCATGGTGAAGAAGCTTCGTTCTCCTTACCTTCCTAAACTGGCTAGATCATGCACCTCGAAAGCACCCCACCGTTCTTTTCCATCACAAACCTTGCATCTTCATCGAGACACATCAACATGCATCTACGTCATACCGTTGGGGAATACAGTGACTCTTTACAAGCCTTCGGACAGGATGTATTGGTAGGCGTCGCGTGCCGCAACGACGGAACACACCTCATGTGGCCTTTCCTCCTGCAGGTGACCACCCTCGACGCTCAATCTGCAAGATATCGAGTCACGAGAATGCTGCGGCCAACTTCCAACCATGGAAAGATCGTCAAGATGTTCTGCATCTCTGGGCAAGAAGGTTGCATTGCGGGGAAGCGCAAATAACTGATGACGCTTAGGGTACCTCGCGGACACTTATTTGCTTAGCGGATGTAACTGGCTGCAGCTCTTCATCACGTATGCCCTTGAACGCGCGACCGTACAAAGAGCTCGAAAATACCCGGGTGTTGTTCTAACTCGTCTCTTCGTGCCTGTGGGGGTAATACCCTGGATCCAACTTTCTATGACCACCTGGGGATCCGAACACTCTGCTTCGCAACTTCACATAGCGTGATTGCTTTGTTTCGCACAAAATAACTACTGCGTAATATTGATTAGCAGGCGCGACCGATAATCTCACGTAAAACAACTACTCATTAGAGCTCCCTAGCCGCGTCTACCCAGCTTCGCTGCGCAGGACGTTCACCTCTCCGCAGCCATGCCTTCGACAAGAGTCAGCCTGGTTGTAGCGATCGCGCAGATTGTGGCTGCGCAGACGGACTATTCGAAGTACGTCAACCCGTTCATTGGCTCCGAAGGACCCATCGCGGGCTATGCGTACGGAGGTGGCGATATTTTCGTCGGCGGTGCTGTTCCCTACGGAGTTGTCAAGCTTGGAATCGATACCTGGGAAGATCGGATCGATATAGCGACGCTCAATGGCGGCTATACACCGAAGGGTACGGTGACCGGCATCTCCATGATGCACGAGTCAGGCACCGGTGGATGCGCGAAATATGGAGTCGTCTCACAGATGCCGCTTGCTACTGTAACCTCTCCAGTCAACATTTTGAACGACACGACATACTGGAAGAAGCGAGTGGGTAAAGACGAAGCGACTGTAGGTTACTTCCATACTGATCTAGAAGATGGGATCGGCATATCTTTAGCTGGTGCGAGGCACGCTGGCATTATGAAATACGACTTTCCTGCCGTTGGAGAGCAGCACGTTCTCGTGGATGTGTCGCACTTCCTCCCCGACCCTCCAGGTGGCTTCTGTCAGCAATACTACGTGGATGGCTCAATTTCGATCTCAGATGATGGGAAGAACTATACAGGCCACGGGACGTATGCTGGCGGCTTCAACCTTGGCGCACCATACACACTTTATTTCTGCGGAGAGTTTGACAATGCACCTGTCGAGGCCAAAACATTCACAGGAGTCAATACCACCCGGATCGTAACAGGTTCGCCTCCGGAGCCGACATTCGGTGGGAAGAGCGCAGAGGCCGGACGCGAAGGCTACCGAGTCGGTGCTTTGTTCAGCTGGGGCAACACGAATACCTCCAGCAAGACTTCTACGATATTATCAAAGGTCGGAATATCGTTTATCTCCAAAGAGAAGGCGTGTACGTTCAAAGACACCGAGATTCCATCGTGGGACCAGCAAGAGACGGTCAAGGCAGCACAAAATGAGTGGAACACAAATATATTCAGCACGATCCAAGTGGATACGGGTCCAGAAGCAAACCAGACCCTACTGACCCTATTATACTCATCACTATACTTCATGCATCTAATGCCATCGGACCGGTCCGGAGAAAATCCATTGTGGCAAAGCGAGGAGCCATCCTGGGACGACTTTTACTGCATTTGTAGGTTTTGACTTGACATAATGCGGGAAGAGATATCTGACTTGAATCAGGGGACACGTTTCGAAACACGTTCAGCTTGAGCCATCTGATCCAGCCCCATGCCTATGAGAGTCAGATCCGTGGGCTAATAGACATCTGGCGACACCAAGGATACATGCCGGATGGACGATCCGGGAACGATAATGGTCTCACGCAGGGCGGGAGTAATGCCGACAACGTACTTGCTGATGCGTACGTCAAAGGCCTCCGAGGAAAAATCAACTGGCAAGATGGATATGCAGCCATGGTCAAAGATGCCGAGGTCTCCACGAATGGGAGCAACAAAGAAGGACGCGGAGCTCTCGACGACTGGCTCACGTACGGGTATCTGACAACTAATAGCGAACGATCCATTTCCCGCACAGTGGAGTATTCCGCCAACGATTTTGCCCTCAGCCAAGTCGCCAAAGGCGAGAAGCCCGATGATGTTGAAAAGTTTCTCCAGCGATCTGCAGGATGGCAGCTGCTCTGGGATCCCGACGTGCCGAGCGTGAACACTACTCCAGTCTTCAAAGGGTTCCTGACGCCAAAATCAGCCAATGGCACTTTCGAATCAGCCGGTTACAACCCAGCGACATGCGGTGTATGCTCATGGCCATCAATCACGTACGAAGGAACGCCTTTCGAGTACTCTTTCGTTATACCGCACGATATGGAGACGCTGGTCGGTCTTATGGGCGGTAGCGATGGCTTCGAATCTCGTCTCGATTACATATTCCTCCCCAATACTAGCCAGGCTAATCTCGGGGCAAACGGCGTAGGCATCACATCAATAATGAACATCGGAAACGAGCCCGACTTCGCCACGCCGTATCTCTATAACTACATCAACAAGCAGTGGAAGAGCGTGAACCAGTCGCGCGCCCTCGGAAATCAATAGTGCGCATTTCGAATCTTCTCATGCCCCCTATTCACGAAAGCTAACCACTCTAGCTTCCGAAACGCCCCCTTTGGCGTCCCAGGCAACTCCGACTCCGGTGCCCTCAACTCGTGGCTCATCTGGCAGATGCTCGGCATGTATCCCGTCGTCACGCAGTCCGTCTATCTTCTTGGCTCGCCTTGGTTCTCGGGCATCAACATGACCGTCAACGGCAATACGCTGCGCATTACGGCCGATGGGCTGGGGAAAGACAGCTACTTTGTCCAGAGCGTCAAGATCAATGGGGAGACATGGGACCAGAACTGGTTTGAGCATGATACCCCGGGACAGCGACTCATGGTCGATGGAGGGACGATCGAGTTCGTGCTTGGTGGTGAGCCGGTAGTGTGGGAGAAGGGCGATGTGCCGCCCAGTCCGGGACACATAGTCCTGAACGGAACGGATGCGAATAGTCTGTAATTGCAACCTGTTCATAAGGTTGGATGTTCTTGCTAGCAAGGGATTTTGCGCTGTTATGCGCTTGATGGGACGAAGATGGTGGTTCGTCTAGCCCTTGTGCCTCAACCTACCTACCCTAGGTGAGCATGCCGTGCCCAAACTGTCGGCGAGTCACGACAAGATCAATTTTGATGGTCTATCCGTCAGCGCTATCGCTGCTGCATGCGTAACTAATGAGTCTATATACCATGCGAACCAAATTTTCGCAGTGCTAGGACTGCACACGCGGTGCCGCAGATAAAATCCAGCTCCGTGTGTGCGATTGCACCTTGCAACCATGGTCCATCGATGGAACCCAAACATTGGAACTTCTCATCGTATCGTATCGAGACAACACCAAAGTCTTCAAGACCAGCCTCACGTCTGGTTGCATAATGATGTTCCTAGATATCGCGACCTGCAAACTCTTTCTCAAAAGCCTCCTCTTGGCCTCGGCCACAGTCATCTGCGCCGCCTTCCATTACGTCCTCCTGGATCGTAGCCCTACTCCTATTCCCCGCTGTTCGTCTCGCCATCTTCCCCATGACCAGCTGCCTGAGCTCCATTCGCTCCTGGTTCAGTGAAGTCGAGGCGATCGCAAAGGACCCGCTCGCGCACCCAGATCTTACCACAAAACATTTGTGGTACTCGGTCTTCATCCTGCCCACTATCAACTTTATCGGATGTTTCAATTCGTCTGCCAGAGGATTTCTGTACCAGTCTGTAACTCTCAACAAACCAAAAATCATCATTGCACGTCAATACCACAGTTGAGGTATGAGTCTAGCATGCCTGTCACACGATGGGGATCAGTTGAAAACGCTAGCAAAGTTCCTTCGGGGAAACATGCATATAAACCTCCTTGCTTGCACTGCAAGGCTTGCAGCTCATAACTGCAAACCCCAAGCATCTCAGCCTCTTGATACATCAGCTCAAAACCGAGATCTTGAAAATCATCCGCCGAAGTCCACGCTTCCAAGCTCCTATAAGATGAAAATTACGAAACCTACCTCTACATCGTCGTTGTGAATATCGTTCGGCAGGTATTGCCTTGCCTCTTTCTCCTCGTCACTGTGATCCCCTGGTCTTATATTGCCTCCATGCCGCGTATATACTACAATGTCGCGATGAACGCACTCGATAATCCAGATCAGACGGACACCTACCATGAGTGTTGTTGGTGGCGAGGGGCCATCTTTGAGGCGCCCACGCATGGCATTCTTCGAAATAGAGATGTGAGGGGAATTTACCAGCACGATATGGGACTTGTGCAGTTCACAATCGTCGCAACTCAAATAGTTCTTTAGTTCAACTCACGGATACTATCCAATCCACAGCTACCAATCGGAGCACTTCTCCCATCCCTACCTACGCAGGCAAGGTCCCACTGACCGCCCAATAAACCGCATAATTAAACCCCTGTGCCTCGTAAAATGGTCCAATGTTCACGCTCTTTCCATCGGCCGTCCCCGTAAACGTGAGTCCCGACGTCCCACTCCTCTTCACCGATGCAAGATCGAGCTTTGGATTCGCACTCAGCGTCGAACTCCCATAATTCCCGCATAGAACCGTCGGCCCAAACGCCAACGCTGCGACAGCCTTGTTGTCGTTGGCAGGCACAACGCGGAGTTTCATTGGGAGTTTGATGGTTACGACATCCTCTGAGGTCCAGGAGCGCGAGAGCGTTGCGTATGAGCCCGGTGTCGCGGTGATGCTCTGCGTCGCGCCGTTTACCGCGATCGTGGCGCCGGAAGTCCAGCTCGGGATGCGGATTTTCATCGCCCAGCTACCACTCCCCGAGACTGTCAAGGTTGTCGTATCGCTCGCGGGGAACGTGGTGCTTTGTGTGATGGTAACGCTTCTCGCTTTCCAGTTGAGCTTGCTTGGTGTGAAAAGATTCACGTAGAGCGAGGAGTCGTCGTAGAAGTAGATGCTATCCTGCATCTTGGTATTTGTTTCCAACCCCGTCCCCTGGCAGCACCAGTGGCTGTCGTAGTCGGTACTCCAGGTTCCTCCTCCCCAAGCAGGTCCCAGGCCGCGATGCCCGCCCGCATTCAGGGAAGTGAAGTAAGTGATGTGGCCGTGGTCGGTGGCGGGATTCTGCTGGCCCAGCATATGGTTGATGAGTGCGCGCTCGTAGAAATCAAAGTACGATGCATCGGTCGGGTTCATGGTGAAGAGCTCGCGGGTGAGTTTCAGCATGTTGTAGGTATTGCAGCCCTCGGCGGTGTCGTTGGTCAGGAAGGTTGAAATAGCGTTTGGCGCGCGGAAGTGCTCGGCTTGGCTGTTGCCACCGATGGCATAGGTGTGTGCGTTAATGGTATAGGCCCAGGCGTTCTTTGCAATATCGCGGTATTTGGTGATGCCGGTGGCTTTGTACTCGCGTGCTGCGCCGATCCACTTAGGAACTTGAGTGTTTGCGTGCAGGCCGTTGAGTTGGTCTTGGTTAGATGCGAGGGGGTCGAATATGGCGGCGTGGTCGAAACGCTGGGCGACGTTGAGCCATTTCTTGTCGCCTGTTTGGTGGTAGATGTCTGCGAGAACTTCATTCATGCCGCCGAACTCAGTTTGCATGACCTTCTGCATCTGGTCGTAGCTGAGCTTTGCCGTCCGTGTGTCGACCCAGCCTGCAAATGCGAGTAGAACCGTCTTTGCATTTGCGTCACCGATCCAGCGATAAACATCCAACAACCCAGCGAGTGTCTTGTGAATTGCGTAGTACGGTACGTTGCCACTGGTGAGCGTGCCGCTTTCCAGTTTCGTGAACTCAGATTCTGGGAAGCCAGACAAGTACCCAGTAGCAAATCCAGCGGCAGCGTTATTGTTCTGGCACTTGAGAAGCTCTGCTACAAAGCTGGTAGCGCGGTCTCGACATGTCGTGTCTCCTAGCTGTGCATAACATTGCGCCCAGGCTGTGAGGAAGTGCCCTTGCATATGCGTGCGGAATGGGAACGTGGGAGCATCCCAGCCACCATTTGCTGTTGCGCCATTCGTCGATAGCTTGTGGTTCAGGCGGAAGTTGTACAGCAGCCGGTTGGTATCCACAAACTTGAGATAACTGAGCGTACGGTTCTGATTCGCCATGAAACGACTGCTGGTCAGAGATACTTGATTGATGTCAAATGGATGCGCAGACACGCCCGTCTCAGTGACCACGGGCGCAAACTGTCCCACCACAGAGACAGTTGCGCCATAGAAGCCGAGTAACGTGGCGAAGAAACGCATCTTTCTTTAGTAGTGCGCAATGCCTTCAAAATGGATCAATGCAGGTTCGAACACGCAACAGAGTCAAGCAAGATCTCAATCGCTGGTTTGAGTCGGTCTAAATAAGAAACAATGACAACCTTCCCGATCGAGCGTTATGGAGTCCCGGTGGAGTAATTCTTCAACTGGAAACGCTCATAGGTCAATATTCGGTTGCTGAGTTAGCTACTTTGCCTACACTTGGATCTGATCGGTGGATAAATGATAAACCCACCACCGGTAGATATGCGTCTAAGGTTTTGATCGACAACTAAGACAACCAATTTGCAGATGCGCCTAAAGATCTTGTAATCCTAGTATTGTTGCATGGAGAGGTGGTGGAACTAACCTTATGGAACTTTATTGGCCCACGGGGCAGTTCTGTGATCGCCATGAGCCCGGTGCTACAATGCGGGGAAGACCGAACTTGGCCGGGGGATGCTAGCAGTTCGGGGCAACAATACTCTAAATTCTCCGCTTTCCGCCGAGGAAACAAAGGGTGCCGATGCAGTAAGCGATGCGCAATTGCGGCGAGAGAAAACAGGGAACCTTATGCGCCGGTGAGCTGCAAGTCTATCCTGGTCACGATGTTAGTACGTCCCGAGGCAATATCGAACTATATCTAGGCAAGGGGCAAGAGTATTCGTCTGAATTGTGCATTTTCTGACATCTCGGTATACAGCACGGAACCTAATTCCTCCATGATTGCGCAAATGACCCGAAACTCCTTTCGCCATTTTCCAACGATCCTATAACGCTTTGATCAACGCCACGCAATTGGTAATCCAGGAATCGTCCAACTCCAATATCATTGTCGGCCGCCCAAAGGTCTGATGCAGATATTCCTTAACCGTGTAAAGTGTGGATGCAATGTAGCAAAGGAAGAAAGCAATGATAGAGATTCGTGAGTTGTGGTGGTGCCACCTACTTGGACACGATTCACAACGCACAAGAGTCTTGCCCGCTGCCTTCAGATGAAGAGTAGGCTCAAAGGTCGTAACGGGAACCACGCTCTCCTTGGTCGCTGAGCTCTGCGAATGCCTCCGGCGAAGTTACGGGCGATTCAATGGTGGATGTAGTGCCAGATGAGAGGTTATCGGGCGAGGGCGGCTCCGAATCGACCCAAGCTCCTGCCAGAAGAGGGTTGTCATTGTTGACCTGGCGATTTGGGGGAGCAATATCCGCCGTGTAGAGGTTACCGTCGTCCTCATCGAAGTCGAACATAGGCTCTTCACCGCCCATACTGGGAACAATACCTTGGATGACTTCGGCGTTCTCGATTTGACCCTCTTGAGCACGCTCCTCCTGGGTGTCTTCCTCTTGAATACCAACCTCTTGATCAAGGACATCATTTTCCTCATCTCCATCATCGTCCTCGCTGTCATCGCTGCCCTCGCCGTCGTCGTTGCCACCAAGCTCATCTCCACCGTCACCTTCAACTTGTTGCTGCTGCGGGGCAGGAGGAGCTTGGACATTGAAGACGACACCTTGGTCGATCAGCTCAACTTGGAGCTGTATCAAGGCATCTTCGCGTTCATCAGGGTCAACGCTCTCGAGCATGGCCCTACGAGCCGGATCAACGTGGCTGAGGATTTGATGCCACAAGTCGTTCCCGAACTCATCGCCGTCCTCGCCATCATCGCCCTCTTGCTCATCATCCTCATCGCTATCGCCAATCGCGCCTTCTCCACGGTCGATCTGCATTTGCTCATGGAACGTGCGGCCATCACGGTTCAGGCCGGACTCGCGATGATACCCGCGCACATTGAACCCGTCTTCGTCGTAATTTGCTGGGCCGTATTGCGGGCAGCCATGTTCGCCAGCCCACTCCTTTCCACAGATGTAGCAGAAGTTGTTTCCGCACTCGCACGTGATGTGATTGCAGGCTAGATTAAGATAAGCATGCTTTTCGCTTCAAATCACTGCGACACAGAACATACCTTCAGCAAGCTCTATCGTGGCACCGCAGACAAAGCACTCCTTGAATCCCCGTTTTGCGACGGTCTCCTTGAATAGTTGGTCTTCATCATTGATCTCGCAGACGTGGCTTTCGGTTCCATCTGCAAGCAGCATCTTGCAGGAACAGCAAGTCGCCTGGAAGCAATCGTCACTGTCGCAAACAGCATATGTCATGTTGGAGTCTGCATCGTGTATGTGGCCATTTGGATGCAAAAATTTGCTGCAAGCGGTGTTCGCACAGTAAACGCGGTACCTACAGGTGTAAGCTAAGATATTATGTGATGCGACATGCCATGACGTACTTGGGCAAGATGGTGTATTCTCCCTGCTCCTTAGCGAGAAAAGCAGCTTTCACTTCAGCAGGAACGAACTCATCGAACCGCTCGAGCGGGATGGGCTCCTTGCAACACTGCGGTGGGTAGAGGCTCTCGTTCGCAGTCGCGTTCTCAAAGTATGAAGCGACACAGCCTTCTTGGCAGACCCAGTGCCGGAAACAAGGTAGCTCGATGAGTGGGGACTCCTCACTGTCGACTTCGTTACAGATCACACACTCGCGCGCCATGATAGCTCAAAGAGTTGGTGGGTTGCGTGTTGTATCCGGACACGGTATCTAGTGTATCTGCGTTTCTGGGACTATTAGCTAATGTCAGACGTAATACGGTGGGCGCGCGGATCGAGGGACGTTTCAGGGAAACTCCTTGCAAGAGCTGCGATCTTATAGAGGGGAAGGCGCGTGGAGTGTAGGTAAAAAGAGGTGCACGGACCAACGCGTGGAAGAGCCCGATTCACTCCCACAGCAGAGTTCTTGGAACCAGATAAGCACTTTATAACACAAAGCACATATCTAGTTACTGGGACGTTGAGCGTGTTCAGTGGGTCCCGAGACAGTATGTATACACTTTGGTGGGTTGCAATCCAATCTAGGCGAATCGAAGCGTCGTAAACTGTAAAGAAGACGAATATACTCCAAGAAGCCGAAGACCAGAGGACATCGGACGTAATTAAGGAGGCGGAGATTCATGCGACGGTATCGAAGGCTAAGTACATCACCAGTGACTGAATCATGATCTCCTGATTGCCTGGTAGGCACCAATTGTGGCTTAGCCAATAGAATCCCTCAGCCGCGGTAGGCCGCGTCGTGTTGTGTCCAGCCGTCATGCTGCCATAGCCCATATAGGGTGCTGTGCGAGTATATCTCTTGTCTCAGTTTCGCCATCTCAGGCACTCAAGGTACCTATTCTGCGGCTCCGCGGCAAAGACACCAGTATGGCGGCGGAGGTGGAGACGCAGGTGGAGTGACGGCTCCAGAGGCGGTATACACCAGGTGAAGCAGCATTCTAGCAATTGGGAAGTACATCAAAATCGCAGCGCGTTCGAAGATGGAGATGCTGGAGGAGAGCAGTAAAGTAGCGGATGTCGTGGGATTTACCCAAAAGCACCGACCAACTAGCGCGACAAACGCGAAAAGCAGATGCGATACAACCCGACCCTTCTTTGTGGATATTCGCCTAAATATCAAAGTAGGATACTAACAATAAGACCGTAACTAGCCCAAACATAGAGACTAGCATATGATCACGTGACTCGCTCGGACACATCACATCGATCCATCGCTCTTCACTTTCGGCGTTCAGTGCGTTCAACAGGCATCTCAAGCCATGAGGCTCGTGGCATTGATCTACGCTACAAGATACAAGTTGTGAGCCTGGTTGATGAAGGTAAAAGATTACGAAAGCAAGTCAGCACAGCGGTCGGTGCGTGCAAAGCAGCAGCGCGTGGTTGATGATGTCATCTGACGAGAAGAAGTCGCTGAGGTACCGAACAGGCAGCACATCATGGATGTAAGTTTCTCGACGATACTTGCCCTAACCCAGAATAAAGCCCGAGCACATCGATGTCGCTGATAGACATTGACCCGATGAAGAGGATGGAGAGGAGGCCCATGATAAGTGTACAATGGAATTCGGTTCGTGATAGCAGACTTCTTTGGGGTTCATCGACTCTCAGGTGCAGGCCTCTCGTAAGCTGCCCTTGCAGGGTACCGTGAATCCTCCTCCTCTAGGGTCGCGCAAGCTTGTTGAATACACTTTTTCCACCCATATCCACATAAGGAGATGCGACGCTTTGAAGGAAAAGAGATAGCGCTGGAGCTAGCGATGTGGTCAAATTCGAATAAGAAACGTATTACCAGTAAGATACCGTGATGGCAAATTAGTCGTTGAATGATGGTGAAGAGAGAAGAGATACCTGTGCACAAAGAAAAAAGTGGCATGAGACCGAGATATGCGCGCTTTGTATATCTTAATGTCGTGAAGGCCATCATAACCGTAATGCGAACCAAAGACGTGGCAGATATCGATAGATATCAACAGGTGTGTTGGCTGAGAATGTAAATACAACCTCCAAATGAAACAAAAATAATGGCAATCATTGCGAAGCGTGTGTGCAAGAGCCACGGTAGGAGCGAATTCGGTCAGTACCAGCAAAGGATGCATGGTAAGGAAGCGCAGAAGATCCTAACCCGAGGGATAGCCTGAGGGGGGCGCAGCGTGAAGCGATATAGTGCCATTGGGCTGAGCAGTTGGCGTGTAGATAGGTAAAAACGCCTTTGTAGGGTGTGAGGAGATGGAGGGCCGCTTTTCTTTCATGCCGACGGCTTGTCTCAACTCAGACGCAGCAGCTGGCACTTTGCAATCTGCCTGGCCCACTGCATTGGCCTCATCATGGTCCTTCATAAAATCTGCTGGTCGAGTTGACTTGTGCTTGTGCATGAGATCCTGTTGCACACGAAGCTGTTGTAATTCTTCGACGGTTGCAGGTAACGGACGCGGGTCGTAGTACTTGTATACTTTCTTACCCTTCGCGCCTGGAAGACCCGGCGCGCTCCATACAGATTCACCCGTATCAGGATTATACATGTCATAAGTAGAAGCAAGCCGCTTACCGCCACCACCAGGCAGGTCAACGACAAAAGCCGGCATCATGAAACCTGAGAGCGTTCCGCGGAGATGTTTGTCGAGCTCCAGGATGGTCTCCAAGGGCGTCCTAAGGTCCTCGACACTCCTTGTGAGATCGTGCTGATAAACGTAGTACTGGTCAAGTTAGCTGAGATCAACGGGATGTCAAAAGGGCGAGCCTACGGGCTGTACGTTGATGTCCGCAAGCGATTTAAGCAGAGCGCTCATGGTGTCCTTGTCGTCGTTGATCCCCCTTTGCAGCACGCTCTGATTGCGCACAATGACCCCATTCTTGAACAAATGGTGTGCCGCTTCCCTGGCGATCCATGTAACTTCCTTTGGATGATTGAAGTGGGTATGCCAGCACACCTGTTTCCCCATCTTTCGCCCTTGATTCGACAGGTCAATCAAGGTGTTTCCCCACGAGTCCGCCGGGTCAATGATGCGCCCAGGGTTCACACTCAAACCTTTGGAAGCAATACGGAATCGACGGATATGGGGGATGCTTAGCAAGCGCTCGCCAATCATTCTAAGATGATCCGGCGCTAACTGATACACGTCGCCGCCGGACACAACGATATCCTGGATCTCGCTATGTTGTTCGATATGCCGAAACATGACCTCCCAGCGCTTTAGACTGGGCTTTTGGGGTTGCTTTTGTGTCGAACCAGTAGCTGGGCCAACCATGTAAGCTCGTGTGCAGTACCTGCAATACACTGGACAGTTTGATGTTGCCAGAAATAGTGCTCTGCCGGGGTACCGGTGAACAAGGCCTGGTACTGGAGAGTCATCTTTTTCGCCCAAAGAGTCCAATGTCAGAGCTTGATGATCAGGTAGCAGGCTACTCTTGAGGCTGATGAACTGCATTCGGATAGGATCATCCAAAGGACTCGTCCAATCTACAAGTGACAAAATCTCAGGCGTGAGCCGAACCTCCATTGAAGCAATCTCCAACCCAGCTCTAGCGTCTCGGATGAAATCTTCTCTTGTCTTGAGATGTTGCAAGAACGGGTTCTTCGAAGTTGGCAGCCGCTCAGGAAGCACAGTAAGCAAGAAGCGCTCTAGATCTCTGGCGGATTTGACTGTATTCCTGGTCTAAACAAATGTTAGCACCATTCCCTGATACTTTGTGGGGGGAAGGACTGACTTGGAAAGCATTGCTGATGAATTCCTTTCGGGTTATGGTGTCCCACTGGGGTACATGAGTCCAATAGCGAGGCTTGTCAGCCTCTTCCAGCGTGATTTTAAGACGATTGCGTGGAGATGATGGAGTCTGAGGACTCAGCGGGGGTGTTGCGCTAGACTGGACAATGGAATCGACATGGTTAACTGGGGCAGCCGCATTCGTGATTCGAGTCAAGACAGGCTGGTCTTGCTCCCGAAGTTGCTCAGAGACGGCTACACTGGCGAGGTCTGCTGTGCTAACGAGGCGTCGAACTTGGTGGCCCGCTTGAGCATGATCGTTGAGTGACCCAGAAATCAGAGCTGCTCGAATAAACACATTGTTCACTCCATAATTGCCAACCGCAGGAGAAGCAGGGTTCCGGAGCAAACCATTTCGTAGCGCGTGCCGAGCTTTCCGAAGCCCTTGTGCCATGTCGACGCAGGGCAGGACGTGTTCTTCTTCGAGTCTGTAGGTGAGTTTTGAGATATGCAACGATTCCAGAGGTATCCAGTAGTGATGTGTACGCTGGTTCAATACTGAAAGTTTGCAGGATATTCCACCCGCATCAATGGAAAGATCACAGCAATGAGGCACAATTGTGTTAGCAGGCAGACTACGTATGTGGAATTTGGCGCCATTTTATTTCCCACAAAGGAACACCGGGTTTGTGGTTCTACGACGTCCTTTGGGCTGGTGAGTGTTGCACAGCTTGCCACGCACCCGGAGATCTGGTCGTCCAATGCAGCCGGATTTTTCCCACATAAGAGTGGATGAAACGCTACCTTTTGGGACGAGGACAACATCGAATGGTCATCCGAGCATACTGCGCGGCGACGAAGCATCTCCCTCATTGGAGAATTTGACCAGGATGTGCAGGACTGAGCCAGCGAGGCGAGTGCTCACCGCATCGCGAGAACGCTTCGAAGAGGACGGAGACTCAAGCCACGGGCGGTAGCCGGCATAAAGGATGCTGATTCATGGACATAGGCATTGACGTAGACGAGCAGAGCACCCGGTGTGACTGATCAGTAGGTTCCGATCAGGGTCCTGCCAATGGGTACAAGCCCCACCTCGGGAATTGAAAGCTTGAGACATGGGAATCGAGGAGATTGCAGCTCCTGGTCAAAAGAAATACAAGCTGTGATGAAAGCAGGAGGGAAATGGCCTTCGTAAGTACTCATCTCACCATCCCAATCATTTTTCGATGGGCGGACTCAGCCGAACTGTGTGAGACACTTGATGTCCTAAGTCGACCGGAAGAAAGAGCAGACCAATTGGAGTTTCCACGCAAAAATGCATGTGTGTGCTCTCCAGTTCCGTTGTGGGACGCAGCCTCCGTGCTTCGTGGGTGTACGACAGCCTAGTCCCCAGGAGGATTAGTGTGAGTTGTCTGTGCGTGGGCGTTTCCCGCCCGCAGTGACGAAAACCACAGAGAAGCCGCCCGCGTATACATCAACGCACACGGCGGCCGTGCCCCACAGTATTCGCATAACCACCATTCCCACGCCAACACGCACCCAGGCCTATTGGCATGGCTGATACCTCCGCCGCGGCAACGGCAACGGGAGCCGTCCCTGCAGAATCCCCTGCGCAAAAGCAAGCACGCCTTAGGAGGGAGCGACGAGCGGCCAAGCTGCAAGATGGCGAGAATCGGCTGCAAGCCATCACCGCGCTCCAGGGTGGTACGCACAGAGATGTGAAGAAAGATCTACCAGGTATGCTGCATTGCTTTTGCTCTGTTTCTTTCGTTCTGTGCACGCAAGCAAGCCTGCAAGCTGCTGACGGCCGCCCAGCTAAACCCTCTCCCTCTGCGTCTCCGAAGCCCGGACTCTCGGGGACAGCCACACCTGACCCCGCCGAAATTGACATCTCGGAGCACCACTACACCCCCGCCGCACAAGCCCGCCTGCCCTCGCCCTTTGCCTTCGATGATGGCGCGTCTCCCCAATTCGGTGCGGGGCAGGGTCCACCTGGGCAGGATGACATGATGGCAATGCTGCAGCAGATGATGGGCGGTGGAGGGCCAGGAGGTATGCCAGGGGCACCAGGACAGTCAGGCGATCTCCCACCGGGTCTTGCGAATCTTATGTCCGCCATGGGGGGCGGAGGAGCTGCACCCGAGCCGTCCCCAGAGCAGTCGTCTGCATGGCTATGGAGGCTAGTCCACGCCCTCTTTTCCTTCGGCCTCGCGGTGTACATTGTACTCCGTACGCCTTTCACCGGCTCAAAACTCTCCCGCGAGTTCCACGGCGATAACGACGACTGGGCGAGCGACACCTCGGCGGCCGAGACCTTTGCGCATTTCTTCTACCTGTTCGCTACCTTCGAAGTCGTCCTCCAGACCTCGCGCTACTACATCGAGCGCGGTCGGTTGCAAGGAAGCGGTATCCTCAGCACCATCGGCGGACTGCTCCCAGAGCCATACGCAGGATACGTGAGGGTCATCGGACGGTACAGCGTGATATACAGCACGGTGGTGAGCGACGCCATGGTCGTGGTCTTCGTGCTAGGTGCGGCCTCATGGTGGAAGGGCGGTGCGGCGGCATGACGTACTGAGTTACCTGCCGTCTCTGCTCCGACGAGGTTGATGGGACAGTACAACGATAGACGACAATAACGACACCCGCGCGACGATATCTCGTACGCGATTGCACGAGCAATGTTCCACTTTCTTCCCTTGTTGCACATGTACAATATATGACGCGCATATAGCGGCGGGTAGCAACGGGCATACCCTCAAAGCTAGCTACCACGCGTGCGGGAGACTGCAGTCATACCTTTTGTAACCTACCAGGCACCTAGGCGGTTGCAGCAGTGCAGCCATCGGTGAAGAACGCAGCGCGCGGAGAAGCGCGCGAGAGAGCTGGCGGCGAACCGCAGTTGTGTGCCACAGCCTGATCGGTCAAGACCTAGACTCCCCAGCTCTGCATATAGTCGACTCCTTTGGCAAAGGTACTCCGTTAAGCGCAACGCTCTTTACTGATTCGGGTCCAATGCGCTTGCAGTATTGATGTTTTCTAAATGCTGTAGTAGTTTAGGATGGGTGTATGGCAGCCCATATCCTGCCCGGTACCTATAATACACGTGATATCTCTTCACTCAGTACACTCTATCATACACCCACCTCTCCAGTCTCGCATTTCAGTCCATCTCCCAATAGCCCAGCTTTTCCCTCCACAAACGAGCATAGCCATCACCCCCTGCTCTATTCCTGCGCCGAAATTTCTCCCCTTGCCAGCTTCAACAGCTCCTCCTCCCTCCTCACCTTCATCAGCTTCTCCCTCACCTCCACGCGATCCACCTCCGCTCTCTCCTTGAATTCCTCGATCTCCGCCATCTCGGCCGCTTCCTCCGGCGGCGTGCGCAAGACCACTGCACCCGTCTTTTCCACGAGCGCTTCGAGGATTTCGGACTCGTGCAGGTCTTTGATTTCGATTGTGTGCGTGGGGGTGTCGTTTAGCGCCTCAGGAGCGGTGGTTGTGGAAGGGGGAGGCGTGGTGGAGGTCTGGGGCGTGGGAGTGGACGTGTAGATGTTGAGGTAGGCGGGGCCGGCGGGGTCGGCGTGGCGGATCACGCTGATGGGAAGCGTGGGGTTGCGGTATTTTATTCGAGGGAGAATGTCGTGCCAGAAGTGTCTGGTTTCGCGGCTCAGTTAGCTTGTCCGCATCCCGCTTCAAAGCCTGACAATTCGGCGGTGCTCGAGTGAGTCCTGCAGACGCCTCCAAACAGCGTGCGAGCCTGTGCTGAGGTGTGCGAGGAAGAAGGGGGGCCACATACCGAGCTCCTCTGTGTTGTGACCCTATGAGTTTCTTATGGAACTCCACGCTGATCTTCGTCACCTCCTTGGGCAATTGTATCGCGCCGGGGCCGTTGCGAATCCATAGGAGCTATAATGGATCAGTCAGCGCTACTGAGAGTCTCGTGCTGCGTACAGCGAGCCGGGTGTCTGAGGACGGGGCATGTCGTTGCGAATGTCTTTTACCTTCTGTGATGGGCGTTAGCTTTCTGACCATACAAGTGACCTGGGGGAGAATGGATGCATACTTCGCGCAGCTTGCGCATCCGCTTTAGCATGTTAACCATGGTGTATGTGCTGAAATAGAGTGTGGATGTCGCCTGCGTGATGCGTCGCGACTGGTGATTTTGGATTTTGGACCGGGGTTTAGCCGAAAACGCGCGTCTGATTGGTTGGATCGCGCTGCGACTCTCAAGTCGACCAAGTCACTTTCAGAGGAAGATAATACAGAATCATGAGTGAACGCCGAAATGACTGGTATATTGATAGATGTCCGATAACCGACCCATTTGCGCGGCGGTGCAGCACGCTTCATTTGTACCCAAAACCCTCTGCATCCTTACCAACACGCCTCCTGGCGTGCTAATTACAAGTTACTACCAAGAACCAGGCCCTAGCGAATCCAAATCTACATGCACAAATCGAAGCGGACCATGTTTACACCAAAGTGTAGTGAGAATCCATAAAGCGATGAATCTGTTGGGGCAAGGCATTTGCACAAGACTACCTAGTCTACTGCGCGGGAGCAGGGCGAGCACCTGCCGGCGCAGCACCCTGAGGACCAGCACGACGACCCCTAGTATTATGTCAGAATGCGAAAATGAGATGTATCGCGAAACGGTGAACTCACATGAAAGAGCGGCTGATGAACGAGATCAGGATCATGGGCAACCAGGATGGCATCTTAGAAAAGCCCCAGAAGACGTATGCGAGAGGAATGGCCAGGCCGTACTTCTGGAGCTCGCCATCGAAGGGGTGGAAGTAGCCCTCGTACGGAGCAGTCTTCTCGTATTCGCCATCCACGAAAAGCTTCTTAAAGGTCTCGGTTGTTGTGGAGGTGCGGTTCAGGGGAAGGAAGCGAACGGTGGTCGCGGGAGCGGACTGATCGGCCAGGGGCTTGGGAATCTGGAAGTAGTACAGAGACGGCGGGCCGACGGACCACGAGTTACAGAGGAGCTGCTCCTTATCACAGTCGACGATGGCAAACTTGGGCGCGTTGGGCCTCGCGGCGAGGAGCGGGAGAGAGGCCTGTAATTGTGTCAGTGTCTTGTTCCATGACTCCTTGCGACGCGCGAATTTGCAGAATGCCATGCCAAATCGCGAAAGAGATAGAGACGTACGTTCCAGGCCTTGGTGGTGTTGCCGCACAGTCCGAAGCAAGTCGTGTTTCCACCAGTGATGTAAACCAGCCAGTCCTGTGTTGCCGGTGTGCTCACGGTGGGGTCGACCGTCAACACATCCTTCCAGTTCTCCAGAGTCAGCTCATGTTGGATAGATTCGGCAACCTTCCCAGATGCAGCCTTGACCGGGTTTGAAGGGGCAGCGGGCACTGCTGACGAGATGGCGGCAGTTGCTTGGTTGAGGAATCCCTTCAACTTGTCGAGCAGCGGAATCTGGTCCTGTGCAACGGCCGAGGCCGCGAAGGCGAAGAAAAGCGCGGATGACGGGCGCATTGTCGCGATGTGTGAGGGTGAAGGAGGACAAGCAGGCTTCGCTGGGATGATGCAGTTGCTGCAGTTGAGTGGACAGGGTCTGGCCTAACCGTTCACGCAATTATTTGTGGGTCCGGAGGGCGGCGCGGTGGGGTTCGTGGTCTGAGCGACAGTTGCATCCACGTGTCGCGATCAACAATCAACTGCGTTCTGGCTGACAGGTGCGCTTTGTGGTGTGGAAGGGCGAAGCAGAGACGGAAAAGGAGTTTATGGGGGGTGGCAAGGCAGCAGCGCCGTTGTTGTTTATCTCATGTGGGCTTGGCAAGAACCCCATGTTGTGTCTCGAGCTCTACACATTAGCGCCCCCTTACCATTGGCTGGTGCGCCTAATGACATTCACGCGTTTGCTCAACCGGTCGTTGAATCGTGACTGCCGTTTCCTGCCCTGCCGCGCCTTGCCTACAAAATGTGTCGAACCACTACTCAACATCAGCTTGGTGCCAATCCTCCCCACGAGCCTTGAGCCTTCAACATACGTCCAGCATCCATTACCGCGTCCATGAACGCGCTTGTTGGCGCATCGGCCAGTCCATTCACTGCAAAGCGACGAGGTATGCTCACATTGGTACTGCACGCTTGCTCACTGGTTCGCGCAGACGCGATCGCTCCTGCCGCAACAACGTCACTCATCCGTGCTATAGCCTCACCGAACAAAACATCAAGCGCCGCTACAACTGTCATCGCTACTGCCCCTACCACCACTGGCTTCTTAGATCCCATCAGCATCGATCTTCCAGTCTGTGGTGATGGTGCGAATCCTTTCTATCAGCCAGCCAACCAGTCTACGTTGTATGTCGACAAGACGTATTACATGGCCGGGAATCCCAAGTTCTTTTCCCAGATGGACTCTACGGTTCAGGTCAAATGCAGTGGGTAGATGATTCAGCCGCGGTGGCCTAGTCATCAGAACAGAACAGGTCTAAAACGGCTGGAGCAATGTAGTTGTCACCTTGAGCAAGGAGCTGCTTCGAGGTAAGTCAGCGGTGTGCCAACTTCACCCATGCTAGGGTTAACATTGGAAAAAGGCTACGACATGTACAATTTAACATTTTGTATACTGAAACTCAGGGAAGGTCAGCCAGCTGCACCAGCGCACGTTTTTGACAGTTCCCAAATCATGCTTCAGCATGAGCTCCACATCACCTTCCACCAGGCCTTAAGCACTCTATCGACAAAGCTGGGTTCTTCATCGGCCTACCTCTCAGTCTGGGTTTCATAGCTGAATCGCGGCTGAGTTGCTCACTGGAATGCGTGGGCAGCGATTCATCGGTCGTGTTAACGTTGGGGGTTGTCGCAACCGTGGATACGGCGAGAGTAAGAGTAGGCGCCAACGCCTGGGCATTGCAAAGAGGTGGAGGGTTGGTATGTGGGATGAAATCGAGCTGGAACCGCGGACCTCGCATCAAGATCCTGCACGCGGTCATAGCACCCAGTCGTAGCAGGGTCGGCAGCTGTGGCAGCTTGGTCGATGACGAGGACTTGCCTGCACCACGACCTTTTCAGTTCAGCGACGAAGCGCGAGAACGAAGCATAGACCAGGAGCGTGGTCAACCGGGCCCATATTAGATGTGCATGATGATACACGGCATGGCTTATGGTAATGGAACAAACTTTCAAGATTTTCGCACCGGTTTCAAGAAATGATGATGTATCTCACGTCGGACAGACTTCTCAGCTTTGTCATATACGTCGTCTATGCATCGGACGCTGCGCTGAAACGAGACGGGCATTACATCCTATCCCATGCCCAAACATCCCTCTACGGCGCTTCGGCCCGCACTAGATGTCTTTAGCCCTGCTGACGTGGGGGTGTAGGTTGCAAGTCCTCAACTCAAATACCGGCATCGTCGTACAACATTAATGATGCCCATCGATCCCAGTTCGCTCGGTTCCCGGTAACGACCCAATCAGTGACCGCATCCTTCTCTGAGGCCAACGACGCTAAATCAACCCGTCTCCTCAATCCAATCGCAAGCACAAGCCTATACGAGCGTTCGGGTGCATTATTTTCGCCTACATCGTCCTTTGGTTCCACATACGTCCTTGGGCGGCCCGCTCCACACCGCTTTCCCTGGCCTCGCCTCGGAACATGTCTTCGGGCGCTGTGTCACCTCCCAACCATGCGCGTAGGTGGAGAAGGCCGGATGTCGCCTCAGATACTCCCTAATGCCAACAACTTGCGACCATTCGCCTCCTGTTCGAGCGGAAGGACCGGTGCACTGGATTATGGGTCGATCGCATTCGCGGGGAATGCACGTCAAAGCACTGTCACACAGCATTGAGGACACAAGAAGGTTCATAGGTTTACTGGTCATCGAGACCAAGACGGCAATATTAGGCTACATTTCTCTTTTGGAACTCACTCTCGCATTCGTGACCCAAGTTTCCTTGTTGATACCGGCTGGTGTACGTATGCACCGAAGTGTGACACGTCCCGCGATGAAAATGAACCTTAGAGGTGTGGTGGTAGGCAGGACCACTATGCCGCCGTCCCTATGCATCATCTAGAAGACCCCTAGTCACCGACATTCTGCGAGAAGATGGGGCCTACCTTGACGCGCCTCCTGCCAATTCGATATCCAACACGTCGACGGAAGAGAACCCATTTAAGCCCCCCCCCTTCCCCTTCTCTCCTTGGTTGGACTTCCACCCGAAGAGTTTATGTGCAAATGGGAAGCCGAGGCTGAGCTCGCGCACGAAGTACAAAAGAATTCTCACCTTTGGCGGCGCCTGACGTGACAACTCTTACATGGTCTCATCCGAAGTACTGTGAATACGCACGCGAGCCACCAAGTCACGTGCGCTCAACGTCACTGGCCCTGGTGGCCTCTACTTCATCATCTACAGGCCATGATCTTCATATCCGGACGGCATTAGGACAAACTATACTCCAGCTACTATACCCAACACCATCCCGTCGCGTGCGTGAATTCTCGCCAAGCCCCGTAGATGAAAGCGCAGCTGTAAGTGGTGGAGAAAACATTGCGCTCGATCAACACCAGAATCGTGAATCTCCGTCGCGGACTTCCAGCAGAAGTACTTGTCATATGCAGAGCGTGGTATATAGCATGACCGAACGAATGGAGGAAAGACGGTGGAAACCACTTGCGCTTTGTTTCGTGGACTCAGATCCTGAATCATAGCAACCATGTTGGCCAAAGCACTCATCACTCTCACTCTCGCAGCCCTATCCACCGCCCACGCTGTAATCAAAACGCCAACACCGCGTACCGCTGGCCCCACGCACACATCCCTCTGCGGCAGCCCCGTCGCTTCCAAACTCGCCTCCGACCCTGCCGGCCCGATCGAAAGCGCTGTCGCAAAGGCAGATGCGAGCTACAAGTGCGATGCGTATTTGTGCCGCGGATATCAATGGGGTGATAATACGGGCAGGGCGCAGAGCTACGTAGCTGGGCAGGTAGTGCCGTTCTATGTGGACCTCGTGGCGGCGCATAAGCCAGGGTGGGCTGTGAGTTAATCCTCGGGTTTGTTTAGAGGTATAGAGGAAGGGGCTGATGAAAAATAGAATGTCTCGGTGATCGATTTGCAGACGAATAAGGCGGTTGGGACGCCGCTGAAGACTTGGAGCGTGTGGCCGGATGATGTTAGTGGGGGAGGAGATGATGGTGAGTCTGCTTCCGCCCCTTAGCTTGGTGATAGGGTTCGAGGTTGCTGATTGATAGTGGTAGTTGACTTCAATGTCACAATTCCGGGGACGCTGGGCTCGGCGTGCAATGTCGGGGGGAAGTGTGCGCTGCAGTGGTATTGGTGGAGTAGCAGTAACAAGCAGACATATGAGGGTTGTGTGGACTTTTATGTCAAATGATTGGAGGAACCTTGTAGAGAGAGTCACGGGTTAGACGTTCACGAGTATATTCTGTATGCCATAGCAGAGCTGAGCTGAGTTGATGCAGCTTGACTGGTGTATATAGTACGTCAGCGTCTGTGTAGCACCACATAAAGTCATCAAAGCTGACATATTTGAAGGCTAGTAGGCTGTTTACATGAGTAGAAATGCACAATCAACTAACCTCCATAATTTCTACCTCCTTCCCCAGCGCCGTCAAGTAACTTTAAAGTGCACGATATGCTATTAGCAGCATGATGGAGCCAGGCCACATAGTACACAAAGATACGCACGCTGGCAGTCCTACAGATGACATGACGTCCCATAACTATGTACACCGGCCTTACGAGGTGTATATGATGCATCTAGTCAAACCATACAATATAAGCGGGAATCATCCCATAGATAACTATGCAATTTATTCAAAAGTGGCTGAAGTCTCCCCACAATCATAGAGTGATTCTTGTGAAGGGCGCACGTCTGGGTAGGTTTGCTCTGAGAAGACAGAATCTATAATAATACACGGTCATGATATGATAACGTTACAGGCGATTGAACCTCGATGAAATCACTCAGGTAGTTGGGCCATGTGGACTCGATCGATCTTAGAATTTCCGCTTCTATATGTTCGAATACCATGGCAACATGGCATAGACAGAAACTTTCTTCGTCCATGTGGAGAAATCGAATGGCAAGTTCCTCTCTTGAGATACTATAGTCCATGGCCATCTCATGACCGTTGCTTGATACTGATAGCAGCGAGAAAATGTCATCTCGACGTTCTGTGCACAATTTCGCGCGACAATCCCATAAGCGTTCCAAAGATGAAAACAAAGTCGTGTAAGGTTGCGCGCCTCGAATTTTAGGATATAACCCCTGGGAGAGATCCGAGACCAGTTGAGGGTCCCTCGTGCTAAGAAATGCTTTTGAATCCATGAGTAGCTCCCAGATGCTGTACTCATGGTGGACGGATAAGAAGAAGTGTTCAGATGTGTCAATCAAGAAGTCATTTAATTGACACCTTGCTCGGATGCAAGAAAACAAAGACTGCCAGCGCACAAGATTTCCTGCGTTGTCCAAGCACGGGTCCAATACGGATTGCTCAGGAATTGCCTGACGATCAATGAATGCATTCCCGAGAGTATACGTAGACTTGATGAGGTGTTGCTCTTCCGTAGTTTCTGGCTTTGGCCATGGTGTACCACGATCTGAAGAGATGCTCAAGACCCTGATCCGTTCCCATCCTTACCAACACGACTTCTGCGGTGCAGTAGATGTCACCGAACAGTCGAAGTTGATGCCCTTTCTCTTCTGGGTTTTCTTGATCGATATATAGGGCGTTGATCTAGATGGACTGCATCATGTGTTCAAACTGAAAACTTGGCATGCCAGAAGAGCTGTCCTCCTCCAGAAGGTGATAGTTATTGCACCGAGCGCTTGTAGAACTCGCAATCTTCAGGAACTCATACAGGTTGTCGCGCACTTGTAAATTTTGACCGTTGATGAATATATAATGATGCGGCTGTTCTGGGCCCTAGACGTATGAGAGACATGCGTAATTCTCATCGAGCGTTGCCTGTCTCATTGTGCATCGAATGGGCTCGTACAGAGAACGTCTTGGATAGATTTCTAACAGTCTTATTGACTTTTCATGAAGATCGAGAGGACTGTATTGGAAGTCGGCCGGTTTTCCGTTTCCAGGCTGGCGACTTCGAACCATGTTGCGGATGCAACGCGACGAAGGTTATTGTCGTATGATTATCCAATGAGGACGCTAATGCTGACATGGGTATCCTAGGAATAGATATCGATGAGAGAACTTTTCGGTCTGCAGATGTTGGTCAAAGGGCTTTGGTGTGAGGCAACGATATCATACAAGGCTGTGCAAGCTGCATATCTCATTGGACTGAGCCAAAGCGGCTCCGCGGGACTACTTATAGTATATTGTCATGAGCTGTTGATCACTGGTAAGTGGAACAGAAACTACATTTGAAATCTGATGCGAATTACGAAGTTTTGAAAGGATGCGTTTCGCTCAACATGCTTATTACAGCTATGGATCCAGCTTGCTGTCTACGTCACGTGAATCTAGGCTCGAACGCGGATTATCGTCTTTGCCAGGAGCTGTAGGCAACAACAACAAAAGCTCAGTTTCAGGTGAGCTCAATGATCGGTCGCTCCGCCCCAGAAAAGCCAACATAATCGTCCTTCATGCGGCCACATCCTATACGCCTGAATATTCGTGTGTCCTTGCTCAGAGCCATCTCAGCTTCCTCCAAAACCAAAAACGTTGATACCATTTCCCCATCCTCTTCCATAAATGCGAGCTGAAGGCACCAGTACTCGCGTTTTTCGTCGTATTCAACATCTTCTGGGAGCATCTCATCCAACCGAACCACATAATAGTCAGTATCCGGGCTATCTTCTCCCTCCTTGCCGAACAGTCGTCTTCGCATGCAATCCCACTGGAACCTGTGCTTTTTAAGCGGCCCCTGGAGTACTAGCTTCGTTGAAGCTATCTTCGAGAACAGAGGGATCGATTCCCACAGCACTTCGACCTCTTTCACCTGCGTTGTGGCGGTACTTTCCGCTGCTGAGGAAAAGTACACGATCCCACCAGGATACTTGTCAACATGCAGATTCAGCCAGCTCCAGGAGGGCACACCCGCAAGCTCGGATGTCTCTGTAGGGTACGACGAAAATGAGCGGTAAATCTGCCTCGTTCTCCACGCCAGATCCTGTACTAGCGTCTCCTTCCACAGACCCAGCAGGAAGGTATGTTTCGTTCGCTCCGCAAAGTGCCGCACAACCCCATGCAGCGCTGGTAGTCGATCGCTCTGCTTCGTGAACTGGCGCTGGCTGAAATCACTCACCCACGCATTCCAGTCATATTGATTGCTTCTTAGACTATACCGTTCTCCAGGAATGTTCAACGCGACGGTATGATCGATGTAACCGTCTTCAGAGTAGACTTTCTCGGTGCACTGCCAATACATCTGTCTCCGCCCGCAATATAACACGCGCGGCGCTAGTGTCAGCTCCTGGAACACCCACCCGCGCATATTCAGTGGAGACGAATACACCTCGACCGGATCCGCAGGCGTCGTCCGCACTCTTACTCTCCTACCGCCCATGTTCGGTCCGCTGAGAGACATGGCACCCCAGCCCATCTCCAAGCCACAACCATCGTGGCAGTTTCGACCATCGATGGCGGCAATGTTAAGGTAGCTGCCACAATACACTTCCGCCATACGCATGGCTTCATGTTGCCAGTCTTGCGCGTCATCTTGGATAATGCAGAGGGAGTCGATCCAGATGTACCGCAGGCCAAGGGCGCGCGTGATTTTCATGGCGTCGTTGAAAGTTCGGGGGATGCGGCGTTTGGTGCGGCTATAGAGCGGGAAGATGCTCGTCATGTGGACTTGCAGGTTGGTCTTGAGTGTGCGCACGGGTTGTATGTCGCCCCAGCGGTGACTGAGCGTAGTGTACTCTACGTTTTGCGGGTCAAGTGTGCTGGTGGTTATCAAGTGGGGATCGAAAGAGCCTGTATGTGAGTTTGCGAAAAGATCGATCAGGCGCGTGGGCAGAGAACCCCTGTCCGAAATGCGTTTGTTGCATTGTTCATGCTGCGACCCGCAAGCTTGAAGCCATTCGTTGACAACGGGCATGCGAATCCCGAGCTGAAGCGGCACTCGATCAGACCACATGGCTCGTTGCGGAACAGAACCTGATTATCCTGTCAGTATCAAAATATCCGCAGCTCTTCCATCACACGTACCTGTTCCATCTTCCGTCATTACCAGGAACCGAAATTTCGGATCGTCAAGGCATCCCCCCATATATAAAGTAAATTCATGGATCCCAGCATTCGCAATCGCCTCCTTATTACAGAACGGCAGCGTGTACCCTCCACCCCCAAGCTCGTATCCACTCAATGTCATGGTTCGATCATGAGGATACCGTTGAGGAAATGATTCAAGGTGTTCCTCAGTGCCTTCGATCAGACTCCAGCACAGACCGCACGTTTCGGCAGACTTCTTCATGTTCCAAAATGACTCATAGTGGTCGGGGATTTTATATGAATTGCTCTCTGTGTTGTTGTTCAAGACCTGGAGGAGCAGGGTTTCGCAGTAAGAGCATACCGAACTACCGGGCTTCGCGTATTTGTCAACGAAGGGATCATTTGACTCGGATTCTGAGAGAGAGTCTCCAGGCTCGGAATCACTATTCTCGGAGTCGTTATAATCCAGATCGTACACTGCGCTACCGTCATCTTCGCCTACCTCAGATCCCCCAGAACCTCCAGATAGCCTCTCAGAGCCATTATGGGCGATATGATTGTCGTTGGTTTTGAAGATTTTACTATCCTCCTCATCGCCGGCTTCAGATCGCTGAGACTCATTTGCGAGGTCTTCCTGGACATTGCTTCTGACATCAGAAGTTGTCATGTCTTTGATCTCAGTGTCTGGTGCAACCTTTGGGAACTGTTCGATCGTAGCAGCCATGCTGCGCGAATCAGGGTACAAGCGATTTTGAGTGGAGAGAGGGAAGACGTTCAGCTGCGGTCGTGCTCTCGCAAGGTTACGAATGACCTCGTATATATCATCCACTCTAGTCTGAATGCGGTAAAGGGTGATAGACGCTGCCTCGTATTTCGCCGCCACTTTTCGCATCCAGTCGCTATCGATCGATTGATGGCCTAGTTCTCTCCAGTTCGCATGATAGGATGTCTTTTCTTCCACCATTCGGGTTTCCATATATTCTTGGCATGCTCATGCTGCCATGGCTGCCCCAGTTTTTGTCACACATCCAGGCCAGAGGGTAGGTTGCGTACACCCCAAATGCCACTTCCCTGCCGCCTCAGAGTCCTTGACTCACTGTACGTTTCATTTTGCGGGGGCGCTCCTTCCTCCAGCACGCCCAGTTGCCGCTTGAAAGTAGAGAGAGCTAGCTTTGGGATTGACTCGATAGAGAACTGTCTGATGGCTTCTTTGCTCTACATACTTGAAGACCATTCGGCTCCCTGTGCCAGACTGGGGATATACGGCTCCATTACGACACCAGTCAACTTATTCTTTTACATTGCATTCAGGCCTTCCAGCAGGCTATACTGTTCAGAAACTTCGAGAGTTTGGGGACTACGGCTGTCTTCTTCCCACCACCATCTATCAGCTGTATCAGCTTCTTGACAATCGAAGTCGGGTTCGGTAAAGATTTGAGGGCAAGTCTGACTTCTGAGGTCAGAACAGGATTGGCATGAGGATCCGCGCCAAATTCTATACAAAACACTGCAATTTTCGCCCAATGGTCGCAACGAAGGCTTTTGTTGTTTGTGTGCCTGTTAGAATCCCCTAAATCCAGTAACTTTCGGAGCCCCTTTGTGAGAAAGTCATTCTTGTGTGCCAACAGCGAGGGCGGATCCAGAATTTCAGAGTGCATGTACTGGACTACTGATATGCTGGGTATGTCAAGAACTTCTCGCTCACAGAATCCGGGGAATATTTGCGGCTCTTGGGTTATCACATCCCAGATAGATTCTGCTCCAGTCCCGGCCATCTTGGCTTTCGTCTTATCGTTGAAATTGAACGGAAAGAAGGCCACTGTTGATGGTCCAGAAACGCCGCGGTGAAAGATTGTGCTTCCGTGCGGGATCCCTGCCGAGTCCAGAGGCCGATGTAGCTCTATCTGCTTGGTAAGAGTTCCGATAGCTTCTCGAAATACGGTTAGGGCCAAGACACCCCCAGTGGCAGAATTACCAGCCCAATCAATGGCATCCAGGAAATAACGTTCAAGATCTTGGTGATCAGGTCCATAGACAGCTGTCGAAGGTCTCCAAAACTTCATCAGAAATATGCAGGATCCAGCAAGAGTCAATTGCAGGTCGGTATCTCGAATTGATGGCTTCATTCGAGTGAAAATTTCCGGCGAGCGTAGAAAGTCCCTTGCGGTCCGATGTAAGTAAGAAACCTTTCTATTCCCAGAACGTCCTAGGATGTCAGAAAGCGGCGCCTCGATCTCAAATAGGCCTTTCCATCGACTATTTAGACGTTTGTTGATTGCTTCGTATCTATCACTGTATTCTTGTGCTGAGAGAGGCGTAATTTTCGCAGCTTGCGCGGATTTTATAAGTTGAGTCCCATCCATGTCTTGGTCGGCGTAGTACAGTCCCATTGCGGTTAACGATCCTTCAGCAGCTTCTACCAGATGAAATATCTGATAAGCGTGTTTGGTGTACACTGGATCAATGGAGTCAAAGATCTTCAAGTAGAACAGTTGCAGATCATCTGGTATCTCATCCAATCGCCCTTGTAGATCAGAGATGCGATCGCCGTTGGTGAAACCAATTAGAAGTGACTTCACAGTCAAGAACACCCAAAGAAACACGCCGGAGGCTTTGGTGGCGATATTTTCTATTAAACTGGTTGCAAAAGCTGGCTCGCGTCTTGCTAAACCTTGAAAACCGGAATGACCGTGGAGGTGGCTTGTAACGTAACTGCGGATATCGAAAAAGGTAAGATGCTGCAGCCTCAAGCTTGGCAGAGTGAGGAAGGCTTCTTCAAAGACCTCCCAGGGACGGCTCGAAAGACATGCCTTAACATTCGGTGATTTTGCAGCCTTACGAAAGAGGATTGCGAGAGCCTCGAGGTCTCCATCAAACTCGTCTAGTCCATCAACAAAGAAGCAGATTTTGAAATGGTTCTCGGTTGCGCATGCAACAAGGCGATCAAACGCGATCATGAGGTCCGTCAGCAGCCACGCAGAGTCCTTGAACCTTAACGTCTGAAATGCTGTCCATAAATCTGGTAGCACTTTAGGGATCATGTCTGGTCGCTTTGTTAGCGCCTCGTGAAGAATGCTCCTCAGTAATCCTTCTTGAGACATTTGAATTTGACTTCCGGAATTCCAGAAATAGAACCGAGTGGTAAGGAGAGGAAGTGGACCGGCCCAGCTCCGCAAAAACTCATCGCAGTGGCGATCATGGACAATGTACTTCATTAGAGTCGATTTACCAGAGCCAGCCTTGCCCGTGATCCAATAAACATGTTGGCTGTCTTGCTTCAGCCAATCCTGGAAGTTAGTAAAAGGCTTTGCGGGATCTCGTGGTGGCTCAAACACCCATCTGAATGTCTCAGCATGAGCTTCTGCTATCTTGTATTCGCGGTCGTATTGATGGTTGAAGCGCAACCGCCCCAAAACATGGTCTCGCAACGCCCCATCGGTAAGTGCCAACAACCGGGCGCCGAATGCGTAGTCCAGATTCTCTGTCCGCAGTTCTTGCACTTCGCGAATGATAGCATCTTTGAAAACGCGTAAATCTCTCCTCTGGGTACCGTGAGGAGCTTCGGTAATCATATCAATTTTTTCTCTCCTAGGATTCAGTAAAGAGCCTCGTACAAGGACTAGCGCAAACCCACTTTAAACAAACGAGGAGTGCTGTTTGGACTCTTGATTCACACCCCTTGAGACGCTCATGCAAAGCATTTATCTCTGCAGCACTCCAGACAGTCCGGAAAGCTTGGAGAGCTGACCCCCATCCGCGTCTTCGGTTCGGATACTTTAGCTTCACATTCTCCAAAGCTGCAAGTAGTTGCCGGGCGACCACGTCGCAGTCGGGAAGTAGTCTCGCAAGTTCCTTGTCTGTCTCGGGCACGGCGTCTGGGTCAGCATTGAGGTTCCGCTTGGCTGCCATCAGCTGCAAGCGTCGATAGCGACTTCGTATTGTCTCAGCGACTGCCTCTAAGTCCACGTTGTGGGCTGTGGCACCTTCCACGGATTGGTATATGTCCTGAGCCGTCCCTACGAGTGTTGCTGCGAGCTGTACAAACTGCAAGATATTGGCCCCAAGCCCTACTGCGGTAAGTGGATCCATTGCGGACAGGACGATGTGAAGTGTGCCTTCTAGGTGGGCTCAACTCTCAGAAGTGGGTTGGACTCTTAGGGGTGGGCTGGACTCTTGGAGGTTTATGAGGCTGAGACGACGAGGCTGGCTTGGGCGCAGCTTCCCTCTCGCGGACCAATCAACGAAGCGCCCCATCCCCGCGCCTGCATTGTATAGCCACAGCTTCGTATTCGATGGGGAGGGAGGCGCCTCCTGCGCGCACCTTACTAGGGGTTGGCCGCTTCGACCAGCCTCGGAGGACACCATGCTCTAGGCACCCGACTCTTTGTACTCGAAACAGTTCGGCCAACTTGATTAGCCATTCCGACCAGATTTTTGGGACGTCAAGATCTGTAACGAAATCAGAGTCAGACGATTCCGCAAGGTTCGGCAGCACAGCACATGAGCAAGGCCTCTTGCGCAATTTGTCCTGATCGACCCAACAGACCTGCCGTATTTTAGCCATAACAGTAGGGCTCTGCTACCTTTGGGGTGACTACTCTATTGAACTTGTTGACCAAATCCGAATTCGTATACTCGCATTTGGCTCCCCTACTCTCGCGCAACATGCATTCCCGAGCCCTCCTCACACCCTCTTCTTATCTGGCCCCACTGTCCCTCTCAGCCTCCCCAACTGGAACTTGGACTTAAAGTACCAGTCAAGCACACCCCGGGGCAGGTACGTCCACCCGAACCACACAACCCAGCTCATCTTCCCCTCCCATACCCACCTTTTCGTAACTAACCCAAGCCAGCTCTCCCCGCCAATGACATGCCTTACGCAACTCCTCGCATACTGCTGCGTATCCATGCCCATCTGCTGGCTGAGCGTCAACCTCTTCTCGTACTGATCTGCGATAGGTACGTAGTAGCTGCCCTTCGGCAACTCCCGATGCGTCCGCGCAATATTCGACTTCACGCCGCCCGTCACGATCGTGATGACGCGCACGCCCAGCGGTGCGAGCTCCACGCGCAGTGTGTCTGAGTACGCGTGTAATGCCGCCTTGGACGCTGCGTACACGCTAGCGAAGACGTAGGGCATTACGCCCGCCAGGCTGCCCGTCTGTACGATGGTGCCCTTGGCTTCGATAAGCATCGGTGTGAATATTTGGCAAAGTCTCATGACAGAGAACACGTTCGCATCGAAAGTCTCCTGCACTTCGCGCATGTCGATGTCCGTTGCGGCCACGGTGTAGTTACGTCCCGCGTTGTTGTAGAGGACGTGGAGCCGTCCGCCGGTAATATCGGCGACACGGTCGCGTAGATTCGATATGGAGTCATCGCCGGGGAGCTCGAGAGGGAGGTAGGTTATCTGGTCGTTCGGGGGCGTGTATTTGGCGGGGTTGCGGACGGTAGCGAGGACGTGGAAGCCTGTGGATGGTGAGTGCGGAGCAGAAGGAATTGAGAGGACAGCCTGACCTTTGGCGGCAAATTCGAGCGCGAGGTAGTGGCCTATGCCTCCAGGCGTGCAGCTGGAGTCGTTAGGGGGCTTTTGGAAGCGGTTTGGCTTTTTTGTAGGCGTCGCATTAGGTGGTTGTAATGGCGTACCCTGTGATAAGCGCGTAGCGTTTTCTCTGCCCCGCCATTCTTTCCAATGCTGAATCTTCTACTGCGGGCGAACTATCTTCAAAGTAAAGCTCAAAGTGAGGCCCCAGAAGAATTGCTGTTGAGCTTGCCTGCGTGGATCAGTAGTGCATCGTTGAGCGAGCCGAGGCATCTGGAAGCTATGACCATGTCGCATATTCCTTCGTTTCGCGCTCCTTGTGCTACCCCGCATTCATTGCCTGGGTCCAATCGCGATGCACGTGGGAGCTGAAAACAAAATCATGCCACCAAAACGTTTGAAGCGATGACTAAACGTCAAAGAAAAATTGCGATCAATCGCCGACTACGCTGGTCAATAGTTGCCGAGCTGAGATGACTTGAGGTTGGTATATAGGCAGCGTGGAGGCTTGTAGTGGGCTCTCTTATAGGGAATACCGCCCGCTTTGCTCCCGCCAGCTCCGATCAATCTAGTACTCGTGTCTTGTTGAATCGAAATATTCAAGTATCACTGTAGAACCTTTTCGATTCCATTACAATGCCTTCGCCAGTATGGATCCAAAAGCTTCTGCCTTTCCCGCGGTTGTTATGGCCGTCGCTTCTGCTTGGGATGGGCATCTATCGTACGGACGCACATCGATCTATTATCATAGAAAGACTACGCTGACAATACAAGACTTCGTTATGACTATCCTGGAAGCACTGTTCCTTGACCGACAGCCAGCCAAAGTCTTCAACCTCACCTACGTACGATACAAAGCCTTCGCCCGTATGTGGAAGAAGAATGGCGCCGCCATGTCTCAGGAGATGCCTGGTCCTCTTGACGCCCTTGTCGGTAAATGCCGTGGCTTAATTCTCGATGTCGGGCCAGGGTCAGGGGAGCTACTGAAGCGGTTCAATCCGGAGGGCATCACGGCCATCTATGGTGCTGAACCTGCTGGAGATTTACACGAGGGCTTACTGAAGAATGCGCGGACGGCTGGGTTTGGTGAAAAGTATCACGCACTGCTGTGCGGGGGTGAGCCGGAGAGTTTGATTCCTGCTTTGCATAAGAGTGGACTTTTGGGTTCGAGCGGAGAGGGAGCAATAGCTGAAGATGGGGTATTCGACGAGATTTGTTGTCTCAGGGTACTGTGCGGGGTGCCTCGTCCAAGAGAAACGATCAAAGGACTCTATACGTTGTTGAAGCCTGGAGGAAGGATGGTCATATGCGAGCATGTCGTCAATCCGTGGCGAACTGAGGGCAGCATGGCGGCGAGAGTGATGCAGTTTGTATATGCAGCCATGGGCTGGTCTTTCTTTCTGGGCGGATGCGAGATGCAGCGGGACACGCGTGAGTATCTGCAAGACGCTGGGGAGTGGGAGACGTTCCAATTGCAGTACGTGCAGCCGAAGAATGTGGTTCCATACGTTGTAGGAGAGTTGATAAAGAAGAGATAAAATGGGCCATCACAAGGCCTATGAACTTTGCCTAAGGTAGAGATTCACTGAGAGCGATGATTAGTATCCCGATGACGGACGCTCCTGGTTTAGGTGGACTGGCAGCGGGAGTAGCTCAATGAAGCTTAGCGTGTTATTCCGATTAGTAGCGATAAGTCGATGACGTCTGACCCTACTCACTTCTATTCAAGGGTGGAATTGCTTGTATACCTCTGGATTGGCACTTACACCACGTTTTTACAGCATATCCCATCATGACCTACAATCGCGTAGGAGTGGTGACAGGCGCCAATAAGGCATGTGCAACCCCGCGAAACGTAGATGCTGCGACTAACGCGACCTAGGGAATCGGGCTTGCCATTGGTATGCACCCCTCACGCCCCGTTACGCTGTCCCTTCTGATCTAGAACAGTCCGACAGCTAGCGCTGCAGTACCCCAAGTCACCCCTCAACAGTGGCTCCTTCCTGATATACCTCACTGCTCGCGATCGGGGCCGAGGCGAAGCCGCTTTAGAGGACCTTCGCAATGATGCCCAGCTCAAGCAAGCACAGGCTTTGAAGAGTGATAGCGGCCAAACTGAGATTCAGTATCATCAGTTAGATATAACCGACCAGAAGAGTCTGGAAACTTTTGCAGCTCACATCAAGCAAATGCACGGGGATGGCATCGACTTCATCATCAACAACGCTGGAATCGCCATGAATGGCTTTAGTACGTCTCTTTTTTGATCATGTGTGTTGAGAAAGTTGCTGAGAAGGTAGATGCCGAGCTCGCGAAAATCACCTTGGGCTGTAACTACTACAACACCATGGAAGTGTGCCATACATTTGTGCCGCTTCTCAAGCCACAAGGAAGAATTGTCAATCTGGCGAGCATGGCTGGCCATCTCAGCAAGTATTCTGACGACGTCCGGAAGCGATTCCTCGCGGCCAAGACAGAGGGCGATATCAGTGGCATCATGAAGGACTTCATATCAGCTGTGGAAGCTGGTAACGAGAAGGAGGCGGGGTATCCAAGCGCCGCATACGCTGTTTCGAAGGCTGGGTTGATTGGCGCCTCCAAGGCGCTTTCTCGAGCTGAACAGGAAAAGGGTAGTAAGATCCTAGTGAACGCCTGCTGCCCAGGCTACGTGAACACCGACATGTACGATCCTCCCCGGTACAATTCCGCTATGTCTTAGACACAAGACGACTTGTACATTGACCCAATTTTATGACTTCGCTGACCATGTACCCGCGAATATAGGACCAAGGGCAATGGAACCAAATCGCCTGATGAGGGCGCTCAGACCCCGGTGCTACTCGCATTGGCTGACATCAAGGGGGCGACAGGAGAATTCTGGCAAAATGAGAAACCTATTGAGTGGTAGGTATGTAGGAAACAATATCACAAACAGCAGTGTTCGATATGCCTGTATATGAACCTGCCTTATTCATCAACTTCTTCATCGCCTGTTGCCTACCTAATGGAGTACGCCCGAATCATGATTGGACCCTGTTGCTACTGGGTCACCAACTGCATGAAGTTTACAAAATGGTCTCATCCTCATTCGGCCGAACCATTCCAGGTTGCCCGAGCGTAATCCCTCATCTTGTTGAGGCCTTCGATTTACATTAATGTTGCCCAGGAAAGTTCACAGCTACATCACATATAGTATCTGCAATCAATAACATCTACCGTGAGCAGCCGATACTCCGCGAAATGTCGGTACAGGCGCTCACGTAGCGAATATCGCATTTATGTGCAGTCGGTCATCTGCTACTGACCCAGAAGCGATACCCTTCGGATCAAAGTAATTGAGACGTACCGGCTCCTTTTACGTTGCCCACTATCTGCGTCTATCGATGACACGCCGCATGGGGATCTGCCGGACGACGTCGTGGACCAAGGTTGTAACCTCCTTGCCTATAAAGCATCTCTCCCGCATGTTGTCCTAGTGCGGCCGTGCTTCTCGAAGAATCCTCCACCTAGCGGAGAAGAGTCACATAAGTATGTGCCGGATAGGATGTGGGAGGAGAGAGAGGAGTTGAGGGAGTCATTCCAGAATGGGCGAAGATCTTTGTGTGCGGGAGTGCGGCGAAGCTGGGCAAGAGTACAGCGGATGTGTGTAAGAAGATCTGGAGGGAAGCCAGTGGCAAGGGAGAGGGAGATGCGGACGAGCGGTTAGAAAAGGTTAGGGAGGATAGGTACATAAGTGATACGTTTGAGTCGTGACAGATGTAGATTCAGTGTGTGATTGCAGCCGAAAGATGCAAGTGTCTTTATGACTTGCGGATTGCTCTGAGGATTGTAATACGAGCTTGTTTAGATATTATTCAAGATACTCTATAATAGCGCTGACGAAAACTTAGATTAACCGCCTCTATCCTACCGCCTCTACAATCGCATTTGACGTATATTAACTGGCCCGCCTGTTTCTTACCCTTCGAAATGCTGTCTTGAAATCCGCCCCTTTCACACCGTCTAGTTTGCTATACGTTGTGTCCTCTGGCCAGCCTTTTTCGCCAGGTAATTTGTGTACTTGTTGTGCATTTCAAAATTTGCGTTTTGAAGTGATTGCACATAGGGTCCATCATCGATGACAAATTCCTCACTTCCCTCGCTTTCACTGTCTTTCTCCTCGCTCGCGTCATGATCACGGGCCTCTGCCGCAGTCGTGATCCGCGCCACAAGCTCTGGCGTCTCCTCACCGACCGGCTTGTCGCCGGCTCTCACCCCTTGGAACTCCAAATCCTTCACATCTTCCAGATAGATGGTCTTGATCGTCTTGGGAAACCAGCCGCGCTTAGTCAACTTTGCGTCCGGAGCCTGCGGGCCGAATTCAATCATCACAGGCATGAACTGCGCTGCCCAGACACACTCATCTTCCTGAACCCCCCCGTTTTGTGCCCCGTTCGCCCGTTCGTGACGTGCTTCTGCTTTCAGCTTTGCCACGCCTGCAGGTCCCCCAGCTGCAGCACCAACATCCAGACCACCGTGCGCAAGGAGCTCCTTCGCTGCGTTGTCTTCAAAGTGGTACTCGCCTCCGGTAACATACTGGAGCCCAGTGACGAGCCATAGCTCGGGAGCCGTCCACGTACTTGCTGAATACCTGCTCTTGTATTTCGGGGTCGCATGCATACGTAACCATTCATCCACGCCAGGTTGCTTGAGTACTTCTTCGAGAAACACTTCAGGATCCCTAATCTGGACACGCCGGCCGGATGTCCCAGTGAGTGTAATGTGAACTGAGTTTTCGCGCTTGGAGCCTAGCCCCAGAAAGCTGGTGAAGCTGAGTCCGGCAGAATTCATGTGGGAGCGCTGGAACCCGTGTGAATAGCCCTTGACGGCCTTGGCTTTGCGGGTGAAGTTGCTGATGTGGGTTTCATAGTCGGATTGTTCGACGAGGCTGGAACTATTAGAAGCCGATCACGAGTGCGTGTTGAGTCTGATGAAGGACTTACTCTCGACGATATTCGAATCTGTCGCGGGCTAATCCATTCACTGGCTCCAAAGGGTTCAGATATAAGCTGCCGAGTCGGAGATCTTCGGGCAGCACAGCTGTCTCATATGGTAGAAATGTCCGCTTCTGTCGTCCGCCGAGCGCCATCTTTTGATTTCGAATGCAGCGCGTATGAACCGTTAGGAAACGAAAAATCTGGAGTGTTGCTTCTAAGAAGTAATTTACTTATCATGAGCGAAATCGACGACATCGGATGCAAAAGGAAGGTTTTATGCGAGCGTGCGCCACCTGAAGGCTGTGCACCACAGCCATATCGCAGTGGTCACAAAGAGAAAATGCTTCGCCACCGAGAATAGGCTGCAACAATGCAAGCCATCATGCGTCAAATTGCAGGGGTATATCAGCTGCCAGCCTTTGCGACTCATCAATCGTTCGCTTTCACTGCATTGGACTTGTGTCATCGTTATGATTGCGAGGTCAATAGCCATGCGATCATGATACTGGCATGCTTCAACACGATAGAGAAGCGCAGCGTGGTATTTCTGGAGTGTCGAAATTGAATGAAGCAAAGTTGGGTGACGTGGGCGGCTTCCTGCAGCTACCTGGAGCTGCTCGCCCTGCTCCTCGACAGGCTCCGTTGCGGGCGCTACACTGCGGCTACAGGCGCGCCCCACCCCGCCGGATCGCCCGCCTCCTCACGGCAACCCATTTATTGCGTAAACACCGCCAACTCTCCCACCAATTGTCCCTAAGCTCGCAATGGAATGTACGTATCCGGACACGGGGGCTGAAACGCAACTTTGTCAGGTGTGCTGCCCAAGCCACCCCAGATGAAAGCCAAAGGCACGAAAGTAGAACGAGCAGAGCCGCACCTCAGCGACACTGGACTCGACATGACGACTGCCTAGTACTATATACTCCGTCCGTCGGCTGCTTCCGAGTGCAATCTTTTCAGCTTCCAGCATAAAGTTATTCCTGAGGATATCTGCGTTCACAGCCTTGCCACCTGAACCGAGAGACTGGTGATACCGCGGAACCATCTAATTCAGCCTGCAGTTACTCCGTTGCGGAACCTCCCTACCATACCTTTTTGAGCTTCGCTCATCACCGGACAACATCTTTTAACTAGATCCGCCGTCAGGCGGATATTCTCAGCAGGCAAATAGGCATTGGTGCCCTGTCCTTTGTATGGATCACGTGCCGGGATGACCAAACGCCGCCCAGCCAAGATCGGTCCTGGGAGCGCACACCTAGGAGAGTCTTCACCGTCGCAAATCACGAGTCACCGTTTGTCTTTACATGAGATCGTAATAAGCCCATCTCTCAAGAGAGAACTCACAAGTCCTTACGAAAACGGTGGTACCGGCTATTTTCCTATAGTCGATTCGCCATTTGACGGAGACACAAAAGTCGCAACTATCCTCAAGGAGGGCGAAAAGAAAGAACATGACGCGGAAGCTGAACCAGATCCACGAAAGAGACAGCATCACCTTTCTGAGGCTCTTAGAATCTACAATGCGGGGTGCAACGCAAAGGAGCTGTACGAGCGGATCAGTGACGTCTATGGTGCCCGAATCTGGCTATTCGATCGTTCCGATTGGGCCAATGTGTTCTTTTCCGCCGCCCGAGTTTGTACGAGGTTTTCCAAGAATCCCCCGGTAGACCGCAATGGCCAAACGATATCCCCGCCTCAATTCAAATGCAATGGATCGGTGCTATCTGCCCCTGACTGGGACCACCAGGCGCTTCATTACCTCGAACAAGGCAGGTGCCGCTCCTTGCTCCACTCCATCAGCTATGGGTCTGCCGTGACCTACAAAGAGCGCTGGGTTCTCAACAAGGCCGTAAAGAACGACATGAGTGTCGTCGTCGATGCAGCGATGAGGTCGATGAGAACCGCTACATCGCACACGCCTTCACCGCCAATCGCCACCAACGTCGCCTTACCAGAAATTGTTACAGAAATTGAACACCTACGCGAATCTCCGGCCTCAATCTTGCAACATCCAACAACGCATAGTCCATCCAGCGGAGTATTAGGCGATGCCTTGTCAGGATCCGGTCACAGGTCAAAGGTGCGTTGCTCTATTTTCATCACATCAATGCCATTCCAGGCGCTCGGATATATCAAGCTAGACATGAGTTCTCTTAACGAAGGGATCAACATACATGGTAAGATCTAAGCTGACAGATACACCTACAGATTAGAGAACGCCTGTCCCTGCAAGTATCAGAATCAATGCACTCCTCGACTAGCTCCGTAACAGAATCGCCTTCTTCAGCTATCTCCACGTCTGAGATTGACGAGGTTCTTCTTGCGAGATGGAAGATCCAGATGCGGTGGCGCAAAGCCTTTCTCTTCGCGCGAACAGGGAATCCTAATCTCGGGGACGTGCTGCTAGGTGACATTGGAAAATTGAGAGAAAGTATCCCGCAAGACACGATTGTCGTGGAATACGCATTGGCTTCAACCCCACCATGTGGTATCATGACAATTGTAGCCGCGTCTGACGGTATCCGGGTGGCGGAATGGAAGCAAACCGACGCCATTGCTATTCAGAAGAGTATCGAAGACCTCCGCAAGTCAATGGAATTTGCGCAAGCGAGACCAGGGTCCACTAGAGCGTACCCCTTCTCCATCAGCACAATGTCTCGATCCGCGGACCGACCGTCCGTCCCTCAACGCAATGCGTCTGCACTGTGCCAGGAGAGACTGAGTAACCTGCTTTATGACTCGGTAGCCGGACCCGTTAAACCACATCTCAAAGGAATGAAGAAGCTGATCATTGTACCCTCGGGAGACCTGGCCAACGTACCCTGGTCCATCTTCTTCAATTTACCCATTACTGTAGTGCCCAGCCTCAATATTTGGAATCGTCTGCAAACTCAGGCAGCTTCCGCAGGAAAACGCCACCCGAAGATATCCGTCGTCAGTAATGCACCGATAGATCACGAAAAGAAACGGAAGAACTTACCGGCGATTCGAGACATCCCGTACTCCAGGATGGAAGCGCTGGCTATTGCTCGAGCACACCACAAAGGCATGTCGCCTTTCATCGCAGATGGAAAGGACCGCGAGGATTTCAAAGAAGAAACGAAGGGAACTCAGATCTTGCACTTATGCGCTCATAGTACATTCGACCCGAAGTTCCCGTCGAATTCATCTATTCAACTCTTTCATGAGCCACTTACCATGTCTGACTGGCGTGAGCTTTCGATCAGTGCCAATCTGGTGGTATTCAGTTCATGTCTTTCAGGTGTGTCACGTACAACAATGACTTACCGGTAGACGCTAATATTGCTGCAGGCATATCCAAAGCTTACGATTCAGGCAGTGCCATAGGCTTCGCCCATACGCTCCTAGCTACCGGCACTGGCGCATTCATAGGCAGTCTCTGGCCTGTCAATGATGCCGCTACATTCCTGCTCATGATCATGTTTTACGAAGAGCTGCGAAAGTCATCGCCTCCCGCGGACGCCCTCTTCGCGGCGCAAATGCGGATGCGCTACCTTACGGAAGGCGACTTGCTGGACATCATCGACGAGGTGCAGCAGCATTTCCTTCATGGAGATGCTGACGAGTTTGTGCTCGAGCCGATGGATCTTATTGAGGAGCTGAAGGAGCAGAAGGTCATGGAACTGAGGGAGGAAAGGTATTGGGCTGCTTTTGTGCTGACGGGGTATGGCTCTAGAGAACTGTATCATCACAGCGTGGGGGTACATGAAGGGAATTGATCGAATCTCAAGTCGTAATAAAAGAGAATAAAAGGTCAAATCGGAGGTTAGCATAATGCCATCTTTAAAAAGCGATGCAATGGCCGCTCCTCTTACTCCTCCTCACCAACCCATGGCAGCGTCGCATGCACGCTCCTCCTCACCAGCCCATTAACCACATCATCCACCAGCCGCCTGGTCATCACCAATCCTGGGTCATGATCCGGATTTACCTCCGCGATGCTCAATCCTACGCATTTTCGACTTCCCAGAAACACGTCCAGCGCCCTCATCGTCTGCGCGTATCCCAATCCCGTCCAGTTTGGCACATTGCACAGCGGGAACTCCCCCGGGTCAATGACATCCACGTCAAGGTGAACAATTATATGATCTACTCCTTGCTCCCGCATGTAAGCCAGCCCTGTCTCTGCGCTTTCTTCCGGGGTGCGTTGGACAGTGATGGAAGTGAGGACGCGGAAGTTGTTATCAAAGAGATGGCCCAGGTGCTCCCGCTTATTCGCTTCACACTGCGAGTTCATGCCGAAGAGAACGATGTTTGTCTCATCCACGACGCCGGATCCGTCGGGCTTGCAAAATATCTTCATGCTGTCCAGCGCGCCGTCGCGAAGCGTCAGGTGCGTGAGCGTCATGCCTGCGATGTTCCCACTGCCTCCGGAGTCAGATGGCGTGTACAGATCTGCATCAGCGTCGAAGTAGATGATGCCAATCTTGTGGGTTGTTGGACGGAGATAATTCCAGTATGCTGAAAGTATGGCGGGTGTATAGAGGCATTCGCCGGAGAGGATGAAGTGGAAAGAGGGCTGACGGTCCTCGTTCAGCACATCGGTGATAGCTTTAGAAACCCGGTGGCAGGCTGCTACTGTCGCGCTTTCGTTGCGGGCTCCACTCGGTTCGCGCGTTGAAGATGACCAAACGGCGGGTTCTGTGAGGGCAGAATATCCCTTTACTTCATATCCAGCTGCTTGCAGTTTTGTGAAAAGGCCGGCAGAACGAAAAGCTTCTGGAGTTCTTGACTTGCCCGCATAAATAGATCCAATATCTGAGGACACAGAAATGATATCAATCGCTTTTTATGCCATACTAACGAAGAGCACAGCGGGTTGTGTATCGGTTCGTATAGCTCACGGAGGTGAACAAGCACGCTAAGGATGTTCTCTACAATGGACGACAGACATGTGCGTATGATATATACCCTCTACAGCCATGAGGTTGAGTCCTGACCGCTACATTTAGTCAGAATTCCTTCACCTATGCGGAGTAAGCAGTGTACTGCGAGGTATAACCGCTTGAAGTTCGCGTGAATGCGACATGACGTCATCGTACTATCCAGAAGTGCACTCTATCGGCTCTTGTTCCCATGAACATCATCTCCAGCTTGTGAAGCCGTTCGTAACTCTGTTCACCTGGCAGTTTCACGAGAATTCACGGGAATCGCAGGAGAATCAGGAGATGTTTGTATTCAATGCCAAATTCCGTACACCAAATCTCTCAGCACGTTTGCATCCCGCCTGGCGCGCCACGTCACGTCCTAATCCGCCCGTACACCAGTGTCACCGCATCGCGACATCTGCCGCATGCCAAATGTACACATATATCTATTGGCATGCAAACGATGCAGACCTGATGGGCATGATGATGCACCCCCCGTCCTGCGGATCCGTGGCCAGAGGTCCAACAGTAGCGTCCGGAATGTTGTCGCAGTTGGACGATGACTGCCAAACCTGCAAAACAATACTCTTGCCCTCCTCACATGAGAAATCTGAATCGCCACTCGCTGCGTAGGTGCTGACTGACATGGACTTCCCAACCGGTGTCGACCACGTGCTGCAGCCGTCCCTCAGTATGTTGATGGCTGGATCAATGGAAGACACGCAATTTCCGTCACTGAACTGTGCTATGCGGACGCCAATCGATAATACTGGAGCCGCGAGAGAGAGCGCAGTAATGACCTGTACTGACCATTAGCTTCGGGGAACTTGACCTGAGATACGATGCAAGCTACCTTGGTGAAGAGCATGATGGGGTTATTGTGAAAAGAGTATACGAGAGATCTGTAGTCGAAATGATATGGAGAAAAATTGTCTACCAGCTTTGGATGGTAGGCCACAACGTAGGGTTCCGGTGTCTCTTTATACAGCCCTCTTCTTCGCTACTTCTACTCCAGGCTGGCCTTTTTCTTATTGTCTATTCTTGGGAATCATCACTGTATCCTCTTGCTTCTCGATCAGAAATTTCCTGGCCGTTCCATCCGTTCCCCGCTTCCACAGACTGCAGATCGTGGCCCAGTCTGTATCATCCATGCACCTCCTCGAGACGGATGTTCATAGTGCTGAAGAATGAGCCCCATTCTACGGATCCGTATTCTCGACGCTGGTCTGACACCTCGTGAGTCTATGCTTGGAAATATCTTCAGGAGACAGCCAGGCATATCGACGTCATATCTCATTCATCGCATGGGACGGCAGTCACACGGAACCCCCCGGCTACCGGTCGCCTGCCTCTCAACCACAAACTTATGCTAACGTCATCAACTCAGAGGGCTAAGCCCTCAGCTTCGGATGAGATTATGGCTGCTCTGACTTTACCATACTGTTTGATCGTGATCTTCATTGGTCACACAAATACCATGTAGCCGAAACAGCTTCGACGGTGAGATTTGCGCATCAGCAAGAGCCAGGAACGGCAGTACATAAACACCGTCGCCAATGAGAAAAACCACCGACAGCCCAAGCGTATCAGTAAGCAGAGCCGCCTTCCGTTCGTAGTAATATAAGACGAGGACCCCACGCGGTCCAGGCTTGAGGTTAGCCCCCAACTCTAGTACAATGTTAAGATCGCGATCACGGTCTTGGACTCACATACATTGGAGACATAGGTCAGACCGTTAATACGAGGTTGTGGAGTACAACACTGCCCCATCCACGTAGCCTCTGATGTTTCGGGCCTTCAACCAACCATCGACAATGGCTTGGGATCGTGCATACATCCTCTCACCCAACAGAACAGACTGATCCTCTTACCGCCCATTCCTTTCACTAATTATATCTTATCTTTGAAGATCGCATTTAGTTCCCGGTAGTTCACGCAAAACCGCACGACGAAGATGACGATTATGCCTCGTGCGCAAGGTGTGATGAACGAGTTGTCGCCTCGAATATGAGCCCAGCGAAGATCACTACGGACGAACGAGAGGCAGACAGAATCTATCAGACTCCAGGAACAGTAAGAGGCTGTGAAGAGGACATTATGCGGGAGAAAGGATCCATATCGAAACTCATATCCCAGCGCTTGGTTCTAACATCACAGTAGAGTAGACCTTTAGGCGAGAGGCCATTGCTGCGTATAAGTAGCTGACCATCTTCACCCCGTTACCCCGATCACAACACCAAATCCTTTCATAACAATTATCTCTACCTCCTTCCTTCCTCGGAAAATTTGCAAACCTCCCATCAGACTCAACATGAAGTTAACGACAGTCCTCGGCTCCAGCATCGCCCTCATTGGCGCTACTCGCGCCAGCCCTCTCCTAGCAGCTCGTCAGGGTTCCTTCAAATTTGAATGCAATGGCCAACAGTTTCCGAAGGTAATTTAGGCTTCCAACTGTGCTCTTGCTATTCAGACGTCTTCTTTCCCTTGATCTATCCTGCCAATGCTTACTCTTCTGCAGCTCGCCGACTGCGACGCCCTTTTCCAAACCTTCACTGACGGCACGAAAACCTACACGCACCCTGACGGCGGCAACATCCTCTCCCTTTACCTAAGCGACCAGAGCGACTGCCAAATCGACGTCTCTTTCTGGGACCAGTCCTACACTGTTACTGAAAACCAAATCTACAACGGGATAAACGGCGTCAAGACGACCTGTTTCCCTGCTGGCACCGGTGGTGCAGCGAACGAAGTCGGCGGCCGCTTCAGCATCGCTGTTAGGAACAACCCGAACTACGATCCACCGGACAACAAGAAGCGCACTGTTGCCCGGTCTGCAGCCAGGACTATCTCCGTACCTATGGGCGAGAAAGGCTCAATAATTGAAGTTGTGGCCAAGCGTGCTGATGGCGATACGTCCTTCTCGTATGGTGTGCACACCACGAACGCCAAACCCGGAGACATGAAGCACAACATTGGTGACGGCCTCCCCGGTGGCTCAACATGGGAATGGTCCTCAGAGAAGAGCGTTACTGATCACGTTTCGTTCTCTACATCTGTGTCTGCTGGGATCGAGGGCATCGTGTCGGCGTCTGTTGGTACCGAGATTTCTCATGATGAGACGTTCACGAGTGGACAGACGACAACGATCACAATCAAGTGCGATGAGTATGTCTCTTGCGCTATAATTTTTGTCTGTTGGATAACGCTAACATGAGGCAGTAACCAATACGGACAGGTCTACTTCCAGGGCTACGCCGAGGTCTGGCAGGGCGTGTTGCTGCCTAGCGGCGATCAATTGACGGTCACGAAACCCCAGGTCAACTCTGATGGGAGCACAGCTGGATTTTACCAGTATGACTGCATCTCCAAATAGCCGGGACATATCACTCTGAGGGTCATGGGGCATCTGTTTGTGTTCTGATTTTGGGTCCGTGGGTTTTGTTGCTGTTTGATCTGTTTGGGTCATTTTGATTAGATTTACTCTTTGGCATACCACGCTCACTTGTTTTACTTCTACTTAGCTTGGCTTTCATATGTATTTTGACCTTCTTCTCTGCTAGACGCAAGATGTAGATGGATCAAAAACCAGGTGCTATCGTTGAGAAAGTGCTTGTAAGGGAGGCCCCATAGATGTCGTACACCCGATCTTTCGTAAACGGAGAAGATGCCGTATAGGGCCCTCAATCAATCGCTCTCGGGTCTTGCTAGTTTCCGCGTGGAGTATTCTTTGATGAAAACGAGTGGTCCAAGTCTAGATGTCAAGAAGCGTTCAAACGAGAAAATGCAGTCGAAGTAAGAACTGAAGTCTACATCCGATCCATCGGTGAGCTCACTCTCAACGAAATTCTTGCTCTCGAAAACCACTTGGCGGTCGGTGAAGTACAGAAGTCGACGCGATAGCAGAGCTTCTTGCAATGTCCATCCTCTAGATGCCCATATACTGGATTTAATATCGTGCTGCGACGGAATGAGCTGGTAACCACGTATACACGGTATATTTGCACGTGGGAGACTAATGCCTGTGAGACCGTGATGCGGATCACTTCCGACGCACGCAATCAATGTGAGTGAAGAGCAGCTGTGGATTTTATCCATGCAAGCGATAAGCCTTGATTTGACTTGCTCGTTGGTCTGCGGAATGCAGTAGCGATCGATCCAAAGGAAGCGAAACCCAAGTGCGGAACAAACCGTAATGGAGTCTTTGATGGTCTGCGGTAATTTCGACGGAAGTTGGCCATTTCTGGCGGACTCTACTTCGGTGTCTTGAGAACCCCCATACGTAGCTCAGGGTGACGTATTGCTCTTCAGACGGCAACGAAACCAGGGCGAGCGATGGATGTGTGCAGTCAATAACGGTCATTCCGGGTACTTCTTCGTTGACTCTTGATTGATGGTTGTCTTGGATCACCCCATCTTTGTATGTGACACCTGCCCTTTTGAGCCAGCGCTGTATCAGAGTCATCGAAATGAACGGTAGAATGGCGTTTCTCGGAATCGTATATTTAACAGGGACAAGTTGGGCTAAATTTGAATTCAATGTTAGCTAGTTCCGGATGTGGTACCTTCTCGGTTCGGTTAACAGACTCCGCGTGAAGAAGTCCTTCGATTCCAAGGCTTTGAATAGTCGATAGCGGGTGGCCGACACAGACACGTAACTGTGCGAGTCCTTCATGTCTGTAGTCAAACTGTAGGAGAACAGTTTGCAGTAATCGCAGTCGTCGATCTTCAAGGATGTTTGATGTAGGGTAATAATTGGGATTCGGGGTCCAGCGTGCGACCGACCCGATAGAAGGGTGGTCAGCTGAATGCGGCGGCATCTGAGACACAACGAAGGCGTCCAGAATCTTTCACTCTTTCTTGATCGTCTCGCCGGATTTAATGAAGATTTGGCATCAGATGAGTGGAACGCCATCCTGGACACGTCTCATCTGGATCGAGTGGGAAGCGTCGTTGATAGTGTCGTAAAAGAGTTCAGCTTTGCGACGTCCCTCGCCCTCCCGTGGGGGCTGAGCTGGCGGTTCGGGCGGCCCATCCAATGGCTGTCGGCGCTACCGCTTCTTGCGTAGCCAATGATGCACACCGGTGATACCCACAAACATTTTCTTCAGTGCAGATCTAGGATACTATGTTCAAGCCGAAAGTGCATAGAGAACGAAACCCAACTAAAGACACATTTTCGAAACCGTATCAAACTTACAGCCGATGGTTCATAATTCGTAGGAGTGAGCCTGCCTCTTACGATCAGGCGAAATGTCTGAGGGCTGCTTGGCACGGTGGTAAACAGTACTTACTATCGTCTCGTTACTGGAAATAAGCTATATATCTTCGTTTCCAGAGATGCGCAATCGCTTTAGCGAGTCTAAGTGAAGGGAACGAGAATCTCAGCGAGGATGCTTTGGACGGCTCTGGCAGCAATGCTATGTTCGGAACACAAGATGCACTCACCATCTCGCCCGGAACAGACAAGGATATATAATCCTAGACACTGGATTTCAGGAGGCATTTTCACCTATCAGGGTGCACTCCCACGAAGCGTCCGTGGAATAGCGATCGTAGGTACCATCTGAACCGTCTACATGTGTGAACCGGCAGCCACTTCAGACAGCACGCAACAAGCCAAAAGAGCATTCCCAACATCGCACTTCCAACGAGAATATAATTCCAAATATACACACTTCGGAAGCAGGTCCTGCTCGTCCGCGGTCTTCGACCCCGCGCATCTCCAAAACAGCCCCTCACGCGGATGACGCGCCGTTCCGCGTCCCCGCCGGCCAGCTTAAAGCACGAGGACCATTCCACTTCCAAATGCGCACATGCAGCACGCATCCAAGACAATTCTCCGCTTTCATACAGACCCCCATTTTTCGCATCAAGCATACCCCACTTCCACCCCACCGCGCCCTCTTACATCATGACCACCGCACCACAAAACGGCGCGGATATAATACCGCTGCTGGACCCCGATCACGACCCTGGAAACAGCGAAAGTTACACGCACGCAAACATGGGCGAGAAAATGAAAGCTGTACATTACGAGGGACCGTTCAAGGTGAGCGTGCGGGAGGTCGAGACACCGCGGATCCAGCATCCGGATGATGCGATTATAAAAGTTACAACTGCGGGTATGTCATTTGCTTCGATATCCAAAGATGGAGGAGTAGCTTATTGATTGCGTGGGATACAGCGATATGCGGCTCAGATTTGCACATGTACCAAGGACGAACGGCCGCGGAAGCAGGTTTGGTATTTGGGCACGAGAACATGGGCGTTATCATTGAGACGGGGCCTGGTGTTACGATTCTCGAGAAAGGTGATCGCGTGGTGCTGCCATTCAATGTGGCGGACGGGAGGTGTAGGAATTGCGAGGAAGGGCGGACTGCTTTTTGCACGGGGTTTGTTCACTGATGCACGATGGTCGGACGTTGCTAACAGGTACAGTGTGAACCCAGGATTTGCGGGCGGCGCGTACGGATATGTGGCCATGGGCCCGTACCAGGGAGGCCAGGCACAGTATCTGCGTGTTCCGTTTGCTGACTTCAATGCGTTGAAATTGCCGAAGGGGACCGAACACGAAGCGGATTTCGCGCTGTTGGCAGATATCTTTCCCACGGGGTGGCACGGCCTCAACCTCTCTGGCTTCCAGTCGGGTGAAACCGTCGCAGTGTTCGGCGCAGGTCCTGTCGGATTGATGGCGGCGTACAGTGGCATCCTTCGAGGCGCTAGCAAAGTGTTCGTTGTGGACACCGTCCCGGAACGATTGAAGCAGGCTGAGAAGATCGGCTGCGTCCCTATTGACTTCAAGAAGAGCGACCCCGTGGAGCAGATCATCAAGGCCAACGGCGGAATGGTAGACCGCGCTGTAGACGCAGTCGGCTACCAAGCGGTCGACGCCTCTGGAAGCAAAGAGAAGCCGAACATTGTGTTGGATCAATTGATCATGGTAACGAGACCGACGGGAGGACTTGGCATTCCTGGACTCTACGTGCCCGCAGATCCTGGAGCACCCGACGAGCAGAGCAAGAAGGGACAGATCTTGATATCGTTTGGAAAGCTTTTCGAGAAGGAAAGTCGTTGTCTATAGTAAGAGGGATATTGCTAACGCGAGTAGGGACTGTCGCTGGGAACCGGTCAATGTAACGTGAAAGCGTACAACCGGTATCTGAGAGACCTTATAGTATCAGGAAAGGCCAAGCCAAGTTTCGTTGTTTCGCATGAGATCGACATCGATGATGCGTCGGTCGCGTATGAGAAGTTCGACAAGCGGATAGAAGGATACACGAAGGTACTCATACATCCGAACGGCCCGTTGGACAAATTCACTGCTAGCTAGAGTATTGAGCCATTGTTCAAACACATATACATTTGAACTACTTACATCAGCCCATCCAATCTCTGCGCGACTAGCCCTGACAGGTATTTTAGGGAACTCGACCGTCGCGAATTGGACTTGTGCATCTTATGAGCGCTGACCAATTTCTAATCCCCTTTACTCCTCGCCAGACAGTTTTCCTGCGCCAGTCAGGGCAGCACTGGAACACATCCGCATCGCATCATGCCATGTCTTCTCTTGTGCGCGTGTTCTTCACTTCATCTCCTCAAATCGTATCCGCCTTCTCAACCACATAAGCCCTTAGTATCTTGACCTCTTCAACCGGCCTATCCTCCTTATCCGTCTTGAGCAGTCCCAGCTTCTTTACAACCTGCAGCCCATGCTTTACCCTACCGAATATCGTGTGTTTCCCATCCAACCAAGGCGTCGGCGCTAGCGTTATGAAAAACTGACTCCCATTCGTATTCGGGCCTGAGTTCGCCATGCTGAGGATGCCCGCGCCGGTGTGCTTCAGCGCGGGCGAGATCTCGTCCTCGAACTTCTCGCCGTAGATGGATGCGCCGCCACGGCCGGTGCCCGTCGGGTCGCCGCCCTGGATCATGAAGTTGGGTATGATGCGGTGGAATATGAGGCCATCGAAGTAGCTGCGCTGGGCGAGCGTGGAGAAATTGGTGCAGGTTTTTGGGGCGTGGGTGGTGTACAGCTCGACTGTGATGGTGCCCTTTTTACGGTGAGCAATGCTGCGACAGTCAAGGGCTATGTCCACATACAAGAGTGGTCTCGAGCGCAACTTCGGTAGCCATTGCGGGGTGTAGGGTTATCTACGTGCTGTAAGAGCACCTCAGTGGAGCGCGCTGCTCTAGTCCCCGCAGTCGCGACGAGGAAGCTGCACCGCCACTAGCGCCACAGTGGCTGCACCTTCCGCAAATCGATGAATCACAGCGCATGACGAGGATTACTCCCTCGCCCACACTTCGAAAATCAACATGGCCCTCTCCACTTGGGCATTGCCGCAGCTGTCGAAGCTGCTCCCGCTGGACGAGGACTCGCTGAGGCAGGTGATCGCATATACTGAATCGCTGCCGAACCGGGAAGCCGCAGATCACCTCCAAAACCTACTGGGGGACAGCCCGCAGGCGCTGGAGTTCATCACATCTTTCAATAACAGGCGGAAACCCGCAGCTTCAGCCGGTGCCAGTCAGCTGCAGCCGTCAAATGATCTATCCGAAGTGCCCAAGGCCAAGCCCAGGAACAAAAAGAAACCTCTCAACAAGCTGCCGCCACCTAGGGTGCCTGAAAACTATGGCAACACCACTGGCGCGTACTTGAAGCGAGATGAAGAGGATTACATGGCCGGCGCTTCCAAACCAAGAGCGCAAAAGCACAATGCGTTCGCTCTATCCGACAAGCTCGATGCCGTTCAAGCACCCATGACATCTTCAGGCAAATCAACGCCGAAATCACGGGGCATCTCTCCAGCTCCGCCTCCTCCAAAGCTTCCGCCTTCCGCTGCCGGTCAATTGATCTCAGACACTAAGTCCTCCCGCAACTCGTCACCAAAGCCAAAGACCAAAGTCACTGTAGCCGGCGGCACGCCGATGCACGGTGCGTCTACCGCGTTGAACGACCTGGAATCTGCAATCCGCGCACTCGAGATCCAGACCAATCCCACCCTTTCCGCCGCCCAGGAGAATGCCAAGAGAAAGTGCAACTGCATGGCTACCCGGCACCCGCTACTCGAAGCCGCACCGAATTGTATGAACTGCGGCAAGATCATCTGCGTCAAGGAGGGCATAGGGCCATGCACGTTCTGCGGGCAGCCTATCCTCAGCGCCGATGAGATCCAGTCGATGGTCCGTGTGCTCCGCGAAGAACGCGGGAAGGAAAAGATGGCGGCGAACAATGCAGGCCAGAGACGCGCCGATGTATCCCTCGCGCCGCGGCCATTCTCCACCCCCAGGTCTGCGACGCCGCTCTCATCGAACCCCGGATCGGACGTCGAGTCAGAGAACGAGCGCCTGGCTAAGGCAAAGCAGCACAGAGACAAACTCCTTGCGTACCAAGCACAGAACGCCCGGCGAACCCATGTGCACGACGAAGCAGCTGACTTCGAGACGACGCACGCTGGCCTAAGTCAGTGGGCTACTCCGCAGGAACGTGCGATGCAGCTCAAGAAGCAGCAAAAGGCCCTCCGCGAGCAGGAGTGGAACGCCCGCCCAGAGTATGAGAAGCGACAAGTCGTCGCCAGTCTCAACCTCGTCGGCGGCAAGATCAAGAAGAAGTACGAGACGAAGGCAATGGAGCGGCCGCAAACGCCTGAAAGCGACGACGAGCTGCCTGAGCCAGCTGCGCTTGGTGATTTCGGTGCGAGGACGAGCGGCGGCGGGGCGTTCAGCAGGAACCCGTTGTTAGGCGGGTTGATACGGCCTACGATCAAGATCGACAATAAGGAGAAGGAAGTTGAGGGCGAGCGCAAGCAGACCTGGAGGAGAGTCCAGGATGACAACGACGACAACGAGCAGTGGATTCTCGACGGGGGCGTTTACGGAGGTCGCGGCGATGCGCAGGACGTTACACAGCAGCAGGAGCAGTGCGGGTAGTGCCAACTTCCAGTCAGGCTGATGCAAAAAACTTCTTTGATCAATGAACGACTCAACACATCTCATCCTTTGCAAAAGCCTACGCAGGACTAATCATCCCATACACTTGATCTTCTGTTGTATCCGACGCACTACTGGGTCACAGCAAAAGTGCTCCTACATGAATATGACAGCAATTCGATCGAAAGTATCTCATGTATGCAGGCATTATATTTCTCACGTGCCGTCTGGCTGCAGCAGGGAGGTGCCCCACCTGCAGGCTGATTATGAAATGCATCTAGGACGCAAATTCGGAATCGAAGATTTTTGTGGAGGAGTATTCGTCACGTTCCTTGACAATTGAAAGAACAGCCTACCTGGGCTTGTCAATGAGTTCGCGACACAGTTCAACTAGGTGGGTGGTTACAGAGCTGGACTTTGAGAGCAACATATGCGGCAACTACCCACCATTCTCGATACGGAGACTATGTAGCTTCGACGTGGTCTTAAGCCTCGATACGTGGTCCAACATATTATAATGCCTGTGGGTTGCAAACGTACTCGCGGAAGTTAAAGACACCAGTGTTGAATCGAAAGAATAGATACTGAATCCGCACGGAGCTTTGAGAAACGGCGCCGTTGCACTAATCGGACTACTTATCGAGGCGACCGCACAACTCAGAGTTAATACTGGGTGGGGCTTGTACCCCAGGTTGACACGCTGATTTCAGAACTTCAACACGCTAAGTGACGCATCCATACTGGACAGATGCGTTGGACAGCTGATGCCTGATATCGTAGAGTGTTCTTGACTCAAGGTGGCGATTGGCAGCACGTATGCCTGATGCCAATCAGTTATTTCCCGTGTGACCCTTGTACTGGATAGAGACTCTATTGGTGTCTCGCGCTGAAAAAGCTGGATGACACGGAACGATACAAGCGTGTGGGACTAGCTGACATTCGATTTAAAGCTGACGAACGGGACCTTGTCAACAAACTCTCAACACATGGGGAGGTCGCGATCGAACGAAATACAACCAGCCATCTGTCCCCTGCTTGGTCGCCTTTCCGCCTCAAACCGAAATCATGCACTGCAACCCTCACTCCCTCTCCAACCACTTAAACTCCTCCCCCGTCCTTCTCTTGATATTCTCTCTCGCCCGCGCAGACAGGACAAGTAACTTCTCCCTCGTCGCCCAAGTATCCAGCATTTCCACACACTTCTCAATTTTCCCCTCCCCATCCATCCAAAACATAAACACGTATTCGCCTGTGCACACTTATCAGCGATCCCATCCAAACAGTCAGAAACGCTCTACACACCTTCATACCCCCACTCTGCATCCCCATCAACCACACTCTCCCTCCACTCCGCCCAACTCCTGCACCACGCCCACACTGCGTTCTCGGCCTCGTCTTGGATCATCCGGAGCGGCGTCACAGGGAAGCCTGTCATCAACTTCGCCACGCTGCGGATGTGTTCCAGAAACGCTTCTTTCCCGTCATATCCTCCACGGTTGAGCTCAGCGACTAGAGATGCCGGGGCGTAGTTATGTTTGTAGGAGTCTGCTAAGACGGCGGAGAAAGATGGGATGGACAGAGTGGCGAAGGAGGAGAGGAAGGTTTGGGGGGTTTGGATGCGCATGGACGTGGACATTTGAAGGTCGGAAATGATAGATGTGTGTGATTGAGGGCTTGTTGAGCATAGAAAGGCATTGTGGTATATAGTATCTCAAGGAGGGAGGTTGTGCCCTCTGTGCGGAGATTGTCGGAGATAGGCGTTAGGTTGGGGTTTCTGAGTGAGCTGTGTGACCGTGGAACTCAGTGGCATCTTGCGTCAACTGGCCTGGCTATGGAGGAGTGCGAGAGCAGACTTAGGTATGCTAGATGTGTTTGCATTGGCGTGGTGTAGATTCTAGCATACTAGCGCGAAGCGCGGATTAAGACTTCTCTCCCGCTGGCTCCCGCTGTTTTAGGGCTCATCTTCCTTTCCACCCCGCTTCCTGCTTATCGCATCAAGTCTTCGACCTTGAGTTAAAGGTATACTTGGTTTTGTAGACACGTTTTGGTCATTCTGGATGAGCTTACCATTCCACTGTTACTGTGTATACGCCTCTAAGTCAAAGGAAGTGGTTCTTCGGTGTACACGTGCAAATCTTTCCAAGATACTGGCAGATACATACACAGGAACAATAATGTATGGGTGTTCAGCCTGAATGGCGCACGTGTGGAACTGTATGGAAGTGGATAGTGATACAACTTGGAGCTTATCTTAGGTGACAGAATAAGTTGTGAAATTCCCGAAGCAGGAACAGATGCAGCAGCAACAGAGAGATACATGGGTAGGACGCAATCAGAGGCTGGAAAGAGCAGAGTAGGGGTTTGGGATAAATTTATATGACTACTTCGAATATGCACAATTCATTACACAGGAGTTTCCAGACTAGCTGAGACAGATATTTGTTGCAGCTATCTCGATGCCATCACCAGTTTTCTATCCGGTCAACCTACGGTACCATTTCCTAGGTCATCTTATCGAACGTTGGACAATGCAATGCAACCCTTTTATCGAGCTCTTAGAGTTGCACCGACAAGAACTACGCCATTTCGTCGTTCCACAAGGCTGCACTTGCCTGACATGGCACTAGCGTGTGCATCACGCAGAACACCAGCGTCCACGGCTGTTCCTCCCCACATCGTCAACCTCACACTTCCTTGCCACTTTCAAATTTACGTTAGTAAAAGGTATCACTTCCGCCACAAATGCCCGACCTGCGCTTTTCTGACCGCGATGTCTGCGTGCGCGGCGGTCGCAACTGCAGCATCGTATCGGGCCTAGCAAGTGCACTTGCAACTACGACACCGCACCAGCCAGCCTGAGACTTCATATATTCCCACAACCCGTTTGGGACATACAAGAGAAAAATAAACATTCACCAAATCCGACACGACTCGAACGCTCTGCACTCACTTGGCCAGCAATATGAAGATTTCCGGGACTGAATGCACACCACCCGCACCTCGAACGTTCAACACAGACCAGGGGTACCGGCTGCCAGCATCACGAATAGGACTGAAGAGAGAGAACCGCGTCTCAACGTCCAGCGTCGCTTTACCACAGACCATTACACTAGCCCCGGCAAGAGCCCACACCATCCCCTCCTTCGCCTCCTTCATCTCGCACAACCAGCCCTCCAGCATGTTCGCCCTTTTCTCCAAGATACAAGATGACCAGCCCGAAGAAGACGAGTCGGCACCCGCCACCCCACCTACTAGGGACGACACTTCGAAAACTTCACTCCCCGGCAGAGTTGCATCGCCTAAGAAAGCTACCGCCCAGATCGACCCGGTGGACGGCAAGACGAAGACGTGCGACCGCGGGAGGACGTTCGAGACCTTCGTGGACGTGGGAAAGCTGACGGCGGATCTAGGGGTGACGGAGGCAGTGGGATCGAGCAGTGATGCTAGGCGCGGGCTGGGGAAGGTGAGGGGGTGGGTCGGGCGGAGGAAGGGGCCGGGTTGCTAGGAGTGCCAGAAGACAGGGGAGGGCAAAAGTTGAACGAAGTCTTCGAAGTGGGTAATGCGCATCTTGGAACAGGGGCCACTTAGTTGTTTTCGCGTTGGGCTTCGTGGCGTTGTGGCGTGCGGGGCGCGGCACAGCGTCAACTACGGAGCATTGACGGCGCTTTGTATCCCGCAGTACGAACCTAACCCAGGATTCTATGTGGTATTAGGGGGAGCTCGTGCATGCTTGTATTCGTGAACGAGAAGCAGCGAATATAGATTGATACACAACATTGCATTCCAAGGCGACCTGTCAATTTGCGTCGGATTCACCAAACTGAGAGCACCGGAAATCGAACCCCGTCTGCCGGCCCGTCGATGAAGATGCCGACTTTTCTTCGTCATTGTGACCGTTGCCGTCGCCGCTCACTGCGCCGGAATATGGCATGACCATCACGCCGGGTCGAGACCAGCTCTCGCATCGCGGTACACTACGGCGACTACACTAGTACATTTCTTCCTGCCACCATCCCCACCCTCTCCTCGCCCCGCCCCCTTCCCCCCGCCTCCGCCACCCACCATCCCCGCTAGTGCCACGTAAGGCAAGTACAGCCCTGTTGAACAGCTAGACGGCGTAGTTCTCGTCGAATGTTGCACTGCGATCATACTCAGCCGTTGGTGAGTATAATTGTTTCGTCGGTGTTGTAGCAGCTTTGAGGTGGTCGGAATGTATGCCATCTTAGAGAACGTCTGATGATGTCACCAGGATTGCAGACACGACTCTGATGGATAGATGTAGTAATTAGTGGTCTATTTGCCTAGGTAGAGGTGGAAATTATGAGACAGAATCATCGGGAACAAAAAAAAAACCTCTCAGCCTTCTATCTCTATGCGCATCTCAGGATGTCTCTACAGAGTGCTGACCTAGCCCTCCTTAAAACCCACCATCTCACAGCTCACCTCCCACAGCCTCTTCTCACTCGCCTCATCATACGCCGCCCGAGTGTACCCGAAATGCGGATTCCCCTCCACCGCCGGCCCGGCTACATGGCAGTCCTCGAGATACGCGCCGCCCTTGCCCTCGAGCTCCTTCCCTACCGCAGCCCAGACCTGCGTTGCAGCGCCCTGCTCGGGGCTCTTCCACGCACGCATAAACTCCTCGTCCGCAAGCCAGCTCTGGATGAGCTCCTGCGGCAGAAACTTGCCTAAGCCGGTGGCAATACCGCCTGGCATGACGCTGAATGCGTGGAGGTGCTGCGACCCATAGCGACGCTCGAGCTCGGTCGCCATCTGGATGTTGGCGAGCTTGGACTGCCCGTACGCCAGGCGCGGGTCGTAAATGCCCTCGAGATTGATGTTGTCGAAGAAGATGCGGGGCCCGTCGTGGTGGCCCGAGGAGGCGACGTTGACGACGCGACTGGCGAAGGTGGGGGTTGCAGAGGCGAGGAGCATGGGCTTGAGCAGCTGGAAGAGGAGGAAATGCGCGAGGTGGTTGACGCCGAACTGCGTTTCGAATCCATCTTCGGTGCGGCCTTCGGGGGTCTGCATGACGCCGGCGTTGTTGACGAGGATGTTGAGTGTCGAGCTCTTGGAGAGGAAGTCTGCGGCGCCGGCGCGCACGCTGGAGAGCGAGTTGTTGTCCAGGTGGATGAGGTCGAGTTTTCCAGGCTCAAGGTCATCCTTCAGGGCTGTGCGGGCTTTCTCGAGATTCCGGACGGCGCCAAAGACGTGCATGCCAGCTGCCTTGAGCGCGCGCGCAGTCTCGATACCCAGGCCGGAAGAAACACCCGTAACAAGGGCGACTTTCCCGCCCAGCTTGCCGACGAGGTCTTGGTCCTTGAGGATCTGGAGAGCTGTAGGACGCGCGTCGCCGGCGCCTTGCAGGTTCTCCAGCTCGTGGACTTCGGCATAGGGAGTAGGTAGGTTGAGGAGGTTCTGGGGAGGAGACATTATGAAGATGGGGTACAGAAAGGTCGGCTGGTATGACTTGACGTGGTAATGGAAAGCGTATATATGGCGAGACTGTATGTTTAGTGATGATGTTCAAGGTGGGTGCACCGCTCCTTGCTTTATACTCTGGAATTGTTGTGGTCCCGAGTGATGAGTTTGTCCGCGACATCTTGACGTCCGAGTCGGCTTGGCGAATACTCATCTCTCCGGGACAAGGTGTTGTGGTGGAACTCCACCTAGACGTCATATCGAAACCCGCGTGGCTTGGGTGTAAGAAAACTAGGAGTTAAGGCATCGCGACGCGACGATGCGGTCAATCTCGTGGTAGAGTGGGAATAGTGCTAAATCCGAACCATATCGTTTAGCCAATCGGAGGGATAGACCACCGTCGGTGACGGGGCCAAAATCAATCGGATTAGTGATCGCGCAGGCCATATACAGGACTTCCCCAGAATCTTTGCGCTGCGTTCAAATTGAATTTGCATTGAAGAGAACAATAACGGATTGATCAATCGACGCAACCAAACCCGCCGAAACTAGTAAATATCTGAAAGCGATACGATCCGAAACCTCGTCAATTAAAGGTTGTATGTCCCCCAATGCGGTACCTACCCAAATGCCTGTAGCTCTTGCTACGCCTGTCCTAACGGAGTCGTGCTCCTGGTATCATGGAAAAATGTGTGCGCGCTTATGCCTTGTTTCCGTCGTCGGTGCGGGCGGAGTGCGGCCGGTCTACAAGGATGTATTCAGTGCTGGTATCAGAATGGGTGAGTTCTGACAACGCACCTGGCATGTTCTCCTTGTCCTGGCGCACCGGCCGGGGGCTTCCGCTGCTCTCGAGGCGGGCCTTGTCTTGGGCGGAGAAGGTGCCCTCGACGGGGGTGCGGCGCTGGCTGTCTTTCCGGCGCGGCGGCGAGTTGCGGGCCTGGTTGAGGCGCTCTTCGGTCTCGCGGAGCTTGGCCTCGAGCGCTTCGAGCTCCTGTGTGTGGGTGGATACGGCTTGCTTCCTGGGAGGGCAGCTGTCAGTGGGGGCAATGCGCAGGGGCAGCGCGGGACACGCACTTCTGATGCACGGTCTTATCGAGCAGATCAATGCCGCCGTCGAGCCGGAAGAGGTCGTCGAGCTCTGACATGAAGTTGCGGGCAATGGTCCTGGGTGCTTCCTGTCAGCGGCGGGCGTCCAGGCGCCTGGGGCAAGCTGACGCGGGAGCTCTTACGACTGGGGACGGTTGTTTGGCTTCCAGCCGGCGTCAGGGTCCTCTACGGCGGTGTGCTGGAATGCTTGCGTCGACGACATGGTGAGGCGCGCGTTGGGTGCTGCTAGGGGACGGGGCGGGACGGCACAGTAGCAAGATGGGTGCGCAGTGGGAGACGGGCAGCTGGAGGTTATAATGTGGCGCCAGCAGATGCAAGCAGCGAGTATTTTAAGGGTGTTTCAAGCTCGAGACTGGGCGGGTGGACAGGCGGGGAGCCAGCATGATATGGGGTCCTTATTTCTTTGGCGGGCGGGAGTAATATTAGAAAAGGAGGCCGCTGCTCGAATCGTCCACCCATTCCTCGTTGGGAGCAAGCAGAGGGCGATCCGGTGGAGTGCACGAGGGACCCTCGGCGCACCTGGCCCGGCGCAGGCGTCGACAGCACGGCGCGTGTGTGCATCGCGCGCCGCAGTGTCTCTCGCCAGCGCCCTCGTCGCCGCGCGCGTGGGGATCACTGCAGGCACCAGACAGTCGCTGGGTCAGACGCGCGCCCTTGTCCTGGCTGCTCCCGCGCGCCCGCGTCGCCAGCAGCAGGGAGCTGCGCGCACGTGCCCAGCCGCGCCTGATTCGCTGGCGGCGGTGCGGCTTCCTCCTGTCGTGTCGGCGCAGAAACAGCCAAACGCATCCAACGCCCGCGCCCAGGCACGACTTTTCCATCAGACGCCGCGGCCTCCATCGCCCTCCGCCGCACCCCCGACCCCGCCCTGCCCATGCGACGCCCGTGAATGCCCTCACGCCCCCCGTACGCTCGCGCTCGCCGCCGCCGTCGTGGCTCCTCTCCCGCCCACCGCCCACCGCCCGCGCGCTCCCGACCAGGCCCAGTGGTCCCGGGGGATGAATACTAGCCTGACCGCCTACACCCACCTCGAGTCGCTCCTCGTGTTCCAGTCGCTCCATGCATACGGTGTGAACCCGCAGGTCTTCAGCAGGATCTCCGAGCTGCTGAAGGCCAACCCAGACATCACCTCCGACCAGCGCTTCCAGAGCAGCCGCCTGAGCCCAGATGCCCTGCGCAACTTCTACCTGCGCATCTTGAAGGACGAACTCCGGAACGAGCGGGACCTGCCAGATGGCGATGCGACCAATGGAGAGGTCAAGTCACGCAAGAGGAAGGCACCCAGCCCTAGTCTGCCCACCGTGCAGGAGTCTTTGCAGCACCAGCACCTCATTCCGAAGCTCGTCAACAAGCTCTATGCGCACTATCGCGCCGCAATCACCGAGCAGATCAGGCAGGAGGAGGATCGCTACGAGCGACTGGAGCGCGAACTGCAGGCCATCGAGCGCGGCGAGTGGGACAATGTTAAAGAGAGGGCGAATGGAAAATCTGCGTCGCGCAGTCCCAGTCTGCCCAAGAAGTCGCCTCTGCTGGCCCAGACACAGGATCCCGTCCGTCCGAATGGCCCATCCATGATCGCGCCAGCGCCTGGGGGGCCTTTCCAGCCCAATCTGGCACCTGCGCCCTCCCAACCCAGCCAGGCGACCACACCTGCTGCTCCGAGTCCTCCACCGCAAAAGAAACAAGCGTCTGCAGATAAAAAAGGCAAGCAGTCGACGCCTCAACCACCCAGCGCCTCGCAACCTCCTCAAACATCGCGATCGCAGGGTTCGACTCCCGCACAGCAAGGTCCATCGCACGGGAATGCCCCGTATTCCCCCGCTTTGGGTACCCAGCCATCGCATCTGCAGACCCACCCTTCCACACCTGGGTCTCAGAATGCGCCTACTCCAGGAAGCCACCATACTCCCTATCAAGGGTTCCAGCAGCACTTGCAAGGCGGGCATGCTTCGGCACCTCAACTTCAACACCCTATACAACCGCATATGGCCAACGGCGTGCCCCAACTCGCGCCTAGTCCAGGACCTCAGCAAACACAGCATTCTCCAACCCATCAACGACTTCCGGGACCAGTCCAGTCGAATCCGCAGTCACCTAGTGTGCATACACCACAGCACCAGAGAGGCTATGTCCCAATCGCTGGACAGCCGCCCTACTTGCCTCAGCATCCACAGCCAGGCCAACCTCCTCCACAGGGCGGATTCATGCTTCCACCTTTCCAGGTAGCGCCACAAGACCCATCGCGATTGCAGCAGCAAGTTACACATCAACCCCAGCAACATCAGGTTTCAACTCCTGTCAACGCACGACAGTCAAAGATCACGGGCCATGCTGCGAGAGGTGTTACTCATACGCGACCCACGCAGAGCCAGCCAAGCAACTTTGCAACGCCGATCAGTCTGCAGCGGGCCATTCTAAGTGCGCTGTCGACACCGACAACACCAAAGCCGGGGTCCTCGTTCAAGCCTGAAGCAAGAAGCTTGGGATCGACACCAGTGAAACGTCCGGATGCGGATCCTCTCGACTTCAACGAAGTCCGTCAGCATCAACAACAGAGCTCTCCAAAGTCCAAATCAACGCGCAAATCAAGGGCAAAGGGCAAGACGAAACAGAAAGAGCAGGAGCCTGAACCAGAGCCAGAGCCAGAGCCTCACCCAGATTCGGATCATCAGGCCGAGGAGGCCGTTCCCGAGATGGAGACAAGACAAGGACGGCCGCGAAGAAAAGGCCCTATCAAAAAAGGTAGGCCGGGCAGTATCGCGTCGTCCCATGCCGGCACCTCTGCCAGGGGCCGTAGCCGGAGCCATTCGATCCTTTCCCACACGGAGACTGTCGCAGCCGATACCGAATCACAGGCTGGTAGTCGGATCAAGTCGGAAGACGATGACGAGCTGGTGGCCACGCCTTCGCAGATGTCGACGCGGGGTCGCAGCGCAGCCAAACCAAACAACAAGCGCAAACGAAACTTGCGAGAGATAAGCCCCGAGGAAAGTGAGGATCGATCTGGTACGCCTTCATTACCTAGGACCGTAGTGGCGACTCGACACTTTTCACGCATGTGCGCACCCTTGATGAATGATATTGGTTCCCACAAGCACGCGTCTACGTTCACCACGGCCGTGAAGGCAAAGGACGCAGAGGGGTACTACGACATCATCAAGCGGCCGACGGACATCAAAACAATCCAAAAGGCCATCGCAGCGGGCGCAAAACAGGTTGCAGCCGCAGCCTCCGGCGACACCCCATCGGGCAGTCCGGGTGGGGCAGGCGGTGTGGTCGAGCTCCCACACACCGCTGATAATATACCCCCAAAGGCTATTGTGAACTCGGCTCAGCTGGAGAAAGAGCTAATGCGCATGTTCGTCAACGCCGTCATGTTCAATCCCGGCGAAGAGGGCGTCGTGGAAGATGCGCGGGAGATGTTTGAGAGCGTGCAGCACAGTGTGAGCAGCTGGCGCAGTGTGGAGCCGAGCAGTGGGCGGATGGAGGTCGAAGAGACGCCGCCTGTCTTGGATGAGGATGTGCCCATGGCGACGAAGAGGCGGAAGCTGTGAGGTGCTGCATTGATGAAGATGACGGAAAGTTGAAATCTTGCTCGATCGTCTGGCGCAGCTAGATTCTGTAATGCATTTGATACCACTACTATCTACCAGTGTGCTCTGTATCTCCTGTTTGGTCATGTGCCTTAACAGCTTTTCTGAATATGCTTCATACCTAGGTGCTCTTGCAAGTCGTGTGCCTCTGAAATGGTTTTCCGGGGCGTGCCTAGGCTACGGCGACGCCGTCGACATGTGCTCGCTTTCCAGCTGCACTCCCCAAGGTACTTGCCTGTTAGGAGCTTGTGGATTGTCTCGCTGAGACGCGCGTCTGCTGCCTCGAAGGTCTCCCTACACTTGCGTGTTCTGCACGTCTAGATCATGCCCAACTTGCCTACCCTGTGACGCTCAACAATTTTCCATTCTTGGCTTGGCGTGCAGAGTCTTGGTGGCGGTCACCACCCATGGATTCACGTTGTCGTCCACACCGCACTCAGCCACTCATGGGCTGACACCGGCCCATTCCGCCCAGGCTGCGTCGCCGCAACCACAACACTAACGGCGAGATGGCGAGTAGGGGAAACGAGGAGAGGGATGGGCGGCGAGCGGCGGGCTAAAGGATCGATGCTACAGATCAAACGAATGCCGATGCTGCCAGCAAATGCGTGAAGACCAGATAGATACCCAACTGCCTAGAGATGTTGCTGGTGAAGATGCATTCGGATAGCACAGATGGATAGCGTGCATCAATCAAGTTGTGGGCTCACCCTCAGCCCATTCCGCCAAGCCTGCAGTCCTCCGCGGAGAACAAAAACAGCCATCCAGAGAACCAACTCGCGACTTCAACAGACCTGCGTTGCGTTGCAGCAGCCTTTCCGTTTACTTTCCCGGTTCTCTCACACTGTACACGTCCACCGCTCTCTCTGCGGCTCGCGCATGGCCCGCACTGTTTTGCGCATGCCGACGGTCAGACGGGTACAAGAAAGCAGGTTAACAATACAGCACTTGAGCTCAGCTACGGCGGCCCCTCAGCGCGACGGTGAAGAAGCGCAACCAACCGCAGGACAGGAAAAGAGCCGGAGACAGGTCCGCAGCGCTGCCCCAAAGTCCCTGCACCCGTGCTGGCGATGGTAGGCGGGGGAGCGCGGCGAAGGCGGGTGGCGGGCAGTAGGCTCTACACTACACTTTGAGATTAAGCGGAATGCCTGTGTTGCTGGCGAGGGTACTGAACTCACGGTGACCGCATCGCACTCACGTTCATGCACTTGGGGCTGAACGCACCTGTGGGCTGACAGCCGGAAAGAGATCCTCAGGACTACCCGTAACGTCCCTGCTTTCGGGCGTTCGAGGAGGCGTCGACAGCCCTGGGTCTCTGCAGAACACGTGCGGAAGGATGATCCGGTTGTCAGCTTGGCAGTACCACGCCAGCTTCGCCGAGCTGAGTCCCTGCTTCTACGACCTTGTGTTGAACGGCGAGCTTGTCAACACTGCAGTGTGGGATCGGCCGTCGCCGATATACCAGATACCATCTCTGCGAAAAGGCAACGTTGTATGTTCGTACGAGCGACATGCAATCATGACAGCACGATGACATAGTTCTCCTCAATTCCCAACTTCTATTGTGTTCCCAAATGAACCAGATGCTTGTGCTGTTCTTACAGCCCTGCATGGCCGTTAGCCCCACACCCACCCCAGCTGCGCGGTCTAGACCAGTCCCCGGCGCCGCCAGAAACAACCTCAGCGCCTTTCTACCCCTCACATCGCCGATGTCATTGGGAAATGAGCTGTCAATCATACCATTGCAAAGCTGCGCTATAATGAGCAAAGCACCGGTTCTGAGCGGCTCTCCATATAAGGACTCAAAGGCTTAGAATAGGTACAAAATCGAGCAATGAACAACTTGGACGGCAGTATTCACCTGCATCATAATTACATCTCCGCCTGGAAGATTCCAAGCAGCGCTGGGCAAGTCGACATCACAGATCATCACATTGTAGACGATCGCTACGCATCGCTGCCTTCCACAAAAATTTTGGCTTCAGGTATATATGCCGCATGCATACAGACCTTTCACTTCACAGCTCACCAAGACACAGCACACCCATAACACTGATAGGCTCGGACCCCTCCGTGCCGGCCACCTATCAGCTCCCTTTGGGGCTGAAGAAAATACTTGTATCGCCTGTGCCCAACACCGAGCATTTCCGCGGAACATCACTTCACGATGGACTACATCGACTACTCATCCTTTCCGATGCTGGCAAGCACCGACTGCTCGCCTACGACGGAGAACTTCTCCTATCCCACGGCCTTCGATAAGGCATTCGTCGGAGACCCCTTCACAGGCAACGACGCCCCTCTGACCGCCTTCGACTACTTTGGCCGACCTGTATCCTCCGCAACCGCTACGGAAAGCCTCAATGCCACGTCATCCGTAGCACCAACAGGGCCTCAGCTGGAGTCACCCCTCGCTCACCATCCCTTCGGCCAGCTCGACGTCTTCTCCTCGGGCTTCCCTTGGGACACGAACCCGCTACCTCCAACTGCTCTCGACCTCAACCTTTCTCCCCTATCCGACGACTCGCGGACCCCCTCCCTCTGCGGCGACGCACCGCAGCCCTCCGTGCTCGCCTCTCCACCACCCTCCCCCCAGCCTCAGTCCCACTCCCGCCGCCAATCCACCTCATCCTCCCTCCTCAAATTCGAAGACCCCTCCGCCGCACCACCCAAACGCCGCCGCGGTCGTCCTCGCCTCGACCGCTCCTCCTCCAGCCTTTCCTCCACCAACAGCAAAAACCCACGCGCCCAGCGCCTCCCGCACAATCAAGTCGAGCGCAAGTACCGCGAGGGTCTGAACGCGACCCTTGAGCGGCTGCGGCAGACGGTGCCTGCGCTGTGCGTGGAGGACAAGTTCGGGCTGGGCGGAGTTGTGGGCCACCCGAAGCCGAGCAAGGCGATGATCCTGGAGGGCGCGATCGAGTATATTAGGGAGATCGAGAGGGAAAGAGATGCGTTCCGGGGCGAGGTCGAGAGGCTGAGGAGGGCGAGTGGCGCGTGGGACAGCGCGGCCCAATGAGATGAGGGGATCGGGGGACCGCGGCGGGCGTGGAGGTGTAGAACCTCGACGCTCTACCTGCTGGTCGTTGTGCCCGCGAATGATGATACCCTGTGCGATTGGGGGATGCGACACCGGCACAGATGCTGGCTTTCCTCTGATTGGCCGGCTGGCCGGAACTTTTTGCCGGGATGGCATGTGCGGCCCCCATGGCATTTGGAGCTGGGATCACGACCGGTTTCTCAGAATGCCATGTGGGACCTCGACAGCGCGGCCGTGGTGTTCATGTCTACACCTCCTGCACGCGGATCGGCGAGCCCGAGTCGCATCGCTCTTTCGGTGCGAATTCGGCGTTTTTACGGATCAGACTTTCTGATATACTTCGGTTGGCTTTTTGCGCATTGCGAGTCTGTTAGGACGACTCCAGCTGCCCACTTTATTAGATGGCCTTTCCTTTCTTTTACTATCCTATCGGGCCACTGTTCCCGCCTCTACGTGTGTGGCTCGGTACACCTGAGTCCGCATCGTTGTATCTATTCATGTCATGCATCCTTTCTTCAATACAATACAATAATACCATCATCAAACGCCCTACGTTCCCTGTTCGTGGTGATGCCAAATGTTCCCTCGTACACCTGTATATGCTCAAGCTGACTCCCATCGCGGTACCGAGCTCCAGGCGAGCCCACTTCACCACAGCAGTCCAGAGCACTCACACTCGTCACACGATATTGATGGAAATGTACACTAGCTGACCAGCCCTCTCTTTCAACGGAAGTCCTCCGCTCTGCAGATTCAAACGCCCCACGCGCCTCTGCTCAACGTCGTTCTGAAACATTTCACCCAGGAAAGGCGTATCGCGGTCTCTCCAGAAGAGAAGAGAGGAAGAGAGATGGACAAATCGTCAATAGTGCATATACATGTGTAGGGGGGAAGGGCCCAACGGCACCGCGGGTTCTTCATGCGGCGAAACATCACCCCAGATAGATAACTTCCAAGAAGCAGGCTCTGAGCTCCCCTTGCCCTGTGACTTTCAACGTGAAATGCGAAACGACCTTGCACATCTGCATCAAGCTGCCGCTCCGCTGCCCCCCGCCGTCCCTAGCCTGTCCAACGCTTCACCGAATGGCGTGGAACCACAACCAGTCAGACCGCCTTTGTTGCAAACGTGGGAGGATCTAAGACATGTCGTCGCTTGCAGTCTCGTGCTGGAAGAAACGCACGCGAGCCACTTCGGCGGCCTGTTCGAATGATGCTGATCTGTAGAGCGACCAACAGATTTACGCATGCAGTAAGGGTGACCCCAGGCCGAGCTGCCGAACCATGGTAGCCCCTGTTCAAGAAGCAAGCCCTCAAACAACGCGTCCTGCGCATCTGCAGGTTTGTTGCGAACGCAGATGTTCTCGAACAGAGGCCGGAAGCCCGGCTCGATCAGATCAGATCCATGGCCCGCAGACCGTTGGGCGCAAAGCCTATGTCAGCAATGCGTAATGCGGAATTAGAGAGAAAGCTCCGGATTCAGGATAGAGTGGGAGCAGGGCGCACCCCACGGCGGAATACTGTTCCGCATCCTCTCCGAGCGTGAAAAGGATTTCTTTGTTTTGCAGACCCAGGGCCAGCGCAAGGCCGCCGATGCCGGCACCTGGTATCTATGTGAGTTGGCGAGTAGGGGAAGATGTAGAGGAAGGTGCGGAGTATCATCTTCATGTGATGCGAGCATCTTCAAGGCTTATAGGACTCTTCGTCCAATCACAGGTAAGACAGAGCGGCCAATCAAGAGCTCCTCTTTCAGCAGTTCGATCAACTGTCCCCCTGCATTGTGCTCATGGAAAGTCAACATATCGGTGCCTCTAAATGGATCTGGTCGTGTTGGTTGTCGCAAACGCATTCCCCACTGACCGTTGGAGGAGATTTCTACCAGACTGTCGTCCCATCTCCGCAATCATCTACAACACCATACTTTCAACTCATTAGTAAGAATCCCCGGTGTAATGAGACATGCATACTGCTCCCCTCTGACCAGCATTTAATTTTGTTGTCGTATTGCAATCGCTGTCTAGCCTGTAAGCCAGACCTGAAGTCTGACAATCTTCACTTCGCCTCTATTCGAATCCTTCCGGTATTTCGCGCGCGCAGCCATATCCTGCTTCTTGTACGGGCCATCCTCGGGCCAGTACTCGACCGTGCCGATAATCACCACCTCATCCGCATTGTCGCCAAATGGAAAGACTTTCCGTGGGCGGTGAAGGCGTCTGGGCACGCCATCCCACATGCCTGAATGGAGGTTTCTAATGGCTATGGATTTCAATTCAGAAGCTGCCGCAGGAGCGATTGGATAGAGCGCATGGTACCTTCTCTCCCTGTGAATTCCTGGCCGTTGGGCACGACCAAGGTGCCGTCTTCGATCCAGCATTCCGAATACTCCACGTGCTTCCCTTTTGTATCTACTTGCTGGTAGTAGTGCGATATCAGTGCTTTGATGCTGGGATCGATGGTACAGGTCGGTGGGTATTCAGAAACGTAGGGGTTGTCGCTTGCATCTGACGTCATATTGGTGAGAGACCGTCCTTATTCTCCAGGGAGCAACGAGGACTTTCATCCACGCGCCGTTATAGTCGGCCAAATTTCACCACGTCTCGTTCACGTCGCTCACGATGACTAAGACTACGGATAAGCAGAGACGAACGCGATGTTGTGTCGGAGCGCACTTCCGACCACTATTCCCGCGAGTCAGGTACCCCGCGAATGTTCTCCCCGCAGGCGTCAGGCCTCAGTAGGAAGATGTTCTCCGCGAAGCCAGCCCCAGACCCATCAGCGGACCTACTTGTGCGGCGCTTTACTATGTTGAGTACGTTTAGAGGGCTAAGGCGCCCTTGGCTTGCATTCGCGGGGGTGATAGCTGCCGGGAGGGTATTAAGTCGAGGGCCCTGCTCTGACGCGTCAGCGACCGTGTTTGGGACTCTAAAAGCTGCAAAACTACAGTCCTAGGGCATCCAAATCTATACCTGAGCAGCTTGTCGTGAGAATGGGAAATCACGCGCTTATCTACGGCGCGTCGGGGATCTCTGGCTGGGCGATCGTCAACTCTATTCTCAATGGATATCCGTCTAAAGATGCGTTCACAAAGGTGTCTGCGTTGGTCAACCGGCCATTGACGCGCGAGATGGCGCTGTGGCCCGATGACCCAAGGCTGCAAATCGTGTCTGGGATCGACTTATTGAAGGGCAGCCAGGAGGAGCTGGAAAAGACACTCAAAGAGAAGGTACCAGATGTAGACAGCGTAACGCAAGTCTACTTCTACTGTAAGTATGTCGTGCGCAAATGCGATTCCACTAACACATACCAGCGTACAAGCAAATCGACGACAATGACGCAGAATGCAAAACCAACGAGGCCATGCTGGAGCGCGCTGTGACCGCCATCGAGAAGCTGTCCACAAAACTATCATATGTCGTTCTCCCCTCCGGCACAAAGATATACGGCTGCCAAATGCTCGACAAATTCCCCTTCGCAAACGACCTCCCACTGCGCGAAACTTTACCCCCGATCCCAGAACCCGCCCTTTCGGAACTATTCTACTACAACCAGATCGACTGCTTGAAGCGAATCTCCAAAGGCAAGAACTGGAATTGGTGTGAGGTTCGGCCAGACAACATCATCGGCTTCGTGCCCAACAACAATGCATACTGCCTCGCCCAAACACTAGCGCTGTACCTTTCTCTCTACCGATCCGTAGAAGGCGAAGGCGCCAAAGTACCTTTCCCAGGAACCGAGAAGTCATGGGTGAACAAGTACAACGAGTCGCCGCAAGACATGGTCGCGCACTTCTCGATATACGCATCACTGCACCCTGAAAAGACCGCATCGCAGAGCTTCAATGTAGGCGGGCAGGAAGACAACTGGAAGGGGAAGTGGCCAGTGATATGCGACTACTTTGGCTTGAAAGGCACCGGACCGGAAGAGAACGCGCCACAGCCTGGTGCTTATATTGCGGCGCACAGGAAGGAGTGGGATGAGCTGGAGCAGAAGGAGAATCTGAAGAAGGGCTCCGTGGACAGCGATATCACGCATCCGGGTTTCCAGGTAAGCTTCACAGATGCTTTCGATTTTGAGGACATATACTAATGATGCGGATTAGTACTACATCATGACGATGTTCGACTTCGACCGCCAGATGAGCATGGAGGCTTCGCACAAGGTCGGATACACGGAGGAGATCAAGACGCCCGAGACCTGGAAGATCGCGTTCGACCGCATGAGGCAGGCTAAGGTCATTCCGTAGGCGGGTGCATGCGATTGTAGTTGTATTGCTCGCTTATCTGGGGCCTGTGCCGGGAGCTGCCACATTAGCCTAGCGCATATATTATACTTCCTCATGACCATTCTGCAATTTAGTCCCTGCGCATCTACATCTACGTGTCGCGTGGTGGACCTTTATGGAAGCTCGTCGTGGTAGTGCATAATAGTGTTATAGGATGAGACGATGTATGACCTGATTCGTGATATTCCTAGCATCAGGCGTCGTTTTTATACACCTAGCCGATGGCGGAGCAAATGCAGAGTGATATCGCGCCTCAAGGCCATTGAATTCGTTGTCAATGCTGACCAAACATCGTAAGAGTCCCGATACCGCGATTAGGCAAGTCTGTTATACGGCCAAATGCAGACTATCGTGCTGATGGGTCCGACACGGTGAATTGTGTGCCGGAACACTATGCACAGCACTATAAGATCAAGACCGGTGGTTGAAGTCGGTAGTGACGAGTATCAACAACGCTTTGACCTCAACTTCCGCTATACATATTTCAAGATCTTCGAATCTCTTCGCAGGCTGCATTTAATATTCGGTACTCCGTTCTAGATATTCGGAAACCAAGGCAAGATGCTGAACATACTCTCCAAGCTCTCGGTGCCGGTCGCGCTGCTCTCGTTGTGTAGGTCCTTAAGGAGCAAACAACAGCTCCAATATACACTTACTTACCCTCACAGTCACCCCAGCGATTGTCAGCGCCCCATTAGCCACTCCCGACCTCTCCGCCGCGGCCTTCTCTACACCCCTCCGGATCCTCCCCCTCGGCGACTCCATAACCTTCGGCTACATCAAAGGCGGCGGCTCCAATGGCTACCGCGAAGAGCTCCGCAAGAAGCTGGTCGCCGCGGGTGCCTCTGTCGACTTCGTCGGCACCCTGACCTCAGGGAACATGGCAGACAACCAGAATGAGGGCCACTCCGGCTGGACCATCAGCCAGGTGCGCAACGTGCTCGGCCCGGCGCTCAACTTCAAGCCCAACGTCGTGCTACTCCACCTCGCTACGAACGACCTCAACGGCGCAGAGACGGCGGCGGAGCCGTTCAGCAAGGCGCCTGAGCGCTTGGGCAATCTGATTGACGATGTGTTGGCGAAGCTGCCAAACGCGGTGGTGTTTGTTGCAAAGATCATCCCGACAACAAACTCGTGGAGTAAGGATCGGTTCCAGACCTACAACGCTGCTCTTCCGGCCGTGGTGAAGGCGCGCGCCGATAAGGGGTTCAGTGTTGTTCTCGTTGACCAGAGCGTGATTCCCACAAGCGAGCTGTCGGACTCGTTGCACCCGTGAGTTCCGTTCCGCAGCCTGAGAAACATATTGCTGACGTTGGGTGTAGGTCTGCTGCTGGCTATTCGCATATGGGTGATATTTGGGCTGATGCCGTGGTGGTGAACCAGGCTCTTATCAAGCCTGTGCCGTCTTGATTGCATTGTGTGGCGTTTAGGGGGCCGTCTAATGTACCTTCAATATAATTATTCATCCGCAATGTTCTCTATCAGTCTCTTCTTCCGTACTGCTCGTCATGCTCCTAGACTTGCCCCAATTTGACCTAACATGCTTCATGTACCGTGGTTGAGGAGTATTCGTAGATCTAGCGCGAGGGGGGGTCCGCAGCATGAAGATGGCCTTCTGGTCCTGGAGCGCGTCGCTTTGAGAGCACCGCTCTCGCATCTCGGTGTCATTATTGACGAAGCATGAGTCGAGTTCCTAAGGTTTGTCCGAGACATGATTCAACGCATGCTCCGTTCTTGCCGCTAATGGTGGGGTTCCTGAGGAAAGTGCGGGGTATAACCGTCCTAGCGGCCACCGCACCCACGCTAGCGACTCGGATCTCCAAGACAACCACTTCCGTATAACGTGACATGAGCGTTGAAATGTTCTCTATGAACATGCTACACGTGAAGATCTTCCAGAACCTGTGCGGTCATTTCAACACCATGCGGACCAACCCGTAGTATATCCAGATAGTCTTCCAGCGATGTCTCGGTATTTTCGTTTCAGGTCTGCACACCTCGAGTCGGGTATGTTTTGGCGAAAACCTGCCGTGCAGAGTCTCGCTCGCAGAACCACAACGATTCCGAGACTGGACAGACGTAGCGGGGTTAGCGTCAGCAAGTCCCTGTGACCACTCAGAGGAAATATAATCTAGATGTCGCGTGGCTTTCCTCCCCTGTGTTCCTGTGTCTTGTCCTCAACAGTCATCACCACTTTTTGCAGGTCACACAACTTGCTTGCCTTCCGGATATAGATCGTACTCTTCGCTATCTCAGAGATCTTGAAGTACGCGCGATATTGTCCGCCATGGGTCTGGTTGACGGAGAGCGCCTCTGGCAATTGGCCATATGGACGCCGGTTGCTGTGAGTTGCACAATCTCATTTTGAACAACAATTCTGACGACTCTCAGTTCGCCGTATACTTTGTCGCAGTAGCAATATATCGAATAACCCTCCACCCACTTGCGAAATACCCCGGTCCCCTCCTATGGCGCATCTCTCCCATTCCCTCCATTATATCACTCCTTCGAGGCCGGATTTCTTTCGACTACAAAGTGCACCACGACAAGTATGGCCCTGTTGTGCGCGTCATGCCCAACGAGCTCTCCTTTAACACCGCAAAAGCATGGGAAGACATCTATGGACACCGCGTCGGCATGGCCAACATGGACAAAGATCCAATCCATGTCGGTGCTGTCGAGGCTATCCCTGGGGCGACGAACCTGACTATGGCACCGGATGTCCACCATGCGAGGCAGCGTAGAGCACTTGCCCATGCGTTCAGTAAGCAGGCATTGCTGGAACAGGAGCCAATCTTGAAGGGGTATGTAGATCTATTTGTGAAGAGGCTTCGGGAGATGGCGCACAAGGGCGAAGCTGCGAACATGGTTTCTTGGTTCAACTTCTGCACCTTCGACATCATTGGTGATTTGAGCTTTGGAGAACCCTTTGGATGCTTGCAGGAAGGTAAGTTCCAATTATAATTCTCCTAGCAACGAGATGGCAACTAACAACCCGTGCAGGCGAAGGTGGAGAATCTGCAAATTGGGTTGTTCTCGTGTACGAATCGATCAAAGCCGGCGCCCTTGAACAAGCCACTCGCCGCTTTGCTTCACCCGGGAGTCTCGGCCAGCGCTTCATGATGTGGTGCATCCCGTCTATCATCCGAGAACGCCGCTTCAAGCATCTGCGCAACTCGACCGAGAAAACGAACCGTCGCATGGCCACCAAAACAGACCACCGCGACTTCATCTGGTATATTCTCAAGCAGCGCGAGAAGAAGAATGAAGTCTCCGACGACGAAGTCATCATGAACGCCGCGCTCTTCATGTAAGTCTCCTATTCAAGCCCGCATACAAGATTCGCGCCACTAACATACCCCAGTGTTGCGGGCAGCGAAACCACCGCCACTGAACTCTGCGGCCTCACAAACTACCTCCTCCGCAACCCGGAAAAGTACGCCCGCATCAAGGACGAGCTGCGTAGCGCCTGCAAGACTGAAGCCGACCTCAATATGGACGTGCTCGGCAGCCTGCCCTACATGAATGCCTGCATCGAAGAAGGCCTCCGCATCTTCCCGCCCGTCCCCATCGGCCTCCTTCGCACCGTTCCCAAAGGCGGCTCCCTTATTGACGGCCACATGGTCCCTGAAAATACCTCGGTGTGTGTCGCATCATGGGCCGCAGCGCACTCTGCGAACAACTTCGCGGACCCGGATTCTTTCATCCCTGAGCGGTTCCTCGACACGCCCGAGAGCAAGGCGCGGTATGGCTCTGACATCAAGAAGGCGGCGCAGCCGTTCTCCCTTGGGCCACGAGGCTGCATCGGAAGGAATTTGACCTATGTCGAGCTGCGACTGATTCTAGGCGCGTTGCTGTGGCATTTTGACATGGAGTTCGCGGATGGTGCGCCGTTGTGGAATCCGAAGGATGAGTTCAAGGGCTTGCGAGCGTATAACACGTGGGAGAAGAGCCCGTTGAAGGTGAAGTTGACGGACATAAGGAAGACACCGGCTTGATGACGGGGAAGGGAAGTTTGAGATGCGAGGATCCCGCAGATTTGCGCAAGTCGACATATATAAAGAGGTTACTCCTTGATTTCTTTCCATATCAACAATAGACAGGTAGTCGTCCAGAATCATTGCATTCATGAGTTCGAGGGCGTATAAGTCTTATGTGCGCGGTTTTTCGAAGCATTCTTCTGTAAGTATATAACAATGCTATGGAGAGCAAGTGATGCAACGATGCTTGGGCAAGAATTTGTGGTCGTTTGCAAAGCGCCGCGAATGCTAGGAGGAACTGCAGTAACAGCGGCCTGCAGTTTAGTTCGTAAGGCTGTGCGAAGAGCGGTAGTCTTGCATAAGGCGGTGCAAGAAATGATCGGCCTTGAATCTTACACCTCACTTGGTCTGCATGTAACTCAGAACCATTAGAAGGGATGAACGCCACGCTTATGCAGGTGCACTCTAAGTGTTTCTGAAATGGTAGACTGGACACATCATCAGTACCCGTGGGGCCAAGCGCCTTCTATAACATTTGTAAATGCTCCACATATCCGTCGTTCCGAACAACACCACTTCCTTCAAGATGCCATATGTCAGCCCAACCCCCACCCTCAACCTCTTCTACACCGTCCACGGTGCAGACACTGCCATACGACTGGTACTTCTTCATCGCGCCCCTCACCGCCATCTACCGCGTCATTGCCTTCGACCTGCGCGGCCATAGCCACTCTAGCGCCCCTACGGACTTGACATGGATGACGCATTCGCTCTGCTGCAGCATCTCGGCTACGACTGCGACGTGCGTATCACGGGCCTCTCGATGGGCGGCATGATCACGTCTGCGTTGAGCCTCACGCGCGCAGAGCTGTTCAGAGCGTATGTTGTTGTTGACCTGCATTGCTTCACGCTGGAGGCGATGCTGAAGCAGTTCGTTGCAGCGTATGAGACAGCGGGGCCAATGCCATAGCGGTGAATTTGCAGTCTTGGCCGACTCGGCATGGCGAGGGGTTTTTGCAGTGGATGAAGACGTCGTCTCTGCGAACGGTGGAGGAGACGCCGCCGCATGTGATTTTGAGGTGTATAGACGGGTTGCTAGAGGAGAATATTGGTATGCCGATGGACGAGTGTTTGGAGGGGAGAGGGAAGGGTGTGATTCCAAGGTTTGATATACATGTGCATGAGGAAGATGTGGAGAAAGAAGGCGCTCGAGGTGAGGGGCGTGGATGAGATGGTCCTGATGGGGGTGTGGAACATTGGATGCAGCATTCGAAGGCGGAGGAGTATGATGAAATTGTAAATGGTTGGTTGAAGAAGATGGAGGAGGCCTAGTGAGACAAGAGGGATTTGCATCGTGACCAAAGTTCCGTTATTCACGAGCTTTCCGCCTTGTCCATCGCCTCGAATGCCGCTTTCGCGATATTCTTCGTCTCCTCGGAAATCCCTTCCTGTCCTACAACGTCTCCAAATCTCTTCTTCCAAAACGCCCACCTCTCCTTGCTGAACACCGGCCCTCCATTCCACAGATCACCCCCTCTAGCAGGATTCCCTTCGTTGGCATTCCTTGGCGTCAGATCTTCTTCTCTTTCATACAGTTTCTTCCCCAACACAATAGCCCACATCGCAGCTGCCGGCACGTGCGCGTCGTATGACCACGGCAGCGGCTGCGGGGTGTTTTCGAGTGCCTCCCGCATCGCCCAGATGATGACATGGCTGGCTGTGAATAACCCATCATCGGTCAATCTCGCGATAAAGTAGTTGAAATTCGTGTACGCGCGAATTTCCTGAGGAACGCTGCCGATGTCATGGCGCGGACTGTCGTTCCACGCTTCGCGCACCGCCATGGGCAGACCGGCAAGTGTCATATATTTCGGATTGTCCTGCGTCGCGGATGGCTCTGGATGTTCTTTGAGCGCCTTCACCAGCTCCACGAGTTTTGAATGCCGATCTGCATCGCTGTACGGTATCCTTTTCGCAGAATGAATGATGGGGTACCACGCATCGTCCAGCTGGTCTTTACCGGAATTTTTCGCCAGAGCCTCGTCGATGGGTTTCGTGATCTTGGACACGGTTGCTTCGAGATCTGCGGTGCCGTTCACATAGTCTTGTACAGCGGGGTAGACGATGCCGTCCTCTGGTGGGCGGAACCAGCCGCGCATTTCGGCGATTCGGTCAATTTGGGTGGGCTCGTCGTTCGTTTCCGAGATCATCTTCTCGATCTCCTGTGTACGTTTTTTCTCCCATTGCGCCATTTTGATGGTTCTGAATTGATTCACTGTAAAAGAGAGGCCTGCGGCATGAAAGTGTATTGTTGCGCGGTGTCGAAGAAATGGGCGACTGAAGAGGGTGACGTAGTTTGTCGCACGCTTTGGCCCTAGCATCTGTGATTGGTTGGCATGTGGATCTCACTTTCTCCATTGAGAAGGTGGGTGTACTTGCATTTCTGCCTGCGACAAGTCTCCTTTAATGGCCACCTATTTAGCTTTTGCCCGCCCGCACCTCGGCGCTTTCCGCCAGTGATGTTTTGGAAGCATGGCGCTTTTACTAAACATGAGATTGAGGCTACATGAATCTAAGCCTTCTCTCCATCCTTGAACCTGTTCATGGTGTTGCTGTGCCCCCTACTTTCACTCCACCTGCACGCGAAAGGATTTTCTTCGCCAACATCTTGACACCCTGCTCGTTGAGAATCTCCAAGCTCTGCAGTGAAGCTTTGAACTCCCGCTTGATCCAATTGCGCAGCTCGATTGCAATCAGGCTGTCCAATCCAAAGTCCGAGATCGGCTTCTCCAGATCCATAGTCTCGGCGTCCACGTACGCCAGAGCAGAAAGCTTCTTCGAGACCGCAACAGTGGTGTATGTGAGGGCTTCTTCAGGACTAGCTGTGGCCATGTTAAAAATGGTGGCTTTCCCCACCTGAGAAGTGGCGGGTAGTTTGGAGACTTCTGGGCTTGAAGACTCGGTCACTTGCACGTGTGTGAAGAACGGAGACCTGATATTGCCGTTCACAGTCGTGGCTCCTGCAATCGAAGTAGCGTCGAAGCCAGCGGTTATGTGCGCGATCCGGTCTTTCCTCGCTGCCGGGCTAAGCATGTAATCGAAGATAGCATTAATGTCTTCTTCTTTGATCGCGTCCAAACCAGATCGCTGCAGTGCTTTGCGAATCTCCATGTCCCGAACAGCGCCTGTTCCCTCAACCATACTTGGACTAAAGGACATGTAGTGCGTCTTGCCTGGCGTAAGAGACTGGTTTTGAGCAAGTGCATCTTGAACGGCATTTCCGGCGTTGTAATTTGCTTGGCCGCGAGTTCCGACAATGTTGGCGGCCGAGGAGAGCATAATGAAGAAGTCAAGATCAGGTGAGGCGAAGGCTTTCTGGAGATTGAGGGTTCCATTCAACTTGGGAGCGAGCGGTATTGTGAAGTCGTCAAGGGTCATGGAATCGATGCTCCGGTCCTGGGAGATTGTCAGTATGGGTTCTGAGAATAGGTCATAGTTGGGATTGAGGATAGGTTCTAGCACGCACCTGGAGCGTATGCGCAGATTGGATGATACCTCTCACTGTAGGGAGTCGGCGTGCGGCTATCGTCGCCGCCAGAGCCTCAACGTCCGCTTCTAGCGATATGTCACATTTTATGTGATATACCTCGCAGCCTTCCAGCATTCGGACTACGTGCTTTCCATTTTGCTCTTTCGGTGGACGACGCGAGAGTAGAACAACATGCTTGGCTCCACGTTGTACCAGAAATCCGAGCAATTTCTGTCCAAGATCACCAAGACCACCAGCAATGATGAAGGACGCATTAACGTCAAGTCCATCGCGCAGCTGATCAACAATTCGAGAAGATCTCGTCATCCAGTTATTCAGTGCATCGCTAGGCAGCAGGCGTGGAATCAAGACCGCGTTGTCTCGAATGATGTACTCGCGCTCCGGCCTCTCACACGACTGGAAAAATGTTTGCTGCAAGACGTTGTACAACTTATGGCTCAGTTCTGGTGATAGGTCAGGCTGGAAACGTTGAACATCGACAGTCACCATCTTCAGACTTTCGTTCTCGGCCTGGGCACTCCTTGCCAACCCAGTTATGAGGTTTCGTCGTGAATCCGTCGTGTTGCCCACGGTTGTACCAACAGTAATCCACATGACCTTTGTCTGCTTGTTGAGCATGTGTTTTAGCGTTTTGAAGGTTTCAGGCGTTAAGCCAGCTAAAAGAGGGCTATCACCGTTGTCGACAATAAACTTGATGGAGGCACTCTCGTCAATTTCTTCTTCGAATTGACCGGTTGAGACAGAATATCCCCGATTCTGGAGACCCTCTTGCAACAGGGTTGCTACAGCTTTCGGAGCTCCAGCCACAGGAATGACGCGAATGGGTATCTGAGCTGAATTAGGTAGTTCGCCTTGGAGTTGCGCAACCATCAGACTGGAGATATGTGCCTTCTCATCGTCCTTGACACACATCTGCATGTTCAAGTTCGTATCATGCATTGCCTGTCGCCATTGCTCAACAGGCATGAAAGGCCCATTTGGCCGGTCGTCGACGGAGCCTTTCCAGTAACCGGGCAGTGTTCCATATGAGATGTGATGGTAGGGCTGTGAGTTCACGATCTCAATGAGGACCAAGCGACCGTCCGTTCGTAGCAAAGAGCGCGCGTTCCGTAAAGTTGTCCGGATACTTGACGTGACATGTAGGCAATTGAAAGCAAGGACCACATCGTAGCTTTGTAAATCAAATCCTTGATGGGCAGGGTCTTGCTCGATATCAAGTTTTCGAAAGTTGATTGGATACCCCTTGAATTTAGCTGCCGCACGATCGAAGAAGTTAGCGGACACGTCGGTAAAATCATAGGTAGCGGCGAAGCATCCAGAAGCTTTTAAGGTTTCGAGGAACGGCAGCGTAGCTCCACCTGTGCCTCCCCCAATCTCGAGGATGCGCAGTTTGGACTTTTTGAAGGCCAGCTTCCTGACGTACTGGCGCAAGAGATCGTAGCAAAGGACGGACGAGTGATCTTGGTACGATCCGTATAGTAAGCCATCTTCGGTCACTAGTTGTAGAGCATCAGTTGATCCAGATATTATCTCTGTGAGATTTTCGCCTGTCCTTGCGACGATCTTCATTTCCTCAAAGTCAGGAGTGGAAATCGTGCTACTGGCCACTTTCGACGGGAAATTATCGATAGAAGGGTACTCGCGTTGCATCCAGTCGAAGAGCAAGCGATGCTCATCGGTGACCTGCAATTGTCCGCGATTAACGGCATCGATACAAATTCGAACATAATTCTCGGTTGCTTGATTCATCGCCCGAACCTTATGGTCCAAAGATAGTGTTGACTTGTCTACCAGTGCAGCAGGCTTAAAGTCGGCAGCGGATAGATTGTTCTCATCAACGTCCCAGATTACATCCCAGCAGGTACTCCTGGCCGCTTTTTCGGGATTCTGAATTGGTGTAGTGGTAGGCAAGAAACGCAGCTTGACTCCAGAAAATGATAGGCTCGATATTCCATCGCGATCGTTTACTGCTTCGATGCCCACTTCAGCAGTTCTGGCCTCAACGGAAGCCAACTTCGTGTGCACGGATATCTTCGATCCAGGGGCGCTGTCGATGCCAGTAGACACAACAAGCTCATTGATATGAATAGGCATGATGGAGCCGGACCCGAACTTTTGCAGAGCCAACGGCAAACTGGTGTGCATAATGATGTCCAGAGTGGTGGGGTGGATGATATGGGGCTGCATATGGTTTGCGGGCATGACCTCAGCCACGTGAGGGATAGCCACGGTAGCGAGTGCATGAATGTCCCCCATAGACATATGCTCAATTCCGTTGAACATCGGTCCGTAGGAATTTCCGTTATCACTCAGTTGCTGGTATAATTGTTCCGGTACTAGTGTCTTCTCATGGGAATATCCATTGAGAGCCGTCAAGCCCTTTTCGGCTTCAATGGTCCTGACCTCCACGTACCCTCGACAATGCTCATCCCAAGTGCAGCTTTGATTGTAAGCTGCGACGCGAAAGTGGTACGCAAGCTCCTTATTTTTATCAGTTCCTGAAGAGATAGGCGAGAAACTGAGCTGCGCTTCGGTTCTTTGAGGCGAATTGGGGACGATTATAGCCTTGAGAAATTCAATGTCCCGCAGGACGACTTGATATCGCTGGCCACTTGGGAGATGCTCTTGGGCAAGCTGAGAGATGGCTTCAATAGCCATGCATATATATCCTGAGCCAGGGAAGACAATGACACCGTCAACCACATGGTCTGCCAGCCAAGGCAGACTGGCTAGGCCTATCATGTATCTCCATCTTGGCTCGAAGGTTGTGGCCTCTGAGCTCCTCAGGCCGACAAGGTCATGGTAAGCATGTCTGCGGAAGCGATGGTCCCTACTTATTCGGGATTCATGCCAGTGTTTCTTCGAATGATTCCAGCTATAGGACGGGAGATTGTGTATGACATTCGCATGTCTCTGCGCCGGATCGAGGACAGACAGCAGGGAGAAGTCGGAAAGGATTCCGCGCTCAAACAACAAACCGGCTACCTCGAGAACACTTTGCACAGCATCTGTGCCTCTTCGCAAAGGTGACGTGTAGTCGTATTTGATAGGCACTGATAGTTCCGCGATGCATTGTCGGGTTGGGCCAGCTAGCGCGTTGTGCGGCCCGATTTCAACAAACACGTGACGCGCAGATGTTCGGCGTTTGCAGAGCTTGCGGATTCCTTCCTTGAAGCGCACCTTCGAGACCAGATTGTCACACCAGTACCCGGCATTGAACCCACCGTCTTTCTCCGTGGCGTCCACTGTCGAAAAGAAAGCGGGTGCAGTCAGCGGCACCTCCGACTCCAGCAAACCCATGAGGCTTTTATAGTCCTCAACAACATCTCGCATGTGATGCGAATGGTAGGCTGCATCTACGCGTAGTTTGCGATTGAAAACGTCCAATGCGGTCAGCGCCGCGGCAAGCTCATCGATCGCCTCTTCGTCTCCAGACACTGTTGTGTTCTGGGAACTGTTGGCGCACGCTACTGAGACGGTACCCTTGGTGAGACTCTGGATGTGTACGGACACATCGTCTTCATCAAGACCCACTGCAAGCATGGCACCTCGGCAGCTTGCCTTCGAAGATTGCTTGGTGGTTGCGAGACCACGACAGTACGCGACGCGGAGAGCAGTGGCTTGCGAAATATACCCTGCCGCATACGCTGCCGCGATCTCTCCGCTTGAGTGTCCAATCACTGCATCTGGGATGACCCCGTTGCTCCTGAGAAGATCTACCAGAGCAATTTGTATCGCTGTAGTCGCTGGTTGAGCGAGTTCAGCAATGTGCAGGCGTGAAGTATCGGCTTCCCGGAGGATCTCATCGACCAAGTTCCACCCGGCACCAAGATGAAATAATACATCAGTGGAACGACGCATGGATTCCGCGAAAGCAGAGGCGGAGTTTGCCACCAGGAGCTCCCGACCCATAGTAGGCCAAGACGCTCCTTGGCCCGTGAAGACGAAGTTCAGAGCAACATCGTCCGAGCTCACAGCCGGCACGAACGCGCGTGCGGCTTGCGCAAGCTGATCGACAAGCTCTTGGCGGCTTTTTGCGATGCAACCAATTCTCCAAGGATGGTGTGTACGACGTGTCGAGAGTGTGTAGGATAGGGTCGACATGGATAAATCCGCTCCTTGCGCTGCTGTCCAACTCTGGTAACGTCGTAGCGCGCCGATGAGAGAAATTTCGCTCTTTGCTGAGAAAACAAAAAGCCGTGGAACTTCCTCGGAAGACGCAAGCACTGTTGTAGTTTCATGGGGCGCGCTTTCGACCACGACGTGTGCATTTGTACCACCATACCCAAAGCTGTTTATGGAGACTCTGGCGGTCTTGAGGTCAGGCCATGGGATTAGAGAAGAAGGCACTGTGATGTTCCGCTCATCGAGCCGCAGAGCCTCCTTTGCGCTCTTGAAGTCGGCATTGGGTGGAATGCACCGATTTTCCAGAATGAGTAAACTCTTGATCAGTCCTGCTAGCCCGCTCGCGCACTCCAAATGACCAAGATTGGACTTGATAGAACCCACGTGGAGGGTATTGCTCCTCTTCCCTGCACAAAACACTTCTGCTAGGGCGTCGATTTCGACTTTGTCCCCTGCAGCTGTGCCCGTGCCATGAGCTTCCACGTACGAAACGCTCGCAGGATCGAGATTCAGCTGGCGATACAGCCGCCTCTGAAGAGTAATCTGTGCTGAAGTGCTTGGGTGAGTGATACCCTCGATAGTACGCCCGTCCTGGTTGACCGCGCTACCAAGGATCACACCGCGTATTGGATCTCTGTCTGCTATCGCCTTGTGAAGAGGCTTTAATATGAGAGCAGCTACGCCTTCTCCTCTTCCGTATCCAGAGCCACGACTATCGAACGGATAGGATCTGCCATCCTCGCTGAGCATATGGAGATTGCTCAGACCAATTTGTTGATCCGGGCCGATGATGAGGTTTGCTGCTGCTGCAATGGCCATGTCGCTCTCGCCTAGCCTTAAGGAGTTGCATGCCTGATGTACCGCTACTAAGCCGCCCGAGCAGCCCGTGTCCAGAGTCACTGACGGCCCGGTGCAGTCAAAGACATAGGATATCCGGTTTGACGCAATAGCGTCTCCAGTACCAGTGACCTGGTAACGTGGAATGTTTAATGTGTCTTTGTACAAATTACGGTCGTAGTCCCGGGTGAACAACGCTACGTGTACCGAAGTTGCGGAACCCCGAATCCTGTGTTGTTGGCCTGCGCTCTCAAGCGCCTCGTACACCACTTCCAGCAAAAGCCGTTGCTGCGGATCCATTGCCGCCGCTTCTTGCGCCGATACTTTCCACATCATCAGCGAAATTTACGATTCCATACAGACAGGTCCTTACTATTGAAGAAATCATGGTCAAAATCGCGAATGTCTTCCTTCAAGAAGTGCCCGCCCCGATGGTTGTTGGTGCCGTTGGTGTCATCAGGGTCATCATGGAAGAAAGCTTCCTCATTGAACCGATCTGTCGGTACTTTGGACCAGGTATTGCTACCCGACACCAACGTTTCCCAAAGCTTCTCAGACGAGATGGATCCACCTGGAAAGCGGCACTGGAAGCCAATAACGGCTATCGGGGAATTTCTCATGTGGTCCATATTGGATGGTAGATGACTAGTAGGAAGAATGCCCAGCTTTATGGCGACTGTATGAGGTACTTGTAGGAAATCTGATGCGTACGAAGAGACCTTACCAGGATCTCATGTCGGCCGCCACGAAGCTGCCTCGTCTCGCAAGAACAATCTACCTAGGAAAGTGTCATCCGGGAGGCTATGCCAGACCTTGCTCTCTCTGGCAGTGTTCATCAATCTGGGCATCTATGTTCGTTCTTGCCGTTTTGAGACCATGGCATCTTATCAGTCACGGAAATTTTAGGTCGCGATGTCACTTGTTCCTCGGTTGTTCCGGTACTAGCTTGGTTTAGCTTCTGCCCCCAAACACACTGGGATCAATTTAGATCAATCCTTCGACTCCTCCCGGCCGATTGCGCACAGACTTTCGTTCAAGGCCCACCCAGTTCGAACTGTTTTGCCTTGTGAATGTCGACAAGGGTCGGAGTCCGAGAAGCGTACGTAGGCAGAAAGGATCGCAATGAGCCGCGGACATACCCAGCTGACGCATTACGTAGGGAGCGAGTTCGCATTAACGTAAGACATCTTTGATGTTAGCCACCGACACTGTTAGAGCCGTCTCATATGGCAGTGCCGGACGAGACAGCATATCTCTACCATGGTCTCAGGTGCAAAACGTCCAGCGAACAACCACCGAACCTCGTAAATTGGGATATGCATAGCCTCATCACGAAGTTAGATTGGCTATAGCCAGTACCGCTGGCAGCATGTCGACAGTGCTGGCCCCGCGTCTCCCCACTCCCAGGGTATGGGTTAAGGCGGGATCTGCGGCCCAGCGTTCGCGTTGAAGCCAGTCCAGTGCAAGGGTTTTGAACGGCGAGGCTGCGACCGGATGATTGTCGATCCAATGTGTACATTCCCGAAGGTGCAAAAGAGCATGTAGGGTGACGCGCGCCTTCCTTTTCTAGGCGCGATGCGACGCATCCATCTTCGAACTTCAATAGATGTATGCTTCGACAAACGAACAACCGATTGTACATTTTCGCGGTTCCTGCATCAGTCTCCTTTTTTTTTTTATTGTTGTGTGGACTTGCTTTGTCTTGCTCAGATTCTGGCGTTACGTTGGCTGCCTAGTCATGTCTACTGATTCCGCAAACATCGGTTGGCGTCTACAGCTGTTCACTGGATTTTTCACGCCATTACAAGTCATCGCAGTAGGCCTGCGCTTTTACGCCCGCTGGCTGGTTGTGGGGCAGAGCCATCCGCTCGAAGATGCACTTGTCGTAGTCGCTTTAGTATCGCAGCTCATACTGGGTGCTGTGGGTCTAGGTAGGAATACTTTGGTCTTGACGCTCAATAGACGTCGCTGACGATCTTGTTGTAGCTTCAGTCACCTTTGCAGGCGTCGGGCAGCATCTTGCCTACCTTGAAGAGCATGAGCCTGAGAAAGTACTCAACTGGGGGAGGTACCTCCTTACTCTCGCGACACTGTACTTCGTCGATGTCAACATTCCCAAACTAGCTGTCCTGGCGCTTTACAGGCGATTGTTCCCACAAAGAACAGCACGAATTACGGTCTACATTATAGCTGGGATTCTTATCGCTGGATCGATCGCAAATACGATCGTCTCTTTGGCCGCCTGCAAACCTTTCGCGGCGAATTTCAACCCCGCGCTACCAGGTGCGAAGTGCATCGATAAAGAAGCGTTCTACGTCTGGACGAGTGTGCCAAATATCGCGACAGACGTGGTCATGCTCGCGCTTCCATTGCCCATTGTCTGGAGCCTACACAACACGAAACGCATAAAGGTTGCTTTGACATTCACATTCTTAGTTGGCAGTCTGTGAGTTTCTGATTATGACTCCGCTAATTGGGCCTTTACTGACCGACCTTGAAGCGGACTCGTTGCCTCAATATTACGCTTTCACACATTCTTCGTCACGAACTCATTCACGGACGGAACTTACGATGCGGTCGAACTCATTATCTGGACGGTCGCCGAGCCCGGGATTTACCTAATATCGGCATGTCTCCTTACTTATAGACCACTTCTCGAACGCGTCGGTAAATCCAGACTTTTCGGAAGCTTCAGAACAAGCGTGAAGAGCTCTAATCCATCCGGCTACGGTCCCGGAAAGCGAGACGGGCCAATTGATGGAGGTGGCGTCCCACTCCGAAACGTTAAGAGAATGGGCAATGGCTTCACGGAAATAGACGATGACGATTCAAGTGGCAATGTGCACATATTGAGGGCGAGTTCAGAGAGGAACATTCCAGGCTCGCCAGTGTCAGGACCAGGTGGGATTACTGTGACGACCGAGATTCAAAATTCGTGGGCCGCAAAGTGACTCAGCGCAACATAGGATAGACAATAGACGCCTCTTGGCCGGTAATTTGCATGCGAGACCCCTTGAATAGCCTGTCTCGGTAGTTGCATGCTGTGTAACCAGAAGGCTCGCGACCGACTAGCCTGCTCATTGTAATTGAACGCCCCCAATTCTTTCCATCCGTCGTGGTGCCCTCCCACAAACTGCATCTCCACGCGTCATGCGGTTAACCCAGAGAGGACCTTCATGGCCCAAACCACGCATTGCCGACATTACGATCTGAGATCACCGTTGTGGCGTGATTGGCGAGGACAAGTCGATGACCTTGGGATCTTTCCGCCCCAGCTTATCTCACCCTACCTCGGCATGCAGCCTTCGCCCCGTTCAATCACGGACACGGTCGTAGCCGCTGCAGTGTCCCAAGGCGGTATTATCAATGTAACATCAAGCTCTGCCAATGCTGTCTTGGGAAGTCTTGATGACACCCCACCGTGAGTTAGCGCAGATCAATGCTTGTTTTGTCGCTGTTATATGTGAAACCCGCAATATGCAGAATTGCTTCTTGAAGTCCGAAGTTGAGGCCTTATTTCCTGCGCGCAGGTTTGGTGTAGTTGGTTCTCTAGTCCCACAAAGGAAGGAGCCATTCCCACCAATCAGACCCTGGACAACTCTGGACACGCTCGGGCGGCTTGGGCGCGGTTCCGCGGCATCTTTCAACGGTCGCCTCGGATGGTGCAGGTAGATGCACGGATTCGAACCCTTGCTTTGTTGCAAAAATTCCGTGCGGGGGTACCTCCATGTCAACGCAGACGCCACGATGCTCGATCCTACCTGTCTCACCCGCAGTTTGTTCGTTGATTATCGGGCATGCAACAACCCAGATTGCGCAGCAGTACGGACCCACTCTTGTAAAGAGCAGGGCTGACTTCGTCACTTTGCGGCACGGATCCAGGGCGTAGCTACCGTGCCACAACTCTTGTCTAGCTGCGGCAACAGCCAAATCAATCTTTATACATATCGCTTACCTGGAAAGGACACAATATAGTCCTGCATCTGTCGATATATCTACTCTTTGCTGCACGTTCTTAGCCCGACAGATACTTTGAGAGTCACCCGTGGTCATACCGCCCAAGCGATTGCAGTTGGGGTTCTTCATTCGGCGGAAAGATAGGAAACATGGCGCAGAATCATGCACAGATCTCAAACTGGCGCGAGGAGCTCATTCCTAACATCATAGATCATCTAGCCAAGGTAGCACCTTCGGCACCGTATGCCCTCTATCCTAATTCTCCAACGACTTATGACGAGGGCTATCGAACTGTCACGTATAAGGATTTTGCCAATGCTGTGAACGGATTGGCCTGGTGGCTGAGCGACAACCTTGGACCGTCCAAGAACTTCGATGTTCTAGCATACTTTGGACCAAACGACGTCCGGTACACTGCTTTGCTTCTTGGGGCTGTCAAAGCCGGCTACGTGGTATGTTTTATTGTCTCTCCGAGTCAGAGTCCACTATTCTAACCCGTTGCAGGCTTTCTTTACTTCTCCTCGGAACAGTGTCGCTGCTCATGGCGCGTTATTCGACAAGCTACAATGTCAAGTTCTGCTCACGCCGGAGCCAGCTCCACCGGCCACAGAGCAGATAACAAGCGCACATCCCATGAAACACCTGCATGTTCCAAGCGTAACCGATCTCCTTGAAAAGGAATACCCGCATTATGCGTACGACAAGACCTACGCAGCGGCTCACACAGATCCGCTTGTGGTAGTGTAAGTTTCTTGATTTGTGACAGCCCTCGGAAACACCCGCGAGACTAATTGACTCTTGCAGGCACACATCAGGTTCGACTGGCATACCCAAACCATTAATTTGGACGCACGAGACAGCTGCAAGGCATCATAACTACTGCGCTCTCGAACCACCTTCTGGCTATGAATCCATTGACAAGCTTCACCAGGGCAAGCGCATGCTGAATACATTTCCACCATTCCATGTAAGCATCAGCTATGAGTCATTTGACGGCTCTGACTTACAGTGTTCCAGGCCGCTGGTATTGCCATTCACCTCGTTCATAGTCCTCCATTCGGAACTGTGTCCATTGCACCATTATCTGGTGCTTTACCCACGGCCGAAAGCATTGTCCAAGCACTGAAGACAACTAAAGCGGATGTGGCATTTCTAGTGCCTTCTATCATTGCAGATATCAGCCAGAAACCAGAATTGCTGGACTTTTGCGCTGAGAATTTGGAGCTCATTCTTTACGCTGGGGGCGACCTCCCTCAAGCCATAGGCGATAAGATTGCGGCCAAGATGCCTATTCAAAACAATCACGGTGCCTCCGAATTCGGTCTCATTGCCCAGCTCCGAACGCCAGAGATGACAAGACTGGACTGGCATTACGTGCTGCCTCATCCAGAGCTTGGTTGTGTTTTCGAAGAGAATTCGCCTGGTCTGTACGAGCTTGTGTTCAAGAAAAACCCGAAATATGAGAAGCATATGATGCCATTTACTATTGGACCGGTTTTGAAAGGGCAGGATGAGTACCGCACGAGAGACTTGTTCGTCAAACATCCTACAATCCCAGACTGCTGGGCTTGGAAGGCCAGAGCAGATGACATCATTGTCTTTCTGAACGGCGAAAAAACAAACCCGGTATCCATGGAGCAATCTATCATCTCAAGCAACGAGGAAGTAGTCCAAGCTCTAGCATTCGGTATGCAGAGGTTTCAAGCTGGGCTACTTGTTGAGCCATCACCGAAATTAGGGGACTTGAATGAAGTAGATCAGGCGAAATTCGTTGACAAAATTTGGCCTTCCATCGACCGGGCCAACCAGAGTGCACCAGCTCATGCACGCGTCGAGAAGGCCATGGTCATCCTCACGCGCCCGGACAAGCTTATGATCCGTTCTGGAAAGGGCACAATACAACGACAGGGGACGCTCGCGATGTATGCAGCTGAAATTGACGACATCTATGTCAAGGCAGATACTGTGCTGACCGGAATCGAACACGCGTCTCTGGACACCAAAGATGCTGGCCAGGTCGCTGAGTGGCTTAAGAAAGTCATCTCCCAGATTGAGCCCGCTCTTCTTGAAGATGAGGGCAAGACCTTCTTTGATAAGGGTATGGATTCTCTTATGGGCGTCAGGTTGGTTCGCGCTCTGAGACATGGCCTTGGCCAACCTGACCTTGATCTGTCTATTGTCTACAACAATCCTAGCTTGGAAATGCTCACAAAGTATATCGTGAGTGGGAAAGAGACTCCTGGGGCTCCTAACGGCGCCCCAAATGGGACCGTTAAGGTGACCGATGCGGATCCGGAAATCGACTCCCTCTTGAAAGAGTATGAGCCAGTCATCACCCAAATAGGACAACAAGCACGTACTCCCGGCGAAAGAAAAGGCGAAGTCGCCGTTCTCACTGGTTCCACCGGGTCTCTGGGAATCCATCTCCTCGAAGCACTTCTGGCAACCCCTGCAATCTCGCACATCTACTGCCTCAACAGGCGTGAAAATGCCAAAGAAATCCATGCAAACAATATTAAAGGGTGGGACTCAAAATTTCCTCACCAGAGCGACCGCGTCACTTTCCTACAAGCGGCGCTACATGACCCGAATCTCGGCCTCGAGCAGAAGACGTACGAGACTATCCGCTCAACAGCAACAATCATCATCCACAACGCCTGGACGGTGAACTTCATGTTACCTCTCAAGGCGTTCCGCTCGCAATTTGATGGCCTTGTTAACTTCTTCCGCCTGGCAGGGAGTCGTTCAGACCCTCCCAAGCTACTTTATATTTCCTCAATCAGTTCCGTCGCACAGCTTCCGCGAGTGACATCTGCTCTTTCGATACCAGAAGAAGTAGTCCGTGACTCGAATGCCCCGTACGAAATCGGATATGCCAAGTCAAAGCTCGTGTCTGAGTTGCTATGTGACGCTGCAGCGCAGACGTTGGACATACCTGTGTCTTTTGCACGCGTTGGGCAGATCGCAGGTCCAGTTGGAGAGGGCGTGAATGCGACATGGAGTACGGCTGAGTGGCTGCCGGGCTTGGTCGTCACATCAATAAGCCTAGGTCTCCTGCCGGAGGATTTGGGTGCGGAGCTGAATCAGGTTGATTGGATCCCTGTGGACCTGCTCTCCAAAGTACTCTTGGAGTTCGGAGCTGGATCATCGGCCCAAGCACCCAATGGCGCGGGAACCAACGGCAATCCCCACGGCGCCGAGGTCTTTAACCTACTCAACCCGAAAACCACGTCATGGAAAGAACTTATTCTTGCCATCGTCGCTAGCGTCGAGAAGCACACTGGTAAAGTCCTCAATGTCGTGTCTGCCCGCGAGTGGCTTGAGAAGTTGCAGGAGGTTGTAGATAACTTCTCTGGTGAAGATGCTGTGGATCTTGTGCGCACGTATCCAGCGGTCAGGCTGCAGGAGTTCTATGAGGCGCGTCTTCTTGATAGTAAGAACGCTATTAAGTGGGATTTGGATCGTGCAAGGTCTCAAAGCGCGACCTTAAATGGCATGCCCGCTATCGGGAGGGATTGGATCGAGAGGTGGATTGAGCAATGGCTGAAGGAAATGAAGACAGCTGTTGAGTAGATAAGCGGACGTCTGGGTAGTCTAGCTCGAACAACACCATCTAATTCACACTTTTTTCGGTACTCAGAGTCGATAGTTTCCCATATTTATATTGCCAAGGGGCCTACGGGCGGGGCTATAACATGTGAGTAGTGAGTGGAGTGAGTGCTAAGCTTTGGCGCCCTCCATCTCAGATTTCTGAGGACAAAATAGCCCCACTTGTTGGTCTTGCTAGTATTTGGTCACCTGGACAATTTTTGTTAATCAACCCAGTGTGAGTGCGCGCGTGCCCATCGCTCTACGTGGAAGGCGCTGTGACGTTAGTCCGTAGCTTCCTTATGTTGTTTTATGCGCCGCCCGACTGTCGACTAATCTCGCCAGACCACACCCCATCTGAGGCTCCCCAGATCTTGCGCATCTTGAAAACGCAAATAAATCGGAATCTAACCGCGGCCACAGCATCTGGAGAAAGTATGTCGTTCTTATCGCGAGTTCTAGTTGCTGTACTCGTGGCGTCAGTGGCGACGCACGTGGACGCTGTCGTTGTTTCACACCCAGATTACAATCTCGTCTCCGTAACGACAACTATTGAACAGATCCTACCTCGTCAAGAAGCAACTCCAGTTCCGAGCCCCGGCAGCGGCATTTCCGGACTTGAGTCGCTGCCGCCGACTGGGAGCGTCGCGCCGACCCGCAATATGACCACGACGTGGGCCACAACTCAGATCGTGACGGAGACTACCATAACGGCGCCAGACGATGCGACACCTATACCCGGGGACACTTCGTGGGTTGAGTGGAATTCTACCATCACCTCCACCTCTTGGAGTACCTCGATCTCCTTCGAACCCTGCGTCGAAACGGCAACATGTACCGGTGCAAATTGGACCACGGGTCAGAATGGTACCAAGTATATCCCTGTTCCGATTGCGATTCCCATCGTATTCCAGGGAGTAGTGCCGGTAAAAGGTAGACCCAACAACAACAACAAGGATCCGAAGAAGAGTCAACAGAATCAGAAGTCGCAGAAGTCGCAAAAGTCCAAAGAGAATAAGACCAGTACGGAAGAAAAGAAGACTTCCAAATCGAAGGAAGAGAACACGTCTACACTTTCTAAGAGTATGACGTCTTCTGGGGTTTCTTCAGTCTCTTCTGTTTCATCCACCGCGGCCCCGGAATCCTCGACAACGCTTTCGACTGCGCTTTCGTCGTTTTCGAGCTCTATGATGAGCTCATCTTCTTTTTTGAGCTCCTCCTCTACGTTAAGCTCGATGAATACCTCGTACTCTACGTCGATGTACTCCAAATCTACTGTATCATCATCATCATCCTCCTCCTCCCCGGCAAACAGCACATCTTCCGCAGGTCCGTCTTGTCCGACTGGATCTGGACTGGAAATAAATGACGATGAGGGTATGTTGGCCTAACCTAAGTTCGCAAAATTGAAGCTGACTAACAGGGTTTTCCCAGGCGACGACTGGTCAGACGATGACTTCTCGTCTTGTCCCGCAGGAGTTGGTTTGTCTCAGGATGATGATGAGGGTAAGTACACGATGATTCAACCCGATTCGACAAAGCTAATAGAAATCTACTTAGGTGACAATGAGAATCCTGATGCTGGCACTTTCTGTCCACACAAGTCCTTGGAGCTCAACGATGAAGAAGGTAAGTTGAAACTCCCATAATGAAAATGTAGTGCAAACTACTAACAGGATGGAAGATTTCCAGCTTGGGGACTGGCACTTCGACAACTCGTCGAACATCCCAATTCCGGAGATCTCATTCAAACCGTCGTCAACGTCGTCAACGTCAACGCCGCACCTCTTCGGGCCGTCTCTTCCCCATCATACGACGTCCAAAATTCCGGCGGCGCCAACTTTGCCAACATCCGCTAATCGCCCGCATGAGACTCCACATATCACCATCACAGCCAGTCCCACCCCTGAAGCTGTAGATAAGACTGAGTACGTGTGCACCGACATGAGGGCTTATGCTGGGCCAAATGCCAAGGAAAATTGCCAGAATGATGAGTACTGCAAGTCATTCGAATGGTATGGCCCTCTTGGCAAAGATCCGATGCAGATGATGCCACCAGACCCGAATATGGTCAATGCCTGGAATGGTTGGGAGCGGACGTGCGAGCCTTACAAAGAAACCCCGGACTCGTATTACTGCAAGTCTTGCACACGTAGTCCCGCGGTATGCAAGATAATACGGGATTACAACAAGAACAACTGGCGTCCAGACAAGGAAGGAGCGCCGATTGAGGAATGCTGGGCAGATGAAATGTGTGAGAGCGACCGCACACATACGCGCATTTGTCATCACCGATCTCCCCGCGATGCGGGTCAACACATTGATCAACCGGACGCCGCGGTTTTCTGTATGGAATGTCCTCGCAACAGTCTCGTGGAACCAGACTCGAAAGGCTGTATGGCGCAAATGGACTTCAAAAATGACGGCCGACAAGACTTGCTGGGCACGGACAATGGCAGGAACCTGTACGACTGCTCCCCGCACTGTGTGCCCGACGTTTACGCCAACCGGTATTGTTTGGGAACCCAATGCATGAGCTGTCCGTACATGTTTATATGAACGTACTTGGGGACATCTTTTCCTACTTGATTTTGGCCCTGAGATTTGAGGCTCGCGCGAACGGCCTTACGTAACGGCTTGCTGGAGATTCATGGCTCCTAAAATAGCAGCTTCTCGTCAAATGGTAACACCCACACATGTTGAGGTGGTCCGTGGAGTTGGCAATGGTGAAGTCTGGTGGGTTCTAGCTTCGTCCCATGGGCGTAGTGGATAGAACATGAACCATGTGTAGAACATGTATAGCAGAATTACAAGGGGTATCACGGTGCATTAGCATCCCAAAGAGTGTACAGACGCTACCTTCTCGTGAGGCGCTGAGTGCTAGATAATTCCTTCTCGCCGTTGTGAAGGAGCCTAGACACGAACTTTTGCTGTATTTGCGTAGGCGAATTGTCGAAGTTTACGCAACTTGTCAGAGCTCGTCACTGGGCCGTTCTAGGCTTGTGTCGGCATCTGCGCGGCAATTCGGCTTTCGTCTGTTCCTGTGTGTACTAAATAGCGGCGGCATACACAAATCTCACTGCGAGAGTAAGTGATTTGACAAAATAAGATAAAATCCTGTATGGGTGTAGTCACAAAGAACCTCTGTATTCTCTGCGTGGAAAGTGGAAAGGTGGTTGAGCGACTTCAGTGGAGCGCGGGCACTCAAGTCACGTGATAGCTGCTGGTGCTTATTTAGAGATTATGACACGCCGGCCCACACCCCACGCTGTTCCACCCTACAATGACCTGACAACATCTCCTTGATTGGGACACAAAAGCCTTGTACGTGCAGGCTCTAGACACCACGACGTCGCTACGTGCTGGTGCGCACGTCGGACTGGATTTTACTACCAACTATGCATACATCCAACCTCTCCACAATCGGGTGCGCGATACGCCCCATCTTTGAAGTTGAAATGAGGGGCCTACGCAACAAAAGTACGGAGGATGATATAGAATCCAGTGCATCTTACTGTGCGAAATTTCGGCAATTGATCTTGCGGGGCCATCGCCAACCGCGTTAATATCGAAGGCTAAACGCAGGACCCCGGTATGATATGATATCCATAGACTTTTCGTAAAGAAACCGCATTTTGAAGGATCTAAAATGTCAGGTTCCATCAATCCAACATTGGCAACGTCGATCATTGGATCGAAAGCTGACTCCAGGTTCTCCGGGTTGGAATGGGGTATTACGACCCAATCTTGGCCGTCTGCATGAGTACAGTCTTTTTATATACTTCTGAATAACCCCGAATTTTTTTTTTGCGCCGCATCGCGCATCCCTCAACAGAGCTGCGAACTCCACAGATATCAACAAGATGCGTTTTGCCGCGACCTTCACGTCCTTGCTCTCGCTTATGGGAGTAATCTCTGCATCGCCATTCACCAAACGCCAGTCCACAGTTACCCAAGTCTACAAGTTCACTGGTTCCCCACTCAAAGCCGAGGGAATTGCCGTCCGCTCCAACGGTCAAATCCTCGTGACCTTCTTCGACAAGGGCGAAGCTTGGCTTGTTGACCCGCCTACGAAGAAAGCCAGCAAAGTTGCGACGTTCACCGACACAACATGTTCTGCGGCTATCGCCGAAGTCGCTCCCGACGTGTTTGCTGTCGTTGCTGGGAAGTACAGTAATAGCAATACGCCAGGGAGCTGGGGCGTGTGGAAAGTCGACTTCAGTGCAGGTGGGGCAACGCCCACGACTACACTAGTCAAGAAGGTTCCAGAGAGCGGTATGTGGAATGGACTTTCGGCTTTTAATAACGATACGGTGCTTGTGGGAGACGCGAGTAAGGGTGCGGTGTTCAAAGTGAACGTCAACACGGGCAATTACAGCATTGCTATCCAGGACAGCACTATGGCACCCGCGAGCGGCATGCCTATGGGGATTGATGGCATCCGATACGCGAATGGCAACATTTATTACACCAATATCTTCGCCCAAAAGTTCTACAAGATGCCCGTTGATGCGGAAGGCAAGAAGACCGGGAGCGCAGTTCAGATCTGGGGCAACCATATGGCAGACGATATGTACGTGTCACCTGAGGGTGTTGCTTATGTTGCAGCTTCGAGCGGCATCCAGAAGGTCACTGCCGACGGCAAAGTGAGTACTGTGGCATCCGTCCGAAGCGGAACGGCCGTTACCATCGGAGCGGACAAAGCCACGTTATTTGTGGCGGGAAGTGATGGGGTGATCTCTTCATTCAAGATTTGATAGAGATCTATATGTACCAGAGGATGGTGCACAGTGATGGAATGAACTGTAGACGGTGGACATTCAATAAAAGGTTCATCGGAGATAATGTCGCTGCTTGCTTTGCATCGTTTCCAGTCTGCGTCGGAGCTAGGTCGTACCTATCTGTCGGTACAGATTAGAGTCGCTTGAACAGCCCAAAGCCGAAGACCCAGCCGCTGTAGGAAACACGGTTAGCGTCGGCGATTGCGACGACGCATACGCAGTCGATAAAACGCCTCTCGCTACATGACGGCATCGACTACCAAAGTAGCTCGAAGCGCAATTTCAGGCGAGGATGTGAATATGGAGATACCTATTTGTGCATGCTGATTGGCTACAGTAAAGGATCCGTGATTCGCTATTGCTATGCGCAATGATTGGCTGTGGGCGAGCGCCCAGTGTCAGCATCAGGGCGCGGTGACCACGACGGGCCCTGGGGCATGAAGGATGAGTGATTTTAGTTGCCTGCTGTGCCGTCTGATTCCTACCACGCCTCACTCCATCAATTTATGCCTCCCTACTTCGCCTAGCATCAGATGTCGTTTCTGGTCTTGGATGAAGTACACATCACGTGATCAATCACTCTATGTCCTCAGTATCACTGTATGATGAATGTCCTCGAGCCTTCAAGTAGCGTGCTGTGATTAGGAAGAAAGAGTTCCAATTCTTTAAGCACAGTAATGGCCGATGGCATTGGCGTAGTCAACAAGATTAGGGCATGTCATGGCAGTTCAGCGCTATTGTCTTAGAAGGGATGCATGCTATGGCCCCGGTATTGGATTATTCCTATATCCATTCCGCTAACCAGGCAAATTTATGCCATTATCGGCTCCTCTTCCGTCGTTTGCATCCTAAGCTAAGGCCGATGAATCGGAGCATCGAAGTGACAATTGTACACACTGCTACCACCTAGGTAGTCAACCAGAGGATTGATTTACGGACCTTGAAAGACACCCATCCCATTCAAAGGTAACCTAGGAACTTCCTGAGCTTCTGAATTCTTTTGCGGCACGGATTGCCGCTAATGTCGTATTCGTAGTCGTGTTAGGTTGATCATAACCTGAGGCACTGGAACTCCCACATGATCTACATTGATTCAGCTATATTGAACTCCGCCTGCTTCAGATACGGAATAGTCATAATCGTGCGCGATTGCATTTAGCTGAATTGGAGCCTGCCTAAAAACAAAGTCCGTGATTTCGCAGCAAAATAGGAAGTTTGGGCGTTCCGAGTGCTGCACGTGGGCATCGAAAGACGAGGCAGTTTGCGGCGTAGTTGTAAGTAGGCATCATTATAGGTAGGTTATCTTTAACGAGGGTGGTCAGACTACTAGCAGAAGGATCCACACAGTATTGGAGGGGCGAACGCTAGCTTGGGGCCAGGATGTGACGTGCGCCACACAACTCGTGTCTGCTGCAGTTGAGCGTAGTTGACTGTAAAGGCTGGTATAAATATTGAAAGCATTCTCGCAGACAGTATTGTTCGTTGTAATTAGACTTGTCCATTAAGTCCTACTCCAAGTTCCCCCTATTCTTTTACAAATCTTTTGCTGCGCCAACACTGCAGCGACAATGAAGGTGGGGGCCTATCAAACTTCTTTGCTCGCACTTGCAAGCTTGCGATCTATTTTTGCCTTGCCTGTCTTGGAAAGAGATAGACCATACAGGCACCCAATAGCACGTATACCTATCTCTTCTGCACTTACGACTACCCCTGGAATTACACCAAATCTCCATATTCTTGATAAAGCCAACTTGCTGAGTGAGGGCACTGTTGTACCAGGCTTAGTTGGTCCGGATCTCAACCCAACCCCAGCAAGGCGCCAAAAGCGTAGTGTGATTGGGGGTGAGAGTCGCTATCTGCAGACGAAGACCGGAAATCCTTGGGACTACGTGGGACGCCTCGAATGGGCAGTCGGAACCTCAGGTTACCGCTGCAGCGGCGCTCTCGTCGGTCCTCGCCATCTTGCTACGGCGCGCCACTGCTTCAACACGACGAATACGGCCATCACGTACACGTTCCGTCCGAACTATAACCAAGGCGCCAATGGCTACACGGCCGCTCAAGTTACCAACATCCTTTACGTCTCCGGGAGCCTGACAGATACCTGCACTTATGGTGATGATTGGGCTGTCATGATTCTCAACCAACGGCTTGGTGACAAGTATGGATACTTTGGCGCCAAGCAGTTCACGGGCACAACAGCCACATTCTGGCACGAAGGTATGTGGAATGTCCCGCTTCATTTCGCAGTTTCAGAATATGCTGACAATCATAAAGGTTATCCCTACGATCTGGGCAACTCAGAACGCCCGTATGTTGAACAGAGCATAAGCGGGAAGAACGTCTCAACATGCAACAGCGGCACTACAGGTCCCATACTCACAAAAGCTGATGCTTCAGATGGACAGTCTGGAGGTCCGCTCTGGTTACTTCCCGAGGCTGACGGGGTGCGGTACACGTACGGAGTGTTGTCTGCTGGGTCTACCACAGACACATTGTTTGCAGGAAGAACTGCCTTTGTGAACGCCGTCGCGCAGGCGAGGTCTCAGTACCCTTGAGTCGATGATTATAGTAAGGGATGTATGTAGCGGTGATATAAGGCGCAACAAACATTTAAAATTGAAAGCAGTCGCAATGTTTTCATCTCAGGGTGCAATTGTCTCTTCTTTCCATCGTTCCTACAATAGGATAGAACCACCTGGTCTTACGAGAGTGGTTTCAATATGTCGAAGTCCGCTATATGCAAGATATCTTTGCGCTTCAACATGGAGCGCGTTTCGGACAATCTTCGCAGCTAAGTTTCTCGCCCTTTGGAGGGTGGCTCGAATACCGGAGAAATTGCTAAGCGATCCTCGCTGCAATAAACTCCGTCCTGGGACGAGTCACCCTTGCGAATTTTCGCGGCGAAAATACACGCAAATTAAAACGAGGCATTTGCGGGGTACCCCACGCTCCCAGTCCTCCGACCCCGAGCAAATTAGAGCGAAGCCCGCCTCTCTTCTCCCTTTCACTGGAACTACCTCATCCAGATGTCTAGTAATTTCGAGTATAAAAAGGATGTCTGGGCGGCGTAGACCTATAGTTGTGATTGTTCTTATAAGCAAATATAAGGGTTCAACATGAAGATTTCTAAAGCGATCGGTTATCTGTCCACCCTTGTTCAACTGGCCTTCGCGGCCTCTCCACGCACAAAATATAACTTCAACTCCGACTGGCGCCTCTTTGTAGGCGATCCCAAAGGCGCGCAAGATCCTTCTTTTGAAGACAAAGATTGGAAGTCCATCACTACACCGCACGCCTGGAATGAGGACGATGCATTCCACGTAAGCATTGACAATTTGTCAACCGGAGTCGCTTGGTACCGCAAGCACTTCAAGCTTCCCTCTTCTGCCAATGGGAAGAAGGTCTTTTTGGAATTCGAAGGAATCAGACATGGTGGCGAATTTTATCTGAACGGCAACTGGATAGGGCGCAGTGAGAATGGTGTCATGGCATTCGGATTTGATATTAGCAACGCTACATTTCAGAACGACAATGTGATCGCTGCACGAATCGACAACGCATGGAACTACCACGAAGTCTCAACTGGCTCCACATTTCAATGGTCCGACAAGAACTTCTACGCCAATTACGGAGGCATCAACAAGAACGTCTATCTTCACGTCACAGATCGTCTATACCAGACACTGCCTCTCTATTCCAATTTGGGAACAACTGGCGTGTATGTATATCCGAGCGACATCGACATCGATGCTAGGAACGCAAATGTTACGGTGGAAGTACAGGTCCGGAATGACTACAATAGCTCTAAAACCTTTAGTTTTCGAGTCGAAATTTCAGATCCGCATCGATCGATTGTCAAGTCATTTCCTGCAGCACAGTATACGCTTCAACCCAACGAGACACGTACCATTGCTGCATCTTCTGTTGTCTCCGACCTCGAATTTTGGAGTTGGGGCTATGGATATCTCTACGATATACAAACCATTTTGAGCATCAACGGCACTAACATCGATAGCGTTAATACACGCACTGGATTTCGTAAGACCAAGTTCTCCAACGGGATGTTCCAGCTTAATGACCGCGTTCTCCATTTAAAGGGGTATGCACAACGTACTACCAACGAATGGCCTGCTCTTGGGTCTGCCGTTCCTGCTTGGCTCTCAGACTTCTCTAATAAGCTTATCACAAGCAGTAATGGCAACTTGGTCAGGTGGATGCACGTAACACCATGGAAACAAGACGTTGAATCCTGCGACAGGCTCGGTCTACTCCAGGCTATGCCAGCAGGTGATTCTGAAGGCGATGTCACTGGCAGACGGTGGGAACAGCGTGTCGAACTGATGAGGGATGCCATCATCTACAACCGGAACAACCCTAGCATAGTATTCTATGAGGGTGGCAACTCTGGAATAAGCGAGGATCACCAGCAACAACTCAAAGACGTACGAGATAAGTACGATCCAAAAGGCGGTAGAGCTATGGGAGCTCGTGAGATGTTGGCCTCAAAGGTTGCCGAGTATGGTGGCGAGATGTTGTACATCAACAAAGGCTCGCGCATTCCCTTTTGGCAGATGGAGTACTCTCGGGATGAAGGCCTCCGCAAGTATTGGGACAATTACTCTCCACCATACCATCCCGATGGCGAAGGTGAAGGTGATGGACCAACGTATAATCGCAATCAGGACTCTCATGCAATCGAGAATGCTGAGCGATGGTTCGACTATTACGAACAACGTCCTGGCACAGGCAAACGTGTCAACGCAGGCGGCGTTAACATCATCTTTTCCGACTCAAATACGCACCATCGCGGCACAGAAAACTATCGCCGATCCGGAGAGGTTGATGCCGTGAGGCTACCAAAGGACGGGTGGTATGCGCATCGAGTGATGTGGGACAATTGGGTTGACCTCGAACAATCAGCCACGTACATCATTGGACACTGGAATTACAATGTCAGCACAACGAAGACCGTGACGGTAATTTCGACGGCCGATAGGGTAGAGCTGAAGCTTAACGGGGAATCATTGGGTTCGGCAACACCCAGGAAGCGCTTCTTGTTCGCCTTTACCAACGTAACATGGCAAGAGGGTACGCTCGAAGCTATCGGATACACAGATGGAAAGCAGTCGTCTTCGGATGTGCGCAGAACTGCAGGAAAGCCAGTGGCCATCAAGCTGACTCCACGTACCTCACCGCTTGGCTTTTTGGCCGATGGGGCAGACATAGCTCTTGTCGATATCGAAGTGGTTGATGCCGATGGAGAACGAAATCCTATCAGTCTCAACATCATAGATTTCACGCTTTCGGGCGAAGCAGAATGGCGCGGCGGCATTGCCCAAGGACCAGAAAACTATATACTGTCCAAAACGTTGCCTGTGGAGAATGGCATCAATCGGATACTCCTGCGGTCAACTACCAAATCCGGCGCTGTCACGCTAAAAGCTTCCGCAGACGGTTTAAAGTCTGCTTCGGTCACGCTGACTAGCGAGGTTTTTAACGTCGAGTCTGGTCTCAGTACTCAAATACCCGCTTCAGGCTTGAGCAATGACTTGTCCCGCGGTCCCACCCCAAGAGGCTCTCCGTACACCCTTAGTCGCAACGCACTTACAGTCATCTCCGTCACTGCAACAAGCAATTCCGCCAATGCTAGCCTCTCTTACGACGACAACGAGTATTCTACGTGGTCGAGCTCCGGCAGTGCTACCAACTCGACCATCACGTATGAACTCGCGAAGACGTCTAATGTTGAACAGGTTGTGCTCAAGCTGAGCAACTTTCGTACCAAGCAGTATCCATTGACGGTGAAAGTAGACGATGTAGAGGTGTGGAGTGGAACAACGGCGACAAGCCTAGGTTATGTCACCTTAAAATTTGAAGGAACAAAAGGTAAGAGCATCAGCCTTGTGAGACGGGGCACGGGTGAGATCGGTATTACCGAGGCGGAGATTTATGCGGCCATCTGACGTCCAACAACCGTTTGAATTACTGAAGAGGCCGGTACGTCCCTGTGGAAGACCTATTTCTTACTATTCGCAGTAGGCATAGGTATAATACTGTACTCAATCGTCCTCTGGGCGGCCTCCTACGCTCCTTCTATATGCGGTTAGCGCATTGTATTGCGTCATACATGTCTCGTGTTACCTGCTCGCGTTACAACGGGTGCGACATCGGCATCTCGTCAGAGCGAATATCATGAACGTTTTTTTGTATACCCAGGTATATTGCCCATCACCTGCCCTAGGAATGGTTCAACTGCGGTCAATGTGGAGCTCATGGGGTCCCAAGAGCGGGATACGCGGAACAGGATGCTTCATTGAGTATGGTATCTTGGCTTACTGCCGGCGTAGGACCGCGTTCATTATCCGACTCCTTCGACTTCCAAACGCATGCTGGTGTATATATTTGAGGACTCTCAATGCTTGTAACGAACGCGTTTTCAAGCTTTTTAAGGGCTTGGGCAAGCTCAGTGAATATGCGTTTCAATTTCCAGCATGTTTTGGCCGCCTCCACATTGCCAACATGTTTTGCAACGTTGGGCGGATTGACCGTTTCTCTTGATGGATACGGGAGCTTTTTCGGAACGACCATCAACCAGACTTTAACACAGCAACCTCTTCCGGCTGGGGTTGATGCTTGGCTTGGGATTGACTACGCCACTCAGCCTACTGGAAAGGATAGGTTCGCTCCAGTTACCTTTGCAAAATCGTTTTCGGGCATCAAGAACGCAACACAATATGGCTATACTTGCGTACAAGATCCGACAACGAACCCGTACCCGATGGACGAGGCATGCCTTAATTTCAACGTATATCGACCGCAAGGCTTCAATTTTAGGGAAAGACTTCCGGTCTTTGTTTGGATACACGGTGTAAGGCATTTTGCCAGAAGATATTAGTCGCTATCGGCATTAATAAACGATAGGGCGCTTTCCTCACCGGTTCTGCAAGGTCTTTTGATGGAGCATCGTTTGTCGCAAATTCGAAAGAACCACTAATAGTGGTCACCTTCAACTATAGGGTATGTCGATGTTTTAGAGATTTGACCTCACTTCACAAGCTTATCAATCTTAGGTCAACTCGTTAGGCTTCTTACCAACTCCTGCATTTGAACGTCTAGGTCTTCTGAACCTTGGATTGCTAGACCAACAACTTCTGCTGCAATTCTTGCAGAAACACATCTCGACATTCGGTGGAGATGCAGAACGAATAACGATAGGAGGCCGCTCAGCTGGTGCGCATTCTGTTGGTATTCATCTTTTCCACAACTACAACAAGACCAGAGGTCCTTCTCCGTTATTTTCGCAAGCCCTTCTCCAATCCGGAAGCGTCACTTCTCGTTCCTTCCCTAACGCTTCATACCCGCTCTACCAAGCCCAATTCTCCAGGTATCTTGATCTTATCGGATGTGCAGGATCTGCCAACGGAACTGACGAAGAGCTACTCGGCTGCTTGCGCGCTGCTCCCATTGACGCGATCCAAAACGCAAGCAGTCTCCTCTTCACGGAGAGTGAATACGCAATTACCTGGCCGTTCCAGCCCACGAAAGGGGGTCCACTTCTCGAGCAGGCCGGTTCGGTATCCGGGAAAAACGGACAGTTCTATCACATCCCTACCATCACGACGAATGTTCCAGATGAGGCCAAATACTACTCGCCTGGCGACCTAGTCTCCAATGATGACTTCCTCGCCTACGTACACAACCTTATACCTGGGCTCACGACACAAGATCTAAGTGATTTGGAGGAGCTCTATCCCGATCCCACAAATTCCACAAACAGTAACTACTCGAACAGTCCTAATTCGACGCAGTATAATCGTGTGAGCGCCGCTCTGACCGACTTTATGTACGTGTGCCCTGGACAAGAAACCGCCGTGCGCATGTCTACCGCCGGAGTCCCGGTCTATAAATTAGTCTTTGCGACCAACAACTCATTCCCCACCTGGAGAGGCATTCCGCATACCTCAGATACGAAATATACATGGGCGGAATCGCTGCAGGGCGGAAGCAAAGGTATACAATACCCAGAAGTCGGAAAGCTTCTTCACGCATACTTTGCGGACTTTGTGGTATCTGGCAGTCCTAATGGAAAGCAAAGCCAGGACGCGCCAGCATGGGAGAAGTATGTTGACGGAGGTAAGACAAAGCCTGGTCTGCAGCTGAGAATTGAACCTTTTGGAAACAGTAGGGTTGAGGGCGATGGCATCAGGAGGGTTCAATGTGAGTGGTGGAGAGACGCAACCAGGGCTGCAAGACTCGAGAAATAGTTCGTACCATGATGTGTGGATAAATCAGATATCTACAAGAAACCCATTTGCAGCACACTGATGAGCTGCTCAGACACTAAACACTTAAACAATACATGGAAATACCGCCACATCCTGAAACGTTATGAATACCGCTGGTATCGATCCAAAGATATCGGACGCCTAACTCTGCAGTGACGATGATCGTATCAGTGAAGGTTTGGGGAAGGATCGCCATACAGAACGTGTGGAAATGAGTTCGGCTGACGATGTTTTCAGTGATCGTATATAAGATGTGCTTCTGCTCTTCCCCCAAGTCATCCTAACAGGGTGATAAGGTAATATAGTATACACCTGCGCCGGACTCGGAGATATGAAGACGAAGGGAATCATTTCCTACATCTAGGACTCCCTTGGCCAGCAATGGGGCTGCCCCTAGTGAACAGCGAAGTTCCTGGTGGCTTTCATCGCATATGCAAAGCTATACCCGAAAGAGTTGAGAACTTGTTCGCCGGTCTGGCAATTCAGGGAATTCCAGTTGAACAGTTCGACTGACATGACCTGCAAAGCTCAATCAGCCATTGGGATCTGGCCAAGGATCAAGCTGACATACCTCGCACAGCGCGAACTCCTAACAAGGATCGGAAATTGATACCTGTGACACGAAGTGTGTTGAAGAGGGCATTACTCATGGCACAATGTTGGGATAAGAGCTCACAAGTCGTGTAATAATCCTTCAACTCGTGTGGTTACAACACTTTCCTGTCTATGTTGATGCGGGTGTAACAACAACACTATCTAGAGCCGGGTAATTCTGATACACAGGTCGCAATCTCTGTGGCAAAGCGGAAAGCGAATACATTGTCGATGAAGCAGGTCCAGCGTTCATTCAGATGCCAGTTCCCTCCCAACAACTGCATCCTGGATTTGTTTTTAATATCTCCCGTATCCATCAGTGCTTTGAGTCTCGGCCGCAGAAGATCTTGTAAGCTCGCCTTTGGTATTTTTTTTGGGTTCAGGCGAACCGTGTTCGTGTTCAAGTCTAAGTTGGTAAACATCCTCCATGGCTCTTGAGAAGTTCGGGATTCTCAGTTTGAAATAGTCTGACGAATATTTTGCGGAGCTCCAAGTGGAGGCTTATGCAGCATTCTCGAGGAGTTCACCGTCGATGGTGTTGACCACTTCTGCTGAAGCACGCGGGCGGTTTTCTGAGGATTCGATTAGTGCAGCATTATCGGTGTCTGAAGTACGCTCCATTTCGTCGAGACTTCCTAAGAGTGCATTACAACTCTTCTTCAAAGCCTATAAGTCGCCTGATAAGTGAGTAGCATTCGACAACCAGTGAACGTATTCGATACACGCCTGAATGTTGAGCGATGCATGAGCCGACAAGTGGGACAGGCTGCAATGAAGCAAAGGACTGACCCCGCGCCCGCTCAGCCACACTATAAATCAACGTTACACAGCCGCAGGATCTTACGAGCGTCAGCTTGCAGAGACTGTAGGTACATACTTGTAAGTAACACTCAAGCTAGACTGAGACATGTGTCCTCAATGTAACGAGCTTATGTTTCAGCCATATACAACCTGAACATGCAATAAGTTTTCAATGCTCGCACAAATTGTACGTATCGAAATTACTCTCGACGGCATGATTGCACTTCGTCCTCTCCTTCATCAACTCCAGTCGATATGTTTTGGCTTCATCCAATGTCATGAGACCTCTCTTAGTAACCTCGTCAGCATGTGCACCTTCCGCCCATGACATCTGCTGCGGTGGTACATCCGCCGTGGACACAATCCGCATGTGTGGGTCCACAAGCCAAAGAACCAAGTACCTCCGATGGCCTGGTTTTGTCTTATCTGCAAGACTAAACGGCTCAACCTTGTGTTGCATGGTATTCGGGAACGCAATGATGCGGCCATGACGGGTGGCGATGCTTCCAATCTCCTGGGCAGCCAGCTCTTCATGCATGGCTTCTGTGCCAAATGTGATGGATAGCGGAACATGGTCAGATTGCTCGTACACCAAATTCGCCTCATCGAGGGAAGCTTCTTGGCTGAATGTGATGCGCGACTCCGTAACGTTGTCGACGTCATAGTAGTAAATCGAGGTGGCCACAATGCTCTCGTTGAGCATGCCTTCGAGATGCCAGCTGCCTCCCGCATAATCTGGCTTCTCGGGCGTGAGCTCAATCGAGGAAAGCTTGACGATGACTTGGAGGCCGTGTTCTCGAAACTCGTCTTCAATGCATTGTTTTGTCTGGCTAGATTTCCACGTTTCATAATTCTTAAAGTCGCCCGGCTCGGGATGAATGACCGTACGCGTTCGCTGAAACACTTCTTCAATAGCATCCAGAAGGTCCCAGTCTATCATCTCGTTTAGGTCCTCCGGAATCACCCTGCGCTGGTCCAAGGGTATTCTGTGCTTTCTCCAGTGTGCCATGAGCTGGGGGCTATCGGGCTGGGCAAGGTATTCTTTGATCTGTGGGGCCAGCAAGGGAATTCGGCCCTCGTCTTCGTTAATCTCATCCAAAAAGGGTGCTTCTCGTGGTTCGGTTACTCCCTCCATAGTTTTGATGCGAAGACAAGAACTTCGGTTGAACCCCTTGACCAAAACACTATTCCACAATGGAACGGACTTCGCGATTATTCGCTCAATGATCTCATAAAGCTTCCTATACTCTATCGGATGCAAGTTGTTGATATACGAGGTGATATTCACATCAGTGCCTTTGTCACTAACAAATCGAACCTCAGAAGGAAGCCACTGGAAGCATGTTGAACACAATTGGCTAAGATCTTGGGAGCGGGACCATCTATAACCTCTCGGGATTTCTCCGCCTTTTTCGACGATTGAACCTTCCCCCAAGAACTCAAAACAGGTTTCCCTGCCCACCTTTCCGGCTGTCGTAGACCTTGATCGACCCGATACCAGGGGATACAGGGAAGGATGGACTAAGTTGAGGACTTTTGATTCAGAGTTTGGATGCCAGTCTTTCTGATCATCGCCTACCGCCAGCAAAGGCTCCACTGCTTGTCTTAGGTCGACCGCAAGGCTCTCAGATATGAGGATATCGCTCTTGACGCATCTGGTTTGGGCGTCCAATGTCGGTACGAACATTTGCTGTTCGAAGTCTTTCGATTTATCGCGCAGCTCGTTGATGCACCAGTCGAATGTTTTGTCACTGATCATGCCGTCTGGCATTGCTTGGACTTCCTCATGCCATTTGTGCACAATAGTCTCATCGAAGATCTTGACATGCCACATTGGTTTATCGGTAATCGAGTTCATGAGTGCGAGCATTGCTATCTCGCGCACCGTCAGACGCTCCGCTTGGTAATCGCTTATACCGTGTCGAAAACGGCGATCATCAAGCCAGCCGTAATGTTTCTCGTCGAGGTGCCTAGGTAACTGGAAAGGCTTTGCTTTGGAAACGATTCCATCTACAATGGCTTTGGAACTGTAGTTCTTTTCGTGACAGGTCCCTGTGCCCACATTCGCGTACTGGTGTCCTCTCAATCGTGCAAGTACGCGGTATGGGTAGGAAGATGAGAATTGTCGGTAGGCAAGGCATGCCGGCCTTGATCGTGTCGTGTACCGAAACAACATATTGAGATTCGAAAAGCTTAACCGTAAAGATTAGGTTTTCCGCATGACGAACAGTTCGCGGGGATATGTTCGTACTGAGGATGCTGTAAAGGGGGATTCCACGCTAGCTTGTTTTGTACAAAATGGCAGCGGGCACTACCCTCGTCTACGAATGCGATCTAGTCATACCATGGCTGCTACTGAGACAGAGTAATTACAGCGTATCACGCCGCTATGGTATTCATTCGCTGCAGCGTCCTGTCAACGCTGCGGCGATCTGCGGACTTCTTCCCGCTCGTCTCCACACGTACTCCGCATCACGCTAGCCAGTGTTGTCCCTTCTGGACGTTATCGGCGTCACCCCTCATGACGATTATCCTTTCCAGGCTATCACGACATTTCTCCAACCTACCTCCCGTCTATTTTAACAGCAGCTTGGAACCGTCATTCACCACACCATGGCAAGCCCAAAGACTAACCGCCTCATCCTCGGTCTCATGACCATTGGACCAGACACCGAACTCGGCGCCCGCATAACCTCTCTCGACACCTACAAGCAATGTCTCGATTACCTCTCTAAAAAGGGCTACCACGAGCTCGACACCGCAGGCTCCTACGTCGGCGGCAAACAAGAGGCCTTCACACGCGACGCCGATTTCCGCTCGCGCGGCTTCGAAATTGCGTCAAAAGTATACCCCGTGCAGCCCGGCGACCATGAACCCGAAAAGCTCCGTTCGAAATGGCTTGCCAGCCTGGAGAAGCTCGGCGTCGACTCCACAGACATACTGTACCTGCACGCCCCGGACCGCGCCACGCCCTTCGAGACAACCCTTGAGTGCGTCAACCAGCTGTACCAGGAAGGCCGCTTCAAGAAGCTCGGCCTGAGCAACTACGCCGCCTGGGAAGTCGCCGAGATCGTCGGCATCTGCGAGCGCCGCGGCTTCGTCAAGCCCGCCATCTACCAGGGCATGTACAACGCCATCACGCGCGCGCTGGAAGCCGAGCTGCTGCCCTGCCTGCGCAAGTTCAACATTGATCTGGTCATCTACAACCCGCTCGTAGGCGGGCTGTTCTCGGGGAAGTACTCGACGTTGGATGCGCCGGCCGAGGGGCGCTTCTCCGACAAGGTGAACTACGGGAAGATGTACCGGGAGAGGTACTTCAAGGAGTCGGTGATAGACGCGCTGGCGCTCGTGGAGCCGGTCGCGAAGGAGCATGGGGTGCCGCTGATCGAGGTGGCGCTGAGGTGGTGTGTGCATCATAGCAAGCTTAAGATGCGCAGTGAGGGCGGGAATGACGGGGTTATCATTGGTATCAGCTCGTATGAGCAGCTGGAGCAGAATGTCGAGGCTTTCGAGAAAGGACCGCTGCCACAACCTCTGGTCGATGTGTTGGATAAGGCATGGGAGCGGACCAGAGGCGATGCGGTTACGTACTGGCGGTAGCTTGGATTGCGGCTGTAAGCCAAGGCGGGCCTCACCGAAGCAAATGCAAAGCTTGTTCGTTCGATGAGAAATTGTGTCTAGCATGGTGATCAGCTGTCTTAGCAAATCACTGTTGGCCGGTGGAAGTCCGCATGGGAGATTGAAAGCTGTAAGTTTCATGTCAACACCAATCACACAAAAAAGCCACGCAGAACATAACGGCATCTACACGTTTATACACGTCCTGAGGTCAACTTCGTCATCACATCACTCAGCAACGAAGAGCATTCTCCAACACGCATGTACCAAAGTCCCTGTCCAGGCTGATAACGGCAAGTGCAGCCAAACGAGCCAACGCCAGGCAGTATACCCGGAACAAGCAGCCACTACATCGCAGCAGGAGGACATCAATTCCCACCACCGTCGGGCAGAAGGGCACGAGCACGGGTCTCAACTGGAACCACACCGCAAACAACCCGAGAAGACGCGCGCACGCTGCAACGACCAGAACCTCCAAATCCACCCCGCGGCCGCACACCACCAAAGCTATGCGCAAACCCGGGACCGTTCTTCCAGACGAGCACGCACGCACCGGCTCCGCGGTATCGTCCATGTGGGACTCAGCTTGCCCGGTTCTTTTCATCCACATCGTCTCCAACCACCGCGCAACATCATCACGTCTGCCCTTCTTCCGGCATGCTTCAATGCTCAAAGACACAGGTCAAGCGATCCATGCCTCCTACGCAGCCTTCTCCGCACCCTCTGCCTTCCCCGCATGCAGCCACCTTGCATAGTCGGCTCTTGGCCCCGAAATCCAAGGCGTGCATTTGCCGAGCTGTAGTGTCACACTCGCACTACAGGTACTGGTTACCACGCTTCTAGCGTGCATGCAGCTCCCACGTTGCGCATGGGAACATGAAACAGTGCCTAGAGGCTCAGCGCGTGCTTCAATAGTGTACGACAGCGGAAACGTCTGCAAGGGGATGGAGGAGGGCTCAGCGGAAAATTATCAAGGTGAAAAGAGGACGATTACATGTCTTGATGGTAAGACCTACTTGTAAATAGCATGACCGGGCAATGGGAAAACACCACGCTAAAGAATCAGGCGAAGATATTACTGTATTCACTACAACCCAGACGTCTTTCTTGCCCGCCCCAGGGTATATCTATCGTATCATCGCGCTGAAACGCGCATACAAGAACCATGCCGTCGCCACACATGGCGTGTCATTATCGTTATTCCACCGTAGTACGTCAAAGTGTAAACAGAGAAAGGAAAGTCGTAGCGGCGGGACGCGGATACACGAGGAGCGTTGAAATCCGAAACCCAGCGCAACCATAGCCAACACTGCCAAAGCCCTGCGTCGTCATCCTCCCCTCTCAAACATTATCGTCATTACCGCCGGCAGGAGCTTTGGTGTTCGCCTTGATGCGCTTATAGCAACAACCAGGCAGCGAGGCCAGCAACACCGGCCAGGGGGAGACCAGTAGCCTTGGCAGCAGCACCAGGGGCCGCGGTTGCAGAAGAGGCAGCGGAACCGGCAGCATTGCCGGCTGAGTTGGTGGCGCTCTCGGCAGCGCTGGCGCCGCTGGAGGCAGCGGAGGAAGCTTCCGAGGCAGCAGAGGAGGCAGCAGAGCCACTACTACAGAGTCAGGAGACGTTCAGGTACGAGGATGGATAGACTTACACGGCGGAAGAGATCTCGGAAGCCAGAGACGAAGCAGCGGAGGAGGCGCTGGCCTCAACAGAGGAGACGGCGCTGGATGCCTCGGACGCGATGGAGCTGGTCAGGGTGGCGAGGGTGCTTGCGGCGCTGGAGGCAGCGCTTCCGGCGGCACTGGTGGCAGAGCTCAGGTCGCTGCCAGCAGAGTCGGTGACGGATGCTGCAGCACTACTGACGGCACCACTAGCAGACGCAGCAGCGGAAGACAAGATACCAAGGGCGCCCGTAGCGACCGAGGAAGCTGCCGAACCACTTGCAGAAGCCAAGACACCTGAAGACAGATCAGTAAGAGAAAGTGAGACGCAATGGGGCGTCACTCACCGGCGCAGTAGGTGGCTCCGTACGAGATGACCTGAGCGGCAACGGCGTCACTGCCGCATGCCTCTCTGGCGCAGTCGCGCACACCGTAGCCAAAGTCCTGGTTGGAGCAGTAGCAGGCGACGTCTCCCGAGGAGCAGCCAAACGACGACTGAGCAATGGCGATCATGTTGTTGACACAGGTTTGCTGGAGCAGTCAGCATGCGCCGAACATTCCTTGAGACGCGAGTCAGGACTTACACCGCATTGGGGGAGGCTGCCCGCATCCTGGGCGAGGGCAACGCCAACGACAGCAAGGATGGCGAAGGACTTCATCGTGTAGAAGGCTTGTGGAGGGTGCAGGGAGGGTGGCAGGAGAAGATGCTGGGCTAGTAGGGGATAGGATACTAGGGGCGAAGGAAAGCTTCGTGCCGAGAGACTGCTAGCGGAGTGTTGTTGTCGTTAATGAGGAATGCTGGGAGATGTGAGGAGACAGACAGGAGCCAGGCGCGGGGATATTTATTCGCACATGTGAAGGCAGGGAAACAGGAAGTGGCTGGTGCGTCGTGCTGTTTCCAAGTTTCGTGGGTAATGAAGTCAAGTCTAGTAAACGACGCTTGCGGTAGGGACGACAAGCTCCACAAAACTGTCGGCCAGGCACCGCCGGCACGGGCGTCGACCGCATTGCCCAATCAGATTGGAGGCCCCGCGTCGCCGTGAGCGTTCGAGAACCTGGACCCCAGCCTCGCTCTCCCGATGATGTCGTCGTACCGAGCGGAGCGTCACGTCTCAGGGCCCTGGCACTGCGCCGCCGTCGCCATCCCGACCACTGCGCCTCTGCTCAGAGCCGCTCTGTGATCGTACACAGTACACAGCACGTCGTCGCCTCGTGGCACGCAGTTATGCATGGTGTGAGCTGCTGTGCTAGCCAAAGCTTGTGCCGCGCTTCTACGCGACGTGTGACGTCTAGTTCTCTAAGTCTGCAGTCCAACCTCGTCGCCCATTTGCGCCTGCCTTTGCACTCGGCGAGGCTGAGTGTGCGATGATTCGCCCGCCGCTCATGCTTGGGAAATGGGATTCTAGCGCCGTGCACTGTGTCCCACATTCACTCGATCGCGGCGTTGTTTGCCAGCCTCCCCATCGCTGCCACCACGCTGCCCTAGTGTCATGGGTCACGGCGCAGCCCATGGTCCACCGCGGCCGCTACGCTGCAAGGGAGATGTGCGCATCCGTGCCTGGTGCCGATTGCGCCGTCGCTGCGTCCTCCGCCTCTGCCTGTTCGTCCAGGTGCTTCTGCTCCGCCGTGGTGATGCATTGCATGTTCGCGCCTGCCGTTGCAAGTCAGTAAACAGCCGCCGCGCCAAAACAAACAAGTTTGCGGGCATGCGCACCTAGTTTGTTGATCGTCTCCATCCACTCATCGTAAGGATCCGAGTCGAAGACAATTCCGCCCTGGTGTGGCTGGTCAGCGCATCTCCCGCAAACCAACTTTTCCAGGAACTTACCCCGGCTTGGAGATAAGCGATACCGTCTTTGACCAGCATTGTTCGCAGCGCAATGCATGTCTGCCGATCCGTCAGCACTCAAATCTCAGCTTCACTCAACCACGCGACTGGTTCTCGACTCACGTCCATGGCACCCTCAATCTCGCGCTCGCCGTCCACGCTGCTGTAGCCGAAGTAACCCACGGCCCCGGCGTACACACCGCGCTTTTCCCGCTCGAGCTCGGCGATCAGCTCCATTGCGCGAACTTTTGGTGCCCCGCTCACCGTGCCTAGTCGATGATTTCACATCAGCCAATCTTCTGCAATGTTGTCCAGTTATGCAAATGACGTACCGGCGGGGAAGATGGACCGGAACGCGTCAAAGCGCGTCTTGCCAGGTCGCAGCACCCCTGACACCTCGGATACCAAGTGCTGCACATGGGAAAACTAACGCCCAATTAGCACCTTGGCCGGATACCTACAACAACGCATCGGGCACGTTGCCAAGCACGTACCTTTTGAACGACCATCAGCTTGTCGACACGTGTGGTGAGCGGGTCGCAGACGCGATTTACGTCATTTCTGGCTAGGTCGACCAACATAACCTGTCAAGTCGGAATCAGCTGTGACTTCTGCTATGGGCATGCAGCCGAAACGTACATGCTCGGCCCGGTCCTTGATGGAGTTGGACAGCTCCTCTGCCAGAGCGGCATCCTCTTGTAGCGTCTTGCCTCGCTTGACGGTGCCCGCGATGGGGTGCGTGATGATTCGGCCCTGCTCCTCCTTGACCAGCAATTCCGGGCTTGCGCCCACAATCTGGAAGTCCTCGCAGTCGACGTAGAAGAGATATGGTGACGGGTTCACGTTGCGCAGATGCCGGTAGATGTTGAACGGATGTAGAGAGGTCGGTCGCGCGAATCGTTGCGACGGGACGGCCTGGATTATGTCGCCCACGCTTATGTGCTCTTTCAGTCTCTTAACATGGCCTTCGTAACCGTCCTGCCCGATGTTGGATTTGTATTCCTGGCCCTTTCGAATCGGCTGCTGCTCCGGTTCCGGAATTCTGTCCCTCTTTTTCAACAGCGCTGTGTATTTTTTCAAAGTCTCCTTGGCTTCGTTGTACGCCTTCTCGAGGTCGTCGAGACTTCCGGGCACCTTGACATAGGTGATGACCTTGACAACCTGCGAAAAGTGGTCCAGAGCTACCACGGTATCGAACAGCATGAAGAGACTCTCGGGTACGCCCAGCACATCTTTCATGTCATCTCGCTTCGTTTTCGGCTCGAAGTATTGCACGCAGTCATATCCAACGTAACCCACTGCGCCGCCAGTCATCGGAGGTAATTGTATCGAAGGCACGGTTGCCACTCTGCTCTTCGCGAGCTCCTTCTCGAGCAGAGGCAGCGGATCGGTTTCGGGGCCATGGCCTTTGCCTGTCTTGAGGATCTTGCGCGGGTCTATTGGGTGGTCAGCCTACTGCATCCGTCCCGTCGTCCACAGGCTGGACTCGCACCTGCACCAACGAAACTGTATCGCCCAATCGTCTCAGTTGTAGCGGCACTTTCGAACAGAAATGACAGCTTCGATTTTGCCCTAGTTGATATCAGCACCGCTGCTCGATTCGTCCGGCATGCGCCCTTAGGGTGAGTCAGACTCACTGCTCAGCGATCTTGAGATATATGAGACCCGGCGTCAGGAACTCGGCGGATATGGAGGAGAAGACGGGAACGAGGTTGGGCGGGTTGGGCGACTCAATGGCAGCAGCGAGGACCTCGCGCACCGTGTCGAGCGACGGCTGTACGGCGAACTAGCAGGTCATGCGTCAGTCTCGTGTCTGTCCAAACCGCCAGTGGCGGCGGAACTGGCGCACCTGGGCCATGATTGGATGTCGCCTGTCTGTGAACAGATCGTGCAGCAATCTGGCTGACTATGTTGAATCGCAATATGCGCCGCAGTTATTGTGGTGGCATCGAGGTGAAGCCAGAAAACATTGAAGCTCAGAGTCACTGCGGGGCCAATCGGAGGGGCGTGCCCCGCAATTGGCTCACAATCCAAGGGCCACTTCACCGACGCCCCCCAGCACCAGCCACCACCCTACCACTGCACGCTGACGGAGCCGGCTAGGCGGGCGCAAGCTGCGCATATTGCGCCCGCTCCCCGTCCCGGTCTCCCTCCCCTGCTCTCTTACCTTTAACTTCACGATGCCGTTGTAGAGCGCATTCTGGATTTTGGACATCCTCGCGCTTCCGCTCATCTATGTGGCCTGCCGACGAGTCGAGCAGCGCTATGCGCTCCACATCCTCCACAGCGTTGCCTGGCCGCCCATGGACTCCGCCAGAGGACGTCTTCCCAGACGAACATGCGTCCGACTCCACACCGCCTCTCGACCAGAATGACGACTCTCAACGACTAACTCGTCCGCATGCGGAAATCGTCCAACCAAAACGACCTCGTAAGCTGCAGATTCGCGCGACCAAGCCCGTTATGTTGGAGTCTCCCGAGCTAAGCGCAACCGGATACTCGTCCAGAGCCGATGCGCAAACCCCAACACATGAGTATGGCGTTGAGAACATGCCTGCGCAGAACCCACATCCATTCATGGCGGATCCCATCACACCCATCAGAACCCCATGGAGCTCTGGCCTTCTGCCGAGCAAGGACATCCCGCAATATCCCTACACACCCGAGTCGATACGCACGACAAAGTCGCATGAGATCCGGTCGCTCTCACCACTTCCTTCGATGCCATGGGATACAAAGGACTCCTGCCATTCTCCCATGCAAGATGCGCTCCTATCATGCGCCTCGAATCTCGAAAGCCTGATTATGAGTCGGGAGCCCACCGACGAGCAGATGGAGTACTTGGTGTCCAAATTCGAGGAGATGGCGGGTTTCCTTACTGCGCCCGATTCCCAGTCGAAGCAGACGGACGATCATTTGTTCTCCGAACCCGAAGAACCTTCTGAGGCTACAGGTCTCGGTATCATACCCCAAGAGCCTGCCAACGATCATGTGAATGCAGACGATCTTGCTTTAGGCCAGTCCTACATCTTAGAAGTTGGCAAGTACATTGAGAGCGTGAAGTGTCACGTGCGAGACTTAACCACGCGGATGGATGAAGTGAAACAGCTGAACTCCATTCAGCTCGACATCATTGGAGATCTGCGGAGAGATCTCAGGAACAAGACCTTCCAGACGAACAGAACCGCTCTGGTGAAACATGAGGATGATGAGCTTATGCAGAACCCAGAAAATGTCAGAAAACCTCCTCTTCCAAGGAACAGCTTCTGGTCCGCGGTAGGCGAAGCGTTAGACAAGGTGGGAGAGCTATTCCACGAGTGGTAATTGACGGAGAAGCCGATTCTCCAAGATCGTTTTTCAAACCCGGCGCAACAGGTTGGATGATATGGATGGGCACAGTTGGCGGCCTTTTTATCGCCTAATCGTAGGCATCATTGACGTTTTTGTTATCTGATTTGCGCACACGACGACACGATTCACGAGTAGCATTGGGCGGACGCTGGATACCCTGGGACTGGATGACATACGGCGCTTGGTTAGGTAACTGAATCAAGTTATATGACACTTGTTCTTCTGACAGCTGGTCCAACCTAGTGCAACTGCTGCGTTGTGGACGAACCGCACCCGAATGCGCGTACTGTTGGGCGACGGCTGGAAAGTACCACTCAACGCGCCTATTCACCCCGCGCCCCGATATTCATACACAAGTACACACAGCTTTTCGTGCCCTTCCACTTGCGCGACCATCAGGCTCGCACGATCGTGCCTTGTTACATACACTCTACCTTCTGTTACACTCACATCGCCCAGCATGCCAGAGCACGCCGAAGTTTTCGCACACTGTCCTATTGCGGCCAGAGAACATGTGAGCCCGCCCCCTGGAGCACATCATACCTCGCCCTATACGAACCAAATCATGGAGGAGATCCACGCAAGGCAAGCGCAAGAGGCGCTAGAAGCGCAGGAGCAGGCGCAGGCATACCACCAGCAGGCGCGGGCTCCGACACACACTCAGTCAGCCCCCTCGCGCGTGCAGTCGCCTATGCATCCACGAACACAGACGCCCATGCAGTCGTATAATGCTTATGGGCCTCCGCGAGGTTCCAGTAGAGATGAGGTAAAGGCGAGGGAGATTAGGCAGGATGAATGGGAGGTGCGGGAAGTGGAAGGTGGGTTGGTTTTTTTTATGGAGTTCCCAACCTTCTTCGCAGTCATGAATTGTAGTCGCACGCTACGTATTGTGACGCGGATTGTTGACTTTAGGGTGAGCGACGTTGGCATTTGATTTTGGAGGGTGAACGTTCCGTTTCATATCTACAACCCATTCTCATCGTCCCGCTGCAACAATTTCAAAGAACAGTCATCTAACATTGATCAGAAATTTCACCACACCGGCCGACTCCCCCCTCACCCGGCACCCCATCAACAACGATGGCCGTAGTCAACGGGACAGACAACGACAACGACACTGCCACCATGACACGCTCCTCCGTAATCGAGGTAGAAGACATCCCCGACGCCATCCTTGATCCTGCTCCCGAAAACATTATCCATTTTAAGGGCAACCTTGTCCTCGTCGTTGGCAGCTCCGACCGTCAACGCTCCATTCTCGTGCAAGCCGAGACAATCGAGCACTTCGGCCAGCCGTGGCAAGAGGTCATAAAGGACTCTAATCGCGAACGCCTTCTCTCCGTGCGGCGCACATCCCACCTCCCCGACGACGACGCAGACATGATGCTCGTGCTAATGTACCTATCCCACTCGTGGCACGTGGGCAAAGTTCCCAAAGAAGTTTCCTTCCAGCAACTCCTGGCCATGACACGAATCTGCGAGAAGTACGACATGAACGCGCAGGTGTCGCCGTTCGTAAGGCGGTGGATTGTTCCGCATCAGGACAAGCTGCTGAGTCCCGGGAGGGAGGAGTGGCTGTTTATTGCGCACCAGTTCGGGCTCGAGCGCCATTATATTACGCTGGCGTAGCATCTGGTGTTGGGTTGTCGGACGGAAGGGGGTAGAATGTTGTTTCCGCCGGGGAGAGCGGAGAAGCTGGAAGGGTTGGTCCCGGATGGTGCGCTCGGTAAGATCCCCCTACCATTGCATATCGATTCTGGTACTGTGGCATTGTTGCAAGGTGGTGATTTACTAACAATCACACAGTCGAGATCCGACGGAAACGCATAAAGGCGCTCTCCACTGTTCTCGATATTGTCTACAAGCAGATCGATCGTCTCGAGAACGGCAACACCTGCCGCGCCACGCTGTCACAGTCGCCAGGCGAGGAAACAGAAGCGTTGATCGAGGCGGAGCGCGCGATGTGCACGCACTGCAACCACGGCGAACTCATTCGGTATCTCAAGGTCCATGAGTTCTGGCCGCCCATTCAGCAGAGTGCCCACGTCAAGTGGCCGGTCAACGATGTGAGTCCTCCCTGCCCCAGACGAGATGTTGATAGCAGACTTACAACCTACAGGTCTTCGACATGCTGACTAGCATCCCGGCCATCAGCTACCGCCTCCTCCGCAACAGCTACGCCCACATCCCCGATACCGCGCCAACAGAACCCCCGGGCAATGCGCATGCCATTTGCGACATTGGCAGGCAGCTCGCCGTGCTGATTGCAGACGCACAGCGTAAGCTGGAAATGCCCATCGCGACATCTACAATCGATGAGATTAGAAAGAATGCAGAGAAAGTAGGCTTGAAGGACGAGGCCACAGCACCAACTTATCTCCCGGCTGAGGAGCCGCTGGATGAGATGAGTGCGGTAGGGCACAGGTAGCTGAGCCGCGATAGGATGACAAGGGGATGTAGGAAGCTATGGATGTAGTTGCTGGAGTGGCCATGTGGAATACGAAGTTACGCAGCGATGACCGTCACGCAGGCATGGCGTTTTGGCGGAGTGTCTAGACGCTCCATCTCACCCCGAGCCGGAATATCCGGCGTGTGCATACCTTCGGTGCAACGCTGTTGGCGTTAGGAGTCGTTACTTGGCGTATCTGCATAGATCTACAGTACAGGTGCGATCAGCGGACCTCGGCGGATGCGAAATAATACTTCTGAGGAACGAGTGTTTAATGTCCAAGAAGCATGACGTTCGCCGTGCTCACAAGACACGACTCGCGATTGCACTTTCCATCTTCGCCAACAGGCCCCAAGCCCAATCCAGACCAAATGAACAAACTCGCGCTGGAATGACCATAGCCAGCACCCCCACTGGCCCAGCCCCCACCAGCGCGGTCCCAACATCATCACCACAATGCAAGCGCCATGGGTCCGCTTCGTCACGATTATGGGCGACGCCGCCCAGCGGCGGTTCAATACCCGCGGGCCCGGTCGCTCGCGCCCAAGGACCGACCAAGCCCCCGTAGCGGAACAGTCACCAGGCTGCGAGCTGCGGTCCAAGACACCACTGCCGCCAAGCGCAGCGCGAGGGTTGGCGGAGTCCCCACGACCCCGCGAGGTGAACGACAGGAGATCGACGGCTGGAGTGGAGAAGAGGCGAGCGTGAGAATGCCAGCCACTGGCAGCTGTCTGATGATGTCCCCGTTGTGTCGGCACGTAGAGTCCGCCAGTTCGCCTCAACAGCGTTTCAGCCACGCTTGGGGTTCCTTGGAGCGCACGTGATGCCACTCCGCCGAGCGACGATGAACCTGGTCACGGCTCCCAGTAGAAGGAGCAACGTGCGGCGCCCAGCCCAATCCCTCAGGTTGCATGTTGCACTGCGTCCGGCGCTTCTTCGTTGCTTGGGCAGTCGTAACGTTTGCCCTGGGCGGTGACAGCTCGCAGCAAACGGGACGGCAAGAGCACTGCGGTCGTACCATTGCAGCACAGCGTGTGCTAGTCAACACTCGGTTTGTCCCACGGTGCCGGCGGAGAGTCTGGGCGCGACCGCAGCAGCAGCTTTGTCGGTCCTTGGCGGCCTCAGAAGGGCGCACGCAAGCTGCACCACGCGCAGACGGGCAGCGGAGCAACGAGCATCTGCGCTGCCAAGTGGGCGGAGGACAGCAGAGATGACATGTTCACATCTCCAACGCAACGACGGCTTTGCTGCCGTCTCTTCCGTCTTGACTGCCTCAGCACGCCCTCAGTGCCCGTCCAGCGTGGTCGAGAGCGCCGGGCCGTGATTGGTGTCCGCAAACATCGGCCATTCTGCCCAGCAAAGCGCCCAGCCCTTGGCTATGGATCTTGGAGACTGGAGCCAAGCCCAAGACCTTTCTCCAAGGTCTTGAGAGCGCAGACTGTATGTAACCACTTGTCTTGCCTCTCCTGAGAGCAAGACTCTGCCCGACCTATATCATGAGCCGTCTCTCGTCGTCCTGCGCCCCCCATACGACCCTGTAGTCGTCGTTGCCGCTCGTGCAAGCGTAGCCAATTGCAGCCGGCCATGGAACCCCATCTTCCGCCGGCGCCCTCGGCCGCCCACCACCACCCGCCCGCAGCCTCCAGGGCGCCCGTCGACATCGGCTACCAGTACAACGAGAAGGATGTCTTCGACCACCGCACGCAGTATGCCCCGCGCGTCGAGCGCGGCAGCAAGGGCAGCAGCAACAGCCGCGCCCACGACTCCGTCATCTCATATCCGCGCTCGCCCAACGTTGCGACCGCGTCACCGCCAAGCCCCGTGAGCAGCGTCTCGTCCGGCCGCAAGCACCGCTCGCAGCAGAGCGCGAGGCATTCGCACGATGCCATCGCACGGGTTGCGCAGCCCCCGCGCGCCTACATCGACCCCGAGAAGGCCGGCAGCTCGCCCTACCGCTCGCGCTCGCCCACCCGCGCCTCGGCCTCCAATCCAGATGCCACCCGCCAGACGATAGCCTACGACCCCGATGATTTCGACGAGAAGGGCCCCGAGGACAAGCCCGTCCAGCTGCTGGTATGCATGTCCCCGCAGTGCGCCCGCATATCCCCCGCTAACACACTGTCCAGCTCTACCTCTCGCTCCCCTGCGCGCTCCTCTCCTTCCTGATCATGCTCTGGACCATGGTCGCCCTCCTGATTTCGCTCCTGCTCCAGCCCTTCCGCCTCTTCTCCACACGCTCCACGCTCCCGACGCAACTCACCACCTTCCTCGCGCCGCCGCTCAACCTGCAGCTCCACCTCATCTACTCCTTCTCCGCAGCCGACTCGTACAGCGCGCCCATGCTCGTCGTCATCCACCTCTTCTCCCCCTTCGTGGCCGTCGGCGTCGCCATCGCCGCCTGGACGGCTGCCTGCTTCTGGTTCTTCTCCGCGATTTTGGGTGATCCTGCCGGCCAGGACGGACATAATGACGGGAAGGAGAGTATCCTCGGGGTGCGCAACTGGTGGGATCGGTGGCTGTCGCGGGCGCTGAGATGACAACATCCCCCGCACGCGAACAGATGAAGCGCGTTTGCGCACACTTGCATGATTGTTATGATATGTTTTGGACGGCGTTTGGGTTGGGCTCCCGCGTAAAGCGACTATTCCAGCGGCATTGGGTGTGGCGTTGAGTCTGGCACGGCTCTGGGCTGGGTTTACCTTCGGTGCGGCAACGTCGTTTGGCTGTGCAGCTTTGTTTCTGAGTACATGGTTTTCAGGGTATGCCTTTGGGCTGTACGAGATTTTGGGAAGGGAAGGACGGAAGGGCTTCTATGTGATATCCCCCATTGCAGCGTGATGCAATGCGAATTTGATCCATTACTCCACAGCTGCGTTCACTGAGTGACCCGACGCACACCCAGTTCAAACTCCTTGGAATCGCCTGTGAGCGTCATCCAAGATGTTCAACATGCTAGCCAGTGACTCTACCTACATTCACGCCCTTTGTCACATGCCACGCCAGCCTACACCTCTCGCTCACCGCCCCACTACCAGCCAACCTTCGCCCAGCCACACTGACACAGACTACACATGTCGCTCGGCGAAGTCTGCCGAAGAGTACGTAACGCGCTCGGCCGTTCTCCCGCCGAGCACGCTGGCGGAGCACTGAAATTTCCGCTGGGGTCTTGGCGGGAGATGTGTGGTATGGCATGACGAGTAAAGGGTGCGAGCATGGACGTGGTGAGCCGAGCGGGCAAGCAGATGTTGATGGTGGTGGGCATGGAGGGAACAGGAGGCACAACCGTGTAGAACGACTGGGTGCGATGTGGAGGTGCAGCTTGGCTCGGGGATACTGAGATTGGAGGTAAATATTTACTTGGACTTTGTGGCCGGCGCGGAAAAGCATTCAGAAAGCGGTGGGGCAACTCGTTAGGAGCGCGCTGGTCCACGTCGATGCTATCATGTTCTATGCGCCGTAGCCTCCGCCCAAGAGAGTGCGGCTGAACGAGACGACCAGCTGGTGGCGCGTCTCGCTCCCTCCCCCTACTCTGCTCTACCGCCTCGGCTTCCCTGCCATGGATGCAACGTTCTCGCGGGAACAAGCCGGCAATTGTCCCACTCCCTATGCAGACAATAAGAGTCATGAGATGCCGAAGACGTGCCCATTGCGCTCTATCTTGGATGCCAGCTTACGCGGGAACAAGCCGGCGTTTCTGTTCCACTACTGTGCTCGCGCCCAGGTGATGATCTGACGTCCGGCCCGCGACGAGACGGCGGAGCGTTGGCAGGATGCCGGATTGCCGTCCGGTGGGTGCGTGGGACGCTGCGAGTCTGGGCGCTGGGCAGGAATGGAAGGGGCGGATGTGTAGTATGGTTTTGTGACATGGTGTGTGTTGACAGGCCGGGAGAGTCTCTATTCTCGGTGAAGAAGTGGGTGGGAGGAGTGCATTGTAGGAGTGATTCTTAAGAACTGGCTTGGAACTTACTATTTTCTCACGGAACCTAGTTGTTAAGGGCTTGCTTCTGGTTGATGCATCTTACAGTTGTATTGCAGGACTTGTGTTGGTTTGAGGGGCGTATTGCAAAAGCCCCAGGGGTTGGCGCGAGAAATGTTGTGGGTAAGAGTAGAGCAGGAGTGCTGTTGTCGCAATGCAATATACCTTGGACTTGAACGAGGCTTCCTAACTTGAGAACAGTGAAACGAGGTTCTATGCTTATGCAGAACGGTTTGGGTGATTGTGGAGTCTGGCGCATCGTGGCGTGCCTAGGAGGGCAGTACTTAGAAAGACGCTACTAGAGAGGTACATGGTCCTATGTATAGACGCAGCATAGAATACAGAAACTAGATGGGTACGGGCGAATTTCTCCATTGCCCTTACTGGCTTCGTCACCGCTCTCATCAAAGGCAACTACGAAGAGTCGATTATGGCGATGGTGGGTGGGCAGGTGGTGTTGAACATGACTATGACGAGGTTGAGTTGATGAGTACTAGTATCTATAAGATGGGGACTGAGTAGGAGAATTTGTACTACTAGTTCAGATGGATTTGGGAGCTTCTGACGGCAGAATCGGATCTGTCTTGGAGACCTCCAACGACGGCAGATGAGCGACGCGTTGAGCCTGAGAAATGTCCAGCGCTGAAAGAGAGACTTCGGAGTGAACTCTTCGGGGACATGGGAAAGGACTCGCTAGGGCCAGTCTTGGTGAAGGCTTGGAACAGTGAGTTGAACAGCGCGCAGGAAGCAATTGAGGAAGTGCAGGAGTGTGTCACGCAAACTTGCGTAAAGCTGATCGACGAAGACGGCATTGACATAAGAAGACCATGTGAGGAGGTGCTTGAGGTAGGTGAAACAAATGACATTCCGTGGCATCAGTCGCTCAAATTGAGATAATGGCAATGTGTATCAACGCTTTTCAGAAACCATTCATTTGCCTAGGTGGCTGTGTCTCGACTTAGGTTGGCTGTCATATTGAAAGCCCACTCGTGTGATCCACCAAGATATTCCAGTTTTAAAGGATCTTCAGATATTTGGTAACCGTTGTCGAGAGTCTCGCGCGTGCTTCTGCATTGGTAACGTAGCGTTTCAGATAAATAGAAAAGCATACGTCGAGTGAGCTCAAGTTCTTGAAGTGTCCACGCCCTTTGATATGCAGGCTTATCCACATCCTAGTATGAATTCAGACAATGGCTACATTACAATTTGATAGCACCAAATTTGGTGTCGGTAGTTCCGAAGGGCACTTGGAAATTAGTGCCATTAGCAATAGAACAGATATGGGGTAGGTACCTTGGGCCCGGCTCTAATCTGGACATTCTCTGCTGAAGAAATCCGTCGTGAACATCCCCTGCACTAGCTGCAGCGATAGTAATGAATGAATTCTCGTAGATATTGTGCATGTTCGCAATCACTGTATCTTTGTCTTCTCCAGCGTCCTGTTGGATGCATAGTGCATCAATCCACAGATAATATATTGAAAGTGCCTCTGTCACAGAAATTGCATCGTTTATCGTTCGCGGCAGTAGTCACAGAGGAAGCCGTTCCATATATTTGATGGAATTCTTCTCGATGCGCTTGTGGTCGCTTGGCTGAGATCCCAACAGTATAATAAGGTGGCATATTTTCCTTGCAGATGGCCGGACATCACAAGACGTGGTGTCATAGGTCTATCGTCTTGTTCAATCTGTATAAGTCGAGTGGGAAGTTAACCATTGTGTTGTTGCTCACATTTGTCGTGTTCTGCGCATGCGACGATCCAGTCATGGATTTGCTGCTCTGTCGCTTTCAAGGATACGCCATACTGGATTAGGCGTAGACGGTGCCGTCGTTCCCAGTAAGATGTGACGACGTTGGTGTTGGTTACCAGGCTGCATCGCGATGTCAAGTGAGTGGTTGGGGTTGATGGCTTGGTCTAACTACATATAGCACTAGCGTGTACACCTCCACCAGCATCACCTCCAGCAACAACTTGAACAGACCCGGGTACCATAAGCAAGTCGAGTAGCCATTTGAACAACACAACGATATCCACATCTCAGTCATGTCATCTGTGTACCGACCTTGGAGGCAGTGACTGGATGGGCAACAGAGTCAACACGAACATTCAGGCCATTGATATGGTACCCACGTCTGGAACCTCGCAGCATGAGCCGTTCAGATCAGTGTCTGTCACTCCTCGGAAACAGATTCCGCGACCACTTGTCATCTTCACAAACATCGTGTGTCACATGGAATATATGGAGCTCAGTCAGCCACATTTTACAGCCTCGCCAAACCCTGGGTTTTCGGGGCCAGACCGGCTTGGCAGGATGTGATGGTCCCGACTCGCCACGTCGATCGACCAATTCGAGATCTCCACGCCCAGAAGTAGTACACTCGAGAGCTCAACATGGACAAGCGACAGCGCTTGCGGCATGCCCGCAAGCTCTCTCGAAGTACCAGTCCGCACGAAGGAATGTCACCCTTGCGCAAGGCTGTGATCGCGTGGACCTTTACGAGCTTTCCAGCTATGCCAGGTCAACCGAGCTACGATAGATGCAGACACAGTCGTCTTCGGCAGCGTATATGACTCTTTAGAGGTCGAGAGCCTAACTCTTAATGACTAAGGAGAGAGATCTGCCAAAGGCTTCAGCAAGTCTTCGGCCGGATGGGGTACCCGAAGACGTCGCTAAACCTATACGAATCGTCTAACACTGCCCATTGGTATTCTCACGACTACGGTGCAGTAAGTCGACTGCCCACTAGGTAGGACCATGCATGACTCTGGCCTATACATCAAGGCCCCGCGGTGTTCGAGACTGGAGACTATATAACGTGCATCGTCCCTAGGTACAATTCATGGGCGTGGGTGAACTCAATTTGTCAAGAGAAGACCCTACAGTCGTTGGTGTCTGCACTAATGTCTTTCACTATGCGTTATCTCACTCTCCTTCTTATGGCCTCACTGCCCTTGGGGGCCTTTTCGGCTCGTGTTTCGACAGACGCGAGCTGCGGTGGCTCGAAAGCTCACACTTGCCTTGGGTCTACTTTTGGCAACTGTTGTTCGCAGGTATGTGCCTGTCTCAGAGATAGATTGAGGACTGCTGCTGACTTAGACATATAGTATGGCTGGTGTTAGTTGATCTCATTCAAACTGAGTAGCTGAAGCCTACTGACCCGTATCACAGGCGGAAGCACCGATTCCTACTGCGGCAAGGGATGCAACAGCAAATTTGGTCGTTGTAAATCCAACACCGGTGCCAAACCGTCCACTTCCTCGAAACGTGCTTCAGCAACGGCTCACACGTCTTCTACCGTTCCTCCACATCCAACCGGCCTGCTTGTGTCGACAAACGCACGTTGTGGGCCGTCTTTCGGTCGCAAGACCTGCCTTGGGAGCAAATGGGGCGACTGCTGTAGCCAGCACGGCTGGTGCGGTTCAAGCAAGGGTTCGTAACTCCCCACACCGGAGGGACATCTCTAATGGATATCAGATCACTGTGTTGCGAGTACCTGCCAAAAGGGGTATGGAAAATGCAACACCGTGAGCTCGTCTCGTAGCTCCGCGCGAACATCCAAGAGCAGCTCTTCAACCGCCTCGCGATCCGCATCCCGATCGACCGCTGGGAGCACTGTATCATCAGTGCTCGCCTCGACTTCAATGATCAGTACATTGGCCGCCTCCTCTGAGTCGCCTCCATCATCCCAAACGCCTTCGAGCACTCGTGCTCCAGAGACCAGCTCCGAGATGCCATCATCATCAGTCAACAATGATAGCCCGCCCTATACACCCACAGCGTCAGTCATTTTACCGACCGACCCTGAAGAATTTCTCGCTACATACACCTTCCAAGACGATCCTCTCCCCACGCCTGTTGAGATGGGCAGCTCGCCTGTCACATCTGGGATCACGCCCGTCGAGAGTGATCTGGTGAAGACGTGTCTGATCATTCCAGGTCAAGCTGACGCTTCCTTCCAATTGCTTGAGCCAAAGGACCGAGTTCCGCTTATCAAGAACAACGACGGTACTTTTGGACCAATTCCAGCACTGAGATCCGAAGCAGAGTTCAATGCGCAACCCCCAGTAGAGGACATCAAATTCATGTCGTTCGCGCTTATAAGCAGTGACAATGGACTCTTCGATCTTGTTACCAATGACAGTCCCCGTCAATATGTCGCGAAGAAGCGCGATGGATCGGTAGTTCTGACTGACGGGCCCACGAATAACGCTCAGATGGCTACTTCTATCTTCGATGTTACGTGCGAAGGTCGCATTGCCGTTAGAGTCGGTTCGCAATACTATACCTGGACAGTGAGTGGCAAGAAGACGGTGATGAGGAGAGCTTCTGGCACACCGGACACCATGTTCGCTCTGCCAGACAGCCCAGCGGCACAAAAACGACGCCGCCGCAACAAGTCTCAAGAAGGCGTTGCCCCCCGCTGCCCCTCATACCCTCGAGAGCTGGAAGCTAGAGTCTTTCCCGGTGCCCGCGGCAACAACCCTAACCAGTGCGGCTCGTCCAGCTTCAATGTACCTGACCTAAGTTTCGGCAAGTGCTGTGATCAACACGATAACGACTATGACGACTGCGGCATGACTTTCGAGGAGGGCAATAATAGGTTTCACTCATGTATGCGCGGATCAGGATGTGATTACCTCAACCACTGGTACTACTGGCCAGCATACGTAGGCTGCCTGAAGACTGCCGACTTCTATTACAGCGTGGTGTCATCGATTGCCGGACAAATAGCCTTCTGTAAGTGTCTGAGACCAAGCAAAAGGGAAGTTGCTGACAGACGTAGACTCCGCCAACAAAGACCGCTGCAGATGCTACTGCACAGGCTCTACACCCCATGGATGCACTGTAAACGGCCAATTTCAATGCCTCAACGTCCTCGGCTCTGATACGAACAACTGCGGCGCCTGCGGCCGTACCTGCCCGCAAGGCTCGCGCTGCGAAAACGGCCAGTGCAAGTGCCCCAACGAACAATGCGGCAATCGCTGCGTAACCCTTGCCTCGCATCCTCAGAACTGCGGTGCTTGCGGCGTCGTCTCGCCCTCGGGCTACTGCGTCGGCGGCCAGCCGTACACGCCCCCCGCCTTTTGCTCTCGCGGCAACGGCTTCCGCAACGGGAACTTCGCAAACAGCGGAAACGACTGGAACGCGCAGATTGTCAGTGGGGGCGGAAACTCCAACTTCGGGGTTGGATTTGACGGCGGCGCGGAGGATGCAGACGCTATGGTTGGCATCTTCTCACTCTACTCACCCAATCCTAGTGCGAGTCTTAAGACATCCGTAAAGATGTGTCCTGGAATCGCATACACTTTGGGTTTCCAGATACGCAGGCCGTACGGCAATGACAATTGCCAGTACTCCGTCTATGTGGCTCGGGACCTGTACAACAGCGGGAATGTGCCGCTGCCGGCGGACAGGGGCGCCGGATGGATGTGGGTTTCTGGGCTGCGTGTTGGACCATTCAGCGGAGAGCGGCAGGGAGTCACAACGGCGGGGCCGGAGCTGTGGGCTGAGTTCCAGCTTGATGTGAGGTGCTCGGGGGGCGCGCCGTATGATTTTATCAGGGTGGATCAGTTCTCGATCAATCCTGCCTAAGCAGCTTTAGATAGTTCTTCAATCGCAGTCACGATATAGCAAACGCGTTCGGAGTACTACATCCTAGCGGTTTTCCTGTAGCCATTGTCCTTCACAACAGCAGATCGAAGATACTTTTTCTTCCGTATAAATGAACGATTCCTACTGCAACCCTAAAAATTGTCGATATATTCTTGAGGGGATACTCATCTCAACTGCAGACCTGGAGCCATGCCATGCATCCAGAAAACGGACAAACCAATACATGGGCGACAACATCCAAGTGGTAACAACGTGTCATTACTGCGCGGGCCTTTCTGGCACACCGCGTCTTTAAGCTCAAACAAAATCCATATATACAGAACTCCATATCGATAATGCCTCCAGTTTTTCGGCCGGAATCGCCACTTTTATGCTGGGTCCGACTACCACTGGACCTTCTTGTCCCAGCCGATGAACTCGTCGATAATGTCCTTGTAGTACTCCTAATCCTTGTTAGCCACAATCCTACAAAATGGAACTGTCAATGGGACCATACCTTGAGATCCTCAACCTTGGGAACATCATCGCTCTTCGAGTAAAGATCATACGGGTTGAACGCCTTCACAGCCTCCAACATACGCTCATCCTTCTCATTCATCATCCACCTGTACGCGCCCTGCGAGTGCCACGGGTAGAAAGAATGGTACCTGATCATCGCGAGGCCCTCATCCGGAATCGTGCTCTGCGCCTTCATGATGTGGTACAAATACTCGTCATGACCCCAGCTGAGCATCACATTATCGAGACCGCAGCCAGGCGTGTAGATGCCGTGCTCAGTGCCGTAGATGTAGTTGTCGTGATCCGGGTTGCCCTTGAAGGTGTCGGGGTAAATGATGCGCTTATCGAACGCGCAACCAACGGGGAACGTGTCGCCGACGACGTCCCACTGGCCCTCTGCGCCGTAGAAGAAGAGGAGTTTACCCAAGTCGTGGATCAGGCCGACGAGCTGCATCCAGCGGGGCTTGCCGTCGCGGCGGATGGCTTCGGCGGACTGGAGGAGGTGCTCGATTTGGGAGAGGGAGGTGTCCGGGTCGGACTCGTCGATGAGCGTGTTGAGCTTCTCCATGGCCTCCCATACAGTCATGCTAGCGCGCGTGGTGGCGTAGAAAGAGTTGCGCGCTCTGAGGTTGTACGCAACGGTTTGCTTTTCGTGCTGCTCGCGGTAGAAGTTCTTGACGCGGTCGCAGGCCTCCTCGTACTGTCGGAACTGGGTCTTGTCCTTTTCGGCATCGAACTGGGATTGCTCGTAGATGTCCTTCTCTTCTTGTGTCGCGGTGCCATTCTTCACCTTCAAGGCGGCTTTGAGAACGTTGACATCGTCGATGGCGTCGGAGGTGGCTTCGAGGGCGAGGCCGTCCTTCGGGTTGGCGAAGGGCTCCGCGATGTTAGGTTGCTCGACGAGGGCGCCGGGTGCCATTATGAAGATGTGTGAAAGGCAAGGGGTATCTCAGAAAAGTAAAAATGCGACGGCAATACGCTTAGTGTTCGATAGTCAAAGAACGGTGAGGAGATGCAGAGGAGGACAATGAGGTTGTTTTGGGAGGTTACTCGAGATGCAAGCTTCGATACTTATTCTTCATCGACCCTAAGTATAGACAGGTATTCTCCGCCGGTGTCATCCTCGCACTCAGCCCAAAGTGTCTGCGACCCTGCGACCCCGAGCAGGACCCAGCCTACCATCTGTTGCAGAGTCTGGTCTCTTGCATTGTCCAGCTCCACCATTTACGGGGCCTTGTCCGCAAACTTCACCCCCCAGGAACGAAAGCGCTGGCCGTGAGGAAATTCTCCCCGCAGTCGACGCCATCCATCTGGATCGCTGGCTAGAACAGTTCTCGAAAACGGCCGCTTAGAGAGGGGCGGCCGACAACATGCTGACTGTGGTTGGTGGCCGGGGATCTAGTGTGCTGTTAGAGACGGTTTTTGTGGTTTTGACCCAACATTCTCGGCGGCGCCATCCTTCTCTCCTCCCAGGCAGGCAATTCTCGCCGCTCTCACCAGATTTGCCCAAGTCCGCCCGCAGACCCTCAAATCGCCCACAAACCACGCTGATCACACGCACAATGACGCCACGTGCCCCTCGGCGATATCTCGCCCGACGCAATTTGCCAAAAGCGTCCATACTCTTGGCCGCACCCTCCGACGCGGGCACCGGCGCGCATTTACGTTCATCCAGCCCCCGCGCATCCCACGCAAGAGCCTCTCGGACCGATGGTAGCCCGGCGGGGTATGCCATGGCGGGGCTTCGGAAGAATTCAGGGCCCTCGATAGCCCAATAACATTTTCATTACCCAAATGCAGAGCGCAGCCGGCGCGGTGGAGGGGCAGTCGGCATAGGACGTGTCTACGCCCAACAATGTCTCCACGTACATATACCCTGTGCCCCCCGTGCCAGCATGAATCCGTCTCTCGCAAACTTTATCCTCAAGCTCTCACCCAAAGACATCTTGAACCCCACGCCCACAATGAACACTGCTATTCCTCTGAACACAGGCGCCACGATCCCCGCATTGGGACTCGGGACGTGGCAATCTGCACCGGGAGAGGTGAAGAAGGCGGTGATCCACGCGATTGAGGGCGGCTACCGACACATCGACTGCGCGTTCTGCTACCAGAACGAAGACGAGGTCGGTGAGGCGCTGCAGGATGTGATTTCGCGCGGGATCGTGAAGAGAGAAGACCTCTTCATCACTAGCAAGCTGTGGTGCACGTTCCACACGCGCGCGGAGGAGGGCCTGCAGAAGAGTCTTGATCTGCTGAAGACGCCCTACGTCGACTTGTACCTGATGCACTGGCCCGTTCCCATGAACCCCAAAGGTATGACACGCATCCCAAACACACACTGTCTACCTCGTTTTGCCCTCCTAATCAACCCCATGCTAACGCCCCCCAAGGAAACCACCCGCTCTTCCCCAAACTCGAAGACGGCTCCCGCGACATCGATCACTCCATCACGCACATCGACACGTGGAAGAACCTCGAAGCGCTCTACAAAGCCCACCCTGAGAAAGTAAAGGCCATCGGCGTAGCAAATTACTCCGTCAAGTACCTCGAGAAACTCCTCGCCCAATCCACAATCACCCCCGCCGCCAACCAGATCGAAAACCACCCCCTCCTGCCCCAGCAAGAAGTCGTCGACTTCTGCCGCTCCAAGAACATCCACATCACCGCGTACAGCCCCCTCGGTTCCACGGGCTCCCCGCTCTTCAAAGACGCCGGCGTGCTCGACGTCGCGAAGAAGCACGACGTAGGCCCGGGCACCGTGTTGCTTTCGTACCACCTTGCGCGGGGTTCTTCGGTGCTGGCGAAGTCCGTAACGCCGTCGCGCATCGACGAGAACCGCAAGCTGATTACGCTTGACGAAGGGGATATGCAGGCGCTGGAGGCGATCCACAAGAAGAACGGCGTGCAGCGGTTTGTGTACCCTCCGTTTGGAGTCAATGCCGGGTTTCCGGATAAGACGGAGGGGATTGACCTTAGTGGGTAAGGAGTGTAGAGTAGAGATGAAAAGCTGTTATTATACCCTTATAAAGATAGAGTACCTATCTACTTGCTTCGAGCGGGTAGAGCGGAATAAATAGTGTAGTTCGCAAGTGGCCACTGTCTTGATTTAGTGGTGCAGTGCTGTAGCTAGTACTCTAGCCACCGCCGTTGTAATTGTACCCACGAACACTAACCTCCAGGCACGGCGGCGTGGAGTGCTTTGTTCGAACCATCCAACTCGTGTTTTATCAGATCAGTCGAGAAAGCCATGCAGCAAAGTACTGCGAATTAACAGACGAATAGCATATACAGTATCTACCGCCCCATCCACCCGCCATCAACAGTAACAACCTCCCCGCTCACATATGCACTCGCCGGACTCGCCAACCACACCACGGCGCCTTTGAAATCCTCTGGACTCCCCCACCGTCCCGCCGGAATCCGCTCCAGAATGCTCTTCGCCCGCTTCTCATCCTGCATGAGCGCGGTATTCATCTCCGTCGCGATATACCCCGGCGCAATCGCATTGACGTTGATGCCCTTGCTCGCCCATTCGTTGGACAGCGCTTTTGTCAGCTGCGCGACACCGCCCTTGGACGCGGCGTACGCAGGCACCGTGAGCCCACCTTGGAATGACAGCAGACTCGCGATGTTGATGATGGCGCCGCGGCGGGTGGAGTTGGGGGCGAGGTCGGTGGGTTGCTGGAGCATGTGGGCGCCGACGTCGCGGCAGAGTGTGAAGACAGAGGTGAGGTTGACTTGGAGGACGGACTGCCAGTCGTCGTCCGGGAACTGGTGCGCGGGGTGCCGCTTCTGGATACCGCCGCAATTGAGCAGAATGTGGATTCTGTGGCCATCTTTGAGGATCTTTGGGAGGAGAGCGGAGACGGATTCGGCGGAGGAGAGGTCTGCGGTGTAGATTGTTACTTTGCGGCCGAGCTTTTCGATTTCTTGCTTGGTCGATTGGTTGGAGGTGTCTCGCTGGCGGGCAGTTAGTTGGCTTCCCCTGTGGAATTGTGTTCGAGGAGATTCACCTGTACGAGGAGGATGTCTGCGCCTGCTTCTGCGAGGGCAATTGCCATGGACTGTCCAATTCCTCTGGTCCCGCCTGTGACGAGAGCAGTCTGCCCCTCGAGCGAGAACAGGTCCTTGACGTTCGTCATCGTTTCTCAGCTTGAAGATGTTTTCAATGTGTGTGCTGGATGGTTCTAGTCTTGCAGCCCTGCAGCGAGGAAACCAGCTTCTTCAGAAGCCCAACGAAATCTTGCGATTGTACAACGCGCATGGATAGTCGGCAACATTACCCCAAAATCGCGCTCCTAGCGCGGGGCGACGTGCATCGGCATTTGACGAGTGACGTGAAGTGGGCTGCCGAGGTCGGAAAGGGTAGCCCCGCTGGTGCGTCGGCGTTTGAAATGCGGGACACGATACGCTGAAGAAGGCATTTGTCTCCAACGACGGCGCACCAGGTCGTCTCGAGGGGTCATTGGGCCGGAGGCGCGAGGGCTGTGTTATGTTTTGACTCCGCTTCCCGAGTCTGTGATTTCTGCTCCTTGATTCTCCCAAACAGCCTCAACCTTCAGTGTTCTTTTGCGTAAAGAATTGCATACCCTGTATTCTTGCTAGCAATTTGAAAGATGGCCGCGGAAAGAACACCGGACGTGCAGCAGAAGGAGAGCCAGATTCGCGCATCTGTCCTACACGGCGCGGGAGACCTGAGAATCGTATGCGAACCATGCTTTCTCCTATTGATCCCAACTAATGTGTGCAGGAAAACCGCTCGATTTTCCCTCCAGGTCCCACAGACGTTCAAGTAGCTGTTCGCGCCACTGGCCTCTGCGGCTCAGATCTTCACTACTATCGGCATTACCGCAATGGCGACATTATTGTGCGCGAGCCCATGTCGCTTGGACACGAGTCTGCGGGCGTAGTTGTAGCTGTTGGTTCTGAAGTAGAGAAGTCACAGAAGTTCAAAGTCGGGGACAAGGTAGCTCTGGAGGTAGGACAGCCATGCGAACAGTGCGACCGGTGTAAGGAGGGAAGATACAACATCTGCAAAGAGATGAAGTTTAGAAGCAGCGCAAAGGCATTTCCGCACGCACAAGGAACCTTGCAGGATAGGATTAACCATCCCGCGGCGTGGTGTCACAAGTGAGCAGAATTGAACCCTGAAGCGCTTTGAAGCTGATCTGGTGCAGGCTTCCGGAAGATGTTTCGCTCGACCTTGGTGCACTTCTGGAACCGCTCGGAGTCGCTATTCAAGCAACAAAAAGAGCGCAGCTTCCTGTCGGCTCGACAGTCTTGGTGTTCGGCGCAGGCGCAGTGGGACTGTTAGTTGCAGCAATGGCAAAGATATCAGGCGCCAGCACTGTCGTGATAGCAGACATCGATTCCGGACGGGTGAACTTCGCGGTAGAGAACAGCTTCGCACATCGGAGTTTCACCGTGCCGCTGAAGCGTGGTCAGACGATAGAAGAGAACCTCGAAATCGCGAAGGAGACAGCTGCCGAGATTGCAAAGGTAACAAGGGTGAGTGGAGGAGCAGTCGGCGAGGTGGATGCTGTGTTCGAGTGCACAGGCGTGCCTTCCTGTGTACAAGCATCGATATATGTGAGTCCCGCAATACATGCGCTGGTCATTGAGCTTCCTCTGACTGCTAAAAGGCAACGCGACCGGGTGGCAAGGTCCTGCTCATCGGCATGGGCACTCCCATCCAAACGCTCCCCATCTCAGCCGCAGCGCTCCGCGAAGTCGACATCATGGGTGTGTTCCGATACGCAAATACATATCCCACCGGCGTCGAGGTAGTGTCCAAAAAGGGTCCCGATTACCCAGACTTTTCAAAGCTTGTTACGCATCGATACAAGGGTCTCGAATCGGCGGAAGAGGCTTTCAACATGGCTGGGAAGACGAAGGACGACAAGGGCAATCTCGTAATCAAGGTCGTGATTGAGACGGGAGATGGCGATAAGGCGAACCTCTGAGCTGCGCAATGCTTGATGGTGTTTGGAGCTGTAGAAACTCGAGTAGCTGTTGTAAAAGTCGATCTTCGTTGTTGACATCGTTCCCCGTAAACCGTACCTGAGCAAACCCCGGGTGCATGACGTAGGGCGGGATATCTCACAGGGGTCAGGGTGTTTCCCCACGTTCAGGTGCATTCACCTCGTGTCTCGCTACGGTTAATCCTCCCGCTGTAGTTCAGCCTCAACACTCTACGCCTGCTTTCGTTCCCCAGATATTCTCGCCCCGGCGTCCCACGTCTGGAGTAATCTCGCCCCAGATCTGGCCGTTGTCTCTAGAGAATCTCGGCAAATGGGGAAACTTTCCCCGCAATGATCTCTCGCTTGAAGCTATACGGCCAAACGTAGTAAGCGTCCAGCCAAAGGACTTGCACGCGTTTACCCACCGACACGTCCAACGCCATCGAACGCATTGCACACTTATCGTTCCGCGCATTTTCTCGATCAGCCATGCCGCCAGCACTAGCCCCGAGCCTGCCTCGAACGCACAGATTGGAGATTGTTTCCGATAATACTGGGGAAGTGTGGACTATGGGGTAAACCAGCAAAGAAAACGACTACAGCACACGCAACTCAGAAGATGGAAACGGAGATCTTCGGCTCAAAATCGCCTACTTGGGAGCCCTGGAAGCTATGGCCACGCAGTTGGGTTGGCCGGCGGTGAGAGCGAGGGACGTAGTATTCCGACATAGATATTTCAGCCGGCCGCTCCAACGCTGCATTACTTTGCGAGTTGCACTGTGACGCGAACCCCCCCCCCCTCCTTCGTACAAGCCCAGGTCTCTCAATTGACCTCCTTACAACCTTCTAAACGGCACAATGGCTCCTCAGATCCGCAGACTCCAGATTGCCGTGTCCGGACTCGGCCGTATGGGCGCTCGGCATGCAAACCACTTTCTGCATCGCACGCCGCGGGCAGAGCTGGTTGCTGCGTTCACGCCAGACCCCAAAGAGCTGGCATGGGCAAAGGAGAACCTCGAGCCCTGGGGCGTCAAGACCTTTTCTGACTATGACGAGATGCTGAAGCACTCGGGCTTGGAGGCCGTCTGTGTAGCAACCGCCACCACGGTGCACGCCGAACAGACCATCAAGGCCATCGAAGCCGGAAAGCATGTTCTTTGCGAGAAGCCGCTGAGCACAAAGCTCGAGATTGTAAGTCATCACTTTCTCCACCGCCCTGGACCCGCACACACAGTGCCTTGCCTTCCTGCCGCCTCAAACCGCTAACATAACCCACAGTCTGAGCAAGTCCTCCGTGTCGCGAAGGCGCACCCCAACCAGAAAGTAATGTGCGGCTTCTCCCGTCGCTTCGACGCCTCCTACCTCGCTGGCTACCAGAACGCGCTCTCGGGCTCCATCGGACGCCCCACCATCCTCCGCTCCCAAACCTGCGACAAGTACGACCCCTCAGGCTTCTTCGTCGCCTACGCTGAGTTCAGCGGCGGCATTTTTGTTGACTGCAACATCCACGATATCGACCTCGCGCTGTGGTTCTTCTCTGAACAGAAGCAATTACCAAGAGTGAAGAGCGTCATGGCTGTCGGCGTCACCGCGCTAGAGCCCGACCTCGCGAAGCACGGGGACGTAGATAACGGCGTGGGCGTAGTAGAGTTCCACGACGGGCAGATCGCGTACTTTTACAGCAGCAGGATGAACGCGCCGGGCCAGCACGACATGACGGAGATTATCGGCACAAACGGCAAGCTCACCGTCAACGCCAACCCCACGCTCTCCCTCACTGAAGCACACACCCCCACCGGCATCAGCCGCGAGATTCCCCAGAACTACTATGAGCGCTTCGAGAATGCGTTTGTGGAGGAGGCACGGCAATTCACCGACGCAGTGTTGGATAACAAGGCTGTGCCCATCGACATGGAGAGCAGCGTTGAGGCGGTCCGGATCGGTGTTGCGTTGCAGGAGTCGCTGCGTAGCGGGAGGAAGATCTTCTTTGACCGGCAGGGCAACAAGGTCGAGGATGGGACCCGGGCGAAGTTGTGAGAAGCAAAAGGCTTTATTATGTGTTACGAATAGATCCCTGCATATGCATAGAACTGACTCTTGATTTGCCTTTGTATCTTTGTTATTGAATCTTTGCGTTGGGAAGGCTGTCATGGAGGGAATTTGGTGTGCACAGCCACGTATTTCCTCTGGCTCCACCGCCTGACCGTTGAGTGCAGATGCCCTTAACATTCCAATAAAATTCCACACCATGGTATTTGATGCAATTGCAACAAATTTGAGTACCTAAAAACTATCATATCACGAATTGTCCTTCAAAACTACGGCTTACTATGCACACAGACGCTGCAACTGCATCAAAGCAAAATTGGCCGACGGCTTATCCACCCTTATGGAATCAAACGCTATGTCCACGTATAGCAGCTCAGCAGAATTCGACCGCCCTATGTGACCCCAGCCTAGGCAAAGCTGTGCTCTACTCTCATAACACCTGACTTTCTTGATACTGTGCGTGTCCACACAGGTCGATACCACATATTATCCCAGGATGAGCAATACAATATGCAATCTCTAAGAGCATGATGGTATAACCGCATTCCAGGTCCATACTTCCCCAGAGAGGACATCGAGGCACCGTCTGCCCGTGGTCCGACTAGTTGACATGTTTTGATACGCCAGGTTACCCCGGGACGAGCAATTCACTCTGCAGCCTTCGAGAGTAGCGTTGTATCAATAGACCTTCCCCCTATCGTATAAATCCGCTGGGTGTGTACTGATTGTTGTCCACCTGTGCGGTTGGGCGCTGGCTTCTTTCAATTAAGCGTGTTGCCCCAGGATGAGTGATGCATCACCAGTGTCTCAAAGTAGTACATTGTACCAGTCTCAAGTGTCTACATTTGCTTCGCCTGCATGCGCGTTGCCATCCACTGCCTTTGCACTTACAGTTCCGCAGCTCTTTCGAGTTGTGATATCCTGGGGTGACACAGGATAAGCAATACAGCACTCAACTCCTGAGAGCACCATGGTACATCTCAGTCCAGGTTCCTCCCTTTACCCCAGAAGATGAATGGATGCCAATTGACCATGTTCTGCCTGGCTGATTGCTAGCTGGGCGCCCCGAGTTATCCGAGGATGAGCAATGCATTGCCCAACGTTTGCGAGCAACGTAGCATGCTGTGGCTCACTCAGGCGGCCTCACTTTTCAGAGGGATCTCGATGCAACAGTACAAACCGGCCGGGGCTCGCTTGACTGGTACATCGCTGGCTGGTTGCTATACTTCGAATTACTCCTCGATGAGGATAATAGACCCAGTGACCTCCGTGCTCTACTAGTAACAGTTCCTTCCTTCACCAGCCCAACTGTTCTGGTCCCAATGGCTCGCCTCGTTGGCCAGCTGGCCAGTTTCCATCTTTACCTGGCTTCACCTGGCCTCACTGGCCTCCCCCGTTGCCGTGCCTGCCGTGCCTGCCTGTCTTCACTTCACCTTCACCGTGGCAACCAGCCAGTGGGCCAGCGCCCACACAATCACAAAATCCCCCCGCCGCCCGCTTCTTCTTCTCTACAACGCCAGTCTGCCTGCTACTGCGTGAGAGCAGGAGACACGTCTACGCTGATCGTCGGCAGCCGCGCCCGCGCCTTCGCTGCCTCCACAGCAACAACAGCACCAGCCGCCGCTCCAAACCGCCGCCGTCTGCGCCAACGAAATGGCGCAGCGCCAGAACAAGTGAGTATTATGCATGTCGTGATGTGTGGGTCCGCCAGGTGCCTTGTTTTGAGCGTTGCTTTTCTGAGTTTGGAGGATTGGGAGGGTATTGTGAAGATACGACTCGGCATGGGAGAGACGCTGGGAAGAGCTGGACCTGGACCTGGACCTGGACCTGGACCTGGACTATACCGACGAAACGACAAGAGAAGACGTGAAGAGGAGACGGCACCTGCGATGCAAGCGCTACACGGCTGCGCCCGAGCTGGAACGGAAACATATGCCTGGACCAAGGATCTGCCACTGTGGAGAAGAGAGGGGCAAGGTATCGCCAGCTGTCATTGCACAGTGGCGAAGCTATTCGACACACAAGAAGAGTTCCACCTCCAGAAGCCAATAAGGGAATGTCGAAAGCGAATTACACCTGCGGGACGAGGGCTACAATTTCCTGTGGTGAGGCCAGCTCTACAAGACACTGCGCTGTGCGCTTTTCCACAACATTGGGGAGATGAAGAGAGATGGAGGAGCCTTGGTGAGTATATCTCTTTCCACATTGTCTGGGGTCTGAACACTGATTGAAATACAGCCACATCGTAAAAGCCACACACCACGAGACCTCAACTTTACTTTCGCCCCGATCCAAGAAATGCTGCTCTCTGAACGCACATGTTAAGCCTGCGAAGCAGCAGCTCCCGCTCCCACCATCGTCTTCCGCTTGCCGTCTCGGTCTTTTCGGCCTGGACAACCCTCACTTACCCGTCCCCACCATTAACACTCACGACAACCTCCCTGCCTGAGTCCGGGATAGGTGGCACAAGGTGATTCTTCCGCGCCACAGCACAGGGCGGTACCGAGACACCATCACTGAGTCCACTCTGGCTATGCTATGCTGGAACAAAGCAACCAGCAACTGTGAACATGACGCAGGGCATACAGTAGCGATTGCGGGCAGGGCTGGTAACTTGATGTGATTAGAAGCTAATAGGATACAGCGTCATGCCGACACCAGCAGCGACCACTGGAGTGGCATGGCACCCGTCGCTGACCTCGGAGGACGACCGCACGTGGGTCCAGGACCTCGTGGAGCGCCACAGGGAGCACTCTCTGGTGTACGCCTGGTCCGAGGCCTGTGAGAAGCTCATCGGGTCCTGTTGGCAGATCCCGGTCTGGACCCACGTGCAGGTCATGAAGGGGCGGCACGGCAACGCCAGGGACCAGCACGCGAGCTTCCGGCTGTGGGTGGCGCCTGCAGTTCCAGGGTATACGTAAGAGTGTAGAGGCCTGTAGTTGCTGGCCATTGCTGATCAGTTGTAGCGCAATGTGGAAGCACTGGTGCAGCGTGCACCTCCGGGAGTCTGGGTGGGAGACGTGGGTCATAGCGGGTTCCCGAGGTAAGCACTCCCTAGCTATGCGGCCACGAAGTGGAAGTGTGGGCTTTGAGGACGTGGCTTTCAAAATGGTTCTGGGCGCCTCGCTCACTTATACGCAGACATCGGCGAGTACTGGCCCCGGCCCCGGGCACAGATCGGACAGGTGAGTAACGGCATCCTTGTGGAAGAGACCACTGCTAATGGCATTGTAGATGGGAACGCCCGACAGTCTGGTATGTATTGCACTTTTTGCACCTCATCAAGCACCGTCCGAGAGGAACTCGGTCCACAAGTCCCATTCTCTTTCTATTGCTGTACCTTGTACTGACTCTTCACAGATGCGTCCACCGGCGGCGCTCCTGCATGGGCCGATGCTGGCGTACGACTCGCCGCCCCCGCCGCCTCAGATTGGGTGCGCCCCGCCGCCCGGCTGGGTTCCCCAGCAGTAGAGGTATGTGTCCACATCCCATCCCAGATCCCCCACATTCCCTCCCTCAGCGTCTTGAAGGGCTGCTCGCCGGGCCGCGGATTCATGGGGTCGTGCGCGAAGTCGTGGAAGAGGACGCCGTAGACGACGACGAAGCCGATGAGGTTCCACTGGACGATCTTGGTCCACCTCTGCCACTGCGGCTTGATGGACTTGAGGCGCAGGCGGCGCTTGAACTTGCGCTCGAAGCGGAACTGCTGCTTCTCGGTGAGGACGCGCAGGTTGGGCGGCCAGTGCTTCTTTGCTTTGTAGCGGTTCGCGGCGAAGTTGAAGGGCGGCAGGTCCGACCTGGGGGCCCGGCCGAGCAGGCGCGCGAGCAGCTGGAGCATGGTGGCGGGCGCGCGGATGCGTCGAGTGTCGCGTTGCGGTGCTGGAGCCGCGCAAGTTTGCTGACGTCCGTTTGCTAGGCGCGTCTCCGGTGCACGGCCCCGACGCCACCACGGCTTCCGCCTTTTGCTTTGGCAATTTTCGACTGGACAACTCTGACCCCGCCCCCACCATCGACACCCGCGACCAACTCTCTCTCTCTCTGACGCCGCCCCGGCCGCGCACACGCTCTTTCCGCTCCTCTCGCTCCTCTCCACCATGGCGCAAGCCGCAGCCCCCGCACAGATGCACAGCGGCGCTGTGAAAGCTACGCTCAGCGCGCTGGACCCTGAACTCAGTAGCGCCAACACACTCAAGATCGAAAACACGGAAAAGCGCGATGCGCTGATCAAGGAGGAGAAGAAGTACCAACAGCAATGGGCCGACGCACATGTCTTCGAGCCCGAGGCGCCCTCCCTAGACGAGGAGCCCTTCGACACGACCACACCCGACCAGCTGCACGAGAAATACCCCAAGTGGCTCGGCAACTTCGCGTTTCCCTACATGAACGGCACCCTCCACGCCGGCCACGGCTTCACCGCCTCCAAGATCGAGTTCACCGCCGGCTTCTCGCGGATGCAGGGCAAGCGCACTCTCTTCCCGCTCGGCTACCATCTCACTGGCATGCCCATCAAGGCATGCTCGGACAAGCTCGTCCGCGAGGTCGAGATGTTCGGCAAGAACTTCGAGCGCTGCCCCGTCGACGACATCGTAGAAGAGGGCCCGGCCGACAGCGCCGTTCCTCCCGCGCCCACCCAGTCCGAGAACCGCACCGACCTCTCCAAGTTCTCCGCAAAGAAGGGCAAGGCTGCGAGCAAGACGGTCAAGGCGAAATACCAGTTCCAGATCATGCTTGCCCAAGGCATACCGCTCGAGGAGATTCACAAGTTCGCAGACCCCTACCACTGGATCGAATACTTCCCGCCGCTCGCGAAGCGCGACCTGACGTCGTTCGGAGCCCGCATGGACTGGCGCCGCCAATTCACCACGACCGATGCCAACGCATACTTTGACAGCTTTGTCCGGTGGCAGATGCGCAAGCTCAAGGAGATGGGCAAGATCATATTCGCAAAGCGATACACCGTCTACTCGCCCAAGGACGGACAGGCCTGCCTCGACCACGACCGTGCCAGCGGAGAGGGTGTCACCGTGCAAGAATACACTGCGCTGAAGATGAAGGTGAAGGAGTGGTCCGAGACAGCCCAAAAGGAGCTTGACGGAAAGCTGCCTGCCGATGCGAACGTTTTCTTCATCCCCGCAACCCTCCGACCCGAGACCATGTACGGCCAGACATCGTGCTTCGTTGGCCCAACCCTCAAGTATGGCGTTTTCCAGTGTGGATCCGAATACTTTGTCTGCTCCCCACGTGCGGCGCGCAACATGGCCTACCAAGGCATCTTCCCCGAATGGGGCGTATTCCCGCAAGTCGCGACTCTGCTCGGCAAGGAACTCATCGGCACCATCGTCAACGCTCCTCTCTCGATTCTCACCGAGGGCGTCCGAATCCTCCCTATGGAGACTGTCAAGGACACGAAGGGCACAGCAGTCGTCACATGCGTGCCTTCTGACTCGCCTGACGATTACATCACCTCCCTCGACCTCGCCAAGAAGGCTGAATACTATGGCATCCAGAAGGAATGGGTCCACTTCGACGACATCCTACCCATCATCTCAACACCTTCATTCGGAGACCTCACCGCGAAGCACCTTGTCGAGACGCTCAAGATTCAATCACCCAAAGACACAAAGAAGCTTGAAGAGGCGAAGGAGAAGGCATACAAGGAAGGTTTCTACAAGGGAACCATGATTTACGGAGATTTCAAGGGCAAGAAGGTCGAGGACGCCAAGAACCTCGTCCGTAAGCAGCTCATTGAGCAAGGTCTTGCATTCGGCTACGGTGAGCCTGATGGCAAGGTCATGTCGCGCTCTGGCGACGAATGCACGGCCGCTCTGTTGGACCAGTGGTTCATGAACTACGGCACCACCGAGAACGGCGGAGACGGCGAGTGGGCCGCGCAGGTTCTGCAACAGATCGAAGACATGGAGCTGTACTACCCCGAGGCCAAGCATGCCTTCGAGCAGGTCATCAACTGGCTCGCTAACTGGGCTTGCGCACGCTCGTACGGTCTTGGAACGAGGCTGCCCTGGGATGAGTCTGTCATGGTCGAATCTCTGAGCGACTCCACCATCTACCAATCGTACTACAGCTTCGCCCATCTGCTTCACAAGGACATGTTCGGAAAGCAGGTTGGGCCTCTCGGAATCAAGCCTGAGCAGATGTCTGATGATGTCTGGGACTATGTGCTTGGACGCCGCGACCGAGGAGACATCCCAGAGACAAGCATCCCCAAGAAGGAAATACAGACGCTGAGACGCCACTTCGACTACTGGTACCCGCTGGACATGCGTGGATCCGGCAAGGATTTGATCCAGAACCATCTCACCTTCAATCTCTACATCCACACAGCTCTGTTCCCCAAGGAGAACCGACCTCGCTCTTTCCGCGTGAACGGCCACCTTATGCTCAACGGAGAGAAGATGAGCAAGTCGACCGGAAACTTCCTCACCATCCAGGGCGCCGTCGAGAAATTCGGTGCCGACGCGACTCGTCTCGCGCTCGCTGATGCCGGTGACGGTATCGAGGACGCCAACTTCGAAGAGGCGGTCGCGAATGCCAACATTTTGAAGCTGTTCGAGCTCAGGAAATGGTGCGAGGAGATGGTCCGAGACGCTATCATTGTGGAAGACGGCAACAAGTACAAGCAGGCCATCAAGGAGCGCATCAAGAACATCGATGTAGTGCAGCGAAAGTCTGGCAGCCCACGCGTGCTTCTCGACAACCTGTTCGACAACGAGCTCAACTCTCTCGTCACCGAGGCCCGCAAACACTACGAGACAACCATGTACAAGTCCGCCCTCAAGGCCGCATACTACGACTTCACCGCTGCGCGTGACTTCTACCGCGAAGCCACCAAAGCGGCAGGTATCGGTATGCACGAAGATCTCGCTAAGCGCTACATTGAGCTGCAAGCCCTCCTCATCACGCCCATTGCTCCCCACTGGTCCGAGTACATCTGGCTCGAAGTCCTCAAGAAGCCCTCCACCATCCAGAACGCGCTATACCCGACCGTCCCCGACACAGACGCCGGTCTCACCGCGGCCCGCGAGTTCGTCCGCAACACCCAATCTAACATTACCTCCGCCGAGGGCCAGGCCGTCAAGCGTCTCGCCAAGGGCAAAGCCGCGCTCTTTGACCCCAAAAAGGAGAAGAAGATCACTATCTTCAGCGCCCACAGCTTCCCCGAGTGGCAGAAGAAGTACGTCGACCTGCTCCGCAAAGAGTACCCCAACATCGACATCAAGACCATCTCGAAGAGCGTCGACAAGGCCGAGAGCAAGAAGGCGATGCCCTTCATCAACGGGCTAAAGCGCCGCCTGGACAACGGCGAGTCGGTCGATGCGGTGCTGAACCGCCAGCTGCCGTTCGACGAGCTTGTGACGCTGCAGGCGATGGTGCCTGGCTTGAAGCAGACGGTGCAGAAGTGTGTGGCGGTCGAAATCGTCGCTGTCGAGGAGGGCGGCAAGGCGGGTACGATTATCAACGAGGATGGAAGTAAGGGTGAGAGAAAGGAGGAGTTGCCGCCGCATGCTGGATCTGCTGAGCCGGGGAGCCCGAGCTTTGCGTTTGAGAATGTGGAGAGTCTGCCTGTGCGATAAGCTAGGTCGGAGAAGAGATGAACGTACGTTGATACGCGAGCATTGCACGGTATCGCATGGGATGGATTGGCATGGGTTGGGTTTGGCGCAGCTTGGACGGATGGACAAACGAAAGGATGAATACTATGCACATAAAGGCTTTTCTGTTAAGACGTGTGCTCTGTGTACTGGATGACTAGTTATGAGAGATGTGCTAAGGAAATTCAAATAAAAACCTTTCTTTCTCACTGTCTCGCGAGTGTCTCTGACGGCGGGCCCTGCCGTGGACCGCAGTCTCAAAAGAAGCCGTCCAGGCGGACCAGGGGCATTCCACACGCAGTCATATCCTCTAGGGAAGGGACAGCGGAAATCGCAGCACACTCTACTGCCATCAGAGGTTAGCTATAGCAGCGTTCATCCTGGGACACCACAGGACCTTGCCACGAGCTAGCTAGACCGGTTGACGGCTCGCAGCCAATCCACTCTACATACGTACGGCGGTGTCTCTGCTGAGCGATGGAGCTGAAACGGTGGAAAACCATCGCCCCAAGGTTGCAGAGGTCGGCAGTGCATCATGCATCCCATCTTCGCAACGGCTACCAGGGTCAAGCAAGCCAGCACCCAGCGTGAAGCACGGGGGCACAGGCATCTCGGACCAGCTCGCCGTCGGGCCCTGTGTTGCTTGGCTGGGGTCGCTGCGAGGCATCGAGTGCAGCACGTCGGCCGTCGCACTCTTCAACCGGGACAAGTGACGCGCCAGTCTCACGAAGCAGCCTAGATGAAAACGGACCTGCAAGAGAGTAGGCCTCTGCGGGAGCGCGCCTCAGCTGGGGTAGCACGGGCTGAGTTCCGAGCCATGCCATCAAACACAATGTAGGCGAGCAAAACATCCAATAGTCCAGACACCAAGACAGAACAGCACGCACAGATGAAGTCATAACGTCTTTATTCCGCATATCCCTCGCACTTTCCCGGGCTCTTGGCGCTCTCCCCTCCGCCAGCACACTTCCACCCCACGCTGAGAAATAATTTTTCACTTCACAGCCTTTCCCACCGCGATTCAGTATGTAGACGAAAGCATCGTAACCGAAGCGCAGCCCACCATAGTATACAAGAAAATTAGGTACGCACGCAAAACTCCCCAGTCTTCGCGTCGCAGGATATGAGAAGAAGAACCGAGACAGGATGGATGCCAGAGCCGAGCCGGGACGCCAGATCAGATGGATGAAACAAGACAGCACGAGCATGTCTGGGGAATAGCAACATGTACCGCCCAAGCAGCAGTGAACAACGCAACGCAGCAAGCCAACACAACACAACACCAGATAGGAGGCCCGAGAAACACAATGGATGGCCAGGCGCCAAGTATGGAGAACGGACCAGCCTGGAGAAACGCCACGCTATAGATGAAATGCAGCATCGAACCAACGAGGTAAGGAACGGACAGACGGACGACTGGACGCGAGGCTCAGTTGTTATTCTTGACTCTCTTGTTGCCGCCTATCCTGGGACTCGGCTTGACCTTGGGCACGCCGTTGGCATCGCCCCCGCCGTCGTCAACGTCTATCTTCGCCGTACTTCTTCGCCGCTTGTTGCTGACGTTTGGGGACGTGTTGACGCTGGCCGTATTGGAGCTCTGGCTCTGCTGGTGCGCCATGGCATGTGATGCGGGCGAGGGCGTGTGGTTCTGCTGCATGAGGCTAGGCGAGCTCATGTGCCCGTTGGGGAGGAGCCCGTTCTGCATCGCTGGCGACATAAACTGGTTTGGCGGTAAACCTGGCTGACCCATGCCTGAGGGCGTGCGCGAACCGGCGGGCATACCTGGCTGTGGTTGCTGCATTCCTTGGCCGGGGGGCATGCCGCCCTGCATGCGGGCCGCGTTCGGTTGCGCCATCGGGTTACCAGCGGACATCTCCCGTGTCCAATTCTCCATGGCTGCCGCGGGTGTGAGGTCGGGGTTTTCGTGGTAGTGGGTCATCAAACTTGTCATGTTGTTCATGGTTTCATAGATCTAACTCGCCTTAGTCATGATTCGTTTCGATGACGGTTGGTGTTCCAAGCCTACCTCAAGATAGTGGAATAGCCCCGGCGGTAACCCCCATTCACTCATACCCACGTTGGGCAGCTTCGATAAGGGCATCGTGGCCTCCTGAGGTTGACGTTGTTGTTGATTCTTCTGGTTCTTCTTGCTCATGCGCGGTGATTGCTGGGCATTCATTGGGTTTATCTCTTCTTGTTGGAAAAGTGTCTCCAAAAGGCCGCGGGGGATCATCTGGTGATGACCTTGCGTTTCGAATTGCAACCATTCCATTTTGTTGTTGCCACCGGTCCAAAAAGCTGTGAGTTTACCATGACAGATGACCTGCACTAGTTAGTGACGCTCCAAAGCGGAAGTGTTTCTCACTCACTTGACATTGGTTCTTGTAAGTGTAAATGAACTTGGCCCGGTCGCATTCGACTTTCGTTTCAGTGCCGATGTTTCTTTCTATGGCCCCGTCGATTGTGACTTGCAGATTCTCAACGTCGGTGCTGAAATGCGAGAGAAAGTAGCGCGGTAGAGCTGCGTAGACGACCTCGAACATCTTTGTCCGGTGAGTGTTTTTGTTGTATGCAACGTGCAGAAAGGCTCCGGTCTCGGAAAAGAATTTCTCCACAAACGCCTGCCATGTCGAGAGTTGATTCAGATGCTCTGCGCGGGAAGCCTGATGCGGTTAATAAGGGTGCATTGCGAACCATGAGAAAGCTGACTTACGCTGTACTTTCCAAGCTGGTCGACGAAATTCATGAGCTTTAATATCCCGGGTCCGCCCTGCGAGTTCGAGTTCTGGTTCTGGTTCTGTTGATTCTGAGACTGTCTCATCATAGCCATCCGCGCCGCTTGCGCTTGCGCGGCGGCTGGATTGACCTGTCCCTGTTGCATGCCTCCTTGTTGCATAGCTTGAGCCTGCCGCTGCTGTATCTGAGCCGGTGTTGGTTGCTGTGGATTCGGTTGGTTCGGCATGTTAGGAGTCTGGTTCGGCGCTGGGGTCTGTTGTCTTGGCTGCGGAGCAGGTTGTGGTTGCTGTTGCGGTGTGGGCTGCGGAGCAGGAGACGCCTGCCCCTGGTGGCTCATGGCGGAAGGTGGGCGTAACGGTCCTTGCTGCGGACCTTGTGAGGTTGCAGGGCCAACTTGCGAGCCAGACTGGCTATGGTTACTCTGTTGAGACACCGCATGTTGCATGGCTATGGCTTGCTGTTGCTGTGCCTGCTGCATTTGTTGCTGCTGCTGTTGATGGGCCTGTTGTGCGGCAGCTTGGGCTTGGGCTTGGGCAGCTTGCTGGCTCATCTGCGCTGCGTGTGCTTGAGCCATAGCGGCCGCTTGCGGATTGCTCGTCGCATGCTGCTGCTGCGCTTGTTGCTGTTGCATGGCTTGTTGTTGTTGAAACTGTTGGCGAAGATGCGGAGGAAGGTTGACAATGGGTCCCCCAGCCATTTGTCGTTGCAGTGCGGCCATTTGCTGCGGGTTCAATTGCTGGGGAAAACCCATGCCCATCCCGTTTTGGTGGTTCTGTAGCATTGCCTGCTGGTGTTGCTGGTGCAGCAGTGCTGCTCGCTGTGCGTTATGTTGCTGCACGAGGGCTGGATTCATTTGCTGGTTCACTATTACGGTCAGTACGTTGATGACATGGTCGGGACCCTGGCCAGAACTTACTCATTCCAGGATGCTGTTGTTGCTGCTGTTGCTGCTGCTGGAACATGTGCGCCTGTTGAGGCTGTAGATGTGACAGCGCGTGCGCGTTGGGGGCGCCCGACTGCATCCCCATAGGGCCAGCTTGGCTGACATGACCACCCGGACCAGACACGCCTTGATGCATCATGCCTTGCTGCATGGGATGGCCGGGGCCAGGAGCGCCCATGATATGCCCCTGTTGCATTTGCATGCCGGGCTGAGGAGGAAATGGTCCCTGCATCATCTTGAACGCGTCTCTTGCTACCGCCGATCTCGCGCAATCCTCCAAGACAGAAGGCAAAAGCCCAGATACTCGAAGAAAGGATCGGGAAGGTGTCCGGACGGAGTTCCAAAGCCTGCGGTGGGTGAATGAGGGATACGATGTCGCCCGCTATGCGTGCAGCCAGTCGAAGAGAGCGGGGGTCCAAGAGGCCGCCGACTGTATCGCAGCGATCCGTCAAGCTCACAAAAGCCACGAGTGCCAAGTCAGGGCCCAAAATGACCGAATGCGAAGATGGCAGAGGGGTGCTCCGGGTGCCAGTGTCGCGATCGGCGCGACGTGCACTGCTGCCGACGGCCGACAGATGCCGGTGCTGATATTATGCGACTGCGAAGTTTGCAGCTGCTCGGTCGCGCAATAGGGGGCGCGCACGATGGGGGAGGGTGGGGAGGGCGTGAGAGCGCGATTCCGGAGCGGGCGCTATGTGGTGTCGTGCGCTGTCGTCGCGCATCCGCCTTTGACGTGTGCGGCGGTGGGCAGAGGCAGAGGCTGCAATGGCGCGGCGGTGCACTCTGTCAGGCGCGTCGAGGGCGGCACTGCATGGGCGAGCGCGCGTGTTGCTGTGGCCGCTTAGAGGGCAGGGCACGCGGTTGGGCGTTGACGATGGGATGGAAGATGGAAGTGAGCGATGCAACAGCCTGCAGATCTGCGGGCTTGCGCTTCGGGGGCCAGCCACTCTCTAGTGGAGTGACCGCGTTCAGACAGCCAGCCTGCGCGACTCGACTTTGTGCGGCAGTAATCGCCAGGAAAAGCGATGCGGCGCTGCGTGCAGTAAGGTAAAATATGTGCGCGTAAAATGCCTCCTTTGCTCCAGCACATTGAGCCCCTGGGCTGCTCAACGGACTGGCCCGGTGATTGAGGGCCGGTCACGTGGGGAGGGGCGCCATGCCGGATGCGCTTTTAGTGCAAATTTGGCGCGCCTAGGTGAGCTTCAAATGTTTTCTTCGCTGCGTGCTTCTTCCTCGCTCCAACACTCTTCTTCCGCCATCGTTCACCACGACCGCCCGCCGCCTCGGCTTGCTGCCCATGGCTTGGGTCGCTCGTCCACTCTTCACGCGCTGTGCCGTGGCCTTGTGATCCGCTCACGGACAGGCCTGCGCACAGCAAACTGTGAATTGGTACGTACAGCCGACGCCTGCACTTCCACCTTCTCCTGATGAAATTTTCAACTTCTTCTTTTCCCAACAGAGTCGACCTTGAAGAAATTTATGCTGTTCCGGGCCCCTTCGCCGGGTGCCTGATACTTGCCAGTACTTTCGCCTGATCTACATACTTGCTCCGCGCTTCTGCGACATTACCGCTAGAGACGTAGCTGACAGTCGCACAGATTCGCCGCACGTATAATTGTGACCTGCACGTAATCGCGACATTGTGCCAGCCCCGGCTGCCATATCGTACACAAGCTCTGAGCGAGATGGTGCTTGGTCGGGTGTCGTCGTACCCGATGAGTCGGCTGGCTATCGTTCGCAGGTGTGCGTGGAGAGTAGCTGCGTACTAATGATTCCAGCTTGGTCAGAGTGATGCGTATCAGGTCAGTCTGCTCTTTTTTTTTTTTTGTAAACCTCCCGCCGATGATGAAAACTTTCCTTAATTCGCAGTTTCCACGCTAGCTGTCACTTGAACCCATCAACCGACAGTCGATGAGCGCAGCAACCTTCCTTGGATGTCTGAGGCCTTCACTTGATCCTGTTTACTATTGCTCATTATGAGGATGCCGCTAACAGTATGATCAGGCAGATGCAGTTCGCACGTTTTGTGACGGACGTTTGCTATCCAACGACGGACGGCACAGCCCACGTAGAGTTAGATGGCTACATGTAGTGCATATATATTCTCTAGTAATGAATGCAACAACGTCGTGAAAAAGGATCTCAAACCCAATGCCGCCTTGCTGTAGCCTGAAGTGATCTGTGGAACCCCGCTATTGTGTATGTACATGTGCTACACGCTTTGAACAGCGCGCCCGCATCTGCCAGTGGGTTTCACTTGTAACTCACGAAGCTGCAGGGTTCTCTTCTACAGACAGACCGCACTTTGAACCAGCCGTCGAGCAGATGGTGCTGCTCGAGGCTAGCGCCCGACGCCAAGCCACCTATGATGCAGCTGTGCGAGGCAGGTGCGGCCAGTGGATCCAAGCTTCCTCCCACCAAGCACAGCTCGAGCACCACCACGACATCGCATCGCCCACGAGCCCCCTCGCCGCGACTGTCTACCTCCTGCGGAGCGCTCCCTCATTCCACCAGCTTCGCTCTCTCCGACAGCCACCATGGCCGGCCTCGACCCCCGTATGATGAAGGTCTCGCCGCGGTTACGGTACAACACAATCGGCGGCGTCAACGGGCCATTGGTCATCCTCGACAATGTACGTAGCCACGACAGCTGGTAGAGGGATGGTCGAAGCTTACGCATGTGGTGGACAGGTCAAATTTCCCAAGTACAACGAGATCGTCTCTTTGACACTGCCTGACGGCACAGAGCGGTCTGGTCAGGTCTTGGAAGCTCGAGGTGAGCCTTTCCCAGCCGCGCCGCAGTACAGGACTAACACGCAAGCCAGGAAACCGCGCAGTCGTCCAGGTACCTTTGCACGCGCCCACAACGTGAACCGTTCTAAATGTCGCAGGTTTTCGAAGGCACCTCTGGAATCGATGTCAAGAAGGTACATACGTCACCACCACAAATACGAGCGCATCTAACGAGGACAGACCAAAGTAGAGTTCACAGGCCACAGCTTGAAGCTCGGTGTGTCTGAAGACATGTTGGGCCGTATCTTCGACGGATCAGGTAGAGCCATTGACAAGGGTCCTAAGGTGCTTGCGGAGGACTACCTTGATATCAACGGCAGTCCCATCAACCCCTACTCCCGAGTGAGGCATCAAATCGATCCAGAGCAAAGCAATAGCTGACCTGGCACAGGTCTACCCCGAAGAAATGATCTCCACCGGTATCTCCGCCATTGATACCATGAACTCGATCGCCCGTGGCCAGAAGATTCCCATTTTCTCTGCCTCCGGTCTTCCGCACAACGAAATCGCTGCTCAAATTTGCCGACAAGCCAGTCTGGTTGGAAAGCCAACCAAGGGCGTACACGATGACCACGACGATAACTTCTCTATCGTCTTTGGTGCCATGGGTGTGAACTTGGAGACAAGTCGCTTCTTCACGCGAGATTTCGAGGAGAACGGCAGTATGGAGCGCGTCACGCTGTTCCTCAACTTGGCGAACGACCCTACGTAAGCATGGAAACCGTCTGGTGCATGTGTTCCACTAACACCTCGCAGTATCGAGCGTATTATCACTCCTCGTCTGGCGCTTACCACGGCTGAGTACTACGCTTACCAGCTCGAGAAGCACGTCTTGGTCATTCTCACTGACTTGTCCTCCTATTGCGATGCCCTCCGTGAAGTCTCGGCTGCTCGTGAAGAAGTGCCCGGTCGTCGTGGTTACCCCGGTTACATGTACACAGATTTGTCGACCATTTACGAGCGCGCAGGACGTGTCGAGGGACGAAACGGCTCAATCACTCAGATTCCTATTTTGACTATGCCTAATGACGGTATGTCCACCATTATCTTGCGAGACCGACCAGAGCTAATCATACACAGACATCACCCACCCCATCCCCGATTTGACCGGCTACATTACCGAAGGCCAGATCTTCATTGACCGTCAGCTCGACAACAAGGGTATCTACCCACCCATCAACGTCCTGCCCTCCCTATCTCGTCTCATGAAGTCCGCCATCGGCGAAGGCCGCACCCGAAAAGACCACGGCGACGTCTCCAACCAGCTCTACGCTAAGTACGCCATCGGTCGCGATGCCGCCGCCATGAAGGCCGTCGTCGGAGAGGAAGCTCTCTCCTCGGAAGATAAGCTTTCACTCGAGTTCCTCGAGAAGTTCGAGCGCACCTTCATCGCACAGTCGGCGTACGAGTCGCGCACCATTCACGAGTCGCTCGACCTCGCCTGGTCGCTGCTGCGCATCTTCCCCAAGGAGCTGCTCAACCGTATCCCGGCTAAGGTGCTTGATCAGTTCTACGCGAGGAGTCGGGACCGGGAGGGCAAGGGCGAGGAGAAGAAGAAGGGGAGCAAGGACACGAGGGATAACTCTGGGGAGGGGCAGCAGGATGGAGAGAATCTGATTGATGTATAGAGGATGGGCGCCAGGAGCGGATATAGATCATGATTGTTGAGTGTGTTTTGAGTGTATTGAGTAAATAGCTACATCGAACGTTTCGTGCCATCTTGTATTGTTGGTCTTGTTTCCTGTGTGTTTGTGCAAGGTGGGGGCAAGGTCTAACTTGCGTATGGTGAGTGTTGAGAGTAAGGTGGGCTGCGGGGATGAGTCAATGTCAATGGGAGCAGAGTATATGTTTAGACATTTAGTATATGGGCGAAAGCAGTGTTTGTTGCTTCAGTAAAATGTTGTGGAAGATTTGTAGGTGCGGTGAGGTGGTTGAGCAAGCTCGAAGCTGTTGTGGCGCGGAGTCAGAAGCAGTGTAGCTTTGCACGTTTGCATTGATCTCAGTTAATGAAGAGATGAATCTACATTTGGAAGGATTAAAGCTCAAGCATGTTCAATCAGGTCCGTTAATGACTTTACTCCTAACTCCCTGGGGAATATAGCTGCGCCGGGTGGTCCACTATATGCGATGTAGGGTTCGGGATCTCGTCGACAACACCCACCGAATAATGGAAAATTGGGATCTTGTGCTTTGATCGATTGCATGACTTTGTATGCTTTAGGGCGCTGTGATGGGTTTGTGTGCAACATGTTCCAGACGAGGCTGATTACCTCTGGTGGGACTTTGGTTGGAGACATGAAGTTCTTGTTCATCCAGACAGCGACCTTCCCAAGATTCCTGTGGAACGATTGGTCCCCATCCTCGTCCTGGCGAAACTCGGCGAATTCTGACAAGGCAGTTCCGGCGACGACGGTCAGCATCTCGGAGTAGACACAGCCGAGAGAAAATATGTCCGAAGATCGTCCACGCGATTCATACTCGTACACTTCGGGCGCACAGTACTTTGGAGTCAAGGGCGTTGGGCCGTCCGTTTGACTGTGACATTGATCTGCGAATGTCCGTGATAGACCAAAATCTGAAAGGTAGATCTGCCAAGGCGTCCACAAGCTGTTGTCACTCCACTTGACCAGAATGTTCTGAGGCTTTATGTCCATATGCCTCGCAAGCTGCTGGTGGACACTGGTCACTGCGGATGCAAGACAGTAGAGCGAGCGATGCAAGAAAAGGATGCGAGAGTTGTACTCTGGCCACCGTGTTGTTGCTTCTTCCGATCGTCCGTTTTTGAGTTCGCTCCTCAAGTCTTGGGTGTCCTCCATGAAGATTCCAAGATGGCAGTCGGCAGCGGGATACATTAAAAGAGAGAAATCTCGCCCTTGAAGGTATGTCCCGACTAGTTGAACAACATGGAAATGTTTGAATTTCTGCAGATGTTGAACTTCGCTGAGGACATTGTTCTGGCTCCAATCGCCCTTACATCTCATTGTCTTTCTCGCCAATGCCACTCGACGACATCGTACCATCTCCACTCTTGCAGTTGCCGACGCACCAAGAGACGAGATGACTTCAAGCGGCACCTGCTCTTTCGGTTCAAACACCACATGTTGACCTCTTCCGGACCAGTTGAGCTCCTTATCAAAGGTTTGTATGAGTTGTCTTTCTTTCAACTCAGCTTGATAGTCGATCGCTAATCTTTGCAAGGGCCCGTGTGGTTCGGCACTAGGTGTCTCATCAGCTTCCACGATGGCATCGTATCGAACGGTTGTCCGAGCACTCCAATACGAAGCAAGGCTGGAAGCAGTCTGGAACGATAACAGGGAGCTGAAATCTGATGATGAAGATGAAGACACATGCTTATTCGAATCCAAACTCGGTGCATATGAGTCTGGGAGTGGAGGTGGTAGTGATGGTAAGGGCATTTCGCCCTCGTACACCTCAATTAGACAGCCTTTGAGCCACAATTTCCTTGGTCGTAACAGTTCCTTCTGATCCGAGTGATTCCATGTTGGGTTCCCGATGCCCCAATACAATAGCTCGGCTAGGAGCTTCTCATCGATAGGTAGACCCGGCTGCTGTCGAAAACGACAGGTCGCGCGCGTCAAGGTCATTACATCATGAGTTTCCATGAATCGACGGCTGTGGATATACCTACTCGACTTTGGAGTTCTGATGTGGAAGTCACTAACAATATAAGGCGTGGAAAGCACCAAAGGGATGAAGACTTGGACGGTTTCTCGGTCTGGAGGCAATTGCCATGGGTGTTCTATCATGTTTATTGTCGGCGTGGCTGCAGGCCAAAAGCTGATTTCTTCCTCGGGAGTCTGAGTAGCCATTGAGAGATTGGGTATGAAAACAAAATGTTTGGAGACAGGGCTGAGGCCAACGTTGTAGGCACAGCCTCGCCGCCGGCACCTTCCACCCCCTGCAACGTACCACGTGAACGGTGAGGCGAGCCAAATGTAGCATGCACCAAGTACAGAGGTCTTTTCCTCAACGCAGCCGCACTAGTTTTTATTGCTCAAGTGCATTTGGAATTTTCGAATCCTATATAGAAAAACTCTGATTTATAGCACTTCAGCCCAGATCTGCCTACCATAGCTCACAGAAGGCTCGGCTTGCGACACAGAACCTCAGTGAGCGAAGCGGAAGTCAAGCCTGAAACGCAGTTAGCCCAGTTCCCAAAGTACCGCACATGTTATAGCTCACCTTTTGTTACCTTTATCAGTCGTAGTCTCCAAATAAGCCTCCTTCTCCTCCTTACTCATCGCATCCCAAATCTTATCCCTCCTCTTGTTAACGTACACATAGTAAAACTTCGCACCCACAAACAAAAAGAAGTTCAACACCGTAATGCCAATAAGCACTTTGTTACCTCTCCTATACAGCGGCTTATCGTGCTCGCGGTAGATGTTCTGGCTGATCATGCTAGACGCCTGCACACACATGTTATACATAGCGGACGCGACAGTGCGAGTTCGGACCGTGCCGGCGTTACGCGACGTGATGGCGACGATGATGGCGTGGACGTAGGGATGTCCGACTATCATGGTGGAAAGAGCCCACCGGACCCAGGGTGAGGCGCTTTTGCTGAGGCATTCGAGGGCGACAAGTAGGGGGAAGACCCAGAATTGGGAGCAGAGACCGATGAGGAAGCGTTGGTTTATTCTCTCGGAGAGCCAGGTCCAGAAGAGGAGTTGGAAGATGAAGAGGACGTAGGCGGGAATCTTGGGGTGTCAGCCATGTTGAGATAGGATCATGAGTAGGGGCTTACGGTGAGTAGATTGGTTTCAAAGGTACCAAAACCAAGGGACTTTAGGTTGAGCGTCAAATACGAGGTCATAGGCTGCGTGGGGATCAACCACGTTAGACCGAGGATGAAAACCGGCCACATATGGTAGTCCTTGAGGCATTCCCAGAACATCTTCGGTGACAAAGCCTGACGGTTGTGCATATCGCCCTTCGATGGGTCGTCGCGAAGAATACGGTTCACCATGATTTTCTCTTCCCTTTCAGTGAACCATCCATCCTTACCACGGAATTTGCTGGCTGTCTGAGTCGGGGAGGGCGGGAGGTAGAAGTAGGAGATGATGCCGATGAGACCTGTCAACATTCCTTCGAGTGCGAAGAGCCATCGCTGAAACCATGTCAGAACGTCCAAGATCCCTGGATTGTACAGCACTCACCCAACCAGCCATTCCATTGTGTCCACGAAGTCTGAGGATTCCGAACGCAAAGAAGGCGGAGATTATTTGTGTGGATTGATACGACACCCAAAACCACGATAGACGCGCTGGTAGTTCGAGGCCAGTATAAAAGTACGAGAGATATAGGATGTTATCGGGCTGTGCGGATTAGTACATTTACACTGGGTCGGATGCGATGTACTTACGATGAAGCCTCCTTCAATGAGACCTAATAGGGCGCGGCACGCGAAGAAAGACTTTCGCCCACTTAAGAAAGCTTGCATACTGGCGACCAGACTCCAAGACACCCTGCCAAGCTGTTAGTCCAGAGCTTCATACTGAACTCTGCATGCTTACATCTGGATTGGGATCCAATTGTCCGGACCAAGCTTTTTGCTAATCAGTTGCGAAGGAAGCTCTGCCGCCAAAAATGAACCGAGAAAGATGGTTTGTCCGTAGTTGTAGTCGTTTGTGTTCATATTGAGATCCTTCAGAAAATTGTCTGACAAGGCTTGACTGATGTTGCCTCGGTCCAGCTGCAATGCAAAGAACATCAAGCAAACCCAGGTACAAATCCTTTTGTCGATCTATGCAAGGAGTCAATGTTCTGCCCCTGGAGCCCTAAAGCTTGTACCTCTCACCTTCCTGACAACTTTCCGCTCCTCCACCGGCTCCCACACGAAATCAGGATCATAGCGGTGTCTTCCCTCATATTGATCCATTGGCTTGTAAAATCGTGCTTTGAGACCGGCACCGCTGAAGGTAGCACCCGTTGTTTGGTGCTCAGCTTCACTGGCATTGTCACTGCTGTAGTCCGACTTGGGAACGTCAGGAACCACCGCTATAGGCGGTGCTGCGGTGAGAGGCGATTTAGCCATGCTGCTCCTGACACTCAAGAATTGTCAACGAGCGAGTCGCGGAATGCAGTGTCACGGTGAAGAAGCAGCTGCGGAAGCTATATAGGTCCGTCATTTTGCGACCATGCATGGACCAGATAAAGATCGCTCGCTCCCGACATCCAGCCGCAGGGGCCTGGCCATGCAGCTGAATCGCACGGCGTAAAGATGCTTGATAGGGCCCAGTGAGGCTTGTTGCTGAGAAGCAGCCACCAGTGACGTGCGCCTTGAAACGCACATTCTTCCCGGGCCCAGGCGAGTGGAATTCACTTCTCGAGATTTTACGCCGGGAAGCGTGAGATACCTCCGAAGCACGCAAGTCGCGAGGCTGATGATGCTTTGGATGGTGCGAGTCGATGTCGTGATGCCTTAGGCTGCTTTGTTGTGGTAGGTTGAGGGAGGAATTGCGTGATTGGCCCCTGGGTAAAACGACATAGAGTGCGCGTATGCTGCGCTCGGCTACCCACTGCGGGTAGGGAGATAAGGCCAAAAGACGCGGTCCGTGTTGCGACTGTCTCATCAACTGCTAGTGAACAAGCCTCAGAAAGGTTAGCCCCGCAGATGGGGTTGGGGTTGTATGAAGGTCGCCACCTCTGGGAATTTAGCTCCACCGAGAACCGCCCAATGTCGCAATTTGTGCATGTTTGAAGCAATCCAGCCATGCTATGATTGAACAGTGGCACACAGCCGAGCCCGCGGAGTGGCAATGGACCAAGAGACTTTCTTTTACTGTTGCGATGCCGCTCTGGTCTTTATAGCGAATTCGGCTTGGCCATACCGTTGACGTAGCTGCCGACAGCCGTCTGCGAATCGATGCCAGATCATCAGATCACAATGAGGGGTTTACAAGCTAGCGATTAATCATTGCGCCGCTATTCCCGGATGCATAACTCTGTGTACCGTAGTAGTCCGGAGCAAAGCGCGTATATATAAACGCAGCGCGACCTTGTCGGGTAGCAGAGTAAGCTAGGACTACTCACAAAAAGAAACCACAATTTGCACCATGGCTCCCGCTCTTGTTGAAGTGCCGCTCCCCGAGGCTACCAACTACGCCAAGTCTGGAACTGGCGCATACAAGGTATGTATACAGGTCTTCCATTGGGTTAGTTTTCGCTAAGTAATGTAAGGATGCGTTTGCAGCTGGGCCGAAACACTTCAAGGCAGATGCTGAATTGAAGGGAACCGAGAAACACCCTCCGGCCAAATACCCCAATTACTTGCCGACGTGGACCGACAAGAAGTACGTGCTACCCACCCTGATCTTACCACCAGCAGTAATTCACCTGGTGTGAAGGTACCCCCCTCTTGAGCCTTTCGAGCATTACGAGCATGGCAAGGATGCAGACTCGAGCTTCTCAAACCTTCTCAAAGATGCTACCAAGGTGGACGATCTCACAGCGAACATTGGCGCTGAAGTTCACGGCGTGCAATTAAGCAAGCTCACAGACGCCGGCAAGGATGAGCTAGCACTGTTTGTGGCTCAGAAGAAGGTCGTGGGTAAGAGATGATGAGGCGTGACCTGTATGATCTGGCTTCTGACAAGAAACAGCTTTTCGTGATCAGGACTTCGCAGACCTTCCCATCAGTGACGCTCTGAAGATTGGAGGTTATTTCGGACGTCACCACATCCACCCGACCTCTGGTGGTCCGGAGGGTCATCCCGAAGTACACTTGGTTCACCGTAGTGCGGACGACACCACCTCCCGGGACTTCTTTGAAGAGCGCACGAACTCAGTTACATGGCACTCCGACGTCACGTACGAGAAGCAGCCGCCGGGAACCACCTTCCTCTATCTCTTGGACGGACCGGCCGCAGGTGGAGACACACTTTTTGCCAATCAGGCGTTGGCATACCGTCGGCTTTCGCCCGAGTTCCAAAAGAGGCTCCATGGCTTGAAGGTCGTTCACTCCGGTAAGTGATGAAGTTGGAGCCTGTTCAGATAGAGACTAATCAACGAACAGCTGTTGAGCAGGCTGATAACAGCAGAAACCGCGGAGGCATCGTTCGCCGAGAGCCTGTCACATCCATCCACCCTCTCGTGCGCACACACCCCACGACCGGCGAGAAGGCGCTCTTCATCAACCCGCAATTCTCCCGCCGCATCGTCGGATACAAGAAGGAGGAGAGTGACTATCTCCTAAACTTCCTGTACGACCATCTCGCGAAGGGCCAGGACTTTCAGGCTCGTGTAAAGTGGGCTCCAGGCACAGTCGTGGTATGGGACAACCGAGTCACAGCACATTCTGCTCTTCTGGACTGGGAAGATGGAGCGCGGAGGCATCTTGCTCGGATTACCCCGCAGGCTGAGGCTCCTTACGAGACTCCTTTCGAGGGCTAGAGTAATCTAGAATGTAATGAACGCGTGTATAACAAGCCACTCCGTCGCTCTCGGTCGAGACGCGTCCTCATCTTCAGGAAGACCGAGATGCTCAGGGGTTTCACGATTTCCATGTAGCGCGCTCGCGATTTCCTCGTGCAATGATGTGGATGCCACAAACTTGGGAACACGCGCTACCTGCGTCTGCCAGAGCCAAGTAAAGCAAGCGACCACGAAGACAGAAGCTCAGTGAAAAGATGTGGGACGATTGTGAGGCAAGTACACAAGACAGCCGGCGGGTGGTACAGCGCGTCGCGAAGGGAAAAGATGGAGACACTGGGAGTGAGTGCACTACCGGTAATCTAGATTGGGGCGGATCACGTGGATAATGTGCCGGCGCAGGGGACGCGTCGCCCCAAAACCCTGCCCAGCTGTATGTTGTAGTGCTTGGGTAGGAACCAATCCACATAGACACGAGTAATCTTCCATCTGGTCAGCCGTCTGAGTTCTCAGATCGTTGGTCGTCAGCACGATAATGCATCAACCGTTGTGACGGAACCAATCCCGATCGTGTCTCAACGTCCTCCAATACTCGTTCCTTCAGTCTTTTGGAAAGAATCTCTCCGAGCACAAAGTGTTTTCGGAATGTTTTATCGTGAGCAGGAAACAAAAAGAAATTCTGCTCGGCAAACGATCAAAAAGTGCGCACCGTATCAAGGAAATTGTAACAATGGATACTATGACTTCGAAAGTTACCAATCCAAATCTCAGCAAGACATTTTCGATCGCAGTTGACTAAAAGGACTTAGAGCTAAGATTGTTGTCTTGGCGAACCCGTACATAAGATGATCAAAGTCCAAATCAACTCTTGAATCAGTCACTCTACGTCGCCGCCGTCTGCACCGCCCTGCACGCACTTCATCAGAAGCCCATCGAGCTTGAGAAGCCCCACGTCAGCCCGTATAGTTCCCTGTTCCTCAGCTTCCTCACCATCATCAGTCTCGACCTGCTTAGGCTTCGCCTTCTTGTCCAAGGCCGTGACCATATCATGCAAGTTGTTCTGATAGACCTGACCGAGCTCCTGCGCACAGCGATCACAGAGCCGCAAGCCACAGCCCTCCATCATCACAGCGCCATCTCCCTCGTCGTCCGCTCCGACGAATGGCTGGAGAGAGCAGCACTGATGCCTAGCAAGCGAGAAGCACAGTGAGCACCACCGCTGTAGCTCGTATTGCATCTGTGGAGTTCCACCTTCGACACTTATCAAAACCTCTGAAGCAGCGTGGTAATCGAGCTGGTCTTCATGGAGTTCGATATGTCGGATGACGTGATCGGAGCACACCATGATTTGGAGCCGGTGGAACGTGCATTCATGACACATGGTAGTCGCATCTTTTTCTTCGCGATGTCCGTTGCCGAACTCTGTGTAGCCTTGACCGTTGGACCATTGGATAGCGTGCACCTCTCGCTCAAAGTGTCCGACGAAGCCGAAGACAGGTATGTAGCAAAAGTCGCAGTCAAGAACAGCTTTGGGGTGGCCAGGAGGGTTGATAGAGAAGACCATAGGATGCGCGAAAGAAGTCTTGATTGTGGCTAGAAACCCTCTGTGGCCTTCCGCGTCTTCGATGAGCTCATTCTCAGAGGCTTCATCGTCTTGTGCATCGCTTTCGTCCGCTGAGCTATCTGCCTCCATATATGCAAGGTCCTCGGGGCTGAAAAAGTCGGAGCCCGGGATCGAGGTCTCGGGGGCGATTTCTTCCAAAAGAGTGCGCTTTGGGTCCTTGGGCTTCTCGCTGCCCGTTGCCTCTTCTTCAGTTTCTTTCTTGTTTTTCGCAGGATTCTCTTTCTCGGGTGGAGCTACGTCGTAGAAGTGACAGCCAATCTTCTGCTTTTTGCAGCGCTTGCACGGAGGCCTGTCCGTCTTCTTCTTGAGGGAACATCTCTTTTTCTCCTCACGACAGTGCGTGCATGATAGATACTTCCTATCCTCGCCGTAGTGGACTCGATCTAGGTCGATACGATCGGACCTGTAGCCTCTCCGCGGTCTTGCTTTGCAGTCGAGATTGTCGGCTTCGAGGCACTCGTCGCACATCGCCATTTGACTAGAGCGGAATCAAAGGGTCAGCTTAGTTCCAAATAAATGAATGTGCAATCACTTACGGTTCTCCGTTTGAGTTCTCAAACGAGCAGGTCTGTCCTTGTTCTACGCAGCGATTGCACGGCCCAAACACACCTGGGACAATAAATGGTTCGCACTGTGTCTGCATGTCCACACAATCCTGGCACGGATACTCTGCATCTATAACCATTGAACAATCATGACCATCGGAGCGACACGATTTGCAGCCTCGTACGAGAGGGTGACCTGTCAAATCGTCATACTCGCCGGTTGGGTCTGGTATATGGAGATTGCGAGTACGCGTGGGAGTGTCCTTCCGGAAGAATGCAAGAAGCTCTTCTCTTTCAGCCTCTTCTTCTGAGTCCATGATAGAGTGACCATCAGGCCAATTTTCCTGGTTATCAGTGATGTTTATCAAAGTTCCTATCGCCGCGATCTTACGCTTGAAGATGAGTTTCGGCTTGCGTTCAGCTCGATCCTCACCGCTATTGTGCTGTGACTTCCTTTTGTTTTGTTTGGCTTGTTTCGCTTGTTTCGCTATGCGAGCTTTGACTGTCTTTTTCCGCGCTTCTTCAACAGGATCATAATTTCCACTCTGGTCGATATCTATGTGCGTACTGGCAGCACCTTGTCTGTTGATGTTCTTTCGTAGGCCGTATGATTCGATAGGATCATCAGTATATGCGGGGCCCTCATTCTCTTCAGGCCTTTCGGGTTCTTTCTCGTCTGGAAGAGAGGATGAAAGCCTTTGTGCGTCATCGAGCTGAGACTGATCAAGGGCCGTGCCTAGATATGGACCAGATGTAGCCTTTTTCTCAGCCTGTTCATATTGCTGTTCCAGATTCATGCTCGAGAATCTCATACCGAGGCCAATTCCCGGTGTCGGTGGTGGCGCCTGATGAGTATCAGTCAATAAGTGTTTTCTCTAGAAGAGACTTGGTAGTCCTCACTGAAACAGCATCATCCGTTTCCAGACTAAGGCCGCCGAATAGAGACGTTCGCGGCTTCTTCGTAGGGCTCGGCTCTGGGGCATCCAAATCATCCTCGTCGTGGTCGCTCAAGCTTCGAGGCTTCTTTTTGTTTTTGGTTGATGCGCGGGGTTTCCAACTACCTCCAAACAGGTCTTCGTATTCTTCATCGTCAGAGAAACCTTTGTCGAGGAATAGGGGTTGCTGTCCGCTTTCGCCCCCTTCTTCAACGTTCATTCCGTCATTTTCGTGGGTCAAACCGAGTTCTGAAAGCAGAGAAGAACCTTTAGCCACGCCCCCCATTGTAGTGGTAGACGAGCTATGTGCGTGAGCGGGTAGTTCGTGAAGTGCGGAGCGCAACCGGGAAGCGCTCTGGTGTGTGCGAAGGTATTGGGCTAGTATAAGATGACTAAATTTGTAGCGAGCAGCAAGCTCAAGATAAGAGAGCATGGTGGTAGCCCAATCTGATAGAAAATGGTCGATGAGGTCTAGCGAGGCCAGTACAGAGCTCCGAAATAGCGAATATCTCAGGAGTGAGGACTTTACCGAAAGTAAGAGCCTAGAGGACCTTCGGGTGGGGGAATAGCGGTCATTGGTCTAGACTGAAAGGAAAGACCCTAGTCAGACAAACGGTAGGCAATGCAAGTCAGGTGGGAAGGTAATGTAAAAGTGAGAATCGCAATATCGTACGGGTAACTCTTGTGCGATGTTATAGGAAGTGAGGGAACGAAAACTATCGATCGTCATCCATATCGAACAAAAATAAGAGCGCAGAGACCGTGACGATTAGACATGGTAAAACACGCGGGCATTATGAGATAATCTCAGGCGAATGCTAAAACAAGAGAATGTTCCTTCGACAATATGGGTCCTGAAGAGATGTGAAGGGCAGATTGATATGTTGATTGGAGGGCAGTTCAAAGTGGAAGCTGTGGGATATGAAAGATTGCGAGTAGAACTGATTCGAAGAAATAGGTAAGGTCAAGGAAAGGAAGATCATAGCATTCAATTCTATGTTGAGAGGGCGTGAAGTACAGATCTGGAATCATCAATCTTGAGGGTGTCAGTAGCTTGCTGCATAAACAGTCGAAGATCCGATACCACAGGTACTCCGTAGAGGACACGTATCGATATCACTTTTCCGTTCGTGCCTTTCATGACGAAGCGTATGCAATCATGAGTTGCACATCGTGCAAACGGGGGTCCAAGGGCTACGAGGTTGATGCTCGCTTCTTTCGACGCGCACTCCGCTTGCACGTGGTCGGCTAAAGACGCACAGGCCAATCGGCTACCCTAAAATCTCGACGGCTGCTACAGCTTCCAGCTTTGTCAACGCCTTCACTCGCCACTCATGTCTTGCCAAAACGCGTTCCTCGCCCAGCTGAGGGCGACGCGTCTAGCCCTAGCATGGCGCGACAAGTGCAGCTGTTCTTGATCCGCCACGGCGAGACTGTCGACAATGTTGCCCAGCTATAGTACGTACAGCTTCACGACATGTATCCTACCTCAAGCTAACTCGCACAGTGCTGGCAGTAGAGACTCAATGCTCACGAACCACGGCTACCAGCAAGCCATCCGCCTGGGGTCGCATTTCTCGAGCTTAGGACATTCCTTCACCCACCTGTTTTCTTCACACCTGCAGCGCGCTGCAAAGACGGCTGGATTGATTCGAGAAGCACAAGCCAAGCGTGATACCAATGGCTCGCAACAAAAGGTCCCGGACGTGGTTGAGTTGTCCTGCCTGATGGAGCAAGACTTCGGCTTTTACGAAGGCAAAAAGTTCTATGAACGCCCGGCGGATGGCAAGCTGTCGGGCAAGGACAACCACCGACAGGCACACAAAGACTCCGAAGGTTTCGTGGACATCGAGTCGAAAGCATCTCTCGCTCGGCGCGCTGACGCGTTTCTGGATGGCCATCTGTTGCCGCTGGTGAACAGCCCGACGGGACCATCCGACCTGGTGGTTGGGATAGTCTCCCACGGCATTATGCTGTCTTCTCTATGGAAACGCATCCTATTGCGTCTTCCGGAGAAGAGCGTGAAGCTGGCTCCTGGGCTTGCAGCCTCTGGCCCTGTTACGCTCGAGCATCTGGGAGGGTGGTCCAATACGGGCTTTCTGGAGTTGCGTATGTCGCGCTCTGTCCCGGTACCACTAGCGCCTGCACCGTCTGCAACCACGGACGAAATTAGTCCAGAAGTCGCTCCGCTTATTCTAATCGCGCCACCTCGTTCCGAAGAATCCAGCAACAGTGAGGCCGTGTCCACAGAGGATCCCAAAGTAGTCACTAGGACGCTTTTACAAGCGCCGACTACGTCTGGGTTGCGGAAGCTCGATTCTGACTGGTCCACGGTCATCCTCACGATCAATGGCAAAGAACACCTCAAAAATTTGAAACGCACAGGTGGTGGTGTGGGTAGCTCTCGCCACGATGCCTCGCAAAAGAACATTGACAGCTTTTTCAAGCGAAGAAAAGTTGAATAAATGTCCAGTGCCTTTCTATATCACGGCTCTTTCGATTTGAAACGGTAAGCCACCATCCCTTTTTCCTCTTCCATCCCTTTGCTATGATGAAAAAACAATTATTCACAGACCTGTTCTGAATTTCTTTGTTGACTCATATTGATCCAACTGCTGTCTGACCACGCAAAATAATCCTATCTTTCATATCATCTCATCTCTGCTCAAGGATTCTGCTAACGCGGACAATTAGATCCACTCATGTGTCGGCGTACCTGTCGTGACGCGCGACTTGCACTGTTATTGACCAGGACACCAATGCATGCGATGCCCATCTCGCAGCTTCTAATTTTTGGTCCAGCCATATAGAAATCCGCTTCCAACCATGGTGCTCACCAACCCGTGGACTCACCCACATCTTGTGACCCGGTCCGACGCTTCGCAAGCTGCTCGTGGTACCCCATGGCAACGTGGATTTAGACATGATTTGTTGACCCCGTCAAAGTCTCGCCGACGCTCTACTAGTGTTTCACGGTGTATGTTCATTACGGCCGTAACTCGTGCGTATGTAAGCCGTGTTCGCAAGTCTGTCAGGTTCTCCGCCCCTGCGTAAGCACGAATCTCCGAGTAAGCCTCGTAGATACTAGTGAGATTGCGTGGCTTTCAAGATCTCGTCGAATTTTTTCCCAAACTGTAAAGTATTTTCCGTCATCGCCTCCAGTGCACTATCTTTATTGCGATGCTTGGACAATATTTTCAGTTCCACGATCCGTCCGGTGTGATATTGAACGAGGTCGCTTAACAATACCTTTACAAGGCCATGGCAATGTGAACGTAGCGTAAATCTTTGTGCTGTATAAAGTGTCGGTACTGGGCAGAGCAAGTAGCATTGAATTGATAGGACTTTCCAAACGCTCCAGGCTTTGTTTTTACGTTAAACATCTTCATATCCCTGTTCTTGATCTCATATTGCACCATGCTTAACCCATCGCTCGCCGTGGCGGTCACACTCCCGCTCGTCATATCTGCAAAGCCAGTTGTTGCCCACACATCTATCGACGACCCCGTCTTCAACGCACCCGTCTTGACGCACTTCCTGCACATGAATGCCTTGACCAGCTTTCCAGTGAATATATCCGACATCGATGGAATCAGAGGACGCTACCCCAACGTCGGAGGTACTCGCAGTCCCCTGCGCCTCCACTGCAACTCTTTTCTGATGCCTACACACAGGAAACCTGACCGGCGCTATCACCGGCACAATCGTCAACATGGGTGCCGCAACGGAATGGTTCCCCATCCTCCTCAACGAGACAGCAAGTGTACGTCTCCCCCCTCTCCCACTCCATCTTTTTCTTCTGTACATCTGCCTGACCACACAACTCAAATAGTTCTACACCAACATCTGGACCATCAACGCCACCGTCCCCTCCCTCACCCAATCCAAACCTATCTCCGTCCCCAAACAAAATCGCAAGCAAAGACCAGGACAATACGGCGCCCGCCCCGGCGACAACACGCCCTCTCCCCCTTCTTCCTCCCCAGCAAACGAATACACAACCATCTACCTCACCGCCTCCGCACATCTCACCTACGCCAACGAATTTCTCCACGGCTTCGGCCCCGTCACGGTTTCCTCTTCGCACCCTGCGTTCCTGGACCTTAATGTGAGGAGCTTCTATGCGGAGATTGAGGCGGGGTATCGGACGGGGCTGGGGAGGATTGATGTTTTTGAAGTCAAGACGGAAGGGAAGCGGGATGGGAGCCCGATTGAGGCGCTGTTGCCGCCTGGGGTGGAGGCATAAGTGGTAAGAAGGGGTGTAGAGGGTTCAGGACTCAGGAAGGAAGTGAGCAGGGTGTAGGGAGGGATATGCTGCTTATAGTGGGTGGTGCTTGTGCGTGAGGGAATGTGTGAGGGGGAATAGAAAGTGTTCGGAAGGGAGGAGGTAAGCGGATATGTAAATTTACTTGGTTTGGTACTGGGTTGTAGGTTGTTCTTGTACGTTGAACGTATCACCGTATGGCCCAGGGCGTTAGGTCTCATAGATTATGCGTATGAGAGTGGTCGAGCTGTCTTGCAGCAGGTGCATGGTGGTTAGGTACAACCCTTAAGCCTCTTCCAGCAACCGATTTCGGAGCCGGGTTTCGAATTTCGCCTCATGCCACGACTTCCCCCCTAGGATCAGCAAGCAGTGATTTTTCTTCTTCCTCGTCGGCTGCGAACGCAGACAGCACTACATTCTGGCAATGGGATCTCTCGTCCTTTACGTGATCAAGCCCATGTTTAAAACTTCGGGCACAAGAGCAGCAAATTTCTACGTACTATACTTTAGATGACGAGGATACTCATATTGTTGGAATGAAAGCGCACCAGCCAACCCCTTCAAAGTGCTCTTTGTGCCAAACAGCCACAGCCGTTCGCCCACTTCCAGTTCTCGCATCCTCTACTAAACCATTGACCTCATCCAAGCGCCAAAAAAGACGTTGCAGTACTCTAGTCCAAGCCACCAGTTCACACTGCGTCTATCCGTTCCCGACAATCCTCCCAACGCTGCCTTCCGCAGAAAGAGAAAGATTCCTGGCGTTCCTTCCACAGGGTCATAAAAGTGCAAAAAGCGAATGCTGCGAATCAAACGCAGAACACAAGACAATCTTGATAAGAGTGACTCAGCCGAGGTTTGAACTCGGGACCTTCAGTGGTCTAACGAGATGTTAGACTGACGTGATAACCAACTACACCACCGAGCCTTTTGATTGGATGACAAGGTGGTCAAATTGTAAATATATAAAGTTACAATAATTGAGAAAAGATAGATGGAAAGGGGAGTCGCAGGCTCGAAGAGTGGGCGCACAGAGAGGATAGATGTGGGGTTCGTATGGAAATTTCATAGATGCCGGGGCGAGTTTAGCGGGATGTCAAATCCAGACTCCAGACTAGCACTACCCAGCGCCGGCCGAGTTTAGCACTAGTCTACGCACAGAGAACAGCGCTCTCGATTAAGCCGTTGTGCTTCGATCTTTACAGCTTTCAGCTTCGTTGGTATTGAACACTGGCTTGCCACTGCGACCTTAGTGCGTAGGATCAGGGCGTGGCAAGCGTGGAGGATGTAGCACGCTCAATCATTCAAGCAATAGGTAGTCAGGAGGCACATGCTATGAATTCGGTGCTGCTTACTTCGTTTCGTACACTTCGTCTTACTACGGGCCTCTCCTCCTCTCCTCTCCTCTCATCTCATAGTAAATGAAATAGGGCAATCCGTACCCATCTAGAGAAATTACAATGTCGGAAGCCAGCCCAGAAAACGCCGCTGTCTTCATGCTGATCATGCATGCTGATCGCGGATAATCATGTCGTCCGCTGATACTGGTGTTGGTACTGAGATAAGTACCGGAGCCGCCTGTGGTATACCATGAAAACGCCGTGGAATGCAATCAATGAACCGAAACAGGCGCCATGCCCAACTCCCCTCCTCACCCTCTCCGCCTCCTGTGCTGCTGCTCTCCGCTGGACTATGTTCGGTGCCCTGCTACGGCGAGCCCTGCGCGAGCGGTGTAGGCGCAGGCGGACTCCCTGCCTTCCCCATGCTCAGCTTGAGCTTCTTCGCCTTGGGCGCGCCCTCGTCGACCGACTCGGAGGGCTCACGTTCCCGCTTCTCAGACATGTTGCTGTCTCTGCGCTCGGTGGGGTTGCCCGTCTTGAGCTTGATCTTCACGCTGCTGCCGTTGGGGGTGCCTTCCTTGGACAGCTTCTCGCGGTCCGCTTTCTTAACGTACGAGCTCTTTGTTTTCTTCTTCTTTCTTTCCGGGGTGTCATTCTCGCCGTCGGAGGCGTCGGCGTTGTCGCGCAGGTTCTTGACCGGGCTGATGCCTTTAGCTTTGGACTTGGGGATCGGGCCGTCGCCCTGCGAGCCCGGTGCTGGCGTCCCCATGCGGCTGCCCAGCGGGGTGTTGCCGCTGCCGCTGCCGTTGACGCCGGAGATCTTGGCCATGGCGGCGCGCGAGCTCTGGCGGCCGCTGATGCCGAGGCATTTGTCGAGGTGGTGCGCAAAACGTGTGATGAGTAGACTGCGCTTACACTTGGGACACGTGTGCCATGGTATGTAGCTGGCGGGCTTGCCACCAGTGTTGAGCTTGATCTCCTTGCCCTGCGTCCCGTCGCCGGCGTTCATGTCAGTGTCCTGCGACCCGGGGGTTCCCACGCTCTCCTTGTCCTGCTGTTTTTGCTGCTGTTTGAGTAGCTCGCGCTCCTTCTTGCTCTTAGCCATGTCCGTGGGGAACGGATTCCCGTAGACATCGTGCCCCGAGCGCTGCACCCACGGATACAGCATGCAGTACTCGCGGGTCAGGTCTGGCTGCTGCATGCCTTTGCCCATGATGGGGTGCATCAGCCGCGGCAGCTTGCAATGCGGGCATATGATCTCGGGAGTCGTCTTGAGCGGATTGCCCTTGAGGAACACCCGGCCGTTCTCGTAGAGCGCAGCGTCGGTTTCAGCGGTCGGCAGGGATGGCTGCGACTGCGAGTTCTTGATCGAGGGCGGCTCGATGTTGGCCAGGGCGAGGGATTCGGCAGAGGTGGCGGCCGACTGCATGCGCAGCTGTTTCTCGGAGCGGTGGCACGAGAGCGCCGTCTGGTATATTATGTTGTGGATGAGCGACTCGAGGATGTCGCGCGTCTGTGTTGCGCACGCAGCGTTAGCAATGGTTCTGTGCAGCATCGCAGCGCCGGTGCAGCGTGCAGGGCTCGCGGCCTACCAGGTCCTCCAGCATGCCGGGCGCCAGCGTCGCAGCGCCGGTGCCGTCGCCCTCGTTGCCGTCCGCCGGTCTGTCCTCGGACATGGTGGGTGGTATGTCCTTGGGTTAGCACATCAAACCGCTGGGTGAACTGGTCCGAGGCCCTGAGACAGTTGGCAGATGAAAGTAGCTAGGGGATCAGATGCGGAGTTAGCACTCCCGCCGCCACGCGACCCTCTTTCGTGAGGCTGAGCTGACTAACCACCACACCTCGGCCTCTTTCACACTTTCTCTTTCGACATTGTCCTGCACTTGCTAGTCCCCTGTGGGCGTGCATGTGGTTTGACGAGCAAACTTGTGGCTGGTTTGTTGAGTGCGAAGGGGTACCAAGCCACCGGAAAAGCTGCGCAACATTGAAGAGACACAATTGAAGCACGCCTCTTCAAATTCACTGTGTTGCGAATCAGACGTCCAACGACGATTACACAAACGGGTGAAAATCTCGACTTTTCCAGCACCATGCAAAGTCGCGGACGATCATCTAGCGCGACACCCAAGTGGCGCAGTAGCAGACGAAGCCGAGCAGCGCTTGTTTGATGCTTGTGCGACCTTGTCTTCACTTTTGTATTGGTATTGATCATCTATGGGCAGCTAAGTTGCGGGGTTAAGCCTGACTGGCAAAGCAAACTTACTAGTTGGCATCGATTGCTTCGTCAATGTTGACGTGAACGGGGTAAAGCAACCTACCAACATTCAATTTACGTACCACACACACTTCAACGCTGATACTTGAGTATAAACCGGCATGCCTTGCCTGTTGTATGCATACTTGAACATTGATTACCTAGAGTCTTCAACATCAGCACCTACACCATCCTGTAACAGGTCCGCACCGATCTTATATACTCTTGTCAGGATAGAGCTACAGCTACAGCTACAGCTTCAACTTCACCAGCGATCTCTTCATTAGGTTTAAAGAGACACTTCTGTCCCCAGTTGACGTTACTATTCTGCGCTGCGACTACCTTTCTTAAGCTCACCCTTCATTCGCAATGCCCCGAAGGAGAGACAACAACCCTAAAGATGAGGAGGAATACGAACAAGGGGATTTCGACGAGTAGGGAAACGAAGAACAAAATAGAAGCGATGACAACGGTAGCTTCTATGAGGTCGAGGGCGAGGGCGAGGAAGAGGATGAGGAAATGCGATGGGACGAGAGCGCCTACGATGATGGCCAGACAGCAGAGCAAGGGCAACAGCAAGGAGAGGAAGAAGAAGAGGAAGGCGAGACTGACACCCGAGCAAGACGGATAAAGCTACCCACAATATTTCGACAACCGCGAAACGGAGGAGTCACCGCCCCCTTCGTCTCAAGGCTCAAGCCCGGAGCGCGAGATCCGAAGAGACACTACATGCGATATGTGCGCATTCGGCCCCTGTGACAGGGCTTTAGCAGCGGGGTGACTGGGCACCAAATGATCATACCAGAAGGTGGGAAGTGTGAATGCTGCGATTGGGACCCTGTTGTTCCGATGGAGTAGAGCCTCACGAGCACCAGATGTGCGATGGGACGGTGATCTGATGGCTGGATGCATTGGTTACCCTGTGGAGTTACAGGGGTTTCGATTTTGTATGCACATTAATTTTGGGCTAGTTGTTACCTGTGGTGTTTGAGCACTGGATTTGGATCTACCGCTTTTTTGCATACTTGGATTTACTGCTTTATCTTAGACTCGGATTGTTGGCGCTATTGGTCTTTATCCAAGCATTGCGTAATACGACGGGATATATCATGTTATTGTGCCTGTGATAGCGCAGTTGCTGGACGACAGCTCAATTCACATGGTGGACTGTTATGCCTCCATTCAGGATTCTCATCAATATGACTCCCAAAAAGCAACGTGCGGCGCCGTAAGGGTGACTAAACTAGGCTGAATAGGATCGGAAAGATATCATCAGGGGGTTCAGAAATTCCTGTGTTATTTCTTTTGTCTCATGTGGATACTCCATCTCTCAGCACCACCCGCACGCCTTTGGAATCTAGTCGCGGCGACGGATTGAAGAAGTCATGTGCGCACTCTACATCTTCCCTCCCTGTCCCAAACAACTCCATCCGCCTCCCCACCCCACCAGGCCCAAATAGCGCCCCCAGCATAACATACAACTCCGCGTACGCGAGCCACATCCCCGCGCACGCCCGCGTGCCCTTACTAAACGGCACGAGATACGCTTTCCTTCTCTTCAACTCCACGATCTCGTCCTCAGAAGAGTCTGAGGAAGTGAGCCAACGCGAGGGATCGAATGTGTGCGGGGATGGAAACGCACTGGGGTCGAGGTGCATGAACATGGGTGTCATGCTGACGGGAACGCCGGCCGGGATCGTGTAGTCGTATGCTCTCCCGTTGTACACGGCTTCATACCGGAGGGCCGTGTCGGGAGATATGCGAGCGAGTCTGTGGGATACACCGAAGGAGAGCCGCAGACCTTCTGCTACCAGGGCTTGTAGGTACGGTGAGTGTTCTAGGCCCGCCAGCGGCATTGAAGAAGTTCCTGGAGAGATATTATTGTATAGAGAGGACAGTTCTGTTTGCAGATGGCTCTTGATAAGGGGATTGGCGAGTATGTGGTAAAGGAGGGTGGTTAGGGTGTGAGCCGTGGTCAGAGTGCCGGCGCCGAGGAGGGTGAAGGCTTCATCTTCGAGTCGGGGGGTGAGGAGTTCTTGCGCAGGGAGTGTGGATGTGAGTAACGTGTGCAAGGCCGTTGGTTGTGAGGCGAGGTCCCGTATGCTTTCTTTTTCTTCCGGACTGGAAGAGCCAAGAGAGCTCCGTGTTTTCTCGATCTTGAGTTTGATGTCGTTGCGAATATTGAAGAGACGGGTGCCGGGTGGATGGAATAATGACACTATAGATGGCGGGATGAATTTGAGCAATGGATAAGTCCAGGGAAATTGTTTCATAATGTGAGTGCCACTGCTCAGGTCCTATCGGGCTATCAGATTCAGGCTTAGTCTTGGAAGGGGAGATACGCACCATCATGAGTTTATGCCATGCAGGTTCAAAGTCCTCTCTATCTAGCAAACCATAGTTGCTCCCGAACGCTACGATCCCAATAACATCCGCAGAGAACGCAGCAAAGAAGTCGCGCAGGTTCAGCACACGGCTCGCTACTCCCCTTCTTCGCAATAAGTCACACCCGTGATCAACCAGATCTTGAACAGTATGTCCAAGATCTGCCACCGTCCTTTTCGAGAAGAAGCCATTCAACGCCCCTCTTCTGATTCGGTGCAGTTCATGTCCTGTTGTCCCAACCGCCGCTGTGGTTGTGCCAAACATGCGTGCGCTGTATTCCCATTTTTCTGTCCTCCGACCCGGTCCCACGTATACGGAGTCATAGAATGCCGGATCTGCCACATGCAACTCTTTTGGGTTGATCCGGACTATGGGTCCGTAGATCTGATGCAGCTCTTGAATTTTCCATGAATACCGCCCCTTGCACACGACATCGTGGTAGAACTCGTACCAGAAGGTCAATGCCGCTAAGCGAGGTCCAGGATATCGCGCGATGGGACTGTAGAAAAGTCTATAGACTGCGCCGACAATGGCATAGATGCACGCTGAGATGCAGACAAGAAGGATCGTGCGAGAGTGCAAAAAAACATCCATCGGGCGGCGAACGATTCCAGGAAAGGCACACTTTGAAGGACATTTTCATAATGCAGGAACAACGAGGGGATCTCAGTGAGGCGAAAGCGCGTAAGCGAGGTTCCTGTTCGCCTGGGCGCAATCATGTGAAGCGGCATTATCAGCGTGACGTGATAACGAAACTTCTCCCACGGCGAAAGCATGGAGGCGATTGTTGGAGCATTCACGATGAGGCTCACAGTCCCGTGACTCGGCTGAAAGAAGACTTCTCAGCACGGCCTACTAGCTTTTGATCGGCGTACGTTCCCTATCGTCGAGAGCGCGAAACTTTGAACACGCTCAAGCGAGACAATTGTGGGGTCCAGGCGCGTGACGTCATCGATAGTTTCCGTGGCTTGGACATGTTCAGAGCTTGTGCGGAAATTGTGCTGCGCTGCCTGCAAGTAAGCGAAGATGGTACAAGCGAGTTCGCTCGTTTGGCGGCGTGAACAATGCAGAGTATCTCCCAGGCTGAGTCCGCAGTGCCTCATAGTTGCCTGGTAATGCTTCGGGTGCGCAGAGTCCCTTGAATTTGGGAAGGGGTCGAAGACGAAGAAGACCAGACTGTTCCGTCTATCGAAGCAGGTCTCGAAACATGAAGAATGCTTGAGGGAGCAAGAGGCTCGTGCTTGTGTCTGATGGTTGTGCCCACCGCAGTGCTTGTCAAGAGTCAATAGGCACGCCTCCGTGATTGGCCCCGCAACCCCAATCGCCGATCCTCCACGTGCTGGGGTGTACGAATTGCCTTGTTGAGGAAGCCTTGCGGTCTTGGAGAGGGCTAAGAAATTCCCCGGCGAAGAGTCTTTCGGGACCCGATGCTGCTGGCCATGGCCTCGTGCATTCGGCGCGGATATGAGCGCGAGACTGCTGAAGGGGATTGCGACGGACAGCAGTAACCTGTTCAACGGTCTGGCCTGGAACATGGAGGCTCTCCCGTATCGAGCCGCACAGTGGACCGTGAAACCTGAGCCAGACCCGTTCGGTGGGCAGAGCCGATAAGCGTCGCGCTGCACGAGCCACAAATTACATCAATCGCAGCTTCCCGCATGCATCGTGAGAAAGCGCGCTCGGCTCAGAAGCCAACACCAACGCGGCCTGTATTTACTTCTCTTGCCTGCCTCCAGCCGCCGACCTCCCACTTCTCCTCGTCCTACGTACGCAGCCTATACCCATTGTTTCGTCCGATCATTCCTTTGCATCTTCTGTTCTAGTCTGGCCGATTGCCTATTGACCGCTATAACTCGCTAGCGACAATTGCCATTCTCTCTGCAGCACCACCACCAGTCACTCGTTTGACACCCAGCCCCACCTACTGCGAGGGCACATACAGTCGCCATGGTTCTCATTGAGAATCAAGAATACCTCTGCGAGGAGGAGAAGCGCCTCAAGCAGGACCGCGAGCGCACCGCCTACTGGAAGAAATGGGGCACCTACCTTGCCGAGCGGCAGTGGGCGACCGGTAAGCCCTGTTGCTGAACGATTGAGGATTCCATGCTAACAAGCCATAGTTCGCGAAGACTACTCGTGAGCCTCGTCAATCCTCCGCTGACATCTACCTATGCTAACCCCACTACAGCCACGACGGTGACGCATGGAGCCGTGAGTGCAATTCCGCTCGAGGCGCGAAGCTGGCTGACTGTGCTAGATTTTACTCACGACATGGCGCGCTCAAGAGCCTTTCGATGGGGCGAGGACGGCATTGCTGGCATTTCTGACTCGCATGGACTACAGAACATTGGCTTCGCCTTTTGGAACGAGAAGGAGTGAGGTCAATCGATTCCATGGACTAGGCTGGCGCTGATAAAAGGTAGTGATTTTCTCAAGGAACGCTTGTTTGGCTTGTCCAACCCACAGGGCAACCACGGCGAGTCGTTGAAGGAATGCCACTTTCACTTGGACAACACTCCGACGGTACGTAGCTGCGGCCCCGAGCGTCTTCAAAGCTAATTCGGAGACAGCATTCGTACACCAAGTATCTGTACAAATACCCCCAGCGCGCATTCCCGTACGAAGACCTGATCAAGGAGAACGCGAAGCGTACCAGGCTCGAGCGCGAGTACAATATGATTGATACTGGCATTTTCGATGATAACAAATACTGGGATATCTTCATCGAGACTGCGAAGGAGGCGGACAATCCCGAGGAGATTCTGTGCCGTGTTACAGCATACAACCGTGGACCCGAGCCTGCCCCGCTGCACATTGTGCCACACGTATGGTTCCGCAACACTTGGTCCTGGGGACACGAGGAGCCCGAGAAGCGACCCTCTATTCGAAAACTTGGCGAGACCACAGCAGTCTCCAAGCACCACAAGCTTGGTGAGCGATATTTCCAGTTGTCGCCATCTCCGGGCGTCGGCCCCAGTGGGGATGATGTGCAGCCCAAGCTGCTGTTCACAGAGAACGAGACCAACTACAAGACACTATGGGGCGGAGAGAACAAGACACCTTACGTCAAGGATGGCATCCACCGCCACATCTGTGACAACGAGAAGGATGCTGTAAATCCTGAGAATTTCGGGACCAAGACCGCCGCGTGGTACGCATTCGACGAAGGCGATGGCGTTGCTCCTGGCGAGTGTGCCGTTGTGCGTTTCCGCTTCTCTCAGCGGTACGATGGCTACATCGACGAAGAGCTCTTCGACGACATCATGGAGCAACGTCGCGCTGAGGCGGACGAGTTCTACTACCGAATCAGCCCGATGCCAATGGCAGATGACCTGCGCAACATCCAGCGTCAGGCTCTGTCCGGCATGCTCTGGTGCAAGCAATACTACCACTTCATTTGGGACCAGTGGGCTAACGGCGACCCTGGTATGCCTCCACCTCCCCCGGGTCGAAAGGCCATACGGAACAAAGAGTGGAAGCACATGTTTCTGGACGACATCCTGTCTATGCCTGACTCGTGGGAATATCCGTTCTTCGCTGCATGGGACAGCGCTTTCCACTGCCTGCCGCTGGCCATGATCGATCCGGACTTCGCCAAGAAACAGCTGGATCTGTTCACGCGCGAATGGTACATGCATCCCAATGGACAGCTGCCCGCCTACGAATGGAACTTTGGTGATGTGAATCCGCCTGTGCACGCATGGGCGTTGTACAGGGTCTTCAAGATCGAACGCAAGATGTACGGCCGTGAAGACTACGACTGTCTGGAACGTGTCTTCCAAAAACTCCTCCTCAACTTCACGTGGTGGGTAAACCGCAAGGATACGGATGGCAAGAACATTTTTGAAGGTGGTTTCCTTGGCCTCGACAACATCGGTATCTTCAATCGCTCCGACCCGCTACCAACGGGCGGTGTACTCGAACAAGCAGACAGCACAGGATGGATGGGCTTCTTCTGCTTGAATATGCTCAACATCTGTCTCGAGCTTGCGAAGCGCCGACGCATTTACGAAGACATGGCTTCTAAATTCTTCGAGCACTTCATCATGATCAGCGACGCAATGCAATACCGCTCGGGCGGAGAAGCAAAGCCGCTCTGGAATGATGAGGATGGCTTCTATTACGATGCTATATCGTGGGGTGGTCCTTGGAGCCATCAGATGCCGGTGCGGTCTTTAGTCGGCTTGATTCCCCTATATTCTACCCTGACTCTCGAACCCGAGGTTATCAATCAGTTCCCAAGCTTCAAGAAGCGAGTCAACTGGTTCATCGAGAACCGCAAAGAAACTGCTGACCGCAACATTGCATCGATGAAGAAGCGCGGTGAGGGTGACCGCCTCCTCCTGTCTCTTGTGAACGAAGACCGTCTGAAGAAGATAATGAAGAGGATGCTGGACGAGAGTGAGTTCCTCGCAGACCACGGCATCCGCTCCATGTCCAAGTATCACAAGGATCATCCCTACTCAATGGATGTAAACGGGCAACGCTATGAAGTAGCCTATCTCCCTGGCGACTCGGACAGTGGACTTTTTGGCGGCAACAGCAACTGGCGTGGACCGATCTGGATGGCCGTCAACACCCTCCTCATTGAATCCTGCCAGCGATTCTTCCTATACTACGGCAACAACCTAAAGGTTGAATGTCCCACCGGATCCGGCGACTACATGCATCTCGGACACGTGGCCGAGGAACTGCAGCATCGCCTCCAGCATCTCTTCGCGCGCAATGACGAAGGTGAACGAGCCGTAAACGATGGCAACGAGATGCTGAACTTTGATCCCAACTGGAAAGACTACTTGTGGTTCCACGAGTTCTTCGATGGCGACACGGGCCGCGGTCTCGGCGCAAGTCATCAGTGTGGTTGGACTGGTCTGATCGCAAAGATGATCCATGACACTGGGTAAGCTACCTTGTCCTGCTTACGTGAAACTTACTGACACGATGCAGCATGACTTGCCGTCTCCCTCAGACGCCACGTACACCAACAGCCGCAGCCGCCCATTACTTTGATGACATATGGAGCACAGCGGGCAAGCCGAAGAAGCCCCACCACCTCCGCCGATCATCCACTAGCCGTAGTATCGGCTTCCGCAGCGACTGGGGGGGTTCAGCCAATGGTGATGATGTCGAGCCTGAGAGGGCAAACTTCAACCGTACGAATTCGATCGGTTACCTCGATGCGGACGCGCTCCGGAAGAAGCAGGAAATGGACCAACATGTTGCCAGCTATGTCAGCGACCAGCTGTCCAGAATCAAGAGCGGCGATTCGAATGAGTTCGACAGCGGAGAGTTGGAGGCCAGCCTAGACGGCGGTTTGGAGATGAAGCCTAATGGCCGCAAAAAGGGTCGCGAGAACTACTTTTCGAAGTAACGTTGTGCATAGCTACAAGCATACCTGGGCGTAGACTGGCTGGGGTTTTTAAATTGGGTTTGCTGAATCAGGCCAAGAAAAGTTTGATGCAATGGGGTTGGTCGACCTAGAGAAGACCTAGATAGCTTCGCTGCTGCTATTTGTTAGCACGCTTAACACTTATCGCACTGTCCACTGCCTCCTCCCATCCCGTTCCGCATTGTCCAAAGAAGGCACATCGTCATCATAGACTTCCCAAGTAGGAACATATGTGGCCAACGGCAGGCACGTGTTCCTTTCACCCTCACGCCTGTCACTTCGCGAGCCCCACTTTCCTCGCTTCTAGGCCTGCGACGTCACCAGTCTAGCGCACGACGTCGACTCGACGGGCAAGCGACAACACAAGCTCCACCAAGCTCCACTTTACTTTACAAGCACCACCCCGCAGCAGTTTTATGCGCTACTAACAAATTATTGAGTCATTGTTAGCACTTTCACTCACGAATCTGGACCTACACTCGCTCGCACGCCGCGGCGGCATTGGCATCGCCATGGAGAACAATCAGTCGGCCTCGCGGGCTGCCCAGCGCTTCCTCATGGACCGCGTGCGCACCGACTGGAGCTGGCCCGACACGCCCGATGCCTGGTCGCAGTCCGATGAGGAGGTGCGCGGCGTGACTTCTTTCCGGGAGCGTTTCTATGGCACCTCGTCGCCCTCAGAAACCGAGGCCGAGGGTGCCGACGGCAGCGACCCATATAAGTTCGACAGCCCGGATAGCATCGGCGATGCAGTAGAGCAGAAGGCTCAGCGAAAGAAAAGGCAAAGGAGGATTGCTCTCGAGGAAGAGATGAAGGTGAACGAGGGCTTGCGCACGTTTGTGGAGAGACGGGACGCATGGACGGGTGTGGCGAGTGTCCACAAGTATGGCACCGCCGGGCGCCCTGCAAAGACGCAGACTGCCACGCAGACGGCCCAGGCCGAGCGATCACCGTCCATCAGCGCCGACATCTCTTCGTCCAACGCCCCGACGCCCATGAGCGTCGATTCCCAGGCCTCCGCTGCCGCTGCCCACGACGAGTCCTTTCGCACCGCAGTTGCTACCACCGACGAACCACTCGTGCCAGTCGCGCCTCGCCTTCTCGCCGACAATGCGGTTCGGAAATCTATTACGCCCCGAGCATACCCCGACATCTTTAACAAGATTGTTGTTTCCTCGCGCACACCGTCAGTGCCTATCAATCTCGCCGACATGACTAAAGCACTCGTTGCTGGCTGGAAAGAGAATGGTGAGTGGCCTCCCAAGGCCGCACCACTCGATCCGCTGGCAGGCAAGAAGCGAGCTGCTCTTGCAGCCGTGCGCGCAGAGAACGGGGAGCCCTTTCTAGCACACCACCCACATCTGCAGAAGGGCATGGACTCGGTCAGAAAGATATTCCACCTCAACGGACAGGCGAAGGAGAGTGGCCATGGCAGCGGCCCTGCGAATGCTGGCTGATGAGTGAAAAGACAAGATCAGAAGACAAAACTTTTACAAGGCTCAAGCTGATATGATGCGCGCAGCACAACCGTGGCTATTTCATACTCAGGCATCGTACAAGTTGATGTATGCCAATGGGAGTCCACATGGCGAGCCGTGTGACAAAGTTGTGAACATTGAGCTCCCCCAAACGCTGCTCGGGATGGCGTCCTACTCCAGCGGTGCGGTCTGCAAGAGCCAGCCAATGCCACGAATGCATTCAGCGCCCCCGCTACTGGTCTTTTCGCTCCAAGTTGATTGTCAATTCCAGCCTCGGAGTCACTCAGCCCCTGAAAGTCATACTGAGATACAGAGTATACCAGCTCCAGACTGTCAGCCTGAGCCTTGGAGTCGTTCAGTCCCACCGAGTCAACCCTCGCTACAGCCCAGATCTCGAAGTCACTCAGCCCCTGGCGTTCGCAACGAGATCCAGAGTATACCATGCCCCGATTGTCAACTCATGTCTCGGAGTGCATCAGCCCCACCAAGTCAACTGTTGCTACAGCATCATTCATCTCCAGACAATGGTCTATTTCTGCAGGGCGATATATTACCTCGAAATCATCCACTGGTCCAAGATCATCCAGACCTGATACTCCCGTCAACATCAGAATTCAGTCTGCCGTCAGAGCGATTCCACGCACCAGACCTGAACTTCCCATCAGTATCAGATGTCGTCGACCCATCCATATCCCAAAATACATTAGTCATACAAGGCCAGCCCACCCCCATAGGTGCCCAGAATCAACCTTGGCAGAAAACACAAGTCTCCGAAAGCCAGCCCGCGCCCCTGGCTAGATCAGGTTTTACACGCGCTCAACATCAGCGTACCCCGAGGCAAACAGGCTATGCCAGCAGTTCGACACCGGCGACTCAATTCGACGTTGAAGATCCAGCCGCAGCGCCTCCAGTCGGTCTCTAGAGGGGACTCACGAGGACGCTATGCAGGGGGTGCTGTGGGCCGTTGGACTTTTAATGCTGGGACGCTGAGAGGATGGGTGGAAAGGCATGAGTATGGATGGTGATGAATATTGTCATCATCACGATTAGGGATCGAGTATGCTTTCCACTCGCGCGATCATTTCGGTTGCAGTAGTTTCTAATTCATTCAATCAATCGCATTGACACTCACGCCTCACCACAGTATTGGTTCTGAACGCGGGTTCGGTGGGATACACTTCGATGTAGACATCTATTATGGGGTGATATGAGGTAACACATCGCAGATTGTGGACGCAGATGTCCCGAGATTCTTCTCTGTCTCTACAGTACATACGTCTTGCAAGCTTACCGGCCTACACGGCAACCCTGTCCTTCTCAGGCGTGTCGCCCTGCGCGCGCCACCCCGCCCTCTTAAACGCATCGAGCGCCTCCAGCCGCGCGATCACGCCGGATAACAGCGGCCAGGCGCTGAAGTCGAGGCGGTAGAAGCGGGCCTGCTCGACTTGCGGGATGAGGACCACGTCGGCGAGCGTGACTGTTTCGCCAGCGGAGTACGGACCGTCCGGGAAATAAGTGGATAGCATGGACTCGTAGGCGGTGAAGCCTTTGCGCATGATGGCGTGGACGAAGGAGATGGCGTCGTCTGTAGAGCGCGGTTTAGCTCAAGGGGACGGGGAGGGCATGTGGTGCGAAGGTTGAGGAGGGGACGACGTACCGCGCTCGCCGCGCACGCCCTTGACCATCTGTGCGACGCGCGAGTTTGTGGGTGGGAAGATGTCAGAGGTTATTATGTAGGCTAGTTCGCGGACGCGGGCGCGGGCTAGGGGGGCCGAAGGGGATGGGAGGAGCGCTGGCGTCGGGTGGAGTTCTTCTACTGTTTGAGAGAAACTCTGTCAGTGCGTGGGGGGTTAGGCGCGAGATGAACACACTGCGCGTGACTCCGGGGTGCGGGACGTACAGTACTCCAGTATCGCGACGCTCTGGCATATCTTGAATTCTTCTTGCCCTTCTGTTTGCACGATTAAAGTGGGGATTGAGGCGCTGGGGTTCAGTTTGCGGTATTCCTCGGACTCGTGGTCGTCTTTGGCCACTGTGGTCGTCAGTGCGGAGGAAGGTGGGAGGGATGGAGGCGCGGACTGTCGAGGTAATGTGGGACATAAGTGAGGTTTTTCAAATTGAAGGCTATGCGGATGCGTGCGGCGCAGGAGGAGGAGTAGAAAGTGTAGAGGTGGTAGGTTGTTTTCGGGGCCTGGGAGGACATTGTGTTGGTTGTTAGAGTTGCGATCTAGATGTTTTCGGTGTGAACAGTGCGTATGTATGCATCTGGACGGTCTTCTTGTTAAGTATGAATTGCTGCCTGATCTATTTGAGGCAGAGAACGAGGTCAGACGGTGTCCTAGACACCTTCCTATTGTAGTAAGATGCCTTAAACTACAAAGTGGGTACCTATCCGCTACAGCTTGTAAGAACTTGCATGTTAACGTTGAGTATTTAGGCCCAGCTCTTTTGTCTCATGTGACGGCTTGTTGAAAGGGCATTGTGACTCTCGCGGCGGTTAAGTCACGCCTCTATTTGTGTTGTAGTGATCCGATCGTGGGACAGAGTTCCTTATTTGGCCTGTCATGCAGTCCATAGTCGTAGGATTTGTTGGCCCCAGAGTAATGTGAGGTGCGTTGGAGCAAGTGCGGGGCAGTCACCACCAACGCCTCTTTGTACAAAATGGCTACGTCAAACCCTACACAAGCTAGCTTCCCGAAACCGCATGCATGTCGCCATTGCTCAACCTTCGTCGTTCACCTACCCGACGTCTCCGGCGAAGATGCAGGGGGCGCCGAGTGCATAACGCATCCGACAAATCCAAGCCAGAAGCGACTCGCAGTTCAGCTGTTTAGCGAAGACTTCTGGACTGAGGAATGGGCCGAATATCGAAACTATTTCTTCCAAAGGACCTCTGGAATTTCTTTTTTCGATGCGACCAAAAATGACCTGGAGCGATTTGCCAGCGATGGATGCCTCCTCGCTCAACGTTATGTGGCATCACTGGGAGATGAACTTCCTGAGAAGTATGCCATTGGAGCTAGAGTGCTGAAGGCTTCTCACTGGAGTGTCGAGCTGGGTCGAGTGGACTTGGAGGATCTGCGGTGGGAGATGCTGCTTGCTGAAGAGGAGGAAGAGCCGGATAATACTTATTCTCTCCTGGCGCGAGAAGGTAAGCGGTGGCCATGTAGGCTGGAGAGACAGATGAAGTTGACGTGGTGAATCTAGGTAGTGCCGTCGCTCAGGTTCTTGACAATCACGAAATCAACCTGCAGCCCAACGCTGCTCCTGCTTTGCAAGAAGCGAAGCGATGGCTAGAAGCCTGTTTGCACAATCATCAGGAATGCTCGAGGCCTGACTCTACCTTTACGCCAACCAGACTGGTGCAGATCTCCCCCGAGTGTCGATTATGTGAAATGGGTACACAGGTTGAGCCCTATGCTGCATTGTCATACTGCTGGGGTGGCGACCAGGTCTTCAAGACGACTATGCAGATGCGACCTCGGTACCTAGACACAATCGATTCCACGCAATTGCCTCAGACACTTCAAGACGCCATATACGTTGCGCAGCACCTCGGACTGAACTATATATGGATCGACGCACTCTGCATTATACAAGACTCCATTCCTGACAAGGCTGTAGAAATAGGTCGCATGGCTCAGGTGTACGGTAATGCGACCATAACTATAGGTGCCACACGGGCAAGTGCAGTCTGGAACGGCTTTCTGAGCACTCGCTCGCCGCTTGCGGCAGCTACTCCAAACATGGTTTTCGCCCTCCCGTGCCAACTCAATGGTCGATACACGGGTTCCGTCACCTTGCTTCCATTCACGAGCGAAGGCATACAACCATTGGACACAAGGGGTTGGACCTTCCAAGAGCGCGTCTTATCTCCTCGCATCATCGATTTTGGTACTCTCCGCACCCAGTACACCTGCCAGACACCTTTGAAGCGGGTCCCGAGTGACGGCTGGTCGCACCTCCCTCTGGACCGCGCGTACGGCACCGGCCTCGACGCTCGCCTGATAGCTAATCTCCTCGCTGGGCTCCATCCTCCGGAGGAAATGCTGCACCATTGGATGACCATTGTAGAAGGCTTTACGTCCCGGGGCCTGGCGTTCGCCACTGACAAGCTGCCCGCAATAGCTGGGATGGCAGAACATTACGGTACTTTGCTAGACGACCAGTACTGCGCCGGCCTCTGGCGACGCGGCATGCCTGCGAATTTGCTCTGGACGGCCGGCGACCGCATCCAACAGATTTACAAGGACTTCGAGCCACGTCTTTCCGGCGCCGACGTCGCCGCCCCTTCGTGGTCTTGGGCAGCCGTAAGCCGAGTCGTCACGCATAGAAGCTTGTACACCGCATTCCAGAACACAATCAGGTGGAGCATCGAAATCGAAGACTGCGCTATCACACTCGCGGACGCCCGAACACCGTATGGTGCTGTCTCTGATGCCTCTCTCATCCTCCGCGCCTATGCAAAGAAAGCGAGCTGGAACCAGCGCGATGCGCGGATCCTCATGTCCGCACCGGACACACCAAACGTCGAAGACTTCTTGCACTCGCTTCACGGCACCGGATCAACGGGCATACCATTCGGCCCTGATGCGCTGGAAAAAGAATTCCAAGAGGATCCGAAGTGCGAAATGGAGGTCTGGGCGTTGTTATTTGGCACGGATGAGCCGGACAAAAGGACGGGGCTGAATTCTTCGTTCTTTGGGCTCGTTCTTAGGAGGGCGAGAGATGGAGAGGGGTTTCAACGGGTGGGAGACTTCCATAAGACGGTGGCGTGGGAGGGGTTCGGCGCGTATATGGCATGGTTTGAGCAAGGAGGGAAGCAGCAGTTTGTCGTGAACTAGGTGTTACTCAGCCCCAAAAATCGCATAGTAGAAGCAGGCCCGAGGTTAAGCGTCAATTTGCACGAGATGAGCAAAGACAACTAGATGGTGCCTGAGTCGGCGAGCCATTCGGCGTCGCTTCTAATTCGTGGTGACTAACTATCGTACACGCGCTCCATCCTGGCTATCTTACACTCGGGCACAACGCCCTCGCCCCACAGAGTCATGAAACATATAAACAAAGAACGGATGAGCCATAGAACTAACGTTGCAGAAGATCTGCCGACTTCTCTTACGCAGTTAAAGGCGGTCTGAACGTGAAGGGTCGTGTAATGAGTGTCGGGGGTATAAAGCAATGAAACGACAAAGGCTAGCTAAAAGTGTGAAAGATGTGTCTGGGCAGTGGCCGTTAGGTAAGAAAATCTGGAATGAGGTATAAGAAATATGGAAATTATGTCCGGTATGCGGACCTCCGGTCGAGGTGCGATGGCGCAGGAGACTTGACACCCAGGTTTAGTGGTTCGGGCATGAGGCCGGGAGACTGTGAGAGAGTGGGGGAAAGCATCATCGGCAGCATCGCCTGATCTTGTGCCTTGGTCAGGTACTGGGCATTCTGGTGGCCCGGCAGCGGCGTGATGGGCAGCGGCTTGTGGAAGAGGGGCATACGGATAGGCCGTTCTTGAGAGTCCAGGGGGCCTAGGACGGCCATGTTTTCGGGGAGGCGGGGCAGTCTGGGGATGTCTGGGCTGAATGGCGACATGCGGAGGGGGTTCATGGGGTGCTGGTGGCCATTGCTTAGGTTGAGTTGGCGTGGGTTATTGTGAGTCGTTTGAGGCACGACATAGGAGTTTGAGAGAGGCTGGAGTTCGGTCGAGGTGGGGACGTTCATGCTGTTGCTGGGCGTTCGGGAGTGACCATTCCTGCTACCTGTGCGTGATTGATTGGCGCTAGTAGATTGAGAGCGCCCGTGGGCTGTGGGTGTGTAAATCGGCCCCGTGCTGCCTGATCGAGAGTGACTTCGGCTCGTCTGAGAGGATGGCTTGTACCCATGACTAGCGGCACTACCTGACCGAGGGTGGTCTGGTTTCCCAAAAGAGTCTGCAGTGTGCGGTCGACTACTTCCGGAGTGGCATCGCATGTGTTTTGGTTGTTCCACGTCGAACCTAGAGGTATTGTGGTATTGCGATCCCCGAAGTTGCGATCCTTCTGGGAAGTACACAGGCATCATGGAGGTCAAAAGTGGTCGCATGGAAGGCAAGCACGCGCAGATGATACCCACGTTCGTCTCAATGGCCGACAGCATCGCCGCAGGCGGGTTGTCGAAAGTAGGATCCGTCGAATTCGAGATGGATACCAGAGTCTGTAGCCGAATGATGGAGACAAGGCACACACTAGTCTTCGTTAGTGCATGAAGACGCGTCAATGGCAGATAATACTTACACGCCTCCCAAGCCGAACACAGCGATGAGCGCCTTCTTCTGCCTGCTAGGTATCGGCAGGCTCTTCAATACGGCGATCGGGAGGATCAGAATTACAACATCTTGCACGATGTTGATGGTAGCATTAGAAAACCATATAGCTTCTTGGTTGAGACACCTTCCATCGGCAATGGTCTTATCCCAGAAGAATGCCACTGGAAAGCAGAGAAAGATACTTCCTAGCAGCGTCCAGAGACCGTACAGCGCGACAAATGCCATGACCACATAACACGCAACGCGATAACGAGGAATGGGGAAGACGCGCAGGTACTGCGTCAATATGGACATCTTGGTGGCGGTCAATGAAAGATTATAGATCCAGACACTAGCCCAGAACGCCTACTCATTCGATCAGCTGGTGTTAACCAAATACAAGCATTCACATTACCTTCAATGAGTCCGTCATCATAGCTGGAGTCAACTCTTGCATATGCTTGCCCAGTCCATTCTGAACCTGTAGGGCGATCGTAACTGTTAGGCCAATGGACAGAATCTGTACTCAGCGTTAACAATAGGTCTACTTTGTACAATATGTACACTCACCATAGCAAGAGAAATCCAAGCATCCTCAGCACCTGCTTTGTGAAGAAGCAATCCTCGAGTGAACAAACGAAGGAACATAATAAGCCCAGCCATCAGCGTGAAGACCAAAACGACAGTGTTAAGCATCGTCTGCGCCATGCCAGCTGGCGAGGAAGCCATTAGGAAGAAACGAAAGGCTTGATGCCAGCACCATTCAGCAGAAGCGAAAGTAAGAAGAGCTACCACAACCCCAGCACCTCATCTTTGGGGAGTCCAAAGGAGCATCGAAAGCAAAAACGAAGAGAATGACGAGGAAAGCCCGGGCATACACTAAACCTGACAGCGGGATGGCGGGCAAATAGAGGTAGGAGCGCGGGTCGCTGAGGCAGCTACCCACAGCTCTGGAACAATTCTTCGTGATCTTGACATCGATTGGAGTATGCACGGGCCGGCACATTGCCCCTGCAGGGTGCTCTGTCATGTAGGGGGTAGCATGCTCGAGCCGTCACGTATTCCGCCGTGCCTGTATGATCGCTCTCAGCAGTGCGACAATAATTGCAGGAGATATAGAATCTGCAAACGCTGTCAGGTTGCCATTGGAAGACGATGAGAAACAGCAGGCTACTTGGCTGCGGCCTGAAAACCAAGAGAGAAACTGCAGCTAGGCACGAGTTTGAGGTCGCACCCGTCTGCACCTCGTGGCTGCACAGCTCGCAGAAAGCCGGTGCTTTGCCGCTCGCAATTTCTTCCAGGAAAGAATTCGTGCTGAAGCCAAGGGTTTCGGATGGCAACCTGGTGGTTGGGAGGCTTTCGCGGGAGATGGAGTGCGCATCATAGGCGAATTGTACCGGTAACAGCTTGCCGAAAGCGCTACGCCGAATCCATTCACTGGAAGAACGAACATCACATCTCTGCACAACTCTGTGCGTTATCATCCGATCATTCCCATCCTCGCTCATATAGAGTCTTATAATCGTTCAACCGTTTCGTGAACTGCGACGGGAGTTTTTGGTTGGCTTCGGGACAGACGTCAGAATTTGAGACAGGGAATGTATGATCGACTTGAAGCGGGCCACATCAAACGGACCCCTCAACACCTGAAACCCTGGCACAGGCCGACCCACGGTATCAACGCTCACCACGACGCAGCATCCTTGACAAACTGCCTTGAGCTTCGCATTTTCGTTAAACAATAATAAGGTCGAACATTGGGCTATTATCACCGACACATCCAGAAACCGGGCGCAAGGCACAAACGGCTCTCCACCCGACGGATGAAATCTTTACGTGGTGAATTCTTCTTCGGAAGAGAGGGTACGGACCGGATGGAAGCTATTTTGCCAATGTGCTAGTACCCACTCCTTCCGCTACCTCCTACAGACAATGTCATAGTCTTCGGCTCATTCAGTAATGCGGATTAACTTTCGCAATGCAAGGTGGCAAACTATATCGCTACTTGAGACTAGGTAGCTGTCGAGAAGAGACAGGCACGAACCAGTAATCTTCGACTCAAGCAGGTAACCTACCTGGAAGCATGCATGCGATGTGGGCTACAATGGAAGAACAAAATGATCGTCATGCAAAGAATTGTACATTCGGAATAGCTATGGACTCGACATCCGTCTGTAAGCGAAGCCCTCCCCATGGCTTTTCTCTAGATTACAACTTCATGCACTCCTACAACTCGGGGCTCTCGTCAACGAACGGCGCTAGCCTCTCCTTGAGGTCCTCGACGCTCAGCTCATTACCAGTCCAGTACATCTGTTTTGTTCCTTCCGTCTTCGGCGGGATCAAGACATCGGACACGATCTGGATGACACCATCGCTGGCAACGCCGTCGTGGATGGTTACGCGCGAGAAGGCATTGATCCTTATCTCGACGAAGGGACCATATCTTGCGCTATCGACGGAGAGATACTTGTCCTTGAGGACGGTGGGCAGATCGACATGGAAATGGCGATAGTCATCAGTCTTCTCGTCGTCATCTCCGGACTGGTCAAAGAATGCATCGGAGTACAAGGTCTGGTCAACAACAATGTGGTACTCGAGGAGAGCCTTGAGGTACTTCAAGCCGTACTGGCTGAACAAGAAAGCGTTAGCCCTGGGACCGAGCTTCTTGAACGCAAAGTTCGAAGGCGCAAAGAAGGTTCCTCCCTGGTGAGGATAGTCGGTGCTATTCATCTTGTCCAAGAGATCAGTCTTGACCAGAGCAAGCTCCAAAGTGCTGAACTCGCCCGGAAGAAGATCGATGATAGTAGCGACTTGCGGAGGCGGGACGATGATGTGATCCACACCATGAATAACTCCATTTGTGCCGAAGATGTTGACTGCGACAAGCTTGCTGTAGAAATTGATCGTGGGTCCCTTCAGGGTCACGCGTACGGTGAGACGCTGCTTATGACCCAAGCTCTCAGGCTCGAGAAGCGTAGGAATAGTGTACGAGTGCAGAACACGGCCAGCTGGGTAGAAGTCGGGGCTGATGTGGTACAGCAGAACCTTCTCCAAGAATTCTTTCGAAGGCTTCTTGCCATGCTTGGGAATTCTCTCGAATGCCTCATCGGTAGGTGCGAACACGGTATAATTAGATTTGGTGCTGTTCAGCCTGTCGACAAGATCAGGGTAATCGCCAATTAGCTTAGCAAGCTTAGTGGTGTACTTGCTCTTGCTGATGAGTTCGTACACGGTCTGGTTCGGCTTCTCGTGGTGCGGAGGGTGATGCGGCCTTCCGTGGTGGGGCGGGCCATGGTGAGGTGGTTTGTCGTGTGGGCGATGGTGGGGATGGTCTGGGTTCTCAGAAACATCCATGAATTCCTCGAAGGACGAGCCTTCCAACCAAGACTGAACATCGCATCCAGTCTCGTGAATCCTGTGGTAGGCCTTATCACCTACTTCCTTCACACTCTCGACTGCCTTTGCGAAAGCATCGTCAAGCACATGCTGTGTCTTCTCGAAGACGCCTTGAGTCTGGTCGATAACCTCTCTTCCAGTCTTTTCAATGTTTTGGAAGACGTCCGTCTCCGTGATAACAAAGGCGGACGCGAGGGGGAGTAATGCAAGCACCCGGGCGATTTTCATTTTCACTTTGAATCAAATCAAATGTGACGGAGGTGATGGAGAAAAACCTCTATTGGAACAATGAGAGTCTGAAGTAGTCGACCAGTCGATGACACCACCAGTGCGTGGCAGTGCCTGCCTAGCGGATCACCCGGCTGGGGTACGGGATCACGGACGAAATACGAGTGCACGCCAGATATGATGTGGCGACGAGTGCGGAGGGGACGACAGTGAGCGAAACTATTCCTCAATGCTTCAAACCCGGATTTCCATACAACGCTCAGTAACAGGACACTCTATCTATGTGTTTCTGCGAGCAGAGACCGCGCAATGAGCTTTAGAAACGCGTCGTCATCTTCCTTGGCGTGGCGGTCGAAACAGTAATCCGGGATGACGAAAGAGGGGTACCTAGGTAAGCTGCGACCATCCTCGTTGCAACTTCATCGATTATGATAGGAATATCGTTACGCTTTGCACGACTTCACAGAAAAACGAATGAAATGGACATGCGGCACCTTTTCACTGATTAGCGTTCTATTCCCAGAATGCCCAGGCAGCTGGAACCAAATCTGCCAGGTCACGTGGACATATCCGCGTCCGGGCAGCTAGTGCGGAGCTGCGTCATAGTTGCTCTTAGTCCCGCATCCCCCACCACAACTTTCCACAATATGCATTACCGCCATCTCGATCTGCTTAAAGTCGATGTTCTAAGGGCTCGAAAAGGCCTCGATATATTGGCCCGTGGCTTTCGTAATCTTATTGGAGCTGACTCAACCCTGCTAAGCTTTCCATCACGTAACAGCATAGAATATTTATATGCGGGTTTGAAGGGACCTGGGACTCAGGCATTGTGTCAATTGGTCCCTAATATGTGCCTGGGCCCGCAATAGCTTACGTTTCGACCCAATTTCAAGCTTTCACAAGCTTCGTTAAGCATTTACCCCAGTCTCATGCCACCAGTCCACGGAGATGCATTCCGTTCTGCGACTCCGGACGCTTCCGTCACTTTCAACAGCGCATTACATCACCGACGTGCGTTTCTTCACTACTTACTTTTCCACGTCCTGCCAGCGAACCCCCGCCTTCTGCACGAGTATTGTCTCTCTCCAAAGACAGTGCAAAACTATCATCCCACAACATGTCTCTCTCCAGACACGTAAATCCCGATGAGTTGCTCCAGTCGATGCATGACCATCCTATCCACAAAGCCAGTCACAACAAAGGCCGTTTCGCCTCGCACATCACGCCGTACTCGAGCCGCTATGCAAGCTCAACTGAGCTTTCTAAATACCAAATCCCACACGATGGAGCTCCGGCGGAAGTCGTTCACCAATTGCTCAAAGACGAGCTCGACTTGGATGGCGTAAGATAAATCCCGCGCACATCATAGTATGTTCCTAATCAGCTGAAGCGTCCTCAATTGAACCTCGCATCTTTCGTGGGAACATACATGGAGAAGGAGGCAGAACAGCTCATGATCGAGAATCTCTCCAAGAATATGAGCGATGCGGACGAGTATCCTGCCATGATGGACATGCACGGTCGGTGCGTCTCGATCCTCGCTCATCTTTGGGGAGTTCAGAAGGGTGAGAAGGCTATTGGTTCCGCTACCACCGGCTCGAGCGAAGCAATCCACCTCGGTGGACTGGCTATGAAACGTCGATGGCAGGAGAAAAGGGAGAAGGAGGGCAAAGATAAATCCAAACCCAACATCTTGATGGGTTCCAACGCACAGGTAGCCTTGGAAAAGTTTGCGAGGTACTTCGAAGTGGAGGCTCGCATCCTGCCAGTGTCAGCCAAATCGAACTATCGCTTGGACCCTGAGCTTGTGAAAGAGAATATCGACGAGAATACTATTGGTGTTTTCGTAATCTTGGGCTCGACCTACACTGGTCACTACGAGCCAGTAGAAGAGATCAGCAACATCCTCGACGAGTATGAAAAGAAGACGGGTGTGGACATCCCGATTCATGTTGATGTAAGCTGAAGTTAGCTCTCTTCGTCCTGCCTTGCTGACTTTCCAGGGCGCCTCGGGGGCATTTATTGCTCCCTTTACGCACGCCAAAGCAGGCCAGAAGTGGAACTTTGAGCTTCCCCGCGTCAAGTCGATAAATGTCAGTGGACACAAGTTCGGTTTAGTCTATGCTGGCGTGGGATGGATCATCTGGAGAGACGAGAACTACCTGCCGAAGCATCTCGTGTTCGAGTTGCACTATCTGGGTGGAACGGAACAGTCTTACACTCTGAATTTCTCCAGACCAGGAGCGCAGATCATTGCGCAGTACTACAATCTCATTCACCTTGGCTTTACCGGTTACCAAAGCATAATGGAGAACACACTTGCAAATGCTCGACTGCTCAGTCGCGCGCTGGAGTATACGGGCTGGTACCGCTGCGTACGTTTCTGAACCCATTGCGCAAAAATGATTTACTAACAAACTATCAGATCAGCGATATCCACCGGAAGAAGGGCGACCACACTTACGAGAAGGGCAAGGCGCCTTACGACTCTGGCGAGACCAGTGCCGACTACAACGCTGGTCTTCCAGTCGTCGCCTTCACATTCACGGATGAATTCAAGAAACAATACCCATACCTGAAAGAAGATGCAGTGCAGAACTTGATGAGGGCAAAGCAGTACATCATTCCAAGTAGGTCTGCCCGTGACAGATATTTTGCAAAGCTGACGAAATAGGCTACCCGTTGCCGCCGAACGAAGAGAAGACGCAGATTCTTCGCGTTGTCGTCCGCGAGTCGTTGTCGTTGGACATGATTGACCGCCTGGTCACGGATCTTTGCAACGTGACGGAGAGCATGATGAACAGCAACGCAGTAGACCTCGCAGCGTGGCAGCCACCCCCCCGGAGTGTTGAGGTACGGAAAACCTTGCTCTTACAGATGCAGGATCATGCTAACAAGCTTTCTTGTAGAAGCAACATACTTCGGCCGGGCTGCCCGCGCATCAGAGAGATCAGTCGAAGCAGCCGATGAAGGAGGGGGTGCATCGAAGCGTGTGCTGATCACCGAGCTGGACCTAATCGAGCACTACGTCGATTCTCAGATCAAGGGTCCCTGCATCTATGTACACCATCGAAATGATGAAAAGGTTCGGATGGAAGGTCTACCGGTAGCGCAATTTGTGACAGAAAAGGTGCCATATAGCGGATTAGCCATACTAGCACAATATTCCTACGTTATGCAACGGGAAGTGATCAGTATGCGAGCCGACATTAACGTCGGCGTGCAGCCAGCGTTTTTGCCGATCGTCAAGCATTGTAGCGGGATATGCGTGGCCGGTGATGCTTGCAAGCTCCTTTTAGCCACTCGGAGCGCGTCCAGATCTCCGGGCGACGCATTGAGATCTTGTTCAGATCGCCCCTAGTTCCTATGTGGCAAGACATTTCTTGGCGGTCGCGATCTTGAAAAGTCCATTACAACATCACCATCGTTGTAACGAAGATGGCCAGCAGCCCACCGTGCGCATCCTTTTTGGGTTTGCCATGCAGCGCCTGTCCAATGATGCGCGGAGGCTTTCCGGTCGCGCCGCTGTTGTACCCCAATAGCGCCGGAAACAGGTCTCCTCCACGCCTGGAACCTGCATCAGCCATGCCATGTAGCCCCAAATCTGCTCCAATGTCAGATGACATAGCCTTATTCTCCCTAGTGCATGTCGCTCAAAATCTCGGTACCCATGTGCTAAAACATTATCTTGATCATGACGTCTCCAGTTCACTGGGCCTTAGACTTCTTCCACGGCTCACCCACCACCCATGTGACTGCACCATGTGCGACCCTCAAAGGTGCACATGAAGCTGACCTCCTTGATGCTGCGCCGCTGCGTTACATGGCCCCTGTGTAATGATTCTTGTTGTTCTTCCTGTTTGAAGCGAGGCATCTGGGGTTTCCACACGCACGATACGTTTCCCACCATGGAGGACCCATCGCCTCGCGTGCTGCTGTACATCCTACGCCGCGATGCTCGCCTCTCGGACAATCCCATCTTCCACGCTGCATCCGCCAACTTGAAGACGAATACATTTACGAAACCAGTATACGCCTCTGATACCCACATTCGCAATGATTCCTTTATTTCAGACCAGGATGTCCCTTCCTTCACGCATCTTTTACCTGTATATATCTTTCCGTCCAACCAAGTCGAAGTCTCCGGATTTCTTCCAGATCCAACCATGGAATCTCCATATCCAAAAGCAAAAAGCCTTGTCGCAGGCTTCTGGAGGACTGGACATCACCGAGCAAAGTTCATGGCCGAAGGTGCGTGGGACCTGAAAGAGAAATTACAAAGCCTTGGTTGCGGATCCGATCTACAAATAAGAGTTGGAAAGACAAGCGAAGTGGTAGAAAACATATTGCAATGGTATATAGACGAGAAGAGAGCTGGCCGTAGTACTGTGGACGTTGCAGGCATATGGATGACAGCAGACGAGGGCCAAGAAGAGAAGGATGACGAGGCGGATGTGCAGCGAATTGCTTCCGAGAGAGAGGTGGCGTTCAAGGCATGGGCTGACGAAAAGTATTATATTGACAAGTAGGTTCCTCCTCCGTCCCTCTTGGCCCGCCGCGTTGCCGTGTTCATGCAAGCTAACGTCATCATAGTCGAGATTTACCCTTGAACGACATTACCGACCTCCCGAACGTATTTACGACATACCGAAAATCTCTGGAACCACTCCGATCACGTCCGCGGCCAAGTATACCCGCTCCTACACAGCTTCCACCATCGCCTCCGCAAATCCCGCCTCAACAGCGTCCCTTTGAAATCCCAACAAGCCGAGAAGGATTGATCAAAGCTCTATTGCAACCACTAGAAGATGACCCCAGTCACAACTTGCCGCACCCACCTCAGTGGCCTCCGGAGACCAAATCCTCGCATCCTTTCCCCGGAGGCGAGACGGCAGCCCACGAGAGACTTCGCTACCTCATCTCGGATGGTGCAATGAGAACGTACAAAGAGACGCGAAATGGGATGGTCGGAGTCGACTACAGCACCAAGCTTTCCGGTTTTCTTGCTCAAGGTGAGTACTATATACGAAGCATGCAAGCCAAACATTCAGTAGTTAACTCCATCTTAGGTCACATAACTGCACGTCAAATACACTGGGCAATGATGGATTTCGAAGAAGGGAGAGGCCCTGGTGAACATATTCCAGGCTATGGCAAAGGTGAAAATGACGGCACTGCGGGTGTGAGATTTGAATTGTTGTGGCGGGACTACATGCATCTCTGTGCGCGCAAATTCGGCAACAAGATGTTCTGCCTCAACGGGATACAAGATCTGTAAGTCATTCCACATCCAAGAATCTTAGAATGCTCCCAGACCAAAGCTCATCCCCGTAGAAGCAAAACGCGGAAATCCAGCGACGTCGAGCCCGACTCCCACCACGAGCAGCGCCCCCCACGCAAACGCTGGAAAGGCGTGCACCACACCAGCGGCCTAGGCGACACCCCCGAACGCACGCGTGAAGTCTTTGGCCGATTCCGCTCCGGCCGCACCGGCATCGGCCTCATCGACGCCGCGAATCGCGAGGTCTTCCTCACAGGTTACACGTCCAACCGCGCCCGCCAAAACGTAGCTTCCTTCCTGTCAAACTCCTCCCACCTTGGTATCGACTGGCGCGTCGGCGCGGAGTGGTACGAGTACCTCCTTATCGACTACGACATGGCTAGCAATTGGGGCAACTGGCAGTACGTCGCCGGTGTAGGGAACGACCCGAGACAAGGCCGCGTTTTCAATCCTGTCAAGCAGGCGCTAGACTATGACCCGCAGGGCGAGTATATCAAGGCGTGGGTGCCTGAGCTACGGCAGCTTCCCCTGACGAAGAGCGTGGCGTTGAATAAGCAGGAGATTGACGAGCAGAAGCTGATGGGGCTCTATCAGGCGTGGAGGTTGGGTGATTGGGACAAAGACCGGCTGGGGCTCAGAGGTGTAGAGTGGGTTGAGTGGCCGCTGGTCAAGATACAATTCTCCATCAGTAGAGGTCGGGGCAGGGGGGGTTCGGATGGGCGAGGTAGGGGTAGAGCGTGGAGAGGTCGGAGTCGCGGTAACGACAGAGGGAAGGCGAGGCTCGCGGTCGAGAAACAGATGGAAAATTCACAGATCGTGGATGGGACTGGGGGGTAGTTGTCAATGGTTAGCCATTTGCCATTTGCGTCTTTTCCCACGATGGATTTGTGTACGAGTTCGCGTCGCTTACAATGTTCGCGTTCTCTGTGTGTTCATCCAAGAACCGTCGTAATGAGTGACATTGTGCAAGCTCCATGCAGCACCGTACGCTTTGTCTTACCACAGCTTGACATTGTGAGACAAATCACGCTCTAAGCTTCCGAAAAAAAAACTCCACAATGCACCGCCCTCATAAAACCAGACCTCATTCCGCCCAGCCTCCCTAGACCATCCCTCAAATGTGCAAGATCCACGTCACATCTGCCCACCACAAGTCAACAGAGAAAGCCACATCTTCACCCACCCATAAACTTATTCCCCCCCGGGCTTCTAAACTCCAAAAGCAAACCCAAAAAATGTCCCTCCCTCGCACCTTCTGCCTCTCCTCCGCCTCCGCGGCCCTCACCCCCTCCACCATCTTGACATCTTTCCCAAACCACTACGAAGTGATGAAGCTCTCTCCCAGCGCTTCGACTGAGGACGTCAAGGCGCAGTTCCGCACGCTGCGCGGGGAGTACTTCGCTTCTGATGCGGGGAAGTATCGCCAACTGCAGACGGCATATGCCGTGTTGGTTGATAGCGAGGCAAGGCGGGAGTACGACGAACTGTATCGCGCGAGTATGGGGTTGCCAGTTCAGCCGGTTGCGAATGATCCACTGGAGAGCAGCGGGTCTGCTTCTCCTTCGCTGCGCAAGAGCGCGCTGGTGAAGGCTGCGGTGTCGAGGATTGATGCGCAGTCTCAAGAGCCTAGCCGTGAAGAGCAACAGCGGCTTGCGGGGGAGGAGCTACGGCTCCGTCAGGAAAAGGAGAACGAGGAGGAGCGGCGACGGCGTGCAGAGGAACAGCGCCAGCGCGAGGCGGATCCGAATTATGGACTGAAGCACTTTACGCCCGTGTATGTGCCGCTGATTGGGTCGCAGCCATATCATAGTTACGTGCCTGTTGCGGCGGAGCACGAGGGTATGGAGAGGAAGAGGAAATCTAGACGGCCGATGTATGTGGGGAAGTTGGCGGCGAAAGCGGTGCCATAGGGTGGAGATGCGTGCTGAGGGTGCATGTCCAGCTGGTTCAGATGTTTGACCATGCCACCACCTGTTTCTGTGAGTATTCTGTGAGTAAACCAATCAATACGACATAGGATCAAATGACCCTGCGCCTTTGTTGATGTTGACTTCGAATTAGTCCTGCATTTTGGGTCTCTTTCTACTGCGTAGATATTCTCCTCTCGCACTCGGCACAACCCTATACAGAAAGACACAGGGAGAAAAACTTAGAGCGGAAGGAGTGCAGCAGAGGAAGAAAATTCGTCAAAAAGAAATGACTCAGCCGAGGTTCGAACTCGGGACCTTCAGTGGTCGCACAGGTGAGGCTGTGAGACTGACGTGATAACCAACTACACCACCGAGCCGTGTTTGATTGATGCTATTTGCCCAACTTTAGCATAATATATAGAAACTAAATTGGCTTTGTGTTCGCATTCGAATCGTTCGGCTTCAGCTGTGGACTCCGATTACAAGGGGTGCGTTGGTGTGTTAAGTAGCGTGCACGTTACCGAGCCAATAAAATCTGGCCGAACCTCTACACCACCTAATGCCTGGGGTATGATAGGTATCTAGCTCTACAATTCCGCAGATTCCTATGCTTCATCGCTCCATTTCCTTCAAGCGTACGCCCACCCTGGTACGGGCGTCTGAGCATACCCGGCCTTAAAGGCACCCTCCGGCATCAAGGCGCAATGTCCAACCCCATACTGAGGCTGACCACACTGTCCCCACTTCATATTTCCATACAAAGAATCGTGCTTTAGCATCCCATACGGCAAATGACACGCCGCACTAATCGCCGCGCTACACGTCGCGGCCACAGGTGGCGCTCCTTGAGGAAACCTCCGAAACGCCAATGCAATCGCGCTCAGCATCAGCAGCAACGAAGCCACGATGCAGAAGATGATCGCAATGGGTGAGTATCCGCAGTTTAAGAACCTGGGCCCTTCTTTTCGGTACTTTGTCAGCGTGCCGTCAGGATCGTGGATGTTGAGGGAGATGAGGAAAATGCTTTGGGAGATGAGCCAGTGTAGGATCACCTGGAGTATGAGGAGCGGCAGACCCCACGCCAGCGGTGCGCCAAGAAGCCACGTGCCTCGCTGTTCGCCGCGCGCATTCTTAACCATTAATGGTTGTCCTTTGGTACCAAAAGCTGCCCAGTCGGCGGCGAGGAACATGCTCGTCAGAATGCCCATATAGAGGAGCCACACCGAAGCCAGGAGAATCTGTGGTATGTTGGCTAGGAGCGCGACGCCGACCAAGCTTGTTACGGTGTCGTAGATCACGACGGCGTCCTGGTGCGCCCGACCAAAGCCAAGTTCCCAAAGCGATGATGGAGAAAGTGAGTTACCGCGGTCTTTCGTGTGCACGAAGCCCCAGCCACCAAAAAAGGCGATAAGTGCGAAGGAGGCGAGCATCATGAGGATGAAGAACGTCCACTTCCCTGCGCTGACCGCTTTAGCCCAGCATTGTCGGCTGGGCTGGTAGAGAACGCCATTGCCTGGAGATCTCCACGCGTGGTCAATATCACGCCACAGTGCGAGACACATGCCTCTGGTGGTCACATCCTCTCGCTCCAAGAAACTCGAGACAGAGTCGCCGACGGTGGTGAGAATGTCCTCGGCGTTGTATCGCAGCAGCACCCACGTCATCGCGATCACTTTGATAATGTTGAAAATGATGACTACTACCATGATGTCCATGCTGAACTCGACCTCGCATACGTCTTCGATCTTTTCGGAAAGACAATAGTCAATTGGATAGCCCCATACCGTCCAATTATCAGCTTTGGCCTTAAGATCGTCAGGTTGGCATTTGACGTTCCCACCGTCTTGGACCTTCGAGCATATCCACCAGTTGTTGTCCATGCCACCATTGTCTAGCTCGGAAATCCCATAGTCGAGTACTGAGTTGGTTGTGTTCTTCTCACTGGAAATCAGGACTACATTGCGCCGTCCAGTCATGAATACATTCGAGTAGGCTTGTATGCAATCGCTATTGCTCAGTCTCTCCCAAGCAGACGCGTTCTTCTGTATTTGGTCATAATACTTGTAGAGGTTGTCCACTCTTGTCTTGTCGCGGTAGTATACCTGAGTGGTGGACGTGTCGTAATTTATACCTGGAAGAGCTGAAAGCGTCCAGTAAGGGCTGCCCGAACTGGTTTGAAGGGGACCCGTGAGATTGTAGGATGCACCCTCGAGGAAGTCCGCAGCTCCGATGGTGTAGTAGTAGTTGTTTGCACTCAGCGATACGAACACTAGCGAATTGTATCTGTGCCGAATTAGCATGGAATGATGACGAGTACTCGTGAGTGACGAACAGTAGATGGAATGGTACACTGCTGACACACAAAAGCAGCACGACTAAGCTCTTCCTCTTTGCGATCTTGCTCAGGTTGCGCAGGCTCAGTATGCCCACATGCAGCCATTTGCGCCTTGCATGCGCTTTGTCGACCTCTTTACGACTGGGGCAACAGTAGGCAGACATGAAGGCGTTACTACCCGTCAACAGCGAAGTAGACAAGACGTTGATCAGCAAATGCAACCACGTATTCGTTGACTTTGCGATATTGCAGTCCCCGCGCTGGATGGTCCCAAAGCCCGAGGCAATACCACTATAGTGCGTTTTTGCGTAGACGAGCCATGAGACATTGACGACGAGCACGACAATCGCAACTGCCAAGAACAAGCGCAATGTTCTTTTCAACCCACCGAAATGTGCTTGGAACCATGTTTGCTTGGGCTTGGGATGTTGGTCAGCCTGTGGAATGAAGTGCTCAGGCGTGGGACCCCATTTGGCTGGCGCACCCTGAACCGGCTCAGCCTGATAGACGGGCTGATATGAAATGTTCTGATAGGACTGCGGTGCCCACTGTTGGTAGTAATTCGTCGCCATCGGCTTCCGCCGCAGCGAGACTCACGGTGCGCGTATGTGGTTTGTGTGAAAGAGACTTACGCCTCGCGGGAGTCTGAGTGACCGAGGCTTGGGCCGCATTATCCGTGTTGTTAGATGGGCTGGATCCATTGGAGTTGCTGGCACAGCTGGCAGACAGTAGTGCGACCGTAATCGCTAAGTTTTGCTTGTTTGGGATTAACAAAAACAAAGGTTGTTCCTGCCACTTCGAAGGCGTTTCCACACCACATACCCTCCAATACAGCAGGGTGGGTTGGATATGAACGGGCTAAAGCAAAAACGAAAGCCTGCGAATCGAACGCGGGAACAGGAGCGAATCGTAGATACGAATGACTCAGCCGAGGTTTGAACTCGGGACCTTCAGTGAACTAACCTATGTTAGACTGACGTGATAACCAACTACACCACCGAGCCTGTTGAGTGCACATGAAGAGTGTGAGCCGCGGATTTGCTTTATAAAGGCTCTAGCTCGAGCCCATTCAAAATCCCCTCGCATTCGCCGTGGTAGTTTGTGCTGCAAAATTTCGGCGAGACCCACACCGGCGTGCAAGACTGAACACAAGCGAGCCTGCAAAAAATGGATGCTCCGAGCGGAAGATGGTAAAATTCTTACTCCGCGCCCTGTTCTGAGGAGCTTCGTGTTGTTTCCATTGTTGCTGACTGTCAGCAGGGCAGAAGTGGCTTTGGCTTTTGTGCTTTATATACCGCCAAAGTTGACATCGGAACAGCTAGTCTTTACAAAGTTTCAGTGCCCGTCTGGCTCAGTGGTAGAGCGTATCACTAGTACTAAACCGCTATGATAAGGTCATCAGTTCGATTCTGATGATGGGCAACATCAGCATTATTGGCGTGATGGTTCTTTTTGTGCTGCGCCCTGCTGGTCAGCAGGATGCATTTTTGTTTCTGCTTACAGTCAGCAATGTGCATAAAACCTATCGTCCACAATTGGAGCCGATATCCTAGGCCCTGGAGCTCGCAACCGTGTCAGAACCTATTAGTATTGGTGGCAGATGTCACGCATGGATGGTTCGTCTTGAACTTCGACTTGACGATGTGCTCTGCTTGTTTCGGCTGTATTACACCCTGCAAGACGCGACTCCTAGTATGTAGGACGAAAAGAGAGTGCGCCTAGTACAGCGGTGGCAGCGGGTGGTGAGCAGCTTGGACTCTGTTTGCTTTGGAGCAACTAGATTTAAAGCTTGTGACTCTCTCCGAGATGTGGAAGATCCTGAGCGATGTACTGACGTCACACCTGGGTCGTAAAGGCACGAACCCAGTTGCAATGCATCCGCGGCTGTAGTGAGGTGCTCTAAATGATCAAGAACAGTAAACGCTGATACGTGTTGTGGTGAGCGACGCGAAGCGCAGGAGCGCAAGCAGGAAGTGTCGAGTCGAGTGTGGCTTGTGCATTAGTCATGGTGTGGCGTCCATTGTTTATCGCGGGGCACCAGCAACGCAACCAAACATCCTCGCCGTTCACGCCGATCACTCTTGCGCTCTCACAAATCTTTCTTCTCTCTAAACTGTTATCTCGTTCGCTACTATCCCTTTCATCTGAAACACGTACGCAAAGGTGTGTGCATTCCAGGCCATTTCCAGTCACCATGCTAACCGACGGAATGCGAAGCGGCCATCGCGCAACACGACCCAGCAGGTATATCTGAGACAGCGCTGTCGTCGTGGAAGATGTCGGGCTTCATAAGCACAATGTTCGTTCCTCCCATTTCCAACGCTGCGTCGCACCCTTCACCACCTCGATTCCCAGCGCAACCGAAACCCCTGCAACCCGTCTTCACGTTTGCCCAGAGCCAGAGCTGCATGTACTTTGGGATGGATATGTTCGAACAAGCGGATAGAGGCGACATCAGAGATGCTTGGGCCGGAATTGGTGGTGGTGTCTCTCTGCTTTCGCCACAGACAGCATATAAGAGCCCGTTACAGCGCGCTGGGAAAGCATTGCGGACGCAGCACGCAGGCACAAGTTCCGCGTCGTCTACAAAGAACGATGCGGCGGGCGCTGTTTTTCCAGCAGTGTCCACCAAACTTTTCGACCAGATGCGTCTGCCGCGTCAGCGTGTGAAACAGTGCTCGACTCCTGTCTACCAAAATTACTCTCACAAACTGCTTCCAGCCGTTCAAGGGTCATCTCTGCAGCTCGAAACTTCAGGAAACGGTTACAATGGCTCTGGCAAAGGACGTGAAGATTGCGGTGGTATCGATTTAGTCTCCAGTCCTGAGACGAAAGCGCAAACAGAACAAACTGAGGACATGGGCTTACTTTCTTCTCTATCTAGTAACCCGCGCACACAAAGGCAACCCTTCAAGCCGCAAAAGTCGGGTCGGGGCACAAGCAGTTGGCAGCTGAAACAGTATGCCGAGGCGACGCTAGGTAGCGGAAGCTTGAGGAAGGCGGTCAAGCTGCCGGAGGGCGAAGACAAAGACGAGTGGCTGGCCGTTAATGGTATGTATGATATTGAGTCCACAGTTTCCCTCGCTCACGATCACAGTGGTCGACTTCTACAACCAGATTAACCTTCTCTATGGCTCCATTACCGAATTCTGCTCACCGCAGACATGTCCCGAGATGAAGGCTACAGACGAGTACGTAACACGCAACATCTGCTTCTTCTTCATCTAACTCACACTAATACGATCATCCTAGATTTGAATACCTGTGGCAAGACAATGAGGCGTTTAAGAAACCCACAAAAATGTCCGCCCCGGAGTACATCGAGCACCTCATGGCATGGATCCAATCCAACGTCGACAACGAGGCCAACTTCCCAAGCCGTATCGGCGTCCCCTTTCCCAAATCCTTCGCTGCCCTCATCCGCAACATGTTCAAGCGCCTCTACCGTGTCTATGCCCACATCTACTGCCATCACTACCCGGTCATAATCGAGCTGGGTCTGGAGCCGCATCTCAACACCAGCTTCAAACACTACGTCCTGTTTATCGACGAGCACGGCTTGGCGAGTGGCAGCAAGGACTTTTGGGGGCCGTTGGGCGACCTGGTAGAGAGCATGTTGAGGAGTGACTAGGTTACATGGGGGACAATATGCGCTGCGAAGCGACTGGTTTCACGACCGCTGTCCTGAATGTTTTTGGATGCAGAATTCATCATTACGGGACTTACAGACGAGCATTGGGTGGGCCTAGGCGTTTCGGCAACATCTCTTGGGTGGCACACTGATTTTTCAATTTGGCGTGCGGATACACGCGGCACCTGTTACGATGTATGAGTACGAATAATAATGATCAAGCATCCCACTTCTGTTTTACACCAAACGAAGAGGTCGAGAGATCCTCTAGGCAGGGTGTCGAATGTGTAACAAACATGTATGCGCAACCCTTCACGCGTGAAACTCCCATCCTTACACTCTATCCCCCTCGCACGCATACACTCACCAAGCATAGTTCATTACGACCAGCGCGCAAGCAAGCACACCCATCCACCCTGTGCCCCGAATCTATCCTTAAACTCAGCCTCGGCACCAATCTCACAGCATCAGCTCATGAGAAAAATCGCCTTACAGCTCGTCAAGACACCGCCAATGATAGCCTATCCTATACGCCGGCCCAAGCCTCACAGCTGCTCGGAGCACGCCCTATCCACCGGCCCCATACGCCATCAACGCCCTGCGGTAAGCAATCCCAAACTCAAAGACAATCACGTCAGACACCCTGCGTCCCATCCCAGTGAGAAGCCCGGAAGATCCCGCAGCCCGTGTGCAGAGTTCGCGCTGCCACGTGCGGGCACCGTGGCTGACTGCCCAGTACCCACGGCCCGAAGGGAAGGTCCACCGGGTTGTGGGATTAGGTTTGGAGATTGCCGGCTACCGCGAGGGTATATGCTGTACTGCACTGCACTGCACTCTTGGCGTCCGGGCAGAGGCCGAAGGGTAGATTCAAGACGTGCCCTGCTGGGGAATCGGACCGGGTGGAGGGGGAGAGTTTCTGGGATAGAGTGAGAAGGGTGGAGTGGGACGGGCTCGGCTGGATTGCTCCTGCGAAGGGTGAAATGTCGAAGGGCGAAGGGGGGAGCTGCAGCACATTGATGTGTGCACTCTACATACACTTCCTCAGAGGGAGGCAGACTACTAAGCGCTCCCTGGAGTGTACCTATGGTACGTAATGGGGCTATATCACCGCGCATATTACACGCCAGCTACACTCCCAGTCTTGCAGCGAGGAGACGGAGATTACGCGATTGTACGGATACGGGTGTAGAGGGCCCACTAGAAGTTACATCCCTTCCTCAGCTCTGCTGAATCAGTACCTAAGGTGCATATAAAGTTCGCGCGAGCCCCCCTCATTCCGCCCGGTCCCTTTCAGCGCGATCCTATATTAGTGCAGCACACCGCTTCTCATGCACGTCACGAGCCGGCTCGTTTTAAACGTTGTTTAGACTTTGACAGCTAGGGACACGCCCACAACTGGCAAGAAAGCGCGACGCTGTAGTTTGGTAAGACGACTTTGACAGGGGTGTCTTGTTTGTTCATTGAATGCAGATCACTCGCTACCTGCTACGGATCATTAGTTCGTGCGGAGTGATTTGCATACTGAGCGTGCACGGTCCCCGTCTGAACGTTCAGCTGCACCAAAACAAATCAAGCGCAGTTTGAAAATGGTGTAGCGAGCAGATATCGTGCGAAATGCAACCTGCAGAGTCCGGACACCGCCGAGTGAAATCATGAGGATTTGTGAAGTCATGGGTCGCCGAAGCACAGCCGAATTCCTCAATAGTGAGGATGATTTGGAAAAGCCACAAAGAAAGGGGTGTATTCCACCACGTGTATCGATCAAGAAACTCCAATATGCAATCAACACCCTTCGCAAATCTAAAACACGGCCCGAACCTGATGTGATCCGCATTAGCCTCAATCGACAGGTGCGTGCTTGAACAGGAAAGATACACTCTCGCCGTTGTGTGTGCGCCGACACGCTTCGGCAAGCTATCGACATGTCAGCAAAGGCCCCAGGAGCGTTACTCCGACACTACTCACAGTGGGGCTAATGTCGATCGTCTCGATACGATCACAGAGCTCCTTCTTATCCTCATGCGGGACTGTATTCGTTACGACGATCTTCTTCAGTTTGCTTCCATTAAGGGCGTTGATAGCGTTTCCGCTGAGAATGCCGTGTGTGACGATCGCAATGACATCTTTAGCGCCGTGCTGGATGACAACGTCCGCGGCTTTCGCCAAAGTTCCGCAGGTGTCGGCCATATCGTCAACGATGATAGCAGTCCGGTCGCTAACGTCTCCAACGAGAACCATCTTGGAGACTTCGTTCGGCCGTGCACGTTCCTTGTGGATCAAGGCAAAAGGAAGGTCAAGGCCATCTGCTATAGATGTTGCCCTGTGTATGTTAGCGCTTCCACGACTTTGGTAGCTCTGAAACGCTAGCATCAATTGCTTGGCTCGACAACCCCCAGATCATGCGGTATTGTAGATCGCAGCTCTCCAAGCGTGACAAGCTTCCCAAGTTTTCGCATCATCTTGCGAAGTGTGGCTGATATGGTCGTATCGTGCAGGGAAGGCTGCATACCTTTTCGCGCCGCCAGCATCTGGGCTGACAATTATACACTCCTTCACATTCAAGTTGTCCTTGATCCACCTTAGGGTGCTCGGCTCCGCATATAGGTTGTCCACCGGGACATTGAAGAAGCCCTGGATCTGACTAGCATGCAGATCCATCGTGATCACATGGTTGCAGCCGGCCGTTTGCAACATGTTCGCCATGAGCTTCGCTGTAATGGGCGCTCGCGACTTGTCTTTCTTGTCTTGGCGTGCATACGGGAAGTTGGGTAGCACAGCAGTAATGCGGCGCGCCGACGCGGTCTTGCAGGCATTAATCATGATGAGGAGCTCCATCAGCGCATCGTTGATATCACCCGGAGGCGTGGATTGTAGGATGAAGACTGCGCGACCTGGTTAGCGCACCACACCGTACGAATGATTTGATTTCATATAGAGTCGCAGCACTGGTTTGTGTTGGAACGTGGGGAAGGTGCAGGTGCGCACATACCATCTTCATCTCTCACAGACTCGCCGATGGTCACAGATGTCTCCTGGTTCGAGTACTGTAGCACCAAAATCTTGGTGAGCTCAATCCCGAGCCTGCGACCCTGTCAGCGGCCGTGCGTTGTCTAACGCGCAATAACTCCTTCGCGTGGACTGTACCGTGCGGATACATGGGAAACAGATAGAGTTGCGCGGTAGCAGATCAATCTTTGGCATGCAATCAAAGCTACCATGTTGGAAGGCATGAGGCATTATTCGAGCGTTGGTTGCGGAGGAAAGATCCAGGTGCTAGGGCGGTCTCACGTACCTGCTAGCCACAAGATTCGCAAGCTGAGGATGGCTATTGCCCGTAAGCAATTTTATGCTATTCGTGGCCATGATTGTTATGTTGTGTGGTGTGGTGACGGCGGGCTCGTTGTTCACATGTCGAAGGCTGAAAGCATCGCAGACCACAAAAACTTCGGCGGAGGTAGACTGCAGGGTCCCCGCAATCGCGGCGCCCGGTGGATCGTTTTCCCTAGCGCACACCAGCCACAGCAGTAGTGACCGCCACTCATGCATCTATCAAAAGGACGTGCACCTCGGTTACACGTTCGATGAAACAACGTCCCACAACCAGCTGGGCAATCGTGTGGAGGCACCTTGCCTCGCGCCTGTACGGCACAGTGCAGCTTTGGAACATGCCCTGGCTGCGTCCCATGAGCCGAGTAACGGGTCGATATTGCATCCTTCGCTGCAATGTACCTGAATAATGAAGCTAGGAACCCGTAATGATCTCACTTGCAGCGTGCCGTCGCGAAGGATTCGCCCTGCGAGCTCGCCCACTCGGCGAAAGGCCCCGGGGGAACGCTCCCGCGAACACTTGAGACAGATGCTAGCACCCATTCCCAGCCTTGTAGCAACCTAATCCCTCTCCAGCTTTTTTTCCGACGTCGTCGTTTCTAGAACGTGCGGCTCCATCGTCACAATGGACGCCTTTGCCAGGTCGTAGACTTGCAAAGTGGGACCACGGCAAACCCCGAGTCTCGTAAAACTCCAAAGGTCATGGACATATCGAGCGAAGTGTTGGGCGACGGGTTGCAACGGCATAATGCAAGTCATCCCAGCACCAAGTGCAGCACGATGATGGCGGGCAATGCCGTCACTGCACGCGGCGCGGTGCACACTTCATCGGAACAATAATTAGCTTGAGGCACGTTCGTTTCTCGTAAACTCACAGGCCCCTGCGGGTCCGGACATGTTCGAATTCTGATACGCTAAGACTGCATGCTGCCTGCCTCGCAAGGCAGCAGAGTGGAAGCTCCTGAAACGGCGCCATGGCCAAATTGAATTCCCGCCCTCGCCAAACAACGCCTCGTACTCCTGGGCAGACGAATGGAGTGAAATGTTTCGAAGAGAATGCTGCCCCCGGGTATCCGTTGCAATAATACAAAAGCAAAAAACGCTCAGCGCATAGTGATCCGTCAGTGAAGAAGAAAACATGACAAAGAATGTAAAGGCTCCGACGCTGAATGAGGTCCGACCGTGATAGATACATGGATGAAGGGAAAAGTCGGCCGTGATGACATACCACCATGCGAAAGGAAGGAGGAAATTAATGCTGGTAAAGGTGGTTGGCAGTCAACAATTAGAGACATAAACTAATGCCGTGATTTTCGTGTTCGTTGAAATTTTGGAGAACGCGCAGGAATTCAGGTCGTGAAGCGTTTCGGACTCAGTATGCTTGTTCGCACATTTTGCCAATGGCATGCTCGATGTCGGAGAAGAGGTTGAGGACGTGCCCGTCGGCGTAGATTTTGATCGACTCCACCTCTTTGCGCTCGTTGCGGAGGGGGCTTTCCATTTTGACAGGACTCCTGGGCGGCGTGGTTTCAGAGCCCTCGTGAAGCGCAGCCGGGTTCAGGACCAGGGCAGCAGCCACATGCTCCAGAAGCTTTTGACGCAGTCGCAAGCGTCGGTTCTCTGCTTGCTCTAGCTTGAGGATAAACTCATCGATGGAGACATCTAGCTCGGCTAGTGCCTCCTCCTGCTTAAGCAGCGACTCGCGCGAGAAGATGACCGTGTTCCCTCGCTTGAGGTAGGAGATCATACGACTGTGAAGTTTCTGGCGACCAGCCCGCAAGGACTTGTACGTTTTGCGGAGATAGTCGCATCGCTCATCAAGAGCTCTCAGTTCCTGTCGTACAAGGTCAGTATTTGATATCGATGGATGACGATGAGCACTGCATACCCTAGACATGGAAGCGACGTCGCGCTTGTTCATTACCTCAAACTTCTCGGCCTGTTCGGATGCCTGCTTATACAAGGTCTCCTTCTCTGCCTCTTGCATACGCCGCGAAGCGTCGGCGACACGCATGCCCTTGGGCAACTGCCATGTGTCGGGCGCAGGCTCCTCGTTCGCCTCCGAGGCGGTACGGCTTCGCGATCTCTTGCTGGCTCTTCGGACAGGTCGACCGCGGTCCATTACCGATGACTCGGACAGATTCCTGTTGTGCGTATTGTGTGAGGCGAGGGGGTCTCGCCTTTCGATCTTGGGTGATGCACGATGGTCAAATCCACCCCCTGGAGAACCAGCGCTGAATGGATTCGAGATAGCTGATAGAGGCGTCGGTAGCGGGCCGATTACGTTGGGTGATCGTCGGTTCTCGAAGGCGCTCATGGGGGTCATGCCACCAGAAGTGGCTGTAGCGGGGGTGGTGAGCTGTGATCGGCTCGTCTTGGTGTTGAGCTTGAGGGGGCTGGGTGAACCCTTGCGTTCTACTGCCGGTGACTTGGGAGGAACCTCGGGGGGAGACTCGACATCTTCTTGTATGACATCCGTATCTACTTTCAAGGTCGGCTTCGACGCGACACCTGGACTGAGGATCGGCGACAGCGGCTTTCCGAAAGTGACGGATGGCTCCAAACGGTTGGTCTGTTCAGGTGCCCGTTTGGCCTGTTCCGGCGAGGAAAAAAAGAAGGACTGGTCCTCCTGTGCGGGAGAAGGTCCCGTGACGCAAGACATCAGGGCATCACCAAATGGGCCGGCTCTCCAGTTTGTGCCTGGGGCGCTGCTGGATCTCTCGTGGCCAAAAACCTCGGTCGATGCCTTGCGTAGAGGTGGTCGTCCAGGGATGGTGGCTGTTTCGTGTCAGAAAATTGCTAGGGGCGGATGCCAGGGTCATGCTTACGAGAATCTATAGGCATTTCTTGGACCGTGGTCATAGTACTACCCAGCTCGGGCACGCTGACTTTTCGTCTTCTGGCGAGGGAACCGCTTCGCTGCCAAAAGGGAACGGTTTCTTGAGATACCACGGTATCACTCAGTGAAGAAGACGAGCGTCCAACAGACAACGCAGAGAGCTTGTCAGATGCAAAGGTAGTCCGTGGCTGGGCTGTTGCAGGGCTCTTGGATGGCCACAGCTGATATCTAGAAGCACTGCCGCTCTGCGACTGGGGGCTCAGGATGGAGGGGCTCCTGTCTGGCAGCAGGGGAAGAGAGTCTGCTGATTCAGGATTGGCCTTGAGAGTTCTCAGTGACTTGGAACGACGAGGCAAACGATAACTCATTGGTGGTGAAGAAGTGATGCTGGGGAGCACTTACGGGCGACAGGAAGGATGTTTCCATGGTTATATAAACAGGCGAGGATGGAGCTGCCGCAGGTCGCATGCAATTGGCAATGTGTGTCATTGCGGTTGTTTGAAGTGGCCGTGTGCCGGTTTCTCAGGAGCAAGGTAGGTGAGACTCGGAGGCGGGCATGTCAAACATAAGAGACCCTGCAGTGGGTTCGTGTAAACAGGCAGGGCTTTGGCTTAAGTGTGGCTCCCTCAAACTACTATTGCTACATGCACGAGCGAGGAGCTCCCTGCAGCGCAGCGGTACCAATGGCGAGCGGGCACCGCCTAGGCTCTCGGGGCCGTGTCCAAAGATTGACGCGCTTGGGGTGAAACACGGGCCTGACTGCCCACGTCTGGCGATTCGTGGGGAACCTGCAGGCACCGCAGGGAACAGAGTGCCGCGATGCACCGTGGTTGCAGCCTGCCCTGTCTATAATTGGAGCTGCTATGGCGATGGGCAGCGGGCGAGTCAACAGAAGTTCGTCTTCTGGTACGCGTGCTGCAGGTCGCAGCGAGCAAGCTTGTGGGGACAGCGCTCCAGAGGCTGCAGCGCCCGGAAGTGTGCCAGACTGCGGTGCACCTGATGGCCAGCAGCAGCACGCTTGCCCTCTGTTCGTCGCGCGCCGGCCAGCGAGGGGGAGGGGCAGCACCTCAAGATAGGCCATGGGCAGCGCGACGAAGCGATGGACGACGGCGCGAAGCCAGAAAGGGAACCAAACCCGTTCGCACGGGGTCGCGGCATCGTGGCTGACGAGATGAAGGTTCGGGTGGTTCAATCATACTTCGCTGGCGTCGAGCCACCGCCGAACGGCCGGCAGCGCTCAACGGTGCATCCCAGCCATCTCCACCTGCCTGTGGTCACGACGTCACGGCCCTGGAGCAGCCGGTCTTCGTATCCTCGCACAGCGCGCACCCACCTCAGCACGCGCAGTCCGGTGCCGCGGCGGGTGTGCGGCTGGGAGAGGTGTCGAGCGGGTCGGCCACATGTGCGCCCACGGGCAGATGTCAGACAGCTGGTGGACGGCTGCGGTCTGCGCGGGCGATTGTCTGAATCACGAAACGAGCACTGCGGGAGGCTGGTCCATGTCGCCACGCGACGCCTGCCAGCCTGCCCAATCAGCGCCCGCAAGGCCTGGGCGGGACGGACTGTGGCGGCCAAACAGCAGAAGTTTCTAGGGGACAAACATCGGTTTCTAGTCGAGCTCGTCGGGCTATCAACCGCTGCCGCTGCCGTGGGACCCTTTTCGACGGTTTCGAGTGGTGCTTGTCCGGTGTGCCATCATCAGCAGCTGCGTCATGAAGCCCCTCGCCCGTCGCCGCCCGGAGAGAAGCAGACCTCGAAGCCGTCAGTGTGCAGGCGGTTGCTGCCACCCTCGGCCACGCACAGCAGCTCCGTGCTGACGGGCTCCTGGCTGTTCCTCGCTGCGCCGTCCGGTGAGCAATGGCGCTGGAACACCCTCACCGAGTCAACTCGCTTGCACGCTCCTGAGGCACAACTGCCCGCGGCCCGGCCATGGCAATTTCCTCGCCGTGACCGTTGCTTCCCTCTCCAGTCGACCACTTCTTATGACTGCGGTGTTATATATTAAGACTGGGGTAGACTAGTGTGGCCCAACCTACAAAGACGGCACCTAACGCTCAAAGTACCTAGCGCCGCTGAGCAGCCTCAATCTCCAGCAAACTTCGTCACACTCCCGAACCACGGAGCCACTTTTCCAAATCAGCGCAACACACTAGCCCAGCCGGCCTCTGTTTTGCGGTCACGGCATTGGCACCGAACAAGACTCGCCAAGCTTCACCTCGCGCCCGCCGGTTCACTTCGACGCTTCTGGGCGCGTCCTGACTCCACCTGCATCGCCCTGCTCCTTTGGGCGCCCTCCTGTGCGTGAGAGACTCCATCTGCACCTAGCCATGCAGCTAAACTATCTCCTCACACTCAAATGCGGTCCGCCGATCGACCCTTCCGCTGTGCCCTGCGAGCCACCCTTTCTTTAGACACGCAAGACACCACGTGCAGTCGGGCACCGTGCGAGGGAGCTCCTGAGCACCGTTTTTCGCGAGCAGCACACAGACCAAAATACAAGCGAAGCGAGCTGCCGGCCTGTTCTACCCCGGACCAACTCGGAACCTGTCCAGAATAGCCCGTGCTCCCAAGCTATACAGCAGCTTCATTCCGACGTTCTTTTCCTGCCCACCACAAGTATGATTTTCCCGAATGCCTCTGTGCATCTGGTCGGGTTCTCGGCAGGTACGCCGGTGACGATGCAAGTACTCCTGCACCATCAACCGCATGCCCAGCACTACGATAACATAACAAGCTTTCGATAAACACAGCTGCGGTTCTGGGCTCGCGCACAGACGAATTGCACTGATTCACGCCCAAGGTTTGTAATTACGCCCGATCGGCATTTTCCTTATTCAAGGGAAGTTGGTGCCGACACACGCGGGCTGCGCTTATCACCGTCACGTCCAGATACGTTGACGTTCAGCATCTCAATGCCCAAAGCGACGACAGAATATTGGCCTGAAAAGCAATTCCGATCCATCTTGAGCGTTGCGTGCATACATCACACTGTGCATGTGCGGCAGGGATCATTCATGGCTGGTCTAATCCGGAAACACCCCCCACAAAAAACGTACGTTTTTCATGGGTCTCGCGCACACGGGTAAAGATGTGACGACTGCTCCAGCATTGCAGCTGGAATAACGCACCCACTTACTATTCTTTAGCGTTCAGATCTCCTGGCCGTGAACAGATTCGGGGTCGTTCGCAGCTTTTGAGTCAGTCTTGCACCGCAACTTCCTTTCGGAAATTCGCTTCAGGCCGTCCTCGCCATAACGCATAACGATTTTCAGGAACGCTCCTCGCGAGCTAACCGGACCGTCCACGAGGGTGCTGCGAAATCCACCCGAGGATCCTCACCTTGGCATTTGGGTCTGCCCCAGCCAGGGTGCGCTGAGCGTCGGGAACTCCCCCCGATCGCTTCCAGCTCCTTCATTGAATGACATTTCCAATGTCGGGATTAGTTGACTTACCGCCTGCACTCGACTTGATCCTGCATACACCCAATTACGGTCCATCAACGAGAGTGATGAATGCAGCAGGCCGCTGGCGCGAAGAGTGCGATGCAATAGGGGAGCTCTTCACGGCCGTATTTGCAGATACTTTCACGGATGTCACATATGACCAGCACACTCGAGCATTGAGTTTATGGAGCGCATGTTGTCACATCTTTAGCGAACTCCTCCACTTTCACTTGCCAAATTTCAATTTCGAATTGCGAACGACGACATCTGGTCGAACAGAGTAAACCCGGTAAAGCCATGCAAGCAGTTCTAGATTTCGAATATAATATCGCGATCAAGCAGCCGTCGTTCATTTCCAACTATTCGACCAGGCGGACCATGTTCTTCCCCACCTCGCGAAACACGAAACGAAACGACGCTGGTACTTGGCACCACGAACCTGTAATGATCACGTTACTTGAGACTACTTGCTCCGGTCAAGGTACCGGCGTCAAAGACTTTGAAGAATTGATGGGTCAGACGTGGGCCGCTTCATGCGGCTCGTGGCCATGTACACGATTTTTGCCTTCACGCTATCTGCCGTCACGCCTTCATGCATACGAAGACCTGCGTTGCCACCATCGTGGTATAGGAAGGGTGCCACGATAGACAAAGATCAACATATTCTGTAACTGCGTCTGCATTGTTTTGCTAAAGCGAACGTGCAGATCTGCGTTGTAACGCCACTCGTCCACGCGTCTTGGAACACTGCGCAGGAATGCTGCAGGACGAGATGGAACTTGCCCTGCTGTCGTCTCAACAATGTTCTCATCATTACTGAATGGATCATCGTGGTTTCGAAGGCTGCGCATAGTGCGCCACTCTATATTCGGTCAGTGTTTCTAGCGATGCATCTTTTCTCAGCTGCAGCGGAATCCCCAGGTCCGCACACCATTTCTTCACACTACTTTCCATTCGCTCCGTTCAACCTGCACCTTGCAATTTTAATCAACCATTTTCATACAGCAACTGCACGAAGTTGCCATCGCTCTCAACGGTTGAGATCTGGTCGGTGAGCAGGCAGCGACCCGTGCCGTATTACACAACATCAACCGTCAGCACCTTGTTAGCATGCTCGGAGTCCCCGAAAGTTACACCCCTTCTCCTCACTTTTCCTACTTCCTTATTGCCGTACATACATCGTCGTCGCATCTCTTTTCAACCTCACGCTATTGATTCGTTACCAGATTTGGACCATGATCCCTCACCTTAATGGCCTTATGCGTCCGGTATAATAGATCAGCCGTGGACCCTTGGATTGGAGCACCACTGCGCATCGATCTATCGATAAGCTTGTGTAGACGTCCGGCACCATCTTTTCACCATGCTATCCAACCACAAGTCCACCACCACCCCCGGGCCCAAGAGGCACCCAGTCCTTGTTCCAAGAACGGCTGGATTGTCCACCCCCCGAGATTTCCGCGTGGCTACCACACTCACACGGCTAAACACCTGCACTCTCACCGCTCCTACGCATCTCACCCCAGCACCCCGAAAGCACGAAGCATACCGCAACCCGGCCGCGGGAGGCGAAGGTGGAGCATATGTCGCCATCCCGCCGCCAATCGCCCTTGTACCACACGCTCTAAACAATTCTCCGGCGCTGCGTTGTCCGCGTCGCAAACCGCATCGCGGTTTCTACCTCTTCGGCTCTTGTGCCGGCCGCACATGACTGCACTGCCCGCATGCACTTACACTACTTACACATACATGCACATGTCAATTGCAGCACAGCGCAGTAGCTGCGACGAAGTGGAGCATCATTCCCCTTCAAATTTGCTTACTTGCAAGTTGCTTCAGGGTGTCGTTATCGCTATTGCTGTTCCTGTCGTCTTAGGCAGGTTCTTGAAGGAGAGGCTAGACCGCAGCAGACTGCGGTGCGTTGGGCGCCCGCCGCTATCCGTAGAACTGGGTGTCTTAAGCCTACAGCCTCTGCTATACGCGCTGCAGCGAGGATTCCCCGCAAAGACGCACGATGGCGAGTGGCCGGGCGGCCGCTATGGTGATCTGGATAATTAATAGCGACCAGCGTTGCGGTCGACACATCGGCCTGCATAATACGGAGTTGTTAATTTTCCCGGTGGAGCGAGAATGCGGGGTGCGGTTCCTAACAGACTACTGGCACTGCGTGAGCAGAGGCGCGTCTGAGCAGAGGCGAATCTTGCAACACGAGGTTGTCAACCTTGAACGGTAGATAAGCTGGTGGGCCTATGCAAGGGGTGCCTTAGTGGAGCTGCAACAACCACACGTTTGTGTGCCATGTATGAGGGCTAACGGCGGCTTTTCGGCGGGGCGCCTCGTGACATCCTTCCCCTCGCGCCTTACACACGCCGCCAAGCCCCGCCCGGGGGCTCTACTCTATCCGTCCAAACAGCACCAGCATCCAGACTTGTTCGGATTGTGGTTGGTGCCAAAGGTACAATTCTTAGTACAGTACAGTCGTATGATATGGTACATAATCTACAAGCATCTGGTTTAGTCTACAGCTCTCCTGGGCCTGATGATGACCGTCTTCGCTCGGTAGTGCCTCTTGCGGCGCGCAGAACACGACCCCGCCAGCCGCAATGGGCGCCTCCTCCGCGATGCGGCTTCCCACCTCCCCAACGCGGCACCGTGTAGCGAGCGCGTGCGCACTAGATAGGGTGGCAGTCGGTGCGGTGGCCTGCGGTGGTGGTTCTGCTGCATCCGCATCGGGGTTGCTGTTCCAACCAAGTTTGAACTGTCATGCCAGGCCAGCGATGTCAGCGTGGCAGGCGGAGACTCCCGCAAGCATGCTACCGCAGCTCGACGCCCAGCTTGTCGACGAGCTCGCGGCGGAAGCGCGCGTGCAGGTCGTTGGCCTCGTCGTTGGTGAGCGTGCGCTCCAGGTGGCGGTAGTTGACGCGGTAGCACATGCTCCTGCGGCCCGTCTTGGGATGCACGAACTCGTCGGTAAGCCGGACGTCCTCGACGACGTCGCCGCAGACCTCGCGCGCGATCTCCATGACGTCGTTTTCGTGGAAGCCCGCCCCCGTGGTTGCGGTCGAACCGGCGGCGGTGGGAGGAGGACTCGCGCCGCCCGCCGCGCTGCTCGACGAACGCGCTGGCAGCCAGAAGGACACGTCCTTGAAGCACGCGGGGTACTTGCTGAACGGGGTAAACCGCTTGGGGGCTGCGGAAGCGCTGAACTGCCCGAGGAACCGCGCGTCGGTGCTCCAGAAGAGACGGATGTCAGGGATCCCGTAGAGCAGCATGGCGATGCGCTCGAGGCCCAGGCCAAAAGCCCAACCCACGCGGTGCGGGACGCCCGCATTGTCGAGGATGGACTGCTGGACGATGCCGCTGCCGAGCACCTCGAGCCAGTCGCCCTGCCAGAAGACCTCAAGCTCCCACGAGGGCGACGTGAAGGGGAAGTAGGCTTCGACCCAGCGGATCTTGAGCGGCTCTTCGGAGGCGGCAGCGTCGGTGGTGGCAGATCTCGCGGCGTTGAAGATGGCGACGACGACGTCCTCGAGGGAGCGCTTGAGGTGCGCGGCGATGGCCTCGGTCTCGTCGGCGGCGTGGCCGTCCTGGAGCGGGTTGCGCTCGGGGTGGATGGTGGGGTTTGGGTCGGAGACTTCGACGGAGTGCTTAGGGATCTTGTCTACGTCGTCCCAAATGAGCTGTGCGAGCGTCTTGCCTTGCTTTTCGGCGAGTCGCCGGTCCCAGGTCCGCGCGCCCTCCATCTGGTGGAACACGGGGTAGTGGCTTCGGTCGATGGCATCCCTCCTGTACACGTCTGCGCTGATGAGGAACCTATGTTGTGGAGTATCGTCAGCGTATTGCTACTGCAATAGAGGTAACGAGGCGTAGGTAGAAGTCTTAGCTGGCTGTCAATGTTGAACCCTAGACTTGGAAGGAAAGTCTGCAGGAAACACAACAGCAACTACAAAGACACCCACTTTGTACCGTATCCTTGCTTACCCATCTGCTTCGTCTTTCCTGAAGGTATCTGCCTGGTGAGCGGAAGTGTGCGTGCGAAGCACCGTGCTGGCGTTGAGATAGTACGTATCAGTCCTGGACCGACCCACGTGGTCTGGGGGAAAACCTAGGGAATCGAAGTTTTGGTGCGTAGTGACGATGGGGAATAGGTTGTTATGAGTCTGGTATCCTGGAAAACGGGACTCGATAAGTTGGCGGGTAATGGTTAGGGGGTGGTCGGGTTGGGTGTGGAGGCGGCGGGGGATGGCGGAGAGGATGGTCGAGGGGGTGTTCATCCATGAGTCGGTCGTATAGGTTTTGCCTTCGACGGTCACTTCCTTTTGAGGGGTGCCTGGAGACACTTAGCGACTAGCACAATACGACTGTAACGACAGGAGTGGACATGGGGGGACGAGAACATTGGAAAGTTAAGTAGGTTATTGGCGTTGATGTAGTCAAGGGATCTATTCAGACGTAAATTCATCCACCAGGGGTGACAGATATGTGAGAGGAAAGGATAGCCGACATATACCACAAGATATGGCGGTTGTAGACATCGCCATAGACGGCCGGGGAAGTCGTAGTCACATGACATGAACTGACCTGAAGAATTATATCGCAGTTGACACGACCGCACCCATGGCGACCACTGCGACCTGTGGGCCCCTGTGCTAGCTCGTGCTCCCAATTGACGGTACAAGACCGCCGATAACGGTGGTATCCGCATGTTTGGATGGAATTCCAGCTTTCGTGAAATGGCGTCTCCTGCGCCGACGCGTCCCCAGAAAACGCACGCGACGCCAAGCTTTTCGGGGCCAGGATTAACACCGAATCCAAGCTCCAATTTTCCAATGACGTCCCGCCGTCCGTAAGCTACCGTCCGAGGTTCCCTTCCGCAATTACCTCCCCCACGCGCAATTTGGACCCTTTTGGCAGTGTGCATAGTGAATTGCAGGTCACATGCAGCTTCTGTGCAGAGCGAAAAGGGCAAGGGAATCATGCCGGCTCTCGAGAAGCAGGTGAGCGCGGCGGAATTGCGCAAGAGTCAGGATGTGAAGAAGAAGCCGATTCACTATCCGTTCTGGTTTGGAGGGAGCGCGAGCTGTTTCGCGGCATGTTTTACACATCCGCTGGATCTGGGTGAGCTGTGGAATATGATTTGAGTTGCTCCAGACTAACAATTCGGCAGTGAAGGTACATCTGCTCGTGTAATCGTACAACGACAGGCGCTCACGGATTCCAGGTTAGACTACAGATGCAAAGCGCCCAAGGCCCGCGGTTGAACATGATACAAATGTTCGGCCATGTCGCAAAGACAGACGGCATCATGGGCCTGTATCGAGGGGTATGCGCGCACCTCCGTGCCCTCTACGTCTGCTAACAGCTCCCCAGCTATCGGCCTCGCAACTCCGCCAGCTGACCTACAGCATGACGCGCTTCGGCGTCTACGAAGCCCTCAAAGACCGCGTCACGACCGCCGACACTAAGCCCTCCTTCCTCACCCTCGTCGCCATGGCCTCCGTCTCCGGCTTCCTTGGCGGTGTCGCCGGCAACCCAGGCGACATCCTCAACGTGCGCATGCAGCACGACGCCGCGCTGCCACCAGAGCAGCGCCGCAAATACAAGCACGTGTTCGATGGGCTGATCCGCACCGCGCGGGAGGAAGGCGTGGGTAGGCTCTGGCGCGGCGTGTGGCCCAACTCGTCGCGCGCGGTGCTGATGACGGTTGGGCAGCTGGCGTCATACGACGGGTTCAAGCGCGTGCTGCTGGAGAAGACGCCGCTGCAGGATAACCTCACGACACACTTCACCGCGAGCTTCCTCGCTGGGTTCGTCGCAACGACCATCTGCTCACCCGTCGATGTTATCAAGACGAAGGTCATGGGATCGACCGAGAGCAAGAGCATCATGAAGATCGTTACGGAGACAACGCGGGCCGAGGGCCTGCGCTGGATGTTCAAGGGCTGGGTGCCGAGTTTCATACGCATGGGCCCGCATACCATCCTTACGTTTGTGTTCTTGGAGCAACACAAGAAGATGTATCGGAAGCTGAAGGACTTGGATTAAGGCTTTGGGACGGGAAGGAAAAAGCGTACATATGAACGGGTGCACAGAGGCTTCATCGGGGCCGTTGGCTCTACCATTTTGATACCTGCAACATTGCATGTTGTTTTGTACACTGTTGTATAGACGATAATTAGACATATCGACGAGCACGGCAGCTCGTATGTAGATAGATAACACTATGTCAATATTTCTGCATATCGACGACTGGATACGGTCTACCTGCGTGTGCGCACATGAGTCCCAAGTTGTCGTGCACTGACTTCCCTCACATACATATCCCGAACCAATACATTTCGCTCGCCCTGCAATTAAGATGACCCCCTGCTCCTAACGAATTCTTTTCCTCTTGCGGCTGACGCACCTCACTTTCCGTCAAACATCAGCGGTGCAGGAACTCTCACACGGTTGTCTAGGCCTGCTATCAGACACCCCTCTTTCAACTAATGCACCCTATAGATCGTATTTCTTCTCATTAACAACGGACGACATGTGTATCGACCTGGGCTTGTCTCATGCGTACGAAACCACTGCTGAGTAGAGGGCAGTGGAAAAAAAAACATCAAGTCTGTCCACGACAAATACTGTACCTACAGAGTCCAGCCATCAAAATCTATCATATCATATCAGAACACAGCACGAAACAGAGCTGTTCCATCGTTATACCGCAGTTTCTCCTTCTCTTCCACACAAGTGCTGCATCTGCCACGACCCAAGTCCTGTAGTCCCAAGTACATAACATCTTGAAGAAAGAACCCACATGCACAAGCTTTGTAACTACGAAAAGTACGTCAACAACTACCGTGCATCCAAGATGCTCCGCACGAGACGACATGTCCCCATCGAGGTGCGACGTGCGCTCTCGAGCCAAGCGCTCGAGCATGTGAAAGAAAGCCGCTCGAACCCCACGCAGTCATCTAGAGGCTCAGCAAACGAGCAGCCCAAAACAATCGCCCGGAAGTATCGTCGACTGATTCCAAAACGCCAAAAGGGCATTGGAAAGTTGGTTGGGAAGATCGTGATGTGGGTTGTGCATGCCATCTCACCAGACAATCGCCGTCCCCCGCCTCACCCTTGCATACATCTCATAATGCGAAGCTGCACGTCACATAGCAATGCTCGCACCTTTTGCTTAATGTACGCCTTGATGTATAAGATCGAATTCCTTAGATCTATGTATACCTACACCTTCTATCTTGTCTACAAATAGCGAGTAGTAGAATAGTATTTTCTTTGTTCGTACATTATTGAAATAATTATGGGTGGAAGTGTGCATATCCATCCATCTCATTCTGCATCTGCCGACATGGTGTGTACGAGAAGGCTCTCTCACATGCGAGACGGTGAGAGGTAGGAAGAAACGCAGATACGCTCCGAAACATCCGGCAGACACGGCGGACGGTGCTGATTCGCCCCAGGGCCAGATGAGGAGAAGCTCCCGTGACGGATGGGGACTACAAGACGACAGTCTACCTCGCCCCATGCCAAACTCCGCTGTCAAACCACGCCTACACGACCTCCCACACCGCTAGCCTTCCCGTCGTCTCCCCCGGCCTCCGCACAATGCATAACCGATCCTCCTTTCCTATCCCTTTGCCCTCCCCTAATTTTGAACCTTGCAGGACGCGATGCATAGCCAGATTCGCCACCGCTGTGGGCTGACCCTCGGCGAGGTTGTAATTCCCCGTTGTCACGAAGCCGATGAGGTCCTCCTCGCCGGGGACGAGCGGATAGTCTGGGTCTCCAGCTTTTGGTGTGCCGCTAGGTGTAGTTTGGGGTTGGAGGAGGGATAGGGCAAGGTTGCGGCTTGGGAGGGGTTGGTCGGGGGGTGTGCTTCTTACGGGTGTTTTCTTGTTGCGGGTGGAGGATGGCAGTAGAGACAGCCACGCAGTTTTGAGGGCAGGATCGGTGGTTGGGAGACGGTAAATGCGGGAGCAGGCGGTGGGGGTGCCGCGGGTGGCCATGCTGAGTCTGACAGTGAAGAGGAGAGGCGCGGATGCGGACAGTGACGGGACGATTCTCCCGGCTAGTACTGCGCGGGCGTCTCGTGAGGGCAGCTGGTGGAATGGAGAGGTGGGTGGTTGATCTTCTGTGCCCGCCATATCCGCGTCTTCGCCGTCCTTCTCGAGAAGTCGTTCCCAGTCGCACGCCCAGGGGTCTCCCAGCTCGCCTTCGCGCCCCTTGCCAAGATCGATGGTGGACCACTCGATGCGCTTCCCCTTCGGCCGCCTCTTCCAGTCATGCTGCCTCGCCGCCCGCTCCTGCAGCTCCCAGCTCCATCCTGCATCGCAGCCGGGAAAATCGAATGGGAAGCTCGGCACGGAACGCTCGAAGTCTACTTGGCGCCTTTCTTTCAAGCCCCCAAATCGTGGGTTTCCGCCAGTCGATAAGGGGTACCGCATGATGCCTCGCCAGACGGGCATGACGCATTTCCATGGGAGAAGCACGGTCCATGACTTGCTCTTCTTCGAAGCGTAGACGAGCATGGGGATCTGGGGATCTGTTGCTCGGGGTGAGGGGTACGCGCCGAAGTCGCCGTCAGTGCTTTTGCGTCGATTGATGGATTTCTGGGATGGGAGGGAGCGTGCTGCGGCAAGCCTTGCGTTGCGGTCGAAGAGGGCGGAGGCAGTTTGTGACGCGTCAATAGGCCAGTTGGCGAGGATTTCCATGAAGGCGGTTTGCGACTCGGCATCTTGGGCTCGTTGTGATGTGCGGGGTGGGTCGCGGAGGCGCGGGTCGCAGATAGGAAAGGACAGAAGTGCTCCTGGTGGAAGCACGCCAGGATCTGTAACGTCTGCTAATGCTGGCCACATGGAGCGAGGAGAGCCCTCATCGGGTGAGGAGCTTGGGTGCAAGATGGAGCAGAGGGTTTCTGCGGCGCCAGGGCCCATGATCTCAATGGATCCAATCTCAAATCGAAGATCCTCCACTGTGACTGCTGGCTTCTGCACCTTGGCGATCCGGATGACCTCGTTCCACAGCTGTAAGAATGCGCATGGATGGACTCGGATGAAAGCCTTTCTCTTCGCCCTGCCTTCCTCGGCCACAGACCATATGATCGTGACAGACGCAATGCCCCGCGGATTGTTGCCCTCTCTTTCGTACAGCCAGCCTCCCCAAACCCTTGAGCCGTCTTTCCATTTCTTCGCCTTGCCTCTGTCCTGCCATGGATCTTCTTCGCTTTCGGAGGAAAAGCGCAACCCTCGCAACAGACCTGTTATGCTTGCCGCGACACCCTCCAAGCTTATGGTGCACATGTAGCTCATGTCCCAGGCCACGGCGCCCCGCAACGTCGCAGCTCGATGTGTCAGGCGATATGCCTTCACAGCCGGAGCGAGCGGGATCGCAAATCGCCAGAGCGGTTCTGTCGGCGGTGTCATTCGCGCGCGTTTTGTATGCCAGACGTGTGTTGGGAGCCACGTCTTGTTCTTCTGGCGTCTGCGGAAGCGCGAGGGCGGCGTCTCGGGTGTGGCCAGGACTGCGAACTTCCTCTTTGCCGTTCTCACCATCTCCTTGCTGGCTGCAGTCGCTCCCTCTCGGAGCTCGATCCCCTCCATCGCCTCGCTCGCTCCACCATGGCCCATCTCTTTCCGCCTCTTCTTGCGCGCTTCCCACTGCTTCCGACGCTGCTCAATGCCCTCCTTCCGCAGCCACTTCTTCTTTCCCTTGCCCACGCCACTCCCGCTCGTGCCCCTGGAGACCGGCGTGTTGTCCTCTGTCGCTTCCTGCCGTGCTCTGGTCCTCAGCCGCTTCGGCACCCGCTGCGGATTGTGGCTCGCCGTCCTGCGCCGCATCTCCCGCGGCACGTCCTGGAAGGCGCGACGCGACAGGCCCTTTTTCGCGGCGCGCATTGCATTCTCGAGCGACTTGACCTCATTCTGGTGCGAGTTGAGGAACGCCTTGAGGTTGATCTCGCCGTTGGGGTACGCGGCTGCGGTTGGCTTGGTGGAAATGTGGTGCGCGTGTGCTCGTTGCGGGAAGCGTGGGCGTTTCGCCGAGGGCGCAGGCTCTGGGCCTGGTTTGCGCTTCTTGGAGTTGTTGCTCGACATGGTCTTGTGCGATCTTCGCCAGAGAACGCAGAGGCCGTCGGGACTTTGAAGCTCCCAAAATTTCCGAAGCTCTCCCCGCACGCGTGGGGTTAGCGTCAACAAGCGTCGTCACGTACCCACGTGCTTGTGTCTTCCATCACCTTTCACCATTTGACCGTTCACAAGAGCCGTCTTCTGACACGGGAAGAAATGGCCTTTGGTTGGCTTCAAACGCCCAAGGGCAACACAGCATCATGAATTCGCCCCAGAAAAAGGGAAAAAGGGAATCGCTCCAAACACGCTCCGTTCAACTACTGGTCCCCAGTACACGTTGCCGAATGTCTTCTACGAAGAACAATGTCACCCTCCTTTCCCATATGACATCTCGCGATGGCGTTCAATCATCTGCGTGTCCGCAGCAGCGTTCGCAAACAGTAGGCTTGCCAGTGCGCCTCCACAAACTGTTAGCCATCATAGCCGGTTGCCGTTTTCCGAACGGACATGCTCGTTTGTTAGCCTTGCACCACCCTACGGTCTCGCAAAATGTACATCCAGTAAGCTCACCATCAGCCGAGCTATGGGCGACCGCAATACCCCGCTACATTATTCCCGAGGGTATCATCTGGTCCCTGCCCAGCCATGGACACTTGATGCTGGTCCTTGCTCCAACACTTCCTGGGCGTTTTGACCCCATGAGTTCGATCAGATCATGGTAGATGCGAAATCAGCTGTACGATGCAGCTCCGAGAAAAGCCTCCCCGAAGCGATGACCCGCGACATCGAAACAGATGTCGAGAAAGACATCCTCGACACCCTTGTCTCCGGCCCTGCTGCCATCCCCCCAGAAAACGTGACGCCAACCGCCCAAGCAAGCGGTGACCGCGCACTCGTCCTTATGGATCTCGAGAACGGTCTCGTGGGATGGGATTCAGCTGATGACCCAGAGAACCCTCAGTGAGCTTCCACCCCAGCTCAGCAGGCAGTTGCCATTTCTTACATCCCAAAAAGAAATTGGCCCTGGAGAAAGAAATGGACCCTCATGCTCCTCATAGCTTCCATCTGCACCTTCTCCCCCATGGCGTCGTCCCTTTGCGCACCAGGCACGTCCCTCACCCTCGCCGAATTCAATACCGACGACAAGACCATCGGCTCCCTAATGATTTCCATCTTCGTGCTGGGCTACGCTGTTGGTCCACTGTTCCTTGCGCCCCTGTCGGAACTGTACGGGCGCACGCTCGTCATCAACGTATCGAGTGCTTTCTTCAATGCCTTCATTTTGGGCTGCTCATTCGCGCCCAACATGTCTAGCCTGATCGTCATGAGGCTTTTAGCTGGGATTGGCGGCTCAGCATGCATGACGATTGTGAGTGCCATCATCGGGGATGTTTTCAAAGTGCATGAGAGAGCAGCAGCGAGTGCGATTGTCGTGGGGACACCGAGCCTTGCTCCCATCAGTAAGCCCCCCATCCTCCACCCGGTAAGAGAGAGCCTGACGAGCACAGTCGGGCCCATCGCAGGCGGTTTCATCTCGCAGTATCTTGGCTGGCGCTGGGCGTATTGGATCCTCCTCATGGGCTCCGGCCCGCTCAACATCGCCATGATATTCTGCATGCGCGAATCCAACCACCCCACGATCCTTTCTCGCAAGACTATCCGCCTCCGGAAATCTCTCCACCGCCCAGACCTACGTTCCCATCTCGAAATACATCTGCCACCCCGCCAGCTCCTCGCCCGCAGCATCGTCCGCCCAGCAAAGTTCCTTTTCCGCTCACCCATCGCCTTCCTGATCAGTCTGTATGTCAGTATTGTCTACGGCACGCTCTACCTCCTCTTCACCACCATCCCAGACGTCTTCCAAAACACGTACGACTTCGAGATCCAGTACACGGGGTTGGCCTACCTCGGGCTTGGACTAGGCATGTTCCTCGCACTCGCGCTGGTGGTGAAGTTCAACGACCGCACCGTGCTCCGCCTGCGGAACAAGAACGGCGGCGTCTTCGAGCCCGAAATGCGCCTCGCCACAACCCCCTACTTCGCCCCCTTCATGCCCGCTTCCCTGCTCCTCTACGCCTGGACCGCGCGCTCCTCCGTCCACTGGATCGTGCCCTGCCTGTCCTTCATCCCCTACGGCTTCGGCCTTCTCGGTACGTGCCCACTCCCCATCTTCTTCCTCACCTGCGTGCCCGTGTGTACCCGCTCTGGTGACAAGTCAAGTCACCCCGCTCTCCGCTCCTCTCCACAGCCCACACTAACCACCACCCTCTCACAGGCATATTCGTCCCCTGCCAAACCTACATGGTCGACGCCTTCCTCTCGACAGCCGCCTCCGCCGTCGCCGCCCTCGTGTGCCTGCGCTGCATTTTCGGCGCTGTGCTCCCGCTCGTAGGACCCGTCATGTATGCGCGGCTGGGGCTGGGGTGGGGGAATACGGTGCTGGGGCTGATTACGGTGGCGGTGACGCCGGTGCCGTTTGCGTTTTTGCGGTGGGGTGGGTGGGTGAGGAGGAGATGGCCTGTGGAGCTGTAGGTGGGTGGGATAGGTAGATGGATGATACAATGTGAGACTGCTTGCGGAGGTCACTCGACTGCGTGCTCCTGCGTTACGAAAAAGATGGACGGTTTGACGGACGATGGGGTATTGGACCAATGGGAGACCGAGCATGGTGGCTGGGAAGAGTGCTGCCAAACGCTTTAGTGGAAATGGTACGGACTGGCTTCCTAAACGGCGTCAATATACGTCGTGGCTCGCAACGTCTGACTCCGCAGCACGCTTGTCGGAGCGTCTGCGTGGGAACGCGACACCAGCTCGAAAGACGCTGAGCACAGTCTTGGAGACCGTGTGCATCTATTCGTGCCCAATCCAACGTACCGCCTCCTCCTCTCTGCATCTAGAAGCACAACGCCATATCCACCATCTCCCCACGTACTCTCCCTATCTCATCCAAGCCCTTCAATTCTGCATGATTCCATATGTAATTCATCGTGTTTCCCGTCTATATCGTACAATCTCGCACTCTTCTGCATAGAGTATGTGATACTGACCGCATATTGCACATCTACAATATTTATCTATCCCGTTTCGTCTATCCTACCCTGTCATACACTGATCCGGTTACAGGTAGTATATCCATCGCATTCCGCCCGTGTTCTCATCGTACAACAAATCTATCTTCGAGTACATCGCCATTCTTGACGTTAATGGTGCCAAGGCACGCGGATTACGGTTCGTTTTCTCCGGCTTTCTTGTGAGCGAGGCGGGCTTTGAAGGAGGGCCACTTGACTGCGGGAGACGGAGGCGGAGGAACCTCGAGTGCGGGTGCAGGTGCGTCTTCCCTCAACGCCGGTTCGACAGCAGCTGTGGCTCTCGCCGATCCCGATCCCGCAGAAGCAGGAGGGTTAGCCGGCGCTTTCAGTGGTAGCCTGCGATTATCGTGTCGAGTAGGCTTTTTCCGCACCACACCTTCGCCTTGGTCACGTTGCGCTCTACCTGCCACATCTTTCACATCCTCTTTCGCTTCGACCTTCCCGTTCTCTTCACCCCTCAATAGCTTCTCCCTCCGCTCCCCCCGTACTACAAATCTACCCCCCTTATCCACAGCATTCAACTCGCTGTCCCTCCACCGATCCCAGCCTGGCTTCCTCTGCTCCCACTTCTCCTGCTTCTTCGCCGCCTCCCGCGGCCCCTTCCGTCGGTCCCACGCTGCGAATTTCTTCGCCCAGAGGTGCCACTCTGCGCCTTTGCTGCGGTCGGGGACCACGGTGCGCGGGGGGCGGGGCATGGGTTTGAGCGCTGTGGTCAGGGTGTCGACGTGCGTGGCGATGGCTGAGAGGCAGTGGGAAACAGATTGCGGGACAGGGGAGGAAGACTTGGAGGGGTATTGTTTGGTGAAGTGGGTAAGGGAGTGCCGGAGTGACCAGAGCTCGCGGAGGAGGTGAGCTGTTTCGCGGTTGCGGGAAGGGGTGGGGAGGGCGAGGTCTGCTTTTGGTTGTGGGGGAGCTTTGGGAGGTTGCGGGCGGTCTTCTGGGTCCTTAGTGAGCGCCGTCGCAAAGTCGGAATTGGTGTTGTGGCCTTCCTGGTAGAAGCGGTTGATCATTTCTGACGGTGAACTAAGCTGGCGAACTTCTTTGATGAAGGTCAGGCCCCGAGAATGGAGCGCGGTGTTGGTCTCTGAAGCCGAGTCTGCTTTTGCGTCCGTCGGTGGCTCGGTCCAGAATGCATTGCCCTGGAAGAGCCGCTGTGCAGTCGAGGAAACCTTTGCCACCCATACCGATGGCTTCGTACCCGCTTCGTAGTCGAGTTTGACCTGGATTCTTCCGCTTGGATGGGCAATGGTGAGAGTGCCAGGCATGACTTCTTCTGGCGCAAGCAGCTGCTCCACAACAGTGCGTGGCATCCGAGCCGCCACCGCTGTCGTGAGAGCTCCTGTCAGCGGAATAGCGGGATGTGGTTCGGTGTCAGAGATGAATCGAACTACAAGGTCCATTTGCGAGGAAACCAAAGGGGACCCCGACACGGTGCTATGCCGGCAGCTCTGTGATACGATAGCAATTTTCGGGATGGTGCGCAGAGCCGTCTTCTTCGTGTCTGCAATGCCCATCTCTACCGCAGCAGCCCTGCGGATGTTCTCCAAGAGTTCCATGGCGTCCTTGTTCTGCGTGAGCTCGTGCGGCAGAATGGTGCCCGGAACTCCAACGGCGTCGGCGCGGATGAAAACGACGGGTACGGCGCCGTCAACGCAGGTGACCTCGTATCCTTCAACCATATCAACGGCTCTTCCAGTAGGAAACCTCTTGCCGGTGGTACTGCAGGTTGGATCGCGGAAAGACAGACTGATCTTGGCTCCCTTTCCGTTCACGCCATCGACCTTGTGGCTGCCCGTCACCGCAGCTTGGCCTCCCACAACAGAGAAGGTCGACTCAACTAGCATCATTGTATTGGTATTCCGTATGGTGATTGTGATTTCTCCATCTTTGATCGCGTACAAATCGGGCGGGAGCAGGCGTGCATTGTATGCATATGGACCCACGGCGCTGAGCAGGTTCCCGGAGTTTGCCTCTACGTCTAGATCGCCGTACTTTGCGTCGACGCTCACATATGTATAGTCTACATGCGGGCTCGTCGCGTCGTCTTCCTTGGTCTGGTGGTACGGCTCAACCAGGCAAATATTGCCCATGCTCGCCGTCCCTGGGACAATGCGGCCAGAGCCCATACGCCTCGACCGCCCATACGCTTCTCCGAGCCCCACGCTCTTCAGCACCTGGCGAAACAAGGGCTTCCATTTCGCGTAGCTAGCAGGCAGGTCCTGCGGCTGTAGGATAACGGCGTGCGACGTGCCGCCACGGTAGTAGGCGGCACGGAGGGCAGTCTGTTCGGGCGCTGCTGTCACCCGCGGCGAAGGGTCATGGTTGGGGATGCGCCAGGTCTTTCTGAGGCGCAATTGGCGAGGGAGCGTCGGTCTCATAACGCGGCAGCCATGGACGAGTCTGATGTTCTCCAGCAGACAGACTGCATGGCGGAGCGCAAGCCGAGGAACGGAACGGTGGACCCTGTCGTCGGCCCGCACGGTGCAGCCATCATCTCAGAACTTTTCCTGAGCTCGCCGTGACGCACCGACAACACTCCCATCGCTCCATCACTCCAGCTATTCATCGCGTTTTCCACCTTCCTCCCCTCTCCACATTCACATCCACATCAAGATGCTCCAACGGACACTTCTCCGCGCCTCAAGACAGGCCGCCCGCCCTGTCCAGCGCATACAACCCGCCTTTGCCCCCATCACACGAGCAACGCCCGCGGTACGGTGGTACTCTGATGCCGCGCCCCCCGAGGGAAAGAAGGACGGCGAAGCTGCCGAGGCGCCGAAGGACGCTGCCGCGCAGTTGAAGGAGCAGCTCGAGAAGAAGGACAAGGAGGTCATCGAGCTCAAGGTGCGCTGCGCCCTCCCAACCACCATCCCCTTCACACACTAACGATGGAAACAGGACAAATACCTCCGCTCCGTCGCCGACTACCGCAACCTCCAAGAGCGCACCAAGCGCGAGATCCAAGCTGCCAAAGACTTCGCGCTGCAGCGCTTCGCCCGCGACCTCGTCGAGTCCGTCGACAACCTCGACCGCGCGCTGACCACCGTCGAGCCGGCCAAACTCACCTCCGAGAACCCCGACCTCGTCACGCTCCACGACGGCCTCAAGATGACCGACTCCATCCTCATCTCCACGCTGAAGAAGCATGGGTTGGAGCGCTTCGACCCCAGCGTCGAGAGCGAGAAGTTCAACCCGAATGTGCACGAGGCGGTGTTCCAGACGCCCATGCCGGATAAGGAGGACGGCGTGTGCTTTCACACGCAGCAGAAGGGCTTTTTGCTCAACGGGCGCGTGTTGAGGGCCGCCAAGGTCGGCGTCGTCAAGAACTCATAGGCACCTCACCTGACCGCCTTCCTTCATTGTTATGGCAGGTGGCACCCGAGTTTTGTATGTGACATATAATTGTACGACTATCAGGATAGGATCGGGACGGGGTTCTGTGGTTGGGCCGCACGGCGTTGCGCTGCGTTGCGTTGTTTACGCCTCATTCTCGTTCGACATGTGTAAATATCCCCCCCTCTCACTCTCCCCCGCAAAAGCATCAAAGGACGGCGAACCAAGGAAAACTCGCCACATGTAGGAACATTGTAATATTTACGACCAGGGGAATGGCATGGAGAAACAATCATATAGATGGTATCAATTGCTAATGCTCGATTATGCCTCCCTCGATCTCCTGTGGGCCTTTGAAACTGGAGCGACTAGATCCCCGAAGTGTGAGACTGAGGGTCCTGCACCGGACTGACATTTCCTCAGCGCTGGGTTTTGAAATCCGTGAACGCCGTCCCATGCTGTGTTTTGTAAAGTTCACTCATTTTGAGCACCCAGGCGTTCAGCAAGCTCTTCAAGCAGATGATGCCTATCCTGTCCCAATCCCTCGGACCGGAGCTGCCTTTAAGGGTGCTGCATCTTGCTGGCGATTCATCGTCTCCAGAGCCACCATTCGAATTCGTGATGAAATACGCTCCGGTTCATGTCTACCAGCCAGATGCGCCGCCATACGGTGTCGCGCCATAAGGCGTTGTGCCACCAGGATACGCGTTGCCGCCACCATATCCAGGCGTCGTATAGCCGTTGTCATTGCCGTACCCATCATTTCCAAAGCCACCTTCCATGGTCGGGCTCTGCGCTCCCTCGAGACCCGCATTCGCCTCGTCGACGCCGGTCAGCTCCTTGATCACTGATGCCAGCTTCTGCTGCAGCACCTTGATGCCGTTATTGACAATGGAGTCGGGCGACAGGCCGCCAACGGTTTCTACGTCGAAGAAAAAGCGCTCCGGGACGGCGTCGTAGTTGAAGGGCTCGTCTGTCTTCTCGGGGCCGCCGTCGAGATCGACGCGCGTTTCGTCTACAGGCCTATTCACACCAGATCAATAAACTGAGAGCAAGGCTCCTGTATGTGGAGATCAACATACCACTCCTTCTTCGGATCGTCGTCCTCATACCACAAGTCCAGATGGTGCAGCTTATTCGCGGGGTCGTATTCGAACCCTATCGCCGCGCTGGGCGCCCACTTCGCATGCTCCTTTGCAATACCCTTCTTCGCAATGCACCGCATGTCGATCGCCTGCCCCTTCCGCAGCTTCACAATGCAGCTTCCATTCCCCTCCGCATCCGTGATGACAGGCTGCCCGAGCCTGTCGCTCGGCGGCATACTCTCGATGACCAGATCTCTTGCATACACCTTCATAACGTCGTTGCCCGTGCACTTTGCCTTGAGCCGTAGCGTAACAGAGCAGTTGTCGCAGCGCGAGTCCTCGCAGTCGCAGTCGCGGAAGTCAACCAGCTTGTCCACGTCCTCTGCGATCAGCGGGATGAGGCCGAGCCGGTGCGCGATGAACTCATCGGCGAGGACGGAGGTGTTGTCGAGGACTTCGACAGTGTCGATGGCGAGCGTGGGCACCTCGGCGAGCATCACGCGCCGGAGCGAGTTGGCCGTCTCGAGGTTCCAGTCTCGCACGATGAAGTATGCGCGCTTGTCATTTGCCTGGTGTGCGTCAGCGCCGTATCTTTCTTCCACATGGGCCTGACAAAGAGACTGGACGCACTTCTAGCATACGGCATGTAGGCTCCTTTGGGCCAAAGTCGTCGATGTCCATGCTGAAGCGGGCGAATACTGCCAATACGGAAGACTCGGCGGGCGCTTTCGGCGGGCGCAGCAGGCAGAATATGGATGCGACGGTGGCTTTTGCGGTACAGAGGCGGAGTGTGTGGGGTGAGGATGCGCTGAGGGCACAAGGTAGGCTCTTGCCTGAGATTCTTTGATGTTCAGGTGCACGGGCGCACGTGGAGAGGCGGCGAGATCGCGTCTGGATTAGACTCAGTTCGGACGAGTGCTGTGCCACAGCAAGCGCCACACTTCTGCACCTCGGCAGGTCTTCACCTTTGCTTTGAGTTTGTGTGAAAGGGGGAGGCTATGTGAGTGCGTCACTTGATCTCGTACGGTAAATGTAAACAGGATACAAGGGTATAGTCAGAGCCGCATTGGGCATACGATAAGCGGCGAGGTCATTGGCAAGTACAGGACGAATCGGCGCAGTAATGCTCAACGTGGCTCAGGTAGGGGGAGCATCAGGCAAGCCAAGGTGGTGAACCGAACATAGGAGTATCTTTCAGCAACGAATGCTTGTTAGAAGACTGTTCCGACGCACCAGCTTCTGCTTAGCGCTTGTCATAGCACTCTATTCAGTATCAACGTAGTACTGTCCACGGTCATAGTGTATTTTGCAGGCTAATGCTCTGCATGGTCAAACATGATAATGCACAAGAGTGAACACGGTCGAACGAGGACCCAAGATCGCGCTGTACATGCTACAAAGCTAGATCTGCGACATTCTCAATGGCATGAAACCACAGTAAAGGACAATGGGCATGTGCGCAGTAGTACATGATCGGTAGAGGCTGATACCGAAACAAGAACTGTGCAGTGCAAGTCGAGGCAGACTGAACGTCCTTTTCAAGTCGACAATGTGAAGAGTCACTCGCGAGGAAACTGGTCTCTCATCATTTATGAGTGAGTAGCAGTGCGATGTGATGTGGTATGCAGATGCCCATTGCCATTTCTTGATTTGCGCGCAACTACTCGTACTCTGCTCCACAGACCTGAGTGATGAGAATCCCATACACCGCCCTATAGCATGCGATTACCAAAAAAAAAAAAGGCGCCTGGGTGGTCTACTGCCCCGCTCAACAAAGCAATCACACCTAATGCAGCGGAATGCAAGCTCCAGGAGAGAGCAGTGGAAAGCGATGATTCGGCCTTGCATCACTCAAACTTGTTCTTGCAAGCCGCTGGCGCTGTCTTGTCGAGTCTTGGTGCTTGGTGGTCTAAGCAGGCGGACCGCACCGGGACCGAAGACGCTCAGAGTAGCGATCCCAGTGTTAATCACTCAGGGTATCCGCTTTGAGGCTGAGGATGGCGAAGCGGTCATGACTGCTTGCGGCATCAGTCAGACAGGCTCGCCTCGTGGCCGCAGCGAAATCAGCAGGTCGTCAACTATTCATTGGCGACAGCCGCGTGGTCCGCCGAGCCCCGGTACGCCGTGTGCTGTGACAGTTTCTGTTGGAAATCAGTTGGGGCAGTGCAAGGGCCGAGAATGTGGAAGACACAGTCGGCGGGGCAAACCCGTGGAACGACGTCGACAGCCTTGGCGAGTGCTCCGCCTCTCTACTGGCTCGACGCTTGCGGCAAGAGCGACGGCTGCAACATATACATACTTAAGACATACCACGACCTGACTTCTTTCCTGCAAAGTCTTCAGAAAACCAGCAATAGTCCTACACTGCTATAAAGGCATATTGTAGTGCTGCGACATTTCCACAGATATGACTACCACCATACCATCACCGCAGCGGTCGCGCGCTTCGTCACGATCCAAATCGCCACTGTCGCTCGACCTTTCAGATCTGCCACCGCTGGTGCAGCCGTCTCCGCCTTCCAACACGCTCATAATTACAGTAAGTACACTGGCTCTGCACTCAATACATAACCTAACCACCACCCAGAACCTTGTTGAGCCTGAGATCTTCCACCCTTCGAACCTCGTCCAAATACGTGAAACCATAAACACCTACGCACCGATACACACCTGGGCACCGCTCAAGTCACTCAAGCGCGTCGTTGTCTCCTTCTTCGATGTCGACTCCGCAATTACAATTCGCCAGAAGGTGGACGGCGAGCAGATCATGGGGTGCCGGGTTCGGGTGTACTTTGGCGTGAACACACCACTGAACCCCAGCGACCAACACTTGCCGCTTCCGAAGTCCGATAAACTCTTCTTCATATCGCCACCACCGTCCCCTCCCATGGGCTGGGAGATGCGCAACGAGGATGCTCCGAATCAGATAGTACATGCGGAAGACCTGGCGGAGGCGCTGGCGAAGTTGCATGCAGACCACCGGGAGCTTCCTTCACCGATCGACGACGAACTGAGCCCTCGTGTTAAGAGGCGAAGGACCGGAAGCTCGGCGATCATCTACCACCCCGAAGACCACGGCGACAGCCCCCACCTTCCCGCGATCGCTGTCGAGGATACGACCGCGAGCCCGACTATTATGACACCAGATGAGATGGAGGGCATAGAAGGCCCGATCGCCGTGCAGAAGGCCCAAGGGAATTTCGTCTCAACGTCGAGACCTCCCGTAGAGCTGATGCACTGATTTCTTTGCCTCTTTTTAATTTTTGTATTATATCCAAAAATGCAGTAGCGAATGGGCACGGCTGGCGTTGATATGGTGTTTCATTCAGGCGACTACCCCAAGTTTGGGCCATTCCAAATATCATGTAGGCAGGTTCTTATGGGAACGGGTCTGGACTATTACAGCGAAATACGTTACATTGGGCATGGTCTTCAATATGAGACTAACGGAACTTAAATTGTTGAAAACATCTCATACCACAATCTTTGCGTGCTGGTAACTGATTCCTAAGTTTTTCCAAACTTCGCAACTGCCATAGTCACGGTAGTATTGTGCTACCTACGGAGCAACTGTCAGGTTCTGCGGACTTTGCGTACTGTCACTCTTCGAGTTGCACAACATCTAGTGCATGGTGAATTATCCGGGGCCCGAGCGAGAGCTAGCGTATCACGTGTAAGGACACTACGGCAGAAAGTATTCCCTAGCGCGCACAAGCGAGGCTTGGCCACGGATCGTTTGGCAAAAGTTCCAACACCACAACGAGCCTCTCGACAATCTACTAACGTTGCAGCACCCGGCCTTTGCGATACCGCCGTCAAGATGAAGCTCAACATCTCGTACCCCAACAATGGCACCCAGAAGCTGATCGAGATTGAAGACGAGCGCAAGCTGCGCGTCTTCATGGACCGCCGTATGGGCCACGAGGTCCCCGGCGACAGCGTCGGCGACGAGTTCAAGGGCTACATCTTCCGCATCACCGGCGGCAACGACAAGCAGGGCTTCCCCATGAAGCAGGGTGTCATGCACCCTACCCGTGTGCGCCTGCTCCTCGCCGACGGCCACAGCTGCTACCGCCCCCGCCGCACCGGCGAGCGCAAGAGGAAGAGTGTCCGCGGCTGCATCGTCGGCATGGACCTCTCCGTCCTCGCCCTTAGCATCGTCAAGAAGGGCGATGCCGACATCCCCGGCGTCACCGACACCGTCCACCCCAAGCGCCTCGGCCCCAAGCGTGCCACCAAGCTCCGCCGTTTCTTCGGTCTCAGCAAGGATGATGATGTGAGTCCGCTCATAGCTTCATCGCCAGCTCCCTACCTATTCGTGGGGGGCTGAGTCTGAGGAATGAATGTTGACAACCCGTGTAGGTCCGTAAGTTCGTCATCCGCCGCGAGGTCCAGCCCAAGAAGGAGGGCGCGAAGCCCTACACCAAGGCCCCCAAGATCCAGCGCCTGGTCACCCCCCAGCGCCTCCAGCACAAGCGCCACCGCGTCGCACTCAAGCGCCGCCGCGCAGAGGCATCCAAGGATGCTGCCGTAAGTTGAGCTCGCCATCTCAATTTCACCCAAACCTAACACATTGTTTAGAACGAGTACGCCCAGATCCTCCACAAGCGCATCACCGAGGCCAAGTCCGCCCACGACGAGGCCAAGAAGAGGAGGGCTTCTTCCATGAGGCATTAGATTATGTCTACGAGTACATGAGTTCTGGGATGATCCTTTGGCGTCGGCTCAAAAACGTGGTGTGGGTTCATCTGAATGGAAGCTTCGGATTTCTAGGCATGGGCATTAACATACCCGGTACTGCATTTTGTAGCAGTCGGTTTTCAATGAAGCAATAGTATCATCCTGGCGTGCCTATATCTCAAAATCCAGTACAACCATTTGTACGGCAATTAACATGACTTATTGTACCTTCAGTCTACTGTAAGCCCAGCGTTCACCAGATGATCGTCAACATGAAACCACAGATACCCATTCTCAACTTTTTACCCGCTATCGAATAGTCGGCCCACCCTCCCTCTCAATCCCATGCAACGCCTCCAGAATATCGCTTCCACCCAGTAGCCCCGCCGCACTCCCCACCCCCTTCTTCCCCCCAGCCCAAATCTCATGGAACCTAATCGCCGCATCACTCGCCGCCACAACGATGCAACCCTCCTCGACACCCCTGCGCCACCACACCCCATCTTCTCCAGGCGATCTCGCATCCGCCCCCGCATTAGGGCACCCAGGATACGGAATTGCATACAGCGCGCGATTCTCATCAAACCACGGCACTGCAACGACCTGCTCGCAGCTCGGCCACGCAAACACAGCGATGCGAAATGGGTGCTCTGGCTGCGCGAAGCCAAACGTAGCCGCGATCTCGCGCCTTGTCTGGCTCCAAATGAGGCTCGTGACCTGGGCCGCACAGTCGATGGTCGCGAGGCAGGCACCGGTCATGGTATGGTAGAAGTGGATGCACCTGTCATTCGAGCCGCCTCCAATGGCGAGCAGACCGCGCTGCCAGGGGCAGAAAGCGATTGCTTTGACAGCGGCATTGAGCTCCCAATTGTGTCTTGCTTGGGTGCCTGAAATTTGCAGGACTGTGCTGCGGCCAGGGGCTACAGTGTATATGCTCTCTCCGTCGGGACCGCGGCGCACGTTGACCGTATCAGGGGCGTTATTGTCGGGTACTGGGCTGCTGAGTGCTTCCTTCGTCTCGAAAAGGTAGCATGCGTTGTCGTTTCCGCCGCTTGCGAAGAGCTCGCCGTCGGGGGACCATGCGATACCGCAAATCTGTTGAGAGTGGACGGTCATGCGAGCCAGTAGTGTCATTGCTCCATTCCAGCCGAAGATGGCACTCTCTGTTTCGGTCGGCCATTCAATGCTGTAAAAGTATATATGCCCTGATTCGTCTCCAACAAGCAGTTCCTCGGTATGCACTGTCATATTGTTGTCGCGGAGCGATGGTCTCTTGACGGTGGTTGGCCTAAACGCAATGCAGGATATAGGCTTGGGCTGCGTGGCGTCAAAGCGAGGTTCTGCATCGAATGGGCTCCACAACGCAATGCGACCATCTGCTCGTGCCACAGCCAAGATAGCTTGCCCCCCAGCGTTCGATGAGAAAGAAAGAGACGTAACATGTTGGACATCGACCATACCAGTGGTCGATAGGATATTGAGAGACTCTGGTGTATCGACTCCCTTTCGCTCTGACCAAAGATGTACAAAGTTACCCAAGCCTACTGCAAGACATCTTGCGTTATGTGAGTATGCAAGAAGCGAACAGTAGTAGTCATCTCGCAGCTGAGGTGCATCGAGAACCGTGTGTTATGTCAGTAACTAGCATTCGTATGTGAAATCGCTACTTATCTGAAGGGTAAGACTGGTACAGCTTTCTTCGCGACACTGCGTGAACGTTTCACTGCTTGAAATGGACGTCAGTATGTCTAAGTCCTGCGAGGGGTTCCTTGGACCAACACAGTGAGTTACTATCCTTAATCCACACATTGTCTCGCCAAACGTGGACTGTGGGTTCAGCAGATGGAGGCGTCTTTTGTGAGCCCACTCTATTTGGGCTGCTAGAGGACGTTGAATGATCAAGGACGCGGGTCACCTGGTCTATATCAAGAGCCAACGCAACTCGCCGTTCATACGCTTCGAGCTCAGCATGTGGATCTGAGCGGCTAAGAAAGGTCGACGTGTAGAGCGGAGCATTCGTCCCGCTTCCCAATAGCCCGCCGTTGCCATTGGAAACTCCCAGTACAGTATTACTAGCAGCAGAAGAGCCGCCCACGTTCCAGACGGCGCCTACACTGATCTGGCGGGTTCCCATCGGAGCAGTTCCATGGCGAAGGCTAGGATTTATGCGCTGTCGACTAAGACTCGATCGACCGGTGAGCATCGCATGCGTCTCCCGCAAGCCTCGAAGTTCTTCGTTCATCCTCGCCGACCGTCGAAGGCGCCGGCTGAACGGATCAGGTGCGGAGGAGCCGCCAGGTAAGTTTCTCTCTTCAGCTATCAACCGTTCTTCTGGTTTGTTCAAATCGAAGCTTTGTTTTGTACTATTTGGTGGACGGCGTGGAGGTATAAAGCGATCTGGTGCATGGCTTGGGTGTCGTGGCGTTTTCAACGACCCACCACGTGCTACCCACTGACTGGGACGTAAAGGAGAACTAGCAGAACGAATCAGGAGCCGAGCGAATACCGATGGAGAAGGTGCAGGGATATCGAAGAGCAGTTCTAATGGTTGCGCGGGTCCTGGGCTCGAATCGGGTGACTTAGGGCGACGGGGTACAGGAGATGTCGTTTCTTCCTCTGCACTCAAATAGCAAGAAATTGTCGAGGTATGATCATCACTTGGAGGGACGGAGAGGGTGTCCGGTTGGGGCTCGCAGGATTGACCGGGATGACCTTCACCACCGGAGAAACGAGCGTTGCGCAGCGTTAAAGGAGCGATGTGAGAAGTGTCCGATTCAACAACATGGAGGAAAGGCATTTTGGAGGGTGAGTCTTTGTATGGCAGTAGCGTGACATCATCGGAACTGAAGACTGGAGCGTCTGCAAGCCGGAGCGCGTTCAAGCGTTTGCAAACTTTCGGCTTTGTCGGTGACTCTGGAGGGCTCTCGAAACTGCCATCTGAGCCACACCTGCGAGAGGCGAGTTCATTCCATGATTTATGAGGCGATGTAGGCGTTTGGGGAGACAGCCAACCTTCGGTACTGATGGTCTTCGTGGGAGACAAGGGCGGCGTAGCATACATTGAGTCGCAAGACTGTACGTCGTCTTCGGAGTCATTCATGCTGGGGATATAGGACGGATCGAGCGGGTCAGTGGCTTGCTGAGTTGCGTATCTCAATCGAGATGAGCGAAAGTCAGCGGCACAGGTGAGAAACAGCGGCGGCCGGGGGGGTAGCCTGGGAGCGCGATATGCTGCTGCGTGGTTATTGCTGCTGGGTTAGCATACCAATATGGTGATGTTTCATAGGACGTCCGCAGGGTTTGGCGGTCCTCACAATCATGACGAAGAGCACGTTGCTCTCGGCAGGTTGGAGGGTGAATGGGGAAAGAGCCTCGGGCGGTAGAACTTATCTCCGGCGGCGCGCGAAGAAGGCGCGAAGCTCACGACGTCCTTGTTACCAATCGCATACTTCAACATGGCAACCGTAAGTTATGAAGACCCCAGATCACTACAGATTACTGATCGTTGAAGCACGGAATAACGCGCGCGGCGGGTACGGCGATGCGCACAGAAGAAGCCCGGCAACAACAGCTTCGAGACATCGATGCGTACAAGGAGCTCGTGGACCTCGTCAACACAAAGGTGAGTGAGCTGTTCGTCGCTGGGCCTGGCGGTTAGGATTTTGACCCCGCGCTCTATAAACTTGAAAGCAACGACAGCTTCTAACGTACGAGTATCGTAGATAACTGAAAGACAATACACACTTGAGGTCCTGGGTCTGGCCACGAAGCTTTTGAAGCAGAATCCAGAGTACTACACAATTTGGAACCATCGTCGCCGTGTTCTGAATGCTCTATTTTCTGGCGAAACCGCAGACGAATCTTCTAAACACGCCGTGAACGACTTACTTCAGAACGACCTCCAACTCACATTCGCACTATTGCGCCAATACCCCAAGTGTTATTGGATATGGAACCACAGAAACTGGCTGCTGGAGACCGCTGAATTACAGCAAGGGGCTGACGTGGGCCGTCAATTATGGTCCGGGGAGCTATTGCTGGTGAACAAGATGTTGGGTGCGGATAGTCGGAACTTCCATGCCTGGAGCTACCGACGGTCCGTAACAGCCCAGATTGAGCGCTTGACACCTCGTGCCGAAGGACAAATGACACGATCTATGACTGAATCCGAATTTGATTACACGAGCAACATGGTCAAGTCGAACCTATCCAATTTCTCGGCCTGGCACCACCGCAGCAAAATCATACCCCGCCTGTTGAATGAGCGAGATGCTGATACCGAGGCTCGACGTGCTCTTCTAGACTCCGAGCTAGCACTGATATGTGAAGCTATCAACACTGATCCCTTCGACCAATCCATCTGGTTTTACCACCAATATCTGATGACTACCCTGTCCCCGGACTGCCCTTCGCAAGACCGAATTGTTCTAGACCTCAACAACAGCGATCGTCAACGATATTACGAGAATGAGATGCAATATATGCGCGAGATATTGGAGGACGAGGAGGATTGCAAATGGATCTACGAGGGTCTGCTGTTCCTCGCAGGCGCGTATCTGGAGTTCGATAACGGGACGAAGATCTTCACGACAGCGGACATGCGCTCGTGGTTGGAACAGCTGAGGAGACTCGATCCGTTGAGAAGGGGGCGGTGGGAAGATCTGGGTCGAAGTCTAAACCTTTGAGATTAATACACAAGTGAAGCTAAGGCTGTGGCTTTGAACCATCGCTACTCGTCCTGGCTGGCGATTTTTCCTTCGCGACACTTCGTTCCGATGACCAAGCCCAGAACCCCAACATGGACGACAGCTTTGACTGGTTCGCGGGCTCGGTTTGTGCCGGGAGCTGTTCTGGTTGTGGAGCTGGGATCGTGCTCGACGCCATCGGGGATGGCCCGTCGGTTGGTAGAGCAGATGCACCTGCAGAGGCAAGGTCGCTATTTACGTCAATAAAAAATCTCAGCATTCTCGCGTCGCGTTTGATTCGTACCGATTATATTCCTGCTGCAGACGTCGTCTTTGCTGTTCTTTGAATTCCTCCCCGAAGGTCGATACGCCGATAGCAACACCTGCGAAGGTGGCTAGAGCAATTGGAAGGATACGTCCCGCCATGACGTTGAAACGGTAGCGAATGCACGAGATAGAGTCGCCGTGTGTGGCCGGGTGAAAGTGAGAGTAAACGACGGCGGCGAGACCAAGAATTACGTAGTACCGCAGATCGCGAAGCACGCGCTATTTAAGTGGCACGTGATGGACCCTGCCAGACGCGTCTTGGACGCGTCGTGCAACCACCATCCGCACTTCATATCCGCCCCACCACCAACTGCGCCCCGTTCGCGATGCCGACGAGCCCCAATGTCCAAATGGCGCGTCAAAGGATTCGTCCAAGACTCGGATGAAGAAGAGGAGGATATCGAGTTCTCGAACGCAAACTCCGCTAGAAGCAGTCAGCACGCACATAATGTGGGTGACACCGCGAAGCACTATCGCAGCGAGAATCGATCAAATACAGCCAGCAAGGACGCACTTGTAAGGGAAACTTCTGTTCGGACGATAGCGCCTCCCGACGAGGTGCATGACGATGAACTCTCTACCTACCATGCACCGATTGCGGTGGCATGGGTAGCGGAGGCCACTTCTGCAAGCCAGCAGCCCGTGGCGTCTCCAAAAGCTTCTGCTAAGGATCTGGATGCCAGAGAGCGGTCTGAGAGCCCTGATCCTCTTCTAGGCTCGCCCACCCCAAAAGCGAAGCGGGTCGGCAACCATTCATATTCATCGCAAATTCTTGGGGTACCCAGTATTTCGCAGGGGACGCAAGAGTCAGCTTTCGGTAACACTGGCAATGGGAGAGCGAAGAATGCGTATCTGCTTGACTTTTCCGACGACAGCGATCTTTCTGACCCTCCTTCCGACCTCGATGAACTGCACCCGGAAGAGTTCAGGCGTGATGCTGAAACCCGCCCGGAACAAGTCAATCTGACTAACGTAGAACACCTCGATCTAACAAACCTCCCCCCTGAAGATGACGGACCGCATGCGCAAAAGACCATTTTTGCGTCACCAACACATAGGACGACGGTGCAAGTCGTGATTCCACCCTTTACAAACCGGGAACGACAACCGCAAGTATTCGGCCGATATGTCGACCGATCTTTTCGACAGCGGAAACCGATTCAGCTGCATCCATATCTTCTGGAGGGGGAAAAATATCGTCGAGATCTGCAGGGGAGAGGGGTGAAGCCGGTGATCAGAGTGCTGTCACCAAAGCGGAAGCCCCATCACAGTGATCAGGAATCGCAGGAACAGGAGTTCGATCCGAAAAAAGATTTACCGCCCAACAGTTCTCCAGAAATCCCTGTGTCTACCCTGATTGTTCGACGACGTACAGAAGGCGATCAAGGCGGCTCAGGTCAAAGAATTTTAGATCGGCCACGATACACGAAGCCAACTTCCACTATCCACAGCAGCGCAAAGAGAAGGAAACCGGGTCGGTCACCACGTCCATCTTCAGCGTCCCGGCAACTATCCACTATCCAAAACAACACATCTACTGCTGACGTGTGGGCTGTGCCTCAATCGCCTCCTTACTCCAGCAGCCCTCCGATTGATCGATCTGTGCGAAATCAGGTCAGAAGAACGATGGTCACCCCTATCCCAAATCTACCTACGCCTTCGAACTCGTCCAGCGTGCTTGCAGCAGGGGACATGAATTCTGATGATGAGCCAGTTCGTAGCGTGCATCGTTTAGGTCAAGGAGCGAATCAGCCTATTCCTATTCTTAGCGACAGCTCGTCTTCGGATACTGAAGCTTCAGAGAACGAAACCCAGGGCAGCGACCATGAAATACAGAAGGTGGGAAAGAGAATAAGAGGCGTCCTTCCTGCGTCATGGCTCCGCCTCGATCTTCAGGCTCAGGAAAAGCGTGACAAGCAGAGGAGAGACCGATTGCATACCCTCCAATCCCCGGGGCAAGCGGAACCTCAGCGTGGTGTTGCTCAGAAAGTCGTCCGGCGCCAGGCAATGCCTTCAGGAGTAGCTGGCCCGATTTCAACTAACAATCGCGTCATAGAACTCTCAGACGAGTCTGACGGTGACGCCGACGCGCCCGCCCCTCAGATCTCGAACGCTCAAGACTCGACCCGCGCAGCATTTGAGACAGCTGCTATGCTTGATCGCCGATACGCCGACGAGAATTTAGACACCATGGAGAACGATCGCTTGCATCTTTTTACACTCGGTGGTGGCAAGAAACGAAAGAAGCAGTCCATGTTGACAGATATGTTCGAGGCATCGAAGAGAAGAAAGGTCAAAGAAAGAGGGGGCAAGCATAGTAAAGCAACTTTCGGGTCGTATGCAACTTCCAAAGCGCGGAAACGTACGCCGCCGCCTGCTCTTAGTATTTTAGATGTCGAGCAGTCGCCTTCAAAAGAGCAAAGGCTACCACAATTCCTGCGCATTGCAAGGCGACAGGCTCACCGAAGACCAGATCATGCCCGCCAGTCTCCAACCAACAAATACATCAGGCTGCATACTGCACAGGATACACAAGACGCGAATGCTACTCTTAGGGAGTGGAGACGTGGTGCTATCAGGCCAAGAGCTAATATTGCGCAATCCAGCCGTAGACCAACGGCCCGCAGACCTTTCGTTGATCTAGATCATAATCAACGGTTGCTGCTTGGTGACGCTGACATAGCTCTTCAGGACTCGGAGTCCGCGAGGCAACCCTCTTCCCCAACCGGGCCGACGCAGCTGCGCGAGAAACAACGACTTAGCATAAGACATACGAATCAGCCAAAAGCACCTACGCCAACACGAAAGAAGCTATCGCAGCATAGCAGGCCACGCCCTCTTCCATTCAGAGACGCTCAACTGGAGGGGTTAGAAACAGATCAAGGGTCCAGCGCCCGTAGGGCTGCTTTTCAAAGAGGCCTAAAACGCGTCGATCGGCTGTTCGATCTTCATCAACCACTTATCAACCCTCGAAATCCTCAATTAGCTCGTTTTCTTGCCGATGACGATGTCATTCTTCCACCGCTGCCATCCGTAGAGAGTGCAGAGAATACAGCCCCGTCCTCACCGATACCGGAACCGCCCATTATCAGGAAACGCCTCGTCCGAAAGCCTCGAGCGCAGCGTGTCGACGTTGAAATCAGAGAATACCGACAACCAAGTGAGCCAGTGGTAGACGACTACCTTAGGGGTGTGCCAGACCCGCCTATCCTTGACCCTGACCCAGGGCAAGCAGATCAACCTTCGCTACAGGGTCTAGGCCCACATGGCACTCGATATCCCACCACCTTCGACGTTTCGCCTTTACCGGACGGTACGTATTTCCACGTCACTACATTCGTCGGTTCCGGCGTCCTGCGTCGAGCATTGGCCTTGAATCAGAGCAACGCAAGAAACCTGGATGAACCAGCGGGTTATTGTAACGTCGATTGTCTCCGAACGTCTGTCAGATGTGGCCCATGGGAAGACAGCATAGCCGCACGCATCGCAGATTCTACGAACGACATATGGAATAGCATTACCCGCCGAAATGAGGATGACGACTCCCTCTGGTCTGATCGAAGCTGCTTCGAGAACGCATCTAACGTCACCCGGTCGCTCATTGTTTACTTTTCTTCACATCTCAGCTTCCACGACCCTATCGACCGAAACCCTTTCATCATAAAAATGGGACAATGGGCTACTTCTATGTACGAAAGGATCATGTCGCACGGTGACGAAGGTCGAAAGTCGGACTCGTTAGCGAAGGCCAGGTCTTTAGGACTTTTGCTGGTTCTGACGTTTCAGATCTACAAGATTGCACACCATTCCGTTGTGGAACAATCGTCCAAGTCTGATTTACTGGTGCTAATCACCAGTATTGGCAAAAGTCTCGTAGGAGACATCCTTGATCATATATCAGATCTCAGCGACTTTTTGGAAAACAACCAGCGATACAACGTCCGAGAGAGCGGTATACGGGATTCCGATGCAGTAGTTGAAGGGCTTGTTATCTGCCTACACACGCTCTCACAGGCTGGCTTACCGGGAATTACATTCTGGGATCTCGTTGGGCAGTCACTGTCACCGGCAGCCAAGAGGGCAACCCAATTGATGGAATTCGAGTCGATCTGGGGCACTATATTCACTCTGCTTCCGTTCATTGAATTTAATGACCTTGGCATTCCTTCACGAGGCCGTCGAACATCGTTTAGAGAAGACAACTGGACGACTGTCAGAGCACTGCTACAACGAACTTTCGCGTTGTATCCTGCCACATCGAAGGTGAACAATTCTTCTTTAGACGACTACATCCGAGCAGTCATGACAAGGTGCCACGAACTTGTACATTTCTGGCATTGGAATCGTTGCGATCCGGCTCTGTACACCATGTTTGATTTCTTCGTAGCGAAGAACGGTTTGAAGCATCTGAAGAGAGAACAGGGTAACGGCTTGGCCAGCTTCCTCGAACAGATCAACGACGGATCTTTTAGCCGCATTGAACCGAACACGAGGTCTTTCCATATCTTCCTCAAGTGTTTGTATATTGGCATTCGGGGTATGCAAGATTGCTATCCAGAGAAGAAGCTTCGTAGTGTTGTGTTACGCCTTATCCCAAACCATGGACGAAGCTATCCTAAGGACCAACCTTTGGAAGTGGAGAGTTTGGAGGCTTTGCAGAACCACCACGATATTCTATGCACGCTATACCGGGCTTCCCCGTTGCCATGTCGTCCCAACTTGGAGTTGATCAAGAATCTTGTGCACCACGAAAATTCACATCGAGAGGCATGTCGGATAGGCATACGTTCATGGGCGAACCTAGCCAAGTTCCAACTATCATCTGATGAGCCATACAATTCCCTGCAACCCTTTGCACAATGGCACCAAGATATCAAGACGCAAACGTTGAAGCAATATCTGCTAGCTAAAACAGAAGCTGAGGAGTATCTCAAGTCCGACGTACTAAACAAGTCAGAAGCCACCTCGTTGATGGTTAGACGAACCATGGAGAAAAACCAGGATCAAGTGATCGCATCACTGCGAGACTGTATCGCTGGCTTGCTCAAGGCTCTTGCTGTTCGCCAAACTCAGGTCCTGCTCAAAGAATTCCTCGTGGATGCTGGACTGGTTCAGTTACTCGAACTTCCGCACCTTCAGGATCGACGTCTGGTAGTCGTAATTCGAGACGCACTGGGTGTGCTGCGGGCGTTTGCAAGTCTACCGCGTCAAATCACTACAGAAACCGTAATTCCTGAACCAGAGGAAGAAAGTCAGGATTACGGTGATTCCTTCGACCTGGCCGACTTTATGGAAGTTGATCATGAACTGCAACAACCTTACGACTTTCTGCAGAGCCCGCTGTGGCATCTGCTTTCCAATGCTTTCGGCGCCGAAGCGTCACCAGATGATAGCCTTCTCATGGACTGCATTGATACCTGGTGTCTCATCGCTCGTTGTCAAGTATCCCTAGGCGCTCGCTCGTGGACCTACTATTTGGATTCTTTCAGCCAAGTATCGTGGCAACAACTGCGGCGCACAGAACAAACGCAAAAATTTCGCCCATACTTTTTGGCTTCGGTCTTGGGTTATGATTCGACGTCTTATTCTCAACATCGCCTTGACTTTCTGAATGCATTGCTTGTATCGCTCGTTGACCGGGAGTCGCTGTTGAGGTTTCAACATCGCTTGCTGTCCGCCATTATAACTACAATTCCTGATGAACCGCTTCTCAAGGACTTACCATTTTATGATGAAAAAGGCAACGGATCGCTAGACATACACGCCGACACTGTCAGGGCACGGCGACTAGCGTTGATCTCCGTGATCCTGGCCAACATGCGAGGCGACTTTCTCAATGCCATCCATGAGGGTGCAGCACGTCTTGGGGAGGTGAAACGTGGTTACGCCGCACTTCTGAAAGATCTTATGAATGCCATGAAATCCAACTACCAGCAGCTCGGCTCCGGAACCACCGTAACTGGCACATACGTCGAGTTCGTCCAAAGAGTCGTTCAGTTTCTTCAACAATATACGACCGATATCCATCCGGTTCTCGACTTCTTCACCAACTCAATTGCATTCCCGCTTCCAGCAGCCGATCCGACATATGTGGTAGGTCGTTTGTGTGGGTACGCGCCTAAACTTTCTCAAGCGGGCATTCCGAAACAGCTGTCCGTCTTCGTGCAGACGATAGCACAGCAAGCTGCTACTGGAGGCCACCAGTCGTATCTAGTCCACCAATTACAAACCGTCCTTTGTAGGGACGAAGCTCCTCCAAAGGATCGGGATGCTTTACGCGATGCGCTTCTACAGGGTATATTTCCAGCGTACGTCGAAGCGGCCTTCACTTCTGCTGTCGGCTTCGTGATTGCCCAGCCAATCCTGCAATCTCTGCCCCCAATTATTGAAGCTATGCGCTTCAGCATCAGGATTTACGACGATGCAAATGTTCAAGCCATTTGCGACTGCCTCCTGGCAATCTCTCACGCGTTCTTCCGAGGCATTGCGAAAATCAAAGATGGCGATGTATTGTTACGATCGCCGTACATCCTCCAAGCACCTTCTCTCATGTTCGAGATTGCCACCCCGATAGCTCTCCTGCTGGACTACATTTGCGGCAGATGTTCAGAGTCGGCGATGAAGCCTAGGATCGTCCAATACTTTCAAAGCCTCGCCCTCTTTATTGGTGAGATGTTGCACGAAGTGACACCACAAAGCATTCCATCGTACTCTGGCGATGTAAGCCAGCCGAAGACGAAAATCACAGGCCTCCTGCCCTTCTCTGTGGACGGACTACAATCAGGAATCAAGGCGAACTGGAGTGCCAGTGGGGACTATATATACTTCGGGCAAGGTCACGCAAAGCGGGAAGTGTTGATTGACTGGAGTACAGTGGACGAAGCGAAAACGAACCTCATTGTGACAATGGAAGAGTTTCTCGCCACCGCTTCGTTGCTGAATGACGAAGCACGAGATGACGAACATTTGGAGATGGATGCGTCGATAGGCGAGCTCGATGTGTAGTCTCGCATTTTCTTGTTTTTGCATTGTCCCACATTAGCGGCATTGATGGCGTTGTCGGATTTCAAGTACGTATGATAGATAACGAATTCAAACGCTCTATAAAGAGCGTGCTATGACGGACGGCCCATCATGTGACCAGCTTCTACAAAGCAGCAGCTAGGCATAGAATGCCAATAGCTCCCGATAGCCCAAGCACCTCCATGACAACTACCCACGTCTGCTGAGGCTGCGCCGATGCCTTCAACGAGCTCGCTTGGACATCGCCTACATTGCCTCCGTTGGGAGGAGCGCCATCGGTTCCGAAAGCTCATGGTGTTGCTGTAACTACAATCAGAGTATCGACAATCTTTTTTATCTGTCTCGATAGCCCCCTTATGTGTCAGTGGAGTGCCGAACTCATACTCACAGTTCGGAACCCCAGGCGCCTGTTGCGTTCCCGTATCATAATTACCGCCCGTCTTAATCGCATTATGATTACGCTCAATAGACGAGATTATCGGCGACGGCACTTTCTGATACCACGTCAAGCCAAGCCAAGGTGTGTTGCTCAGTACAATTCTATGCGTGTGATCAGGAGGAGGAAGTATATGGTTTTGCGCGAATCGACGAGAATCGCATTGTTACAGGGACAAGTTGATTACTAGAGAACCCTCGTCTCATCAAACCTTCACCTGTACCTCCTCTAAATAATAATTCGATCCTCTCCGCCATTAGCTTCCTCGTATAGTTCAAGTAGAGTTCTATAGGGTACCTTCTCCATTTGACCAGCGCGTGGGGATAAATACCTTACACCATGACACTGACCACCCAATAGCCCACACGCCGCCCTCTGGAGTCTTCTTCCACCCAGAAAGGCTCACGCAGCAATATCGGCATCCACTCCACAGCGATCAGCCTTACGAAGGACATCTGCATCTGCAGAACAAAGCACTCGATGTTTACGAGAAGGTATTTGGTAAGGTTTATGATCGTACCACATACAGAATTTAAGCGCCATACACCGTACTCGCGCCTTCGCTGCGCGTCCCACCGGAAATATGGCCCAAGACGCGCGCAGATTTCTAGGACTACTGGAGTCGCACTGTGTCTGAGCCGAAGGTTACAGAAGATGCACTCGCAGTCAAGAGGAACCTGCTGTACAACAGAAACATGTCCTATCACATACAGCGTCGCCGCAGCCCACAACTCCAAACCCGAGTCATCATCTGAGTAGCCAACCTTGACGACAGCGTAAGCCTCGTGCACCATGGTGATGATAGCTTGCTTTTCCTCGGGCGTTCCGAAAGCCATGCAGCACAACGGTGAGGGTCGTACGCAGGCGGTCTTCAACGCGGGAGGCGAAGTTGGAGTGACGCTCTACCCTTGCGCCAATGCCCGGCATAGCCATCTGTAGGAGCACGGCAGTGCCGCCGACGCCGATAAGGATGGCTCCTTGGACGACCGTGCGCATCTCGGTGGGTGCAAATTCCGGGGAGAGGAAGGAATTATTGAAGTTGAGGGTGTCGAGACCGTGCGTGGGTGGGTTTCTTGGTTCCAATTGGCCGTCTTGCGTTTGTAGAGATGATGGATGATGGGCTTGAAGCTTTCTGGTAGCTGGACTCGATGGTGAGTGGCACATCTGAGACACGTATTCCGGTGACCTGAAAGTTTTCTTGCAATCTTCTTGCCAATATTATAAAACTCATCCATAACTCATCCATAATCTATCAGAGGACACTTCTTTTTTCGATTTTTTCGACACTACTATTTCTCTATGATCACTGCACCAACATGAGTTGATTCAAGAACGTTCAATGCAAGCCTTGACATTACATAATCACGTCAAATCCGGTGCTTAAATCACTTTCGCATCGTCAGTATTCTTGAGCATGACTAATATCGCTCAAGCGACCAAGCCTCCCAGCTCAATGCCCAATACATGGAGAGTCGTACCATGTAGGGAAAAGATGCTCGCCAGACCCTGTGTGACCAGCGCCTCCTTACCATCACCTGCCATGTCTTCGGTATTCGGCTCTATCCCGAAAGCATGTGCTGGCTGCCAAGCTCCCTCTGGTGCAACCTTCAATTCAGACTCAAGAACTTATGTTATTATATTTCTGGGCTTCTTTGAACGTCGTTGCCCCTGATGCCGACACTGTCCACCCTTACTGCTCCATTTCCACTTATTTCACACCATGGACGCCCTCGGCATCACCACCTCCCCATCACCCTATAACCTCTTCGGCATCCCTGATCTATCGGAGACGATACTCGTACTTAGCACGTTCCCAATCCAACCGAAAAAGATCTTCATCGCATCCGAGGTGGCAGCACACAACACGTCTGAGTCGCTGTACTTGAGCATTCACGCTAAAGTGTACGACTTAACGGACTTCCAACACAGCCATCCTGGTGGGCGGCAGAGTGCTTTTTCCCCTTCCCAGATAAGCAGTATATAGAGATGACGGATCACCGTAAGTAATCCTTATTATTAATCCATGATACAGTTTACTGCATCCAGTTTCCTCGTGGAAGATTACTTATAACGTTTTGGCAATAGACCCTTACTGTAGTAATTGATTAACGTATCAACCCAACGCGACTATACAACGCCGTAGCCCTCATTACCCAACACACCCCCCCTTTCGAGGCTAGCCCAGCTCACGCCAAGCGAGTCCCGTTATAGAGCACCCCTACTATTAATTGTTAGAACCCTGGGTATCCTGTACCTCACTTCTCCGGTCACGGGATATCCGTCGAGACAGGGCGTAGCCCGGGACGATTAGGTCCAAGCTAACAGTAGCTAGCTATAAAGGCTAGGAAGCTGTCGGATCTAGTCCGACAGCGATTCGTCTCTCCTATAATCTACTTCGGTTGCCTGTCTCGTACCTATCTACATTGCTCGCCTGTGAATCCTGACATTCCTTTATAAACTAATTTATGAATGTCTTCAATTAACAATCATAATTTGTATGACTCCTATTAAAACTTTCTTTTTTTTTCCCACTCTTTTCACAGTCCAGTTAGCTTGCACATGACATTCAATCGTCTATAAAGTTTTCGCTTCAAGAGGGCGGACAAATCCCGTCTGGAAATACTAGCAATCCTATCAAGATACACTCTATTACCCAGCGTATGTGAAACATCACCATCCGTTCTATCTTTCGTGTACCCTACATGATAAGGCCCTCTCCGTTACCCAGCTCCAGCAACTGCGGCAACGCCGGGATTACCTTCGCATCCTCTGGCCTCTCAATCTTCGCATCCACCACCAAATCCTCCCTAATCCCCACCCTATCCTGCCATTCCAGAACAGCGCTGTGATCCACACACTTCCTATTTATCCCAAAGTCCGGAAACGGATTCTCCTGCGTCTCCATCCAGTTGAAATGCAACAAATTCAGGCTAGGCTGGCACGTCAGAGCATCAAGGAGGATGCCGATGCAGTGCGAACGATGCGCAACGGCCAGAGCCGGCATGTTGGACTCGTCGCCCCATTTGGGGTAGAAGTAGTGGCTGTAGTGGCTGTATTTTCGGACGGTATTGAGGCAGTGGAGGAGGTGTTGGGAGTCGAGTTCTGCGAAGTATTTGGTGGAGCCGTAGCCTGGGGAGGTTAGTTTGTGTAGAAATGCGAAAACAGATGGAAGATGCTTATTAGGCATTGTATAGCCTTGACGGATTCAAAGGTGGAACTACGTACCCCACTCGAGTGGAACTTGGACCGCGAACTCGGGATCTTTCCCCATCTTCCTTATCTCATCGGCCTCGACAACCAACGCTCTGATCTTGGAGATCTCCTCCCATGCAGCATCAACCTCCTTGGATGGTTCTGCTTTGTAGACACTCCAGGGGTCGTTGAAGAGACTGCCGTTTATTTTCTTGTTGATGAATGTAAAGTTCAACTTGTCTAGCAGCGGAGTGTAGGAGCTGACTTGTCGCAGCACGGCATTTACGCTTACTTGTTCCACGATGAGGTTCTCCGAGTCGCTTGACAGCCGCGAAGTTATTGATGGGATATTTGAAGAGAGGAAGACTACGTTTACTGCCAGTAATACGGTGTTGAGAAATAGTATGAGCACACCCCAGCGCGGCCTACGAGATTTATGGTACTTGAAGTCAATGTTCTGGCCAGTACAGTCAGTTACGGGCTTCTTGAGGCCTGTAAACCAGATACTTCAAGCATACCTCAGGGTAATCCTCATCTTGCAGGAGATGGAGCTCGTCAGGCTCTGCTTTTGAAGTCACAAACATCCTGCAACATAAGGGGGTCGAAAGAGAATGAGCAGAGACGCGACAAGCCAGCCAAATTTAACGATCATACCAGACACTGTAAAAAGTAATGACCATGGGTGGCAAGCAGTCGCATGAGAACAGACAACCCAACGGAGCGCAATCCGCATTGGGTCGTTTGACTTCAGCTGCACAGTATCTTTCCTTCTATGAAGTTGTAATTTGTCTAACGTGCTATATTAGTGGTGCATATGACAGCATGGTGTAATACGACGTAACTGTTTGGGGAAATGGCGGCCGAGATCACCCTATGTAGCACTAGCTGAGCAACTATATCCTTTCTTGAACTAGATCTTTTACACGATACATCTAACCCGATTTGAGCTAAATAATGACCATGGGTGGTAAGCAGTCACATGAGAACAGGCACCCCAACGGAGCGCAATCCGCATTGGGCCGTTTGACTTCAGCTGCACAGTATCTTACCTTCTAAGAAGTTGTAGTTTGTCCAACGTGCTATATTAGTGGTGCATATAACAGCGTGTTGATGTAATACGACGTAACCGTTTGGGGAAATGGCGGCTGAGATCACCCCATGTAGCACTAGCTGAGTGACCATATCCCTTTCTTGAACTAAATCTTTGACACGATGAATCTAACACAATTTGAGCTAAAACATGATATCTATGCTCTTGAAACAACAGATTAACATGGATTCTCTCAACAGACCGCGCATTCCGATAGCCATATACCAAATCTGTGACGAGGCCGAGTGGGAGTTGGTACACCACCTACGGATACGTCCCTTGCACCAACATCTGGAGTGGCGGTCAACTTCAAAGCTGCGTAGATTAACATACCTATCTATGCGAATAGAGAGCGGGGTATCCAATAACGCAGGACATTCTCAGCAGACTTCCAGCTGTCTCGTGCATCTTGGCTAGCAACACCGACCACCACACTGTTGCTCAACGGCGCAGTGAACATGCCCTCATTCCCATAGATAATTGAATAAATAGGCACCTCAAGGTCTCTACTTTCTCCTACATCATCAGGACCTCTCCTCGACCAGCCTCCTCCCTTTCGCCAACGCTTCAACCGTCTCTAATAGGACCCACTCCGTCTACCTCAAACCTCAAAATGCATCCAACAGTCCTTCTCTCGCTCCTCAGCGCCGCCGTTCTCGCTGCGCCCATTGACCCACGTATGTCCAACAACCTCTTACATCAAACCACGTTTCATTCCTCCAGATCCTAACTTCCTCAGGCATCGAATCTCGTGCCCCCTGTCCCTCAGGAGCGAAGCGCGCCCAGGCCTACTGCCTTTTCGACAACAACATTCCTAGAGAGTCTGAGGCCAAGCGCGCCGAAGCCGTGGAGGCGTACCACGACATCTTCCTGGTCACCGAAGCCGAAGCAGCCGAAGCAGCCAACAAGCGCGCCGAGGCCGTAGAGGCGTACCATGATGTCTTCCTGGTTACCGAGGCCGAAGCGGCAGAG